CTCTGTCAGGTCTGTGGCCTTCTCGCACGACTCAAGCAAACTGGCGTCAGCGTCAGAGGACAAGACTGTCAAGCTGTGGAATGCGAGTAGCGGCGCGTGTCTGCAGACCCTTAACATTGGAACAAATCTCCACAGTCTATCCTTCGACTCTACTGACTCTTGTCTCTGCACGGAGATAGGTACATTTGTCATCGCTATCCCAGAGACATTAGGCAGAGCAGCGGCCGCTGAGCCTGAGCCCCAGCCTCCTTTGTACCTGGGCACGAACCTTAGCTCAGACAACACGTGGATCAAGCATGCAAGCAAGCACATGCTCTGGATACCATCAGAGTATCGGCCATTGTGCTCATCTGTCCGCGGAACCACGGTCGCTATAGGCGTTGGATCTGGCTGGGTATGGACCTGTAGTATTGACGTGTAGTATTGACTTTGTATACACTCGTATCCATGCGTAGCAGAATAGTAGTCAGTTGTCATTCTCCTCCTGTTCGGCATCGCATCAAGGGGCATGAGAACGGGCCCAAGTATCCAGGTTGCATGTTGCTGCAGAGAACATGAGAAGAGGTTTTTAAGAGTGCTTGCTGTCATATAAAGCGTTTACGTAACATTTCAACGTCTAGGACTGTTATGGGCTGAGCCCTGTGGACTGAAGACTACGTACGAGACGTGATTACGTAACAAGACTAGGCAGGGGTTGGCAGCCTTCTCTTATATTCTTCGTACGATAGAACAAACCTTCTCTCTCTATATTTCTGCTTCTGTAGTATAGGACAAATGCATACTCGTTAGAAGGCCACTTTGATCCTTAACAAGGACCTTGTTGTGCGTAGTGTTGCGCTTAACGTGAACAAGTAACTAGTTGAACGTTGTTTTATCTGTCTGCATGATCAATTTAACTTTCATACTCAGTGTCGCTGAACTAGACAGCACGGCATGGCTGCGCGCGATGTTTGTGCAACGCATCCGAGAACGCTAGGCAAGTAAAGCATGGCGTGTTCCCAAAGTAGCTGTAACCCGGGGCGCTCATCAAAGCTTCTAGAAGAGCGCCACACCTTGAGCTTGCTAGGCATAACGTCAAATACAGTACGCTCAGTCTAATTTGACGCCTAGCGCTAAAAGCAGCTGTCCCTGACGCGGAGATAGCCTTGGACTACACACTTTCAACGCCTAATTGTCTTTGCAGCCTAGGGCAATGTGCGTCTAGGCTAGGCCTATCGTTCAAGCGTCTTAGAACTGGAAAGAGCGCAGGTAGCAGCGACAGAGCAGAGTCAGAAGGCAAAGTGGTATTTGGAGCAGTGCGCAAGATGATTGCTAGCACGACCACAACTATTGTAATTTTCCTGCTACACTACAGAGTGAGGAATAAAAGTGACTAAAGAATAGGCTAACACTAATTGCAGATCTGTAGATTTCATGTGGGGATATCTGAGGTGCGTGAATGGTGGGTCCATCTCGCTGAGGGGCGTTTCTCGCTTACGGGCAGGGGACGTTAGAAGACCATCATGTATGTGACCAGATAAGACATAATGGATGACGCTGACGCAGCAAGTCAAGTCTGATTGGAGCCGATTTTGATGATCATGAGATGATGAAAGCCACATAAGGAACATCCATAAGGTGCAATTCGTTTCAGCATGTTTCTATGCTCTACCTACACGACTCCCATTTCGTTTAGCAACCCTGCGCAATCGAATGAGCGTTGATGTCGGAAGGTAGACGCGCCCGTGATTGAGGTTTTGCACTCAACTCTCGTGATACACCAGGAATTTCGGCACTGTGATGCCCATTGGTATGTTCAGGGCCGAGGCGTTATCCATCTCCAACGTTGCTCCCGTAGCCATAGCCAGGATCCCTCTTGTCTCAGGAAAGCGCGATCTCTGAATGGTCTTGTCTCCATACCACAGCCCAGTCGACATGCTATGGTCGGCTCTTCCTTCTACGTAGTAGGACTTGCAAGTTTTTTCGTGCTTCACCACGCTGGTGATAGTGAGATCCAGCCAGGCAGACGGCATAGTACAGTCGTCAGAAAGATTATGCCCCATAACCAGCTCAGAGTATCTGGCGTAGATCCCTGGCTGTAACACCTGATTGAAATTGTCGTTCTTCGCAAATTCTTTGAAATGCTTGACCTTCTCGCTGACAACAAAGTCGAAGTTCTCAAGGCCCGAGAGCGCGTATCTCCGTGACGGACATGTCGAACGCATAAGTCGAACAGCTGATCTCCAAATTCAGGACTAACGCACAGCATGGGCATAGAATGGTACACAAAGTTCATCTTTGTCGTGTTGGGATCGGAACTCGTCCCCAGATTGTTGGCCGGGTGTAGTTGTCAAGACGAAAGGATAGCCTAGGTAGTCATGCTGATGTATATCTAAGCATCGAGTCTTGTGCGCAATCACATACTTATTGTCTTGCAGTTTGCAGTGGTTCAAGAAGACATCACATGCCTGGGTAGAGTTGAGCGAGCTCAGGGTAATCGGCCGGCCCGTTTGTGGTGCGCGGCCGTTATAACGTACGTCCGTCCCGTGGTTCTCTCTTCGTTGTACGTGATCGTAATAACAAGAAGTTGCAAAAACTACTGAACATGAGCTCAAGAAGGCTGAGAAGCTACTCAAGGATAAGCGTGATGAGCAGGCTTGTGTGCAGCGTGCAAAGGAGAAGGTGGAGCGGGAGAATGCACGCATCCAGGAGCGCAAGGAAATCGATGCACGCAAGGCAGAGAGAGCACATCTTAAGGAGCAGAAAGACTATGAAAAAGCATCATGCACTACCCAAAAAGGAAAGAGGCAGCTCATACAGCAACAAGGAGCCCAAAAGAAGCAGAAATGTGGTGATGCGGCTGCTCGAAGTGGTGTGGTTCCTCATAAGCCGCCCTCAGCACCTCTACCAACACACAACAGCCGCGGTCGCAAAACACTTCAACCATGCAAATATTGGTATCAAACTTGGTCGCATAGGTCTATAGACTACTCCACCCAAGAATCTAGTTGTAATAGCTTTTGTATGTGGCTCAATAACCTCATGTGCACGGGTGGTCAATAAGGCAAATGGTGCGCGTTGCGGCGCATGCGCGTTGCGAGATCACGTCTGAGTGTAAGTCTTGCTGCATGCAATTAATTTCCGCTGTCTGAGCCGGCTGGAATTTGGGTTTAAGCTGGGATATCGCCTTTGGCTATCCACATTGTGCCCGCTCGCTGTGGTCTGAATCTCGTTGGTCCGTTTCATTCAAGCCTCCTATATATGAATGGATTGGCTCAAGGTAATTGGTAGACATGGATGGAAAGTACTCTTGTATATTCAAGTGACATTGAGTCACGTTATGCCATCGGATGACATTTCTCTCATATGTCTTCGCATGCGTACCTCCATAACCTTCTTGTCCGAGTCATATTCTCGCGAAAATTGTAGTTCATCTAACATGTGCCGAAATGCAGGAAGGCACGGTCCGCTGTATACTTGACACCAGAACCAAGACGAAACAGGTTGGGTTGAGCAACTGAAGTCTTGCACGTCAGCTCTCACAAAGAAGAGCTTCTGTTCAAAGCCACGGCAGCCCTCGAGCATCCTGTGATGCAGCAGTGTAAGGTCCTAGGAAGAGAGAGTGATAATGCTATGCGTCTTAGATACCTACATATGAAATGTCTGTCTTGGGTATCAGGCTTGAGATAGGTAGCTGCAGAATAGTGTAACACCGCCGAAGCGTGCTGCTAGAAAGCGTGCGTGAAGCGTGTCGACTCACTGCCCCGAGGCGAAGTCGTGCTGGTTAAATATGTCGTAGAGTAGCTGCCGAAATGCGAGAGGAAAAGAGCCTACTCTGATGAATCAAAAGATATCCAGAATTTAATTCTTATACCCCTCATTCACTCTACCAGGGATGAAGATGAGCCCTTACCCGCAGTCTCATCCCCATCCCACACCTCCATCATATCCAACCACTCCAACACAAATCCCGCCACAATCCTTGCCCAATCCCTCACCGTCTTCCCATCCAAATGCGCCCCGTCATCCTGCAACGTATGCCACACCTTCGGGAACGGGCTGGGGATGATATGCAGTACTTCCACGCCCTGATGTATAAACGGCAGATGGTCATCTGATATTCCCCCATATCCTGCCATTGTCATGTTGACGTCGGGTAGAAAAGGTGTGTTAGGGCTGGACTCGAGGATTTTGAGGTCTCGTAATCGGGTCTCGATGGTGGAAAGATGTTTGTACGCCCAGTGTGTGGTGGGGAAATATGAAGGCACGGTCGGGTCTGCGCTGCCGAGGAGGTCGAGCAGCATGAATAGCGAAATCTGGGATAGAGGCGTGCGGTACTGGTAGAACTTGCTGGACGGGGGGTTTCGTACGCCTGCCCATTCCGCCGCAAGACTCCTATACATAGATCAGCATCCATGTTTTCAGAATCATCTTGCCCCGATGCTAGGAAATAGGGTTTCCAAACGTACCTCGCGCCATATAGACTGTCCGTATCTGTCCACTGCTGAAACGCCTCCTCCCCATCCAACAACAAAATCTGAATCCCCATATCCATCTCCACCGTCCCCCCTTCCTCTAGGGCTTGCATCTCATCGTACATCCTCTGCACATACCCATCCACCACCTTCGCAACCCACATCAGCATCGCACACGGTGCCGCTGAATCGGTGGCGCCGATAAACCCCTTTGGACTTATCTTGCTATCATAATGCGCAACCAGCGTCAACAAATTACTCTGCCCTGGTTTCACCCACGGCGGCTCGCGCTTGAAAATCAGGTTCTGGAAGGGCAGCGCTTTGCCACGCGAGGTTGGGGTCGTGGCCGTGCTGTTTTGCCAGGATACATCCCATTTGGGGAGTTCGCGCGCGAAGTAGGATCTGAAATGTTGTTGGACGGTTATTTGGCCGGAGGTGCCGGGCACGCGGGGAATGAGAATGGGTGAGAGGAGGGAGCCGTGGTCGGGGTCGAAATGGGAGCCGGGTGAGGGGATGGCTTTGAGGAAGCTGTCTGAGAGCGGCTTGTATGCATGTGCTGTGGGCGAGGAGAGTAGGAGGTATGTCAGGATCGCGAGGGTAGAGGGGAGCGAGAACAACATCTTGTGAACGCGCTGGAGATTCGTGGGACGCGCCAGTTGTGGTGGTGGAGTAGTGTGGAAAGTGTTATGGCTATCTCATGTTCGCCAAGGGGGTTCAATAGAGTTGAATAGCTGGCAAGTTACGATGTCGAGCCCCCTGATTCAGCGCAAACTCGATTGAAACCGAGAAAGCATCGTTCCTTGCTTCCTTAAGCAGGGACCGAATCGTTACTAGTGCCGTGCTTGCCGAGCACAGTTGGTGTTGGTCTTTGTCTGAAGTGTTTCAGTTTCCGAGGCACGAAACTGGAGGTTGAGCTTTGCACGTGACAACGCACTTTCATCTTATCAGATCTGATCTCGGGCTCGATGCGGAGGATCTAACGCAACTGGTGAAAAGGCTCCACTCCTCCATGATGACGTCTGCTTTAACTGCGAGGACGAGCGAGAGGAAATAGTGTTTGCAATTGTAGGTTAAGATCAATGGATTCCTTGTTTTGCTACGAACACGCTCACACACTTATTTACAACTTCGCCTTGATCTGCCCCTCGACCTTGACAATCGCCCTTCCGTTCGTCAACACCGTCTTCCCACCATCCACGCGCACAATAAACCTGATCTCCTCAAATCCGCCGTCATGCTTCTCGCCGGTCCTCCACATCTCCGTGATCAGCTTATCAGCAGGCTTGACTGGCGCCGCAAAACGTGCCTGGAACTCCCTCAGGTTCTCTGGCTTGCTTGCACCGAACGCCTGCAGGATGGCGTGCGCAGACATATTCCATGAGAACAAGCCGTGGATAATGGGGCCGCCAAAGCCCATCTTCTTGCCGGGCTTAGGGTCGGCGTGAAGCGGGTTGTAGTCACCGTTGAGACGGTAGATGTGTGCGGTCTCCATGGTGGTCTGGACGGTACGGGTCGCATCGGGCACGCGGTCGGGAGGTGGGTAGCTCGGGACCTTGGGGCCTGGTAAGGTAATTAATACACTGTTTCCGTCAAATACAGCACGATTGCTGACTTACCCTTAGGACCTCCCCACCCTCCCTGGCCAACGTAGAAGCCACTGCCAACAGCTCTGCTGTATGTCTCACCGGACTCTGCATCTACAAGCCTTTGCTCCGTCTCAACGACTGTGCCGGGCTTGCCCTTATCGTATACACCGAGCACCTTGCTCCTGATTTCGAACTTGCGACCTTCGCTGGACACAGGGATGGGCTTGAAGAACTCGAGCTTGCGCTCGCCATCGAGGACATGCTTGGTGTCGAACTTGGGTACGCCATCGATGGGCTCGGCGTTGGAGCGGGCGTAGAAGTCGATTACCTCCTGGTCGGTGTGCTTGAAGGGTAGTATGATGGGGTACGTAGGGAAGGCCGCGAATTGAGGATGCAATTCCTGAGGTAGCTGTTAGTACCGGCGGTTTTATGTTGCTTGAAAGCTAGCTGCACGTATGACTTGCGTATAGAAAGTGCAACTCCTCAGGGTAGGTAGCGCCGATGCTCGCTGCGAAAAGCAGCAGGTCACGCTTGAGCCAGGAAACCTCATAGCTGGGGAACTCGAAGCCAACACCCGGTCCTGCCTTCTCGCTCATTGTGTATATGGTCAGATGTGGATTTGATGCAATGCGATTGTAGATTAAAGGTATATGGGGCTCAGGTACGTAACGCTGAGAAGTTTGAAGTGTGAGCGGGGCGGCAATCACGGTTCCAAGCCCTGAGGAGCTCTCCAACAGCCGAGGTCGATATCGATTCACCACCTCGAAATCGACCATGCCCAGAGTAGCTTAGAAAGGCCAAGTACCCTCGAAGACATGTGACCCTTGTAGCCGAAGTCGGCACTACCTTTCGAAACAGTCGTAAGAACTTGATGGAGAGCGCGTTGTTCAATAGAACAGAGTAATTGACATATTGTTTCATTACCATTACCGGTAGTTCTCGGTAATCATATTTGTGCAGTCCATATGTACAGAGTGCCAGCCTTAATCGACCCTATCCAGCCCACTCATTGACATTTGAAGACGATGCGAATGACCCAAATTCAAACATGCTCGAAGCGCAGAATGAGAACATGCGTGATGCACAACAAACAGACCGTACGCCAGCAAAAGTGAATGACCACTCAAACAAACACAAATGCTCCGCGAAAGTACCCCACGCAATGCAATGAAGGCAACCCCCAAGAAATGAAAAATCGATATGCATCCCTCATAGAAAAGCTCAATCTTTGGCATTCCAAGCAAGGTCGTACCTCTGAGGCGTACTTGGTCGTGTAGTTCTCCTGTTTGTAACACGAACGTCCAGGTTTCGTATGTGGTATGTAGATTCCATGGTCGGTCCTATTGACCGCACGTAACGAGTGCTGATCTAGCACTCAGTATCATTCATGTGCTCGCTGAAAATGTGGTGATAAACGTGCGGCGAAAGCCTACGTGCAAAACGAAAAGATATGCGACAGGCCTTCAGCGCAATTTGGAACCTTCGTAGACGGATAGGCGGGAGTATCCAGGACAAGTACGAATTAGAAGTCGATGGTGCGTCCACGCCATCAAAAGACGATTCGTAAAACTCATAACAGCGCTGCTGAAACACTTTTGTCGGGACCAGCCTACTGATGAGGACATTCGTCTAGACGTCCATCTGGCCATGGTTGAAGATGTCGTGCTCGTTGTTGCTGGGAATGACGCCGGACATCCTGTCTCCGCGTCCCGCTGGCTTGTCCCAGTTCAAGTCGTCCTTGTCATCCTCTTCCATTCGGTCATGGTCATTGTGGGTCCTGCTGCCGAATTGCTGCTCCATGGTGCTTTCGCCGGTAAAAGTGAAACCAGCAAAATTGGCCTGCATGGTTGGTGAGAGCGGAGTCGAGGCAGGGTTGATACCAGATGCCAGCGCAGCAGCGCGAGCGTTCAACGAGCCGTTGCCATTAAGAGCGTTCGTGAACTCTGGATCGAAGTTGGAGACGTCCAATTCTCCCTTGAGCTTAGGCTTGAAGGGTGGCACGACGTTCTTCTTCGACAAAGCATCCCAGTCGATGTCGGCAAAGAATGGGTGCTCCTTCAACTCCTGGGCGTCCCGGGTGGCGCCAAGCCTGTGCTTCGGGTTCCTGTTCAAGAGACCCTTGACAAAGTTTCGGCCCTCGGTGCTCAAAGCGTCTCTGGGGAACCTGACCTTTCCGAAAGCAATGTTCTTGTACATCTGCTGGGTATCTTCCGCATAGAAAGGACTCCAGCCGCAGCACATCTCGAACACTAGCACACCGAGAGACCAGAAGTCAACCATCTTCGTGTAGCCATGCTCGTCCAAAAGTACCTCGGGTGCCAAATACTCAGTTGTGCCACAGAATGTATTGGTAGTCGCGTTCTCGGTAAGGTTAGCCTTGGAAAGACCGAAGTCGCAAAGTGCGATGTGGCCATTGGCGTCAAGCAGGATGTTCTCTGGCTTTAGATCGCGGTAGACGATGTTGTGATCGTGGAGATGCTGCAAAGCCAAAATCAACTCCGCAATATAGAACTTCGCGCGAGCTTCCTGGAAACGACCCTCACGCTGGAGATGCCAGAACAATTCACCTCCAGACATGTAATCAGTAACCAGGTAGAGATCCGACGGTGTCTGGAAAGAGAACTTCAGGCCGACGATGAAGGAGGAGTCCGCCATAGCAGTCCTGACGAGAATGTTGCGTTCGCCCAATGTGTGTGCGACCTCCTTCTTCTGAACAATGACCTTCTTCGACAGAACCTTCATAGCGTAAATTCGCTTGGTGTCACGCTTGCGAACCTGGAAGACCTGGCCGAATGTGCCCTTGCCGATAAGCTTCAGGATCTCGAAATCTTCGGGACCGTAAGACTTCTTCTCGATCCTGTGGAAGTCAAGCTTGAGGTGAATCTCACCAGTCACCTTGGCGCTCTCGCCCTCACGAGGTTCAAGGGCAAACCATCCATCATACGGCTGGTCGTACTCGATCAGGTTGGGGCAGAATCGAACGTGACCAAGGAAAGCCTCGCCATTCGCTCGGTCGTAAACTGAGATGTCGACCTCAGCGTGGTCACCGACAACGTCACTGCATTCTGTCAGTATGTGTGCTGATGCAAATTTTGCAATACAACGTACAATTCGGCCTCATGCTCCCAAGTGGGGTTGGTCGTCTCCTCGAATGTGTCATCCCTAGCATCCGAGCTGTGACCACTGTTGCTGCTCTGACGGCTCTTCATGGGGATGGCCATGGGCCTCTGCATCTCGCTTTCGGTCCTCCTCATCTGCATAGGGCCACGGCGGCCCTTGGTGTCATCATGCTTTGGCCCATCTGAGATGTACTCGGCCCATTGGAACTGGATAACGCAGTAGGGGTCGGTACTTGCCCGCAGGTCCCGACCTTCTGTAATGGTGACTGCAAGCTTGCCCTTGGGTGCTCCTACGACCGATGCTTCCTTATCCGACTTGTTTGATGTTTTCGATTCTCTCGAGTGATTCGACGCAAGCGAGGTGCGAGACAAGCTCGATGTTGGTGGCTTGCCTTCTTGTGAGCGTGTGCGAGGAGTCTGAGGAGGGGTAGCCTGATTCTGCGGCGACGAAAAGTCGCCTTCCGTTAGCTTCTCTGTTTCACCATTCAACTGCGAAGCTGAGGGGGTTCGAGAAGAGGCACTGGGAGCAGGACTAGGCAGCATAGTCTGACGAGGGGTGACCTTTTCTGTGTTTTCCTTCTCTTTGGGTTCCATTGAAGCGGCGTCTGAAGGAGCAGGTGCGGGGTTGTAACTTTTTGACAACGAGGATTTGCTCTGGGGCAAAAAGGAATCACGAACCTGGCCAAAGTAGCTGTGCAGAATACCCGGCAGTCGTTTATCAGTGGGATCCGGACGCGGTGTTGAGGCACCAGGTGGAGTCGAGCTGGTGGAGCCGATCTGATCGTGACCGTCGTCATCGTGGGTCGCTGCTCTGTGCGGCGTTAGTAGGGCGTTGTGGGCCGGCATTATCGCTGCGGTGCGGACAGTCGTGATGGTGTGCAGCGACAGTTTCGAGGAGGGGAGATGATAATGCTGCTCAGGAAGAAAGGTGCAGCAAGAAAAAGCTGACCCAGGGCATAGGGTGTGTAACGTTGACATCGGCATTCAGCAGCTGCGCTACTGGCTGCCACTTGGTGCTGAGCTAAGCGGTGGTCGCACTTGCCCTCTGCGAGCTTTGCACACCCGGCGAAATGCAACAAAATGCACAAAGAACGCAAGAGTGGCTTACCTCTGGTTTCCCATTGCCTGCCGCAGCAGGTCTGCTGCGGCTGAGGGAGCGCCACCGTTGGACGAGGTCATCTTGCCAAACTTGGGTGGCGGGCGGGCAGCGGGCTTGGTGGGTGCAGACTTTTCGTTGTTGCTGGCGTTGAGCGTGGACAGCGTGGGCACTGCACTCGAGGACTTGGTTGACAGGTGACGGCGGGGTCGCGAGGCCTTGGTGGGAGAGATCTCAGAAGCGCGGGATACTAGTCCGGGTCGAGCTGGACGAGCATCGATGGCAGCAGCGCTGGATGGAATGGTGGTGGTTGCTCGGAGACTGGCTCGCGATGTGCTGGCGGTGGATGCTGTGCTGGCAGTACGTACGCTTGAAGTCGCGGGAGACGAGGTGACCAGGTCCATGTGTTGCGGGCGTGAAGTCATATGTAATAGATAATCAACTGGAACCTGGCTCGCTGCACTAAAACAGCGTTAGCCGCTGCAATGAAATGAGAAAACTCTGCTAAGGCCTCTATCGGGTCTGCACGAGCGTCGCGCGAAGAAAGACACCCGAGTTCTTCCAGGGCTCAGGCTCAAGCGCGGCGGCGGTGAACAGCGCGGTACTTGACGACTGGGTACCTTGGGACTCGGTGCGTGGGCCAGCGACGAGAGGGACCTAACAAACCTAGCAGGACTAACAGCTAACTTCATGCGTAGGGCGGAATCTCGGGAGCCGTTGGGAAGTACACACCACGACGAACAGACGGCCGTGGGATTGTATAATATTGGCGGCGCGCTCGCTGAACAATGACTGGCCGCTGTGCAACATGCTCTCGCGTTGAGTTGATGCGGATATAATCAGTGATAGCCAGACGCCGCGGTGAGTGAGCGAGATAGGCAAGTGCAGTGCCGCTCATTCACCTCAACACAAAACCATGACCTCGAGAACACGAGCCAGGCAGTTGCATTCACCGTCTGGCACGCATCAGTGACTGCAGCACGCAACCGGCAGCGACCGTGGCCAGCTGCATCCGACAGGGCACGGTTTGTTTGGCGATTATTTCACCGCCACTATTGTCATCTGTCGACACCACTCACAGTCTGTGCTCGGCGACAAGCAGGTCGACCGGTCGCCAGGGTCGTCTTTCTGCCACCCAAGGACGCTGAAGTGCCATCCCTCGCGCCAAGGCGACGCAGCATGATGACGAAAAAGTGGAAAGGAGCCGGCGTCGTGGATCGGCGAGCGAGACGACCCTGGGTTAGGATCTCGGAGCGCGCCAATCGCTGTGTGAACTGCTCGGTGTTGCGGCCCCACCCAGCCGTATCAGTCCTTAATCAAGTGGGCAGCGGACAACCTCACGACTGATGAAGTGCACCAAGTGGAATGAAGTGGTATCCACGAGGTATCGCCCAATCTCCCTGCGCAGGCTCTGGGAACTGTCGTTACAGGAAAAGACGCAATGATCCACACCCCTGATGCACTGATGGCGAGCTGCATGTGCCGCCGCGCGCGATGCGGCAGCAGAGGACCCTGGCCTGATAACAGCCGCAGGGCGGAATCGTGGTCACTGGGAACAAGGTTGACACGAGTAACTTTCATGTGATGTACTGTTTCGAGCAGCTGATGTGCCCAGGCGAGCTGCCCCAGGGAATGGAAGTGGTCCAAATTGGGTCTACGTTCCCCTAAACGAAAGACTGCATTTCCTAAACCGAGCAGCCAGGTCCGTTCCCAGCACCAAGTCCGGTGCCCATGCCCAAGGGTGTTACGAATGATATCGACGTCGAAAAGCATAGCTGATCGCTGATTGGTGGCCGGCCGGGGAAGGAGCAACATTGTTCCTGCCATGCGCGGCGCGGGCTTCTTTGTATACATAAAAGTCCAAGCTTTTCGAGGCGGCGCGCAGTCTTCGAGACAACCAAATACCGCGCAAACGCCCACCATGTCTGACCGGGAGTTTGGCGGCAACGACGACCTGTCGTTGCCAAAGGGTGTGTTTCATGTTGAACTACGGTGTCAATTCAGGCAACTAACGCGTCCAGCGACCGTGCAGAAGATTGTGCAAGATATCCTGGCGACAGAACCCGGCATGACATTCGCGAAAGATTCACGAGACCTGCTCATAGAGTGCTGTGTCGAGTTTATCACACTCATCTCCTCCGAAGCCAATGAAATCGCCGAAAAGGACGCAAAGAAGACAATAGCCTGCGAGCACGTTAAGGCAGCGCTCGAGGAGCTGGACTTTGGCGAGTACGTTCCTGCGATTCTTGAGGTCGCGCAAGACTACAAGAAGCAGCAGCAGGTACGCGCCATGCACATAGTCCGCATCATCTTCGTACTAACTTGTAACAGAATCGCGAGAAGAAGCAGACCAAGATCGAGCAGAGCGGCATGACTGAGGAGGAACTCATCCGCGCGCAAGAAGAGCTGTTCCGCTCGGCTACGGACAAGTTCAACTCGGCGCCATCGTAGTGCGAGGCATCTTAATGAATAATACGATACAGGCTGCGAGGCGTTGAGGGCGTTGACCACACAGGTCTCTGGACGGCGTTTGGGACATAGATTGGGCACATGAAGGCATTCAGTTCGGCATCGGCGGGCCGCAATTCTACAAAGAGCTGCAAGACAGCCAACATAATACTACATGGCAAAAGCCTCTCAAAGCTGCATTGCACTCTGCAGCTACACCCAAGAACATCCTCAAACTACCACATACCTATGCACTGATATCGAGTGAATGGACACAGCCAAGTGACTGAGAGCTGCTTGCTCGGCAAGGCGCGGGGCGAGTGACGTCCACGGGTTGCGCGCCAACCCCCGCGAACACCGTACCTATCACTTGCACTACCACAGCCCTACCCTGCATTTGACCGTACACCACAACTGCATACACCGAAATTATCGTCACCATGTCCGGTCTCGAAAATGCCCTTTTCAACCTCAAGGTTCGCCAGCGCACCTATCTCGGCACCATGATGTTTCATACTGACCTTGATAGTTTACAGCCAAGTCGCTGAACCGCCAGTCACTCAAGGCAGGGAAGGAGGAGCAGCAGGAAAAGGCAAAGCTGGAGAAGGTGCGTAATATCTGAGCATATCGAGAGGCACCCTGACTTATCGTCAACCATCACAGGCTATGAAGCAAGGCCACAACGATATCGCCCGTATCTACGCCCAGAATGCCGTCCGCAAGCAGAACGAGAAGCTCAACCTCCTACAACTAGCCTCACGGGTCGACGCCGTCGCCGGTCGTGTCCAGACTGCTGTCACTATGCGACAAATTACCGGCAACATGATGAAGGTCAACCGCAGCTTGGATGTTGCTATGAAATCGATGAGCCCTGAGAGGGTATGCTCCCATACCTTGCAGATCGACGGTCTGCTGGGCAGCATCCAGCGAGGAGAGTCACTGACAAAGATACAGATTGCCGCCGTCATGGTCGACTTCGAGAAGCAGTTCGAGAACGTCGACTCCGCAACCGAGCTCTACCAGGACGTTACCTCATCAGCAACCGCCGTTGGCACACCACAAGAAGACGTCGACCGCATGATGGCACAAGCTGCAGACAAGGCCGGCGTCGAATTGCAGTCTGATCTCCAGGAGGCACCGAAGACAAAGGTTGGCCCCACAGAGCAAGAGGAGGATGCGTTCACCGAGCGACTACGCGCCTTGAGAAATTAGGGGAGGCGATCTCCTTTCTTTGTGTACTGGCGCACTCTGGAGTTTGGGAGCGGGAGCGGGAGCGGGATATTGCAAATGCAATTGCTATGAATCTTGACATTTGAGGTCTCACGACGATGGTATTTCTATGTCACAATATCGAAACTTTTGGAACCGCAATATTGATCAGTCGGCTTACAGTTCGGTCTTTTGTTTATTCGTGTCTTAGCTAGCTAACAGACATCAGTAGACCGGTACTATCCCCACTTTGTCATGATTCGAGCTTACCAAGGTTGGTAAACAACCGTTCAATGCATGAGGGCCATCATATTGCAGCAGTGGAGGAGAGATTGGCTGCCAACAGCGTTGGTGACTTGTACAACAAGGCGACTACGAATCAAGTCCAAGTTCCAGCACCCATCCTCAGCCTTTCAGCACTCAACCATACAGCACTCAGTGTCGTCTAAGTTTAGGCCGCATGCGTCGGCCTTACTAGTCGTACTCGAACTAGTTCATGTTGCTACTCTGATTTTCTGTGCTAATTTCATCACAGTGCAATAATTGTCGCCAATCAGTCAAAAGAGCCACACAGCCAGTTTCGTTGTCACCCTTTAGAGTCCACTTTCACCTTCCAGCAACGTCCCTGGGATTCACACTGTATCTCAGTACGATCAACATGGCAGATGTTGTGCCCGAAGCATCCCACACAATGCTATGTTTGACGATGTCATGTACTGGGGCAGGTCCAAACTAGAAAATATAAACCACAATTGGCAAACATGAGAAGGATAGGAAAGCTGGGCGCAGGTCGAACCTAGTCCGAGGACTCAATGCGGTCCTGACTCCTGAACAAGGTCGAGCACACTCCACGTCAAGGCTTGCAAGTCGCGGAGGCAAGAAACTGAGAATCCCTACCAGCTACTTTGTTCACCAAAGATCTGATCTTTGGCTCGTTAGCCCTAGTGCAGATCAGTCCCACGCCAGGAATAACGCAAGCCACTTCCTCTGAGTCTGCCAAGTAGCTGCGTAATGGATAAGATCAAAGCGCAACATCGATCGTAGCTGTAATAGCTAGAGGCTGTATTGTGTTCTCTTTTGTTTTGTTTGTTTCGCTCAGAGACTATGAATCATCGCCTAGCCGTTTGGCGAGTCAATCGCACAACAAAGTGGACATGGGTGACAGGCTTCCTCTAGAAGCTCCTGAAGCAGAGAAATCCGTACAGATGAGTTTCTCGCGGCTGCTACACAACTTCTACGCAACACCGAGCTTAACCTAAGTCAGGAGGACCAAGATGCCCTGTAGAAAGAACTCTTGGACCCCTTTTCGAGCAATGGTCTCACTTATGTCCTAGGTTACTTAGATTGAGGAGCACCGAGCGGCCGAATTGGGAAAAGCAGCTGTGAATATTCTACTCATATGGCTGCCCGTCTCGGTAGAATGGAGATACTCAAAACGGTTCTATCCTCTTCTACCTACGGCCAACTCTCTGCAAGCAATCAAGTCATCATAAGCTTGCAGGCTGACGAGTACAAGCGACAATGTAGATCTCATATTGAGAGAGAAGCCCCTAACAATCCTTCTTACAAACTGCTGTCTCAAAACCTTAATGGACAAGCGTCACTATTAGTGGCAATTAACGCGAATCGGACCATTGCAGTTGGATGGCTCTTGGAGCGCTTGCTGGAAACACAACACTTTCCTGGCCAAACCTCTCCAGTGGCTGGAGACTATGTTATTTAGGCACCGAGTTCAGTCATCAAATCTGGGCACCTTGGAATGCTGGTACTTCTTGCCAGCCTGTTGCCCAACTGGAGCTAACTGAGTTTCAAGGGGAAAGTACGCAAACGGATACCTATTTGCCAGCTTGTATTGCAGTCTAAGAGACTCGATATGGCTAACTTCTTTATCTCTCGATTGCCCAGCGTCCTTTTGAAACATCAATGGGAGCAGCGGCTATAGTATAGTATGAAGCTTTTGTACGTGAGATGGGAATTCTGTAGAGGCACACTAGTCGGTCTGGTAACTGGTTCAACTTCTATGGAGAACACTTCTTCAAAAGAGGTGATACTCAATTCCTGGCTTTGGGAATATAGAAACGGTACGCTAAAAAGTTGTGTTAACAAGGATATGAGGCCGAAGAACTGTGTGCAAAAGTATCCTTACTTTACGACTCCTGCGCAATAGGAGCGTCTCAGCCGAAAAAGAGCCTTGAATACGCAAAAAGCGCAAACTTTGATTAGCAGATCAAAAGTTGATGCTGATTGGCTCTACTAATAAGATTGCGAAGTAAGCCATTCTGGTGTTGATGTGGCAGTAATGTTGTAAAAGCATAGAAAGGAAAGAGCAACGTAGAAAGAGTAGCCACAAACCCTAACGCATTCAACCGCAAGAACGACAGAAATATACCTAGGTCACAACATAGATACCAGTGTAGTACTAGCTGTAAGAGATTCAGGGCTTGCTCTCAAGTCCTGTTGCAGAAGCGTCCGCCGTCATGAAGCCTCCGAGATCCTTCACGCCTGACAGATCTACGTATGTTGCGATAACTTCACTTCAACTTTCCTTTTCATATTACATGACTCGCCGTCTCGCCTGAATTTAAGGTCCGTCGCCCTCTGCCGCAGATTTGTCGTTCATGGGATACTCCATTCTGAGCCCACTTTTGTGCCCTGCCAATGCGCTTGCGCTCGTCGTCAAACCCGTTTGCGGGCCTGATTCCCAGCGTCCAGAGCATGCGGCGGATAATTACCGTAGCATGATTATACAACATTATCTGTCCCAAGCTGCCGTCTGGGCCCAGGCTAAATGCGTAGAATGCCGCGTTCACTTTGTCTTGCGCCCCCTTGTCTGGTACGGAGTTGCTCCCCCGTCAGACGGAGCAGGAACCCATCTCTCGGGCATGAATGAGAACGGCTCGTTGATGTAATCCTCGGAGTGTTGAAGTGCGTATGTGCCACGCCTAGGTCAGTCCCCTCAGGGAACAATTCAACGTCAACGACGACACCACCTTGCTTCACTGTGCGCAAAGGGATACCAGGAATGCTGGGGTCCAGACGCAGAGTTTCAGTGATGCAAGCTCGTAGGTAGGAACACGATTCCAATCGCTCTCCCATGCGAATGTCCTCGGCATCTCCGAATGTGTCCTGCAGCTCTTGCACGAGTATTCCCATGCACTCGGGGTTGTTAAGCAAGTGATTCGTAAGAGCGCTAATAGTAATGCGCATCGGATGTGAAGCCATGGACACTATGATCGCAGCCTCCGATCGTAAGTCTTCGCCTGTGAATGAATGTCCAGTGATAGGATCCTTGCCACTGATAACACGAGTCCAAATGTCCGGTGATTTTAGATCCACGGAACATGTAATGCGGTCGTCTGGTTGATCTGCACAGTATTTCTTGTATCTCATTATGCCATCGTTCAACTCCGAAATGAAGATGAGGTGCAGCTTCATCGTTAGGAGGAGAGGTATGAACGCCGTGGTGTTCAGCCCGCGCAAAGCATCCATGCTGAGACCCAAGAACGAGGGTTTTTTATTCAATCGTTGCGTCTCAAAAGACTTGCTGAAGACAATTTCGCCCATGGTATCAAAAGTTAGATATCTAACGATCTTACTGAGATTTCTCGCCGGGCTTTCTACGCTCAGCGACCACAAACCGCTTGTATATCCGATGACCGCAACGGAGTTACTCAACCTATTCGCTGGCCTTACCCTCAGCACGACGTAAGCCCAGGCCTACAAGACTCCTTATATCATTTCTCGCTTGCCAGCCGTACTCTTCTGGGTTTGGTTCAACTTCCTGATCTTCTGCGTCGGGAACCAACGACGTCTTTCGTCCATTTCCGAAGATCCAGTTAACAAGCCATAGAGACCTATCCCCTCGGGTCGAATCAGCTCTTCCAATGCCACCATTCTTTAGAAATCTCTTCACGTTGCTGTCCTTCTCAAGTGCGTCTACTTCAAAGCAACCTTCCACACGGGTTCGCTTCTGGCACTAGGATACATTCACAATGACTTAGACGGTGGAAGTTACCCAATGTTCCGGAACCTTATCAATACCTACGCTGTGGTCGCATTCACGCTGGGCGCGACGACCGTCGCCTACGCCGGCCAATCTTTTGCGCTGAGCGAGCAAGCGATGCAGTGGCATTGGGTGATCTGCGGCATAGTGTTCACAACTCTTCAAATACAAGATCTCTGCGACCAAGAGGGCGACCGAGAACGAGGACATTCCACGATCCTGACTGTGTGAGGCGATACTCTCGCACGTTGGAAAGATATTTTGCAAATGCTTGCATGGTCACTTGTCGTGCCAGCGTTCTGGAACTCGCCTTGGTGGGGGTTCCTTGGACCTTGCGGTGTTGGAGGGACGATCTGCGCTAGGGCGCTGCCTCTGAAGAGTGTTTTTGCTGACCGGAAGTCGTACAAGATGTTGGGTCTCTGGATCACTTGTCTCCTGGCTGTACCATCGATAGCTGTGGGCGCAAACTAGAAGTGCGGGTAGATTTATCATGATAGATGCTGGCGCATCTACCTATATTTAGGTGTCGGCTTCAGAGGGTCTAACTTGACCCAAAGCACTGCCGCTGAATAGCTAAGAATGCGCGCTCCCATTAGCTAGAACTTTGTCCCTGAGAAATGCTGCTGCGAGAAAGGCAAAGGATGTGTTGGTGTAGGTACGTTAATGTTAGGCAGGTGTGACACTGGTAGCATTTAGAAAGAGCGAGGGCAAGAACGAACAGTGCAAAACGCAGGAGCATGAAGAACATTTACTCAGGCAGACTCCTGTTAAAAATGGCGTATACTTCCAGTTCATGGTTGTTTACGAACCAAGAGACTTTCCTTATGAGTTGTATTGAGAATTGCATAGAATTGGAGCAGCGGCAACGTCAGACCAAGGTTCGGCCCGACCCATGAGGACAGTGCGCAGCCCCTCCCTTCACGATGGCGCAATACTTGGATGCGGTGCCTCTTGTGAAATCGAGAAAGCCGGACATAAGCATTCGACCACAACCTTCATAACACTACCTGAGTATTACGGCGTTGAAGACTGTCGCGGCCCCGCAGCGATACAAAAAGGCCGACCATTCTGACCTTTGGGTCCTAAGGTTATATACACCGCAACAAAGACCTCCAGCATACTCCATAGAAAGTGAGAATCGCTGATGATAATCCTCAACTCTGAGCCCTCTAGAGCAGCACTTTTGCTTTGGTACTGTCAGAGACGCTGTGCACAGCCTACTACTTCCAGGCTTCTGAGGTAGCAAAACCCGCACCACAAAGCATGGGGATTGATATGCTCGACTTCTCGCTCCCATGCTGGAGGCGGTTCAGCCATTGACTTCTCTTGATCTGAAGCATCTCGTAAGTGCCAAGCTCGAAGGTGTGCTATGAAATATCGCTTCGACCTGTAAGCACGATCTTCACAAGCTCTGGCTAGGCATCTGAAAGTGTCGTGTTGTTCCAAGCACCCTAGATCTTAACCGGCTTTGAGCAAAACTTGCAAGGGGAGTCTACTTCCTCAAGCCGATCTGGCATACATATCCACTCAGTTGCATTGTAACCGTGTACTTCGAGCTCGTGTCTTTTCCAGTCCGAAATCTAGAAAATGACTGTGAGCAAACAGTGCATCGGTAAATGTTGCGGGCCTCCTTCGCTGCCTTTCTACTGTCAATGAGGGAATCATTTGGGTTGGTTACGCCGGTAACAGTCTCAGACTTTACCAACCATCGTTGTCGGCCTGCATATTTCCCGTGTGTGCTCGGGGACGCTTGCTGAAGAGATGGTCCTTTCTTCGAAGTTCGTGGCTTATTGATCGAGGTTTCGTCTTCGCAGGTCTTTGGAGCGAGTTCTCATCTCCTTTGACGAAAGTCCAGATGCAGATAGGAGATCATTCATCTGAGCCGCATTGGGATGTGGATTGTGGAAGTTGTTCACGAACCACTCTCTCACTACGTATGCACCGCGTCTTGCCCTCCAAGCATATACATTGGCCCCGTGGTCCCTAAAGTAAAACAATATTCCGTGCATTCGTGCGCCCAGTTGAGACTGCTAGATCGTCCAGCCGAGCTTTTGTCGGTTACGGGTGGGATTCATTGTCCAAAAACCACTGTTTGATGGGCCAAGTGTCCGCTCTCAACATTCGCGACTTGCTGTTCTGGATATCATCGCTAGGCTGATCGCTGTAACATCTGAAGGGAAAGGCTCGACTTGCAGACATAAACGTGTACCCTGAAAGTTACCCATTGGCCATGCTGTGGTCTAGATAGCTTTTCAAGGTCACGTTATTGTGGTAGCCTGGATGAGAACGAACCTTGATCGAAGCCCAAAAACATAGCTATGTATGAGACAAATGAGACATTTTCGAGAGGAAAAGATGTCGACTCACTAATTGGACGGCCCCACTGTACACGGTATGCAAGGTACAGGAGAGCCATCTTGAAGACTGATCCGGCAGCGTAAAACGAATTGACCTCGAACGTGCATTCGCTTCTCACCGTTGTGAAGAAGTCAACGATAGGGACTGGGTCAACTCAAGGCGATTTGTGCACATGGACGCGCTCGGCGCGTGGTTCGGGTTCGCATAAAACGATGGTAAATGGGAGGTATTGGTTCAGGAGCGCAGAGCGGGAAGTCTCAACGCGTCGTCCAAAGCGGTTAGGGAGCCGAGACCCACAAACCAGCCATGTCTGGAAGCCACACCTTTTACCTGTGGACGTTATAACCTGAGGTCGCGGAACGTTGGTCGACATTCTTCCGCAGCAGAAAGATCGAGATGAAAGTAGATCGATGTTGCACAAAGCTATACAGGTATTTACAGGACGCTGGAAGTCATGATGCGACTGTTGCACCGTACTGATACGCAGCTCATAGAATGCGATCTCCTGAATATCTACAAAGCTTCGCAGTTGCTTGATAGCCAAATCTGGCAGCCTCTGTCAACATGTTGTGTCTTGCTAAGCTCGCATGCTACTTCTTGACATTTTCTTTTGTATACCTTTTATGGCTGACCTGGCCATACAGCATCAGCAATGCTCCTCACAAGCTGCAATTTCTTTCGCATGTCCTCGTAACCCAGCGAGTTACCCTCCGCATGCGATGCAAACCCACACTGTGGGCTGACACAGCACTGCTGGATAGCATCCTCGCGAGACTGACCAGTGCCCTTTGCAATCCAGTCAGCGGCCTGGTTGACGCGAGCGATCATCTCGTCCTTGCTCTCGAGCTCGGGGAACTTCGATGTAATCACACCGAGTACGACATTCTTGTTCTTGGGGAGGTGCGCAAGAGGCTCGAAGCCTCCGGCACGGGGGGTGTCGTATTCGAGGTAGTATGTGTCAACGTTCAGATCCTACAAAGGTTAACAAGGGTTCTTTCTTGGCAATGGTAAGCTCACATACCTGGAACAGTTTCTTGGCGATGTTATCGTAGGCACCTTCCGAGAAGTGACGGCTGCCCACGTAGTTGCCTCTGCAAAGATGAATGCCGAGGTGCATGTCGGATGGGCGTTCGAAACACTTGTTGTAGAACTTGACGTAGGCATCGAACATCTCATCGGCCGTCTTATCATTCTGATTGTCCGCAGCCCAGCCCTCCAACATGTCCTTCGAGCAGAAGTACGCGAGGTTGGGGTCGTCGATCTGAATGTTCCTGATGCCTTGCGAGTGCAGAATCTTCAGCTCCTCCTGGTATGCCTTCGCCACGTCCTCGAAATATTCCTCGTCGCTCGCATACACCTCCTCGGGGAAGCTACGTCCGTTCAAGTAGCGGAAGTGATACCAGCTGGGAGAAATCAAGGTAATCTTGATGTTCTTCCACTCACTCTCGGGGAGCAGGCTCTTCATCAGGTCGACCTCGTACTGGTTGCTCGACTTTCCAGGGTGGCTGATCTTGCCAACGCAGACAGTGACGTGGTTGGGGACCTCCTTTGCTTCCATAAAGGACTTGACATCAGGTGCATAGGGACGGAAAATGCCAGCATCGTAGCCCTTCAGAACACCTAGCTGAAGCTCTTTCATACCATTCAGGGTCTCGAAGAAAGTGCCCCAGAACATGTGCCTTTACAAAGTCAGCCGGGAGTGTGAGTAGGCCGAGCATCGAACTGACCTGGTGTACTCTCCACTAGAGACGACCTTGAGACCACAGTCTTGCTGGAACTTTACGACCTCTGCGACCGCCTTCTTCTCCAGAGGCACCAGCTCGTCTGGCTGGGCCTTGCCGGAGGCAACATCGTATCGCTTCTGAACAAGCTCCTGGGGTCGAAGGAGTGAGCCAACGTGCTCAGCGCGGAAAGGTGGGCTTCTCTTGATGGACGACATTCTCAATTGCAGTTCGAAGTGTTAGAGAAGAGGAATCGAGTTCAGACGAAAGCTGCCCCTCTTTCTCTAGACTGAAAGCCCCGCAATTGCATCCTGAATCGGACGCTCGTCTGATCCGTGGAGCATTTCAGCCTTGACGTTCAAGCTCGGGTGCCGCGCTCGGGTAAAGAGAATGGGGAGCGCAAAGAGCTTCGATTGGAAGGCAAAGCTGCAACGGCATTGTGCGATGAGGGATGCACACATCCGCAGGTCGAGCTATGGTGGGGCCTTGAGCTTGCCCCACACCGGCAGACCTCGTGCTCCAGCTTCGTTGTTCATGGCAAGCTGACGGACACGCAAAGCATGTCATCCTTTGACAAATATACGAAGTTTCGTTGCCAGACAATTGCTACTGCCTTTTATCGTCAACAAAGCTCAGGATATCACTGTATCGCGAAGAACATCTCAAGATGCGCCTGTTCCTTTGCTGCGGCGTCTACGTACACGTACCATTCACAAAGAAAGAAGAACCTACACACATACCTGGCACTGCCGCGCATGAGCTAGGTCAGCAATCAGCCATAGACCCTAAGACAGGCCGGGCGCGAGCCGACTTGAAGATGTGAAATGGAAGCTGAACACCACGCCAAGCGTCACTCAACGATGACGACAGCACATACATTTCGTGGACATTACGCAGATTGCAAGGGGTTTTCTGTAAGTAACGAATGAATGGCCTGTGTTGTCCGCGGCGAAGGCATTTAACACCGATGCTTCGGAAAGAGCTACCCCGCTAAGTGGGATGTCGAGCATACAAATGTCGCAACATCTCGCGCCATTGGAACTTGTAAGCGTCTTTATAGACTTTAAATACTCCTCGAATTCCTTCGTCAAATCATCACACCAAACCGAACGTCTTAAACTACTCTCACGATGACTCGCGTTCTACTCACTGGAGGAAGCGGGTTCATTGCCGCACACACTCTGGACATCCTCTTGGAGCGTGGCCACTCTGTGGTTACCACAGTCCGCACACAAGAAAAGGCCGATAAGATCAAGGAGCAATACAATGGAAAGTACGCGGACAAGTTGAGCTTCGCCATTGTTCCCGATATTGCGCAGCCAGGTGCTTTCGACGAGGCTGTTAAGTCAGACCCTCCATTTGAGGCCGTCCTGCACACAGCTAGCCCGTTCCACTTCAACGTCACCGACGTTCGCAAGGTTAGACTACTCAACATACATTGCAGGGGCTGCCACTGACCGTAGCAGGACCTGATTGACCCAGCAGTCGTTGGAACAACTGGCATCCTTAAGTCTATTAAGAAGAGCGCACCATCAGTAAAGCATGTCGTCATCACATCCTCGTTCGCCGCCATCATACAAGCCGACAAGGGCTTCTGGCCCGGCCACGAGTACTCGGAGGCCGACTGGAACCCGATCACCTTTGAGCAGGCGACCGAGAGCCCCATGTTGGGCTACCGAGCAAGTAAGACCTTCGCTGAGAAGGCGGCTTGGGAGTTCCTCGAGAAGGAGAAGCCCAACTTTACCATCTCCACTATCAACCCGCCGATGGTCTTCGGACCCATTGTCCACGCCCTCGACAGCCTCGACAACCTGAACACATCGAACGAGCGCATCCGCAACACTGTGCAGGGCAAGTTCAAGGACGAAATCCCCCCTTCAGGCGTGCACTTCTGGGTCGATGTACGTGACGTCGCAGAGGCTCATGTCAACGCGTTCGAGAAGCCAGAAGCCGCGAACAAGCGATTTTTCGTTACCGCTGGCTACTTCTCGAACAAGGAGATCACACAGATCATCAAGAAGAACTTCCCACAGTACAAGGACCTGCCGAGTGACTCGACACCTGGCGGGGACTACCCTGAGGGCACACCGGACAAGGGTCTCTACACATACAACAACAAGCGCTCAATCGAGATCCTGGGGTTGAAGTACAAGCCTCTGGAGCAGTCTATTGTTGACTCGGTGAAGTCGTTCCAGGCAAAGGGCTTGTAGTTGTTACACAAGGGACGTCGTCACAACACGAGCTTTGGAAGGCGCGATGAAGAAGTAGATAGCATTGATAGACTGTAAACTGCGTTTGTATATCGTAAACGGGCGATGAAAAGCCTTCAATTCCTGCGACAAATAGTGTCAGCGTATGTTGTCATGAACTTGTGACAAGAATAGCAAAGTACGAATAGCAATCAGCCTGTTGAGCTTGAATATTTTTTGAACTTCATCGTCGTTGACTCGGAAGTTATCGTTTGAAGTGTTGATCATCATAATACAGGAAGTGGAAGAAATGGTTGCTACTTACATTGTGGTATCAATCAGCAACTCGCACGCTTGAACGCTGCAAAAAACGACTCAACGCATGTGTGCTGTACCTAGAGCTTCATACGAGGCCAAGGACGATGGCAGCGTGGGGTCTGCTGTGCGAACGCGACTTTCGAGGCAGGACCGGCGCAACAATTGGAACAACCGGCTTCATGGTGTCCCCGCAAGGTGTTTAAGCGGCTGAAAGCTCCAGGGCACCTGGTGCAAAAGTTACGTCTGAGTACCTTTGGTCTCTACCTGTGGAACTCAGACCAGCCCATAGTTGTTGTGTTGGGATTCTTGTGCTCTGCTATGGTCGTGTGTGGAGGTGGAGGAGAGCGAAGCGCGTCGACGAAGAAAAGTAAGCAAGCGCGGAGGTTTCTCGGACCGATGCTGGTCGCTCCTGCCTGCCCCACCAGACATTGCCAACAAGCAAGACAACCTTTTGACTGTGCCCAAAACAAGCCCAACCTGTGACAACATCAGCCCCTCAGCCTTTGTGCGCGACTTCAGCAACACACCTCTGAACTTTTTCAGTTTCAAGCTCCAAATCTAGCAAGATGTGTATGTTTGTATCTATCCCGCATCAAGCATGCAACAAGACTGACTGCAAGAAGCTTTCGAAGAAGTCGGCAGTACGTATGCCGCAAGGCCCCGGCACAAATCGCACCCGATCAGCTGAAAGTGTGCGCTGCATTTCGGACTGCGGCTGATCTCCAACACAGAGCAGTTCGTCGAGTACTACTACAAGACCTTCGACGAGAACCGCGCTGCTCTTGCCCCGCTCTACGTATGCGCATCACAACCATGACCTACGGAACGCAAAGACTGATGCTTTGGACAGCGCGACCACTCCATGCTTACATTCGAGGCCTCTGGTATCCTGGGAACAGCGGCTATCGTTGAGAAGCTCCAGGTGAATCTCATCTCAGGCTGAAGGTTGAACTTGGCTGATTTCCTTAGAACTTGCCCTTCCAGCAGGTTCAGCACCGCACCGACACTCTCGATGCCCAGCCCTCAGGCCAGAACGGTGTTCTCGTCCTGGTGACCGGCGCACTCCTTGTACGTGCAGCACAGAGCCTTGACGGGGTCCAGCTAACGATTCTCAGGTTGAGGGGTCAGACAGGCCCATGAGCTTCACCCAGGCTTTCAACCTCCAGCAGGAGAACGGAAGCTACTACGTCCTCAACGATGTCTTCCGCCTTGTATACCCTGCCGCATAAACGCCAAGCCCTGCGGCGTTCGAGACGATTGACGATGACATTTTGATTTCTGGAGTATTTTCGCGAGGAACGGCATGATACGTAGGGTAGGAAAAGGTGGTGGAACAGTTGCTTGACACTGGCCGTGGACCACAGCGCATTGGATTGTGCTGTTTCAACGGCCTGTGCCACGGTTGTCGTCTAGACGCGGGACCACTGACGATATGTAGCACCGCTAGACTGGCTGCAATGCATGTGCGTTTGGACACAACCGTCCTTCTCCAACCTCTCGGCTCGTCCCGCAACAATTATCCGCGCTCAAACGCTCGTGTTGCTCATATCCGAGCCTTTTCCGGTCATGTGATGGAGGATGAGCTCTTAGCCGGCGTTTCTCCAGAGCTTTCTCCGCCCCGCGCTCACTTGCCGAAGCTCCAAATCGGAGCTCTAACATCGCCGCCATGGCTTCTTTCCGTGGTGAACCTCGACGCTCTTTCTTTCTACTCGCCTCTCTGACCTTTCTGAATCTCTCTCCTATACCACCAAAAGTGTCTTGAATACCCATCTCTGCTGTTAACGTTTTATTACCTACACCATGGCGTTCGTCCAGAAGGGCATCAAGAACATCCTCCAAAAGAACCCTAACGATGTGGTCATTCTCTCAGCACTGCGAACCCCGGTAACAAGGGCGAAGAAGGGAGGACTGCGCGATGCATACGACCATGAGATGCTAGGTGCCGTATGTCAAATCGGCCACATATTCAGACCTGTCCTAACATACTCGTAGGTCCTCAAAGCTACAGTCCAGAAGTTCCCGAACCTCGATCCCGCAAAGATAGACGACATCTGCGTCGGCACAGTCCTCGCTGAGCTCGGTGGCTCAAAAGCTGGCCGCATGGCCGCCAACCACGTCGGCATCCCCACAACCACATCCTTCAGCACCGTAAACCGCGCCTGTGCCTCCGGTCTCTCCGCCATAACCTCAATCGCAAACTCCATCGCCGTCGGGCAAATCGACGTCGGCATTGCAGGTGGCATGGAGAGCATGACACGCAACTACGGCACGCGAGCAATTCCCGTCGAGCTCTGGCCCGAAATGAAGGACAGCCCGGTGAAAGAGGCTCGCGATTGCATAATGAACATGGGCATCACGTCCGAGAACGTCGCTTCCCGTTACAACGTCTCGCGCGCCGACCAGGACGCTTTCGCCGCTGAGTCGCAACGCCGCGCCGCCAAGGCACAGTCCTCGGGCGTCTTCGATGAGGAGATTGTACCAGTTACGACAAGATGGATCGAGCCCGAGACGCCCGAGAACGTCAAGGAGGTCACCGTTACGAAGGACGATGGGATCCGCGCAAACACCACCGTTGAGAAGCTTGCGAGCATGAAACCAGCGTTCAAGAGCGACGGAACTAGCACCGCAGGAAACTCCTCGCAGGTCTCCGACGGCGCGAGCGCAGCGCTCATGATGCGCCGCTCCGTCGCCGCCTCGCTGGGCCTCACAGACCACATCATCGGCAAGTGGGCGGGGACGCAGGTCATCGGGTGCCAGCCGGATGAGATGGGTATTGGGCCCGCTTTGGCGATCCCGAAGTTGCTCGATTATGTAGAGGTTAAGAAGGAGGAGGTGGATATCTGGGAGATTAATGAGGCGTTTGCGAGCCAGGCGCTGCACTGCATCAGGACACTGGGATTGGAGAATAGCATGGACAAGATCAACCCGAATGGTGGTGCAATTGCGTTGGGTCACCCGCTGGGAGCTACGTCAGGACGAATGTTGGCGACGATGTTGAGCGAGATGGGACGGAATGGTCAGCAGGTTGGTGTTATCAGCAAGTGCATCGGCACTGGTATGGGTATGGCCAGTTTGTTCGTAAGGGAGTAAACCCGAGAAAAGGCAAAAGCAAAAGTAGCACTGTGCAATATACCAGACATTCAATTTCCCTCACCAATCTCTTGAACTATGATTATAGAAAACGGGTATCGTAGATGCTCAAACACCGAACTCCTCATCCCATGCAACACTCGAACGTTTTCTCATTCATCTTCGATGCCACCCTTGGCCTTGGCCTTCTTCTTCTTGCTCCTCTCAGCGAGGATCTCGTCGAGATAGCTGGTCGGTTTCGCTCTGCTCTTCTTGACGCGTTTCTTCGGCTTCAGATCGATGTCATCATCTGAATCGTTCTTCGGCGTTTGTTCTGTTTCTGCGTTCTTTGAACTCTCCTCAACTCTGTCTTCTGCAACCTCTGGCTTGTCCTCTACGACAGTCATTGGCTTAGACATTGGTTTGGTGCCATTTGCCGTCTGGCGCTTCGAGGTAATAGTCGCAGCTCTGCCCTCCTCTTCGTCTTCGCTCTCCTCGACTTTTTTCGCTTCCTTTTTTTGCCGCCATGTTGGCTGTTGGCGTGCGCTTGCTCGCTCTGCTTCTTGTTTTGCTGCGAGATGCGCTTTTGCACGTTTCTTGCCAATCAGCTGTTCAAGTAGCTTGTCGTTGGATGTTGGTGCTCTTCTTGTGAAACTCCCATCTGCTATGTCTTTTGGGATCGCTGAGCCTACGCCAAGCCTGCAGACATTAGTATCGACACCATGTCCTGTGCGGCTGATAAGATGTACCTGTCGTGCCCAAAGTCGGCCTGCTTCAAGTCTGCATCTTCATCTTGGGCGTCTGAAACATTATTTGTAGAAGGTGCGGCTGTTGGTTCAGCGCCCATCCAGGATGCTAGCAATTTCGAACTTTTGGCATTCACAAGACTGAACTTGTTCCCCAGCACATCGTCGAAGTCGTCTTTCTTCGCCATCCTGGATTCCTAGCTCTTGTTTAGTGAACCTCTTTTACCCGCAGCACGTAGTTCTGTATGAGGTAACCTCCCGGCCGGTATCGAATATTTCGCGGAACTGAACTTCAGGAGTGTCCGTGCGGCCGCGCTAGGGACCTCCACAGCGAACCTTGAAGCATAGCAACAAGCCTTCAGCTCCATCACCTCCCCTTCTACTACGAGAGAAGAGCCTGCGTGTCACCCACACAAGACGCCATGTACAACATCGCCCGCGCCAGTCGGCCGATGGCCAGCGCCGTCCGCGCAGCCTACGTGAGTGCAGCGACAGTGCTCCAGGCCCCAAACAGCCTCTGACGCCAGCTTGCATTGCGATTGAGGAGCGAGCTAACATGGGAGACAGACACCATTGAGGCAGTCCGCTGTCCAGCAGAGACGATGCTTGTCGATACACGAATACCGGTCCGCCGCGCTGCTCGAGTCGGTACGAATAAACCCTGTCGAGGGCATCCATGCGCAAGCTAACTGAAGGCTGCAGTACGGCATTGGCGTGCCCAAGGGCGGTGTTGCGACCAACGCTGCGGAGGCCGAGAAGATCGCCAAGGAGATTGGTAGGTGATGGGAGGCAGGCGTTGTGTTGTGAGGGCAGGGCTAATGCGCGCGCAGGCGGTGACGATGCTGTTATCAAGGCCCAGGTCCTCGCTGGTGGCCGTGGAAAGGGCACCTTCGACAACGGCTTCAAGGGCGGTGTCAGGGTCGTCTACTCGTATGCTACATACACTCCCCCGCCGGCGCGATGGTATACTGACAGCAGTGCAGCCCCCGCGAAGCCTCCATCCTCGCCGACCAGATGATCGGCCACAAGCTCATCACCAAGCAGACCGGAGCCGCAGGTCGTCTCTGCAACGCCGTCTTCATCGTCGAGCGCAAGTTTGCGCGCCGGGAGTTCTACCTCGCCATCCTCATGGACCGCGCCTCGCAGGGCCCCGTCATCGTCGCATCGTCGCAGGGTGGCATGGACATCGAGACCGTGGCCAAGGAGCACCCCGAGGCCATTATCACCACCCCCATCGACATCCACGTCGGTGTCACCGACGAGATCGCCCGCAACATCGCGACCGAGCTCGGCTTCTCCGAGCAGTGCATCGAGGACGCTAAGAACACCATCCAGAACCTGTACAAGGTCTTCACCGAGCGCGATGCTACCCAGATCGAGATCAACCCCCTGTCCGAGACCACCGACCACCAGGTCCTCGCCATGGACGCCAAGCTCGGCTTCGACGACAACGCCGACTTCCGCCAGAAGGAGGTCTTCGAGTGGAGGGACGTCACCCAGGAGGACGCTGATGAGGTCAAGGCCGCCAAGGTCGGCCTCAACTTCATCAAGCTCGACGGCGACATCGGCTGCCTCGTCAACGGTGCCGGCCTTGCCATGGCCACCATGGACATCATCAAGCTGAACGGCGGCTCGCCCGCTAACTTCCTCGATGTTGGAGGCGGTGCTACCCCTGAGGCTATTCGCCAGGCTTTCGACCTCATCACCTCTGACCCCAAGGTCACTGCCATCTTCGTCAACATCTTCGGTGGTATCGTCCGCTGCGACGCCATTGCCAAGGGTCTCATCCAGGTCGTTGAGAGCATGAACCTTAAGACACCTGTCATTGCCCGTCTGCAGGGTACCAACATGGAGGCGGCGCACAAGCTGGTAAGTCAAGACCCTCGACACAAGCCACGCGAGTGTCACACCACTGCCTATTGTAGTATTCTTGAACTATGCTAACACGTTTGACAGCTCAACGACTCCGGCCTCAAGATCTTCTCCATCGACGACCTGCAAGCCGCTGCCGAGAAGTCGGTGCAGTTCTCCAAGGTTGTCAAGATGGCGCGCGACATCGACGTCGGCGTCGAATTCACTCTTGGTATTTAAGCTTCCTCGCTTTTGTCGGCAGCTGTTTACCTCCCTACCTACCTACCTACCTCCTCCCGCTTGATTTAGATTGGTGACACGTTTCCAGAAGTGTCATGATCTATTGTATCATTGTATAGTCTATTACCCATGTTTTAGTTGAACGAGCGTATATGTCTGCGCAGGATTACATAAATGCATCATGTTCAAGTCTCGATTACTAGCTTGGGGTTGACCCGTTGTGGAGAATCCTACATGCCGCGTTGCGTTGCGTTGTGTTGCATTGCTATTGAGCTATCGTTCACGCCTGGTTTGAGAGTCCCGCGTTCTGCATTGCGCTGCGTTGCTGTTGAATTCCACGCACGCCCGCCCAGCGTTCAGTGTCTGATCACGGCTGACGTTTATTACTGATCATAACCAGGGCTTTAACGACCCATCGAGATGAGGGAAGCAAGCAGGACGTGTATTCTTGGGGACATGGTTTTCCAGCTCAAGGGGACGAAGATCGAGCTTGCAACTTGCTTTTCACAGACATGCAGCTTCTCTCAATCTGCTTCTTGTCGCCGTCATCAAAGCTCAGGAATGCCTTTTCGTTCTTTGCGTACGAGTGCAGGCTAGCAATGCCACCAGCGTTTCCACGACACATGACTCCGCCAACGTCTACTTTTGACGGGCTAGGCGCACACTTATGAGATTACGATCGGTGTATTTTCGAAAGGCAGACAGACTCCATGACGTGAATTTCGCGGGTTTTCAACCAGGATGGACAGGCGCTCCACACTCTTCCATCGCAGCGATTTCGTGACAGCCAGCACCAAACTCCATGCCCGGCGGCTTGACAAATTTCGAAAGGCAGAGGCACACAGCCCATATAGGAAGTCTTCAATGGGTTTTCGAGGAGCAGAAGCAGACACTCTATGGGTGTTGGACTGAACCATTTTCTGAGTGATTTGGGGGCAGGAAGACTAAAGAGAAGAAGTGAGCGAGCCGGGCTGCAGAGTATATATCCTCGCGTCCTCCCTACGTCACCTGATCCGAGAAGCAAGCGAGCCAGGCATGCCCAAGGATGACGACGTATCTTTGCAAACAGCTGGAGAAAGGCCCACATCCAAACGCCCCAGGGAGCTCTTTAGACGAATACCAAATGCCATCGCACGCCTGCATATGTTTTTCTAGGGAGCGACGAGACGGTACTCCATATCATATGTCTGAGTTCGGTCTTGACAGAGAGGCAAGAGCAGCACCCCATTCTGGTTCAGAGAGAAGGCAGATTGAAGAGGAACAAGCAGCTCTACTTAGGCAAAATTAGCGTGCTCATGCGTCAGGAGTGTAAGGTGAGAGAGTAAAGTGAGAGAGTCTCCACGAGTCGGAGTGTTTGCCTTCGCTTGGCATGTACCGTCGGGAAGCTACGAAGGTGTTACGTAGCACCTCGACTTTACGGAAAGAGTAATCTCGTCTCTGAAACACGAACCTTGATCGCAAAATGTCTCAATTAGCACAATGCAACAGCTCTCATTGATTCCTCACTAATAAGATCTCTTCAGCAGTCAGGCCAGGCTCAACGGCTACTCACAACATAGTCGTCACGCTCACTTGTACTTCCACCCGTTGACAGCCCTCTCCTGCCACTCCGCCTCCATATCCTCGGCGCAGCTCTGGCAAACAGCTACGCGGCACACAGCGATCTCACACTCCCAAACGTTCTCGTCACAGTCTTCGCTGCACTTCTCGCAGAGCACAGGAATCTTCACATGCTGCTTGACACCGGTGTAGGTCTGCAGATAGGGCCTAACTTCCAAGCTGTTGATGACGGCATTGTCTGGGATTGCCTTCAGGTCGACAGGGTGGAAGATGTGGCCATTGTTGATGCATTGATGTTTCTGGATCTGCTTCGGGAGCTTGAGTGAGTCGGAGCGTGGCTTGATCGGAGGGGTGGGCAGGGCCTCATCGCTTTTAGGGAAAGGTGCTGGCGGGGTCTCCTGGTCGGCAAGAACGTCTGGGTCGACACGAGTGGAAATGGGCCGCTGTTCAGTGCTGTTGTAGTCCGAGATCCAATTTTGAACAAGCAATCGAGACTCGTTCCGCGTCAACTTCGACTTCTTGGGCTTTGTGCTACAGTCCGGATCTTCGTGGTGGTAGTGAGTGACAGTAGGCTGCATACTTATTAGTAATGGAAAGAGCATGATGGGGGTATGAAGCAACTTACACTTGCTGGAGGGATGTTCTCAGCACAAGCAGAAGCGGTGGCGTTCTTCTTCTCGCGTTCGACAAGTGCGAGCTTGTCAGGAACATGAATGTTGCTGCCGACGTAGGCTACTGGCGTCTTCTTCCTGGGTGGAATGTCTACGAGCTTCACCATTCCTGGTGTGATCCTGGTGAAAGTCATCGCCTGCGCCTCATGCACCGTAGGGTCTTCGTCAAGGTCAATGCTGCTGCTGAGCGATATCAGGTCTTCGTCGTCTTGGATACTGTCCTCACCAGGCGTCGGCTCTGGTTCCGTGCAAACACATTCTGCGTTGTCATCGCTCTTGAAATTGAGCTTGAGTCGCTCATGCTCGCGCCTCAGTACATCGATCTCGGCATCCATTGCCTGCTTCTCGGCTTCGACTCTGGCCAGTGTCATTGTGCGAGCTTCGAGTCGCATCTCTTCTTCAGTCGCGTCGAGGTAAGCATCTTCGACACTTTGCAGAGGGCTGCGGATATACACAGTAGTAGAGTCTTGCCAACGCACTCGCTTCACGTCAACTTTGGTGCCAGGGTGTACAAGGTTATCGTCTTCGTCGGTGACTCCCTCATCGTAGAATTCGTCCGTAGGCGAAAGGTCTGCTTCGTCAAGCTCGAATGCATCATGTGGGGGCAAGGTCGTTTCAGTGTGAGATTGAGGCAGCACTGGGGCCCTGTGCGGAGGATCATCGTATTCATACTCAGAGATGACACCTAGCTCGGTCACGTCTTCGCCTTCACGGTAAGCTGGGCGAAGTGACTCAAATGAGGCCTCTGTTATAGGCGACATACGCTGGAAGTCCTTGGGGCTCTTCCTGCGCACACGGGTACGCTTCGGTACGGCGAGCACAGGTCGGGGCGCAGCCGGAATGCGGAACCGTACTTCCTGGAGGCCGCTGTCGCTGCTATAACCGACATTATCGTCTTCTTCGTCAAGATCAAATCGTGTTATCGCAGTTGTGGTTTGCTGTATCGGCGCGCGCCTTGGGCCTGCGAATTCTGGAATGAGCATGCGGAGCCCTTTGTTGGCGCTTGTCTTGCCAGTCTTCGTTGGCTTCGGCTCGTCAGGCTCTACGTCTTCTTCTCTGAACTTAGTCTGTCGGGCTGCACCTGTCTTCAATCTGGTTAGCAGGGGCAGTGAGTGTTGCTTCTTAAGTTCTGGTCTAACCGGAGCCCCATCGTCAGAGATGCTATCATCCTGGAATTGGGCGCGACGTGGGCTTTCTGTGACCGTGGGCTTCGCTTCGAGACCGAAGAACTTTGCAGCCTTTGATGGTGTGGTCACGGGCAATGGCGACGTTACCACTTGAGTGTGAGGAGAGCTGTTCGGTCGATCGAGGGCCTTGGGCTTCTTAGTGCCAAACAGGCCTTGTTTCTTCTTGCTGTCGGTTGCTGTGAGCTTGGGCGAGGACGTGACTGGACCGTCTGCAAAGAATATGTATGGCGCACCAGACCTAGACATGTCAGTCACGCTCCTCCTACTCTCGACTGCTGGGTAGTACTTACTTCACGGCACCACTTGGCGGATAGAACTGCATCTTGTCTTCGAGTCCTTCAGGCTCTTGTCGTTTCTCGCGTTGGTGTTGATCGTAGCTGTCCTCTGACTGTCGCTCTTTCACATAACCCGAGCCCACACTACTGACACTGCTCACCAGGCTGGCGGCCGCTGAGTCTGGATTCAATACAGGCATAGTGCTCGATCGTGGTGGACCTCCGTTTGCGCGGTTTCGGCGGACCAGTTTGCGTCGTTGACCTCCAACCCATTGGGCAGGGCAGGGCGGCGTGTTCTTCTTGGTACCCGGCATGGTGGGCCTCGATGAATGGTAGCCTCGAAATGGAAGGTGCGATGCTGCGTTTGCAATGTGACGAGACAAGCTCAATGGCGTTTCGTCGATGGCGTGGGGTTGTGTGACGGTCTAGAGTGTATGCGAAGAAAGTAGAGACAGCTTTGTTGCGGACAAGTCGCCTGCAAACAGAGAATGTGGGGCAATGGTGAAAGTGAATGTGGAAAGAGCAACTTCGAGGTGACGTCGTTGGAGCAACACTGGGAAAGAACCACAGAGATGAGGAGATTGAGGTGAAAGAAAGACGTCACGGCTTGAACTGAGGACCAGGAGACTGGAGAAATGTTTGTACAAACCATGTATCAAACTCTGGGTATATCTTAACCGTAACCATGCAACCGTCCTTCCATGCAATCGATCCAAATGCAACGTTAGTCATGCCCAAAAACACCCATACTACGAGCGCTCTCTATCCTTCGCCGTACTCATTGACCTTGCAACCTGCTCAGTCACTCCACTCCCACTCCTTACTCTGTTGGCATCAGGGCTACCTTCCAGCGATCGCCTCAAGCCCACGTCGCTGAGATGGAGTGATGGACTGCCAGGTGGACTTGTAGCGACTTGATGACCTGCAGGAAGGACAGCTTGACCACCCAGCGGCTGTTGCGAGTCCGGCTCTTTTGTTGCTTTGCTTGGCTGCTTTGGACTCGCACCTAAGCCTCGATGTATGTCGAAGAACGGTGTTGGCTGAGCCTCCGCAGGTGCGCCGTGCAAGAAGTCAGAGATTTCTGCGTCAGTCGTTCCTGTACTGTTCGGCGTGCGAGGTGGATTTGGAGATGTCGGAGTTCTGGCACCGCGCGGATAGCCGAGCTGCAGGAACTTTTGAACTGCACTGCGCTCGTCATTATCGTCGTCTTCGTCGCTCGTTGCACCATCGAAGTAGTTGTCCCAATCGGCCGAGCTAGTGCTGCGAATAGAGTCCGCAGTATTCATACGCTTCGGCGATCTAAATGAGTTCTCAAGTGGCGCTAGCTCGTCGCAGACCTCCCTAAGTTCGCTTTCTGTACGCTCAATGGGTGGCGCCAAGTCTTCTTGTCCCTTCACGTGTTCGCCATCCTCCTTCACAGGCACATCGACACCCTTGGCGCGATCGAGAGCGGGCTCTTGTTCGTCGCGAGTTTCCGCAGAGTATGTAGCGGCAAAGTGAGTGTCGCAGAGATGTTTGACGACCGGCCAACCATACGCATTGGCGAACATACGGCGTACAACGATGTTGTTGTGTGCGTCGGGCTCGAGGCGAACAAGAACCTTGCGCCATGACAGATCTTTGTGATACGCGCGGGCAATCTTCTCTTCCACTCGCATGACGCCCTCGTCAGCGGTAGCAAGCGACGCCTGCGACTTACTGCTCTCGCCGGAGAAAGTACGACTGGCATTCCTTTTCCTTGCAGGCGGTGGTGGTATGTCTTCTGGGTGGTACACACGATCGTGGAAGATAGTGCGAGCACGAGTGGAAGGGTCGACGATCCATGATGTAGGGGGTACAGGTGGATTAATGATGTCTCCTGCAGACTCGAAAATTGTCGTCTTGGGTGGTGCTGCTGAGTTCTTTGATGGGTCGAGTGTAGAGTCACCGCGTGATGCTAGTGGTCGTTTTCGTTGCTGCGAGCCTTGTGATGATGCCCCTTCAGCTGCACCATCCTGCTCGTCGTCGCCCTTATAGATGGTCTGACTGCGTGTGAACATCTTCTTGTCTCTTGAAGTATGCTTGCCTGTAGGCCGAATATAACTCCACCACTGCATCAGAGTGTTCTGCGGCTGGAAGTACTGATCGGAAACTGGCACACCTGGGTTGCCTTGTACCGTATCGTCTGGATCATGTTTCTGCCCATCCAGGAATTGGTGAGCTGCAGGTTCCGAAGCCGTTACCTTATCGTCTTCGTTGGTGACATCTGCACCTGGCAGAGGGACAGCAGTGTCGTCGCCGTTCCCGGATGGAGAGTCGGTCTCGTCATCCTTGTCTGGGAAACCTATCCTCGAAGGGTTTGGCGATGAGTTCTGACCTGTCAACTGACTGAAGCCCCACACAGCAACACTCCCAATGAGCCCGTTCTCTCGACGGGCCTTCTCGACTTTGCCCAGACCTCGCCAGTCCAAAAACAAGAGACAGCTGGTCCGAAGTGGCACGACACCATCATTGACAACATTCGAGTACACGGTACGATTCCTGAACATGCGCAGCACCACGTGAGCCGGTCCAGTCGGTAGGATCCGGAGGAGTGGCTTAGTGCCGGGGTCTTCCTGCTCTTGATGTTGCGACTGCCCACCGAATCCACTGACCATAGCAGTCCATCCACTCTTGGCCAATGTAGGAGCTCTCCAAGTTAAACCCAGGTCCTGTCCTGTCCTGCCTACCAGGCCAAAGTCCAAGGCGAACTTGACATACATTGGGTTTTCGTTACTGAGACCTAGCATAGGTGACGCCATGGCGATGAAGTTGATGGGTTTGATGTGCTCGAAAAACTTGGGTGAGTGCTTATAGATGTATGCTATAGCGTAGGTCTGGACGAGTCCTCCGAGAGAATGGCCGATGAAGCTTATGCTGGTGAACTTGTATGCTCGCTTTTGCTTATGTGAATGAGGCTTGAAGTGGATGCCACTTCCCTCATGTGCCGGTACACCTTCATCCGGCTTGTCCTTGGTCGGCGAGAAGAGATTCAGCTTCTGCCCTACAGATTTCTTAATTGGTAAGTATGGCTGATCCGGATATGTGAGTCGCAGCACGTGCTTAGCAAGCCGCTTCCCCAGGTACTGGATGCCACGCTCAGTGCGCACAGCATTGCCGCCGAAGCCGCGTACGATTACGTCTTCTTCGTCCTCATCCTCCTCCTCATCTGGTATGTCTTCCTGGCCACCAGACAGGGGTGCTGTGGATGTATCTTCCTTGCTTTCGTTCTTTGGCTTCTGCCCTCTTTGCTCCTGCCGCCGTCTCCGGCAATCTTCACGGGCCTGCTTTGCGGTCGCATCAATGCTCTCCTTCAAGTACAGCATGTCGGCTCCAAGGTTGCTGTGCAGCCCATGCGTGACCATGACGAGATGGACGTTCTTCTGCTTGCGGGTATCCTCTTTCTGCTCGTGCTCAACATCCTTCGACTTGCGCCTGTCAGCATGGCCCTCCTCATCTTTGTACTGCGGTAGTTCCGGCTTGTTCCACAGACTCGTCGTGTCGTCAACAACCAACTTGATCGCCTTGGAGAAGACGCCCTTCGGCTGCGCAGGGTGATTCGATGTATGTGACCTCTTCCCTTGCTGGTGATCCTGGACTTTCCCTGGCGTTCCAGAGCTGTTTCCTGTAACAGCCGTGAACCCAAGGTCGAGTGACCTCTCGTCGCGGGCTACCAGCAGCTCGTAGCTCACAGAGGCTGAGTTGGAGAAGATGATCTGGGAGTCGACCTCGATTATCCATGTTGCGCTTTTGGGGGTGCCATCGAAGTTCCTCCACTCGTCGCCTTGTCTGATGTGTTCGGGCACCGTCAGCCTGGCATTCCAGTAGCCGCCAGCCTTCAAATTGGGTTCAAACTCGGGGACGCCGTAGGCCTTTGGCGACTCGACTTTTTTATTCGGGTTGAAGGTGGAGGGATATGCGGCGACGTGGACGGTGTAGGGACCGTGGAGATAAGCGGCTCGCAGCGGGAGAGCGGACGTGTTGCGTATGCGGACATGGAGAAAGGCAGGCGCAGGGAGGATGCGGTCTTCGCTGGGGGTGTATGTTACCGTGTACCTGCATCACATGTCTTAGCACTCGATGCGACCAAACTGGGGAACTTCCGCGGCCATCTTGAACCTACCGCACGACCTCGCCCACCTTAACGCTGCCCGTCTGGTGGAGCAGCAACATTCTGCGCGCGTGGTGTTCCTCGGCCTGAATCTCCCTCTGCGACGGCGTTAAGAGGAAGTATGAAGCCCCAGGGCTGCACGCGGTTTGGGCGAGGGAATAGGTGCGAGGCGTGAGCAGCATTTAGCGGCCTTAGCAACTTGCGGTAGCGGGCGGGCGCTGACGATTACGGGTCCTCGCGGCGCGTCATCAGCCGTCCCTGCCTGTGAGAGGTCGGTCTTGGACTACCCTGATGTTTATGCGGGGCCGCAGGAAGGTGCTGGGTGGGTTATAGAGGTTGTTTGGCTTGTTTTGCTGCTGGTCACATGTAACGCGAAGAGATGAGGTGCGTCATTGCTCGCGTGGCCGTCCTCCCTGTCTTCATCGCATGCCTCATCATCTTGAAGACCAAACTCGAACATTTACATGTTGTGAGCCCAGCTTGCACGAGACCTCAACACGGACAATCAAAGACGATAGACAAGACAAAGCGCGTGCAGGGAACGAATGCGTGTCGAACGCCGTTTTCACATCCATCCTTGCCAGAACGTGCTTGGGTCGCCCTCACTTCATCGCCAGCACATCCATCATCTTCTCAGAGAGGTCGCCGGAGTTGCAATGCTGAGCTAATCGCAGACGATTCTTCGAGCACCTGTTTGGAAAAAAAATATAGCTTTGCTATCGAATTGAAGAAGCCACACAACCGCGTCCTGTGAAGTACTTCAACACCTCTGGAGCGACAACATGAACACACAAAGAGTGTCAAGACATTTACACAAAAATATTAGAGGTATACTCGTTGCATGTTTTCATTGCCTTCCACCTTTTGAAGTCTGTTGTGAAATGTCATCCACTTTTCTTGAATCCTGTTCGAGGACATTTCAAACGCCAAAGCACTCCGGACGCCATCGCTAATTGTCAATTTCTGATCGTACCTTCTCATATATAATTACTCTTTCTTCGACGCACTGGACCCACCAACGATGCCAGCGCCTGAGCGGCATGGAGTCTTGGACGCGCCTTGGGAGCCAGCATCTACACACTGTCAGCAAGCCACAGCGACATCTACGAGAAGCGAACGTACCATCTCTGGAAGAAGACTTCTCGAAGCCAACGTCGAACACTTCGTCGTCGTTGTCGTCGTTGTCAGCGCCTGGACTCGTTAGATCCTATCAACTGCTACCCCAAGCGCTGGAGGACCCACCATTCATCAACCCCTCATCCCTCGTAGCCTCCACTCCAGCAGCTTCCAGGTCTTGCTCTGCGATGGCGACCTCCTCAAAATGGTCGGAGAATGCAGCGTTTGGGTCTTGCTTTTTCCTCCTGAAGATCACCTTGCGGCTGTCGACGACTCTCCAGATCTGGTAGCCCGTCTCTTGGTAGTAGATGGCTTCGGTCTTGGTGCAGGTTTGCCACTTGACAAGCGGGTCGAGAGTGGTGTTGACGATGTAGGCCGGCTGACCGGGGTTCTCGGTGAGGTTGAACGACCACTGCGCAGTCTCGCGTGAGTGGCCGTTGCCGAATGGCGGGAGAGCTGTATCAAGGTGAGTAGCGACTGTCTGACTGTATTGTATAGCTGTTACTTACCCATGGCGGCGCCGGCGGGTGGAAATAAGGAAGACATGCTGACTAGATACCGTCGAAGTTGAGATCTCGTTCAGACTGTTGTATGAAAAGGAACAACCCCAGCTGGTACTAAAATCCTTATAGACAGCAACACTCCACCAGCTACTCCCACTTCAACCAAGCGCGCCCAAGGTGGCGCTGGATCGTCTCTGCTGGCCGTCAGCTTGGCGAGCGAAGTGAAGACATCAGAGGCGAGGTGAGGCTGGGAAACAGAAGATGTTCAGAGAAGGCACCGGCCTTGTACGAAGCTGAGTTTGCTCTGTCGCTTAAAGAGTAGGTCAGGAGTGCGATTTGGCGGTTGTGATGATCACTTGAGTCCGCAAGCTGCTTGCTCGATTACGAATGACTTCATGGAGATGCTTGAGTACACAACAATCGCGTGTGGAGGCTGGCCACAATCAATTGGCACCGCGCGGAACAACTCACAGCAAAAGGTCATGCCGAATGCGCAGGTACACTCACTGAGAAAGCACTGCCCAATACAATGTTCTGGAGGGCTTCAAGATTTTTGGAGTAGTCGAAGTGATGAGCAACGGTCACTGGGATGTTAACGAGCAACACTCAAAGCCGGTTCGCCAGGTATCAGTATGTCTTGCATCCATCATTTGTCTACTAGTTCATGTGTATTATGTTGCAGTATTAGTCGGTCCACACAAGACCCTATTACCCTTGCTTAGACTGTTCTGGACTAGCACGTTCCAGAGTCAGTATATAATCGTCTTCTCCTCACTAGATAGTAATCTAGCATAGTATTCCATCGACCCGATAGTCCTACGTTATCGTTTACCGTAGCTATCAGTATTCTACAGCGGGCCCATGCCGTCACATATCACCTTGCTTGTCTACTCCCAAATTCTAGAATATCATTTGTCGCTCCCAGCAGAAACGCCGATACACCATCGCTGAAAGACCTTTCCACCGAATGCCAAAGCCCAAATATACAATCATTTACTGCAATGCCCCTCAGAGCTCAGGCATCGCCCTTACCTATCCTTGGCAGATGCTTCGGAGTTCCTTGCCTCCGGCTTGTCGAAGACATCACTGGATGACTCGAACTCGTTAGCACCTGGCTGTCATGAGCAAACTGTCCCTTCACGGGCACTCGAAGTGATCCACCAGTCATTAGCCTCTCGTCACGGATAGCTGAAATGCCTGCAGCCTCCAGGGTGCGCTCCGCATTCGCGACTTCCTCCATCTGACTACGAGACGCAGAATTTGGATCCACGTCTTGCTGGCTGCCATACACAAGAGCGGGCTTGAGTGAATTCTTCTGACCAACGGTATCGAAGGTGTCGTAGCCAATGCTCTCCCAGTACCTAGCTTCATCCTTGGTGCAGCGCAGCCACTGAACAGGGCTCGAGCATGCGGTAGACCATATACGGTGGCTGGGTGGTGTCCTTGCTGAAAAGATGGGTGTACTGAGGCGTGATCTTGGAGGTACCGTCACCGGAGAGTGGAACTTGTAAACCTGTGAGTTGTCAATACTCATAATTCGCTAGTAAATCGTCCACGAGCGACGAACCTGTGCCGTTACCGGCATCACGAGTACTGTTTGATGAAGATATTACGGTGGTTGGTAGCAAAAAATTTGAGGAAGTTGAGATCTAGATCTTGACTGCCACGGTTGTGTAAAGAAAAAGATATACCACTAGTGTAGGTTTTATATATCAACGATGACGTCCTTTGCTACCTTCATCTCGACTGCCAGGCTCCAGGGGACGAGGTATCTGCATTGCCCGTGGTTTTGCCTCTAAAGCTCACACGGACCCTCGAGCGAAGAGGTGAAGGAAGTAGAAGCGCAAGAGCGATCAGGGGCGCAAACGCTCGAACTCCAAATAAGTGGAAGGCAAAGTTGACTGTGGAAGTTGGAGCCCTTGCCCTACCGACATCGAGTCGAGTATCGCGCTGAATTTTTATGCAACATTGGAGCTTGCTACTTCCTTACTGACCACGAGATTGCCTGCTGCAATCGGCACGTGGTATTGCCATCCCGCTTCGCAATCTTCTTGCGGTTGATCATCATACTCCTATAGAGTGAAGTGGTTCTTTTCTATACGACCAGATGGGTTGGCACAAATAACGACTGTGAGAGGAAGAGCGGCCATGGCAGTAGAAACTGCGAGCGGAAGTGTGGCGATGGCGAGTACAGGGGCTGCAACAGGTTCTGGTATCGATCGTGTTTTCGATCCGGGTCTCTACGAGTATGCAAAAAGGGCCTTGAACCTGTGTATGAGCTTTGGAAGGCTGCCAAATGGCATTTGCAGGCCACGGATCCTTCATCAAATCAACTTGATCGTCTTGGTTTCTCCAAACCATCTCTTGCCACCTTCGATCATCCAGTGGTCCGCTCTCTCATAGGGGTCCTTGAGCCTGATATCAGGTCGAATCTCTTTCCAATCAATTCGTCAAGACCCAACCCCTGTGTAGATTTTTTGCTCGAGATTAGGCAATACAATGAGACCAATGCTCTGGTAGGCCTTAGAAGTGTCACGAAAGGTTTCTTGAATGATCTGGATTGCCCCGTAGATCCCGGTTAGGGTCGTATGTACATCCGGTTTCCAATCACCATCCCATATCAGTTACCTTTCTGTTGGCAGTAAAAGACGGGCATCGTCCAAGCGGAATGGATAACGGACAATCCCCTTCCAGAGAGTGCCGTCAAAGCATGCCGACGATAGAACAACGCATAACATTTGTGCTGTGACCGCAAGTGTGTGTGATTCCCTAACCGTATCACCAGATGGATCCAGACAGGGCGAAGCAACGCCAGCTATAGCGATATCTTCCTTTGCATGTTGATTGAAGTAACAATGTCTCACAGAGCGCGCATTCAGCCAGCTCCAAGACGGGACTTTCACAGCCAGTCTTTTGCCAGCGGGCTTTCCCGAAAGCCACAAAAGCTCCATGAACAAGAATGGCCGCCATAAGCTGTGTAACATCGTCATCTTTCGCGTCTTGAATCATGTTTGCTAAACCGCTGATCGCAGGGAATCTATCAGCCTCGAAGATAAGATCGTGCCTGCTGTATTCGGTGACAATCCTCCACCATTCATAACCCCCATGAACTGGGTCCTCCCGGATGTAACCAGTTAGTAGTACGACGGTGTTGTCCATAGATACCAAGGCCTTTATGGTTGACGAATGTTACAGTATCAATTAGTTTGTACGAGGCCTGATTGCTGCTGCTCAGACTATTCTGGACTAGCATGTTTCAGAACAGGTATATATTGTCTTCTCCTAGCTAGATAGCAACTCAGCATAGTACTGTTGAATGCTTGACCGCGACAAGTGTACATTGTGAGTGTGCAAAGATCTTGTCCATCTGTTGAGATTCGAGCTTCCATTCAACATCAGAGTCTTGAATGACATACAGTGAGTCGATCCAGATGAATTCGAATCAAAGATGAGAAGTTACCAGAATGGCGTCGGAAAAGGGTTTGGGTAGTTTTGACATCGGAACGTTCCTCTGAAATGGTCCAGAGACGCTTTTGTGAGTTTGACGATATTAGCCCCTCCCCAACTATGTGAAACTGTCAAGTCACCACGGGAGCCTTGCACCACTGACCAATCTACAAGGCGGACAGACTCGACAACATCGCCGGAAGCTTTGGTTTGTAGAAGTCGAGTTGGAGAATAGCGACCGGGGCGGCCCAGAGAGGTCGTGGTTGGTTCAATCCCATGGAGGGACACTTTGCTAGGACAGCCCGCAATTATGGCACCGAAATAGCACCCAGCCGCAGCCGATGAGCTTATAGCTCTCAACCAGCCAAGGTCATCTATATTCAGCCGGGGCTCCACTTGGATATGTGATGACATAGATTGAAACGCTTCAGCTATGCTTAGACAGCTCTGACATAGCTGTTTGCACTGACGCACAAAGTTTTCGACTTGCTGCTCCGACAAAGATCTGTAGCACGAAAACAGAGAGGGGCCGTTCTCAAGATCGGTGGAAAACGGACTGCTCAGACCGAGTAATTTGGCCTCTGGAACGTTGCTTTGCGGCGTACCTTGATCATAGGCTTCCCCACTGGCTGCGATAGGGTTCACGTCTGCTTCTTGTCCCGGAGTTGGCGTACCATTGAGACGTTGCTTTGTGACAGCCTTCTTCGTCCATACCGCCGGATACTTCAGATGGTATGGTAAGGAGGGGTATGTCAGAGGTGCAGGCACAAGGCTGACCCAACCGTGGAGGCAGCCACGGCGCTAACAATGCACTTGACACCTTCCGTAAGTGGGCACCGCAAACGACATGTGGGCTGACCGCCAGCCTTATGGAAACTTTTGTTGATCTTTCCTTCCAACTCTTGATTCAACGTACTAACGCCTCCCGAGATCGATATCCAACACCTTAACCATCTTTCCATCCTCTTTGCCCTCTTTCTCCACCCCGAAGAACGGCAGGACAGCCTCATCAACAACCCCCTCAAACAACCCCTCAATCATCCCACTCAACTCATCGCCCGTCTGCCTGAAATCCGGAAACGCATTAACCTCCAGCAAATACGTATTCAGACTCCCATCCTCCTCAATCCCCACCATGAAATCCAGCCCAAAGATCTCAAATGCATTGGGCAGCGGCTGGAAATGTATACTCATGCCCCTCGCTGCAGCCTCAAAGGTTGCGCCTGTAATATCCTTGATCTGGGCGAAGATTTGCGATTTCCAGTCTTGTGGTGCGTTGGTCTTGGTGTCGGGCTGGGAGGTGATGGAGTCGGGTAGACTCCAGAAGAGGCCGACTGAGCCTTCGCGGTCGCCTGTGGATTGGAGACAGGTGTTTGTGAGGTGTGCGCGCATGGAGTCTTCCCGCTCTTCTTCGGACTCGAAGTCGGATGACCATGGCGGTGAGTATGGGCGTGCTGCGAAGAGGGCGAGCATGGGCTTGTAGACAAAGACTTGCAGTGCGCCGGTTGCAAGGACGTAGGTCCTGATGTGGAACTTCCTCAGCTGTGTCGGTTCGCTTGGCGGAGCAAGGAGGAGCGGTGGGTGGATGTACGGCTGCGCGACGAAATGTCTCAGCTGACTTGTAATGATGCCATTGTCCCCATCTTTCTCCTCATCTCTCTCTGCATCACTCCTCGCATCTTCCTCGTCCTCATCACTGTCAGGATCCCACTCCTCGAAGATCGCCGTCAACTCCTCTTCCGACGAGAACAATCTGATACCCTGCCCACGATCACTCATTCCCGGCTTTAAAATCCACCACTCCCTCTTCTCCTTCTCATCCTCCCCATACTGCTCATTGCGCGCCCAACTCTCCTTCAGCTCCCACGCCTCAACTAGCGCATCATCCAAGAACTCCGCATAATCGACTTCAAACTCGACGCTCGGCTTCGCACCCCGCTTGAGCACACTGTCAGGGTATTTTGTGATCCAGTTTGCGATGGTGGTGCTGAGGTAGTGTTTCCGGATCAGTGCTTTACGGATGATGTATGCGTTGGCCAGAGAGGTGGACGAGTTTGACATTAAGTGGTCCCAGTCGATGGACTCGTATTGCACAAATTGAAGACATGGTGTTGATGGGGAAGGGGAGTCCTGGAGGGATTGGACGAGCTTGTATGAGGTTGTGGGAAGGCGCTTTTCGAGTGCGGACAGGATGAGGGGTTGGACGTAGCGGTCTTCGTAGTTGATGAGTGCATGGATCGGTGCGTCCGAGACTGAGGATGTCGAAGCCATCGTGAAGTACGTCTACTTGAGTTTTGATTTGCCCAGTTGAGGTCGTTCCTACTCTTTCTTATGGGAGATCCCGTGATTGTGAAGAGTTGCGATGGTCAAGCTTGCGGCTGCAAAGATGAACAGGGCAACAATGAAATCTTTGATTAAAGGAAAAGACCAATGGCAGGTCTATGGATACTGTTGTACACTAGGACACTCGTTACTGTGGTATCTGTCAGGGCAATCCAAACCCAAAACGCAAATTCGCCCATCCCCTCGCTTAGCCTAGCCAATAAGCAGGCCGCATTTTAAACGCCATAGAATCGTTTCCAACCCCTTCCTTGAGCATGACAGTCGTACACAAGAACTTTAAAGTCGAGGGAAATATTATGAAAATCAAACAACTTCCAAATCGTCATCATCGTCGTCGTCCATGGCTGCAATGAGTCCAATATCAAGGCCTCCAAGACTCTCACGGCCAGGCTCGCGTATGCCTTTCTCGGGTAGCAACAGACGTGCTTTCTTCTTCGCCGGGCTGCCCGCCCGTGTTCCACGCATAGCAGAGTCGGGGCGGCTTTTACTTGGCGAGAGAGGGCGAGCCTTTTGTGGCGATAGGACAAGGCCACGCCTGTAGGCACCACCCCAGCCTACGGGTTCGCTGGCGCTGGCAGCAGTCGCCTTGCTTGCATTCGAGTGTTTCCGCTTCGACGGTATGAGAGAGCCGCTTGCTTTTCGATTCAAGGAGACATCTGCTGCCTTTCGGTTGAGAAGTCCACGAAAGTCGCTCTCTGTAGCCTTTTCTTGCCGTGCGTTCGCTAGCTCTTGAGACGTTGTGGTTGACAGAGTTGCAGAGGGATCGGTCCTGCGCTTCAGATAGTCGCCGCCTGTGGTACCTTCTCCCATTTCGCCCAATTTCTTAGCGAGATCTCGCTCCTTCTCTTTTGCAGCAAGCTGTCTGCGATGGCGCTCTTCTCGACTACCACCGCGCTCAAAGCCTTGTTCGTCTCGGTCGAGCATACGCGCAGTACCTCCAGGTCTCGGTGCGATAAACATGGTCTCATGCAGGTAGCTGTCGTGGTATTTGCCTTCTTTGCGGAGCGCATCGCCCTTGAAGCCATTCGGACCTCTTCGGCCAAACATGACGCCGCCACCACCACCACCACCTGAGCCAACCATACCGTTGATTTCCATGCGGCCTCTCTTGCTTTTCTCGACTTGCAATGACAGATGAAACTCGCAGAACTCGGTCTTCCGTCCATCGACCCACTGCCCGCATTCCTTGCCGTCCTTTTTCTTTGCGTGGCAGAAATCTAGGTCCCTTGCAACGCCAATCTCGAGTACGGTATCGTCGGAATTTGTAAGCTTCAGGGAGAATTTCCCACTGTTACGATCCTTCGGTGGCATGATATCTGGGTTAAGGATGGCGACCAGCGTGCCAATAGGCAGCTTCCAGAAGTGTTCATAGCCGCTGTCAAACAGAAACAGGTCGAGCTCCCATTTCATGTCCGTCAGCCGTATGACCATAAACTTGCCATGCTCTTTACGTTCTTGATTGCCCCTGGAATTGTCTCGAGCGGAGTTCTGAGTGTCGCGCGGTGAAGACTTCGAGCAGATCACGCCCATTACAACGTAGTCGTTCTCCCAGTCTGGCGGGTCGTAGTCTGGTGCTTTGACGGTCTTCAGTAGCTGCGGTATTGTGAACACGGTCTTGCCTTCCAGTGTGCGGGTAACGGTGCTGTGCTGCATTTCGCGCGACTTCAGATGCAATCCAGATAACGACTCGAAGCTGGGAGCATCAAAGCTGTCATTGCGCTGCACAATTTCTTCGTACTTGGAAAAGCTGGAGGTAGTTGCTGCTGCTTGGAAGCCTCTTGACGACGGTCTGGATGCAGATGATGGCGGTAGTGCATCAGGGACTGAACCTCGGCGTGGCGTGGGTGGATTTTCTTGTGAACTTAGCAGCCGGCTGTGCACCCTGCTGTGTGTCTTAGACCCTGGTGGTGGCATGTCCGCGAACGAACTACGGATCTGTGGCATATCTGTGAAAGAGCTCCGGGTTTCCGAAGTAGCTGAAGTGAACGAAGAGCCTCGTGATGATGTCGGCCGTTCTCTTTTGAGACCTGCGATGTTGCTCAGACCGAACCCTCTCGTTCTTCTCTCCTCATGCTTGTGTTCATTTTCCTCGCGCTGTTTCTCTTTGCTCCTGCTTTCCGCAATGCGCTCACTGAACGATTTGATCTTGGGCGTCCCTGCTGCACTGGTCGTGTTGGCGCGCGCAAGACCAGTCGTTGCTCGAACCTGGCCAGGACGCTTGAGGCTGACTTCAGACGCCTTGAGACCCTTGTCGATCCCGAGTAGGACTCGTGCAGGGCTTCGTGGTTCCTCTACGTTGCGCCGGGCTCGTATGGGCGAGACAGACACCTGTACATCTGCATCTGGTCGTGGCAGCTCGGTTCTGCGCAGTCCTGCTGCGGTACCCGGGCGTGACGGTATGGCGCGGCTCTCAGGTTCAGCTTTTCGTGCGTTCTGCAGCTGCTTGAGCTTCAGCCGGGCCTCGATGGCCTGCAACTTGAGCTGCAGCGTCTCTTCATCCTCGTCTTCGGTAGACTCGCCACCGTCTTGCTGGACTTGACGCAGCGACACAGGTCGGCGCTTCGTTGGGGAGGGGGACACAGAATTGCGCGTGCGCCGCTCTTCGTACCTGCGACGGCCGGACGGTGAACTGAGCAGCGCTTCGTAGGGGGACTTGGGCGGCCAGTTGGGAGGATTGTTCGTGACTGCAGCTGTCAGTGAGGATCTGCATGCGGGGAATTGGAGGACGCGCCCCTGGCCTTGGGGCTCTCCCGCACGATCATGGTCGCTGGTGTGTGTGTATGAGGGCTCTGTCTGCTGCACCCATTTCTTGCGCCAGACAAACAGGGGGTGGGGACCGAGTGTGTGAACGCTTGGGGTGGGCTTGTTGGGTATGTCAGGCCTAGTTTGGCGTGTTGACTCGCTGTTGTTGTTTGCCGTGCAAATAAGGTTGCGGCGCAAGGTACCATTTCAGATGAAACGACATGGGTTCGCGTGCCGCGTCGCGTTCGCGTACCACTTACGCATGCGAGCTCTCCAATTGGACATGCACAACACTCTATATCACACGATATTCAATTGGACATTGTAGTAGATATACACCACTGGTATATCGTAGAAGCTCACCGAATTCATCGAAAATGGCAAGAGCAACACGCGCCAAACCCGCGCCAAAAGAGCCCACGCCCGAATCAATACCCTCCACCACACCACCGCTCCCAGAAGCCACATCAAACCCACCAAAGCTGTTCATCCTCCCCAAAGATACGTCCAGCGATGCACGAATAGTCACACTCGACAATCCTGCCGCCAGCACACCCTCACGCTACTACTTCTGCCCATCGAAAGGCTTCTACGAGTTCTCACGCATCGCCGCGCCGAAAAAGGCATGCAGGAGTTGGTTGATCACAAGCCAAGAGGTCAAGACATCAGAAAATGAAAAGAGCAAAGAGCTGGAAGAGCCAGGGAAGCAGGACGACTCAGAGGCTGGCCTAGGCAGCGGATACACCACAAAGAACGCGGACTTGTTTCTCGCAACACCAGTCGATTTGCTATTCCTGATCCTGCCGGCACTCGCACCAAAGTCCGCAAAAGAAGAGAAACAGCACTTCCTTGCGCTGGACGACTACACAGACATGCTCTCCGCCTCCTCGCAACACTGGAAGACCTTACTCGCACAACACCCATCACTCAAGCTCATGCTAGAGAGGAAAATGCGCACTCTCTGCGACACAGTCGACGCCGGCGTCGAAACAATGTACCGCATATCGCACGCAAAACTACTCGCGATACTAGTCAAGAAGGCAGAGCGTATGGTGCAGAACAGCCTACCACCAAGCATGGAAGAGAAGTTTGTCAAAAGCGCACTCGACATACCAGTCATGAGCATCCGGCGCGAAGACAGCACGCTCAGCGCCGTGTCAGAGTCAGGCACATCGACACCAGCAGCGGACAGCCAAGCCTCGACAACAGCGGAAGCAGAGAGCCAGGCCACAGACATCACGACTCCAGACAAGGCTGAGGTGCCGGCGAAACCGTCACTGCAGACACCAGAAGGCATACCGCACCTCCTCCGCCTGCGCACCGCCCTATCCTACCTCACATCCTCGTATCTCCCCCCTTCTCTCGTTTCCACAATAACTACCCTCCTCAGCACCCCAACATCCCCCATCGACTTCACCCCCCTAACCGCCCACCTCTCCACCATCGCAAAGCTCAAATCCGAAGCCGCGGCTTTACGCAGCATAAGCGACAACATCAGCCGCAAGCGGCAGTTCGAGTGCAATGAAGACAAGATTGCAGAAAGGGAGGAGAAGAAGAGGAAGAAGGAGGAGGAGGACCGGAAGAAGAAGAGCGAGAGCTTGGGTGTTAAGAAGTTGAGGAAGGTGGATACGACGGGGATGAAGAAGATGAGTGCTTTCTTTAGCGTGAAGCCAAAGGCGAAATGAAGATCGGGAGGAAGGAGGGTGGGGTGTCGAGGGGATTGGATAGGTGGGATAGACACCATGGCAATCGTATGAGAACGTTGGGATGTTCATGCTTGTTTGGTTGTTTTGATTCTAGCTAAGTGTGTTGTGGCCCCCAACACTCACTTCGTACTGCGTCTGCAATGTGCGAGTGTGAGCCGAGCTGGTCCTGCCGGTGCTGATGCTTCGCCACGCGCGCTATGCAATACGCAGATGCCATTTCCCCCCTCTATTACCCCAGACAGAATATACCTACCGTGCGACAGAGTAGCACAAACCACTACATACAAGCGCACAAATACTGGGTATCCTTTGGTGTTGATCGCTAAGTCTGATGTTCATGTAACGCCAGTGAAGAAACAAGATAACGCGAGCAGGACTGTAAAAACAACTCAAGCAGCAGAGGCTGTCGGGCAATGTAGCTATCCAACACTCGAGTGCAAACGAATCAAGAACGGGCTGCGCCGCGTTAGATGTCGTCAATAGACATGGAAGACGTGGAGTGCTCACTGCGAGCCTTCTTGTCCGCCTCACGGACCAACGGTGACCCGCTGCGCTTGGCTCCGCGCGAGAAGCTGCTTGAGCTGTGGGCGGACTTGACGCGTGTCCAGGAGTCGAATGAGATCTCTGCTTAAAGTTAATAGAAGTCGTGGCTTGGATGAGTGATATTGGCTTACCTCGCTTGGGCTTGCGCACGGTAGGGGGCGGTGTTGCTTCTTGCAGCGACTCTGCGATGTGCATGACCATCTTGCCCTTGCCTCGGCTTGGGGTTGCAACGGGAGTCTCGATGTCGGTTACTGCCTCTTCTTCGTCTTCTGATACTTCGCCATTCTCGAGCTTCCTCTGCTTGATCTCCTCCTGGAAGAGTAGCTTTGGCTTGATGGACGCGCGAGTCAATGGTCGACGCGCTTCATGACCAGCTTGGCGGAGCAACTGAAGATCGACGCCAGAAGCCTCGTCATCCTCCTCGGTTGGAGCATCTGACGGATGGTCATTGTGGAACTTGCGGAACACTTTCCTTCCTCGACTGTTGACCGTTAGTTGGGATCGGGAGCAAACCAGATCAGTGCACTTACAAAAGATAGATCATGCCCTCCTCGCGGTCTACGGCTTCTTCCATGTCCTCTGTCTTTGCGTCCTTCCTGCGCGACTTCTGTGGAGTAGCCTTCTTCGCCTTGGCCTTGGCCTTCCCTTTGCCCTTCTTGGTGACGAACGGGTTCTCCTCGTCCTCGTCAGCGGTGGGAATGCGCTCTTTTGAGTCGGTGAAGATTTCGATCTTCTCAGACGACTCTCCAGCCTCCTCAAAGCTGTTCAGGGAGTAGACATTCTTAGTGGTCCTGCGCGCCTTCCGCGGGGTCACCTCCTCGACAGTGGCCGGGCGACTTGGGAATAGAACGCGTGCTGTGGGCTGAAGTGACTGCTCGGAGTGCAGCGCGCGCTTGCGAGGCGTCTTCGCTGGAGTCGGAAGCATGCCTGGAGCCATTGATGCTAGGAATCGGCGCCCTGAAGTCGGTGGAGGCTGGTCTGAATCCGAGTCGAGTGCTGCTGCAGCAGGGAAGAGAGCGCGACGCGTCGAATGTGGTGTGCGGTGTTTTGGTGGAGAGATTGGCGGTGACTGTGGTGACCGTGTGAGATTGGAGGTGCGGGCGACAGATTTCCTCCACGAGGCGGTGGGCGTTACGTCGCGCCTGGTCCGCGGGGTGCGCGCGCTGTCCGTTTGCTCGAGGTGAAGACCGCGTTGTGCTGCGACCCTGCTGGACCGGCGCGGAGAGAATGGCTCCCAACTGTCACCATGAAGGGGCGCCGGTGGCGTGTGCACCCGGCGAGGGGGCGACGGTGTGCGATTCATCGTGAAGTGAAGTGAAGTGATGCGTGGTGTGGTGGGCCGTCGCGGTGGTGGTGGAGGGCGTTTGTCCGATATCCAAAATCAAAACAAGCCAAATCCAACGCTCTTTACGCAAGCGCTTAGCGGTCGCAGTGCGCAATGTTCGGACGACAAGGGGCGCAGTGCGGAGTATCGATAGAGATAGGTGATGGTGACGGTGAAGTGGAGCTGATGGGGCCCGGCTGCGATATGGAAGGGTCGAGGTGCAGCACTGGGCATGGAGGAGGTTGGTGATGGCTGGTTGATGTGCCCAAAGCGCCCTCCGCCAAGCCGCCGTCAACAACGGCCCCTGGGTGTGCCAGACCGCCCCCAGCGACCCCGCCCGAGTCAAACGCGTCAAACACAACAACGAAAACACGTGCAGCCCGGGACTGATTGGGTGGGACAAAGAAGTCGCTGAAACACACTCGACTCACACATCATGGTGCAGCCACCCAACATGGACGACCTCAACCTCTCTGACTCGGACACGGAAGCCCTCTTTGACACCCCCGCCGCGCGCAAGAACAAGCAAAGAGCGCAGGGTGCTGGGGCTGGAGCTGGAGCTGGAGCTGGGGCTGGAGAGGGTGCAGCAGCGGGCAAGGCGCGTGCAAAGGAGTCGCATTACACCACAGAAGAGGCTAGAGAGGCTGCATTGCGGCGAGAGCTGGAGAGCATGCGCAATGTCAACAAAGTGATCGAGGGCGTCGTCGAGAGCCTACAGAAGGCCAAAGACAACATGGGTGTGAGTGCAGCAGTAGATCGATGCGCCCAGCATACTGACGACCACAGACGGTCTCAAAGACTGTTCAAAATGCCTCCACTCTCCTCCAAACATGGACGCGCATCCTCTCGCAGACGGAGCACAACCAGCGGCTCATCTTGAACCCGCAGTGGCAGGGCGCAACACAGGACATGGTCGACATCGAAGAGGAAGAGAACCACAGAAAGCAGGCTGTTGAGCGTAGAGCAGCAGAAGAGCAGGCACGGAGGGAGGCAGCTGCCAGAAAAGCTGAGGAGGAGCGCAGGAAGGCAGAAGCAGGGCCACCAAAGCCAGCAACAAGAGGAAGAGGCAGAGCCACGCGGCCACGCGGAACCTCAACATCCACAACATCGAGCGGCTATGTCGGCGTCGGAGGACAGACCGGACGAGGCGTCAGCCGTGGCGACTCAACGAGAGGTCGAGCTGGCAGCGGCATTGGGCGAGGACTGCGCGGTCGGGGTCGAGGGCGAGGAACCGAATGAGCGCCATGCTCGATCATACGCTGTCAGATACAACAGAGATACCCAATGCGGCATATCAGCCAACTCTTCGTCTTCTGCATCAGATATCCGGCATTCCTCTGCGCAGAAGCCTGCAACAGCACGGCCAAGACTGGGAACGGCTGCTGAAACACCTGCAGGTTCGAGGTCGAAGAGACAGCCATTGTCCCTAGACTGTTTGTTGACCAGACGCCAACGCCAGAAGATTTCCCGTCTCTTCTCTCACCCGCATCACGCGTCATAGCTTTTGAGCATGCTGCCGGCTCAACGGTACCTGCAGCAACGGTGGGGTAATTTGGGAGAGGCGGTTGCGGTCCCCCTTCGAGCCTAGTTCGAGATCGCACCCCGCGGTCTCGCGACCCTCACAGGTCCATATAACCTGACTTTTCCTCCGCTGTGGATTTCTCCTCTTCTGGTTTACTTTCTGCTCTGTTGTCAGTTTTGGAGCTTATATACCCTCACATCGCATCATGTCGGTGCCAACAGCAACGTCGCTGCGCGACATTTACCCTGAAGACGCGGTTCCGGTCGAGACGAAGCGATGGGAGAAGCTCCTAGCCAGGTTCAAGGAGGTCCATGGCAGGCAGGCTGAATTTGTTGCTCGCAGTCCTGGACGAGTCAACATCATTGGAGAGGTAAGAGAGCCATTTACTGCCTGTACAACGTCCGAATCTCACAAGTAATAGCACATTGACTACTCCTTGTACGAGGTGCTCCCCATGGCCATCACTGCCGACTTTATCATGGCAGTAGCTGTCCGACCCTCAGATGAGAAGCCCCGGATACGGATAGCCAACCTCAACTCTGAGAAGTTCCCAACACGAGAGTTCGACATCCCTGAGGGAGAAATCCCAATTGATGCTACAGAACACGAGTGGACCAACTACTTCAAGTCTGGTCTCAAGGGTGTGACAGAACTTCTCCAGAAAAAGCGTGGCAAGTTCCAATCAGTCGGAATGGACATTGTCTGCGACGGCACTGTACCCAGCGGTGGTGGTCTCTCCAGCTCCGCATCGGTTGTGTGCACCAGCGCGTTGGCAGTATTGGCTGCGAACGGTGAGGACAAGATCGACAAGAAGGAGCTCTGTGAGCTTGCCATTGTGTCGGAGCGTGCCGTTGGTGTCAACTCCGGAGGGCAAGTTGATCTATACTACGTACACATTCGTTACTAACATCACTCCAGCATGGATCAAGCTGCCTCAGTCTTCTCTCTGCGCGGTTCTGCCCTCTACGTCTCCTTCAAGCCCAACCTCGACTACACCAACATCGAGTTTCCCACAACAGACCCTGAGCTTACGTTCGTCACCGCTCAAAGCTTCGTCGCAGCTGACAAGCACGTCACAGCGCCAGTCTGCTACAACCTGCGCGTAGTCGAATGCACACTCGCCGCTGCCTTCTTAGCCAAGGCCTTCGGTCTGAAGAAGGAGCTACCAACTGACTCTTCGCCACTCGGCGTCAGCTTGCGCGGCTTTCACGACACGTACTTCGAGGAGAAGGAGGGCGTTTCAGACAACACAAAGACTTCTGTCGCCGACTTCGAGACACAACTACACAAGCTGGTCCAGCACACCGAAGACTACCTCACACAAGAAGACGGCTACACACGATCCGACATCTGCGCCCTCCTTGGCGTCTCAGAAGATGATCTCAACCAGCGATACATGTCCAAATTCCCCGTCCGTGCAGAGAAGTTCATGCTGCGCCAGCGCGCCCTGCACGTCTTCACAGAAGCCCTGCGCGTCATCAAGTTCCGCTCTCTCCTTTCTTCTCCGCCCTCCACGGACAAGGCTTACCTCCAGTCCCTCGGTGACCTCATGAACACAACACAAGACTCATGTCGCGACATCTACGACTGCAGTTGCCCCGAGCTGGACGAGCTGTGCCAATTGGCACGTGCGGCTGGCGCTACGGGAAGCAGACTCACCGGTGCTGGGTGGGGAGGCTGCAGTGTGCATCTCGTGCCCAAGGACAAGGTTGAGGCGGTCAAGAAGGCGTGGGAGGAGAAGTACTACAGGAAGAAATTCCCCGACATCACGGAAGAGAAGCTGGCACAGGCTGTTGTTGTTAGTAAGCCGGGCAGCGGAAGTATGATCTTGAAGGTCACCGGTGATTCAATTGTTTGAACTGGGACAAGGTCAGTATGGTCGCCAAAACGCAAATTACCCATCATAGCGCATTTGATTGCATGTTCATAGATCAAAGACAGGATTGTCCCTCATAAAAGCTCACTGTGCTGTGTCTTGGTCACTCCTTGTCTCCGTCACGACGTCTCTTTGTCACCCCGCCAGTGATACAAGCACCATCACTCTTCAAAGAACAACTCACCTCCACTGTCAATATTCACATCTCCCTTTATGCAGCTTCATAACTCTGCATTTGCGGTGTGAGCTCAAACACAAAATATCGCCACAGCACTCACCCACCAGACCCAAAACCCGGCAAATATGGGCAAGTATCATATAAATGTTTCGGGCGATCTTGCCAAACCATTCTGCGGTATTGAACAGATGCTACCTGGTTCTTCATACTTCAGCGAATAGTCTATTGAGAGACAGCTTGGCTACCTCCTCGATCGGCCTTGTCCCTCTCTTCGCACACACGGCAAGCGGCCGTACAACCACCCATACCACTATCAATCAGTCCACAGTGCATTCGTTCCCGCTGTGCTATACGTTCCAGCTTACTATGTCCCCAAGTACGCGGGCTACATCCTCAGACAGCCCAATCATGGGGTCACTTGCACACACTATGCTGGTACCTCAGAAGTACATACAGCATGATAGTCATGAGGGTCGCTGTAAGCCAGAGCCGGAAGATGCGGCCGAGAGCAAGGTTTCAGACGTGGATGTCTGGTCGCGCAGCTCTGGAGTTAGCTTGGGTGAGAGCACACCTCGTGGCACGACATCTGCATTGTGACAAGAATTAAAAGGATATGTCTAGGCTTGGAGGCCTCGCGACCCAATCACACAGCTCTGCAGATACCTTGTTGAGATCATCGCCCTTACCTTCCGTGCGGATTTCGATCAGCTGAATTCGGCGTTCCTCGGACAGGAGGTCAAGGAAGACACCACATCAACTCTCTCCGAAGATGAAGGCCAGGATTTAATCGAGTTATCCAATCTGTTGGTCGAGGTTCACAGGCAGCTGTCATGCAAACATCCGATCGGTCAAAAAGATATGCGAACATTACGCGAAGCGATCACGTACCCAAGCTCTTTGATGTGCGTCGATATGGATACTTTCGCCTTGGACATTGTAAGCTCCTACAAACGTTTCGCTGCAAATCCGAAAGACTTGATTCGGGCACTCCATGGACACTGGGCTAATGCGAGCTTGATGGGCGGTCTGCATTGGAGAGCAGTGGACTCGCTCAAGTCATTTGAGCTTCTGATAAGATATGTATCCTTGTCTCACGATGTAAAGAGCGTCTTGATGCAAGCTTTCGAGAAGACTTGTCGCCGTAGCGGTACCAGGATCTCTCATCCCGGCGTCATTTACCACCCTCTTCGTGACGGATGTTCGAAGCTTGAGTACAGGTTGCGTTCATCAAACACGTTCAAGACAAACGATTAGGACGGCCCCTAGTAGAACACGCATTCGTATCGTGGTAATTGTAAGTGTCGTTGCTCGCGACCAGGAGGCTGGTGTGGTTTGAGTTGACATTGAAGAGAGAATGAGCGGAGGTAGACGCGCTACCGGTAGAGAGTTAGCGCATCACGTGTGAGGCATCTGGGAAGGAGCACTCGGTCTCGACACAACCACGACAGCTCGAAGAAGTCACCTCATTTCTCGACGCGCAAATCTCTTAATCGCGCTTTCTATTCAGTAAAATCATGTAGCGGCGTATTTGAAGCACATTGAACCGACCATGGTCTCTGACATCTGTCATAGCGGATGAACGGATCCTTCGACGCCGGGCCACAGCCATCTGGAGTCCATTTGACACTAAAACTTGAAACACCGCCTTCTGAGAGCACCGCAAGGGAAAGGTACGTCCTGACTCGGTCGCGTTCACTCAGGGCTTTTGGCCGATGTTGTCAGCTGTTCAACGGGTACGCCATTCTTCATGTCAGATTCATAGGGCTTGGCGAGGGCTTCTTTGAGGCAAGTGTGCACGATTACAAGATCCGTGGAAATGTGAGATTTGTTTCAAGAAGATCAAAAGAGGCGATACATGGGTGGTGGGAAATTGGTGGCGTCTGGGGAAGTTTTACATCACCTCGGCCTAGATTGCTCCGCCGGTTCCAGAAGGCTGCGCAGATTCCATCCTTCGCATGTCGACATTACAGAACCTCACCATATGGCACATAAACAACTTGTGTAAACATCCGCTCGAGCGATGTCGTTTTGGACATGTTTCACCCCGGACATGCCGGCCACTGACCTTGTTCGGCTTCCAATACCCCGGGTATTCTGCCAAGTCAATTAACTTCACAAAGCTACTGCGGACATGCAGCCAAGCTGAGAGTAATGTGACACCTCATAATGGCGATTCCCCGCAAGCAATATACTTCAAGGAATTGCTAGGTGTCACACTGATCGTCGCTACGATGTATTTCGCGGAAGATTTATGGAGGCGCCCAAGCTTTCCCTTCGTCCAGAGGAGAAGATTAAGGATGAGCTTGGTTGATAAAAGGCGAGGGTTGGCTTACCGGACATCTCTCACAAGTCATCAGGGATACCCAAATCAACACATTTCGACACAATCATCAAAACAATGTTGGGCTCTTCATCCGTCATCTCAATACTCGCGCTGGCGTCCACCGCCTTCAGTGCACCTAGTGGCAGCATTGAGAAGCGTGCACCGACAGTCTACCTTGCTGGAGACTCGACAATGGCAAGAGCCAATGGTGGTGCGGGTACTCTCCAAGGTAAGCCTTTCATGACAGCTGAGTTCGTTGCCTGCCTCTAACATACGGCAGGCTGGGGTACTTACCTCCCATACTCATTGACCACATCTGTCATCAACAAAGCCATTGGTGGCCGCAGCTCTCGCTCCTACACCGTCGAGGGACGCTTCACCGACATCGTCAATACAGTCCAGGCCAACGACATCGTCATCATCGAATTCGGACACAACGACGGCGGCTCTCTTACTCCCACCGACAACGGCCGCTCTGTATGCCCCGGCAAGGGCACTGAGACCTGCCAGTCAACGTACAACGGAGTAGCCACTACCGTGTACACCTATCCCTTCTACCTTATCCAGGCCGGCAAAGCATTGATTGCAAAGGGCGCCAAGGTCATCATCAGCAGCCCGACCCCCAACAACCCCTGGGAGTCCGGCACTTTCACTTACAGCGGTAGCCGCTTTGTCGACTACAGCAAGAGCGTCGCTGCCACACTCGGCTCCAACGCCTTCTATGTTGACCACGGTGCATATGCTGCCGATGCCTGGAATACACTTGGTAAGGCGAAGACCGACGCCTACTTCGTCGCCGGCGACCACACTCACACCCTTCCTATCGGTGCCGATGTTGTTGCCACATCGTTTGTCAAGGGTCTGCAGTGCGCTGGAGGCGGTTTCCTTAACGGTTATGTCAAGAACAGCACCGCCAGCATTACTGGAAAGTGCTTGTAGTCACGAGCAGTATTCGGCAATCAAACAACTTCGTTTAGATCTTTTCCGCTACATGCTTGACCTCGTTGAACGTAGCCCAATACTAAACCGCAGCATGCATCCCAGGTAGGAAATACGTCTTTGGTTGCATGAATGACCTCAAGCACGCCAACAAACGAAAACAAAAGCTCGATGACTACAGCCGTAATTCGTTATACCATACACTGCAGCGATGCAGTAACACGAATATGATTTATATCATTCTACTTATAGGACTTACTGGTCTGATAGGCCTTGGACTTCGCCGCCGCTACTTTACCAACATATCAGGTATTTCAGGCCCGGCACTTGCTTCCGTGTCCAGAGCGTGGCACCTGTGGCGCATCATCAAAGGTGATATCGACCAATATTGTATCGCTCTGCACGAGGAATACGGTATGTGTATGCCCATCACAGAATCCTGAAGTCATCATGCTGACATCAATAGGTCCTTTCATTCGCATCAGCCATAACGAAGTCAGTGTGTCATCCAGAAGCAATCAGACAGATCCTGTTGAATCCGCTGCCCAAGGTCAGTGAAGCTTCATCATTGATATAGAGGCACATGCGAAAGGCCTATGCTTACTCTATTTGCAGACTGAATGGCACAGCGTCATATCCTTGCCAGATGCCCGTTATTAGTCGCCCATGTCAGCGACAGACCCAAAGGAGCAAGTGCGTCGAACAAAGAATCTCGCGGCTGGCTTCGCACTTTCGCATGTCATCAAATCCGAAGCTTACATAGATGACTGTATCCATCGGCTCAAGGAACGACTTGTAGTATTTGCAAGATCTGAAGAACCGGTCCATCTTGACGAGTGGTTCAACTACATAGCTTTCGATGTCATAGGAGAGGTTGTCTTCCTGGAAGCAGACAAGGATCTCAGTGGGTCGATCGCGAATCCTCGACTTCTCGTACCATACGTCATGATAGCTGGCTTCTTTCGCACATTTCATCGACTAACAGTCGGCAATCCTTTTATCACAGAATATAACCTCATGCCTACTCAAAACATCTTAGATACAACATTGAGAGCTACCGAGGCCCGCAAGAAGAATCCATATGTACGCGGGGAGGTTTTGATGAATGTGGGAGAACAGTGTAGTATTGAAACAGACACAGCTCAGTGTCAACCCACGTGTCGTACACTACAGCCGCGAGCTGTATGGAGAAGACCCAGGTGTATACAATCCGTATCGCTGGAATGGTCCTCAAGCCAAAGATATCGAAAAGTACTTCGTGGCCGTAAGTTATTTGATCCTTCCTTTGCTACTTTGAGCATGTGCTAACTACTTGCTTAGTTTGGTGCAGGGTACAATTCTTGTCAAGGTCGCAGCATTGCGCAGCTTGAAATCTTCAAGGCAGCAGCCACACTCTTGGGCGACTTTGACTTCAAGCAGGTCAATCCGGTTCAAAAGTGGAAGTACGAGGCTTCTTTTGCGGCTTTACCTCCTGAACGGCCTTGTTATGTGTCTGAAACCTCTCGATGAGCCAACAAGAAGAGCTAGATTCGGAGGCATACAATGCAGCTCAAAGGGTGGCTGAATGACAACACGATCTAGTCTATATTGAGCATGGCCACGAACTTGGAGGCATAACAGCTGAGCCTTGGAACCTCAGCTTTCGCTTGAGTTTCCCCCTCTTGATATTTTGATGAAGATCACTTGCATGAATGATGCAATGGGCGGTGGTAGTTTTGTAAGTCGGAAGCGGTAGATCTGTTCTACAGATGCTCACAGCTGTTCACAGCTGTTCAGTTCAAGCTTCCTTCTCTCCTTCACAAAAGTTCATACTGCAATTACAAATACAACTAACCGTACTGCTTGGCTCACTATATACTTCCTCTCCAGGGTATCAAATCTATCACCGGCTTTGTTGCTCTCAGGTGCGGCACCGCATGTCCTATCGTGTGGACGTGACGTCGTTTTGACTGAGTGTCATTCTCTTGTCAAGTGTACCCAGCAGCGCCATGCTGTTATGTCAAGTAGCCATCTTGCTCAAATCCAGAAAGCAACCCCTGGGCGGAGCTGCATCAGCGAGACGATGCAATAGCCTAGCTACTTCCGAGATGACTGGACATGCTTCAACAGCAGGGATCAGAAAAGGTATGAGCAGGATATGGTTCTGGTGTGTTCACGATGTAACAGACGATCAACGCCATAGCAAGAGGACATTAAGGATAGTATCTAAGACCAGCTGAGCTATGTAAGAGATTAGGTCTCTCGAGCAAGCAAGAAGTTTCGGTCCAAACTGTTGTTGCCGTTGACTAGAATCTCTATGTTTCTTAAAAGAGTGTTAACATTATCAATCTCACGTTATTGATTGTAAAAACGGTATAACCGTGTTGGTATTACCAAAAGTGATAGAACTAGCAAATGGTATATAGCAATTCAAACAATAGCGTATCGCTAACAAATCCAAGATACAATCGTACCCGTAACGCCAAAGCTTGAAGGACTCATTTGGCATGTCTCAAGATGTGCTTCGGTTCTGCCTCGATGATGCCGCTGTCTCCCTTGCTATACTCCCTGTTGGCTTTGCTAGCCCTGGGCTCATAATCGTCATGTCCTATACTCTCCCTGGAGTCAACGCTCCCCAATGGTTTCATACCGTACACATCCTCGCCTCTGGGGCTATCACGTTCTCTCTCCGTTATGACGACGTCTTGACCCTCTTCAGCCCCTTTTGAAGACAGTCCGAAGTTGAATCTCATAGACGGTCGCAGTTTGGATGCTGTAGTATGAGAACCGAGTTTCGTATTCGATGGCGTGTACGGAACGTAGCTCTCATCGTAGGTCGGGTAATCTGAGTTGAAGGATGGGAACAGCATGCGGAACAAGCCTTTGGTGGCTGGGGCACAAGCGGTAATTACGTGGACAGCTGGCTCGGCGATCGATATGACGATACCGATATCCCAGGTTCGATCGAGGTTTATGGGCGCGAAGCGGTAGTAGTATACTATAAAACGTCCGACTGAGACGCCTGTAGCGCTGAGGACTTGTGAGTACGGCAGGATACAAATCACGGATACATGTGACTTACATCCAACCCAGGCTCATAACAAGCACAACAAGTGTCTTGGTCTTGACGCTCATCTGTAGGCTCCATACCATAATGCTAGGGATCGGTATTATGATCAAGTCCATGAATATGCTGAGAGCGCAACTCGAGAGGACAAAGGTCCGAGAGTCGATGCACGATCCGCCTTTGACAGTGACATTGCCATCAGCGTCGTACTGGTCCATCTCAGGACGAAGCCAAGTATACTGAACTGGGTTGCACTGCAGTGTGTTTCCCAGTGTAGTTGCGACGGTGTACCCGATGTTCAACCAGACTTTTGAACGTAAGGTCAGTAATTCAGAGGCTGCTAAGAGGAGTCGATAGGGAAAAACTTACAGACGATATGTAGCGAATACCGTATCCTTCGGCGGGAGTCTTTCATCCGGAATAAGAACATGATAATACTCGCTCTGATGGCGCACATTAGAGGATGATAGAACATTTGCACCGCGAAACTCCATTTCAGTGCGGTGATCTTCTCCGCAACGGTCTGCTTGGGAAGATCGTAGACATGATACCCAGTACCGCTCACTAGGACATCTGTACGAGTTAATATACACAGCTTTCGTAGGCTTATGAAAAACGTACATTTATACACAGTCAAGGTCTGACCCGTCAACAGCAGCGTTGAGAGCAAGATCAGGTAATCATCCCATCCGAAGTTCCGACTCAAATACCGTGAGTATGTTCGCAGTATGACGAATATTGTGGAAAGAACTGGAAAGAGGCTTATCATCACAAGAGCCTCATTTTGACGGCTCGCAGCCATACTGGTGATGATCTGTAGAAAGACCAATGCTCAAAAGCCAGTGAATGCGCAATCGAGCTCAACGATGATTGACATATGGGCGCAAGTTGTTTACGCCGGTCGACAGCTACGACGGGGGACTGGATGACAATCCTGGAGTGAGGCTGCACAGTGATGATGTATGTTGCGCGACCTTTACGAGGTCAATGACGGTTGTCCTATGTTGGAGATTTGGGTTTCTTACCTCCGACGCTTCCGTTCCTCTGCCTCAATTGACCGTGAAGACCTTCGATGTGAGTGCGTACTCACTGATGTGGGACACTCCATAGTAGCAACAGGCGGAGAACTACTTCGAGAACCTAGGCACGCGGCGCATCTTTCGGTCGCGACGCGGCCATTTGCGGGAGTCCCACCATCTCAATACAGACCCTTGAGGGGTACTAGGGACGCTTTGGCAATGATCAAGGCTGTTTGGGCAGTGCAAGTGTTGATCTGTCAACCGCCTATCCTTAATTAACCTGTCAGAGAGGCGGACACTGATTCAGGGTCATCAAGTAAGGCCGAGCCGTGTCGAAAATGGTCAAAGCGGTAAACAAGTTCTTGTCACCGTCTGATCGAGCTGAGTTTTCTTCTAAACCTCGTTGATGGTGCCCAAGGCTTCAGGGCAGGTGGTTGTCGATGGTTGGGTCGAGGTACGGGCCACGTGGGTGAAGTTCGAAAGGCGCAATACAGGCGAAGGCTTGCAGACACGAAAACTTCCTTCCCTCCACCAGCGTCTATCATAACACATCACCTCCGTGCGCAGATAGAAGCCGCACGCTCTCAAATTATTGTTGGTGATGCGTCTTAACAGAGAGTGTGATAGCGCAACCCTGTTTGACGTCTGCATGCACGCATGAACCTCGACACTCTCTATGGAACGTGCCCTGTCACCCTCGGAGTGTTTGTTCCTGCACACATCGCTGGCCAAAAGGGATGATGATCAACCAATGCACGAGTCAAGGAACCATCTCTCCGACGGCTCTTTGCCCGTTTCGTACACGTCCCGACCGCGGGGAACATCTGCCGTCCTCGACTTCTCTTGGCTGAACTTCTTCACGGACCCTCCATTTCGGGCTTATACAGGTTCTGTAAAGATCATCTGACAGATAGAGCGACATGCAGGCCCTCGAATTAGCTTACGACTTGCCGAGAGTGGGCCATTCGTCCAGCAATTTGCCATTGCAACACCCCTTAAGTGAGCGAACAGAACGATGACCGGTCCTTCTTTTCGCCACTGCCAAACGGTGCGGGTAGCGGGCACTTGCAAAGAGCATCCGGAGCCGTTACGTTGGTAAGTGGTCATCGTTCAGCTACCCATCGATCGACCATCAGACTAACGGGCGGATAGTCACAGACTCATTGATCACGATCAGACGGGAGACTATCATGGCTCCATCTACGATCTGGTTCACAGCACTCTTGGCTGCTTCGACAAGCGCCTCACCTTTGCTGACTCGCCGTAACCTCAACGTGCTCGTGGAGGCTGACCTCGAAGGTATCACTTCATCTGTCAAGAACCTCTTCCTCCAGGGCTCCAACACTACCGTCCCCAAGAATGAACATTCTCGTTGCAAGGTCTACCCAGAAGATGCTGCATGGCCGTCCGACGAGGCATGGTCACAGCTGAATGAGTTGACTGGTAACCGCCTACTCTCAAGACCTACGCCTCTCGCTGCCGTCTGCTATCCGTCCCATCCGGACTACGATGCTGAGCAGTGTGCGACCTACTCGGCAACATGGACTCAATCGTACACACACATGCACGATCCTATCGAGATGATGTCTCCGGTTGCTCAAGGTATGACTTGCACAGCACCAGTCATCTTCGATAGCCACAACTGCACTCGAGGAGGCTTCCCGGCCTACGTTGTCAACGCCACGGAGCCAAAGCATGTCCAGCTCGCCGTCAACTTCGCCAGGAACTCAGGTGTTAGACTCATCGTCAAGAACACCGGCCATGACTTCCTTGGCAAGAGTGGCGGTAAGGATGCTTTGAGCATCTGGACACACTACATGAAGGATATTGAGTACATTGAAGAGTATGCAGACGAGGAGCTCGGTTACACTGGCCCTGCGTTCAAGGCTGGTACCGGTGTACAGGCTTTCGAAATCTACAAGGCCGCAAACGAGAAAGGCAGGATCGTTGTCGGTGGAGAAGGCGAGACAGTCGGTGTCATGGGAGGCTACATCCAAGGAGGTGCGTACGCACAACATGTGATTATATGAATATGCTGACGGAATCAGGTGGACACTCTCCGCTGACCGGACTGTACGGCACTGGTGCGGACAATGTTCTTGCCTTCGAGGTCGTCACTGCTCATGGCGAGTTCGTTGTTGCGAACTCTACCTCGCACACTGACCTTTTCTGGGCAATGCGCGGCGGAGGTGGCAGCACTTTCGGCGTTGCAACCTCAGTCACCGTTAAAGCACACCCCGATCTACCAGTCACAGCGTGCCGCTTCAGCTTTTCGTCTAAGCAGACTGGCAACGAGACGTTTTGGTCCGCCGTTCGTTCCTACCTCGACATCAACGTTGCGAACGCCGATGCCGGAACCTACACCTACTGGATGATCCTCCCATCGAACGGCTCCTTCACGTTCCAATTCTCCCCCTTCTTCGCACCAAACAAGACCCTCGAAGAAGCCACCGCCCTTCTACAACCCTGGTTCCACAAACTCGACAGTCTGAACATTACCTATGCACCCAACATCACCTACTTTGACACCTACTACTCCGCCTGGCGCTCCTCCTTCCCTCTCGAATCTGTGCAAAAAGCCAACGTCGCCACAGGCTCGCGCCTCTTCCCGCGGGCCAACTTTGAAACCGAGGAGAAGCGCCAAGAGCTGTACGAAAACATCCGCTCGTCCAGCGAGAAGAATCGCGTGCAAGTACACTTCAACATGCAGGCTAAGTCGACCAGCGACAATGCTGTGAACTCGCACTGGCGCCCTCTTGTGTCTTTCTCTATGCAGTCTGTGCGCTGGCCTATCAATAGCACCGCCGAGGAGATTCTCAAGATCAGGAAGGACTTCCAGGATGTCGATATGCAGAAGTGGAGGGATATTAGTCCTGACGCGGGAAGTTATTTGGCCGAGGCTGACAGGCTTGAGCCGGACTTTGGGCAGGCGTTCTTCGGTGACAAATACCCAAGGCTGTTAGAGTTGAAGAGCAAGTTGGACCCGCAGGACGTGTTTTTCGCGACCACAGGAGTTGGCAGCGAGAGGTGGAAGGTGGAAAGTGTGGATGGGTTGCCAAATGAGAATGGCAAACTATGTCGTGTTGAGTGAGGAGCAGATGACCAGTAGACGAGTTGTTACATTCCAGGTTTTCTATCGAGAGCCCATCTAATTTATTTCCCACAAGCAGGAAACCGTAGAGTCCGTCTGTCTTCGACAAGAACAGTGTGCGAAGACAATCCACCCTCGACCTTCCTCTCTCTCACCTTCTTCTCCTTTCGCAACACTAATCGTGCTTCTTCACCCCCTCTCACCAGCCTTGCACGCAGCCTCTCAATCTCGCGCATCATCCTCGTCCTATCCGTCGCCGGTGCCGCCGCCACCTCCTCTTCCCCACATCCCTCCATCTCCTCAGCCGTCAAACTCGTCCGACTCTGTTGCAGGACAGTGAAGCTGGAGGCATTCGCGTCGCTGGCAGCTTCGCCGGGGCTGCTCAACCCAACGAGATACTGTGCATACCCACTCACACCAACGCGATCAGGCCACTAGCGATGTGCCGTTCTCCACGCTCGTGCGAATACGCCCGTTCTGACTCGGGTAGGAGCGCAGTGTGGTGCGGTCGGGTTGGCAGTAGCATCTGTTCTCTCCGGGGCGGGGACAGGGGCGGTCTGAGGACGACTTGCTCTTGCGGGAAGCTGATCGATTGGGCCATGTTGGTGTGTGGAGGTATTCAGGAAATCAGGAAATCAGAGTCGTGTGATGGTGGTGCGAAAAGTGCAGGTGTTGGCTACGTGCGGCCTTGGTGTGGAGTTTGAACTGTGAGATGTGAGTCTGCAGGGTGGTGATGAGATGCAGACGCACAGAAAGCGAGGAAAGCGAACGTATTCAAAATGACTCAAACTGCGCACCTGAACCATTAGAACGGCTTTGTATTCATCCATGGATCACCATGTCCTCAGCCACGACTATCTATCTCTCTCATGCAACCCAACCAACCGACTATCATGCAATCTGTTCACACCCAATAACCTCGCGCGTAATGTGTAATCCCCCTCATATTCCGCGCATACGTAGACTGATATCTTACTTTTTGCATTGAACATGACTTTTTCCTAACGATCGCCCCGCCAATGATAAAGATGGAAAGAAAACGCCGGCTCTGACCCAAGAATTTACATAGAAGGCAATGTACAAGTAAAGGAAAGAAAAGGGCGCTAAGGGTTTAGCGACCCGATCTATCCTTGGTCTGCGCTCTGCGCTTCTTTTGTACCTCTGTGGATGTTGTCAGTAAAGTTAGTTGATGCGGAGTGGAGAGGGGACGGCGTACCTTCGTCGTACACCAGGAATTCGTGCAGAGCACTTCCTGTGGGTACCATGGGCAGGACAGGAACCTTCTGGTCGGTGACAACCTCGAGCAAAGCCGGGCCGTCGGACTCGATCAGCCACTTCAAAGCTCCCTCGAGCTCGTCAGGCTTGATGACGCGCTTGGCCTGGACGCCCATAGCGTCACCGAGCTTGACGAAGTCGGCGTTCTTCTGATGTGTGTGCGAGAAGCGGTCCTCGAAGAAGAGGGTCTGCCATTGTGTGACCATGCCCTGCTCCTCGTTGTTCAGGACGATGACCTTGCAGCCAATGTTGAACTCAGCAGCAGTCGACAGCTCAGTCAGGGTCATGCTGAAAGACGAGTCACCGTCAATGTCGATGACCAGGCAGTCTGGTCGGGCAACCTTGGCACCAATAGCCGCGGGCAGACCGTAGCCCATGGTACCAAGACCTCCGGATGTGATCATGGTGCGCGGGTGTGTCCACCTGAAGTGCTGTGCAGCCCACATTTGATGCTGTCCAACACCGGTTGTGATGATGGTCTTGTCCTTCATGTGTGCAGTCAAGTTGGAGAGTGTCTCGATGACGGTCTGGGGCTTGATCAAGCCGTTCTCGCCCTCCTTCTCATAGGCCCAGGGGAAGCGCTTCTTCCAGTCGGCGATCTGAGCAAACCACTCCGGCCTGTCCTTGACGATGTTGACGAGGGGCAGCATCTGGGTCAGACTGGCACCAACGTCGCCCGCAACAGCTTCGGTGGCCTGGATGACCTTGTTGATATTCTTGGGCATGATCTCGAAGTGGACGATGCCACCACGGCCTTCCGCTGCGGCGGCCTTGGCAGCCGGCGCGAACTTGGCCACAGCTCCGGTGATACGGTCGTCGAAACGGGCACCGAGAGCAAGGATCAAATCGGCTTCCTGCATGGCCATGTTGGCGTATGCGGAGCCGTGCATACCGAGCATGTGCAGAGACTTGGGATCGAGCTCATCGAAGCCACCGAGGCCTTGGAGGGTGGTAGTAACGGGGATGTTGGCCTTGTCCGCGAGCTCCTTCAGGAGCTCGGGCCCATTAGGTGTCTGGAGGATACCCTGTCCAGCGTAGATGACAGGCTTCTTGGCGATGTTGATCAGGTCGGCAGCTCTCTTGATCGAAGCCTCGAGCTGCTTCTTGGAGACCTCCCTTGCGGCCAGAGTCGCGGCGCTGGTGGAAGGAGGGAGGGTGCTGGAGATGGGGATAGGGCGGTTGAGGGTGCCGCCGGTGACATCCTTGGGCAGATCGACAAGCACGGGTCCAGGACGACCGCTGGTAGCGATTTCGAAAGCCTCGTTGATCCTCTTGGGCAGCTCGGCGATGTTCTTGACCATGACGTTCCACTTTGTGCATGCTCGTGTGATGCCGACGGTGTCGGCCTCCTGGAAAGCATCGGATCCGATCATGTTGGTGACGACCTGTCCGGAGAAAACGACCATGGGTGTTCCGTCCATGAGGGCGTCCTGCATGGGAGTGACGACGTTGGTGGCACCGGGGCCCGAGGTAACAAGCACGACGCCAGGCTTGCCGCTGGCGCGGGCGTAACCCTCGGCCATGTGGCCAGCGCCCTGCTCGTGCCGTGGGAGGATGAAGTCGAAGTGAGGGGACTGGTAGATGGCATCGAAGACGGGGAGAATGGCGCCTCCAGGGTAACCAACTGAGTCAGCGTGTTAGTGCTCTGATACGTGTCTTTGGAGAAATGCGAGCATCACGGGCTCGATGGCGGAGACATACAGATGTGCTTGACGCCCTGGCGCAGCATCATCTCGTGGAAGATCTGGCCACCAGTCATGCCGACGAACGAGTGGTCCATCTCAGGCGCACGGTAGGGCTTCAGAGGCTGCACGCTGCCATAGTCCTCGCGGTTGAAGGCCGGCGCTGGGCGGGCGCGCGACTGTGTCTGCGAGGCGGCGGCGGCGGCGGCGGCGGCAGTGCTCTGTGTTCTGACATCCTCCTTGACGACTTTTGTGGCGGCTGCTTGGGCTGGTCGGGTCAATGGCGATGACTGTGCTCGCACAGCCGAAGTGGAAAAAGTGCGTGTGCCCTTGATGGCCGCGATGGCGCGGGTCCGTGATTGCTGCATGGCGGGGAAGACGCGTCCGGGCAGGACTGTGTACTGCAATCGCGAGGGTGGAAGGTGCGATTGAGGTTGCTCGAGGCGTGAATGAGGGAGGAGGGAGCCTCTGCAAGTCTGCTGCTTGAAGAGTCACTGCTTCGCCTCCAGGGCACCTCCAGACCGGCCCTTTTAGTGAAATATGACGGGGGCGCTGATTGGCCACTCAACTGTGGGGAAACCGATGATCGGAGACGACTGACAGCCGGAGCATGTGAGCTTAAGCCCGAAGAGACAACCCTGGCACACACACCATGAGCCTCAACCCACAACGCAGCAGCACCCATGGCCGCTCGCCGAGTGGACGGGTCCTCCTGGCCCGGCGCATGACCAAGGGCCCTCTTGACGCCGATGGTGTCCTCGACGACCCGCTCGCCCCCGATGCGCCGACCAGCACCAATGCCAGCAATGCCAGCAATGCCAGCACCCCCAGCACCCCCTCGCGCGTCCTCTCACCCACACGCTCGCCCATAGCCTCTCCCCCGCCAGAAGCCAGCGCCGCCGCCAGCGCCATACAGGCCAACCTCTCACTCGACGTGTCCTTTCTCCGCGACCCGTCCGCCTACCACGCGCTCCCCACCACCGCCCCGCTGCCCTTCCAGCATGCTTCGAACATCCCCTCTGTCGCAGCACCCATAGCCTCGCTCCTCCTGTCCGGCCACTACCGCCTCGCCGCCATCGCTGCGGCACGCAACATCGTCTCCGCCGCAGCATCCACCGACTACCCCACGCTCTTCCATCTCGTGCACATCCGGCTGGCCTGTCTCTGCTTGATCAGCGAGCACGCGCTTGCAGCCCAGGAAGCGAAAGTCTTGGGCGATCTGAACAGCGCCTTCTACCGCCACCCGCTGACGAATGTGCATCTCGTTCCCTGGGAGCTGCGGCTGCTGGTTGTGCGGTTGACGGCGCTGGGGTATGGCGAATGGCGGAAGGGGATCATGGGCTACTATGAGCTGGCGAGGGAGTGTCGCGAGAGCATCATCCGAGCGGCCGAAGAGCCTGAGAGGGCACTCTGGAGAAGGAGACTGAGCGATTGTGGGATTCGGGTTGCGAATACCCTCGTTGAGATGGGTGATTTGGAGGGCGCGGGGAGACATTTGGGGACGTTGTCCAAGAACGGCGGCGACACGGGCTCAGCCGAGGCCAGGGAAGCGCTGGTCATGGAGACGCTGGTCTGGCTAAGAGTCGGTGATCTCGCGAGCGCACGACGTTGCCTCGCGGGAGCATCTGAAGCTGAGAGTGATGCGCTTCTTGACGGTACGCTGGCAGCACTGGTGCAGCTTGCAGACTCCGACTACGAAGCTGCAGCGTCATCCTTCCGCAGTCTGCACGAACAGTTCCCTGAGGATGCCATGGTTGCTCAGAACCTCGCCGTGTGTCTACTGTACACAGGCCGCATCCCAGATGCCAGGGACCTGCTCTCGAACCTGGTCGATCAGAGTCCACCTTTCCACTCCATGGTTTTCAATCTGAGTACTGTGTTCGAATTGTGCACGGAGCGGAATAGGGACAAGAAGGCCGAGATGGCAGAGAAGCTTGCAGGCCGGAAGGACGGCGGAGGTGTTGGCTGGGAGAGAAGTGCAGTCGAGTTCAAGCTATAACCGCTACTCGACTAGACGCGATGTTACGAGTTACGATCTCAGATATGTTTTGCTGGTAAAGATGTACGAAGAATAGATTGACATGATCTACCATATTCAGGAAGCTACCTTGGCGGAGCTATATATCAATGATTGCATCGCGGTGCAGTCTTCTCCCGTCATGCTCTTACAATGGAACAAAGGATGTACAGTATGGAGAAAGTCCAAATACTCATATCCAAACCGCCCAATTTTCGAGTCTCTTCCAAAAGCGCCAGTGTAGCAGATGCCGGCCCATATGCTGTGGCGCCGCGTGGTATAGTATTGAGTTACGATATCGACGGTAAGGAAAGCTGTGCGTAACCGTGGAACTGCCAAAATGAGACAAATCTGCGAAGCCTCCCAATGGAGCTACAATGAAAGTAAAGTCAGAAGCTAGCTCATAGTGGTGGCGGGCTCATCCAAATGCGCTTTGCATACGGATTTCCCAAAGTCACAACTCTTCATCTTCTTCCATCTTTGATTCGATGGTCGTGGTGGGGATCGTACCCTCAGAGTTTCCTCGCTCTTTTTGTGCACTCAAGAGAGTCTGGCCCAGGCTCTTGCGCACGTTCTCGTCGAAGCCTGGCAAGGAAGCGCGGTGCTTCTTGAATGGTGAGGCGACACTGCTCTCGACGTCGGCGGTCGCAGTGGTGGATGAGGAGCCTTCGGCGGCCGAGTTGCCTGGCACAGGTGTGCCAGAGACAGGTGACCCGGAGGATGACTCGCCTGCGGGCGGACCGTGTGCAAGAGGTTCAGCGGAATGCTGTCGTTTCAGCTGTAATGGGGTCAGTCGAGTCGTTCACGATAGTTTGGTAGGACAAACCTTGATCTTCCGCACGCCTTCTGCAAGTTCACCCTGCTTGGCTGAATCCTCGGGCGAAAGCATGCCTTTGTCCATGACGTCCTTATCATCATCGGCATCGTCAGCCCTCGCATCGTCTTCGTCGTCCGCGTCGCTGTCCATGGCGTCTTCATTCTTCTTCTTAGCCTTTGGTGAGTGCATATCGCGGTAGCCTCCAAAGTTCTTTGTGCCTGAGGCTGCGTTCAGGGGCTTAAGGCTGCCGAAATCCAGTCCTGATTTCCGACGGGTCGCCGGTGATGCTACAGTAGCCTTCTTGTCGTCGGTCTCAAGAATACCCATCTTCTGCAATTGACCTGCTTGTCTTAGCTTTGAACGTCTCGCAAACCCCTGTGTACACTTACGCTCTCCGCGGTACAAGAAAGTAAAGACAGCATATGGCTTGTCTGGGGGGTCAATACCGGTGACGGTCTGTGTGCTAATCGACTTGGGATCCAGCGTCTTAGGCTTGGCAAAACTTGTGGTGTGGTCGATATCTTCGCCATCGCCGCCGTTTGCTTCATCGTCGTCGTGCGCATCAAATTGCGGCGAGTACTCCCCGCGCTTAATCTCGCCAGACGCTAGGACACGGAACAAGGCGACCTTGATCTGACCTGCAGCTTCCGGTACAGGAGGCTCGTCGTCTGAGTCGGAGTCTGATGTGAAGAAGTCATCGTTCCCTGACAATGCTTCGACGGGCGCATCCTTCTCATCGCCGTAGCGCAGAACACCATTTCGTGATGGTTTGCTCTCGTCTTCGTCACTGCTGCCGCGCGCTTCCCTCCTCTTCCTGCGCTTCTTCTCCAGACGCTGCTTTCTCCGCTCGATCTTGGCAGCCACGTTCTTGTCTGTACCCTCGAGATCGAGTCCGTTGAGCCAACGTTCTAGCCCGACTTCGCGGAACAGGAACTCGCGCTCAGCTAGTCCTCCTCCTTCTGAGTCTGGCACGCTGACCCAACGGGAGTTCACCCATGTTTCCTCACCGCGCCGTAACAGTGTCGCTACCTCCTCTTTTGCTCGTCCATCGAAGTAGATATAGGCGGCGATCGTCTCGTTTGGTGAAGTCGTGAGAGGCTTGTAGGGAGCGATGCCAGCACCGTACTTGCCCCGCTCGCTGGTGAAGCCTGGGAGGCCGCCGACGATTTTCGGTTTCGGGTTGGGGTCTTCGGCAGTGGGCTTGGGTGCCGAGTAGGGGACATGGAGACCTGGGGTGAGTAGAGTGATCGAGATAGCGAATGTAGACTGCTCAGGCTTGGTAGCACCAGGCGGAATTGTTGCGGGCGGCACGGGAATGTACGACGTAATGCGGTGGAATTTGGATTGCTTCTGTATCGAGTGCTCTGACAGCGGCCCGTTGGGAGTGTGGATGCTCACCGCGAGCCCCAGGAAGCAGGGCATGGCAGGCTATAGATAGCGGTTACCTGCGCAGGGAGATTACCGCGGGGGTGGTGCGGAGCTGCTCGTAGCTGCGTGGCCTCGGCTCGCTTCAGATATACTGCTCTGTCTCTGCCGGGAGAGGAAGTTACACAGCAAACGAGCGAAATTTCGGTGTGGGGTAGATTTGGGTGATAGTGTTTATGATTGCGGTGTAGGCGGCGGAGAGCGCTCGGAGCGAGAAGAGGGACGATGCTCCTACTAACGGGGCCAATCACATAAATGACCACAGAGCCGCGTGATAGCGCGTGTCCGCGGCACGCAGTCAGTCACAAGTTCGGAGGAGAGTGAGTGTCGTTCTAAGTGAAGTGAGGTCAAGAAACATGAACGATGTTGATCGCGGCGGCGTGGTGTGTCTATGTGATTGGGCGCCTTCGCGACAATGAGCAAGTCAAAGGTCCCTTGACCCCGGCCCCGCGGCGGGCGCGTCATCGTCAACAAACACTGGCGAGGTCATGCACAAATTGTGCCTGATCATCGCTAATGTCTCACTATGCTTGATATGTCTTTCACTGTCTTCGCAAAGTGCTTACATACATTCGTCTAGTCCAGGGTATCTTGTACAAATCAACGCTGCATTGTTCACTCTCCATCTGATGCAAACATGTCTTCAGCTTTTGGTCGCAGGCGCCTAGCCCGCGCCGCTGCAGTCTCTCCTGGTATTTCAGGTGTTGCATTGACTGAACTGTTTTTTGGTGTCGGTTCGACACCCTTGACCTCCGGTTCAGCGGGTGCCACTGTCTCTGGCGCCGCTTGGGGCGTACCGTCGTTCGACCCGTCAAGTGCGTTGATGTACTCACCATCTTCTTGGTCGACGTCCATCTTATCATCCCCATCAGCGTCGTCCACCTTTGTGCTAGTAGTAGCCTTTGAGGCGGCCTTGCGCTTGTTCCTCTTTTCTGCCAGTTTCCGTTCTTGCTCAGCCTGCTCCTTCTGTCTTTCTTGCGCGTTGAAAGCTTCATCAAGGTGTTCTAGAGCAGGTTTGTCGAACAGATGCTCGTCTTTCCAGACTGTGAGGATACTGTTAACCTCGTCCCTGTATGTTCTCTCGGTCATGCGTCCCATCTCGAGCTGTGCAGGGAGCCTTTGAAGATGCTCAAAAGCCTTACGCTCTACAAGCTGCGTACCGATGGCCAGTCGGTACTTGTATGACGCGCCAGACTCTCTCGACGTGGTGAGGAGAACGTCGGAGATGATGCGAAGGGCGTTCAAAGTAGTTTGTCGCAGATCTGTACGTCTACGTTCTTCTCGACCTTCTGCCTCACCAAGGCGTCTTCTTGTGTTGGTCTCGGTCATCTGGAAGGGCTCGATCAGATTCGAGATTAGGATGTGTATGACCTCGTCCATGCCTTGCGCAGCATGTTCAACAGCAAAGACAGAGATGGCAGCTATGTCATCTGCAACAATGCTTCCGGGTGGTAGTGATGTGAGCAGCCACAGAAACATCGCTCTTGATCGAGGGCTCATGATACCGTGGTTGTTGTCGACCCGACCAGGATAGTTGTCGCCAACGGGGAGCTGCCTCTGCTGAGGCTTCTCCTCATCTTCGTCATCCTCGGAGTCTTCATAGTCGGCATCGAATGCTCCTAGGTGGTTCGCAAACTCGTCCGCTAGTGGATCTGTCGGTCCTTGCCACATACCTTGCCGAGCAAAGATCTCCGAATTTGGGGTGTCGCATACGATTTGGTGCATTCTCCACCTATAGTACCGGTTTACGGGGTGCTTTTGATCGAAGAGCCAAGCGAAGCGTTCTTCTTCCTGAACTTGTGGATCGTTCATCAGACCAGCCTCGAACTCCACACCGCCATTGATGACACCTTCAATCGTCATATGTACCAGACGCAGCGTTGCCATGTCCGGTGGCTGGTTGGCAGTGACAACCAGACGTTCGGTATCTTCGCGCGGGCGGTCCCTGTCCCTAGCTCCACCTCCAAGGTCTGGTGGAGGAGCATAGCCTTTAGCTATCTCTGGCGCTTGCCATCGAGCGCCAAACGGTTCTGTTCGTTGTTCTGTACCCACAACACGTCCACCAAGATACCTATCCAAGTGCAGATAGTAACCTCTCCCCAGGTACTTCTTGTCGTTTAGCCTGTTCATAGCGTCGTCAAGATCTCGCGCATTCGCATCTTTGTCAAAAATGATCTTCATTGCCAAGCTGGGTCGTCCCTTCATCGCTGGACCTTGCGGGGGGATCTTCTCGATCTTTGTTACTTTGAGCGACGGGAAGTCCGCGAAGAGCTCCTCGACGCGTTTCGAATCCATTGTTGGAGGTAGATTCGATGCTTTCGCTACCACCGTTGTGTACAGATTCTCCCTCTGCTTGGATCCATCGAGAGAGCCTGGACCCGTAGGAGCTGTGCCGCCAAATCGTGGTTGTGTTGGAGGGTTGAGTCGTCCTGGCCCTGCGTTTCTGAATTCATCGAGAGGATCTGTTTCGAGGGTCCCAGGTCCACTTTTCATATTCCGTTGTCGACCTGTGAAGTGTCTCTTGCTTCCCGTAGGAACAAATACTTCTTCCTCCTCTTGTCGCTCTGGTTCGCCGAGGACCTTGCTACCAGCACCGTGCTCCTCCTCGAACTCGGCCATGACCTTGTCCAATGCATTTTTCTCCTCGCGCACCTTTGCCTCCTCTTCTGCTTTGGCCTTGGCGTTCAATTGGGCTTTGTTGCCCTTGGCCGCACCCAATGAGAACTTGAACGCCATGTTGGTGGTGTGAAGTGTGAGCGGAAGCTCCCGCAAAAGTGAACGTTGCGGGAGACGAGCTGCAACATCCACTAGCGCCGATCACTTTATCGATAGCGCGCCGTGCCATGCCTTCGCCATCGTCATCTCGCAAACAACGACCTCGATATTCCCCTGACTACTTCCAAATTGGCAGCATGGTGTCGGTGCAAGAAGTCCAATCTTTGCTCCATTTCCTGTCAAAAGACGCCAAAGTGCCGCTTGGTCAGGCATTAGGGAAAGTCAAAGACCTCCAAGCCGCTAAACTGCTGACGCGTAAGCACGTGAGAGCGTAAAAGCGCGACAGGTCTGACCAAGTGTGTACAGCTGAGCAAATCGCCAAAGCCAACTTCCAGAGTCTGAAGACCATCTTTGAAGATGAGAAGATAGCACGACAGGTCCTCAATGCCGCCAAACGGGCATCGAAGAAGCGAACTTTGAGCGATCCATCTGGTCTAGGACCGACGCCAGCGTCATCACCCAAGAAGATCAAGCCGTTATATGGACAATCCCTCACGCCGTCAGAAATTGAAGCTTCACTCGCGCTACCAGAAGCGATAAACAATGAAGACATACTCAAATCCAAAACCATCTTCACTAATCGAGCACCACTAGTCTTGGCATTCACAGTGGCACTGCTGAAATTCACCATGCCAGAACAGCCGTTATCAAGCAGACTGAGCCTCGCACAAGCCGTCGTCAGTATGAATAGCAAGACCAAAGCAGTGCACATCGGTATCGACAGCGGAAAGACAGCAGAGGATGAAGGCTGGGGAGAAGGGCAACCAATCATTCGAATCATGAACAGAGAGGTTCGAGTAATGAAACGCTGGGGCTACGAGTGGGAAGAGACCTCAACAAAAGAGAAAGTCAAGAATGAGGAATGCACCGTGAGAGAGGAGGACTCAACACAAGGGGCCCTTGTAGGTGACAATCCGCCGACTGAAGCTAAAGAGCCCGCGCTATGGGGTATCGATCTGGAGGCACTCAAGAAAGCCAACTATGGATCCAACTCGCACAAAGGATCAAGCCAACTCCCAATATACACCGCTCAAGGGGCACGAGCGTATCTGCTGAAGTCGTTCGAAACCCCAAAAGCGGCCTTGACCGACAGCGAGGCTACACCTGTCAAAAGGACCGCTGCTTCTCTAACAGCGGAAAAAGAGCGGAATCTTGGGATGTTGCTGGGCGCTCTCGAGCTTTTGTATCAGTCTTGGGCCCAGGTTCTGAGCAAAGAAGACCTCGATAGACAAGCTTGGGGCTGGTATGTACGTATCCGTCCGGAAGTGGCGTCCGGCCAGGCCGGCTGGGGCGAGAAGGGCACTGTAAAATTGTCAGACATTCTTGAGCTGAGGCGGTCTGTGGATCAACGAATGTAACTATGCAAGTGTTCATGACAAATTGTTGCCGTATCTTGGACGGCAGATAGTTGTCCGTGTTGTATCTTGATATTCTGCTTGTACTCAAGACTGCTCAAGCCGCACTCTCACCCTCGGAGCCACTGGAACCAGACGAACTCTTCCTCACATTCGCTGGATACCAACCGCTGAGTGCGTCTAGATCCTTGATTATAGCCACTTTTGCAAACTTACTTCCCCCTTGCTGCTTCACTGTAGTGCTGACAAGGTCCTTTCCCTTCTTCGCAAACACATTCTTATAATGCTTATTACGGTCTAGCATTAGCGCATTCCATCCAGCTCTTTTAGCCCCAAAGAAGTCATGTTCGAGAGAATCGCCAACATACAGCTTCTCAAAGTCCTCCACCGTCAGACCATCGTCTCTCCCACTCAACGTCTCTTCGAACGATTTGACTGCGGCGTCGAAGATGCCACGCTCGGGCTTTTCGACACCAACGTCGTAGCTGAGTACAACAAAACTGATGTCGTCTTCCAGAGCGGCTTCTGCTGTGCGCTGGTCTGGTGTACCCACTCTCCTTGGACCGATTTTGAGACCGAACGACGATAGGATGCTAGGCACTCGGTCGTCTGAGTTTGTGATGATACCGACGACCGTTTTATCCCAGGGCCAGGATTCGGTTGAGGATTTGTTCCGTAGCATCTGAAAGAAGGGCTTGACGTCCGGGAAGATATCATAGCCCTCATCCGTAGAGTACCGAAGTAAAAGTTTGTCCACCATAGCTTGAGGTACGTCTTGGCCTGGCTCCAGCCACGGCTGGAACGTGCTGTGAATCACCTGTATGTTGTTAGGTGTTGTTCGATCTACGCATTGGCACGTCTAAAGCACACTGAGGTCTTACGTTCTTCCACCACTTCTCTGCACCGAGATTTGTGGCCTTGCCATAGTTTGGACTTCTTTTCATCCCCTCTTTGTATGCTCTTTTGAACTCTCTGCCAACGTCCGCCTCAGGGTTCTTGGTCTCGCATTTCACTCCATGTTTGATGGCAGCCTGAGCATACGCTCTTGGGATTGGTGTATTCGGTTGAAACAACGTCCCAAATGCATCAAAGCACAATAACAGGTTCTTCTTCGCACACTGCGCTCGTGTTGGAAACATAGTGACGTTGTTGTCTGGTCGCACCTAGAGCGCGCTGAAAGGGGCAGGTGGCCCTTGCTCCTCCAATGGGACACGATGACCTCCGCGATTTCAACACCACGTCAACTGCAGTCACTCATTTCACTAATTGCCCACCGCATAAGATGGCTCCAATCAAGCAGACCAAGGACAAATACTCTGTCCTCCTCCCCACATACAACGAGCGCCGCAACCTGCCCATAATAGCATGGCTGCTCAACAAGATGTTCACGGAGAAGTACGTGTCCCTGCAACCCCTCAAAGAAGCACCACAACAGCAGCATTGGTAGCTAACAGCGATTTCACAGCAACCTGGACTGGGAGCTCATCATTGTTGACGACGGCTCACCAGACGGCACGCAAGAAGTCGCCGCGCAACTCCAAAAAGTCTACACACCGCAGCACATCCAAATCCGCGCGCGCGCCGGCAAGCTAGGCCTGGGAACTGCGTACGTCCACGGCCTGCAGTTCGCAACGGGCAACTTCGTCATCATCATGGACGCCGACTTCAGCCACCACCCCAAATTCATCCCGCAGATGATCGCGCTGCAGAAGACCAAGGACTACGATATCGTCACCGGCACACGGTATGCGGGCGACGGCGGTGTCTATGGCTGGGACTTGAAGAGGAAGTTTGTGAGCCGTGGTGCGAATCTGTTTGCGGATACAGTGCTGAGGCCGGGTGTTAGTGATTTGACGGGTAGCTTTAGGCTGTATAAGAAGGAGGTGTTGCAGAAGGTTATCAGGAGCACGGAGAGCAAGGGGTACACATTCCAGATGGAGATGATGGTGCGCGCGAAGGCTATGGGCTGTACGGTTGCTGAGGTGCCTATCTCGTTTGTTGACCGTCTGTACGGAGAGAGCAAGCTTGGTGGTGACGAGATTGTCGAGTACGCCAAGGGTGTGCTGAACCTGTGGTTGAAGGTTTGAGCGAGCAAGAATGCATGGCGTCGGCGTTGGACGGTAGGGAACATGGGCATTATTGGGAGCTCTCGGGCTTGCTGATCAATGATATCCACGGCAGGTAGGTAGATGATTACTTTGGCTTTGCGTACATCTACTACTGCCGTTAACTATAATAACTCACTTCTTCTCCTTTGTCACCGTTCAAGCTCCCAGTCTTTGTCATTAAACGATCACTTTTCCACGTAGTCACTTTTCTGGCGCCCCTAGAACTCCGGTGGCGTCTGGAACTCCTCTTCACTTTCAAGATCCTCCTTTCCCACCGGGTGGCTCGTGAGCGCAGCAGTCCGACTCGCCGCAGCAGGCATGTCGCAGAACGACTTCGTTGCTGAGTCCTTCCTGGGCTGCATCTCGACTGACTGATACGGGTTACCGGTGACGGGCAGATGTCTTTGACCCTCTAGACTGCCTTCACCCCCTTTAGTAGCCGGCGGAGATGACGAAAGGGAGGTCTCGGTGACAGGCAGATAATCTTGTGCGGTGGTGAAATGATCTCTGTCGTTCGCCGGTTCGGGTTCGTTGGCGGACGAGTTCTTGGACAAGAGGAAAGTGGAGATAGAGCGTTTGGTCTGCTTCTTGGCCTGTGGCTCATGCTCTGTCGGCCGGGGCGAGAGGGTCTGCAGTGGTGGCGTGTTGCCGGGCTTGGTGTTTATATCAGGCTTGCTGGGCACTTTACTCCCTCTTGAGCCAATAGACATGAACCGCCGCAGCTTTGTAGGTTTGTGTTCTGGTTTGCGGATGGCGGTATGTTTATGATCGAGTTCGACTGTCGGCTTACTGTCGCTGGCGCCGTCAAGGTTCATTGTTGCGGTGAAGTGAGTTAGAAGGTATGAAGACTATGGTGAGTGCATTAGGGAATAGGTGTTCACGCAGTACTCGTTCGATCTCTTCCTCTTCGGCTGTATGTGGCCACACATGCTCTTGCTTGTGCGGGATCCTTGTGAGTTGCCGTGACTGCCACGAGCTAGGGTGAGAAGGAATGAATGATTTGATCATTGGGCAGGCAGGTAGCAACGCCTATGAGCACCCTAGATATCAAAGCCGACGCATATAAGCATGATGTCAATATAATTTGGCGGGAAGAAAATAGTAACAAACGATAGAAAGGAATGTGCAATGTGTAGTACAAGGGACTATAGTGAGAGCACTAAGACGGGTGTTCAGTTGGCAACTTCTTGAGTTCTGTGCAGAAGTATTCCTGCGGATTGCCGGGACAGGTAGGCGGTGGGTTTGAAGCAAGGGTTCAGATCTGGTGTTTCTCCGTGTTCCGTTCAAGTTGGCTGTAAAGGACTTCGTAGGCTTGCAATGCGGTGTCGCTAGGTATTGTTATGACAAGGTCAATATCGCAGTCGTCCCGTATCATAAGTTATATCGACCTATGCTCGTGAGCAGCACCTCCGACTCATCGCAACAAGTGCACATATTAGCACGCGTGTGGAGGTATCGTTTCATTCAGGAGCATGTCCCAGTTCGTTGATTTCCTGGTTATCATGTCTCCTCGCATATCCTCCCCAGTCACAGCGCCTCGCAGCACCAGACTAACGCATCCATGTCCTCATGATGACCATGTGTAAAGCCGATCGATTCGTGAAGAACTCCGAAACCGAAGGAAAATGCCAACGCGCCACTTCTCCCCAAAGCAAGCACTTATCGCAGGCGGCGGGCCTCGCGTTCGGACTCGAGCAGGCAGAGAATGTCGTTCTCACGGACTGTATTGTATTAGTTTGCCGGTTGCGACAGGATGGTGAGGGGAGGTTGCGTACCAGCGCCCTTGACGTTGCGGATGATGGAACGGGTCTGGTCGTCCATGAACTCGACACGGCACTGGGTGACACCACCACGGGAGCCTATGTCGCTGTTAGCCTACATTTCTTGCATTTCTTCATGTCCAAGCCTCGAGCAGCCAGCAGACTGCAGCCATGCAGTTGCCTCCATCTCTTCCTTGTGCGCTGCCTCAGTGCGGGGATCGCGTACCGGTTCGGCCAAGGACACGGGTGACCTTGACGAGCTTGACGGGGGCCTTAGCGGTATCCATTGTGTGAGATTGTGTGTTCGACGGGAGACGGTCGTTCGGTGTGGATTTGCGCGGCGGGTGGAGGGTGAGCTGTTGTGAAATCGCTACTCACAGTTGCCAGGAATTTCGCTAGCACGGTGTGCGCCGCTAGTGCGATAAGCGCTTGCCGTTATTGGATCGTTACGTGGCCCCACCCCCTTCACAGTAACTTCACTCATGCATCAACATCGCAGGTGCCCAACTTTTCCTACTGTTCTTGTACTGCTAGCTACAAAATGAGTTTCTGTGCTATTTGGACAGGTCAGCCACGAAAACATTAGTAATTATGGTACTCAAAAATCTTGAAAACCTCGACGCAGAGGGACTGGCTGAGAGTAAAGGAGGCCGCCCAGAGGTTGACTGCAATCAACACTTGATTTGCAAACCTTCCAAATCAGGCAACTTCAACGAACATGCTGCAGACCACGCAACAGTGCAGCTGTGGTCTTGGTTCAAACATGGGATGAAATCTGGTGCATAGGCGAAAGCGAGCGTCTTCGGTAGTGAAAAAAGCGGATACAAGCCCATGGTCCTTGAACCATGGGAGGCACTCAGTGCTGATTGGCAAGCCATCTGCAATCTGATAAGGTCTCTAGGACCACAACGATCTCTGTGTTCTAGCCGACGTTACCTGCACCACGAGAGCAAGTCCATACTCGTTTGTACATACATGGGCAGCCAAAATCCCGGATCTATGTTGCCCGAGCAATACGTTCATCGATACTAGGATGGTCTATAGGTTCTCTGGAGCAATTTTGTGCCGCAACGACCGTTTCCTTGTCCATCCATCAGACATGTGTCGAGGGTTACTTGGGCGAGCAGAAGAGACCTTATCTGAGGGTCTACGTCTCTCTCCTGCAGACTTCGCCGAAACGGATCGAGGCTCCTTGGACCGCAACCGGTGTCTCCTCGACGAAGCATCGCGGGTTCTGCGCCTCACTGAAGTCACGAGTGCTCTGACTGACCTTCTCCTGCGTTCGGTGATTGGCCGGGTTGAGGATGATGAGGCGTCATCATCAATCGCCTCAATCTCGGCCTCTTCTTCCTCCTCTTCCTGTTCTTCAAGTTCAGATTCGCTCTATGTGATGGTTAGCAGAAAATCGTCATTGTCATGTGCTTACTCATGGCTTATCAAACCTCGATAGGCATGGGAAACGCATCCCTCACTCGCTGCAACCAGGTTTCACTTGCACCGAAGGCAGGATCCATAAGGTAGTTGTGTTCCGTCCCCTCAACTACCTGACTCCTGTACCTGTAGCTATTGCGATTCGGTAGATAGGTCGAATGTAAGTTCTCTTTCCCAAAGGGCTCCGGCGTCAATTGGTGTGACATCCAGCAGCTGTCGAACCAGATCTTGCCTTTCTCGCCGACCATTGCATCTATCTGTGCATGAAACGTGTCAACTGCCCATGACCTACCGAAGCCATCTATACCATGTTCTTCGTCGATCATCTTCGAGATTAAAGGCACGGCGTAGTCGAAGTCTGACCAGAAGACACTTGACGAGCACCAGGCGATAGAGCGAGGCTTCCGCAAGAACAGTTGAACGTCCGCCGATATGCCGTCCATACACTCGGCGAACAGAAATGCTGTGATGTGCCTTCGAAGTTCCTCCACAACGTGATCGTCGTCCAGTGACAGCTCGGCTGGCTCATCGTGCGAGAAAAGTGAGGTACCTCGTGTTCGCATGCTCAAAGTCGTCGGTGTCAATGGAATAGGAGCCGGGACTGATCCTGAAGCCGGTGTCGTACCCGAACGATGCATTGAATCTCTGATGCCTTGCATGAGATTACCGCTCAGTCCAGCCAGGGGTGTGACGTTGTCGTTCACGAATTTTACCACCGAGATGAATTTGCCGAGAATGGGTGCGGGAAGCAGTTCGGTTGCTCGCAACTGCGATATCTTGGAGTGTGAGTGGTGCTAAAACAGGAAACGCTGTCAGCAGCCTTTCCAGTTATGATCGAAGATGGGTGCTCAAAAGACCGGGCCATGCTCTGCTGCATGTTGCAGTGTACGTACAACCCAAGGGGCGAAGAAGCAGACATAGGGAGTCTCTGGATGCAGGAGACACGGATAGGTGAGCATTGTGTTTAATAGGTAGATGTCGCCGCCGCTGTGACTTGCGAGAGAGACGTGAGCGATATTCAGATGAGCAAGCAGTAATGGTACCATTTCTGCAAGTGTCAGCATGCTGCATGCCAGCATTACGCGCCCACGATGACCAACCGAGCCAGGTCTGTATGCGCTTCTCCAGATCTACAGGCTGGCTGCCTCCAATTCCAGGCCTGTCCGGATGGAGGATTCTGACATTGTACGCTTTGGCTAGTTGATCGAGGGGAGAGTAACAGAATCGACTGCCCATCAGAGCACCGCAGAATAATACCACCGCATTGCTGTCAGGATCGCCGTAGTCCGCATACGAGACTCGATATGGCGTATGTCGACCCGTGTCAGTACTTGGCGGAAGAATGTAGCTTTTGTGGAATCGAATGTCGCAGAGGAAGTCGAGTACAGACATGCTAGACACAAAGAACGATGGACAGCCACCGTTCGCAAGGCTGATAAAGATACGACAGTGAAGCGGTGAGGTTTAGGAATGCGTTGCGTGTGGTACTGAGTGCTGACAGGAGCGACAGGTATGTTCCGGCGATATGGCTTAGGAAATGATGACCAGTGCAGAGTGCAGAATGCAGAACAGCAGCCACGACAGCTTAGACATGGGAAGCAGCCCGCGATCGAAAGAGAGAAAGAATCTTCAGGCTCGCTCTCGGGTTAATTGTCAACTAGGCATTTTCCTACATCGACGAGATCATGTTTTCGATCCCATCTCGACTGCGCTGGTCATTGCGCTATCGTAAATGCCGCAGCAACCGCTCACTCAGCACGTGTCTGTAAAAGAATACTCGACTGCTTTGCGAAGGACGGATGTTGCATGTCAGATCGGCCAAGGCCTAGATGTTCAACCCCCCGGGGTTTGTCTGGTACGCAGGAAGCTGACAGCTGTGCGGTGTCTCCAGTCGTTAACAGTTTACCGATCTCGAGCCCCGCGTGGGTGGGGTAACTTGGTGTAAGTTGGTGCTCGCGTGTCGTTCGGTGCCTCTCTTCAGCGGAGTCTCGTGCCGAACCAAGGACCAGAGGCTGCCGGGGCAGTGACCGAGGCCGTGTCAGTAAAGAACGCGAGCGGTTGTGTGCGTAATTTTGTGATGTGAGACGGTTCCTGGAGTCGTGTGGCGTCTTATCTTTGGCCAAGGCAGAACAAGCCCATGAGCTCCAATTCCACCTAGTGGCTGGCTGCAGCCCGCGTCGTTTGTCTCATAACCTGAACCTTCACGATTCAGAGCGCGCGACAGCACAGTGAATGCTGACCTGGCATGTGAGATCGCGCGCGACGCTCCTTTCCCCCACACCGAGTTGATTCGGCCCGCCATATATCTCGTTTCCGATCTCCAAAGCTTGGAACTCTCCATTCAAGGCCAAGTGAACGTCATCCCGCCAACGTCCCCTCAACACAGGCTTGCAAGCTCCCGCGAGTGCTTTTGTCTGCCGCATGAGCCTCCTGTAGCCCGCGACTGCCCAGAAAAGTAGTCAACCGCACTTCTGGACTCTTTCTCGAGTTACTGAGGAAACAACGATAGTTGATCAACCCCCGTTAGGCTGCATAACTCATGTCCTTGTGACGCCTGCTATCTCCCATCATCACCACCACCACGCCGCCCCAAAACCCACTCGCTAATCGCGCTGCGCACGACGTTATCCCAGCTCGCACAGACTACGGGATACTACAATCAGCCGTTTGGGCATCACCGGCCCACATTATAATTACCCCGGCGCGTCCCGCCTGACGACTATACTCAACCTGTATTGTTACTTCCAGTATCCTCACTCAACCTCACCATGGGCAATAGCCAAGGCAAAGAGTCGCAACCGCCCTCGAGAGGCGGCCATGTGCGTCGATCGAGTGCCCAGGTGGCCGCCACCTCGCCCACAGCTGGCTCATCCGGGCCCAGCGGATCGTCACACGAGAGATCAGGAAGTGGTGTTGGGCTGTACAGCGCGAGGAGCGGTAGGGGGAGTAGACATGATTTGTCTTTCCTCGGCATTGGCGGGGGTAGCAATAACACCGAGCGCGACCCTGCCTTAGAGCCACGGCGCGAGACAAAGGCTGAGCGAGAGGCGCGTAAGCTGGAGAAGGAGCGAGTGCTGAGGGCGCAGGAGCGCGAGCGGAGCATCAAAGAGGAGGGCGTTGACGGAGCATTCTTAGTCACACTGGGTACATACACTGGACCCGAGGACTTCAGTAAACCCATGGTGCGACAACTACAGGTATGCGTCAGCTTATTACTTGTACTTACCCCACCCAAACTGACATTTGCTAGATCGAGCGACGCCTGGCTCCCTTCTGGAAGGGCCTCGATGACCACTCTGATACGTGGACCGAACACCAGCTCGTGGCTGTAGCAAACGGTCTCCCACTGCCTGCGCCAGACGAGATCCCACCAGAAGAGCCGCCTCGACCAGTCAGCCACCTCAGCCCGCAATGGAATCCCCGCTCTTCTGACTCCAACATCAACAACCTTACAGTTCCCATGGGCGCTCGCTCCATGTCACAAAACTCAGACCGTTCTGGCACTCTTCCGCCATCACATCCCGGCTTCTCTCTCCCGTCCCCGACATCCCCAATCGCCCAGAACACCCAAACCTCAACTTCCGCATCCCCGTTCTTCCGCGGACGAGCCAAGACATTAGCGTCTCTTGCCAGCGGCTCGCGCAATGCTTCACAGACCGAGATGGCTCCCCAGGAACTGCAGCTGCCCAAGGACCCCTACGTCAACGGGCAGCGAGTAGAGGTTTTCTTGTATAAGAATGCAGCAGAGTGTCCCATCTGCTTCCTGTACTATCCGCCATACCTGAACAAGACCAGATGTTGCGACCAGCCTATATGCTCCGAGTGCTTTGTACAGATCAAACGGCCTGACCCTCATCCGCCTGAGCATCATGGAGACGAGCCAGCCGCAACCGCGGAGCCGCAAGAAGAAATACAGCTGGTATCAGAACCTGCGGCCTGCCCGTTCTGTGTGCAGCCAGAATTTGGTGTTACCTATGAGCCTCCACCGTTTAGACGGGGCTTGATCTATGCACATCAGAGCCAGGGATTGCACAGCGCGACTTCTGCGATGTCGTCCTCTACTTCAGTCAACTCGTCGGGTATCACGTCCCCTGGAGGCAGAAGGAGAGCCACTTCGCTTGCGGTGAACGATAAGACGGTCATCACGACAGACATGGTGCGACCTGACTGGGCGAAGAAGCTGGCAGATGCGAAGTCGCATGCCCTGCGAAGGGCAGCTGCAGCGACAGCTTTACACAACGCTGCTTACATGATGGGCAATATTCAACACCAGGAAGGTCGCGGATTTGGTCTCGGCAGACGGAGACGGACTATGTTTGGTACTGATAGCGGTGCCAGCAGCGGGCAAGGCACCCCGCGAAGAGAAGGTGAAGGATCATCAGGTCGCGGAGAGAGTACAGGGGATTTGTACCCTGGAAGACACAGCTCGAGACGTGGAGGAGGCAACAGACTCGATGACCTCGAAGAGCTGATGATGATGGAGGCTATCCGCCTTAGTCTGGCAGCAGAAGAGGAGCGCAAGAGGAAAGACGACAAGGAAGCTGCCAAAGAAGCTAGGAAGGAAGGGAAGAAGAAAGCGAAGGAAAACAAGAAGGTTGCGAAAGCACAACGCAACATCGGGAGTGGCTTCCATCCCGTCAACGTGGATGGTCTGAATGACACTGCAGGCAGTTCGTCCGCAGCAGGCAAGGGCAAGGCAGTGGATAGATCAGGCGGCTCCGTCGGAGTTAACCCCATGAGCGAACCGACATCGACCATCAATGCGCCATCCTCGAAAGACTCTCTGAAAGACGACGCACAAAGACATCTCAAGGATAGTCGTGCACAAATCCAAGGAAGCAGCTCGAGCAACCTGGCGCCGTCTGATGCTCTGCAGGAAGATTTACCGTCACATCGCTCTGTTCTGCGGAATTTGTCTAACGATTCCTCGTCTGTCTCCTCGTATTCCGAGTCTGTCCAGGATGCGACCCGCGACGAAAGTCAAAACAACCTCGCACCTGGCTCTTCTTGCGAGCCGAGTCCCAGCGCATCGGGACTTAACCTGAGTCGCGACGAGACGCCTGGGGCCTTGTCTGGCACCGAGCCTATGTTCAATTTCAGTGCTCTCCAGGAAACCCTCAGTCACGAAGACGATAAGGCTGAGAGCAGTCCTCAGTACATTGAAGATGTTGGCGAGGCAAAGCCCACCTCTGCGCAAGCTCTGACCGGCCTTGACGGTGCAGGTTCGTCTTCAACCCCAGACTCTCAGCCTTCAGAGCCGTCAGAGCATCTGGCTGAGAGCACGGTGACGCTGAAGGCATCCGCGTACTCCAGTGCTTCGAAAACCGACATTGATGACGAGATTGAGCCCGCACCACCAGTACATCCGGTGTCTGAGAACCACTCGTACGATCAAAAACATATCGGGGAGGTTGGGATGCTGGACAACAACCGTCTAGGCCATCAATTCACCCAGTAAAGAGTCCCTCGCCGTTGCATATTTCCTATATCTTATCATACTGCATTTCGAACCGGCGTTAACGGGGTTGTAGTCAAGCGGTCGGGGTGCTTATCGGCGGGCTTTTCGTCATCCTCGGCATTGCTGTTGCTGTACTCGCCATTATCATCCTCGAATTGGCGCTTCTCATCTCGATCCTTCATTTCTTTTTGTTTGGATTGTTCCAGCTAGGAGCATAGTAGCTCACAAGAGGGTCAGATCGGCAAGTCTTGGCTGGACATGGTCGAAAGCTCGCACGTAGAGAGGAGCGCATGATTCTATGCATAGACGACCAGGCGAACTATATATGAGGCACACTATGATAGTGTTTAGTCGAACTTACAACGACGGCCGGCAGTGGCTGGTATTTACAAATGCAACACACCGCCATCATTGCAGAACGCATAAGTATATATTCACAGGAAGCGTTGAAGTCAGGTGTGCAGTCTAAACAAGCTCTATGGTTTAAACTCTTCGAACGATCATGTCCAACAAGTCAGCCTCTCACAAATACTGGTGCCTAGAGTCCGCCTTGGCTGGCCTTACAAACACTATATAATGCCTTACATCCACAAACCAACCTAAAATCCACTTTGCGATCAAGGCTTTTCGTCCCATCATAATTGACTCGAATCCCTCTGCGATCTTTCAATACGTGCGTACGCGTCCTGTCCAGCGCCTGACGTGGATCAGGTAGTTTCTGTGTAGGTCGACCACCAGCTGTCCGTTGTCGATCCCGTTACTTGAATCTCCTCATCCGTCGTTCAGAGGACCTTCTTGTGACGCGTCTCATGGCTCAGCGCTCCATGGCCCGTAGGACATCGTTTCCTAGGCACATTCAGGCATCCAACGAAGCTTCATGATATGAGCTTATGGGTGCATCCAAATACGAGGCAGACTCTTGTCAGCCCTTCGTCTTATAACCAACAGCATAGTCGACGGCGCGATCTTGTTATTCGTTCTTTCTCCGGGGGAGGGGGGGCGATGAGGTTCTCAGAACATTCTGTTCCGGAAATCCTTGTACAGCAGCACAGCGGCAGGTTGCTGCTTAGCGAACAGCTGCGAGATGATGTCTGTCGAAGCGCGCAGAAGCACGATGGGGCGTCCGGGACTGAGCAGGTCGAGCAGTGTGAGCGCCCAGCAGGTAAGTTGGATCAAGAGGAGGATGGCAATGCATATGCGGAACGCGTCGGTTTTGGACATCTTGAACAACGAAATGAACGAGTATACTTCGTGACGCGTATGCTTTGTAACAAGAAGTCGCTGATGTGTTGTGAAAGCGATGTAATGTGATGTGGAGTTCAAAGTGGACACGGGGAACCTGGAGTCGTACACTACTAAAATGACCACCTTAATATATCTTAATATGTGAAAGGATTGCCTGCAGTCCCACGGTTCGACTTAATTAAACGATCCATAAGCCGCCGCCAAAACCCGTCACAACAAAACCGTACCCACAAACATACATAAAGCGGTCACGATCCTAGCCTTGCGCAGCATCACCTTCCTACATACACGTTAGGTTTGTCGCGCGTTGGCAGGATTCATGTGTGAGTATGCGTGCTGGTGGAGTAAGAGTGCTGCGGCGGTGTGAATTGTGTGTTGTTCTGGGGTCGGCTGGGTCCCGCGGTGAGGACTAGGCGGGATGGGGTAAGGCGCGAGGCTAAGTGAGGTTGGGAGGGAATGTCTCGATGCGCGGTGATCTTTACAACTCCGAGACTGGTGAAAGATGGTGCGCCTGGTGTAATGCAAGAACGGAGTTCGGTGTAACGGGTTAAAGGTGTGGTAAGTGGTGATGAGGACCTGACTTGAGGCCGATCGCGCGGTAAGCATCGCTAGTTTACAAGGAGAAAGCCGAAGTTTATTGCTCCGACAGAAGGTTTCTACGATCAGAGCTTAATTGTTGTCTTCAAGAGCTAGAAAATAGGTCAATGGCGAATCCAGTTGTCCGAGATGCGACACTGATGCACACTCTTACTCGGTCGCGTTATGGCACTGTGCTCGGGTAACGCTTCACGGTTGCGCCACGCTTCTCAAGTGCTACTCGAGACTCAGCCCTTGCGATAGTACCGAATCTGAGCATCGCTTATCAGAAAGATTGTCTCTATAGAGAAGGCTTTCGTTTCGAGTATTCAGATGCCTTGGTCATTCTCTGGTAGACCGTGTGGTCAGGCCGCCAAGGTGACCCAATCTTGTTGTAACAATAGAGGGTCGAGTACGAGACCAAGGCATACTCGATGGGGACACTGTACTGTTCTCCAGACAGCCGTTTTGGGACATGGAGGTCAAATGCAGAAATCTGTGTACGAAGATAAAGACAGCAAATAATCACACAAGTGCTTCAATGATCAATATATCTCCCCTCTGTGTAGCGTCTACATTTATCGATCGCATTACTGTTCTTCAATTCTCATCACGTGTGTCTAAGACATTCTTTCAAAGCTCCGGTCAAAGAGCACAATGGCTCCTGAACAAAGCCCGTTGCTCCACGATTGTACGACTACAGCCTCAGCGTCTGACATCAGAGCTGAGGGCTTCTCTCCAATCTTCCATCTCCATCACCGGAATACCTCCAACCGTGTCGCATGAAGTCCTCATACTAATCATGAAGCAAGTGCAGACGACCATCCACCGACAGTTGAGCGCAGCTTCGAAACCAAACGCTCCCAACATGACGAGCCCTCCTCGGTACCGTGATAACGAAAATGATCCTTCCGAGGACCAGATGAGATTGGGACATGACAGTACATCAGCTGCTCATCCAAGGTGGTACCGTCGAGATCCACAAAGGCTTTGGGGCGGTTGTCTCCGCTGTTGGCCATCAAGCAAAAGCTCAATGGGGCGTGAGAAGCGAAGACGCTTGTGTAGATGGGTGATGATAGCAATTGTCATCCTGACTCTAGTGGGTGTCATTGCAGGCCTGTCAGTAACACTGTAATCTCAACACGGTTTTCTGAAATTGACATCAATACAGTGTGTACATCTCGCTCGTCAGTGCCCTTTTACGCCGCCTCGCTCCACCACCAGGCCACAGTGGTCTGCGACACATCATCGAACATTGGAGAGAACCAGATGACGATGGTGCATACAAGTTCGAGTGGAGAGACGACTTCAGCCGTGACATTACTCCGAAGAACTGCCACTCCCACAACGACTACTGGCGCCGCGTTCCTCTGTACGATGCCCTTGCCGCGGGCTGCTTCAGTGTCGAAGCAGACATCTGGCTGACAGACGATAATAAGCTACTTGTCAGCCACTTATGGCGCTCCACAACGAAACATCGGACACTTCGAAGCCTATACCTCGATCCACTCACCAACATCCTTGACAAGCGAAACGTCACTCTCGCCTCCGAGGGTACCAAAGAAGTTGGAGTCTTCGATGCAGACCCAACAGTATCCACGATCGTACTCATCGACTTCAAAAACGATGGACACAAGACCTGGCCGATTTTGCTCGACCAACTTCAATCGCTGCGAGATAGAGACTGGCTGACATATTACGATGGCGATGTCTTGCACCAAGGTCCTCTCACCATCGTAGGCACAGGTAACGCACCCTTCGACCTTGTCCAGCAGAATTCTTCAAACCGCTTCATATTCTTCGATGCTCCACTGCTCTTAGTATCAGACGAGCAGTACAACACTACAAACTCATACTATGCCAGCGTGGAGATGAAGAAAGCGATCGGTCCCATCTGGCTCAACAAGCTGTCGGCGAAGCAAGTTAACAAGCTTGTGGGGCAGATACAGGCTGCGGGTGCAAAGGGATTGAAGAGCAGATACTGGGGTGAGCCACGGTGGCCGATCAGTTTGAGGGATAAGGTGTGGTTCAAGTTGACTGAGTTGGGTGTCGGCATGTTGAGTGTGGATGATTTGGTGAGTGCGACGAGGTGGAATTGGGACTGGTGTGTTGTTGCTGGATTGGCGCTTTGTGGGAATAGTTGAAGGGTAGCATCACGTGGAAGAATATCCGTAAGGATCTCCCACACAGGAAACATTGGTAGCCCTCGGGAGTTTTGTCAGCTTGCAGACGACCTGCGGACTGACATTGAATACCTCCCATAAAATCGGGCTCGTATCCGGCTTTTTCTGCTACTTAAGAACATGCCTCTTGCATAACGTAGCGTGCTGTGGGTAGATCCCAATCGATGGTGTTCAGGCAGCCCGGGTCAATGAGTCGTAACGGGGCCTTGAAGATCCGCCATGTTACTGCATTTTGCTTCCAAACATTCTATAGACCTCGTCTTGCTCTGACCAACGAGATGAGAACAGGCATCTGCAGTCTCTTCACCGTCGTTGGCCGCGGGCTGCGAAGGTGTTGAACGATACCAACGACATCTTGGCTGCGTATGTCGTGACGTTCGCATCGTGGTCTCCCGAAGTCTAATGTCCTCGGAGTGAAAATGTGTGGAGAAGTGGTGGGGAATGCATCACAAAGGGACCCTGGGAATCACATCGGCCAAATGTGTTTCTGGCGAGTAAGCGCAGCACGAAAGAGGAAATGACGTTCGTGCGTTGCCCTACACGCTTCTCTCATCGTCACAAGAATCCGTCTTCTTCGTACAGGTTATCGATAGGCCTACTGTCGTCATTGGGACAACTGCATTTGCGATGAAGACATTTTGGCGGTACGGCTGTGGCTGCCGAGAATAGAACTACCAGAAACCGTGATTTCCCCTTTGGGTTGGCGATGTACGCACGCCACGCTTTCTTCTGCCGGGCGACCCTCCGGGAGTACGCGGCGCCATCGAAAACTGAACGCCCCAGCAAACGGCGACCGAGAGTGCAGATGCTGAAGCCGAGGACATGGCCGACCATGCAGGAGTGTTGAGCATTGGGTGTCTGGTGGTTCGACCTGTGGCAATTTCGTGGCGGCGACTCGTGTGCCACATCTTGAAGTTTGTGGTCTGTTCGTTGCCTCATATCAAGCTTGGAGTTTTAGACAAGCTCGTCAGCTGTGGAGTGCCTGTTCGTGCGATCGGTCACAGATCTTGCCCTGTGACACGTCAACGGGTGCATGTCTTCTCCCGCATTGCAACACGCTCATTATTGTGGAGCAGAGGACACATCGAATCTCCACTGCCCGAGAGAACTTCCCAACATCAAAGTCCAACAGCAAAGCTTATCGATAAGTGCAAGCTCGGGGAGCGAGTCCAGATCGGATCAACTCAGGGATCGTCATCTATTCGTGTTGCTTCGCATTCTGGTGGGCCGCTGCTCTTGTGTGGTGCACAATTTCAAGATTTTTTGGTGGACAAGCTGTCAGTGGAGCAACGGTGTCTTTCGTATTTCTTCGAGCTCCACGCACAGCCCGGGTGTTGGATTTGCGAAGAGGCGGCTCATCGATCAGCGACGTAGGCGTTCCCCTTTGAGTTTGGCGAGGCCAACCAGGATCACCATGATTCGCTTGAACGGCAATAAGCGTCGTTTCGTACCTGCAGGGGAGGCAAGCCACAAGCCAGGACCTGGGGACCAACGACGCGGTGCTTTTGAAAGCACTTGTCCTCCTGAATAAATTCTCTGCTTCACTCACTCTTTTGCGTGCTCACTTTGCGCCCTGTATATACCGTGTGTCTGGAGAGCTGGACCCTCGTTTCCTTGTTTCCTTATTTCCTTGGGTGCACTGAGAATCGTCGGCCGGCCTTCGCTCCAACCGCCATCGTCGTCATAGGTCGTTTTCACTGTATCACCACCTCCAATCGAGCAAAGCATCGTGCTCGACGCACATTCTTCCGCGATCCTCCCTTTCCATTCTTTTTCAGTCACAGTTGCTAGGGCACGTTTCACTCTGCTCAGCTACACTCGCTTCTCGCGGTGAAAGGCAACGCCCGCTACGACCACCTATAGATTTCGCTTATGACAGTCCATTCCCAGCGGTCACCTTCGCAGAGGTCGTTCCGCCTTTCCAATCACGGCTTCCAGCCACTCAACGCTATCAGGGACGACGACAACATGGCCAACCGAGGCAACGATATCCCACTACAGACGGTGGTTAGTCACACACCGTCGCCCACATCAGAGGAGAAGCAGTCAGAGAAGAGCGGCATGTTCAATGGCTTGTCTACGAGAGGACGTAGGCAGCTGGCCAAGGTTGACTCAAGGACTGGCGCGCCGCTGCCACCTCACGATGTTGCTGGGCACGAGGAGACGGCTCTTAACAAGATGGGCCGTCTCTACACCAAGATCCTAAACTTTAGTATTGTCACGCGTTACATGCTCTATGTTGCGCCAGTCGCTCTTCTGCTGGCCATTCCTATCATTCTTTCGCAGACGAAGGTCATCACTGGAAGCATTGGCGGCACCGATCAGAGGAGATTCTGGATCTGGATTGAAATCAGTAAGTTTACGCAACTAGATGCTTTGTCAAACACTATTGCTAACAGCGTGGATAGTCTGGCTCAGTTTCTGGGTGATGAAGATTGTCGCCCATTTCCTTCCAAACTTGTTCGAATTCCTCATTGGTGTGGTCAGTCCCGGTGTCAAGAAGTATGCTCTGCTTCTGCGCGCTGTAGAGAAGCCTCTGTCCTTCGTTCTCTGGATGATTGTTAACCAGGCGACGTTTCCCGGAGTAAGTAGTGATTCAGATTTGTGTAGGTTTTGCTAATCATCTCCCAGCTTGTTGTCGTAACGGACAAATATAGAAAGGATAACGCTGGCGCAACCCCAGGGTGGTATGGCAAGATGCAGTCGGTGCTTCTTGCTTTACTGGTCTGCACTGTTATCATCCTCGCCGAGCGCGTCTTGATCCAGTTGATTAGTATCAGCTATCACCGCAAGCAGTTTGACCAGAAGATTCAGGAGTCGAAGCGCAGCATTTATCTGCTGGGTGTTCTTTACGACGCATCCCGAGCACTGTTTCCAGCCTACTGCAACGAGTTCGCCGAGGAGGATTACACTATCCAAGATACGCTTCTTGATCTTCTTCCAGGCAGCAAGAAGGGCACGTCGAAGAAAGGTCGCTCCGGCACACGTACCCCCATGCGCCTCGTTCAGGAAGTCGGTCGCGATGTTGGTCGCATCGGAGACAAGGTCACCTCTGTCTTTGGTACGATCGCCTCTGAGATCACCGGTAAAAAGGTGTTCGACGTCAATTCCGCCCATTCTATCGTCCTCACTGCCTTGGAAAGGAACCGTTCCGCCGAAGCTCTGGCGAAGCGTATTTGGATGTCTTTCGTGGTCGAGGGCAAGAACGAACTGTACCAGGAAGATCTCGTCGAGGTTATGGGTCCTGGACGCGCAGAGGAAGCCGAGGAGTGTTTCGCATCGCTCGATCGTGACGGCAACGGCGACATCAGTCTGGATGAGATGATTCTCACCGTGACAGAAGTCGGCAGACAGCGCAAGTCTATCAACACCAGCATGCACGACGTCGATGCTGCCATCAACGCGCTTGACGGCCTGTTGTTCACCATAGTCTTCATCGTCTGTATCTTCGTCTTTGTCGCCTTCCTCAGCCCTAGTTTCGTCGGGACCCTGACGACGTCTGCCACGGCTCTTCTGTCTCTGTCTTTCGTCTTCGCCACGACCGCTCAAGAGATTCTCGGTTCCTGCATCTTCTTATTCGCAAAGCACCCGTACGATATCGGTGATCGCGTCGACATCACTTCGGAGCAGCTCACTGTCGAACACATCGCTCTACTCTACACAGTTTTCAAGCGTGTTGCTAACGGCAAGACGGTCCAAATTCCCAACATCGTGTTGAACACTCTCTGGGTTGAGAACATCACACGAAGCAAGTCCATGCGCGAGCAGGTCTCTGTCTTCTGCGACTTCGGCACTTCATTTGAGGACATACACCTTCTCAAGCTTGAGATGCAGTCTTTCCTCCGTGATCCTGCCAACAGCCGCGACTTCCACCCTGATACCGATATCGAGGTTGTCAGCATTGCCGAGATGAACAAGCTTGAGCTCAGGGTCGAGATCCGCCACAAGAGCAACTGGTCAAACGAGTCCCTTCGTGCATCTCGACGATCGAAGTTTATGTGCGCTTTGGTCGTTGCCCTGCGTAAGGTCCCAATCAATGGCCCAGCTGGTGGAGACGCCGCCTTGGGCTCAGCAGACAAGCCAACATGGTCTGTCAGCGTTCCGCCGGCCGAGGCGCGTGAAGCGTATCAGGCGTACAAGATGAACGCCGACAAGGGCCGAATGATACCTTTGAATAAGCCCGAGGACCCTAACAACAAGGGCAAGTCTACAGGCAACGACTATCTCGGTGTCGGAGTGCAGAGTGAGGACTTTGCTATCAACTCCTTAACCAACCGTAGGCCGGGAGTTGACACTGTCCGCGACGATACCTGGAACGCTCGTGACGATGTTAGCACCCTCGGACGACCCAGCACCGATGCCCGACCTGATCTGAACGAGGTTAAGAGCTTGCTACACAAGGCCAGCTCAGCCGGAAAGCGCAAGGGAGGCGCCACTCTCTCACCATACGCCACACGACCATCAACTGACTTCAACCGACCACCGCCACTTCCTCTTTCGGTAAACCCTTCACAGTCGAACTACAGCAACCAGTACGCCTCGCCACCTCAGCCTCTCCACTCAACCGCATCTGTGCACCGCAGCACGGCGCCGGGATCGCCAAACTCGATCTCGACTGGTCAGATTGAGGAGTACCAGTTTCAGACCATGGTACCACCGCCAAGGTCTAACAGCCGACCGCGCGTCGCTATGACTGCGGAGGAGCGCGAGCGTGAGCAGGAAGAGGAGGGCAGGTCGCCATACGGGGCATCCGGTCCCAGCGCCTCAAACAACCCTTACAGGTCACAGAGTCCACCCGTCGAGCGCTTTCAGTACAAGAGGGAGTAAGGTGAAACTTGGAGATATTTCTTAGGTTATCTGCGATGCATGGGCAACGAATCTTCTTTCTTCGTCTTCCATCGTCTGGGAAGGATGCGGCTCAGGAGGCTGCTCGGATTTCCTTATGTAAAGTCTCAGTCTAGACATGAGTCTTTCAAAATTAGCATCAGCGTGCGCTGTACTGGCGCTTGGGTACTTCTGTACAATAGTGGTGGTATGCTCGAATCGAGACCACAGATCGAATTCAAAACCTTTAAACTATACCTATCTGACATACGCTGAGCTGTGATCATCGCTAACATATGCAACTGACCTTGTGTATGCAACCCTTCCCTTCTTACACAAACAGAAACCTACAACTTCCCCTTACTCTTCGCCATCTCCTCAGCCAACACCAACCCCACAGGCCCACCCCTCGACCCATCACCCGGCCACTTCTCCTCCGGCAACCTCTCAGCCGGCCACTCCCACTTACCCACGAAATCCTTTGGCGTCCTTCCAAGCACACACTCCAAAATACTATCCCCAATAACTGGTAAAAACTTGAATCCGTGCCCGCTCCCGCCCGTCGCAACAAACAGACCCGAGTACTTTGGGTGGTAGCTGATCAAGAAATCGCCATCCCGGGTATCCGTGTACCAGCAGATCTTGCTCTTTGTGAACGGCCGGCTGGGCACGGCAAGCGAAGGATGAATAGCAGTCAGGAAGTTGCGTAGATCGCGCTGCCCTTCTTCTGGCACGGCTTGGTGGGGGTCGTCGACGGCGGTCCAGGGCAGGGAGGTTGTTATTGTCTCGGCGGGGTTGTCGGATTCGGGGTGCGGGATTGTGGTTGGGTTGACGTAGCCGTGGCCGTGGCGGGCTACCTTTAGTAACTTGTTGGAGGGCGGGATCATGAATAGGCCGTGCGAGAGGTTGAGAATTGTCGGGTTGTTGGCTAGGCGCTCTTGCTCGGCATCCGTGATGGGCATGTAGCAGACGACTTGGCCGGTGGCTTTGCAGATGCCGCGCAGATCGATGAGGGACGCTGTCCACGCTCCGGCAGCCAGGATGGTGAGGTCTGCGGTGAGTTCGGTGGAGTCGTTGAGGCGGACGCCGGAGACGGTGTTTGTCTTGTGGTCGATGAGGAGCTTTTTAACACTGCTGACGACAAATTTGACGCGGTTCAGCTTCTCGACTTTCTCGCGCAGCCAGATCATAGCGCCCTCAGCGTTGGCCCAGCCAGAGCTCCAGTTCACGTAGCCTGTACTGCCATTGCCCCACGCGTCGGTTCCTTCGAGACCCGCGGCTCTGCCAATCTCTTCAGGCGAATCGGTAACTTCGACCTTGTCGGTTCCGATCTTGCGGACATTGTCGAGCGCCGTCTGTACGTACTTTTGTTCCTTGCCCCATGCTGTCAATGCGAGTCCGGTCTCGTGGTACTCCTCGGGCGCAAAGTCGGTGCGCCAGCGGTCCTGCGCTATGTTTGCGAGGCGGTTGTACGGTGGTGAAGCGTAGTCCGGACGAATGATGCGGGAAGTGTCAATCTAGAGGTGGTATGATCAGCGTCATGTTCAAGGTCGTCGCTTCCTATTTGGGACGCATTGCGCTTTCCGGTCGCGTGTGCAATTTTTTTTTTACAGAGATCACCGAACTGCACGAAAGCTGACTTACGCTGGAGCCATCAGGGGTTGGGAAACTCTGGCGATCTACGACAGTGATTGAGGTGTAAGTGAACTCAGGGTTTCTGCAAAGCGCCCATGCTGTGGAAAGACCGAAAGCACCGCTCCCGACGATAATAACAGACTTGGGAACCTTGGGCGTCGCAGACGAAGACGACGAGGAAGACATTGCGCAACAAGACACTCAAAGCACACGCAGATAGCAGTGAAGAAGTGCAAAGTCAATTGAGTCTGCCTAGGTATAAATTTCAAGAGTGGGCTAACTCCGACTCCGATGTCGTCGCCGGTTCTTCGCGGTTGACGGCTTCCAGCGCCGTGGTGTGGCGTGGAGCTCGGGAAGGGGTCTAAGCTTTTGGAAGGGTCGACCCGAGAATCTGGATAGCTGTAATCTCGAGCAGTGCCAGTCGACCTGCACACCTAATCTCTAATACGCCAGACACACCACCATGGCGAAGTTACCGAGGCCACTGCGGGCGATACCCACGACGAAAGCGGTGCCAGTCAGACGCGCGCTTCCTCTGAACAGGAAAACACCGCAGCAACTTCCATACGATCTCTCGAAGCCAGACCCCAATCAGACACCAGAACAGGCGATTCGAAAGGTCTGGGCAGCGCGACCGAAGTTGAGAGACCTACAACGACTATCGGACGAGCAATTGGCATCTGAACAACACCAGGCGAAGCTGCGGAGATGGAGACAATGGCCCATGTTTGGTGTCGGACTGGTCGCATTTGGACTCGGAATGTACGGTGTAATGCTGTACGTCTCGTTGGCACGCGATGTTGACGTCAAGGACCTGCCAGCGGACCTTACAGACCGGTTCGACAAGGAAGCTGAGGGCTACGACGAGAAGGTCGATACTTCAGAAACGCTGCTGCTGCTCACATCGAAGCGTAAGAAGCTCACCAAGCTGGCAAGAGGGCATGTGCTGGAGGTGGCCGTGGGGACCGGCAGGAACATACCATACTACAAGACGAAGCAATGCGCAACAGTAACATTGCTCGACTCGAGTGCGCCCATGTTGGAAGTTGCGAGGCGGAAGTGGAACGACACGCACAAGGAGTACTTCAGCCGGGTCTTCTTCAAGCGGCAATCCGCTCTAGACCCCATCACACCGCCATTTGACGCCCAAGACGGCTACGACACGATCATTGAAACAATGGGGCTCTGCTCAACGCCAGAACCCGTGAAGCTGCTGCAGAATATGGAGGCATGCACCAAGGAAGACGGGCAGATCTTGCTTCTGGAGCACGGCAAGTCGCATTACAACTGGCTCAACAGTTTGCTGGACCAGACGGCGCCAGCCCACGCCGACGAGCATGGGTGCTGGTGGAACAAGGACATTGGGAAGATCGTTGAAGAGAGTGGGCTCGAAGTCGTGAACATCAAAAGGTACAACTTCGGCACGACATGGTGGTTAGAGCTGAAGCCCCGGAAGGGTCTACGGAAGAAGATAGCCGAAGTTGCAACTGGTGAGCAGCCGCTTGTGCCGCAGACCGAGTCCTCGGTGACACAAAAGCCGTGGTGGTCGCTTTGGCGATGAGATGTCGACTTTGCTGTGTCACGTCCTCCGCATCCGTGACGTTAGGGATGCGGGGAGGCTGCAGCAAACCGCAATTTGATAAATTCCATTCTGCCATTCTGGATAGATGGAGGCTTGGCTGTAAGAACAGAGTTCTCGCACGCAGCGCTTGCTCGTTGCTGGTGTGCTTGTCGACATTCCAGCGACGTCAACTTTTGTCGTGCTCTCTGCTTTGAAGGAGGGGTTGATCTGAGATCTCCCGAGGGTTGGGTACAACCAGCAGGTAAAGCGAGTTCGCCGGTAACAATACGAACAATAAACATCATTCTACCCCAAAAGCGAGAGGCGGGTCGTCCGAACTTTGAACAGCACCTATCGCAGACTTGCGCGTCTAGCTTCAAGCTGATAATGCACATCTGGCGACCATGAGCTCACTGCTTGTAATGATCGCGATGCTGAGTGCTCTGAGGGCGCTGACATGCATCGAGCAGCACACTCACGGACTCGGCGTGTGTGCAAATGCAGCAAACACCGCTCTTTTGCAACATAACATCGCGGTGAACACCAGCACGCAGCTTCCCGATTCTTCCCATCTTCCGCCTCTGTCTGGGGAGCAGCGTAGCGCTTCCGGTCGTTGTTTGCCCACCAGCCAAAGTTCGGCGCGCGACACCTGCTGCCACCCCACATAAGTGACGATGTGTGGGCATGCAGACCGGACCTGTCTAGGCCCAACCGGGCAAGCTGCATTACACAAGGTGCAGGTCCCTGCCAATCATCGGGAAGCGGTGGCACGTCGCGTGCGTCGAGTCTGAACGAAAGAAGCGATACGGGTGGAGTGTTTGTGAAACAACAGTTTCCAGAAGGGTCGTGTCTGGCAGCGTTGCGCAGCGCACGCACTCCTTGGGTTGTTTTGCAGCAACTGATTGAATTGGCCCTGCTGCGAGTGGCCAGAAGTCTCTGCGCATCACCGGGGAGGGAATTGCTGGGTCGGCGAAAAAGATGGTTTTCGCGGGTGCCGAAGCCATACCGCATGGCGAACGCTCATCGTCCGGAGGTGAAAATCCAGACAGTTTTTTCGAACAGTTAGTTCACCGCTCGGGATACCCCTGTAATGCCGATGAGGCTAAACTCTGCAGAAGTCGGTTTCAGGCTAGAGCCGAGCAGGGGGTGCCTGTATGCTGGGTCAAGATGATATGCACGAAGCATCAGATCTTGGAAGGTGTGCAACTAGTCGCGTGAAAGCCGTTTGCGCATTCTGCTGCACGGGAAGGGGAGGTGAGGCGGTCAGCTCTGCAACAGCAACGGACGGCCCACCCTGATGCAGGCGGCAAGGATTTGCACATGTTAGATGAGCGCTGCTGAGCATGAGGTCACAGAGGGAGGGAATGGAGCTCTGGGGCTGCTCACTGTCTGGCTGCGCTGGCACTAAACAACGACCGTCGCCTGGGACGACATCCCCACTGCAAGGGTAGACCTCATCTCGCGCTGTGGACTGCTGTAGATCTGAGTACGTACCATTTGCGCTCCACTTGCTTCCGCGGTGGTGCTGCTGCTGGACAAAGGAAAGAACGCAGGAAGGAAAGTTACAGGTCGCCTGCCGGGCAGCTCGGGATTGGCTGGCCTATCGAACCACGCGCGAAACGTTGGATGCGGCATCCGGTGAGGCCATCCTTATGAAGGGAAGCGTCCGGCTTGCTCTTCACGGCGCGGGTGCGACCTGCACGCAGCCAGATGGCAGCCATGGGCGTGGATAGCAACACTCGCGCACTCTAGCCCCTGGCAGCAGCAGCGCCAGCAAAGCAAAAAACGGCTCTAAAGTTAGCATGCTGTCATAAGTCTGGCGGACCGAAAGCAACATCCCTGAAGTCGCCCGTACACATTCACCCTACGTCGACGCACGGCTTCACTAGGCAGCCTAGTCGCACTTTCTTCACCAGTGCTCCACCTACCCTCCGTTCCTTCCCTTCATCGCACCCCTCCCCTCTCATCTCCCCTCGAACTCTCTCAGGGACCGTTCATCTGTTCAACACACTTGCATTCCATCTGCGCTGTGACATTCGTGGTGTTGTTGCGAACTTAACTGTCTCGCTTCATTGCACCGTTGAATTTCTGTTGCTGGCTTGTGCTTGAGGCAACCAGTCGCCGTCGCCCAGTTACGCAACCATTGCTCAGGAGGCGTGTGTCGTCAGAAGAGTGCCGCCGGACTGCAACTTCTCAGCGTTCATCGCCCACCACCTTATTCAAGATTAATTCAACCCCCCCCCCCCCCCTTCGTCATCACCACCAGTTGCGGTGCAGGCAGAAACGTCGCACGCTACCTTGCATACCCGTTGCTCCCAGCCAGTCACGTATAGGCTGCAGCTTGGTTGTGCATTCCGCGAACCAATCGTCACCCCTGGCATCCGCGCAGCAACAACACTTTTTGCTGCATCGCCTCTGCCAGCCTCAATAATTTTCCTGTTTCTTTGAAGCATCGTCTTCTGTACTTCTACGCGACCGCTGCGACACTGCATCACCGCGACACAAAATGGTCTACAACACTCGCCGGAAATCTCTCTCGCTGCCATCCCTGGGCATAGCGATTCCTGGAGGGCCCCGGTCTGCGCGCTCACCGCCTTCGACCACCGACATCCAGCAACCGGCGAAGAAGCAGAAACGCTCGCATTCAGGATCCAGCACATTGTCGCTTACGTCGCCGTCAAATACTCTCCCACTGCGTGCCTTCGATGAGCAGCGACCAAAAAGCTCAGGGCGTGTGGCAGACACCCCGCCACCTTCACCTGGCGGCGAGTCCGGGCAGGCAAAGGTCGACACACAAGGCATCGATGATGAGATCGTCGTCGGCGTTATCGAGCAGCTCGAGAAGACAGGAAACCGACCCCACCTGCTGAAGGAGCTCGCGACAGCGCTGTCGCCCACCATCCCTATTGTCGAGAGGTACGTACGAAAATAGCGCCCCCTATGCCAAGTGTTGAACCCTTCATACTGACATCTGGCAGCTCTGCGAACCCTGCCGCTATCATCTCCTCGCGATTGGCTACCTACCTCAAGCGCACATGGACTGCACTATCAAGGTGTCCCCTTGACAAGAAGCTGGTCGGCACGCACCCTAAGCGCGTCTACTACTTCCTCACCACTACACCTCACCTGCCGATTCCTGCCGATGCCGCAAACGGTGCAATTATGCCGCGTATTGTCACACCTTCTCTGTCCTCCGGTGTCTCTGAGGAAGAGGATATGGATGCGCGCGCGAGAGCCCGCATGTCTCCCTCGCCAGAGCTGGATCTATCCGACTACGACGAAAACGGCAGCGCTGGTCCCTTTTCGAGCCAGGCTCACCCTCCTACCATTGCAAACATCGCGCACAACCGCCGTGCCCAGTCTCCACCGCTGGAGAAAGAGGAGCGCGAGTTTACCATGACAGCGTCATTCCTGCAACAAGAGCGGAAAAAGCAGGAGGCCGAGCGCGACCGTTCTGCTAGCCTGTCTGCGGAGCGAACCCAAACCTCCGACGTCAACATGGACGACGTTGCCCAGTCAATCGAGGAGACAGAAGAGCTTGCTGCGCGCAAAAACTCAGAAGCCGCAGCTGCCCTTTTCGGCCATATGGCAAACTCCTCTTTCGAATTCACTGTCGATAGCCCCGCTCTGAAATCGCAGGCGTTCCATCTGGAACTGCCCCCACCAATGTTCAAGCCCCACGAGGTAAAACTTGAGATCGCCGACATTGACTGGAGCTGGTCAGATATGCGGAGTCCGGAACACATCGAGCTTGATGAGCTTGAGGAGATGTTCGGCGGCTATTAGACCATCCGCGACCACCATCACCATCTATTCCAGCACACGATTTTGACGATTTCCCTACGCATCATCCGTCTCATCTATGGGCTACATCTTTTCGTTCCCTCTCATCTAGTCATTTCCATTTTCTCACTTTCTATTTCGCAGGCGCAATGTCTCGTAGATGGTTGTTCTACATCAGTCGTTTGCGTTGCATCATACACTCTGGCTGTTGGCATACAGCAACGGAGTTCAGTGGAGGCACCCCACCTGCCATGTGGGAGTCCTTAGGATACTGTACGATAGTTGTCGTGTTTGAGTGTATGGGTTTGACTGGATATGTCATATTTGGTCTGAGGCACCGGTTGTTACTCGGCGCATGTATGTTTATCTTGGAGTTATGTTTCGCGAGCTGTCGCGACAGGGTTGCGACCAATTTTCCACACAAGATCGAACTGGACCATCTAGATAAAAGTCATCTCTAAATTGGAAAAACAGTTTAATACCTTCTGAGTCGTACTTCCGACCATCTTGACTCCGCGTGATCCGCCTGATGTTCTCGAACATGAATTCGTTAGGGACTTTTCTGCACGTTAGATGGGGCTTCCCCACATGAATTCTTCACCCTTTGCGCTCAATTGCATGCCTCTAAAAGTCACTTATGCATGCGGCTCTGGATCCTCACCGGATGCTTTTTAAACTGGAGCTCGAGCCTGAGCCGCGAATCGTGCCTGATGGCCGAGCGATCCTAGGTGGATACGGGAACGTGTACGCTTGGCGAGTCCGGAAGCCATGGAGATGGCGGTCTGTCTCACTATGGAGAAGCTCTGCCAGCTGTCCGCGCAGCTTCACTTTGTTTCGTGTTGCATAGTGGGGTACAGCCATCGCAACACTGCAAAACTTGGCGACTCCATGAAACCATGAGGTGACCCTTGATCAGAACTTCTGTTCTCTGTGTGTATACAAAGTTGCGAACAAGAGTTCGCATAAGGAGGCTGGGAATCCGTGACGCTCAGATCAACTGGAGCTTCAAGCGAGTCCAGTGATCTCGGGCGCCAGCCAGCGCATTTGCAGAAAAGACAGCCCAACCACGCATGTAAGAGCGCGTATGCGCGCAGTCTCTCTCTCCTTGGTTTTGTTTCGCTCTGCGGCTATGCATGAGCGACTGCGTGAAATTGGCGAATCGCACTCTTCCAACGTTGCTGCAGACGACTTCGGGAGCTGCAAGGGTCTGGCGAGGCTGAATTGGACATAGGAACCTGGAGCTTACGACGGCAGGAGGACCACCTAATTGACGACGCGACGGCCTTTGAAAGAGTTGGACATTTTGGGCATCTTGGAACATTGCAGCGCTTCCGAACTGACCGCGCATTACTGGGACTTACCACCTAACTCACGACCGTAATCCAGTCTACTGCTGCATACGCACCCAACGGGAATTGCAGGCCGGCGCACCAAACACTGCATCCCCAGACTGCAAGCCAGCCACCAGCCTCACTCGCACACCTCCACAGGACAATCGGCCACATCCGTGCGTGGCTCAACCACCTAACGTGGCCTCCTCCAGCAGCGACTCGGGGTCGGGCTACGAGCCCTCGTCTCCGTCTAGCGTCTCTTCCAACTTCACGCCCAAGCGAAGACACAGAAAGAGCCTAGAGATGTCGGTAGCAGCCTCCCGAGCGAGAAGCCGGAGTCGGGCGCCCAGTATGCGGGCGCCTCCCCCAGGACCAATTGTCGTAGATGGCCCTCCAAGGAGCCCACGGACGCCGATTGTGATCGACATGCCAGTTCGACCAAGAAGTAGAGCGAGAAGTGTTGGCAGAAATGGGCCGCTCATGGACACGCCAGGGCTGAGTGGAGGGAGAGGCATGTTCAAAAGACTGATCGTCGCTTGCGATGGGACATGGCTGAATTCAGATGACGGAGAGAAGAATGGAGATCTCGCGATTCCAAGCAACGTCACACGGATATCGAGAGCCATCAAATCGGTCAGCCAAGACGGTATCCCTCAAATCGTAAACTACACATCTGGCGTAGGGACCGCCGGAGGACCGTTATACAAGCTGATCTCAGGCACCACAGGGAAAGGTCTGCCAGACAACGTTCGAGAAGCGTACGCTTTCCTTGCAAACAACTACCACCACGGCGACGAGATCTTCCTCATTGGTTTCTCAAGAGGTGCATTCACCGCACGTAGCATAGCCGGTCTCATAGGCGAGGTCGGCTTGCTGACGAAGAAGGGACTCAACGACCTGCCAGAAGTATACGAAGACGTTCAACATCGAAGAGATCCGAACTACGTGCCCAAACACCCGGACATTCCGTTTCCACGTAAGCCCAGCGCAAGCGACCCCCGGTATATGGAAGAGCTGGAACGCCGCGGTTTGACAAGACTCGATATTCCTATCAAAGCGATCGCCGTCTGGGATACGGTGGGCAGTCTTGGTATTCCGCGAATTGGCCTGCTACAACGTGCGGGTCTACAAGGCAAGCAGTCCCGTGCAACAGCGTTCTATGATACGAAACTTAGCAATTGCATTGAGAACGCATTCCAGGCCCTTGCCCTTGATGAGAATCGGTCGTCCTTCTCACCAGCCGTGTGGGAGAAGCCTGAGGGCAACAGGACGACGCTGCGGCAAGTGTGGTTTCCAGGTGTGCATGCAAATTGTGGCGGTGGGTATGATGATATGCAACTTTCGAACATCACATTAGCATGGATGATGAGCCAGCTAGAGCCGTTCCTCGAAATGCGGGATGACTACTTGTTCGAGCAAGATGCCTTGAATGAGGGCTACTACGAGGAAGTAGGGCAAGGAATACGACCATGGAGTTTCGGCAAGATCTACAACGAGCTGAAAGGGGTCATGGCCGCGGGTGGAAGAACAGTATGTCTTCAAGTACTCAAAACTTTCGTTAATGTGCAAACGTATTAACACTCCTCAGATCCGCCAACCAGGCCAGTACCACGCCGTAGACCCCTTCACAGGCCGAACAACAGACCGCCCTCTCCGCCAAACAAATGAATACATCCACCCCTCCGTCCGCACACGCTACCGTCTCCAAGGCCCTGGGCAACTCGACCGCGGCGACTACGAAGCGCGCGCCCTAACCGACAGCTACAAGCTCACCATCGACTACGGGCCCAACAGCCAGCACGCTTCGGACCCAGAAATCTACTGGCGCATCAAATGGCGGGACGCACACGCGGTGAAGATCTTACCCGAAGCACCGCTCTGGCGGCTGGAGCGAGAGTTGGCCAGAAAAGACCCCGACACATACGACTACATCAAGCGCCCTCCCGCGACAAAAACCCGCGACAGCAAGCGCCGCAGCCAGAGACCCATGAGCGCGGACATGAGCTCGAGAGCGCCGACGACGCCCGGCGGTGCGAGCGTGGTCAGTAAAAGGAGGAGGGATACGATGACGCCGCGCAGCACGTTTCCGCTTGATGAGAAGGCGGACGCGAGGAGTTCGAGGAGAAAGAGCGTGGTGGAGAGGAATGGGCGCGCGAGGAGTAGACCCAGGACGAGTGTGTACGATGGCGGTGAGACGGAGATTAGGGAGAGTATGCCGCATCGGGGGGAGAAGGATAAGGCGTGGTGGGAGGGGAGGCGGTGATGCACTGCTTGAGGAGGCTGCGGTGAGAACGGGGAAGGTCAGAGGAAACGATGTTTGGAATACTTTTTGGCAAGATTGATTTGGATGTGGAAGACGCGGATACCCTTTCTGGAGTAACATGTTTAGCGATTGCATAGCAGCATAGCGGGCGATTGATAGTGGTGTTCAATTCGACACGTAAAGATTATCATCGCTATGCGTGCCACGGTCCTATCTACCACATCAAGATTGTAGCGAATAAGCCAAGCATGGTGTTGCACAAGGCCCCACATTGAGGGCTGATAGCGCGCCGGAAAGTGAATTGACGTCGCTGATGCACGGAACGTCCCCCGCGTCGCACGCGACTTCTTGGACTCGAACATCCACCATGGCCGAAGAAATGCACATCAATGCCCAACGCGCGAAGCAACTCACAGACAACATTGCGAGCATCACATCGCGCATCAATGCCGCAAGCAAGAGCGGACAGAAGGTAGTCGCCTTCATACAATACACAATCGTCACGATCCAACACTTACACACCACAGGTCCGCCTCATAGCAGTCTCAAAGTTGAAGCCCGCAAACGACATCCTCGCCCTGCACCAGCCGCCCAACCCGCTCCAAACGCACTTCGGCGAAAACTACGTCCAGGAACTCCTCGAGAAATCCAAACTCCTCCCACGCTCAATACGATGGCACATGATCGGCGGCCTGCAGTCCAACAAATGCAAGCAGCTCGCCGAGCAAATACCGAACTTATGGTGCGTCAGCAGCGTGGACAGCGAGAAGAAGGCGAATGAGCTGGAGAAGGGACGTAGGAGCCTGCTCGAGAAAGACTCAGAGGCCGAGAAGCTGCGCGTAATGGTGCAGGTCAATACCAGCGGCGAGGAAGCCAAGTCTGGCGTCGAGCCTGCAGACACAACGACACTGTGCAAACATATCATTGAGAAGTGTCCGCACTTGAAGCTCTTTGGGCTGATGACGATTGGTGCGATTGCGAGGAGTAGGGAGACGACGCCGGAGAATGAGAACGAGGATTTTGTGTGCTTGAGGGATACGAGGGATAGGGTTGCGGAGGAGCTGGGGTGGGAGAAGAGCAAGCTCGAGCTGAGTATGGGGATGAGTGCGGATTTTGAGGGCGCGATCAAGATGGGGAGTGACGAGGTTAGGGTGGGGAGTGATATTTTTGGGGAGAGGCCAACGAAGAAGGATGCAGTTGTTAAGGAGGATGTGGCGGAGAATAAGAGCTAGTCTATGGGAAATGCAAGACGAGGAGAATGTAATACTGCGTGACCATCGTTCTCTTGCTTTTATTGTTGCGTGGCGTGGGCAGCTGGTGTGGTTGCTCCTGCCCCAGTCGCTCCTGCCGGCTTCACCTCACCCTCACGTCGCGCCTCGCTTGCGTCACACGTGGCTGCCGAACTGAACTGGAAGTCTCGAAAGGAGCCATTGCTGCGCTCTCCCCTCACCTTTACTCTCCAACACTCAATCACCAATTCGAAGCAAGCTCGCCACACCAGCTGCGCAATCAACTACAGCGTGCTGCCGCCCAACAGCAGCCGCACCGCCGATATGCCGTAAGCCGTCGTTGCACCTAGATCTCTCCTTGCTGACCTGATTGCAGCATGCACGACTGCCCCTCGGCAGCTTTGGCACGCATGGTTTCTGCGTCAAGTCGAAGGAGAGTTACCTGGTCGGCCCGACCGATGTACACCCAAGCAGAGAGACTCGATCTGCCACAGTGATCAACGCACGGTCTTTGCTAGTAGATATGCGAGTCACCCCTCACATCAAGTCGGAGGTCAAGAAGAAGCCCGAGGAGTGATGAGTACAAGGGCACTCATGGATTCAGTATGTATCTTGTAGTTGCGACAGCACTTATACCCTCCAGACACACTTCTCATGTAGCATCGATCATGGTGATACATCACATAATGTTAATCTAGTACCTTTTCAAAACATGCTGGGCATACTGTGGACCAATCATTCTGTATCTCCAATTTATCACCCACATTGAATTTGACATTAACTTCTGATGTATTGAAGAGTTGAGCCGAGAATGGTGCAATCGATAAGAACTGTCTCCTGCAAGCTTTGTACTCACGTCACCTCTCGACTACGATCATGTAGTAACTCCGAACATGTGCTGAGTTCGACCTCAGTGGAAGGAAATGGTGGCAAAGCAAGCAAACGGCACTGCCCGATGGCTAATGATGTGATTATGCGCTTTCCGACAGTTGGTTTGCACATGACTTGACAGACCAGGAGCGTTGGAACAGTGCTAAAGCACCGATCGAACGGTTGGATTCGATATAGTGCCCAGCCTGGAAGCCTTCAGGGCTCCTGAACGTAGACATTGGTGCTATGCAAGGTGATCCTCGTAGTCAGGCTCTCGATGTGGGCTGCTACGCACAGATCTCAAATTTGTTACTTGAGTCACAACTCCGTCACGAGAATTTCCCAGCATTCATGTATCTCCCGAAGATTCGTGCTGTCTGTTAGTCGATAGAATGTGTGTAGCCTCTGTTGACTCGTGTCATTTTCGTCGAACTATTTTTCAAAGCATTCAAATGCATAACCTTGATGGCATTCCCACCAGATCTCCTGCTCCATGGACTTCACGAATCGTGTTGACGGCAGACGCTCTTGGAAGGCCCAACCTCTCGTACCCAGAGGTTTTGTGTCACTCTGGTATACCAACGAGTCACGAGAGTGTACGGTGTATGGCTTGCCATCGGCGTTCAAATATTGCCACGATTGTGAGACATGACAGGGATCGTGTCACGGTTCAGGGTGCTCTTGCCTGTCGAACCTCACCTGCCATGAGAGTGACTGCCACGTCACACTAGCGTTGTTTACAGCTACTCACCTATACATACTGTCCGTAGCTTCACACAATACAACCTCAGTTCAATCCTGCAATTCTTCCCACATGCGTACGGATCACTCACGATCCCCGACAGATCGGCAGTGGCGAAGCAACCTCCAGAAGCGTCCACTGAACACCGTAGCTGCTGATATATATCGAAAAGGACGCGTGCAACAGCGGCATCAGATCCAGTGTCCTGAGATGGTTGAGGCGGGTCGCAAGATCGGCCACGGACATGCCGGATCTCAAGGATATTAGGTGCGATGAAGACACAAAGGAGTCTTGTCTGAGACACCTACCAGGTGCTGGAAGATAGCGAGCGGTTGCGGAATGGTAGGGTACACTTAATAACTCTCTAGCTCCCAAGAGTATTTGCTGAGTTCCAAGTCCGGCAGCAGTGCGTTCATCACGAGCATTCGGTTCCACAAAGATCCCCGGCCTAGACTTGCTGCGGTCGCGTTCGACTTCGATTTCGATATCGTTCTTGACATTGTTGAGATCAGTACTGAAAAGCACACTGATGGCGTGACAGCCTCTGCAGCCATGCGTTGCCGACCCAATAGCGTCTCTTAGCTTCACATGAATGAAACTTAATTTTGAATGAATCTGATAGTGGACCTCATCCGGTTCCACGATGTGGAGATCCGAACACACCGGGCAGCTGGGACTCTGCGGAGTTTAAGAACGTCTTCGTTTCATAGTTTTCGGATATACGTTAAGTAGACGATTTGTGAAATATCTTGAACAAGTTTAGCCTGACGTACAACAACATCAGGTGCCGGGTTGTTCGACAAGGCTGTGTTTGCTGGGTGAGGTTGTCGGGAAGCAAGCCTAGTACCGGGAAGTGTACATTTCTGCAGGCAACACGCGTACCGCAGCGCGCAAGGATACGGGAGGACAACCATTGAAACAGCTGGTATGAGCACGAGGTTTTGAAGAGAAGTTTTGTTCGATTTGCTCATCAAGATATATGTCAGCCAACTCAAAGATGCATTAGTGACGAGAAACAATACATTTGCAACAAAGTGCAACTTTCCTTGATGAAGATTCACTGTGTCGCAACAGTAGTTCTGAGCTGCTGAAATCAGCTCCAGTCTTCTATGACTACAATGTACAGAGTGAGATGAACACGCGTCAGGGCCTTGAGAACAGCAAATAGAATTACTGCGCTGCAGGATCTAGGAAGCCTTCTAGTGTCTCGTAGTTCAGCGGCTTGAACAGCTCATTACTCAAGTCCGCGCCCGAGCTACCCAAGAGGCCCTCAAAGTTCTCAAATGCAGCATCGAAGTTTAGCCAGTCAGGCGACTGTTCAGCAAAGCCAAATGCAGCAGGTATTGGTGCTCGATCTGCGCGCTCGCTGCTCGTAGGGTGCTGTCCTGGTGTGAGCGCCGGCATGGGGTTGAGCAAATTCGGCATTGGAGAAGGCTGCTGTTGCTGTAATCTTGGGTCTATCGAGGTGTCGATGTTCTGCGGCGGCCAGTGGTTGTTCGATACTGGCATGTGTGGTCCATTGTGAGAAGGTTGTGGAGTTGGCGGCTCGGTCTTAGGTTCGTTCGGGCGTAGCTCTGGTGCAGTAGGTGCAGGAGTGTTGACAGCATTTGTGCGCTGCCCTGCTGCGTTGCTGAGAACTGCACGACCAATGTCCGCCATTGTACCTGCAGACCACCATGCATTTCGTAGGCGATCGAGTAGATGTACACATTGCTTCAGTTCCTCCGAGGCACGCTTGATGTGGACTTTCAGTCGTCGTGAGCGGAAGTGCCTGTACACAACACTGAGTGCTACGGATAGCGCGTATGGTACGAGTGGAAGTGGTGGCAGGAGTTCTGGGGATTCGGCGTTGAGCAGATGGATGACTCGTGTTGCTGACAGACTCTGGCGAACGTATGACGGTGTTGACTTGACAGGTGCGTTGATTGAGAGGGACTTGTGCGAGGCCATGCACATAGTGTGGTGGAAGAGGGAAAGAAGGCCTATATCTGTTAGCCTCATGGTAAAATTACATGTATCCACTCAACTCACTCATGATGGGGCCGTCCAGCTTATCCTCGCCATCACCCACCATCTCCTCAAATCCAAGGAAGTCATCTTCCCAGCCTGTCTCGTCCGCAGAGCGACTGCCGGGCCTGTAGTAGTCGATGACCTTGTCCAGCATCTCTGAAATCTGTAGCCAAATGCCGAACGGACTTGATCTCTTCTCAGGATCTGTGGGAAGCTGTCTCAAACTGTTGTCGCGATCGTGCATGAGCAGTGGCCTGCCGTTCATACATGCGTTGATCTTGTCGAGACTCCACAAGCACCAAAATACATCTTCAAGATTCCCTTGCGACTCTGAGCTTTGGTTTCTCCATTGATGTCCGAACTGCAAGCCAAACGTATGTGCATGATGAATAGCTTGGGCTAGGTGCATCGATGCTTGTTCAGCGCCGTCTGGTCCTTCACAGTGAAGCGAGACAAGAGCTAGCACTTGAATAAGCACAACTCGGTTCTTCTCAAGTTTCGCCTCGATGCCAACAATGACGGCCTGATACAACCTTTGAGAGAACTCTCGTGGACTGAGTGGCTGTGGATCATCACCAAGACACAAGATCTTTGCAGCATTTGCGTGCTTTGATGCTACAATGCAGATTGCTTGCATCAGGAGGCGAGGTTCCCGACCTTGCGAGTACTGCTCGTAGAAGAGGTCTTTGTCAACGAGTGGAAGAAGTGGGTGAACATAGGCGAAGTAGATGTCAAGAAGAACATCTTGACTCTTACGCGGTGGTAGAATGTCGACGCCTACTGCATCTAAGTACTGTTGGAGAGCTTTGGAGATCTTCACCTCCGAAGTGGTTGGTGGACCTGTTTCACTGATATGCACAGAAGCAGACCTTGGCTGGGTCGTCGCTGGTCTTTGATCTCTCTCTTCGACCCATTGGCCGATAGGGGCTATGCTTGGTGACTGCGCAGGGTCTCGTTTCGAATGGACTTGCTCTCTCAATACAGCCTCTGGGTTCAAGTAACCCAGGAAGTTGGGTGGGGTTTGCGGTGAGCGTGCGCTTTCCGCCGGGCTGTGAGGCGGCGGCATGGTGGAGTGGGGATGAGCGTTGCCATGACTTCTGGCATCCCCACGGGGAAACCTTGGATCGTGAGGGTGATGGTGTCCCCCTTGAGCATAGGCATGAGGGTCTGAGGTTGGATTGCCTGCGTCCCGGTCACCGCTTTGGGTAGAGTTTCCGCCTTCATAGGAGCCGCCGCCGTTCTCCTCCTCAGCAAACGTATGGCTGCATCTCTTCTACTGGGGGATCAGCTAGCTGAAACATGTTTTGGGACTGGCTAGCACTCACTCTGCGCTTCTTGCAGGATTCACAGGCACGGTGGACACCTGGGCGCACGTTAGCTGTCTGTCTCATGTGGCGCACTGACAGTGTTCACACGCACGCTTTCGCTTTCGGAAGAACTCGTTATTCGCCGCGAAGGTGATCATTGTCGACATTTTGACGTGTAGCGACGCGTCTGCGGGGTTTACTACGCGCAAAGATGTACCCAAGAGGCTCCAGCAAAGACTTGATGTCTTCAGGTCACGAGCCGCGGCGCAGAATTGAGGAGCGGAGATTCTCTCCCGTGCCTGCCCGTTGCCTCCGCATTTTCTCCACACGCGTGATTGGCCCAGATGACATGCAGCAACGGGCATACAACGATTGGCATCGCTCTTCTTCCAACATCCCGGACCGCATGTGGTAGTACGATAATGCGCTGTTGTCAAAGCTCTCAACGGCAAGAGCATGACTGCGCCTTCACTCCCGGTTGACATCTGGCTGATCATACAGCTCGCTCAAGGAACTATCGGCAAGCAACGAACTTACAATCCAGATGTTGCTGCCACAGCTAGTAGGGCACAGGCAGCAATGCACTTTCACGACCACTGGAACAGCAACTCAAAGCGTGTGCGGCGCAAGCGGCTGCAGCCCTGGTTAGCTGACAATAAGCACCGTATGACGCCTGAAGACCGCTTGAAGGCCGAAGATAGAGTGGGGCGCACCAAAGATCTGGTAAGACGTATTTTGCGGCATGAGAAACTTTGTGAGCTCACACTCACCGATTTCACGCGAGAGATGGGAGGAGTTGTGTCCGAGAAATGCGCAGAAGATCTACCCTACCTTTTGCAATGGCCGTGGGGCCATGATGATATGTACGCAACACCGATAAGACCTTTGCAGCTCAGGTGTCGTTCGAAAGGATGTTCTACGATGTGACTGATAGACCTTGATACTCAATAACAATGCACTGAAGTCCTCCACGCTTGGATGCCACCGTCCCTTGTCGAGTCCCATTTGAAAGCACAATACTCCCAACCACACATTCCTTGCAACACTGTGATGTTGACAGGACGTTCAGACGTTGGCTTCAGCTGCTCCAGCACCCCCAACCTTCTCCTTCCTCTCCTTGCCCTCCTCTCCTCTCAACCTCGTCCTAACCTCCATCAGTGCCTTACCCAACAAATTCTGTCCCCATCGATGCCTGTTAGCGCCAGCATTCTTGTCCGCAAACCCAATCCCCCAAATCCTATCCATCGGACTCGCCTCAACCAACAACCACTTCCTCAAACTCTCCGCATCTTCCGAGACTGTAAATTTGTGCATGTGGCCCTGAACAACGATCTCAAACTTGTCTACTCGCATGTTAGCATCCCATTCATACACAACTCTGATCTTGAAGCATGGTGAATACAAATTGCTGAGGTTACTCACTCTCATCCCAAACCCTCCCAACAAACCACCTAACCTTCCACCCCAGCGCCTTATGCACCTTCGGGTCTGTCGTATCTAGCATCCCCTTCGCAAATTCCCGTCCCCGAACAACCGCGTTTTTTGAATCATCATCCGCATCTTGCACGTCGCATACGTGTCGCCGGACACGATGAAGGGCGAGGCATATCATTGGCCCAGGTAGCCTGTGCGTTCTTCGTGCCAATGCCAGAAGTATACCGGTCGAGAGGATGAGGTGGTATTATTGGTGGTGGTGGTAGAAGGATGCGGGATGGTTGAAACGGGCATAGTTGTTGCTGCTGGTGATGCTCTGAGAGTTGGGACTTGATGGGTGCGCTGCTGCGGTATGATGCTCAAGCAGTCTTGTAAAGGTAAAGGTGGATTTCGTTCTTGAGTGTGAGATGATGATATTGCTGCGCTTTATACGTTGACTGTAGACTGATGATCTGTTCCTGAAGGGCGATGTGAACATTGGTTCGTCTCAGATCCAGAGTATGAGGGGAAAAGATCCATCAGGAAGGCATATTTTATGGTTGCTGCATCGGACCATCGAATACGAAGGTGCTGCATACGGTGACTGGGTGAAGGACCTCCGCCCTTTTGCGGATGCATGGAGGCCCCCCCGAACTCGACCTTGACTCACATCAACGAACCTCGAAGTGTCACATGATTCAGATGCGCAAGTGGAAGACACGATGCTTCATTGCTATCAGGACAGGGGTATGAGCATACACTCAACTCCAATTTCGGCGCTTATGCTAAATCACAGATTTTGGGCGCACCCATGCATATGCTTTCCAACAAACATTACAATATCAACGACCTACAATCTCCCCACAAGGAATTGGGTACACGAAGAAGAATGCCATAAGAATAGTGGTCTGACCTACATCATGCCCTCAATACCTTGAGAAAGTCGCCCCTCCATAGCCTTGATCAAAACGGGTGGTACGGCTTCGTCGGTCGCGCGGATCGTGATGCGGAACATCTGCTCGTTGTTAGTTGATTGCATTATCTTCGGTTGCATTCCTAGACGTACCTGAGTGTCGAAGTTGGGCTCCAGCCTCAGCAGACACCCAAACTTCCCGCCCTCACTCGTGTGCAGCACCGTCGCACCGACAATGTTCTTTCCATTCGGATCGACACCCTCAACAATACCCCATTTGAAGCCTGCGACGACCTTCTTGACAAACGCTAGGTCCATAGTGCGGCTCTTATTGACCAGGCCGAAAATACTCTGCGCTTCACGTGGAGCACTGCCGATCTGCTTCCATCTCTTGAAGAAGTCCTCTGAGCTGAGTTCTGCGCCTTCCATGTACTTGTGGAGGGACACCGGTAGCTGCAGAGTGATTCCTTGCATAGCACCAGCGAGCCAGGATATGCGGATGGTCGGAGGGTCTGTGAAGACATTCTTGCAGTCAAACATAATGGTTTGCTGCGATTGGCCCTCAGGCTGTATCACTGTATCCGGCAGACCCTTGACATCTGTTTTTAGATTGTCCGAGGATCTGTTGTCAAGTGTGGTGGTGAAGGAATTCATAGGGAAGGATGACCTGTTTGTGAAGTAGAAGATTAGGCAGCCCAATTGGCCACGATACTCTGTTCGAAGACCGACTTGTATCTGCTGATCCTCGTAGAGTACACCCTCAGATCGCAACAATAGACGGTTGTAGCCAATCTCCCAGTCTGGGCTCAGATGAGCAGCGCTGGCGAAATTTGGTGCGCTGAGCACCTTGTTTGTGCCCACATTGAGATCCAGACCGGCAAGATCGCTCGACAAGGAAGCCGCACCGTTTGTACCGTTCGTTGCAGATGTTTTGTGCTCTCCTTGTGCTGGCATTGTCTGACTTCGCTTGAAACCAGCGGTCGAGTTCTGTCGTGCGAGACCAATTTCTCCTTGGTTGGCATCCTTGCCACCAACTACCCAGGTTCGCTTGTCGCTGGTCGTCGAATGCTTCTGGTGTAATCTTGAGAGTAGTGCTGATGTTCTCTCCGGGTACGGTGGCATCTCGTCGCATACTGTTCGCAGCAGATCGTCTGTAGGCATTGTAGCAAGGACAAGATACTCGCATGCTCTTTGTTGAAGCTCGGAGTCCAGCGAATGTGTATAGGCGCCGAAGGCCTGTAGAAGCTGGGGCTTGATCTCTGGGAACAAGTTCACAAACTTGACGTAGCAAGACAGTAGAATCGCTCGCGTACTAGACGAGCAACCCCGCATCTTTGCGCTCATTGCCATGAACTGCTCGATTGGACTGCATCCCTTGCTGTCGGCAATCAAGTGACCGAATTCTCCAAGGAGATAGCCTCCAATCTTTACCAATGTCTCGTGGCAGTCCGCCTTGACGTACGCCAGGATAGTTTGAGCTGCATAGACCTGAAGCTCTTCGTTGTTGGTCACGATCTGAATGACTCGCTGCCACACCTCATCGCTGACGTGGTCACCGGCCATTGCGATCAAGCGCAGTGTAATGTCGACGTACCACTGCACGTCTGTGGCGTACTTCTCCGTCAAGATAGCAATCTTAAGTACCATCTCCTCTCTTATCGCGTAGTCGGCAGACTGGAGGTAGCGCAGAAGCTCGCCTACAATAGCTTGCGCGTTTGTCTGATCACACATGCTGTAGAGGAGGTCCAAGCCTTGTCTTCGCACACTGATGTCCCTATCTCTCAACGACCCAATAATTATAGCCTGGTGTTTCTTGATAGGATCTAGCGTTTCTCCGCGAGCTGCTAGATGCGTCATGGCTTCTAATCCCAGATATCGTACGTTTGTCTCGCGAGAGGCGATGAACTTGCCCAAGCGCGTGGAAATCGTCACCATCAGATCCGGTTCAGTATCTAAATGAATGACCAGGTTGATCGCTTCGAATAAAACGGCGTTCTGCGCGTTGTTCTGCTGAACGTTCTTTGGCATCTCCAGCGCAGAATCCATGATCTTCCGCAGTGCTTCGCGGACGAGGTTCTGAACGTGCGAATCCTCGGGAGGAGGGTAGTACTGGAGAAGTTTGAGCAGCTTGACCAGGATCCATGGACACGGAACCTTGTAATAGTAGTATCCTTCCGCGCACTCGTTGTCCACGACTATCCGCTTCAGCCTGTTCGCAGCCTTCACATAGCTTCCCTTGTATTGTTCTGCGTTATCCTGCACGAGGGCTGTGATCAGAGAAGTAACAGAAAGCGCTACACCCATGTCAGGGTCATCCATTAGAGAGATCATGCGCTCTGCCCATTCATTCTGTACAATCCCTGGGTACTTGCGGTATAGACGGAGGAGAGTCAAAGCAGCCTTCTTCTTGACAAAAGCTTTCGATGCTGGCGATATCAGGAGTCGGTGTACCTCAGAGCTCAGAGCTTCACCCAGCTCCTTGCCTCCCACGTTTGCGATAGCGTGCAGCGCCAGACAGTTGTTAAGCTCGTTGTGGTCCATAAGGTCCTTCCTGATACTGTTGACGACCAGATGTATCAGCTCGTGCTGCTCGTGAAGGAACAGTGTGACTGCGAGGTATCCAATCTGCTTCTCCGAGTACTTGGTGGCGGAAATGAGGTTTACTGCTTCGAGGTGCCCGAAGTCGACATTCCAGCCCAGTATGTAAATATAGAGAAGTTTGCAAACGTATTTCTTCTTCTGGTAGCCGTTCAGGCTACCGTCTCTGAACTTTTGTCTGCCATATCGCGTCAGCGGTTGTCGTTCCCTTCTATCCAACATGATGCACCCACCGTATATTGGCCAATTCCTTGTTGATTCGCTTCTCTTCCAGTTCTCTTGCTCGTGCATTACGCAAATCTGCAATGAAGGACACCAATCCACGCATGGTGGGAACATCACCCGAGTTGCTGCTCCGACTGAACAGCCCTCCTTTGCCTGACGCCGCCGCCATCTTCGCTGATACAGACATTGTGGAAATCGCTTGCGGGCTTTAGCCGCCGAGGGGATAGCCGGACAAACCGGTAAGGGCTAGTTACGGCGTCGAGGTGGGCTGGGAGGATACGAGGTGTGAATCGAAGTAGGGGTTATGCAGCCGAGTACAGCGATGAGGAGGATTACGAGAGACGCTCGATCGCGAAAGGGGTCGGAAGAAGCGGAAGGTGAGTGCCGGTCATGAAGTCTAGAGTGAGAGAGGGCTATGTCTAGTGAGGAGGCACGAATAGTGCATGCTGCAGGTGGCCGCGGTGCAGCTTGATGCAAGATGCGCGCAATGCGGCGGGCTCGTGGTGGAGTTCAAGCGGCAGCAACTTAGCGTCCGAGCAGACCCTGGAACATCACAAGCGCCTCACAGTGACAACCGCCGACAGCCAAACACGCTGCTGCGCCAGGAAATGTATTGAAATGCAGATACAGACTGTACCTCAATTCTGCCGTCGTCTCGTCGTTTCATATAGTCAGTATCTTGGACTGACGCATCGGCTATAAATAAGAAGCTCTTGTTGACTGTCCTGAAGGCAAAGGATCACACAATATGTCAACGAAATTCAAGGTTTCTCTCAGTGTTTTGATTAATTGATGGGTATAAACTGCTATGTAGCACATTGTAATTCATGAGTGATCCTTCAACGCCGTGATGCCCCAATGCTCATTCTCACGCCAAGCTTCAATCTGGAAGCGTCCTCGTACATGCTTGCTCAACGCCAGCTCAACTGATGTCAATTCCAGGTCGCGGAAGCGTAATGTTTATTTCTTGGTGGTGAAATCGGTCTCCAGGTTGGAGGTACCGTTGTTCTCATTGCGTCCGCATGTGCAGGAGTCTGCATCGCAGTCAGAATAATGTCGTACAAACAGTATAATTCAAATCACATACCCTCAGCCCTCTTTCCGCACGCGCAAGTGTTGTTAGGCATCTTGTTCTCGTCGGCAGCCTTGGCGCAGTCTGTTCACCATCCGTCAGCAATATGATCACGTGAGCTATACGGTACTGAAAGCAGTAATTACACGAAGGGTGCGGGTGGAGGAAGAGAGGCATACTGCACTGAAGAGCAGGCTGCTTGCCGCATGAGCAGGTTGCTTCCTTGGCGCACACGCACTCGCCGTTGTTACGTCCGCAGCAGGCCATTGTTGATGTGGGTGGTGGAGGTTGACTTTGAAGGTCGGTTGATGAAAGACTAAGATGGAGTTGAGGTTGATTGAGGGTAGTAGTATTAGAGTTGATCGCTGGATGATGATCTTGAAAACAGCAAATAATGTCTTCTTTATAGCTTCTCTTACTTGCACAGCTCGATGGTTCCGGAACCCTTCGATAGCGACGCAGTGACCTGATGACGGCCAATTGGCCAATCAGCAAGCGGCTGATTACACCTGCGTCGCACTTTCTCTGCGATGCAGAGGCTGAGATTGCCACTTGCTGACTTCACTTCAATTAAAACGATTGTCATTTGCCAGATGTTTGTTGCACCCCGTGTGTTGTTGCAAATGGACATGTTGTGGTTGGTTGTATATTGATTTTGATCCACTTCCACGAAGGGTGGTGAGGTTGTGGCGTGTTACCATCACAACTCCTTGCCAACGCCAACCTTGTAGTCAGTGCGTGCAGTACGTCGGAAATGCTCTGGGTCACTGGACCATCATTCTGCTGAGGGCTTCTTGTGATGACCGGACCTGATCTTTGATCGATGAGTCGGCTTCCGTGTCCTACACGGCGTCAGTCAAAAATAATAACAATCGCGAGTTCTTGCTTACCCAGTTCTTCTGCAACGCTTGCAGGAGAACGACCGCATTCTGATAGTCTCGTCCCGAAGCAGAGCCGGTCTGCTGTTCAGCTCCTCCTTCCTTGCCCTCAGCAAAATCCTTGATAGCCTCCAGCAGCCCGTCGTCTTCCTTGATCTCTTCGATCAGCAGCTTCGCACCATGAGATGTTTGCGCCATCAGTCCCAGACCTAGCAACCCTTCAGATCTGGCATCGGCGTAGAATCGTTGGCGTACGAGCTTAGCTAATGGTCGAGCGATCAGAGGGACATTCAGCATCTGTTCCCTAATAGCGTCGACATTGTCTTCTGCGCTTGGCCTCCCAAGGAACCGGAGAATCGTAACGATAGACCGGCTGAGCTCAACGGTTGGGTTCTTCATCGCAGTACTGGGCAGCGGTCCTGCAGGCGCGAGTGCCTGCTCGACGATTTGGTGGAGAACCGTTGATTCAGAAGAAGCTTCAACGCCCACAATCGGATGTGCATCCGGGACGACGGTTTCGCCAACCTTCTCGCAAACTACCTTGATGATATTGTGCAAGTTGCTCGTAACGAGCTTGCCGATTATTGCAGCTGCTTCGCCACGGACAGCAGCATCTGTTTGCTTGAGCAAGGCGGTGCATGTCTGGAGAAGACCAGCATCTGCTAGCGGTGCTCTGTTCGCCTCAGGGAATGTAAGATGACGCATGAATCCTGCAGCAGCATAGAGAAGCGCCGGCTTAGTGCTCGATGATAGGATCTTGGCCAGAGGAAGATGAAGCTCCATGATCTTGACCATGTCTGTACATACTTCATCCGACATGGCCAGATTACCAAGCATAACGCAGGCGCATATTGTAGATGGTGAGGGCGAGGCATTCAACTTGGCTCGAATGGTCTCAATCACTGGACTTCTGACATTGAAGCGTTGTGCGAATAGATCAGTGGCCGAAACTGCTGAAATATTTCCGATCAGTTGAGCCGCAAGAAGCACATTTGTGTTGTCCGATGTCGTCTTTTCAGTGCTCTTGGAGACGGCCAACTCTTCGAACACAGCTCTGATTTCGTCTGATGTGATCCGAGACTCGAAGTCTAGCATTAGGGTGATGAGGTCGCCGAGTAGCTCTGGCGTCGCAACCTTTGCTTGGAACTCTGGATCCTGTAGGTAGTGGACCAGAATAGCGACACACTCGTGGTAGTGATCTTCGTCGTAGTTCAGAGTTACTTTGACAAGATCGCTGAATGTGTCGAGCGATACATCGTCATTGAATTGCGCTGCTGTGAGCTTCTCGGTGGTCCATGTAAGAAGCTCGGTTGCATAGTCAAGTGCGGCATCCGATATCCGGTGGCCAGCAAGGTACCCAGACAGTGTGAAGTCTAGTCTGATGACAGCAGCTGCAGCCTTGGCGGGATCTGTCAAGGTTAGCATGCAGACAGTCAACAATGGGTGAAATCATACCGAAGTCGTTGCAAAGATTGAAGAGTACCGCAAGAGCGATCGGTGTCAGATCATCTGATGGCAGGCAGTCGACAATCTTTGATATGTCTTTGGTGGCAACTTCTCGATTTATGTCTTCAAGGGATGTCAGTTTCCTAACCTTGCAGATGAGTGAGAGAGTAAGGATACCGTTGTCAGCAACGCAATTCCCGATTATCCGCAGATACTGTCTGCGTAACGCAAGTGGTATGCTCACGTCACCCAGGTTGCGCAGCACGTAGTCAAGAATGCCGGCTTCTCGGAATGGGTCTTGCCACGTCTCTAGATATGATCAGCTAGACCTATATAGACGGCTAGAATGTGCCTACTTTGCTTTCCAACGGCGGTGCCTAACAGCTGCAGTGCTTCCTCGGTCGACTCGGTATGGGAAGTAGTTGTGATCTTATTGACTAGGGTTCTGAGAGAAGCATCTACAGCTTTTGAGCCGTCCGGACCAAGACTGATCAATGCTGTTACCTCGTCCGGCAAGGTCCCCCAAAACTCTCCGTTTGTGGACATTGCGTAGACTGAGCCAAGATATTGAGCCCGCACTTGAATCGATAATCAACAATCCACGCCCCAGAGATTGGAACTGACAGTCACCCTAATGGTTATGTATTAATACTCTCCCTCGAGTCAAGGTCTAGGAACGTGCTCTTTGTGACAGGTGAATGAGGCGTAAAGTGGGTAAGACATCGGTCCGTTCGTGAGGCTGATGTGAAAGCCGGCAAGCCTTGCCCGAACGGGTAGCGATCCCTTTAGCGCCTTCCTTGAAGCCTGGAGATCTGGACACTGAACAACACGACTCTACGACGACAAGTGCCAGGCTTCTGCACACCACTCACCGTATACCCTCTTTAATAGAAAAGACCCAAACCCAATTACCGCCAAGATGACACGCGCACAACAGACTATCAGCATTGCGATGCTCCTGACCTCCGTACGCTGAGCCCCTCCCAAACGTATACCCCTGGACCCATGTCTAATGATGTGTAGCTTTACCTCGCGGTATTCATGGAGCTCGTTTCTTTCCCTAGGAAGATTCAGAAGGAGATTGTTCCTGTGGTATGATACTCAATTCCTTCGAGGTATGGTCCATGCTAAACAACCACAGATTCCTTTCTGGGCACTTATCTCGTTCGGCGCATACCTTCTCTTTAAGCTTGGCTGGGGAGTCTTCACCTTCAACGACGTACCTCAGGCGCACGCGGAATTGATGGCACAAATCAAGGAGGCACGAGCAGACCTCCGGGCCCAGGGTGTCGACGTTGGTGCCGACGATTAAGCATCGAATGAACGGTTGACGATGTGGGCACACACACTTGCATTGCATTGGAGCATACGGGGGGCTCAACGGCGTCTGGGTTGGGAAAGTTGCGGAAGGAGGACGTAATTGCTTTCAAGGGTATATGCGCAAGCATGCTCTACTCAGGTTGGGATCTCCTCCGCCTTGTGCCGCTGCTTCAACTTCTTCTCTGTCTTCATGAACTCTCTTATACCCACAGGTATATCATCGAACAGCTTGCTCTCGCCCGCACCCTCAGTCCAGTTTGTTTCGCTACGTCCACCATCATCGTCCATACTGACAGCAACATGGTTTGGACTGCCCTGCTCGGCCACCATGCTCCCACTACTCTCAGCCTGCTCTCTCTTAGCCTGTATCGCGGCTCTTGCTTTAGCGCTCTGCCCCGCCCACTCTTCCATCTCGTCACGATACATGTCCCATACGCAGTTCACGCACCCAGACATGCAGCAATTGTCCGGCTCTGTTGGCTTTGGAGGCACACGTATGCCTGCAACTTCCTTTGAGGCAGCATCTATCTCTATTCTCCGTTCTCTTACACCCGGCTTCGACCCAAAAACAGTGCGGGCTCGCTCGAGTGTGATCTCCTTCTGAGATTTGGGAGAATCCGTAGACTGCGGAGTCGGAGGGGCGGGAGGAGCTCTGTCGTTCGACGTATCGTTCGAGACAGTTGGGGCTTGTGAAGGGGCCTTCTTTAGCATTTCTATATACTGTTAGCAATATACACGTGATCAGATTGAAGATTCTCTTACCTGCATAGAAGCCTGTTATTGGCCTAGCTTGCTCCCCTTCTGGTGCTATGTAGTACTTGTATCGTCGCTGTATCCGATCGCTGTTCTGAAGGCCAAATCTTGCTCTGTTCCATGACTTTGCACATGAAGCGCAAATGTTACGCCGCAGCGCCAATGGACGTCCTATGGAGGCCATGATATATAAAAGGGTAAAGGCAACCGCAGCGATGTACAAGACGTATTAACGCTATCGTAACATGCTTGGATAAGTCAGAGGTGTCATAGAGCTCAGAAGCTCGAGGCATGGATGCGGGAGACGTCATTTTGCGCCGCAGAGCCGGCCGCCTCGGCAAAGAACTGCCTTGAACGCCGACTGGACAAACGCGTCGAGGCGCGTCGAGGGACTTCGTCAACATCACCAACAAACAACTTGAGTAGCACTACACATTCACAGTCGCATAACTTCCGTTACAGTTGTTAATATGGATGAACCACCTCGAAAGCGCAGGAAGACGTCATCCCCGGCGCAAGCTCCCTCCAGTCCATTACGAAAGCCGCCGCGAAGACCATCTTTTGCATCGCCGACCAAAGCGAGTCTTGCGCGCAATTATCACAATTTGCTACCCACTCGCACACCACCTCCCGACGACGTTCGAGCTCGAGGGAAGCAAGCACGTGCTTTTGTGTTTGGCGAGGATGGACTTCCACCAAAAGAAAGAGAAAACGTAGGAGATGAAGAGGTGGAACTACCAACAACGCCGTCACAGAGAGGACTCGAGGAACAGGAGGGCCCACGTAGAGGAGTTCTGTCCTTTTCGCCAAGCAAACGTCCACCGCGCGGACCTAGCGTAGTAAAACGATCTCCACTGGCAAAAGCACCTGCTGTCCAACAAAATCAGCTTACTCGGCCTGTGGAAGAAGCGTTGGACGGGGAAGGCCCTGATCAGACGAAGAAGGCCAGGAGACCTCCTCTGGACCCTGAACACGAGAAGAGAAAGCAAGAGAAGGCACGGCTGCAACGCGAGGTACAAGAGCTGGAAGCACAAGTGTCGAGATGTACAAATGAGATTGTAGCCGAACAACGACGTGGAGCGGACGATGCGCTGCTGCCTACCCAGCGTGCCGACCTGATGTGAGTATCTCTACTTTTCAGACGTCAAGAACATGTTCTGACACCATCGCAGCAAGTTCCTTATCAAGATCAGCGGAGCAGATGCACAAGATGAGCGGCCAACGCCAGTCTCAAGCCTTCTGTGCTCTTTCCTCCCATTCTCAAGCCTGGCCGTACCACCTCCAAAACAGAAACGACCGGAGAAACCAATCGCGTCACATCGACCGTTAGACCTACAAGACCCGTTGCCTTACCTCGAAATGTTCACGTCCTTCAACTTCTCCACACAGCTTGGTCTGCCACGAGGCAAAGTCCTCCTCTCCTCGAAACGCGTCCACCAGAAGCACACAATCGACATCAACGGCCCTCAGAAGCTCCTCACCGCACAATTAGCTCTCAACATCGACTGTCTATCCAACGAGGTCATCGACTTGCACATTCTTCGCCTGCCGTCCTGGGCCGAACGCGAGTTAGGAACGTTCATGCGCACAAAAGCGAAAGAGAAGGATCTGGGCAATGCATGTTGGGCCATCGACTCATTCTGGGACATTGCAGTGAAGCGCGCCAACTTCTGGCATAGATGTGAGATGGAATTCGCCCGGTTCCTCCCAAGGCAGACAGCTGCCAACACAGAAAACATACCAGCCACAAGCACAGAATCCTCCACCCTCTCACGGAAAGATCTCAGCCGCCACCTCGGGCGAGACGTGTTCATTCTCCAAGACAAGCACGTTCTGCTCAAGATCAACTGGCGCATTGTATTCGACTGGACCGGTGAAGCAGAGTCGAATGTCGATGTGGAATGCGCTGTGCCCGCTGTGTGGGAAGAAGCAGATGCGAGCGATACGTTTCGCAAGATCCCAGACACATTTGACTCGCTTTTACGGACGAAGGGTGCGTTTGAGGCTACGAGGATTATGGTTGCATTGCTGTTCTCGCAGTGAGTGGCAAGGATGGTGTTGTCTTGTATAGTGCATTCTGAGATACCCAATGCAGTTCTTTCTATCTGATGAAGGTGTGTCCTTCAGGTCATGCTGCGATGATCCCCGGATGCTGAACATGGCCGCTTGGCTGCCTTCAACACTTTCAATTGATTCTATTTGAGGTGAGCTGTACCACGACAACGGCTGTCATGTGGTTCGCAATGCCTATCAGCACAAGTAGCACCGCACGGGTGGAACAATGTCATCTTGCTATTGCGCCGCCATTATAACCTCTTGTCTACCACTTCGATGTGCTGGTATTGCATGCCACCATAGCAATGACTTCAACACCGGGCCCTGGTTATAATGGGACTTCGACATGGACGTTCGACGGTCTGTACGATGTCTTCACACCACCTACATCCTGCCTTGAGTCGACCTATTCATTGAAATCGAAGGGCGTCGACAGCAAGACCACAGACATAGTCTGGACGCCAGAAACTACCGCTATGCGAGGATACGATCCAGCTTGCTTTCCGCCTAGTTTTCCGGATTTCTGCCTTTACATAGCGACAGTACGTCAAGAAACGATTACCACGTATCCAGTGGGTTCGATCTCGATACTGCCCAAACACGTGGTTTCGCCAGGATTTTGTCCTGTTGGATACATAGTCGCCACGACATCTTACAAACCAAACGCTACAGCTACCACCGCAGCTTGCTGTCCATTGCAAGTGGTGGAAGTCGAAATACAGAGGTCGGGCTATTGATTTCTGCAGCAAGCTTTATTTGTCGCTTGCCGTAGTCTGAGATGAGTTCCGCTGTTTCCAGTGATTGTAAAAGAAGCTGGTGAAGAAGTCCATAGCTCAAGCTCGATGTATCGAAAAGTACGTACCAACAGGGAAATGGCTTCTGACTATAGTAGCTAGTCATGTTGAGCGGATTGGACTTTACAGCAAAACCATGTGCCAGTCATTTGGTGCCTGGGGCTCGAGTCGTAGGATGGGATAGAGTCCATAGCGAAGGAGAGGAGTTGCACCGGAACTGAACCGTCAAATGAAGCACAGAGCTGTCGATGACAGAACACGATGTCACAAATGGGTCCAAAAGGAAGTACCCTTGCGGTGGCAGCGATTGTGAAGGGAAGTAATACAGCAGCGTTTGCAACAGACAACACCAACATTGCCAGATCGCAATTTTGGTGAGCCCGGTTATATACAGATCTTTCGAACGTCTGTATATTGGGTTGAGTATAATTCTCGGTCAACGGTGAAGCTGTTCCGGTGGCGACAGGGGTAATGTGTGTCTCACCATGGTCGATATGAGAAAACCATTCTACCTACAATACTTTGATTCGGGTCAATCTCAACCGACCCCAAAAGCTACAAAACCTTCTGTCGCTCATTCTAAATATCTTCCACCCCACTTCCCCAACAAGTCTTACAAAACTCACACTCCACCACTCCACCACAACAATTCCACGACTCGAAAGCCCATATCCCTATACCCAAGACCAGACATAACTCAAAGTCAACCTCCACCACGGGTGGCCGGAAGAACACATCAAAATATTATCCCCCCCAATTTCGATTCAGCCGCATACACGCACCTCAAAACGACAAAATCTATCGAGATAAAAGTCACCTTCGTCAGCCCTTTTTGCATGATGCTTTGTCTCGGCTATGGACACTTCGTCGCTAGGGGCACGAAATCTCATGACGCTTGCAAGAAAACTGCGTCAGAAGAGTACCTTGGTATCAAAGCCTTTTGGCTCCACACAAGGTGCCCCAACTGCAGGGAACAAATCACGATCGAGACCCCGCAATCACCGGATTGTGAGTGGCGCAAAGATGGGATCCGAGCAGGGGAGAGATGAGGAGAGGGTGAATGAGAAAGCGGACCAGAGACTGCATCGTCTTGAAAGCGAGACGAGCGAAGAAGTCGATGATTCAGGGATCGAGACGTTGGAAAGCAAGCAGGAAGATGCGATGAAGGAGATGGCTGTTGCAGATGCGTTGGGCGAGATTCTCGCAGCCAACGCTGGAAGAGAGGGCATGCAAGTCTTGATGGAAGCGTTGCGAAAGCAGCAGATTTGAATCTAGAAGAAGAGGATGCCATCTATGTTGAGGTTGCAAAAGCTGCGTTCAGAGTTGCGGAAGAGGAGTGCCTGCACAGTTGAAGAAAATATTGACATAGGGTCGTGGGCCACTCAGCCACGGAAGAGGGTGAAGAAGGATCACGGCGCAGCCTTGGGTTGAGGAAGAAGTCGGTTCAATAGAGGGCCTTCAATATTAGATCGTCTGTCAATATGAATTCATGTGTAACTAGCCATAGCAAGTGGCATACTTCTTGTCAACACCAACGCTTTGCATCACCAAAGTGGTACGTAAGGCCTTCGCAATAGACTGAGATATGTTGTTGAACAAGACGTCTGTGTCGTCTCAACGGCAAACGCCCAGATACCGCCTACAGCAACCCGAGAATCTCGATCACGCACATGACATCCAACCGATCAGGGATGTCCTCGGCCCCTGTCACGAAGTCTGTGTGCGCTCCAAGCGGCAAAAAGCAAACGTCTCACACGTTTTGCAAAATTGCCCGAGTGGCGGTGACCTGTCGCCATCCCAAAAAGTCCAGCGCTGTACGACAAAACTCTCTGTGGTGATTGCAACGAATGGATCCACTTTGCAGCAAGTGGACCCATCGAGCGAGCATGCTGTGCGCTGGCAGTTGGCGCCTGTTGTGCCACGTCTGGGGAACATCGCACTAAAACTGCGGCTCAAGCTGTCATACCATGAGGAAGATATCGTGTGCGGTTCGTCGGGAGTGTCTCGATGTGACACGCAGAAGTGGCGGGTTGTGAGACCATGAGAGTTGAGGCTGCGACTATTGTGCGATGCCTAGGCTGAATGGGTGGTGAAGGATGGAACTGCTGAGCGGTGGTCGGACCTCCGGGCACGTGGAAGCGTTGAGTCAGAGTTGTGCAGGGGTTTTGATCATTCTGTGTTTATCAGCCAGGTCGTTGTTACTTCGAGTAGCTGTCAAAGTTGCAATCATGTTGTACTGCGGTATGTTGTTCTGTTCCGTAAGCAATGGAATACCGGGTCGCACCCAAAACACTGGATCGCATGTTGAAGGTCTCTGTAAGAACAGTGTTCATGCTGATCAGCTCGACTGGAGGATGTAGCAAAGGTGCGAAGACATACAATGTCGTGCAACCATGCGTCACACTTCGTGCTCGACCACTGGACGCACGATGAACGTCCCGGAAGGAAGGATAACGAAAAGCAATCATAGCTGCATACGCGGTGGCGGTTTTCGAACCCGACGTCAAGGAGAAGGACTCTCTGTAATACTGTGATACCGTGACACAGGCAGGCAGCCATGAAGCTTGACAGGGTGAACAAAGCTCAGGTGTGGTGACTCGAAGGGAACGGCCTGTATTTGTCGAGCAGCGTCTTGGCTGCAGCGCTCCGTTATCCACAGGTTCGTTTGATGTTCAGTTTGTGCGAGTGCTAACCATCGTAGAGGATGCTTGTGGGACGCTTCTGAAGATCTCAGGGTTGCTAATCCAGTATTTTTGGACGCCTATCAGAAGCAACACCTTGGGTAGGCATTGTCGATCTCTGGAAACAAGAGAAGAAAGGAGAAACACGTGAGACTACCGTCTATTGACAACATGCAAGAAGAAAAAATCGATATCGCGAGATCGAAAAGCCTCAACTCAGGGCCAAGGTACAGCCTCGTGAAATTGCAAATCATTGCCCTAACACTAGCTGAACCAGTAAATGGGCAGGTTCTTGCGCCTTCACACGCACCAACTGAGAATAGCTCAGTGTGGCGCAAATGACATCTCGTGGGCGCTGCGCACGAGAACGGAGAAGGCTGCAGATGTGAGGGATTTCTTTGGCAAGGGCAAGGGCAGCTGCAAGCAGGAATCGTGATGCTTGCCCTTTGGCGCTTTCTGTGCTAGCGCACTTGGCATCTCTGTACACCACTACGCCTTTTGTCTGCACTCGGCTACACTGCAACAAGCGCATTTCCCAATTGGCGTTGTTTGCTCAGAAGAGGGCACACTTTAATGTGCAATTGATTATTGAGTGCTGATCCGGCACTGCTCGCCACGACAAAGAAATCGCCGTAGCGGTGACTTTCGTCGAATGGCAAGGATAGTTCAACAGTCAATGACGCTATGCTTCGGTTAAGCATACACTTTCCTCTACTTGTCTGGGCAAGGTTACACGACGGGCGTGGAAGCTGAAGCTTGGAGGACGTTGGAGTCTTACCCGAGAGTGAAAGTCAGCCGAGAGATGGTCCGTGTGGCTGGCTCGTGTTGTTCGGACTCTCGACTTCAAGACATTTGTGTATATTTGTGTTTAGTGAACTCATGGGTTGATGGCTGGGTTCGACGTCGTAGCGTTCGGTGTAATGCAGCTGAAGAGAAGGTGCAAGGTTGTCAGCGCCTTCTACTTTATGTCCGTGAAGTGCAGTTGAAAAAGGAGTGCATTCATTGAATACGTACAGTCAAGGTATTACCCAAATGCTCCTTCGATATCAGTCTGCCATGGTCTGATTCAATCGAGCCTAGAGTGATCTCAGTATGCACAGACGGCATGATCCTTCACACCTGTCAAGTGGAGCTACTGCAGCACGCTTGTGGATATGCAGGCTTCGGTCTTGGTGAGACCGGTGACTTACCGATGGATCCCGGCTTACCGCAACCGTCCTCAATCATATGTCCAGGCGGAGTCCAGCCACTCAGCCTGGTTGAGTGTGTGGATTGAGGGTGGCTGTGGTTGGCCGGTGATTGCTTTCCGTGTTGACAGAGCTTGGTTCCGAGGCGGACCGCGCGAGGATGCAGGCTGTCCTTAAGGACTGACCGGATCGGACGATAGTGAGAGACGACAACTGCACAGGAGATGTGGATTTGTTCTTGTGTTTGGCAGCCGACAAATATCGTTATGGCGCGCCTTCAGGTCTTGATTTGTGTCTGGTTTGCCAAGAGGCGAGGTTGACATCCTCTTCGTTGAGATAGCTACGGTACAATGTGGGCTGTGCCCTGGTATCTTTGAGTAAATAGCGAAAAGTCGTGACGGACAAACCCCGTCAGGATCCCATGTTTTATTGCAACTCCGTGTAAATGCGTGATTGTGCCAACTCCCCTTCGTTGTTTAAACAAGAAAAGAAAACGTGTGTACAGGGGAAAAGGAACATCGCACCGTCAAGGTTGCGACTCCCAGAGTTAAAACGTATTTTGCTGGTGGAAAGTCTAGGTCCGGACAGGGCGAAGTCCGGAAGGCTCTATTTTGAAACATCGAGCCTGTGAACGCCAACCGTGAAACAAGAACACCGCTATCATGGCATCGTGGCTTTTGAAAAATCCGGAAGGAAAGTGAAACGTCGTAGAGAAGCGTATTCGGCGTGAGATGACCCTGTAAGGCACTCTAGTGAACGTGGACCGGTGCAGCCATCATAGATGGCTGGAAGGACACATGCTTGACCAGGTTGGCAGCATGAATGAAAGGCTGGAACCAAGTGTTGGTGGGAGCAGGGGGAGAAACGTATTGTTGTTGAGGAACTCGAGAAGAAAACTTCTGGGCTGGGGCAGAGTAAACACTTTGGTAGGAAGCGGTAGAGGACGAGGACGACGCTGATGAACATGCAGAGAACACAGAGTCGTTGTCCGAGCTTGAGCTGCCAGAGGAAGTGGAGTGCTGAGGGTAGAAGGCCGGGGCGTAAACAGCACCTGGCAGAGGAGCCATGGAAGAAACAGCCGGAGCCTGGTAGCAGTCGTAGTAGGGGCTGAGAGGAGGCGAGGGCAGAGGAGTCGACACTGCTGCCTTGGTGGCCGTGAAGGCGGAGCAGTTGAGGATCATCTGCCTGATCTCTGGAATAGTGGCTCTCTTAGCAGGGTTGAAGTCGAAGATGCGCCTCAGAATGGCGTCCAGCTCCAAGGAAATAGGAAGGATGGTCCTGAGAAACTTGGGGTCCTTCATGAAAGCGCGGAAGGTGCTGTCTTCGGAAGAAGCTCGCTTCCAGGGGTTGCGTCCGCAAGTGAGGTTGACGAGGATGACTCCGAGGCTCCAGATGTCATTCGGAGCCGAGGCGTAGCAGGAGTAAGCCTTGGGCGCTGATGTCTGGCATTCTGTTCGTGTTAGTATGCGAATGTAGTCCATGATGGCGGTTGAAACCTACCAGGAGACATGTAGAAGGTGGAGCCGCATCCAAAGTCAGAGGTAACGTGCTCAGTAGTGGCCAGTCCAAAATCGGCGAGCTTGCAAGTCAAGCCCTGGTCGGTGACCAAGACGTTCTCCGGCTTCAGGTCCCTGTGGTAGATTCCAATAGAGTGGCAGTATTCAACGGCATCCAGAATTTGGAGGAAAGCACGCTTAGCCCAGTCATCGTTACCAACGAACTTGCCCTGCTCAGTGATGTTTGAGAAAAGATCACCTTCCGGGCAGTACTCGATGACGACGTAGGTGCAGTCTGGAGCGTCCATGATCTTGACCAGAGAAACAATGTTGGGGTGCGCACTAGCCTGGTGGTGGAGCTGGATTTCTCGCTGCTGGAACTTGCGCTGACGAGGCTCAAGGCCAATCTTGTTAAGCGCCTTTACAGCATAGGGAACGTTGGTCTGGATGTCCACGGCAGTGTAGACAACTCCATAAGCTCCGACTCCGAGGATACCAGTGAGTTGAAGCCTACCAGCAAGGATTTGACCTAGTCGATCTTCCGGCGCACAGAGTCCATTTTGGGTGGGAGATGCGGGAGGCGACGGGTACATGCTGTGGGTGAGAGTGTAGAAAAGTCCTCCTAGGTCCAGTGAAGGCCTCGAGGACGGAGATATGAATCCTGAAAGAAAAGGATCCAAAGGCTTTGAGTAGTTGCAGCAAGAGCAGTAACGTATAGTTATCCAAACACGGTTAGGTCAGATGACCAGGAACAGAGAGGTAGGGAGAAAGGTGGAGGTAGATGTTGAGAGGTGGTAAGAACAACGATGTAGTACGTTGAACTTTGGCAAAGAACGTGAAGGAGAGGGTAGTAGTATGTTCGAGCCGGTGAATGATGATGGTCGGGTATGAGGCGGGATATGATGTATGTTCTATAAGCACGGCTGGGCAGCAGTGATAAAGATTGCCTTCAAAAGAGGGCCCTGTCAGCTATTGGTTCATAAGACGCCCCAGTTTTCGTAAATATAGGGAAGGATGGGCCTGGGAGCAGCGCTATGACGAAGAAGGATGGGCCTACAGGCCGCCTGCAGTCCATCAGCGATGCATGCCATGGCCGGCACGCAGACGGGCGCCCACTAAAACAGTGTGGTTCCACTAGCGCGCAGGGAGGCAAAAAGTGAGGGAGGGCAGTGTGAGCCGTCTTTACCGTGTGCGTCTTAGTGGTGTCCGTCATGCAGCCACCGAGCAACCGGGGCCCTGTCCGTGATTCACCTGAATCATGCCTCTGAATCCGCAGCTCGCCGGGCGGCTGTGGTCTGCAGCGAATCAGAGACCCGTTAGCAAGGAAACGGTGACACACCCACGACTGCTCAACACACGCGCAGTCTGGGGTTCGACGCTCGAATTGCAGCAGCTTCGAGGCACCAGAGCACCACAGTGCAGCAGACCATGCGCCAGAGCCAAGCGGACCCGCGCAGTGTGTGGCGGTAGTGTACTGGACCACTCATTTTGTGCTTTGCCCTCTCCACAAGCGCTCGTCAGCACGCAGAGAGGACACATTTCGAAGGGCAACAGCAGCAGATCTCGCTCAAGCCTCGCGTTGTACATAACGCTGGCTGACATGATTTGTTGCCCCTGACCAGCGTCTGCGGACACCAACTGTCGAAAACAACCGCGCCTCACCCTAACCAGAAGGCTGAGAATCAAGACCATGCCGCAGCCGGTTAGCGTTGCTTAGAGACGTGGACAAGCCTGCGAAAGCTTACGACGTCTCGTACAGAGCGCGAGTGCACGGCCGGCGTTCGATAGCCTTCGCTGGCTCCGTGTTCGTGTGTGCTATGACGCATCTGGCCTGTGCAGTCGATGATCTTGCAACGCCTGCGGCGCAGCTCTGGAACTTTGAAGTCTCTGTTTGATCTCCTGCCAGCCGACTTCTGACCCGACAGCGTGCCCTGAAAGACGGCATTGATGGCTGTCGAGCGCCCAAGGCTCGTTTGGGTTTCGTGTTGGTGGAGCAACACCATCTTCGGCGCTTCCCAGCATCTTTGTCCTCCAATTTTGTTCCCGCAATTGTTGAACAAGGGCGAGCTGGCTCGAACATTTCGAGCGCCAAAGAGCGTTGGCGATGACACATGGCAGTTGAGGCCCGATTGGCACGTCGCCCTACTTCTGCCTAAGCGCTCATTGGCCCTCCAATATATTGTCAATCCCCGCTGACTAACGGGCCTGTCCCATCCATGCGAGTGCCCATGCATCTGATTAGCTGGCACCCGCCAGTGGCGCGCCAGAAGCTACTGGATTTTCGAGAGCTTCACGCCTGGCGAATGAGGTCGGAGATTATTGCAGGAATGCGGCCAATCACAATATACCGTGTGGATGAAGCCAACTACTTGTTTCACTCGAGTGACAGTCTTGTGACCCGGGAGTCACCGCCTCGTCTTTGAGTCGCAATCCACTCACACCGGCGTCTCTGTATGAGTCGCAGACAAGGCTATCGCGCAATACTGGTAGAACGAACCTTCCAGAAAACCATTTTGCCGTTGACAGGCAGCAGCAGCAGCTGGCCCTTGACAGTCATAATGAGGGTGTTGATGGCGCCCAGGATCGAGCAACGAACGGGGCTTCCATCATCTCGTATCGCCTGCCCGTTGGCAAGGTCAGAGGCCGCACTTGTCCGCAGAGGGACCGTCTCGACTAGGATTGGAGCCAGATTACGATACATGCGCAAGCGAGGCAGCCGTCGAAGAACCTGCATCGTTTTCTTCTTCTTTTTCTGCCCTCCGGCGTCATCCGTGCATGAGCACAGATCAGTCAAGCTGGGCTTCCCGCAGGCTAAAGTTGCGAACGGGAGTCTGTGAGTGAAGGGACTGACGATCACATCTGAGCGAAATTGCTACCGGCAACTTCTGTCACGCTAGCGTATGCATCATACCATGAACGGCGCTGGTTCGAAGGCTGGGACTGAAGAATGTTGTCGAGGCCAAATGACTGTCTGCCTAGCGAGCGGTTCGTTGTTGGTTGTCCTGACGATACTTGAAGACTATCTGCCGTTCTCACCAAATCAGTACCAAGTTCCAAACAGCCGCCATTTGCTGCACATAAGCGGCGCAAATCGTTTGTCCATTCACTGAGTGAGGTCTTTGTTGTTGCCGGATGCTCGACTGCCGCTGCCCAGGTGATGGTGCGCTTCAGACGCGCAGTGGTCGCTTCGATTCAGGGCCTGCATACACCGGTGGGTAACGGGCTTGGATAGGCGTTCTCCACAAGGGCTCAGCGGACTTGTCGCTATCAGATTACAGCCTTCACCGCCGGTTTGCTTGTCTTTCGTTGGCACAGACCCAGCCCCCTTCACTCTCGGGCTCATTGCGGCTGTCACTGCCCGATCTTCAAGACTGGCGAACGTTATCGATATGCCCCTCCATGCCCCGCTATCGCCAATTCGACGTCCTGCACGTCTTCAAGTTAAAACGACAATCGCTCGAGCAAGGGGACTCCAGGGACTGGTCCAATCAAGCAGGCTGCAGCATCGTGCCTTCCCGATTATCCACAGCACACGCAACGTGGCGCCGTCGGAGGCAAGGACAGACGGGTCCAACAGCACCAGTATCCAACGATCATCTGTGGTGCGGCAGATCTCACTGTGCTTCCAGACCCCAGGGTTCCACATAAATGGCAAAAACGTTGGTGAGTGATGCAAGTGCGATGCCATCACTGGCGCCAGACGTGCGCTGCGTTGAATTCATGCATGCACTTTGGACGTACTCCGGAGTACAAGCACTCTTCGTTCAACGTATTCAACAAAAGTCGGTCAACGATTATCAACTGTAACTCTCTGCTCCCCAGATCCAGCTGGACCTCGAAGTGCCGGTGTCTACACTCGTGGCTTACAATGGTCGGCACGGAACGAGGACGACCAGACCACAAACGTTTCGCAGCTCTACACTTGAGACGCATGGACCAGTCCGTCGAAACTGTATCGGCACGGCAGACTACTATCTCACATGGATCTCGCGACATCTTGCCATGGGCTGAGTGCTTGGCGAGCAGACGGTAGATCTTGCGAGTACATGTCCAAACTTTCCATGAACTTTCCCATTACTCATATATCTGAAACGAAGAAACACTGAGGGTCTCTGACTGTACCGCATGAACGACTGTCACCCTGTAATCGATCCTGAGGCATCGCCAGGTTCGACTTGGCACATTGATCACCCGGAGAACATCTGCATTGAGGTCGGACCTTCAACCGCCCAGGCGCCGACATGTCGACAGGAAGCATAGGCGAGACAAGCCCCTCGGACGAACCTGTCTTCTGACGACCGCGTGGTAAGTTCGGTAAGCGGTCTCACCACAAGGTACTTAGTTCCTACACATGGCTGACCGCCGAAACCTTTCGATTACACTTCAGCCACTACCGCTTGCAGCCGTTCGTCAATTTGATTCGCAGCTTCTTGACCCGATCCATCTCCCGACCGTCTGGATCGTTGTGAAATCAGTTCGTCGCTTGAGGAACGCTATCAGAGTTTCCGGTAAGAGAGGGTAGACGAGATGAAGTTGCAACACGTGCGCTGTCGACACCTCGGGGTCCTGTCTCGATATCATCTCTCACGCTCCATGCAAAGCTTCCTTGTACACCGGGCTCTCACACGGGTTTAGACATGGTCGACAGCAGAGAAGACTCGTCTCTGCTTGAAGAAGCACTCTCCGTAATGACAACGGAGCAGTACTCCGACAACAACCACCGTGCCTTGCAGCATGCAGCAGCTACTGCATAAACAATCTAAGTCTGTTGAATGACGTGCTCCGTATGGATGTTCGTCGTGCCATCGCGTTCACTACCGTAAACTTGTCCAGCTAAAAATCAAGGTCACTACGGTGTCATCAACAACGAAATCACCGCTCAGCAAAATGATCTCTTCAATTCCTCACGCTGCATCGAGAACTACATCACACTTTCATTGAAAATGAGGCTTACCTCTGATAGATGGCGGCTATCAAATCTCAATAGTGGATGCAACAGTATCCGCACTACTCTTATTGCTGATGTCTTGCACCCACCACCAACACTTCCCACTCACCACTATCAACAGACTCACAGTGACTCACCACCACCCTGCACTAACAACAAGATCAGCGCACTCACCAGGTCCCGCTTACACAACCCCTGCAAGCCGACACTGCACTGCGCTTAGAATACCACGGAACCTGTGCTAACCGCCTCGCCAGGCCGCCTGTCAGGTTGCACATCAGGTCGCCCACCGGACTGCCGTTCATGCGGCCCATGTCCATCAGCGCGAAACGAAACGTGAAACATGATGGAGCGGATGGAGTTGGTGGTGCGGCGCAGCACTGTGGATGCTGATGTCACGAGGTGGGCAGCTGTGAGGTTGGGCGCCTAAGTTGGATGAGGTGGGTGCTGAATGGTAAGCCACCTCGAGGTGTTGGAATGATAGGAGGGTTGTTTGGAAGAGTGCGATGTGAATGCTGGTGAGCGAAAGCTTTAGGCAGGGACAAGCATCTTCAGGTAAGAGCGATATCTTCAACCACCATCGAGTGAACGTTATCGTAATGCATGTTGCGCGAGCGCCTCTCGTTCCACCACGAATTAATGACGCCTCCCATTTCTCATATTCTACTATCTGATTGCTGAGGGTACTCACAATGTCGATTGCCAGTGCAAATGAAGGCCCAACTGACCTCTGAACACCAGTTCAGGACCTCAGTGCACGCTTCAAACACCGTGCTTTTCCCTCGAATTTCGTCATCTCACTCCAAGTATGTATCCGCATCCTTGCTCTCCAACTTATTGCGGACCTCCCGTCCCCCAACTGCAATATTTCCACCAAGATTCTCTTTCTTCCTCCACCCCTCGCCAAATCCATACACAATCCACGGTACAGGTGCAACAGCCAGCGCAACAAATGCCAGTAACGAAAACATCCATCCCACATCCAGCTGCTTGTACAGCTTATTCGAAAACAGTGGCGCTATACCACCAAGTATCGATCGAAAGAGCGTGCTTGCTGCAGTTCCAGATGCTGAGTGCACCGGGTAGGCGTCGAGGATATATGTTCCTGTGAAGAACTGCCTTCCGTTAGCACTTGTAGAATGTTGGCGGCCGCTGGAGTACTTACGATGGCGCTCATAGCTCCCGCTCCGAAGATACTGGTTCCAAGCACCGGCAATGCCCAGTGCACAGTGTTTTGCGCCGCCCAAGCATATATCAACAATCCCACACCAACGCAAGGCCAGAAGAAAAACATGGGTAGCAACCGATTCTCCGGCCTGAAATCCCCTGCCTCCTTCCTCCTCTTCATGACAGCATCGCTAATCTTTGCACCAACAACCATACCAACCACCGCCCCAACCGCAGTACCAAGATACGCAAAACCGATACTCTTGGGCTCCCAAGCGTACATGACCAGAAATGTAGTCGGAAGCGTAGTATACAGAATGTACATCCATCCATACCCAATCGCCGTCAACGCACTCGTCAACAAAATCGTCTTCGAGAAAACAAGCATGCGGAGCGGCATCAGCATCGCCCTTCCCAACACCTCCCTTCTCGTAGTCTGCACATCGAAATCGAATCTCGACCTCACCGATCCGTCTCGGAATCGTTTCTGCTTCCTCAGCCTAGCAGCTTTTCTCCGCAACAGCACCGGTTCATAGCTCTCGCTCAATCCCGCGAAGTTCAGGACTGTGACGATGAGTCCGAGACCGCCGCTGATGTAGAAAACCCACTCCCAGCCCCACGCAGCGTTGATGTAGGCCCCGGCTGTGGGACTGATAGACGGACCGAGGTTATACCCTACAGCCACCACCGCCATGACTGCGCCACGCTTCTCTTCGGGAAACATATCAGCGACAGAACTCGGCGCGAGCGCGAAGACGGAGCTACCGCCCATACCAGCGAAAAGCCGTGTGACCGCTAGAGTGCGGGTGGATGTTGTGCGTCCACACAGTAGGGTGCAGATGCTGAATAGTGTGTTGCAAAAGTGGTATAGAGGGATTCTGCCGAACAGCTCGGAGAGGGGCGAGATCACGAGGGGCCCGATGGCGTAACCGAGGACGTAGACGCTCAGGACGAAGGAGGACAGGTAGGGCTCTGTGGTGTGGAAGGAGAGCATGAGGGAGGGGATGGCGGGGGCGAAGACGGAGGATGTGAATGGGCTTGGTGTTGGTCAGTGAAAATGAAATCGTGAACAGTGGATGATGGCGGAGTAAGTTGGCTTACGAGATGATGCACATCAGGAAGATGCAGGCAATGTTCAGGCTTTTCTTCCATGCGGGCCAGTTGAGCGGGTTCTGAGGATCGAGGTTATGGTCCCAATCAACGAGGTAAATATCCTTCTTGAGTCTGTCGCCATCGTCGTCGAAGGACTTGGGTAGGTCGAAGACTGTGTGATGGTATATACTAGGTAGCTCTTCGTTCCTATAGAGCTGCTGGATGTCTTTGCGAATGGTGGAGCGTTCCTTGTCTGGCGTTGCACTTGAGCTAGGTCTGTCGGACGTGATTTGGGGATACGCTCTCGCTAGACATCGCAACGGGCGGAGTGGGAGTCGCGGATGGGAGTCGGATTTCTCCATCGCTGTGAGCGCTTGCTATTGCTTTCAAGGACCGTGGATATCAGAAGAGCCTGTATGTGCCATAGCTCGCTGTTGCGGCCATTGTGTTCACAAAAGTCATAGCCAGTGCAACACGTATGTGTGACTGGCAAACGACGGTGTGCCGCGCTCTTCACATACCAAACGTCTTAAACCGCGGTGCCACCGACATTGCGATGTGACAGATCACGCTTGCACTGCGTAATAAGACGATGTGAGTGCATTGAAGTCGCATCGACGATGGAAACACATGAGTGAAGGCAAATGGTAACAACAGTCATGTACAATCTTGCTATTTTGCCCAAAACACAACCCTTCAATACACTGGTATACCAAAACGAATGACGCCCGCTAATTGCAGTTTGAGTCGGAGGGACCAACCAAAACCAACAGTGTGTTGAACGATCGTAAAAGAGGGGAATATGCAAAAGTCGCTCAAGTCAAAGTAATCACAATGCTGAAGTGGTCCATGTGTCACCCACCAGGGGGATCAACAAGGCTGTAGGTAGTTGGATGGGACAAGACCAGGCCTGCCGTTCTTACCCACAACCTCTGCTTCCCACCATCCGTCGTCTTGAAGGCGAAGCACGGCAAGGATGTCGCCCTTCTGGAAAGCAAGTTCCTCTGGGATCTGTGCTGTGTATGAGTACATTGCACGAGCTGTTGTACTAGTCAGTCATACCATAACAGTAATTCGATGTTCCGGCCACTTACAGTAGTTCAAAATAATCCGTCCGTCTCTATTGTAGTTCTTGGGCTCCGCCAAACTCTTGCTGCGTACTCTCGATTCAGCCCTTACCGAGCTGCCACTTCCACCTCCGCCTCCACCATAGTACGAACTCTGTGGTCGACCGCGAACGCTGCCACCGTACACGGACCCGTCACCTCGTTCGCTGCCTGCCATAGACATCGCCGCCGCACTATGCGAGCTGGGAGGTCTATCATTCGGCTGGCGGAAGGCTGGTTGGGGGCTGACAGCTCGCGAGCTAGGAGCGGCGCGAGACCCCGGTCGTGACTGCGCGTAAGCTGGCTGCGGCGGCGGCTGAGGTGAAGCTGCTCGAGGGATGGAGCTCATAGCAGGGGAAGCACCTCGAGTGGATGAATACGAGTTGCGTCCAACCGGGGTACCGTAGGCTTGAGCTGGGGCAGTAGCAGTTTGCGCGCGTGGCCGACCACCAGCAGTAGAAGCTGCGTAGGGGTTCGGCGAGGCTGAGCGATTATAGTTGGCCGCAGGAGCAGGTGACTGTTGCTGTTGGCGCTGCGCCGGTCGATACGTGGAAGGTGACGCAGGTGCTTGTCCTTGCGAGGATCGTTGTTGTGCTGTGTAAAGACTAGGCCCGGGGCTAGTAGCGCGATTTGGTGCAGGAGATGTCGCTCGTGGTTGTTCCTGTTGAGCATTGCCACGCGTTGAGGGTCGGGATCCAGCATTGCCACTGAACACATTCGCCTTTTGGTTGACATACATCTCGGTCGTCTTCTGCATTTGGCGCGCAGTATGCGCTGGCTTCGGAGCGCCGAGGCGGGACATCGGTGGCTGCTCGTAGGAAGGTGGCGGTGTGCCTCGTTTCGCAGCATTCAGGTTGGCGTTTGTCAAAGGTGTAGGTGTACCTCCTGGTAGCTTTGAGCCAACAGAGGGTGTGGCCGGAGGCTGGGGCGTGGCCAGGCCATGGAATTTATCAGCAGACACGCGCAAAGTACCTTGCTTGGTGACACCTCTGAGTTCTTCGAGAGCTGCAGCAATGGGGTCGAGCTCTGCAGCTGGCTCCTGCTTCTGCTGCTGCTGCTGCTGCTGCTTCTTCTTGTCAGGGGACGCTACATCGAACACGTTGTTCCCAACGTTCAACTGGAAGTTGGCACGTGGGTCGACAGGTTCAGGACTGGCAGATCGTGTAGCTTCCTGCACCATAGGCTGACGACTAGCCCTACCAAGCGGGCGAGTCGGACTGACGTTCTCGTTGATGTTCTGTCGCGATGCAGGAGCCCATGTGTTGCGGCTTGTCGGTGTCACAGAAGCTGGTGTCTCGATCTCGGGCTTGCTCTTCCTACGACCAAATGGACTGTTGAAGAAGCCCCGTTTCTTTTGGAAAGAGCTCTCCTCAATAGGACTTGACTCAGGGAATGACGACACTGGCATCGGCTTGCCAGGGGAAGCAGACCCGCTTGGAGGCTCAACACTAGAGAAGGAATTGAGGTCTGAGTGGTCGCTGTGCGAGTCCCGGCTTGGAGGGCGGATAGGGCTTGGAATTGTGCTTCGATCAGACTGTGCTGCAGGTCGACAGAACTGGGTCATGCCGTCGGCCGGGAAGTCGTTATACGGCGCTGGGCTTTGCTGGTACTGTTGGCGTGCTTGCTGCTGTGCTTGCACCAAACGTGGGTCAGGCTGCACTGTTCGAGATGCTGTAGAGGGTCGAGGTGTCTGCTGCGGCTCGGCGGGCTGTCGCGGTGTCGGGACGTTGATCTGATCTTGTGGAATGGCAATTGGCTGAGTGTCCTGCTGCAAACCCATTTCCTTCGCCAAAGGATTGTTGGGATCGTGGTGCGACTCGAAGACCGAGATGGGTGGGGACGAAGCACGATATGACGGATTCATAGTCCTTGCAAACTGTGCCACCGAGTAGTTCTCATCATCTGACACTTGTGACGATGTTTCAGCATCTCCACGGCAGAAGTTGATAAACTTTGGCGGATCGGGTATCTCCTGGCCTGTACCACTCTCGGTGATGAAGTTCGTGATGTCCTTCTCCACATCACAGTCTTCGAGCGACAAGCGCATCTTCTCGCATGAGCCGTCGTCGCTGACGCACACTGTCGAGGCAATGTTGGCAAAGTTCCAAAGGCTGCTCTTGGTGTAGTCGATACGCTCTTCTTCGAGATCCTGGAATTTCTACAGAGCTGTCAGCAATGATTGCTTGCGCTGCGTGAAGCCAACTTACGTCGCAGGCAGCCTTCCAATCTCTATTCCAGCGGCCAGTGGTTTCCTCCAGAACCTTCACTGCAGCCTCGTACTCGGCGCTTGTTGTAGACAGGTTGATTTGTGTCTTCTCCAGCCTGGCCTTGTTCTTGCGTTCTTCGTGGCCCATGACCATGTGCGCCTGTGCGAGGAAGCCCTTGATCTTGAGACAGTCCTGTTCGTATCGATCGCGTGCCTTATTGACTGTGGCCGTCTGCTGCATCTTGAGCTTCAGGAGCTTCTCGATGCCATTCTGGACAATCTTTCTGCGCTCCTTCATACCGCCAGCGAATGCTTGTAACGGCTCCTCCAGCTCAGTGTGCATCTGCTGGGCGACGCTCTGGTGAGCCTTGGCCATGGATTCGACTTCGGCTCGTATGACATCGCAGGACATTCGTAGTGTGCCAGTTTCCGAGGACCCGAGGGGCTTTCGAGAAAGCTGCAGCAGCTTCTTGGAGTAATCTTCTTCGATCGCAGCGCGCGCAGCGTAAAAGGCCTTTAATTCATCGTTGGTGACTTTGGCAAAGTGCATGCGGTCAAGCATGGGCCCGACGCCAGCATCGTCTTTACCCCAGAAGTTGTTGGCGACTAGCAGCTGTCAGCAGAAGCCCTGTAGGTATAGGGAGCTGTCATACACGAAAGAGACACCGAAGGCACCTCTGATGCCGGTGTGCCTGGCATCGTGCCGGCTGTTTACTTGCTGCAGCGAGTGCTCTACGTGGCAGCGATGCGCGGGGACAACGAATGTCGAGAAGAATGCTGGAATAATATATATGGGGTATGGATGGTACTACAAGGTGCGGCGACCAGGTATGGGTGGTGAGGGTGCGGGTCTGGGGCGCCTGTACCTCGAGCTGCTGTGTTGGTGGTCGCCGTTTCCCATGGCGACGCGCGCGGGAAGGAGCGCTAAACGCGCTCAGCCCTATGACGACGTGTGCTGCAGTGAGACGACCGCTGTCTGCGGCTCAACCTCTCGACAACAACCAGCTTCCTGTATGCATGCGCTGTCGTGTGGGTTCTTCTTGGTGTCTCCAAATTTGCGTTGTCTTGGGGTTTTCTTGATGGCTCCAAATCTGCATTGTCTTGGGGTTCGCCGGCCACTGTACCCATGTGCCGCTGCAGCTGGTAAAGTCAAGCAGCAAGAAACTCTCGAGCAGTCGTGACTGGCATACTACAATCATCGTCGGGCCAAGGAAACAACAGTGTCTCTCAAGGCTGTGTATCGATGTGATGATTTCCAAGAGCAAGTGTTGATAGAGCTCTAATGATGAGGGCACCGCCAGAGGGCGTCTGCAACACCACGCCAGGTCACCCCATGGTGCGTCAAAGATTCGAGGTCAATGCGAAGACAAGCGTCGACTGTATCGTAGCCACTGTGTTCGAGGGAAGCCATGTGCTCGTGCGTGATGGCAATGGAGCAAAGGAGGAGTCGAGCACTCACATCACGAACCTGGAAATGTGGGGTATCGATGCTGCACCCACCTGCGGTGCCGGCGAACTGCAGCATCGACTGTGAGAGCCGGGCAATATCTGCATGAACACGTGATGCGGTTCAGGTCTCTGTGACTCTACGGACAGATAGACGAGATGCAGCGAATGCATTGCTCTGATAATCATGCAGCACTCGGCGCAGTGCAGCGTCGCGGTCAATCGCAGTCGCTAGCTGGCAAGTGCGCGCTCCTCAGTGCCAAGCATCTCTTCCAACTGACCCACGACTATCACAACTTCACGTCCACCACCTCATCCCAGCCCATCGCCGCACTCCACCCCGCCCGTTCGCCCTTGCGTTGCTCATGGAAATACCACTCCGATGAGCCAGCAACACCCCTGGGGCACCCCGAGACACAACCAGAGCACCCGTCTGACGCCCATCTCCACCAGCGCCGCCCACGAACAGCGCAGCACACCCTCTCCCAGCGGCTCGCGTCAGCCATACTCACCCGCCGCGTCCAGCTTCCCCTCGCTCCCATCGGCACCGTCGCGCCTCGTAGGTAGCCGCAAGTCGTCGGCCGCGTCCTCGACCTCGTCCGCGCCTCTTGCAGCGGGACAGCAGCTCCCAGCCAGCCAGCTGCTGTCCTCTCGGTCCAGGACCAACGTGAGCCAGCCCGGCTCTCAGCTGGCGTCCTCTGCTGTGCCAGGTGGAGCTTCGTCGAATAGCAACGGAGGAGCTTCGAAGCTCGTCCGCGCCTCGCCCTCGTCGAGCACAGTGGGCTCGCCCAGCACGTCAACCACGTCAACCAACCCCGCCTCCGGTGCATCGTCACAAAACCTCTCGCGTATTGTCATCGCGCAGGTCTTCCTGTTGCTTAGCCAATTCGGCCCCGTCAAGGACGAGAAAGATCGGTCCAAGTGGGATACGCAGACCGAACAGATCAGGAAGGTGCGTCATTGGTTCCGCTTGTACACGTCTTCGCTTTGCGATGCTAACAACCAACTAGCTGATCGATTCGAACGGCATGGAGGTGTTTTCAAAATACTTCCGGCGCGTGCTGCAGAACAATGCAGCGCAAGTCTTCGGCACGGGCGGCCGCAACGCCGACCCCAACGGCAGCTATCAGATCCTCGTGACCGAAGTTCAGAAGCTGCGAAAAGAGCCAGAGCAAGCAGACAAGATCGCAGAGTCAATAAGCTCCAGTGAAGGAGACCTGTTCCGCGATTTCGACCTGTCCACCTTTGTCTCGCATTTCCAGATGCACCCACTCTCAAGGGCAATGCTCACACTTGCGTGCAGGAAGACTAACTTGAGGCCCAAGGGTGAGCTTGCTTCACATGACTCGACCAGAATCCGCGCTAACACCACGTAGCCGATGCACTTCTTTCAAGCCTTGGCGACGACCTTCTGATAGCCATCGCACAGCCCACCCAGAACGACGACACGAGCCCAGACTACATCGCCTCGCTCGTCGAGTGCCTCCTGCAGGACCCACCACAAGGATGGGACGAGGACAAGAAGCTGAACCTCGCTTACGCTGTCCAAGTTCGCTACCAGACCTTGCACATGCAGGTACCGGGCTTGGTCGAGTCGAAGCTCATACTCGCTGAGCTCACAGATGGGTCAAGGAATCCTCTAGTGAAGCTAGTGCAGCGAGCGGGGCCGCAAGGCACGGCTACAGTAGAAGCCAGCAAAGAGTTGCTCGCGTCGGCCGAGACAAGAGACATAGGCTACCAGCAAGTGGCGTCGGTGGTGTTGTACTTGGCGCTCTCCACGGGATACAATGCCAAGAACTTCGTAGCAGCGCTGCGAGAGCATCGCGCCGGACAGCGGTTGGACTGGCAGGACGTCGTACACGCTTTCGACCGAGACCATCTACGCATCGAAAAGAACAACTTCCTCGCCATCTACAACGCCCTACTTCCGATCGCTCAAGAGAACGAGAGCTTCGATATCCAGGCACTGTGGGGTGGAACTTGGCAGCACGAAGTGACACATCTCTACTTCTTGCTGTGTTATCTGCAGTGCACATCTCAGGAGCTCGATGTTTCTCAGATACCGCGGCTGCGCGCTTCGTACTCCTTGGAGACGTTCGAAGATGCCCCTGACGACGTCAAAGCGTTCGCAGAGCAAGCCATCAAACACCCGTTCGTATCGCTCGATGCTACAGGCGCCCTCTTTACGATGATCTTCCGTACCTCGGAGACCTATCACACAGCTCAATTAATGGGGATCCCGGACCTCGTGATTAATCCTCACACGGCCGAATTCCTCGTTGCTGCAGCAGCTGTGCCGAAGCCATGGGGCGCCCTACAGGAGCAAGCTCTGAAGCAGCTGTTCGATCCATACTTCCACAAGAAGTTACCGATCTACAACTTCGTTCTTTACGGTCTCTGGCAACAAGATCTCCAATGGCTTGTTGATCGTTTTGTCGATGCGTATAATGCCGATCCCATGTCTCTCACGCTTATCTTAGAGCATGCCGAAGCCAACAACTGGTCCGAAACGCTGATCCGCAGTAATACTGACATCAGTCTGGACATGGCGGCACAGGCGCATGCGCGCGGCAAATTTGAGATCGAGCCATGGTTGCAGCAGACTATCGAACAAGCCGGCCTTCTTTTCCGACGCATCTTGACCAACTTCCTAACCCAGAGAGCCTCGGATGAGATGCAGCGTGTACGGGAGGATGGGCATTCTCTCAGCCTACCGCTTGCCGTGAAGACCGTTTACCCTTTGCTCTGGTTCCTTGCCGAGTGCGGACTGCCAGAACACGAACTCCTGCCTCTCCAACGCAACTGCATCCAAGCTTACCCCCGGCTCATCAACTACGGCGAAGGCGTAGACGACATCATCGATGCCAACGGTCAGAATGGGAACTCTCTTCCCGCGGATGCTGACACCAAAATGCAAGAGCACTTCAAGAACATGTACAGTGGCGATAGCGATGTTCGCGACATCATTTCCGTATTGAAGAAATACAAGGAGTCGCGCGATCCCGCGGAGCAGGAGCTGTTCGCTTGCATGATTCATGGTCTTTTCGACGAATATAACTGCTTCGGCGAATACCCACTGGAAGCATTGGCAACCACAGCTGTACTCTTCGGTGGTATTATCAACTTCAACCTGCTGTCTAGGATTGCGCTGCAGGTTGGATTGGCCATGGTGCTGGAAGCTGTGCAAGAGTACAGACCTGAAGACTCCATGTACAAGTTCGGTCTCCAGGCTCTGCTTCATTTCTCCAGTCGACTTTCCGAATGGCCCAACTATTGCGACCAGCTTCTCATTGTTCCTGGTCTTCAGGGCACCGAGATCTTCGCGAAGGCTGAGGAGGTCGTCCGACAACAAGGGGGTGAAGTCAATGGAGATGCGCACAACAGCATTGGCCTCTCCAACGGCAACGGTCTGGAAGATGCGCTTCAACAAGAATCCGCTGTACCAAAGTTCTCCTGTCTGTACGTTGATCCACCGATTCATGGAGACCTTTACGAAGACCCCGACGAAGATGTGCAGGACAAGGTGCTTTTCGTGCTGAACAACGTGTCCGAGCGCAATCTGCGCGACAAGATCAAGGATCTCACCGAAGCTGTCGAAGAGAGGCACCACCAATGGTTTGCCAATTATCTCGTTGAGGAGCGTGCAAAGATGCAACCCAACTTCCAGCAGCTGTACTTGGACATGCTGGAGCTGTTCAACAACCGAACACTCTGGGCTGAGGTTCTTCGCGAGACCTACGTTAGCGTTGTACAAATGCTCAACAACGATGGAACACTCGGTTCGACGGAGCGTGGCCATCTCAAGAACCTTGGATCCTGGCTTGGTTCCCTTACAATCGCTCGCGATCAACCGATCAAGTTTCGCAACATCTCATTCAAAGATCTCCTGACTGAGGGCTACGACACCGACCGACTTCTCCTCGTCATTCCGTTCACCTGCAAGGTATTGGTCCAGGCTGCCAAGTCTACAGTTTTTAAACACCCCAATCCATGGCTGATGGAAATTCTTGGTGTGCTAATGGAGTTGTATCACTTCGCGGATCTCAAGCTGAATCAAAAGTTCGAGATTGAGGTTCTTTGCAAGGGGCTGGATCTCGATCACAAGGAGATCGAACCAACTAACAGCATTCGAGCTCGACCCCAAGCCGACGAGGAGTTCCTCAACCCTATGGTAACGGATGGGCTTGACGCGTTCGGCGACCTCTCGATTATGAGCCTGAATCGTGCTCGAGGCCCAAGTGAACGATTCTCATCTGCGGCCATTACTGCGGCTTTGCCTGATTTCACAAATCAGCTGCAATATCCGCCATCCGGCAACAGCGCTGTGCCCCCAGCGCAGATCAAGAAGATCTTCCTTACCGCTGTCAATCAGGCTATTCAGGAGATAATAGCTCCCGTCGTCGAGCGCTCCGTTACGATTGCTGCCATCTCCACCTCTCAGCTCATTAGCAAGGATTTTGCGATGGAGCCTGATGAGGAGAAACTCCGGACTGCGGCACACACTGTCGTCAAAGCATTGTCTGGTGCTTTGGCTTTAGTGACATGCAAGGAACCTTTACGCATGAGCATCCAGAACAACATACGCATTATGGCGCGCGACCTCCCAGAACAGACACTTCCAGAAGGCCATGTGGTTATGTTCGTCAATGACAACCTCGACTTGGTCTGCAACACTGTAGAGCAGGCAGCCGAGATGTCTTCCTTGGCTGAGATCGATATGCAGGTCGAGGAAGCCGTGCGCATGCGTCGCATGTTCCGCAATACACGTCCCAACGAGCCTTTCAAGGATGCAAACATCAGCCCGTGGGCATTCTACATCCCTGAACCCTACAAGCAAACAGCTGGAGGCTTGAATCGTGAACAACTGGCAATCTACGAGGACTTTGGTCGACAGGCGCGTGGCCTCCCGCACGCAAACAACATTTCTCAGGATAGTGGGCGTCAAGTTCCTGATGTGCTCCAGGATCAGTTCGCTGCTGTGCCGAACCTGCCAACCCCTGGTGCCACCCCTGCTGAGCCACGCCAACAACCTACACAGCAGCCTCGACTCCAGAACCTTCAATCCGCTCACGTGCCTCCTACACAACAGCAACTGAACGGTTACATGGATGCGCCCGGCCCAGCAGGGGGCCAGAGAGGCGTTGAAGATCTTCTTGTAGAGCTGACACAAGTCATCAAGGACGCACCTGAGGAGCGGATAAGCGAGCTTCAACCCGGCAGCAGCGCAATCCACCGTGTCTTTGACCAGCTCATCTCAAGCATCGAGTTTGCTGGGCCCAACAAGGACTCATGGGCATTCCGGATTGCCGGACAGGTCACTAACCACCTGTTCTCCGATTCACTGCAGCGCCTAGAGGTGGAGGTTATGGCGCATCTGCTCAGCCATCTTTGCCAACTGTCTGTGCAGACTTCGCGTCAAGTACTGATGTGGCTTGCAACTCTTCACGATGACGACCGTATCTTCAAGGCTACCGTTATGGTCGCCCTTATGGAGGTCGGCCTGATGGATATGCATCGTCTGAACACCACAATTGCCAAAGCCCTTCAAGAGAGGCGTATTGCCGCAGTCGAAATGCTTTCTACGCTCTTGGAGGAACTGCTGCTCAGCGAGCATCCGAGTGCGTTCCGGGCTGACTTTGCTCTGTCAATCGACGCTCTCACCAACTGGTTGGCAGAAGATCCCTCCCTGGAAGTCGGCAAGCGTGTCATTGCCAATCTGCAAGCATCAACTGCCGAGGCGTCTTTGACCCCACCTGCCACTGGACACAAGGATCAGCTGGAGTACATCTTCGACGAGTGGGTTCACCTGCAGCTTCCAGAAACGCCGAAGAAGACGATCGGAGCTTTCATCTACCAGCTCCACAAGCAGGACATCATGCAAAGCCAAGAGACATCCATTGAGTTCATCCGCACTTGCATTGATGCCTCTGTCACTGCCTACGAGCAAGAGCAATCTCTACCGTACGGTGCTGGAAACCTTGATACAGCTACGGTGAAGATCGATGCGCTCGGCAAACTCATCGTGGACCTTGTTGCTTACCAAGACGAACAAGAGGGTGGTGCCAAGGATAACAAGGCCAGGTACCTTGACCAAATGCTCGTCGTTACTGTTCTTGTGTTGTGCAATCACCACAACACCCGAGGGGACGCTTTCAACCAGAAGGTCTTCTTCCGCCTGTTCTCTACTATCCTCTTCCGTCTTAACGAGGCGACCAAGGAAGACGCCTTGGTAGAGCACAAGGGCGATCTTTTCCTCTGTGTTGCCAGGGCTCTTCTCATCCTGCAGCCGAGCCACTTCCAGAGGTTCACCTTCTCTTGGCTAACTCTTGTCGCTCACCGCATCTTCATCCCGGCAATGCTCGAAGGCGGCCAGTCCGACGAGCGCTGGGACATCTACGCTCGCCTGATGGAGACTCTTCTGGTCTTCACTGGACAGCTGATCAAACCGACTGGAGAGACCATCATGGCTCAAAACTTCTACCGTGGGGTTTTGCGCGTCTTGCTTGTGATCCATCACGACTATCCTGAGTTCCTTGTCGAACATCACTTCCGTCTGTGCAACAGTATCCCGATGCACTGCACTCAACTAAGGAACTTGATCGTCAGCGCATATCCTTCCACCATTCTGGAGATGCCGGATCCTTTCACAGCAGGACTGAAGGTTGACCGACTTGAGAACAACCTCCAAGCACCCGTTATCCGAACTGATATCGTAGAAATCCTCTCCAAGGCAGGTATCAAGAGCAATGTTGATAACCTTCTTAAAGCGTCTGAATCCAAGGCTCAGGACATTCGCAAGATTTGCGATGCCATCTACTTCCCTCAAGCCAAAGAGAGCGGCTTCGAGTTGGTGCCAACTACTGCTGATCCAGCTCTGATCCATGCGCTTGTTCTCTACATTGGTGTCGCGACATTGGGTACCGAAGCGGCCAAGGCCCCGCTGTTTGATTCAGACAGCGCGGCTGCCAGATTGATGGCGAGGTTGGTCAAGGACTTCCATCCTGAAGCAAAGTTCCACTTCATCAGCGCAATCGCCAACCAGCTTCGCTACCCAAACACTCACACTCACTTCTTCAGCTACGCGCTGCTGCACCTCTTCGGCCCTCCCAATGACGATGAGGAAGCGCTTGAGATTCAACAGACCATCACAAGAGTGCTTCTGGAGCGTCTGCTGGTGCATCGTCCTCATCCATGGGGACTCATCATTACTCTGCTCGAGATCCTGAAGAATCGCACATACGCATTCTGGGATCTGCCATTCGTCAAGGCAGCACCTGAGGTAATTTTCATGTATCCCTGTCTGCAAGTCACAGTGGTACTAACACAGTTCGCAGGTCGAGCGTCTTCTCAACGCTTTGTTCACCCATGCTCAGCAGAGCCCTCGGCCGCTAGCTTAGTTCGCTAGCCATCCCCACGGCCTACCCCCGGGTTGCTTCACATTGAACGGCAGCTCGGCCCGCCATTCATAGTTCACGTTTTTGGGCTTGCTCAGACAGCAAACCTTACGTTTTGTGCTCGTTGCATTTGCGTGCGTAAGGGGTTCGATTCTTTCTTGCATGATTGAGGAGCTTTGTCTTTCAACCGATCTAATATTTTCGACGAATGCACATCTGGACGTCATGTCGTCTACACGCTACGGTTTCACGACTCTTTGGGCTGGCTGGCACAGAAGGAACGTAATGATCATCGTATGCGGATGGACCGTACGGAAAATGGCGGGTGTTAGGCTCATTTGGCGGTTCAAAAAGCATGGAGTCACTACGGTGGGAGTTTCGTTATTTCTAATCATGAAGATGGTACCCTTCGAAATTCGTGTAGAATAGCATTGCTTTGGCGAATTTCGGGATCAGGTGGATGACGCAGGCGTATAGTCGATGCGCTGTCGGCTACCGCATATACTGTAGGATATTGAGTCGAATGATTTCCTTTCCTTCTTTCATCTTCTCCGTCACCTTATCTCTGTTGATACCCATCTTCTGTTCTCATACGCTATCTCTTGCCTGTATCCGCTTCAGAGGTGTCGGCCAACCGCAGCGGGTGAAGCTCTTCTGGTATGGTACATCCGCAGTATCGTCCTTCGTATTCTCGTCGAAACTTCCCATTTAGTAAGCTTGGGTAGTTTGTAACCTTGTGAGTTGGGATCTACGAAGGTAGTGTATGCTGCAGATCGCTTCGCCCTATATCACGATGCCGCTGATCTCCTCTTCTAGACCTTCAGCCGACACATTCCCACAGCTCCATCACAGACTTCACATACAATCCATCTGCAGCCTCGTACGGCAACGAGATTCATGATAGGGAGCATGCTCGATTGCGGGGAATAAAAATATCCGCCATTTGACTCCTTCAAAGCGCGTCCTGCCGTTTTCCCGTTGAAAGCGAGTGTCCTTATCGTTTGCAGCACACAAGAGATGGAAACACACGGTGTAATTGGAACGCCCACCACGCTTTGCGGGGCGGACCAAGATGCGAGCGCTGGCGGCGACTACAAGGTTCTTACTGAGGGCGCTTTAGCCTACGCCAACCTTGACTCCACCGAGATTGCCGGCGCCGTTCCGTTCATCAGCAACAGTGTCGACGCCGGCATCAACGGCGAGCAGGCCGGCAAAATTCGTCGTGACTACCAGGACCTCGCCAAGCGCACAGTCGTGCAGTCTGACTGCACCGGCACACGCTGCACCGCAGCCACCACCGCACTCTCCAACTGTGCATCGCTCGCTCGCACCGCCGCCTCAAACGCCCAATCCAACAACGCCAAGATGACCGAGTGCTTCAAGTCCACAGCTACTGCTACAAAGAACACCGTTGCGACCGTCTTCAACAACATCGCCAGCCAGTGCGGTTCCACCACCAGCGGCAACAGCAGGTACTACTGCACCGACATCCTGGGCGCCTGCTCCATCGGCGTGTTGGCATACACATACCCCTCGACCAGCCAGATGGTCAACTGCCCTCTATTCTTCTCCGGTCTGCCGGCGCTGAGCCGCACTTGCCATGCTCAGGATCAGGCTACGACTGTGCTGCACGAGATGACCCACTTGGATCAGGTCAAGGGCACTAGCGATTACGGAGGTTATGGATGCAACTTCATCCGCAGCTTGTCGGCGGCACAGAACTTGAATCATGCTGATACTTACACATTGTTCGCTCAGGGTAAGTCTTCATCAACCAGAAAGGAAGATAATGGAAATGTGCTAACATGATACAGCTCTTTACGCCAGCTGCTAGACGTCAGACTCTGTATTGAGAGAAGAATGAGGACGCTGTTACTGGCACGTGCTGTGGGCCTGATGGCTGTTGGTGAGCAAGCGTTTGAAATTGTGGTTTGTCGCGAAATGAATGGTTGAAAACATATCTTGACATTAAGAACATGTATTGCCCTCAGTACTGCTCCCAAGTCCCAATTTGATGACCCAGCAACCTCTTGTCCCTATACTTTTCTCCATACACATAACTGTCAAGAATCGGCTCTTCATCAATGCCTAAATGGTTGTCCTTGTCTCGTCCCAAAAACCATCCCAGCGCATACGTCTTCCCTTGTTTCTCGAGGTGCTTTGTCATTTGGCTGCTGGAGAGCTTCTCGGTATCGACAAAAGTCAAAAGCATCTTGGACTGGTATATCATGGCAAGGACCGATGCCATTGTGCCAATCTGCCGAGGCATGAACTTGTGGGAGCGACGTGTGTACGTCAGAATCGCGATACTGATGAGATACAGCAGGATAAGTATTGAGAGGGTCAGGGAGATCCAGAAGGAACGGAATGTCTGCTCCTGATTGTGTCTGTCTTTGGGGTCCTGTTTGTGATCATTGTCGCCGCCCTGGCCAGGAAAAAATCGCGTGCCGTCCACGTTGATGGATGACACACATACTGTGAGGATCTCGGCAAGCACCGATCCAAACGCGACAAGAGCAACGAGCCAGTGTCTATTGAAGAGAGCAATGATAGGAAGGAAGAGCGGGTTCGTGCCGGCGTAGTCGAGTGTGAGTGTTTTTGCGGGAGCCTTTCGTTTCGAGAGAATGTAAAATGGTTGGAGCATACGAACATCACAGTTCATAGTGTTCCACAGGATCCTGACGATAGTCGCGAGGCCGGTTAGGAGGATAGGTAATTTGTCCGTCACGACGCTCGTTGGCTCGAAGAAGGTGAAGACGGGGATGGCAGCAGTAAACAGTACGATATAGGCGACGAAAGCAACTCCGGAAGTAAGGCGCAGCATCAGAGGACGGGGATCTGCACTGTGTTCGTGGGGCTTCTCCTTTGAGTTGCGAATGTACTCTCCTTGCCACAAACTGCTTTTGTGTAAGATATAGCGGCGTTGACGTAGCTGCTTGTGGATCTTTGCAAGGGGTGCTTCGTCCAGACCGTGGAAGTCGGTGAGAATGTGACTTCTGTGGAAATGATGAGATGGTCCTTCTATGTACAGAGAAGGGGGTTTAGTGCTTACCTGGTAGCCATGGCTGCAATACCCGCAATCCCTTGAGGATTAGACAGAAGGCCACTTTTACGTCTCATAGCGTACATCAACGCTGCTCCGCATATAGCAACGAAGACTAGACATCCAGAGACAGCGCGAGACCAGGGGGGATCGATGCGGACGAACTTCCATTCGCCGCTATTTCGCTTGTTCTTCGGGGGATCCACCTTGATTGAGGCCGACTGGAGCACAGGGATCAGACTGCTACCGACCAAGGTGCCTAAAGAACTCCAGATCACCGCGTACTGCCTATGTCGCAAGGCCCTCAGTGGCACAAGCCAGCTCATGAAGGTGAGGTAGTCCATGTTGAGCGATTCTCCAGCGGTAGCGCCCGTCTTACGACTAAGCTGGTAATACGGTTCTAGTCGCTTAACCTCAAAATCTGACATCTGCCAGAGTATACCGTAGAAGACGAAGACGATAATCGGTGCGTACTTCCATGTGAAGAATTCAGCGAGGCTCAGCTCATCTGCCTTTTTGAATTTTGCCAGCCCATCTCCATTTTGCTCTTTCTTGATGGACATCTGACACAAAAACTCCTGAAGAGCAGCCAGCGCAAGTGCAATGAACGTAAGCATCGCGATCCATGGCCATCCCATGGTCAAAGGGCGCCACGATGGCATGTCCGGATCTGGAAGTTGTCAGTAGGGCCCTGGGTTAATATTGAGTGCAAACGAACCTTTGGGGAAGAAGTAGCTTTTCTGCACTTCACTTTTGTCCTGACGCGTAGAGCTAGCCAACATGCTCCGCGTCTCAAAATCGCCACCTCCGAACGATTCGCTGATGTCAACAGGAACCTCTGCAACAGCGACAATGTCGCCGGTCTTCTCAGCCTCTTCCTGAGCATTGCGAGCCTGAAGGACGGTGATGTCTGCATTGGGTTCCCCGCGTGGCTGTCTTGAATAGCTCCCCGGCCCTATCGGTGCCGAATTGTATGTGAATGGCCTCTCAGTGATCGAGCTCATCCCTGCGCCTAACAGACTTTCAAGCCTTTCGTATTCAGCAGCATAACCGGCTTCATTGAGATCGCGTTGCTGTTCCGCAACGTCTACAGTGTTGCGCATCTTCTTGGGAGGATCGATTAGACTCATCTGAACAGCATCGGCGCCACTCTGAAAGTAATTGATAGACTCATCGTCTTCTTCTACGCCTCCTAGAGGGCGCCTTCCCAGGTTCGATTCCTCGTCGTTGATGCGGTTGTAGCTCCCACCTCGGGTGGTTACACTTCGTAGCGACGTGAGACGGCGCAGTAACCTCTTGGTACCACTTTTACTCTGCAACGATGCTAGGGAACTCTGATTCTCGAAGGGACTGGCTGATGGTTCGTATGCGGTAGACCCAGGGAACGATGGAGGCGGAGGAGGTGCCGGACCCCAAGACGTTCGCCGAGACTCTGCGGCGGGTATCAGAGGAGACGGATATGAAGTTCGTCTTGACGCTGCAGTCGTGGATGGCGGACTAATTGATGATATTGATGACGGCCTAGATGGGAAGAGCTGTGAAAGTCTGTTTGATCCTGATGTATTCTTGCGCATAAGCGGTGGTCGTGTTTCCCATGGCGTATTCCCACACTCAGAAGCTGGAGGTCCTGCGCGAAGAGCAAAAGGGACTGCATCGGCTGTTGATTTTCGCCCAGCGTTCGGTGAGCCGATTTGAAGCTCAGACGGCACTCCGTCCATTATTGCTTCCTCAACCTAAGCTCTTTCATGCAGCGGTCGTAAATTCAAAGTCCTCTTAAACTAGGTTCCCAAGGCTAGATTAATGAAGTCTAGGAAGGAAGATGGAGGGAGCTACGAACTCCCAGGCACTTCAAGATGTTCCCCTCGCGGCTGAAGGACGCCTTGCGGCCTTCGGCGCTTCTAACACCTTTCAGCCTCAGCCCATCCCAAAGACAATCTATTGTGCACAAGCGATGAACCCAGCCAGGAAACTCCAGGCCAATTGCGAACGAGCAATCCCACTGCTGCCAAGATAAAGCGTCCCTGTACCTGCGCAAGTTAATCACCTGGTCGTTGGGGCAGAGTCTTTCGTGACTCGTTCAGCTGGAGGAGTCTGGTGTAGCCTGACTCAGGTCCGCAGGTTCGGTCGATTGACCTGGAAAGCGGGGAAGCTTGAAGACAAAAAAGTGACAATCTTGCGACCGAGAAGCAGATGACTGAAACGTTAAGAGGTGAGCAAGGCTCCGATGGAAGACTTCGAGAGAATTGTCGCGCGACATCAGGCTGTGAACGTGGGTGCAGGCGGTGCTAATAATACGAATCACAGCCGCAGAGGGCGTTGTCACTCGCCTGCCCCTGCTTGTTGCGGATGCAACTCGGAAGGCCGAACATTGAGGGCTGAAAACGCCAACCTCGCTAGTTACAGTGTTGCATGGTTAAATATTGATGGCAATTGGCGTTTGCCGACGGTTACTGGTGTTATGCAACAAGAGTTGAGTAAAGACTGATGAGCCGGACGATGACGAAGCCTTGGAGGGCAGCACCTGCTGTTCTCTCTGTGCGACAGACGTCGAGCCGCTGACAAGGAAGCTGCTCTGCCACTAACGCAGGTACAAATGTAGTCCACAATGATCAGCACGAGCCGGCCTCAGCAGTCGCTCACCGGTTGCCATCGCTCGCAGTCCTCAAACGAAGTCGGCCCTTTAACCGCCCTCAGCTGGGGCGAATACAGGTAAAGGGCGGAGGTAGTTGATCATGTTATACAATGCGCCCCGGGTTGCAGGAGTACCCACTTCTGTCTGTCTAACTCAGAGCTCCCTGCAACTGTTTTTGCTTAAGTGCGATCAACATGTCAGCGCCAACGACCCCATACCGTGAGATACGAGCTCATCATATCAACGACACGATCACTCTATACCAGGCCTACAGCCCCGAGATAGGCACCACTGCGGTGGAACACCAACGTTTGGATACATCACCCGAGTTCAGCACTACACGCATGACCTGTATCAAGCCTTCCTGGGCATGTATGCGGCTACTCTTACAAGGATCCAGGATAAGAGTGCATCCTCGCATTGTCCGTCAGAAAAGAAGTATTCGTTGAGCTGCTAGAGAGTGCGGTCGTTGCACCATCGCACACGCTGGACAAACCGGAAGTCAAAGGCAATGAAGGGTTGCCACGGGTCAGAGTACAATGGGATCCCGAGAGAACAGTTCGATTGGAAAATCTGCCCTGTTGGAGTATACAGATTGGAGTTCCTGACGCGCTTGTCAATGATCTAGTAAAAGGCGTATTCGCAATCGAGGATGTCACTGAACGGGCAAGGGAGCTGAATAGAGAGCTTGACGAGACGAAGGATGTTGACCTTGAAGACCTGCAAAGCAGAGGCCTGGTTTTGAAGAAAAAGACGTTTGTCATAAACAAGGATTTGCGACACCTGCTGCATATCGCAGAGCAGGAATCCGCGTAAACGATCGCGCTGAACCGACCCCAAACGTGTCCTCTGGAAAATACAATTACGATGCAGTAAGTACCCCACGCGCATTTATATGCTCTCGTGACTGTTCACCCTTCTGACAGCGTGCCAGACCCGACCTCTACTTCGACCGTACGGTATAAAGGCTGTCCGGAAACCTGCACGCTTCTCGGAACGGTACGGTGAATCTCTTCCGAAACTCAGAGCGCGACAAGTAGCCAGCCGGCCAACACTGCGTGGCGAGGGCTCGATTGTTATCCTCGAAGTACTCTTTATGATCTTGTAGAGGAGCTCGGTTGGAAGTCCGAAAAACCGATGGAAAAGGGCTGCCACAAGAGGTCGTCAATGGAGAGTTCGAGGTCGTGCGCAAGCTCAAGAAACGCCGCGGCGGTGGGATCTGAGGATACAGCCTTTCTGACACAACATTTCATTACGCAACTACCTTATGTTCTCGGGACAGATTGTTACAACAGCACACATCAGAAGGCTTACTCGTCATCTCGCCTTTCTATGTACAGAGCATACTGAAATGAGCATCCTGAAAGAAGCAACTGTAGTCCAAATGAGTAGAATATCTTGGAGAACAAGAGTGCTGAATGCTATTCCTGACCCGTCAAACAACAAATATAGACCGAGCCAGTCAAACTGAAGAAGTCCACTCTATCAGCATAATTAACTACTCGTAGATGTTCCCCTCAAATCCCTCCTTGTCTTTGCGCCAGTACAGTAATGCCGTGATTCCCACATTCTGACCCTTCGCTCTGAATTCTTCCTTGATCTTCGACACAGGTCGTAGATTCTCCACGATGTCCTTCTTGAAATTTGGATGTTCAACAGCCTCTAGAGTAACAACGCAGGCGTTCTGGAGACCTGATGTTCCATAGATTGTCAAGTTCCGCAGATTCTTGAGCGCCACGACTGACTTTGGGTTGAAGCCGTCGAGATATTTGCTAATATGAAGGGTGACGCCATTTAGAGGATGGGCTCCTGGTATATCCAGTTGGTCGTATCTGTACTCAGACGGGGCGTGAAAGCCGATACGAAGCTGGCGGAGGCCTTGACAGGCGTCGAGTGCCATGCTGACAGCCCTGTTGTCCGTCTCAGTGGTATCATATTGATCGATCGAGTACATTAGGTGTTGTAGTCAATGGCTTGCACAAGATCCATACCGTTGGCATTAGAGATGGTGAGTTTGCGGATATTGTGTGCAATGCTGAAGTCGTGGGTGCGACAGTGGGTTGCCATTTCGAAGAAGTGCAGTAAACTTGCAGTACAGTTGAAGACGAGCCTGAACGAACTGAGCAGAAAGCCGCCCGCCTCCGTCAATATACCCTTACTGTGCAAGCAGAGTTTGAGAAGAAACGGGGCAGAAGTCGTCTTTTTCCAGGTGTCGTTGTCATGAATTTCAGTCCAGTCGTTACCGCCTGGCCGCCTCACTCCCATCATAGCCCTCGAATCGGGTGGTGAGTGCCGATGTGTTGTCGCAAAAGTAGTCTTCATAGGTCTGGTACCGAAGCTCAATAGGTAGTCCCAGGAAGTTATGGAAGGCAGATTGCCTTGTAATGTCGTTAATGGAGGGCTCGAAATCATGCGCAAGGTTGAGAAAGGCGAGGTGGGCCTTGTCTGGCGTGACATCGTTCTCCATGCTCGAGTCTTCGCGTTCCGGGAGAGTCGCGAGGGCTGCAGTGTTGTTTATATCGTGTGGTATCAGTTGCGCGAGTTTGGCAAGAGCGGAATTGCGAAGGAAGGCGCCGGTGGGTCAGGTGAAGTGAACGCTAGGACCATCTAGCAATGACGCGCTGCAAGCTGCTGTTGACAAAGCAAAGAAAGATTGTGATGTAGATGGATGCCAGCTTGCGAAGGTGGAGTTTATGGCCAAATGCGCAAATTATCAATGTGGGGTCGTGTGAGGCGGACAGCGTTAAGCTGAGGGGGGAGTGCAATGAGACCGCCACTTCTTGGACACAACCATTCATTATGCAGCTACCTTGTTGCTCGGCGCATTTCGTCACAACAGCACATTACTCGGGGCTCACTCGTCGTCCTCATCGTCATCGTCGACGACAGGAACAGCCTCGTCCCTCTTTGTTGTCTTGACTTTGCGGTCCTTCTCAGCACCAGCGGGCTTCTTCGACTTGTCATCAGCATCCTCGTCATCGTCTTCATCCTCGTCAGGTGCATCGGAAACAACTTCCTCCTCCTCGTATAGCTCAGCTTCCTCATCCTCCTCATCCTCCTCTTCCTCTGCATCCTTAGCATTGAAAGTTCGCTTGGACTTCTTCTTTGGGGCTAAGAGAGAGGCATCAGTAACAGTCCAGACACTGGAAGCGATGTAGCTTACGAGGTGCCTCAGCATCAGAGTCTTCTTCCTCGCCAAAGTCTGAGCCCTCAGACTCCTGGTATCTAAAGAGCAACGATGTCAGCTTTGTTACTCGTCGCGTGTGTGATGAGATCGATTGTTTTCAATGTATACTCTGAGATAAACAACAGCCAATTTGCATGATGGTTATAAGCGATTTACACGCTTGACAGTTGAGCTTGCGCGATTTCGCAACGACGCGGTAGCCACGGCGCTGCACCAGGCTAGGGCCGCCCTTCAAGCTGTTGCGCTGCGACAACGAAGCTTGACCGCATGGATTAAAAACATCAAATTGATAGAGCGATGAAAGGCGACAATGATAGAGCTGAAATCGCACAATTGCAACACGAGGCACGAAGGTGCAATAACATGACGTCAAAGAAGGGCTCACTCACTCTTCTTCGTCTTCAGACTCGTCAGACGGGAGAGCAACGAGCTCCTCCTCCTCCTCAGCGTCCTGCTTCCTCTTGCGGGTAGACATTGTGTGTTGTGGTCTGGAAAATAGGTGGCAATAAGGTGTTGATGTGAGATGAAGCTGGGTCGAAGAGCGAGCTGTGAATCCCGAGCTCTGGGAGCGGGGACCGGATAAGCTGCGTACCTTTAGGCGGATGGCTGGGAAACCAGGCAAGGGGAGGTCGCTCTGTGCTAAGATTGGAATCCTGTGTCCAGCCAATAGCTTGTGGCGCTCATGGCACCCGCAGGCTGTCGAGCAAGCCGGAAGAAGGGTTCGAGTTCCCTGCCGCGGCCTGCTCGCGTCTTTTGATGCAGGTACCACCTCAAGAGATCGTCAAGACTGCCGTCCTGCAAGCCAGCCATCTCACTTTGGCTGCACTGCTCACGAGATGTTATAGTGATGGCTACGGAGCTAATCATCGACCAAGGAGTGTGCTAGAGAGAACTGTCGTTCCTGTCGTGGCTTGAGAGGGTGCGTCAGCCTTCAGTCACTTTCAAAGTAACCTGCAACGATACAGCCACGATACAGAGTAATCTGCGAGTTCTGAAGGGATCAGACTCAATTATCAAGCGGTCGAGCTTCAACTCCGACCTCTTAGCTTGCCTCTTTCACGTCAGATCGATGATCGAGGTGTCAGCAGCCATAGAAGCTCGAGGTGTAGAGCTGGCTGTGGGGCACGCTAAAGTGAAAGCCGCCCCGCAATTGGATCCCCGTGCGTTGAACCATCATTCGTGCCTAAACTACTAATAATTCTCGAGTCCTTCGAGTCCCTTGACTCTCACTGACTCGACGCGACACACTGCGACTCTTTGACTTTGGCAAGCACATCGACGCACCCGAACATGCCTGCCGCAGTCGCGCGGCCCAAGGCACCGCGCCTCGGCTCTATCAACCCCTCGAAAGCGGCGGGCACCGGGTACATCTACCAATCCGCAGAGACAAAACGGAAGGCACAACCAGCACCAGTACGAGCCTCGAAACCTGAGCGGCCAAAATGCTGCGACGAACCAAACATCAGCGATGCCGACGAGGGAGGGGCGATCTGCTACAACTGCGGTCAGGTCATCGAGGAGAGCCACATCGTTGCCGAAATCACGTTCGGTGAAACGTCTGGCGGGGCAGCAATAGTCGAGGGTGGCTTTATTGGAGAGAACCAGCGACACGCCAACTCCATGGGTGGAACTATGCGAGGTCTTGGTGGCATGGGAAGCAGAGAGCAAGCTGAGATGAACGGAAGGAGCGAGATCCAGAAGCTTGCCCATGCACTGAAGATTCGACAAGCAGTCGAAGACCAGGCTATTGGCTGGTACAAGCTGGCCTCGAACCACAACTTCGTCCAAGGTCGCCGCATCCGCAACGTCGCAGCTGTTGCTTTGTACATGGCATCTCGAAGACAGCCAGAGAACACGCTCATGCTCATGGATCTGGCCGAGAAGGTGCAAGTCAACGTCTGGCAGTTGGGTGATACATACAAGCAGTTTCTGAAGAAGCTGCGGGAAGAAGATCCGGCGCAACTCGTGGGCAACAAGGCAGTGCAAGAGATCGAGCCTCTCATGCTGAAGTACTGCCGCAAGCTTGAGTTTGACGAAGCATCGCACAAGGTCGCAGATGACGCTTGCAAGCTACTCAAGCGTATGAGCAGAGACTGGATGGTACAAGGTCGACAACCTGCTGGATTATGTGGCGCGTGTATCATTCTTGCAGCCCGCATGAACAACTTCCGTCGTTCTGTACGAGAAGTCGTATACGTTGTCAAGGTCGCCGACTCAACAGTCAATCAGCGTCTATACGAATACAAGAGGACACCAAGTTCGGCCCTGACCGTCAATCAGTTCCGCGAGGTTGGTCACAGGATGAAAGTTAAGACTCTGCCACCAGCCATCTGGAGACGAGCAGAGCGAGAAGAGAACAAGGCGAGGAGGAAGGAGAAGGGGGCCGCACAAGCAGAAGGTATCACTGCGGAGGAGTTGGAGGCGATGGAGACAGAAGCCGGCCCAAGCACAGCACCAACAAGGGCCAGCAAGAGGCGCAAAATAAACGATGGAGCCTCTCAGGACGCCCCAGCCCAACTTCAAACCCCAGATCCAACACAGCAGACACCTCAGGAAGTAGTGGACATCGACGCCCTGAACGAAGGCAACGAAGACGGTCTTGTAGACGCCATTGGTAGTGCCTTCGCGGAGACCAACGGCGACGATCCACTCGATGACAACGTCGTCATGCCCAAGAAGCGCGGCCGCCCACCCAAGAAACGCGAACCCATTCCCATCTCTGAAGAAGACCTTGACATCGAGCAAGAAATCGAAAAAGAAATCAACCAGGAGGTCACAAGGTGGGAAACCGTCTTCAAAGAATTCGCCGACAACGACAACCACGAAGTCCTCAAGCGCACCGGCCTCACCGCCAAAGAACTCGCCGACACCCTCACCCCAAACCGCAACGTCAGCACGCTCCCCGACATCGGCGAAGACGAATTTGAAGACGATCCGGACGTTGCAAACTGCATTCTCAACCCCGCCGAAGTCAAGCTGAAGGAGCGCGTCTGGCTGACGCAAAACGAAGACTGGCTGCGCGAACAACAAGCCAAGCTGCTCGCTGCCGAGCTAGAAGCCGCGCTGGACAAGCCCAAGAAGCCAAAGCAGAAGCGCAAACTCCACCGGATGGGCGATGGGAGCGTGCTGGAAGGCCAGCCTGCTGCTAGTGCGGCGGACGCCGCGCACAAGATGTTGAAGAAGCGTGCCAAGGGGTTCAGTAACCATATCAACTACGATAGATTGAAGCAGCTGTTTCCTGGAGGCAACACGGATGCGGCGGGTACGCCGTCGGGTAGCGGGCTGGGCGCGAGTCCGGCGCCGAATCAGACTGCGATTGCACCTGCGCCTGTTGAGGTTCAGGAAGAGGAAGGCGAGGAGGAGTATGAGGAGGAGGAGCAGGAGGAGGAGGAATTTGATGATCCGGCGCAGTATAGGGACGATGAAGATGAAGGCTTTGGGGATGACAACTATGACGATTACTGAGCATTGGTGCAAGGGGGATATTTGACTCGAGCATATTGATAGACATTTGCTTGCACAGATAGTCCTGGCATTTTAGCCTTGGACGGCGTTCATACTGGGGACAGCACTGGCACAGATACCCCGCTTGTAAGCGTAGCATATTCAATGGAGTTTGTGTATTCTTTCATCGCTAGGATATTGCAATACGGACCTGATGGCATTCTAGGTGCGATTGACATAGGGCTGAGACCGGTCCAGGAAGTGACATTGTCGCCGCGGCTTCCAATGATCGACAGTCCGTGCACTCAAGGCGAGCTCGGTTCTCGAATATGCGCCGACGATTGCTCTTACACAACGCTCGATTCGAGCGAAATGAACCATTGATATCATCCTCATAGCAGTCGCGGACACTGTACTGGAAAGATGGACCCTCTGGACCCCTCGAAAGAGCATGCGCTTGATGCGAATCACGCGTCACACTTGACAGACGCATCAGCTAACACCACCACCTCCGCAACACCGCAACAACCAATTGCACCCAATGCACCCGCATGGTCAGCACAAATGAACACATTTCCTGCAAACGGTAACACCGGAGCTGGATCTACTTTTCCTCAATTCTCAGCTTCTACAGCTGCAATTCTAGAAAGACTGCAGCAAGGCAAGTTAGGACATGCTTCAACTTCAGCTGCATTCGAAGCAAAGAAGGCCGAAATTATGCAGAACTACGCTACGAGCGACAAGTTGCCAACACCGCCGCCAGCGCCAACTGTAAGCAAGAAAGGCAGAGGAGGGAAAGCTGGGACACCATTGAAGACGGAAGTTGGAGCGTCACCCTTGGGAACAACACCAACTTCAGGAAGAGGGTCGGGGAGAGGGAGGGGAAGGGGACGAGGGCGAGGGCGAGGTGGAAGAGGAGGTCGCGGTGGCAAGAGGAAGCGCTCTGATAGTGCAGAAGAGGAGAGCGATGTGAGTATCATGATATATTCGTGCAGGCATGTTTGACAGCATACAGAATGACGATGACGATTCCGATGCCTCAGAATCGTACACACCACAGCCTACACGCACAAAGTCAGGACGCAGTGTCAACAAGCCGGTCGCATTCGTTCCAGTAATACCAGAGCCAACGCCAGGCGTCAAGCGGAGGAAATCGACCAAGACAATGCTAGCCGCAAAATGCAAAACGTGCCAGCGAGATACGGATCCGTCACAGAACAGAATAGTATTCTGTGACTCATGTAGTACGGCATATCACCAGTACTGTCACAACCCACCCATTAGCAATGAAGTAGTCACAGTACTGGAGAAGGAGTGGGTATGCGGGCCTTGTGCGCGGTCAAAGGAGAGCGTGGTGCAGGGGACAGAACACCTTGTCGCTGCAGAGAACTTGTCGATAGACGATGTAAGTAGGACCACCTCAACACTACGCATTCCTACTGACATGGACCAGAAACGCGCATACCTTTCTACTCTCACACAGCCTCATCTTGTCTCTCTCCTCCTTCATGCTACAATACGACATCCAGAACTCCCTATCTTCCCTCCAAACGTTAGCGCCCTACTTCCTGATCCTGCGACCATCGCCTCTCAACCACAGCCCCCACCCACTGCCACCGCAATACAACCGACCGCCTCCACCGTTACTCCTCTCGCCCAAACATCAAACACGTCTGCTTCTTCCTCAGAAACGCAGGTTCTGCGAGAAATGGGGATGCGCGCCCAACCGCGTGTGACTCTCGACATGGCCGGCAACCGATACGAAGAAGATGATGGATACGACACAGATCCGCCCGCACATTATCCCAAGGCAGGCCAGGGGTTGGCAAGAACGATGCAGCCAGAGAGTGAGGACCTGCAATGGCTGGTGGACGACAACTTTGAGGTGTTCAGCCATGGGTGGAAGGGCGATGGGAGTGGGTTGGGTGCCGATGGCACACTGGACAACAAGGTCTAGGTGGCCGATGCAGTTTTCGAGAAGCTGAATGAAAAGGACACAGGGAAGGGGAATATCAAGAAGGTCAGGTTTGAGGACGGGAGGGGCTCCAAGGACGCTGCCACGGGCCGCAATGACGAACTCAGCGATATGGACACAGATGAACTGGAAGAGCTCATCGATTGAGCTTATATATTTACAAGTGTCCAGTTGTGGACTACAACGAATAGATACACGACGATCCGCGTCTACGCGATGACACCCTCATTCCTCAGTGCCTCCACCTCGTCCTTACTCATCCCCAGCGTCTCTCCCAAAATCTCATCAGTATGCTGCCCCAGCGTCGGCGGCGGCATCCTAATCCCCGGCTTACTATCACTCCACTTCACCGGCGTATTCACCATCTTAATTGTCCCACATGCCGGATGCTCCACCTCCTTAACCATATCTCTTGCCAGCACATGCTCATGATTCAGCGTGTCCTGCACATCATTGATCGCTGCGTACGGCATCCCGCAACCCTCCAGGATTTCAAGCCACTCCTGCGTACTCTTCTGCCGTGTCTCGTTCTCAATGAGCTCTTCGAGTGTGTCCCGGTGCTTGACGCGCACGGCATTCGTTTTGAATCGCTCGTCAGTGATCCATTCTGGTTTGCCAAGTTTATTGCACAGCACACCGTACAGCCGATCGTTTCCGCCGCCGAGAAGGATGTCTCCGTCGGCGGTCTTGAATGCTTTGTATGGCACGATACTTGGGTGTGCGGTTCCCCAGCGCCCGGTGTCTTTCTTGCCGCTGATCAAGCAGGAGGATGCGATGTTTGCGAGCGTGGCGACTTGGCAGTCGCTCAGTGCGACGTCGATGTGCTGACCTTTTCCTGTTCGTGCTCGACCCAAAAGGGCAGCCATGACTGAGTTCGATGTGTAGAGTCCGGTGGTTAGATCTGTGACTGCTACACCAACCTTAACGGGTGGTCCGTCACGCGAGCCGGTGATGTGCATAAGCCCCATCTCGGCTTCGACCATGACGTCGTAGCCGGCGCGGTTCCTGTAGGGACCTGTCTGGCCGTAGCCGGTGATGGAGGCGTAGATGAGTTGTGGGTTGAGTTTGGAGACGGTGTCGTAATCCATGGCGTACTTGGCGAGAGAACCAGGCAGGTAGTTTTCGACGAGGACGTCGCATTCTTTGACTAGGCGGTGGAGGATGTCGACGCCGGCTGGGTGCTGGAAGGATAGGCCTATTGAGCGTTTGTTGCGGTTTACTCCCAGGTAGTATGCGCTTTCACCCGGACCGTCTTCGCCGTTGGTGTATTGCGCGTATGGAGGGCCCCAGGCTCGAGTGTCGTCTCCTCTTGTTGGGTGTTCGATCTTGATTACATCTGCTCTGTTCCAGGTCAACTGGTTGTTTTTGATGCTTGCCAACTTCGGCTATGGTTCATACAGGGCTCATTATGGCGTACCCAAGATCTCCAAGGATTTGTGTGCAGTATGGCTGTGTAGAGTCAGTACGCAGATCTTGATATGGTAGAAAGTTTTTGAACATACGCCGGCCAATACTCTTGTCATGTCGAGCACTTTGATACCAGCCAGTGGTAGGTTGGATGCATCTCCACTTGCCGCCGCAGCTGTTGCGAGCTTCCTCAGCGACCAATTCATGATGTTATAAGAAGGAATCTTTGGAGAAGAACATTGCAACAACGGCCTTGAGCCTCGAAACACAAACCGAGACATGGCGAGCAACAACTATATGACCAAGTGAGTGTATCTGTAATGGTTCCCAAGACAGCCACTCCAGGCTCCCCACAAGATACCCGAGCTCTTTTCCGATGTCCGAGGCTCATGTGCAGCTCTGGCGTACCCCGCCACTGCTCTTCCTCTCCAATAGCAACCCTCCACCACGACAATGTTTACCGGTCTCGTTGAAACAATCGGCAGTAAGCTTGCGATCTGCGTCACTGTGCTGCGCGGCTGAGCTGATCATGGCTAGCTGTCGCTGCGCTCGAGGAGCTCGATAAGACGGCGTCCGGAGGCGGCGGCACGTCATTGACTATTTCCGACTGCGAGGATATTCTGGGCGATTGTCATTTGGGCGACAGCATCAGCGTCAATGGTACATCAACAGCTATTTATGGTGGTTTTACAGTGCTGATGTGATCCAGGAACATGTCTAACCGTCACCGAGTTTGACAAGAAGTCGTTCAAGATTGGATGCGCGCCCGAGACACTCCGCCGTACGAACCTGGGCTCGCTGAAGCAGGGCTCGAAAGTCAATCTTGAGCGCGCTGTCTCTGCAGACACACGCATGGGCGGTCACTTTGTACAGGGCCATGTTGACACAATCGCAACGATCCAGTCTGTCACACCAGATGGTAACGCCCTTACCTTCCGCTTCAAGCCGCGAGACCCCGCTGTGCTGCGCTACATCGTTGAGAAGGGCTACGTGACAATAGACGGAGCGAGCTTGACAGTCACAAAGGTGGAGGATGGACCCGAAGGTTTTTGGGAGGTGATGCTCATCGCATACACTCAGGAGAAGGTGGTCACAGCGAGCAAGAAGACTGGCGAGGATGTCAATGTTGAGGTTGACCAGGTTGGCAAGTACGTGGAGAAGAGCGTAGCTGGATACTTTGAGGATGGCTCCAAGGGTGAGTTTGCTATCTTGGAGAAGATGGTCTCAAAGCTTGTGGACGAGAGGCTGAAGGCTCTGGGAAAATAAGAGGATCGACGTGTGAGAGGTAGAGTGCATGTGGTAGCCCTCTGCAGCGCTCGTGTTACTGGTCGTTGGACTTGCTAGATTTGGCCCCCACGACCTACGATGACCCATACCCAATAGATCGCGTTCTCTGGAACCGGAGCCGTTGCCTCATGAGTGATATTGAGGGTGGTTGGATGACCCTGAAACCGGCATAACGGCATGGTGGCGCAGGGGAGAGTGAGGCTTAGCCTCATTTCTAGTGACTACATATATATACAATGCTTGCAGACAGTTCAGACGACTGACTTCTTTCGATGATGTTTTAGCACTTGCCTGTTCCTCAGTGTGTTCTGCTTCCTGCTGTTGTAGAGCTATGTTCGACCATCACTGCTGCCTAGCCCGTGCATGAACCAGCTTCAACATCGCAGTCGACGACCGGTTGACAGCTGTCCACGTCGTGCATCTGTACATCACACGGCACGATGAATTTTGACCGCTGCCGAGCAGCTCTTGATCAAGAATACTGACCTGATCCTGCTGACATTGCAGCACTAGATCGGCGTGCAGTGGAGCATGGCCAGGCAGAAAGGCCTTTCCGGCATCTGGAAACATTGGCAACTGACAATCCAGACGACGATGTCATCGGCTGCAGCCCTCGCGTGGCCTCTCGTCCGTCGCACTGGCTCGACTCTGAATGCACACTGGAGCTGAGTGTTAGATGACGCCTGACAGAGCCGTTGGCAGTCCTGGGATATCCGCGCCGCAAACACTCCTTGCTTCTCCTGAGGCTCTTGTATTCAACTTCAGAACGTACGACCTCCCAAATTCTGGATTCGACACGATCACGCTTGTAAATTTGGGGGCCAAAATAATTGGGGGGCAGGTCGAGAAACAAAGAGAAGGGAGAGCTGCAGGTAACAAGATTCGGCGATAACGATTGGCTTCCTTCGCGGCTTGCAGCCGTTGCTGCATACCTGACCACGTCAAAGACCGGTCGGCCCTCATCAAGGCCCGCAACGCCAGTGCACATCAAGTGCTTTTGTTCAGCCCTGTCTCCTCATTCACTTTCTCCTTCTACTTGCTCTGTTGGTCACCAGAGCATGCGCCGCTAGCGACGCTTCTTCCCGGTTCAGGACCACCCGTCACGCGATCCACTTGACACCATGGATTGGCGACTACTCGACTACGCCAAAGCCGCTGAGGACACAGCAACGGAACTCGGCCTCTGCGTCAGCGAAATCCCACAATACCGTAAAGATATCACTGGCGACATTGCTGAACTGTATGCTATCTCGAATGCCTTGCAAACGCTACATGAGGCACTTGAGCTGTCCCGCCATGGGAGGGCTTCAGGCCGGATCTTGAAGGACCTAGATGTATGCCTCCCAAGTCTGGGCTATACCCTCGACGATGTGCGCGATATATTCAACAAATCGAAGAGGAAGAGTCGACTGCCAGGCGCCTTTCCTGGTACCCCGCAGTACGCTGAGATGTGGGAGGATGCTCTTGCCGATTTCAAGGCTCAGGGTATATCCCTGCCACTTCGACTGGAGTACTTTCGTACGTATCTGCAGGGAATGTATGATGAACTGCGAGGGTGAGTCTTGTGGATCATGCATGTGAGCTTGGCTAACAGCAAATAGCGATGACCCAGGGGAGGAGATCGATAAAATCCATATCCGCCTGAAGAAGTTACTGAAACAGCAGGAACCCCTTGATTCGTACTTCAGCAGACTATCGATACCCAGTCATGGTCCTGCTAGAACACCGAAGCCTGCACCACCTCGCACCCCAAGACCGATTATACAGAGCTTCTCATCGTATCCAGCGTACGGCCATGCACCTCCACCGCCGCCTCCGCCACCTCGTACGCCTCGGCCAACATCCCAGGTATACGGCGGGATTGGGGACATCCCAATCTACGTGCCTCCAGCCGCCCCTTCCGTACCTAATTCACCTACATTCTCGTCCACTTCTTCCCAAGGCCTTTCCTCTCATTCCACTGACCCCGGGGGTCCAGTTACTCACTGGGCCCTGCGGATACTCGACGGACGGCATCCGTCTACTCCTTTTCGAACACTGGGAGAAATCACCGAATGCCTCGGCCGAGATGAGCCGCGTGTCATTGAGATGCTGGGTGACGATGGATTTGAGAAAGTCCTGGAGCTGCCATTGGAGGCGACTAATGTCTGGCTACGCCTCTACTGCAGATTCAAGGACCTTCGAGCCCGCATCTTGTTTCTCACTATGGACCCGGATGGCACGCGTAGGAGGTTTTGTTTCCCATTGACCGGACTGAAGATAATCCGGAAGGACTCTTGCCTGCAATTGTGTCGAGTCAATCGCAAGGATGGAGGGCTCGACCTGTGGGCTCGCCTGCGGTTTCCTATGTATGAACGTACGTCTTCAATTTAACACATTGTGGGAAAGAGCTAACATGTGGTAGGAATGGTACTCTTCTACAACACCGCTGTCGCTATGAAGCACCAGGACCAGACCCGCATGGCCGACGGCTTGGAAGACCTGTGGGATCTGGACAACAAGGAAAGGATAGAGTTCAGCAGGTAGGCACTACTCACTTCTGCAAGGACTTGACTGACAAAGCGCAGTGAGATCTCAGACACTCACTTCCTGCACCACCTTCGTGTGTATCGCGATCAAGACTCCGGTGTTGTTCGATTCGAAGCAACTCCTCGCCGCGGTCCACTCATAGCGGTACCTATCTGGACTGCTTTCGTCACGCAGTTCGTTGGAGACAGAAGTTGGATGAAGAAAGTCGGCTTGACCACAGTCGTCTTCAGGCAGTTACACCCGTATGTGTTCTGCGAGGGGTACAAATTGCCAAAAGGACCCAGTGGGAGATACCAGTTGAACTTCTCTGCGTCTGAGGGTAAGTGATTCCATCTGCACCTATAATGAGCTACTGCTGATGAACGCCACAGATGCGAGAAACTTCATTGAAACCTTTCATCACATTCGGGTCCGACGATGAGCCGGCCTGAACTCGATTGGAGATACTTTCGGGCAGATACCGCGTGTAGTACGCCGCGTTTGGCCGCGCTGATGATGGCTGTTGGGCGGATTCGATGCGACTGCAGCAAAATGACCTTGACGATTGACGATTTGACGACTTCATGATCACTCTGGGAGGGCGGTCTCTAGCATTTGTAGGATACCCCTCACTTAGGCGCCTTCCTGATTGCGCATATTGGTAGCAGCCTTGATACTCAAAGTGAACCCTCTTGGACATTTGAGTTTTGTTCTGACATGATTTGCATGCCTTGTATGCGTGGCGATAACATGGAACAATCCCTTGATGAAGTACAGATTGACTTTTCGCCGCGGCTCACTTTCTAAGACATGTTCTTGTCGTAGCCTGTTCGAGCCCAGGGTCATCTCGTAGGGCTTTCGTAGTGGGGCACTAGGGTTAAGGTTAGCGCGCTAGAAATTATCCCTACGGCGTGTAAACTGCAAGTGCCCTCGAGTCTTCTCCTTCTTTCCTCACATTCACTTTTTCCAGTTTTCAGTCTGTAAAAATGGCAAACAACACTTCTGCGACCGCAGGCAAGGAGGGCATCGCCGCTCTGCCCCACACTGAGGCGCATTACTTCAACAGGTATGGAAACTACAAGGCTAGCATAGCTTAAAGCATTTGCTAACAGTGTGTGAACAGCTACAACCACCATGGTTCGTTTCCGCGCTTCACATACATATGAATACTACTAATGCGCGCGTAAAGGCATCCACGAGGAGATGTTGGTATGCCTCACCGAGACTGCACCTTCAAGTAAGACAGGACGCAACGGCTGACAGCAAGGTCTAGAAAGATGAGGTCCGCACAAGAAGCTACCGCGATGCGATCTACCAGAACCCTCACCTCTTCAAGGACAAGGTTGTCCTCGATGTTGGCTGCGGTACCGCGATCCTCTCCATGTACGCGCCCCGCGAACGACCCCACCAAACATCACACGAGCAGGCGCTGATATAGGATAAACAGGTTCGCTGCTAAGGCTGGCGCAAAACACGTCATTGGTGTCGACATGTCGACCATCATCGAGAAGGCCAAAGAGATCGTTGCCGTCAACGGTCTGTCCGATAAGATCACCCTGCTTCAGGGCAAGATGGAGGAGGTTGTTCTTCCTTTCCCCAAGGTCGACATCATAATATCAGAGTGGATGGGCTACTTCTTGCTCTACGAATCCATGCTGGATACCGTCCTGTACGCCAGGGACAAGTACCTGGTCAAGGACGGCCTTATCTTTCCTGACAAGGCTACCATCTACCTTGCCGGTATTGAGGACGGCGACTACAAGGAGGAGAAGATTGGCTGTAAGTCGATCATCACACACCTTGGAGCAACAATATGCTGACAATTTAGTCTGGGACAACGTCTGGGGTTTCGACTACACCCCTCTCAAGCACACCGCTCTGACCGAGCCCCTCGTCGACACTGTCGACATCAAAGCCGTCGTTACCGACCCCTCTGCCGTCATCACCCTCGACCTCTATAAGTGCACCGTCGAAGACCTCGCCTTTAGGTTACCCTACGAGCTCAAGGTCCGCCGCAGCGACTTTGTTCACGCTCTGATCGCCTGGTTCGACATCGAGTTCGCCTGCTGCCACAAGCCCATCAAGTTCTCCACCGGCCCCCACACAAAGTACACCCACTGGAAGCAGACCGTCTTCTACCTCAAGGACGTCCTGACCGTCGAGGAGGGCGAGACCATCTCCGGTGTCCTCGAGAACAAGCCCAGCGAGAAGAATCACCGCGATCTTGACATCACCATCGACTACAAGCTCCAGGCGAACGACATGCACAGGCAGGCTGAGGGCTCTGGCATATATAGGATGTGCTAAGCGTTTCGCGCTGTTGTGCTGAGTGCGCAAGGTGTTGTGCTTCTACTCGCAAAGGCGAGGCGGCATGAATGGAGCATGTGGCATGTGCATTTGATTGAACCTCATATAGACCCTTGATAAGAGGCTGGGCGTTGACGGGGTTTTCGGATTCGGGAAAAATACCTAGGGTAGCATCGTCATGATTTACGAAGAAGGGACCAAATTTACGATTGGGAATTCCTCCCCTACAAGCCACAAAATTTCCGCACCCCTCTAACGAGTGAGAAGCAGAGGAGACTTGCAGCTCTGAAGATCGTTGAAATTGACAGCAACATTTTGTTGCTTAACTTGGTTGATGTCGAGGTGAGCTTCAGCCTTCTTTTGTCAGACGAACCATGTCTCCGCTTCCCATCATTAGACTACGAGGTAGCGAAACATAAACCTGCACATCTGCTTCTACAGTCTACAGAAAGCTATGTCCCTCACAACTCATCCTTGACAACCCGATCAATGCTCTTACCCTTAAACTTCTCGCCCTTCTTTGCAATCCTCCTCAACCGGAAGACCTTCGCCGCATGGCTCTTGACCGGCGCCCTCAAACTACCACCAGCCTTAACAACCCCAATCCTCTCTCCGAACAAGCGAGGATCCCCCTCGCGCAGACCCTGCTCGTACGGTGTCTCCGTCGCATTATACCAGTCCGCTTTCTTCAGGACGGCAGCGCGATCCGCCTCAGACTTCGCAGCGATGAGCTCTTCTGCAGTCTGCTCGGACATACGGTGCGCCCACAGATCGTGCACAGCCCAGTCGTATTCGACGTGAGGTGCTGAACCGTGGGGACCGAAAGGTGTGAAGATCTCTGCGAGGGAAATCTCCATATCAAGATCTTCAGCACCAGCATTGAGCAGAATAACGACTTGGTCGCCGTCGTGCAGATAGCCGGCCCAGACGTGCGTTTCTCCCTCACCGTACTGGTCCTTAGCAACATTCGTGTCACGTCGTACACGCGTCACCGATCTGCCGTGCGGATCCTGGCTGAGCGCGATGATGGCGGGGTTATTGACGATAGTTAGAGCTGAGGCGGACATGGTGCGGAGGTCGTTGCCTAGGAAGAGAGGGGACTTTAGGGCGGCCCAGAGAGCAAAGTGCGCTTTGTACTCTTCGTCGGTCATGCCGCCTTGCCCGACTTCGAGCATGTCGAGATCGCTCCAACCGCCGGGAATGGAGCGGTCGGCGAAGGGAGCGACTTTGTTCAGAATGAAGAGGACAGAGCAGTGAGTACCGGGGGCGATGCAGGATGGGTCACCTGGTGCCATTGTGTTGCACCCACAGAGGTCGTCTGGTCGCTGTGGAAAGTCAGTCTAGGCATTCTCATCTCAATCCTTCGTGATGCGTACCGTAAAGCTGTCGTAGATATCGCCAGTGATGCGCCAGGAGTTGGAAATGGACATTCCCCACTTCCTCAATGTCAGTCTTGTTGCGATGTATCAGGATCTAGACCATACTTACGGTATGTACTTGATCTTCTCCCCAATTACACAGATTGAGCAGAATGTTTCGACCAGTAGCCCGAAGAGCATCTGACATGACCTTGAATCTATTGAACGAGATTTGGGGTGTTCCAATTCTGCCCATGTGATAGCAGCTATCGTACTTCAGCATATCAACACCCCACTCGGCGAAGCTATTCGCATCGTCGACCTCATGATCAAGAGATCCAGCTATTTACCACAATCAGCCCCTGGCTGGTAGTCAATATCCGATTGTTACATACCAAAACGCGCGCATGTCATCTCGCCGGCACTGCTATACATGCCATACTTGAGTCCTTGGCTGTGCAGGTGATCTGATATCGACTTCAAGCCATTGGGAAATTTGCTGAGCTCGGGCTGAAGTTTGCCATTCTTGTCGCGACCATTGACATCTTGCCAGCAATCGTCGAGCACAACATGGTCGTACCCTAGATCTCGAAGACCCAGACTCAAGATCTGATCTGAAGTAGTATACAGTAGGTCTTCAGAAACGTCACAGCCGAAGGCGTTCCAATTATTCTTGTGACTGTCAGTAACATGGTCGGAGGTTTAGATTGATCGCCTTACCCATCCCATCGGAGGTGTTACAGCCAGACCATTGTTGATGGCTGCTGCTCCAGTAAGAAGCGTGGTAGCCATAATAATGCTATCTCGATATGGAGCCATCTTCGATGTTATCGATTGGGTTTCTGGGTTGTGTGGTAGCTGCTTGTGTAGCAAGAGATGTTTTTAAGCCCGATCACACTCTGTGCCCGACCCGACATCCGCTATGCGAGAGCCGATGATGCCAAGTGTTCCGCCCAGCGGCTCTTAGTTGTGATCCACATAACACGCGTGGGAAATAGGTGTTTGTTTTCCGCCGCTACGGTTATGTGGGGCTTTGATGTACCCGTGGGGAAGCCCCATGTGGGGGTTGCATTACCGTTGCTGGCGACATTACCGACACCGATGAACATGATAATGGTGACTGTTTAGAGAGAGCAAGGAGTGCCTCGTAATGCGGATCGTTGTCTCGCGGCTCGAGTTCCATATGCGGCGCAAACTGCACCAGGAACCGAAGCAGCCAGCGGTCCAGAACGAAACTGGTATCCTTACTTCGCAAACAAGTCTGATGGAAGGCTCTTAAGCGACTCATCGCGCTATCGACACTGGACCAGAATGGTCGCAGCCGCAGGAGGATCTCGAAATTACGTTCGAGACGCGATTTCGCTTGCCTTATTTGGCTATTGTCTCCAGAGAAGAGTAAGGTATGGATCTGAACAGTGGATGCTATCACCAAGATATGCGCGACTGCTGGATACATAACTTCACTTCCAGGGGTGGCAAAGGATCGATAGACGACCTCGCAGAGCTTCGAGGCATGGTGTTTACAATCCGCAGCGTATAATGTAGAAGTTGAGATAGCGTCTGCACCCAGGAACTGGTAGTTGAGTAGCTGACCATAATGGTAGTATCCCAGGTATAATGCTGCGAACATGCGTCCAAAGCCACGGCCAGCAAACCATTTGAAGTTCTCAGGTGTGTCCCTCATGTGGTGAGGTAAGCTTTCCAACCACATGCCTAACTCACGGGAGAGCGATCGCACTCCCGACTCCAAAGTTTCGCCTTCCAGATGCTCTGATACACATCTGCGATTGAAGTCGATGACTTGCAAGAGTATCCTGTTCAGTTTGATCATCTCGGTCAGGATTGGCGATTCGTAGGTTGTCGGATTGTTGATGAAGTTCGAGGTGAAGTCGGCGCTCATTGAGGAGAAGGGAATCTCATCGATCGGAAATGATACCGTGCTGTCTAAGGGCATGATCCTCGGGACTTTGACTGCAGCCGATGACCATACGTCGACCATACAGACCGTCCACCATACTTCGAGAATCTCGTGATCAGCGAACGGTTCAGGATAGGGTGCATGGGCAGAACCGACGCTCTGAGACTGGACATACCTCTGATGTTGACTTCTCTTTCTAGAAGACTGGCAACTGGCCGATTGGGCAAGTCAAGAACTAGACACATGCGGCCTGCCGTACTGTAGTACACATTCTCAACGTCTGTGTCACCGTGTGCAGCTGCGTACGCACCCAACAACACACACGCTTGGATCGTGACTGGTGAGATATCACGTAAGTTGAGTAGTGCCTCGCTTGCTGTTCGAAAGCCTTCACCCCTTTCTCGTGGGTCTAGTTCCATGTAGACCGAGTTGCTCGAGAACCTGTTCAGGAACAGTTGGGAGGCATTCAATCGTTTATCGACTGATAGTCTTACCTGCATGAGAGTGCGAAGATTGCGAGTAGGATGATTTTCGGTACTCTTTCTCGAGCCACATCCTGGGTAAACGACGGGCGATGATATATAGAGTGAAACTGATCATGGATGTAGTCAAAATACAAGCTCACCAGCTCCAGCCGCAAGGGCATCGGTGGCAGGTCGGACGGAGACTGGCATGATGTTGGTGTCAATTGACTCCCTGGGGACGTTGAAGCTTGCTGATTGGCCTCGAACTCCTCGATTCTGGCTTGACGTTGAGCATAGTAGCCGCCTTCAGGGGGCCTCTGGACGCAGTGCAGTGCTCGTGACCGACAATACTCACACGCAATCACCCGATCAGACCGCTCTCCTGTTGGATAGATGCACTTGCGCCGTCGTGCTCTGGGATAAGTCAGCAACGCCTTGTTGGACCAGGTACCCGGTAGATGTATGCAGGGTTCGCTTACCGGCAGGTGCTGCACGCTGATGGTTTGCGCATCACGCTCTTGCGGTGGATCCACGTCGGAAAAGTCGTGGATCTTGTACTGGTGAAGGGCGGAAAACTTCCTCGGCCATGTGGTTTGGCTTTCACAGATGTGACGATGAACTTTGTTGTTGTCCCCGCTTCAGCTCTCCCGGACCGGCTCAAGCCGAATCGGGGCGGTTGCCCCGTCGAGATACCTGCCAAGCTTGGAGACAGAGACGGTCCGCTCTTGCCTCAACTTTAGAGGCGGTTTACTGACGGAAAAGTCTTCTTTCAGGCCACGTGAAATAAACCCTGCAACCTGCAGATTCCTCGTTCTCAACTCTTGGAACTTCTGACAGCCGTTGCTTGCACAATTGCACATCGAACACCCTTGAACCTGACTCGAGCCTCGCATCTAATTGGACGATCGACTAGCCACGCACCTCGCCAGATCTCCACACGGGGCATCGTCCCATGGGGCGGAGACGAAACTGCCTGCCTCTCCCCGCAAAGTTCACAGGACTTGCGTGATCTCGGTCGTTGCCGGTCGTGTGGTTTCCCCTTTCCAGACCAGTCTACTGAGCCGCCGCCATCATGACTAGGTTGCCGAGGCTGGACTCTTCATCTTGAACGACTATATCGCACGACGTACATACATATAAGCTGAGGCACTTTCCGTATTTTGGGTCTGATCCACTCACGATCAGTGTGCGCATCAGAGGATAGATCCTCAAACCTCATATTCGAAGGGGTGCTCAGCATCATCCTGACCTACTTTCATCCTCACCATGTCTGGACTTGACGACAAGACTGCTGGCCATGTGGCCGAGAGAGTCGAATCGACGACGGGCCACGGCGCGGCTGATGGCACCAATGCTGCCATCCACAACGAACACAAGATGTCTGTCCGCCAGAGTTTGCGGTTCTGGTGGAAAGCCATTGTGTTCTCCTTCGTCATCTCACTAGCTGTAGTCATGGAAGGCTACGACACATCTTTGATGAACAAGTTCTTCGCCTTCGAGCCCTTCAGGAACAGGTTCGGGGACCAGGAGAACCCCGAGGGCGGCAGGCTCGTCTCGTCTCGATGGCAAACCATTATCCTGAACGGAACTCAGGTAAGTCTTCTTCGCGATTTGCATCTACAGCGAAATGGATCATGCTAACCGACACCAGGTCGGTTGCATCCTTGGTCTGATTATCAACGGCTACATCACCGAGTGGATCGGCTATAAGAAGACCATGGTTGTCAGCATGATTGTCATGACCGGTGCCATCTTCATCCCCCTCTTCTCGACCAGTCTTGAGATGTTCCTCGTTGGTGGCATCATCCAGGGTTTGCCATGGGGAGTCTTCCAGACACTCGCCATCTCGTACGCGGCCGATCTCTGCCCGACACACCTTCGAGGGTACATGACTTCATGGATCAACATGTGCTGGGTTATCGGAGGGCTGTTCTCGACTGGTGTGCTCACTGGTCTGATGAAGAACACCAGCCAGTGGGGCTACAGGATTCCCTTTGCGCTGCAGTGGATCTGGCCAATTCCAATCATTCTTGCTACACTGCTAGCACCCGAGTCGCCTTGGTGGTTGGTCCGTCAGGGACGTGTCGAGGAAGCTCGCGCTGCCGTCAGCAGGCTCACCACATCTCAGGAGGGTGTCGACTTCGATTTGGACGCTCACATTGAGATGATGGTGGTCACTGACCAGTTCGAGAAGGAAATATCAGCTGGAACTAACTACTGGCACCTATTCCGTGGCAGCGACTTGCATCGAACTGAGGTTTCTGCTATGGCATTCATCACCCAGGCCCTTTGCGGTGTTCCCTTCATGGGGTTCGGTACTCAGTTCTTGCAGGGCGTTGGTCTCAGCCAAGATGACTCCTTCCACCTGACTATCGGTCAGGACTGTCTGGGACTGGTTGGATGCTTCATCGCATGGTGGATCATGACCAAGTTCGGTCGTCGCAAGATGTACTTGACCGGTCTGTCCGCTATTTCGCTGATCTTGCTTATCGTTGGATTCATCGGTCTTGCACCCAAGTCCAACAATGGTGCAAGCCTCGCAGGAGGTATTTTGATCATTCTTATGGTCTTTTGCTTCCAGGTACGTCTTTCCTTCAGATGCCGCAGACTTTTACTGACCCACCTAGCTTTCTATTGGACCCATTTGCTACACGCTGGCCGCCGAAATACCCAGCTCGCGCCTCCGTGTCAAGACCGTCGCCCTGTCTCGCGCTAGCTACAACAGTATCGTGTTCGTAACAAACACAATCATGCCGAAGATGGTTGGTGTGAACGACTGGAACTGGGGTGCCAAGGGTGGGTTCTTCTGGGCAGGCATCGCGGTGCTGTTCATTGTCTGGGGCTTCTTCCGTCTTCCCGAGTCCAAAGGACTGACCTACTCTGAGCTGGATCTGCTGTTCGAGCACAAGGTGTCACCACGCAAGTTCACTCGTGAGAACGCGGAGGCACTGAAGCCAGTGTTGGTGGACATTGCTCTGCAGCACGAGAAGCAAGCCGGTGTCGAGCGTGTGGAGTCGCACGCTTGATGAAGTTGTTGGAGTATACCGACCTGTTCTGTGGCGTACGTAAAATAGCGAAGATCTCTAAAGCAATACGAGAAGTCTCAGCTAGCTGAATGGATGCCTGGCACTCTTGACATGTCTTACCACTGCCTGCACTCTCAGCTGTGCCACCCAAGCATAGCACGAGCAGCTCGTAATGCAGGATGAGTCAGCTGCAGCTCTGCAGAGCACAGCCAAGACGAGATCAAATCACGACAATGTCTCAAGACGCGGTCGAGGGTGGCAGGAGGTGGGTCCTGTCGAACAGCCAAATATCGTATTCGGAAGCAACGACCGGGCCACAGCGCAGGGAAGCACTCGACTGCAAAAGAATGCCATGAAAACGCAAACGCTTGGCTCGAATATCAGCAATAGTACCCTTCCCTGTTTGCGCAGCAGAAGAAACAAAGTGAACGAAAGTTAGGGGATCGAAGACGACCAAATACCGTCGTAGCATGCAAGCCCATGAAGAGGCTCAATTTAAAGAAACGAAACAAATGAGAGGATGTGCATGATGACAGGCCTCAACGGGTGTGGATGCGCGACTATTCATAGATGCGGCGAATTGGATTCTTGGGCCTAGTGCCCGCATGGTCAATTCATCGACTCGCACGGACGCCCCCTGTATGTACCAGCCCTTTCTCCAGCGAGCCCGCCAACATTGAACCCTCTCACACACGCCAAACCTTCGCTCACCCCCTCAGCTTCGCGTTTCTTCACCAGTCGCTCGTTTGTGGCAGGAAAAGTGGCCCTCGACCAGCTTGCGTAATCCAGCGACGCCGTTTGTTGACACGCCAACACGTTCTCGTCGCACTACCGGCTCCACAACACATCTCCGCACCGCATCCTTCAGCCGTCTTGCGGTCCCTCGACTCGACTTCACTCGTTGAATTGGGCATCTGGACAGGACAATGAGGCCCTCACAGCTGCTCGCCGGCCTTCTGGCCATGACTTCGGTCACAGCTGCCATGCCGGACGCCTTCGCCGACATCCACGGCCTGGGGGACGTCAAGAACATTTTCGCACGACAGGACGACAGTACGTCTACAATACGCTCGATGCACTAGCGTCGCTAACACACCTCACCAGACTCTGCCTCGGCTTCAGAACAGCAATCGAGCAACCAGCCCACACGGACGACCACAGCGGAGTCAGGGAAGGCCAGCGCCACCAAGACCGACACCAAGACCGACACCAAAAGCGACAACAACGATGAGTCCTCGACAACGGAGAAGGCAAGCGCAAGCGGCTCACACAAGGCCTCAGGCAGCAAGGCCACTAGCAAGTCCAAGGCTACCAGCTACGACGCCCGCCTGCCTGCGGGAGGTATCTCCATGGTGACGCCTGGCGCCCTCGCTGGCTCCCAGTTCTACAAGGTTGGCGACTACGTTACCTTCGCTTGGAACTACACCTCGCTGTCCCAAACCCCTTCGGCTATCGATATTCTTGCCACCTGCACCGCCAACCAGGCCACATACACCATCGCCGTCAACCAGTCGGCAGACCAGACACAGGTCGTTTGGGACACCAAGAACACCCCGTCCGGACAGGTGCCCTTCCTGACCGAGAAGTACACTCTTCTCATCTACGATGCCGAGTCCAGCGTCAGCGCCGCTCCCCGCGCCGGCTACCTGGGTGTCTTCAATTCCTTCCAGTTCGGCATGTACACAAAGCAGGCATACGTCCCATTCTCTGGTAAGGCCCCACCCTCACCCACTCACCGTCAACACAGTATACTGACTCCGCCCAGAGTTCGAATGCGCAAACTGCAACGGCGCGCTCTCGCACTTCGAGAAGATGACGATCAAAGCCCTGCTGCTCACCACAGGCACGACAATCGGTTCGCTCGTCTACTTCACATACACCTTCGGCCTCTGGTAGTGCACCATCACTACCATGACCTAAACGCATCTGGACACCTGACGTCTCGCATACGATAACGGCATTCCTTACGCTTCACACCTGTCTATGTTTCACTCCTTTCTCATCATAAAAAGGTCCGGGCTGGCGCTGTGGGTTCAACAGCGTTTCAGCGGGGGAGCAATCCACAATCATTTCAACCATTTGGGGTCATCTATCGTCTGGAGTTCACGGAGCACACAATTGTCTACGGTTCGGAGGCTGCATATTCTAGGCTAGGGATCAATACGCATCTTAATACTGTAGAGAAGCTTGCCAGAGGCACAGGGTGTAATATTCTTGATGTTGGACTAGGACGTACGAGGCCGTGCTACGATGAATCTGAGCAGTTGACAATGCACATCGTCTTACGGACTGTCTGATTGTGACGTTGGTGTTTGTTTGTTTATCATTATCTATCAACACTGTGCGTGAAATTCAACACTGTGCGTGAAATGCATGCCAGCACTTGGCAAGAATGCCTGGTATCTCCCGCTAACTCCAACCCCAACTCCAACGCCACATCCCTACCCACATGCTCTCATACTCTCAGATGGGAGGACGTGTACCGTCTAGCGTGTATCGTCTAGCCTCCACCTCTACCAGCAGTCCCCCTAGTCCTCCACTCATCCTTCAGCACCCACCTCCCCCTCTGCGCACTCCCACTCCTCTCCAGCCTCGCAACCGTCTTCAGCATCTCTTTGAACTCCTCGTTCCTGCCCGGCTGCGCCCGCACATAGTGGTCGAAATGGTCGACCAGCATCTGGCTTGGCACAACGCCGCCATGCGTCATCATGAAGTCGCGGATCATCTCGAGCATGCGGCGGCCGCGAAACGAACTTGGCGTGGTCGCTGATGGCGTCGACGCGCGGGACGAGGAGGCGGAGGTCAAGGGTGCTGTGGATGTGGATATGGGACGACCTTGGCGCGCTGCGAGGTTCGAGAGGATGGAGGATGAGGATGGTTGACCGCGGCTTAGACTGCTACCTCCCCGGCCGCCGCGCGCGCCGCGTGTGGAGGTGAAAGTGCGAGGTGAGGGTTCGCCGGGGCGTCCGGCTTCACCATACGTGCCTGTCCAGGTCGGCACTCCGGCTGGCACTGCCCTCGCTTCGTCCATGCTCTTCTTGAGCTGCTCTGCAGCAAGCGCAGCCTGCCGCTTAGCCTCGCGCTGAATGAATGCTGGGTCAGCTTGAATCTTGCGTTTGCGGCCGCCGGCAGTCGAGTTCACGATAGCATCGTGCTCGAGGACGGAGTGGACGCCCGTCTTTGCGAAGATGGTGCTCATGAGACGGCCGTCTGAGGCGGGCTTGTCTGCTTCGGCGCCCTCGGCTGCGTTGTGAGCAGCGTCTTCGGTGTCGGGGACGGGTGTTTGGAAGGCTTCGGCGCGGTCGATACCTTTTACTGCTGCGAGGTCTTCGACGGCGGTGGCGTCTGGAGCTGCTGAGCTGCCGTCCTCGTCGAACTTGACTTCGGAGCCGCGGAAGAGGTTGCCTGTTTCTGTTTCGCCGTCTGCGGTCTCGCCACCTAAGGTGAAGAGGTCGTGTAGGTCGCTCATCTGGAATGTTTGACGCTGCTTTGGGTCTTTGAGCACCTTGTTCGTCAAGAATTGCTTGAAGATTTGACGATGGTATATCTTCTCCTCGATAGTACCTGCAGACATGAGACGGTATATCTCAACCTCCCGCTTCTGACCGAGGCGCCATGAACGTTCCCGTGCTTGGATATCGGTGGATGGGTTCCAGTCGGGATCGTAGATGATAACACGATTCGCACCTGTCAGATTGACACCAAGTCCACCGACCTTTGTCGTGAGCAAAAATACGTGCAGATCTGGACTTTTGTTGAACTCGTCGACAAGGTCTTGTCGGTCTTTGATAGGTGTCTCGCCGTCCATACGGCGGTAGTTGATGTCAGGCAGATGGTCGAGGAACTTCTGAAGAATATCAAGCATGATACGATGTTGAGCAAAGAGCAGTGTCTTATGACCACCCTTCCTCCAAAGCGAGAGCAACTCCTTGACCACTTGCATCTTTCCAGACTTATTTGGTGCACCGTAGTCATAGCCAGGCTGCCGTGACAGGGTCTTGTGCTCAGTCAGGTCCGGATGATTGCAAATTTTTCGAAGATAGTCAACACCATAGAGCATCTGGCGCTTCCCTGATGCAATGGACTTCATATCCTCAGATTGTAGGAAGCCTTCGTACGCTTGACGCTGCTGACGCGTCAGCTTACAGAACAGCACCTGTTCCTTCTTCTGCGGTAGATCGGTTGCTACGTCAACCTTGAATCGCTGAAGCAGATATGGACTGATTGCATCCTTGAGAGTCTCTGCGCATTGAATTGCGGTTTCGAATTCGAGGTTTGAGGCGTTTGCGTACCCACCACGCTTGATCGGAAACTCGAACTGATTTCGAAAGTTGATCAGAGTGCCTAGTCGCATGGGAAACACGAAGTCGAACAGAGACCAGAGTTCACTGAGGTTGTTTTGCATTGGTGTACCTGACAAGATGATGCGATTGGGCGTCCGCAGCTCTTTGCAGTGGATTGTAATGGCAGTGTTGGGGTTACGGATCTTATGCCCTTCATCAAGGATAGCGCATTCCCACTCCGTTGCTGTCAGAAACTCCGAGTAGGTCTGGAGTCCGGAGTAGGTCGTAACGAGAACGTGGCCATCGCGCTTAGCCTTCTTGATGATCTTGTTTGCTGCCTTGCCAGCTCCAGTCAAGGTAGTGTCATAATCGCCATAGCTGCGCAACTCCATCTCTCGTTCATAGCGGTCTTCTCGCTGAGTGTTCAGCATGCCACTGCCTGATGTGTGTAAGATGGAAACGCGCAGAGCCGGCCACCAGCGATGGAACTCGCTGACCCACTGCTTCATGACCGTCGCTGGACATACCACGATCACAGGCTTGGTGAGTCGCTTGGAGTAATGGAGACCTGCGACGAATGAGATAGCTTGAATGGTTTTACCCAATCCCATCTCATCACCGATGATGCCTCCGACATTTTGTTGAAACAGCTCCCATAGCCACTGCACACCTGTCTTCTGGTAGGGGAACAGTGCTGGATAGATATCTCCAGGTATGCGAAATCCGCCATCAAGGACAGTATCAGCTTCCGTGGGATGAGACTTGAACCACTCCTCTTCTGCATCGTCCTCGGCCGTGGTGTCGCCGGCTCGTTCTTTTGCTCGCTTCCTCGCTGCAGCACGGCTTTTCGACCATTTGCCCACGCGTTGCCGATACACCTTTTCATTCCCATCATCCACTCCAGTAAGGTCCTCCTCTGCCTCTGCTTCAGACGCAACTTTTGTCTTCTTCACCTTCTTCCCCCTAGCTTTGCGTTTGCGACCAGAGCCCGCAGCAAAGTCGTCGTCGTCGTCGTCGTCGTCATTGTCAACAGCTGCGTCTGAGTCCTCTTCAGAGTCGTCCAAAGTAGCAAGCTGCCGTGCAGACATGCCAGGATCAAAGGCGTCATCACTGTCCCCATCGGTCGTACCTGGGTCAGCGCTGGGCGCCCGTGAACCCACCATATCGCTCGAAGGTGTCACCTTCCGCCATTTTCGCGCGCGTGTTGTGGACTGCGGACTTGGGGCCTCTGAGCTAGTGTCGACGTCTTGGAAGCCTGGCTTCATCAAGTTTCGATGTGAGGTTGGACCTGTAGTAGTATCCTCCACCATGTCCTCCATCTCAGCATCAAGCATAGTCTCTCCCAGTGTCCCTGACCCAGCTTGGTTCTGTGCCAATCTCGAGAAGGGTGTGATCTTTCCCGTGCGGATCAGGAAGTCGCGCCGGCTTTCGTTCGGTAGGGGGCCGTTGGCGCCATCGTATGTAGGCTCTTCCTCGCCAGGCGCACTATGTCGCTCGTTAATGCGCTGTTGTATTGCGTCCATCTCCTTGTCGAGATCTTCGATCTTCAGCTGGTATGCTGCAATCTCTCCCCTCAGCTTAGCCTTGTGTGTGTCCACCGCAGGCAGCGAAAGTCGGTTTCGCAGCTTCTGGATTGCAGATTCAGCACGTTTTGCTTCTGCTTCTGCCTTCTCTATGCGCTTCTTGTCGCGAGCATCAGCCTGTTCGGTGAGCAGCTGGTCTGCCTGGCGGCCAATATCGCGTTCGAGGTCATCTTGCGCTCGAGTCCCCGTTGTAAGAAACTTTAGCCGTGTTTCTTCATCAGCGTCTAAGGGCACATTCTCCTCTTCACTTTGTGCGTCTAGCACTACTGCTGTTTCCTCCGCCTTCACATCGCTCGAGCCTTGCGCGTCGGTTACGGTAATTATCGGCGCAGACGTGGCTGCCGCTTCTTCGCTAGGTGGTGAAGCCATACCCCAAGCTACAAATCATGCAGAGGGCGACGGTGATTCAAGGATCGTAGAAGCTTGAGCGTTGCGGACAATAAAGTGACGGTGCGAGGTGGGTGCGTACGTGGGAAGGTGCGGAGAACATGGAATGCTGCATATGCCTAGATGCGTTTCACGGTTGCCTGTTCATCGTGAGAGTGAAAGTCGCGCAAACACCACAGGATGGCTGTGGGTAATGCGATCGAAGTTGCGACAAAGCGATGATGACTGCCACTTCCTAGGCGGCCAATGAAAGGATGATATCATCGAACGCGCTAGCGATATCAGCGAGCACGGCCATTACGCGCGGTAACATGTACATGTCACCGAGACCAACTTCTTCAACTGTGTCTATTCTCTTGGATTTAATAGTATTATGACATGTTGAGCGTGAACAGAGATCTACGTGTCTACAGTCTGATCATATACAGTCTCAAGTATGCACGACAGCTACCTAATCCTTCAGAATCAACTAAGAGTAGCGAGCGCAGGTTTCATCCTCGCTCTTGGGCACAGCGACTCAATCAACCGTCGGATGCGTTGTCGAAAACCTTTGCACCAAACTTCCAGACTTGGTCAACAACGATCTTCTTCTCACCTCCCATGGCACCCTCTTGCAGGTCCAGGACAACCAAGTCTGCATCAGCACCCTCACTCAAAGTGCCTTTGGTATCTTCCATGCCTAACATCCTTGCCGGCGTCTCCGTAACAGCCTTCAGCGCCTCCGACACGCTCGCGCCGGTCCAGTTCAAAAAATTGGTTACACAGTCCACAAGCTGGATACTGCTCCCGGCAATCTTGCCATTCTCTTCGAGAGTGAGCAGTGGACCCTGCTTGATGATGCGCGATCCATTGGTCCAGTCGTAAGTACCATCAGGCATCCCAGCAAGACGCATAGCATCTGTGACTAGGATCAGCCCCTCTGGGTGCGCATTCCATGCAATCTTGATGGAGGTAGGGTGTAAGTGTATCCCGTCTGCGATGATCCCAAAGTATGGCTTGCGGATGGAGGAAGATGGCGTGCCGAGCAGACCAAAGATACCCGGGTTACGGTGATGGAGGGGGCGCATGGCATTGAACAGATGCGTTATCATACTTGCGCCGGCCTTGATACCCAGCTTGGCTTCCTCATATGTGGCTTCCGAGTGTCCGATCGAGACCCTGATGCCGCTGTCCGTAAGTGCTTGAATGGAAGAGAGGGCTCCTGGCAGCTCTGGAGCGAGTGTGATGAGCTTGATAGGCGAAGAGTGCCCAATGTGAGCGGCGCCATAGCAATCGGCTATGTCTGAGATTCCATGCGTCGGTTCGCGCAAGACAGCGGCGTTGTGGATGCCGTTCTTCGTAGGGCTCATGAAGGGGCCTTCGCAATGAACGCCCAAAGATTCTGAGCCATAGGAGGGGTCGCGAGCGACACCTGATGGACCCAAGTAAGGTAGTGCCTGGTACAAGTCAACCACATATCGTTCACATTTGTGTTCTTGTACCAACCTCATGATAGACCTCGGGACGCTGTGAAGTCATTGTCGGCAGGTAAGATGTTACACCAGTCGCGATAAGACTTCTATTGACGTGAAGCACACCCTTGCCATAAGCTGTAGCTCCCTCATCTGGAATGACGGAGAAGTCGAATCCATATGCGCCGTTCAGCTGAGTATCGATGAACCCGGGAGAGAGTATGCGGCCATCAAGGTCAACAATCTGATCTGGTGCAGTTCTGTGCTCGAACAGAAGCTCTTGTCCGTTTAAGATTTTACCACTGATGGAGCTGACCCAGAGATCCTCTTGGACAAGGCTATTGCCCTTGACCAGCAAGCAGTTGGTGAACTTTGTTACGCCAGAACCTCTCTGTGCAAAGTCTGAATCGCCATTCGTGGCGACTAAGGATGGCATCGTGTACTGTGTGAGACTTGCAGAAGCCTAAACGGTGAGGTATCAAGCCGCAAGGGTTGAAAGTAAGGGAAATGGGACAAGGCAGTGACCAGAAAAGGAAAGGGAGCGCGGTTGAAACGAGGCTCAACAAATCTCAAAAGAAAGACGCGCATACGGTGGCATTAATGAAACCTGAAAACCTACACAGGTTGGCTACTATGACGCCAACAGCTATCACAAGCGGACGAAAGCTCTTGTCACGATTGGGTTGAATGCCGCCAAAAGCGCACGCCTCCTATACATGCAGGTTTACTGGCTACCGGAAACGATGTGACACAACAACGAGCTCTTGAAGCTTATCACAGACCACTGGGCATTTAGATCCACTGCGGTAGTACTTGAGGTGGTATCGAAGCAAAGTCGTCGATAACGCACGAAGTTATCACCTGGCGAGGAAGAAGTGGGGCCAATCCTGCGCCCCCCGGAAACCATGAATGCGACCGTTGCATCCACCTCCATCTTTCCTCCATTAACAAGCCGTTGCGAGTCACGTTCAAGCCTCAACGCCCATCGCAGATTCAGTTCGCTTCCGGGCCCTATGCGACAGGCGCGGTCATCATGGCGGCCAAATCCAAGAAGCTGGACCCGGTTTGGGATGATCTCGATAGGTGAGCTTCGCGCGTTCCTGTTCACACAATGCGCAATGCGACCGAAGACCCGGCTAACGCTTGTCATGATGCAGGATCATGGTAGGTAGCTCTTGTCACATTATGTGACATAGTGGGCCGGCCAGTAACGTGACATCCAGGGCCAATTGTTCATGATGGGGTTCGACGGGACCACTGTTACCCCACACATTCGGACAATTATCGAAGAGTTCCAGGTTGGCTCCATCCTGCTTACTGCAAAGAATTGCAAATGTAAGAAATCAACCTTGTGCCTCAATGCGATGTGGCGTTAGAAGCGTTGCTGACCTTCACTTTAAGCTGCCGAACAGACAACAAAGCTCTGTTATGACTTGCAAAAGATTGCCCATGAAGCTGGCCACCCGGTGCCTTTGGCCATCGGTCTTGATCAAGAAAATGGTGGTGTCAACAGTCTTTTCGACGAGATCTACATCCGCCAGTACCCCAGCAACATGGGTATGGCAGCCGCAGGATCGACCGACTTGGCTCTCGAAGTAGCAAAAGCAACTGCACAAGAAATCGCTGCCTGCGGCATCAATTGGATTTTCGGACCATGCCTGGACGTTCTCACCAATGCACGGAATCAACCTCTCGGAGTCAGAACAGCTGGCGACGACCCTCAGGAAGTTGCTGCATACGGCTGCGCGTTCATGCAAGGCTACAAGGAGGCTGGAGTCGTGACACTGGGGAAGCATTTTCCGTCATACGGTAATCTTGAGTTTCTTGGCTCGACTCTCGATGTCCCTATAATCACAGAGTCACTGGAGCAGCTGAGCCTGAGCGCACTGATCCCTTACAAAAAGGCTATTGAGAGAGGCCTCGACTCGATGTTCGTCGGTGGTTGCGCAATGTCTTCGGCGGGTCTGAATGCCATGCACGCCTGTCTTTCCGAGCAGGTCATCGACGGACTCTTACGAACCGACCTGAGGTTCGACGGTGTAGTTGTTTCCGAGTGCCTCGAGATGGAAGCGCTCAGTCACAACATTGGCGTTGGCGGCGGCACAGTCATGGCTGTCAATGCTGGTTGCGACATTGTCCTTCTCTGCCGATCATTCGAATTCCAACAAGAAGGGATGAAAGGGCTAAAGACTGGAATTGAAAACGAGGTGGTCTCCAAATCAAGGATCTTCAACTCCCTCAGACGTGTATTAGCATTGAAGGCAAAATGTACGTCTTGGGAGAAGGCATTGAACCCTCCAGGTATCGACTACCTTGAAACACTTCAGCCTTCACACACAGCACTGTCCACAAAAGCGTACAACAGCTCTATCTCGGTTGTACGTGACAAGAACAGGCTTCTACCACTGACCAATATTCTGGAGAGCGAAGAAGAGCTACTTCTACTTACGCCGCTGGTGAAACCGCTGGCTGCATCCGCTGCATCGCGGGAGCTGTCTGATGCAGCTGCTACTCATTCGCCCGAACCCCATACTTGGGAACACAGCTCATCTGTGATGAGCGGAGAGCGAGTATTCAGAGAACTGGGAAGGTCTCTGGCTAGACAACGAAACGGTCGAGTGCTACACACTTCCTACACAGCCAATGGCGTTCGACCTGTGCACGAGAATCTCATCAACCGTGCAAGTGCGATCATCGTCCTCACTGCAGACGCCAACCGGAACCTATACCAATCTGGCTTCACAAAGCACGTATCGATGATTTGCAACATGCAGTACACCACGGGCGGCGAGAAGCGGGAGAAGCCTTTGATTGTGGTCGCTGTGAGTTCACCATACGACTTCGCTATGGACACTTCGATTGGGACATACATTTGCACGTACGACTTCACCGAGACGGCGCTCAACTCCTTGGTGAGGGTTTTGTATGGCGAGCTCTCACCGACAGGGACGCTACCTGGAACCATCAGTAAGAGCCAGAAGTTACATCCTTCGAGACAACATTGGCTGGTCGAGATCTTCAACGAGGAACGAGACGCAAACGCCCTTGATGCCCTCATCAATGTAGTTATGGAAGGCACGGCGCCAAATCAGCGGTCAGAGTTGTCAAGTGCAACTTCTAGCTCGTTCATACTACACCATCCTGAAGTCGAAGAGTCGCACTTTGTGGTAAGGAACAGCAGCACCCAAGCTTTGTATGGATTTTGCTCCACATACTTCTTCAAGTCGACAGGCACTGGAGTCATCAGCGCGCTGTTTGTCGATCCGGCCAGGAGGAAATTATCCATTGGCCACTCGCTACACAACCGGGCCATCAGAACTTTGTTGCAGAAAGAAGGCATCAAGCGGTTCCAGCTGGGTTCTCGGTTACCGAGTGTGTATCTTGGAATCCCTACAGGTCACGGTGCTGAGCGTAAACGGTTACGCTCGTGGTTCGCTAACCTCGGTTGGAATGCAGCGCTCTCACGACCAATCTGCAGTATGGTAGCTCGCAATTTGCAGGCCTGGACTCCACCTGAAGGTATGGCAAAGAGCTTAGCGAGTGCTGGAGCACAGTTCGATCTTGTCTACGGTTGGGACTACGCAGGGCCTATTCTGGACCACATCAAGACCAGCAATCGACAAGGACTGGCTGAGGTCTACAAGCTTGCCCTTCAAGACCCCCAGGCTTGCGGCATCATCCGTGCCAAACGCCCAGAAGACGGCGCTCTGCTAGGCACTGTGGTGCTTTACAACCAGCACTCACGACTTTCTGAATACATACCGCCACTAAAAGATCTCAATGAATCAGCTGGGGGTATCTCTTCACCGGTGATATCGCCAGGTGCAGGAGAGTACTCGACATTGCTTCAAGGGCTCATCCTGCTTGGAATGCGGCAGATCAGGGCACAGGGTTGCAATGCCTGTTTGCTGGATTATGTAAGTTATACAGACTTCCAGTCGGTGACACGATAGACTAACATACTGAGATGGATGGTGATGGGAATTTTGACGGCTTCTTTACGATGGGCTTCGACGTCATGCACAACTTCGAGGAAGTGTCATGTGACGCAGCAACGTGGACTACGATACCGCCTGCTTAGATAACCTACAACATCAGTCAAGGCGTTCTGGTATTGAGTGAGGGTTGGTATCATAAGGTCTAGTGACTTGGATAAGGGAACTAATTGTGAACCATTGTTCACCTGGCATACCCGGCGTCAAGGCGTTCCATTGTAAAACATATTCTCAATGATCCATAGTCGAAAAATTGTTGAAAGCTTCTTCGATACGAAGGGCAATTGCTGGTCTTCTCAAGCTCGCGCAATACAACACCGATGTTCTGGTTGCCCAGGTGCTATGATGCATGTCACTAGTGGCAGTCCCAAAGTGGAAGTGACGAGCAAGCCCTCGGTTCCACCTGCCCGACCACCATGATATGAGCTTGTCGCACCCCTTCGCGCCCCCTCTGAGATACCGGTGCCAATGAGCATGAAGAGCACACGAGACATTGGAGTTGCATTATGAAGAATCGAGCAGATGTTGTCGGGATAGAGCTGCGGAGCAGCATGAATGCTTGGGTTATTTATAACCGCACTTGCCAAAGCTTCGAATTGGAGGTGGAGGAACGACCGCGATTCGCTCGTTGACTCATCCGGACTGGCGGGCGCTCCTTGATCTGCCACTGCCAACGTTCGGCTTATCCGTTCGAGAAGCTTTCAAGAATCTTTGTCGCGGTGCAGCCTTGTCCCGCAACGACCGCTCTTTGACACGCCTTTCTTTGTCTGCGGTCTGCACGTAGACATTGTCGGTGTTGGCGCTGCGGAAGCTTACCAGCCTGCATTGACGACTCCCACGCAAGCTTGGCGATTAGGGCCTGCATGTGATCACTTGCGGTGGGTTCGAGTCGCACAGCTTCAGGCGCTGCGAGCTACAGCAGTATTGTCTGGTGCGCACGCTCTGCCGGCTGGGCTCCCTCTGCGGCGCCTGCATCAGCAACATAGCCATCTCCCAATCTCTCGCCAAAACATACCCTTGCTCTAGCCTCATACACTCCGCCCGTCAACCCCAGCTTCTCCGCGCCGACGACAACCAAGCGCACCTTACCACTGCTGTCACCTCCACTCCTACCGCCGCCCCACCGCCGCCCCGCCGCCGTCTGCTCATCGCCTTCTCGTCTGCCGCGCGAATGCGACTAACCCTTGCCAATTCGCACAACCGCCATGGAGGGCTTCGATACCACCACCATGTCGTACCTAGCGACTCCAATGCTCATGCAGAACGTTCCTGGGCCTGATCAGCCCATGGCGATCCCCATGGCCCCGCTCGACCAGTACGACCAACGCTCTGTGTTTGACAATGAAACATTTGCCGGGTAAGCAGCTCTATCTATGAGTGCAATCATCTGCTAACTTTCGTGCGCAGAAGCGAAGATGCCTTCTCAGTCACTCAATACCACATGCAGCGCCCGGCGCCACCTCTCAGACGTTTCCCGAGCACATACGAAGATCCCTTTTCCGACGTTCACAGCACTTACGAGCAATCAATCCACCCACACGAGCAAAGTGGCGTCCCAGAGAGCCCCAGCATCGACAGCAACAACAAGCTGCTAAGCTTCTCGTTACCAAGTGTCCCATACACCGTTCTAGACCTCGGGATGCAGCAGAGAGTTCAGATGTCTATGTCTGCCCAGCTCCATGGCATGTTCTTCCTTGCCGAGTCGCCATGGGCCACGGCTGGCGACGTGCAACCACCACCGACCGAACTGACCTGCTATCGCCGCAACCTTTTCCAGATCACGGGCACAGTAACGCTACCGAGAAGCATGCACGTAATCCTGACTGACCACGGCGACCAAATACCCATACTTGGCCAAGAGCTCACGATCTCCGCAACGGAGTCTCTCGAAGGTAATTCGGTCAAAATCATCTCGGTGCCGTGGAAAACGCCCGCTACAAATACAGTTCCCATTGAAGACAAGACAGAGAAAGAGCCCCCCACATATCCTCTGGACCTATCAACTGGCCAGGACATGGACAGCAACTACGTCTCTTTTCCTATAAGCTGGAAGAGACTGCAGTTTCGCATAGCGACTGCTAACAACGGGAGAAGAAAAGAACTGCAACAGCACTTCGTAGTGCGCCTGAAGGTTGTAGCAACACTCGCCAATGGCGCCAAAGTACCTTTGTGTGAGATTCATTCAAGTGCAATAATCGTTCGTGGTAGAAGCCCCAGGAACTTCCAGTCGCGCAAAGACATGCCCATCAGTGGTGGAACTGCGCAAGCTCGCAAGTCACACCTGCCCCAGCAGCCAAGTCGAACAACTACCGGTGATACTGCACAGACGAGTCAAAGCCATGGGCACAGCAATATAACATTAACAGCAAAAGCGGAGAACATAATGCAGGTGCCATACGACTTCAATGCCAACGAAGCGCCAGTCTCGCCAGACTTTCTGGACTGGAAAGTACCTGGTGGGGGTGCTATGACAGCGATACCACCAGATCCACCGTCGTCTCAGATGCCTCACGCAACGCCATATGCACAGTCAACGCCTGAGGTTTCTAGAAGCGTCCCTCCCCCACAAGCAACTTCAATAGCGCCTGTCACTCTTTCCCTCATAGATGACGAGCCAAAAAAGGCCCCTTCGCCTGTAGAACACGCCAGGAAACGCGCTGCTCCAGCACGGCCGCCTTCTTTCTCTATTGGCATTATCAACAGTCCTGATGAGAGTGCTGATCTGCTCTATGAGTACTTTCCTCTTGGTCTCGATGACTGGATGCCGCCTGTCGATGCCGTTTACCGCCCGCATGTCGTTCACCACACCAATTTACCGCAAGATCCGAAGTCTCTTGAGATGAAGAGTCGGTCGAAACGGTACTTCGAAGCATCAGCTTACTGATACCTTCGGAGCTTGGCAACAACTTATCGGCGCCATACGTGTGCAACATCGCCCTCTGCCGAAGAGGAACGTTGTCTGGGTTGCTGCCTTTTCACCTGTGTCGCAACGGATGTATGTGACGACTTCTCAGCTGGTTGTCAGGACTCATCATCTGGACTTGATATGCGTCGGCCGCAAATTTATGTCGCTTCTTGCGAGTCGGGGACTCGTCGACCCCTTTACGTTGGATCAGAACTCCCAGAGTGAGTCTCGGCAGGCTTCTCGAAGCAATGTCTGGATGAAACGCCATGCAGAGCATGCAACCTCGATTTGCGCATGCTCATGCCTTCCTCGTACACAATTCCACCTGTTCGATTGTCAGCTCTTGACTCTCAGCGAGCATAACTACTCTGCCTTACGACTGCTACGACTGCTACGACTTTCCTCGTACGGCCTGATCTAAAGGGACGATCCGGTTCTGTTTGAATTCTTTCGGATGTCACATGTTTAGTATACTATACTAGACCATGGCTTTTGGGCGTTAGCTACAGGCAGCACTATATCCATGAGCTTTCTCGAGAATTCATTAAGTATACCTCAAGCACATATGAGATTTCACAACCCAGCATGAGTTTTGAGGTTGGTCACAGATGAAGGACACAGCGGGCGGGTCACGACCTCTTCATTGCAACGTCTCGTATAGCACGCCTTCACACGGAAACTTGTCATTCGTCGCTTTCACAAACCGAACGCAACAACCGCTTGCAGCAGGGTGGCGCGAGAATGTAACAGCAGTCAACACGTCAGCAACATCACCCAGTCCGGCTTCAAGAGGAGCTGAGTGAAGACCCTGTGTGCAAACATGTGCTTGCTAACAATTGCAATACCAGACAACAGCAAAAAGACAATGACCAACGCCAAGCACATACTCGAAGCCTTCGTCAGCCAATCAATGCGAAACAACGGAGTCGAAAAACAGCATCTGTCGTGCGCGGTGCTGTGGTATTGTTGTGGCATTGCGCCGATGGTCACCGACGATGCAACGTTCCATGGCCTCAGCTTGCAGCTGCATCCACATGGATTGAGACTCGGCCTCGGCATTTCTCAGTCTTGAACTCCAGCATCACAATCATCTTCACTTTCCAAGCTATCAGGTAAAATCCTACAACACGCCGGAAATTCACTCCATGATGCGCTCACGCACTGAGCACCAGGCAAACAGGGCTTGGTTACCTCGGCTTGTGGGCCTTCAGTTCCAGGTGGGACCATGTGGATACGAGCAGATACCACCGGTCAACGCCTTACAGCTCACTAACGATCTCATCTCCTGTCTCCGGTGGGTGAAAATGCTCGGAATGGCAGGTCGAGAGCATTCTGTAAGCACAAGCTTTGCGCTCGATAGTACAGTTTTAGGGACGTGTCATCGTGGTGACATCGCAGGACACTGCAGATGGAGTATCGTCAAGACTCACCCAGAAATCGAAGATGGGCCTCATTCCTGCGTAAAGTGACGACGCTAAAAAGTCAATGTGTAGGAACGAACGAGCGATTACACCTGCCGATTGCGTGCCTTCCTCCGATTGGCGTTACATACATGCCTTCCTCCGGGGACTTGACCATGTGGCTCCAAATGTCAAGACACTATGATACCTCTACGTTGCTACCATACAAGCCTTACACAATCTCCACATCCCCCACACTGCACCCGAGCCTTGAAGTCGATACCATGCGTCCCAAGTCACAATGCTATTGCCCTGCCATGTTTCATCCGCGTGCATCCGTCGAGGGCTTCATGACTGCTACCACCTCGCAACGAGCATTCCGTTCCCTCGTGTCTGATACGTGATACTGGAAGGTGTTGATCACCGAGGACGAACTCGGGCCTCGAGGGAGTTTGAATCCTTCACAGGGTGACTTGACCCTTGATGGATGATGTGACTCGGTCCTTGGTCGACCGAAGATGGGAGGGTAAGACTCCCTGCCGATCTGCATACTACGAAAATAAGCCAGGTCGAGAGGAGTGGTGGTGATCTTGTATCATAGTTGCATTCAACAATGTTGCTAGATTGATAGCCTCAGAGGCCGTAATGCTATACCAAAACGCCGTAGGGAACTCGTTTCGTCATGTCCCCCTATGCTCCCATGAGCCCGATGACCAGTCGTCAAGACTGGCAGATGCAAAGAAGTGGGAAACCTGTATCGCCAAGATGTATGTACAAGAATCCGTCGCTAAAAGGGTACAAAGCAAAATGCTCGTCATGCGTGACACAATATGTCTTTCATCAGAATCGTCCCATGATGCTGTCTGCGAGCTCAGCTATTGGCCTTCGAGACTACAGACGGAAACAGCTGCGCCGAAGATTGCGGACTCGACGGCGATTTCGAGTTTTATCGATCCTGATTCGGCTCCAGATGCAATCGCAAGCTCGTTCAAATGCTCTTGACATAGTTCTTTAAACAATGGGTACTTCTCGATCACAGAACCATTGCAGCCGATGCTCATCCGGCCGGCGGATGCCGGCGTGAGGCCCTCAGCAGTGGTGCGCAACACCCATAATGCGTGAATACCAGTGGCGAGGAAGCCTGCTGCACGATGCGAGATGAGCTGAGAGATCTGACGAACGAATTGGATGTCGTTGTAGGAGGGTAGTTTGCTGAGAGGATGTTTCGATTGCAGAAGGGCCGTGGCGTTTGTAAGATGCTTCGACCCATCCATCTCCATGGCTGCGATGGTTCCTGTATCTAGCGAGTAGGGCTCGTTCATCTTCGCAGGTATTTCACCACTGAACAGGCCTGCAGTACGAACAGCCTCAACAATGATCAACCGGACGATCTCCCCGAGGTAACGGCCGCTGATCATATGCTCAAACGGCTGAAAGTCCGGTCGCATGTGCGTTGCATTGAGCTGATCGTCCCACCGAGTGGTTGGAAAGACGTTCTTGCCGAACATACTACATTCGGTGTTGACAAGGACATGCGTGGCCTCGTCTAGCCACTTTCGGGGGTAGCCTTTGTACTTTGTTGACGCAAGTGACGAAACGGGCAGGTGCACGGAAATATTAAATCCAGTTCCGAGGATGACGGCAAAGCGTGTTGATGGGTCTTCGTAAGCTCGTGACAACAACGTTGCAGAAGAGTCGTTGACGATGGAGTCCATATGCACCGGCAGGTTCTAGGATGAATGTTAGTGTCGTGCTAATGAACGGTCGTGACGTTTAGCTTACCCTTTTCCTGCAAGGTGCCATGATCAGTTTGCTGAGATCTTGACCGAGAACACCGTCAGTTGCGTGGAAGCCTTTGCCCATGTCGAGAAGGTTTCCGCTGCGTGATGAAGTTTGTCTGAACGATTGTTAGTATCATGTTGTCAAGTAAAGCACTTGCACATACTCGATAGGGAAGGACCAGGATAGTCCCATAGGAAAGCTGTCCATGTTGTCGACCTTTTGGGGAGGAGCCTCTGCGAGCGCGATCTCAATCTTCTCGGCCATCCAGTCAAAGAAGTCTGTCCCTCGTCGCTGACGAACTTTTTCATCTATCTTGAAGCTCTTCATGTTGACGATGCGCATGTTCTTGGCACCAGGTTGCTTGCCATTTAGCTCCACTAGAGCGATGCGGAACGTTGAGCCGCCGACATCGAGTGCCAGATATGTCCCCTTTTCAAGACCAGTTGGCAGCTTGTGGTTGTAGGACGGAAGCATGCAAATGTCGCTGGCCTGGAGCTTTGGGGCGAACTGCGCTTGCAGTCCTGCGGAAATTTGTTGCAGCCTTGCAGTGTCGAGGGGGTCCTCCAGCAGTTGCTGTGTTTCGCGCAAGAAGTCGTCCATGGTGCGGTCATAGGTTCGCAGAGCCTCACGCATGTTGCGTTTCCGTGAGGTCAACGGGAGTACGGTGTGTATTAACGAAGGAATCATGGCCAACTGCTTCAGAGCCGCAAGCAGGCTCTGCCAGAAATCAAGCATGAGCTGTTTGTACCAGCAGCGATTGCCGTCGTCGGTAGACGAACGGTGGGAGCTTTCCGAGGCGCCGTTGTGATCGGAATTGTGGGTGACGCGGCGGCTTTTGAATCGTCTCAACGTCAGGGAGGGCATGGAGGGGCAGAGGGGGGTGAAAGTAGCAACGACAGCGGGGCCAGGTCTTAGAAGTGAATGTTGTTTGCGTGCGTTATATCAGACTTGCAAAAATCAGCAAGTTCTTCCAATACTGTGGATTCCAATGCACAGCGAGGTTGCTGCGGGCCGGTGGTGACCGATATCGCCTGGTGATACGGCCATCCAGAGCATAAGGGTTGTATTTGCTAGAGGCACGGCAGCAAGGACGCTGGTCGCGGACAGTGTCGCTGGCGCCAAGCAAGGCGAGTGCAGGCAGGGCGAGCGTTTGGTGGGGTTTCTTTGCTACGTTACATTCGATCGCACGCTTAGCCACATAAAGGCGTGAGGCCGGGACTTCGAGTGGATGGCCGCCGCGATTCAGTTAAATTGCAGGCGTTCTGCGGCTGTGGCGATCTCACTTGTCCATGTGTGCGACCACGGGCAAAAGATTCCTTTGCGGTAAACCTGGAATAATGTTTTGCAGTCTGCGGCATGAGCCAAGTCGTTTCCATCAGCCAGGTAGCCGTGTCTGGTTAATTAACGCCTCAATCCAATATATCCCAATGTCGTTCATGTGCATCGAAGTCGTTTTGCAACACAGCTCGTATGAAGCATACGATAGTCCGTGGGGAGTTTCGTGACGTTCGCTGACAACGCTACATACCCCGCAGTAACACGCTGCCCTCGTGGGGCCAGGGTGCAGCGCGTACTCGAGGGCAGCTTGGATTGAAGCCTCGTGTCGCGTACCGTGGCTGGCGGGAACGAGCTTGTGGGGGTGTTCCAGCGGCATCTCCCTCTAGGCCAACATGCACAGCAAGGACAACGAGACCAGCCTTGCGCAGAATGATGAGCAGCCAGGAATGTCCATAGTGTACTGAGATGACACCAAAGGGTGTAAACGTTTTATCGCGTTCGAAACAGCTATGTGCACGTCTTGACGCAGGGTAGAGAAGCAATTCAAATCATCTTCAAGGGACAATAAAAGCATCGTCATTGAGTGCCACAAGCATGTGAGGCTGGATGACAAGATCTCCGGCAGGAGGTTTGAGACTTCTGCGGATCGTGGCATAGTGTGATTATTTTAGCTCAAGAAGATTCACACTCGATCAATGGATGCACAGGACGTGATTTGCTTATACGCTCGATTTACTGGACTCGCTAGTATTGCTGCCGCTTGATGTATGTGAAAATGAAAGACCGGGGATATCGTGCAGAGGCCTGTCAAAACAGCTCGGTAGTCTGAGTGTCTGAAATCCAGGCAACATGAGTCTTCGAAGTGATTTACAGGAAACAATTCGTGCCAACTGTGGTATCAATGTCATGACCCCGCTCGAAAATCGTAAACCTACACAGATGCCCGTGAGAATTACAATAAGATGCTCTCGTGAATCGTAAAACCGAAGAAGGCTCAGACCTTCTCAACATCGTCGTTCGTAGTGGAAATGCGGGCTTTGGGAGCGACCTCAGCGATAGTCTCGTCGGTGAACGCGATATCCTCCTCAATCGGGACGGTGTCTTTGACCTTCCAGAGGATGACAGGGAGGGCTATGAGCAAGCTACCAGCAAGAAGACCCCAATTGGTAGCAAACATGTGCATGTACTCGATGCCGTTGTTGTCAAGAGCCCATGTGATAGCACCACCAGCAGACTGAATGCCCTTGTAGAAACCAGCGAAGTTGGCAAGCTTACGTCCGTTGTTGGTGAGAGCACCCATGAACCAGTAGACACAGGTCTGCCACGCAGCGTCGGAGAAACCGTAGAACATGTAGAGGACAAAGGGGCCAGCGTATCCAGAGTCAGACCAGTCCTTCTTTTGGTTGGTCTTATCCGATGCCCAGGCACGATCGTAGGTCTTCTGGAACATGTAGCCGAAACCCCAGACGATCATGATGGTGGTGAAGAGAGCCAACCAAGCACACTTGGCACGGGTCGTGCGGCGAACACCCTTGAAGTCGAGGGCAAAACCGAAGACGTATGCGCCAACGATCTGCATGATATAGTACACTACGCCGTTCAGCGCGCGAGTGCGGGTGTTGAAGTAGGCGCCGTTAACCTCAGTAAAGTGGTAGGCGTAGAACCAGTTTGATGCTAGGAACATGGGGAAGAGAGCGATGATGTAGGCGTCAGACAGGAAAGTCTCCCAGAGACCAACAATCTCCGACTTCCATGAAGGGTGCTTCATGACGATGACCTTGGAGCCATCGGCGCGGATGACGTCCCTTGCATCGACGAGCACCCAGGCGAGCGCAGCACCGATGATGGTGAGGATGAGGAATCCGACGTAGGTGCCATCGTTCACTGAAGAGGCTGTTGTATTGTGAATGTTTTGACCGAGAGGGATCTGGCGTTTGTTAGCATTGAATGCGTGTTACACAGGTGAGCGCGTGACTTACCAAACTACCAATCACAGCACCCAGGTTGAAAATCATCCAGAACCAGGAAATGTAGCGGCCCTTGGACTCCTCGGGAGGGTAGGACATCATGATGGCACCCTGGGCGCACCAAAGCAGACCGGCGCACACACCAAGAAGGGCACCAGCGAATGTAGTGAAGCCCAGGTTCCTGGTGTGGTTGTAGCTCAGGTACGAAGCCACATAGATTGAGTAGCCAATGCCACCGAATGAGAGAGCCGTGCGGATACCAAGCTTGTTGGTGAATGTGCCGGCGAAGAAGCCAATAACAGCGAAGGTAGAGTACAGCGCCGTGTTGGCCTGATTATTAGCAGTAGGGTCAAGCTGGCCGCCTCCTCCCATGCCATTGAGCGCGTTGAACATGCCCGGGCACATGAAGCACACGAGCGAGACAATCACAAGCTGGACGGGAGGAGAAGCCATCCAGGGCAGCTTGTAGCCGAAGATGCTGAATCGCTTGTACCTCCATGAGTTGGGAAGCTGCAGCGAGCCACCGTCATTTAGCGAGTGCTCTGGCGTATGAGCATCGTGCGCTGGCATAGCGTTCTTCTCGTCGCTCGTGGTGGTTGACATTGTGCGACGCGCTTGTGGATAGAGCGTTGGTGTTGTTGCAATGTGCGGAGTTGACCTCGCGGGTGGGGTGACGGGATGGTTGAACAGAACTAGAAAAGAACGGGAGAGCGAGCGAGGTGAAGTTAAGATACCGGGCTTGACCGCTCAGACCACTGCACGATGCTATGAATAAGTGGGGTTGGTGAGCCTGGTGAAAGGCGAGGGGAGCACCCCGATTTCAAGCATTTTGTAGCAAGGGTCTCTGCCCCCATTCACCGTCAAAGCTGCAGAAGCTTCCCGTATTTGATCCGAGGGCTGCACGCGACATCCCCCGCCCTGAGAGAGCAGTTGGTATGCACCAACGCTGCGCCAACTGGAACATGAGCTGGCATTGCCAGCAGGAGGCGTCCGTGTCCCAGCATTACCGACCCTGGCTTGTGTTACTCCCAGACAGCGCCTTCCCGTTGCAGCTGTTTGGTGTCGACCCTTTCGCGGGTTTGGTAGCTCGAGGCGGGGATTAGTGTGGATCCTCCTGTCACTGTTATCGGAACCCATTATTCCAGGCGTTCCTTCCATTTCCTTGGTCGCGCCTGACTCGCGCTAGAGGACGACAGCTTCACGCCACACGTGTAACGCTCTCCGCCCTCGATGCTACCACGGTTACACCCACACTTCCGCTATCTTCCCTATCAACATCTCGTCGACTACCTCCAGGCTCGCCCGTTGCTATGCGCAGACTCCACCTAGGGTGCTGGTTATCTCGTGCCTTGTCTCGACTAACGCTAAAGTAACCGTCAGCACGATAGCAGACAAGCATTGTGATAGCCCATGCTGCTGTGACATAGCCCCTCGCCTGTCAGCATCGAGAAATAGGCGTGTTGTATCACCATGTTCAGCTTCGCCTCCATCGCACTGCATCATGAGCCATCTGACCCACCACGAGCGCACCATGGACAGCTGGACGGAAAGAGACGTGTCAATGCTAGCCATGGTTCAAGATCGCATCCGGCACCTGTCACCGCTGTCACGTTCTGACAAAGAGGACCCTGATTGATGAACGAGCTTGCAACCTTAAGGTCCCCCGCAAAAGTGACGTGAAGACCTCCAGGCTCTGGGGAACTCTCAAATATCCTTGTGCTGCTGGAGAAAGCACTGTTACGGCCCCAAGATTCCTACTGTTCACCTTAGAATACCTCCGATCATCAGGCCATACACATCATCATGTATGCTTATGCAATAGCCCGTCTATATTCAACAGTACGCTTACCGCTTACAGGCGGCTGATTATTCGCAACGACCCCCATGCTGCGTCCAAGTACATTGCAGACTATATCATTGGTGGATACTCCTGCAGCTCCTTGCGCATAAGGCAGGTCATTAACGTCCATGTACAGAACGTATCAAAACATTCAATCCCACAGCTGAACGACCGTTCGTACTTGGCTTGCCCACCGGCAGCAGCCCAGTGCTCATCTACCAGCATCTCGTTCAACGCCATAAAGCTGGCGAGATCTCTTTTCGCAATGTGGTCACCTTCAATATGGTACGAAATATTGACCCTACGTTGTCTCGACCTACCCTTGCCTCGGGGTGTGACACAGCAGCATGGCAGTGGGGAGAGGAGGCTGACCAGATCAGGACGAGTATGTTGGGATCCCACGGGACCACCCTGAGAGCTACCACAGCTTCATGTACAAGCACTTCTTCTCTCATGTGGACGTGAAGCCGGACAACATCAATATCCTCAATGGCAATGCTCCCGACCTCGAGCTTGAATGCCACAAATACGAGGAGAAGATCGAGGCGGTCGGTGGCATCGAGCTGTTTCTGGGCGGCATCGGGCCCGATGGCCACATCGCCTTCAATGAACCGGGTTCCAGCCTCAAGTCTCGCACACGTGTAAAGACTCTTGCGTACGATACCATTCTTGCCAACTCACGGTTCTTCGGTAACAACCTGGATCAAGTGCCCAGGATGGCACTGACAGTCGGAGTCCAGACGGTGCTGGATGTGAGTTTCACCAACGCGTATGTGTTCGCCTCAACAGTGTGGCTAACACGACCTCAGGCGCGTGAAGTTGTCATCATCATTACCGGGGCACACAAAGCATTGGCTCTACAGAGATGCATCGAAGGCGGTGTAAACCACATGTGGACTCTTTCCAGCCTCCAATCCCACCCACACCCAATGATTGTCGTCGATGAAGATGCCACGCTAGAGCTGCAGGTCAAGACAGTCAAGGTAAACGCTCCCAACACCACCCCCCCCCCGGCGCATATCATTAGCGCAGACCTTAAGAAGATCAATGAAGCTGAAATCAACAGTACTTTAAGAGCATCGAGATGGTAGCCACTGAGCTCGGGTTTCGCCAGAAGCTGCCGCGAAAACGGGATTCACTTGTCGACGAGGGTGCCTTGCTTGTTCCCGCACGGAACCAAGCCAACGGGCTCAGCTTGACTGTACCACAACAAGACATATCGCGCTCCGCAAGTCCAGTGTTTGAGCCAATGAGTGCCCGCCTCGACGACGAGGATGCTGAGGCTAAGGTGATGCAGTCCTGGGATGCCGTTGAGGATCAGCCCTCCGTTCGCATGAGCGCTCGCGTTGCCGGTTGAATGTATCGTCCTCCGCCGCGAAAGCGCCGATGCGCAGTGAAGGTCACAACAACACTCATTTTGTGTTTCTAGCTTTATGCTAGTAAGATTGTTTGCTGTTATACTCTTAGCAACTCGAAGGGCGCTCCCTGACCAGGTGAAACATATTGATTCAAGATCTTCAGTCGTCGTAGAATGCCAGTTTGGCTTTGTCCCCACCATGTACAGTACAGGAGTTGAGCTCGCATGATAGACATACTGCTGCAAAGTTGATGAATCCATTCTGTGGTGTACGATTATGTATGGGGCGTTGTCGTGTGGAGCTATAGGTCTAGTATAGCAGGCACATCTGTTAGTATCTCGATAGGTACCATGTTATTGAACAGCCAATTAAACCAAAAAAAAAATTGATTGCAAGTTCGTTATCCGACGAGTTCCACCGCGTCTACATGCACGAGATATTGAGTTTTTGAGAAAATGAGATGACTAAGGGAAGTGCTTCGTGGACAAAAAACAATGAACTCGCTATGCCGACAAGAGAACGTTATCTCGCTCTCATAAGAAGTGCTGCAGAATGCTGTACAGTGAGAAAGTCGTGAGGTGCTCCTCTAAGCATGCAAATATTGACAGAGAAATTGCAAAGCTCCTCTGATGTGAAGTCTTCCATGTCAAAGCCGGTATATCAAAACGTAGTCGGGTATCTCGAAACGAAGAACATCGTAATGCTCGAAGTGAAGTAGATGCCAGTTGCTGTCGTCAGTGGAAAATGTCGCCAGTGTGGCGCGCTTTCCACTGGTGAGAGGGTTTTCCCTCTGGACCTCGAAGGAAGCATTGCCCGGACGAGCACATGCTAGACTGGGGGAGTGGAAGCATTACTGTGGTGGATGGTTCATCAACAACATCTGCCGCCCTTTGACTTTTGGGCTCTGTCGATGTCCTGCTCCCATTCTTGTTGGTGGACGCCGACTCCAGGTGTGGTCGGAAACCCCAGCCAGCTTCGGCGCTTGTCTCCAGCTCCAATGCGGAAGCTTCCGTTCCCATTTCCAGGGTAGTCAAAGTATCCATTGGTGTTGCCGTGCGGGTCAATGCCAGGTGTTACGCCGGCCATAGCGAGCTGTCTCTGTTCAGCCTCGAATCTGCGCTGTTGTTGTTCGACCAGTTTCCTTGTAATCACTCGAAATACCTCATCTACGCCCTCGCCATCCTTTGCGCTGATCTCGTGGCAGCAATCCCATCCAATATCCTGGGCCCAGAAGCCACTTGATCTGTTGCTCTGAGGAGATGCCATAGCACCACTTCGAAAAGCTGCAGGTGCCGAGCCCCAGCCTCCAGGATGCCCACTGTGCTCTTGTGCATTCTGCGCAGGATATAGCTGCTCGGCGATGTATGCTATGCACCGCTCGAAAGGGACCTTGCGCTGAGAGGGGTCTTCGGCGACCACATCGGACTTGGTCCCTACAACGTGTAGAATAATATCGTCCCCGAGATTCGTTTTGAGTTCCTTGAGCCATCGTCCCATCTCTTCGAACGATTGTGGATCTGTGATGTCATAGCATAGCAGCGCCGCATTTGCTCCTGTTTGAGACACGCATTAGTCCGGAAATTCCCAGGGAATTCAGACAGACATGGCATGAGCTCAAGCCGTCACTGCGGAGTTTCGAAGCGTGGACCGTGTTTGGGCAGCATCTCAGCCGGGGTCACCGCAGCAACTAAGGAAGCTTGCAGGGAACGCCAGGCACAAAGAAAGGGGCAAGATGAGGAGAAAACACCAGGAGAATGCCCAAATTCGAGGTGCGAGTGGTACATGAGAACGCGTGAGCATGAACATACCTCTGTAGTATAGTTTGGAGATAGATCGAAATCGTTCCTGCCCCGCCGTGTCCCAGATCTGTAGCCGAACGACTGTAGAGGTGTCGACGTCGATGACCCGCTTTGTCAAGAAAGATGCGCCGATCGTAGACTGTGTCGAAGGTGGTGCAAATGCGTTCTTGACATAGCGGTGGACGAAGGAAGTCTTCCCTACGCCCTGGCTGCCGAGCACTACGATCTTAGCCTCGAGACTGTTCGCCATGTTGCCGCCTTTGCGTTCGCGGGTGAGGTTGATGTAGTCGAGGGGTATCTATTGATCGTCCTGGAGCGGGCGTTGTGCGGATTTGCCTGTGCTTATTCAGGGCCTGCGGCTGTCCTGGTGGCTGTTTTGGCGGACAAAAAAAGAAAGTGACCGCCGAACAAGTCTCATGGCGCGTGGTGAAGAGCGTGTCGCAGACAGAGCAGTACAGTGGGTGAGGGAACTGGAAGAGCGCGATTGGCGCTAGGTGTGCCTCTTGGCCGCTGGTCAGGTGCTCAAAGCATCTGCCGCGGAGGAGTGCCTGATCATCAACACTGGGAATGCGGCGAAGATGAGCGTTGTGCCCATCACAATCGGTCCTGGCAAACACAAAGTGAGCAAGATGCGCGACAACGAGTGTTTGTTGGACAACAAAGCAGTTTCTTAGTCTGAATTGCGATGCGCGTCATTGCCACGCCCCGAATGCGGGGAGGCAAGCGATTGGATTGACTCGCCCTTGCGGCCGTGAGCTGGCAGGAGCCATCCAGACCCACTGCCAGTTGCTGACATACACAGGCATTCTGAAGGGGCCGAACTCGCTCCTATCAAAGACATGGAATTACAAAAGCCTGATTCGGCTTGCTTCTTCCGACATGCCATGGCATCCAGGCCGGTGAATTCAGTAGCCTAGCATGGGGCTCCGTCTATGCAGCCGATATGTGGGCAGCTTCCGAAGCCCCCGCAAAGAGATGTCCCGAGCTAACGTGGAGGAATGGCCGTCAAGAACCTGGACATGCCGCCCGTCCTGCGTTTTAGTGCTTGGAAATAAGTGAAGGATTCCCATAAATTCTGCTGTACTTCTCCGTGCCTCTTCCCTTTTCCTCGGGTCTCGAATTCCGCCCATTGCTACCCCAACAACCGTCCCCATGAACCACTCCAGCAACAACACCCAGGCGGTAAAGCTTACGGGCGAGGAGATCGCAAAGCACAACAGCCGGGACTCGTGCTGGGTCATCGTCCACGGTCGCGCCTACGATGTCACCGAGTTCTTGCCAGAGCACCCTGGAGGTCCCAAGATCATCTTGAAGTACGCCGGCAAGGATGCAACCGAGGAGTACGAGCCCATCCACCCGCCCGACACACTCGAGAAGTACCTGCCAAAGGACAAGCACCTTGGTGAGGTGGACATGGGAACAGTAGCGAAGGAAGAGAAGGAATTCGACCCTGATGAGGAGGAGAGGCAGAAGCGCATCGAGCGCATGCCCATCTTGGAGCAATGCTACAACCTGATGGATTTCGAGGCTGTTGCACGAAAGGTCATGAAGAAGACAGCTTGGGCCTACTACTCCAGTGCCGCGGACGACGAGATTGTAAGTCTAAAACATCCTCATATTTTCGTGGTTGACTAACAAGTTGATAGACTCTGCGTGAGAACCACAGCGCTTTCCATAAAATCTGGTTCCGCCCACGAGTCCTTGTAGACGTGGAGCACGTCGACATGTCCACCTCCATGCTCGGCACCAAGGTCGATATCCCCTTCTACGTTACCGCTACTGCGCTCGGCAAACTCGGACACTCAGAAGGCGAGGTCATCTTGACCCGCGGCGCGAAGAAGCACAACGTTATTCAGATGGTCCCAACATTGGCGTCGTGCTCTTTCGACGAGATCATGGATGCAGCGGACGACCAGGTCCAGTGGTTGCAGCTCTACGTAAACAAGGACCGTGAAGTTACCAAGCGAATCGTACAACATGCCGAAAAGCGAGGTTGCAAGGGCCTGTTTATTACAGTCGATGCACCGCAACTCGGTCGCCGCGAGAAAGACATGCGATCGAAGTTCAGCGATGTGGGTTCTAGCGTCCAGAGCACCTCCGGGTCAGCTGTAGACCGAAGCCAGGGTGCCGCACGAGCCATCTCGTCCTTTATTGACCCGAGCCTGAGCTGGAAGGATATCGCTTGGTTCCAGAGCATTACTAAGATGCCCATTCTTCTGAAGGGTGTTCAGTGCGTTGAGGATGTCATTCGCGCCGTCGAGGTTGGCGTGCAGGGTGTGGTTCTCTCCAACCACGGAGGTCGCCAGCTCGACACTGCGCGCTCCGGTATCGAGGTTCTTGCCGAAGTTATGCCAGTCCTGCGTGCACGTGGCTGGCAAAACCGCCTCGAAGTTTATATTGACGGTGGTGTACGACGTGCGACCGACATCATTAAGGCTATGTGCCTCGGTGCCACCGGTGTTGGTATCGGTCGCCCATTCCTGTACGCCATGTCCGCCTACGGCCTGCCCGGTGTCGACCATGCTATGCAGCTGCTAAAGGATGAGATGGAGATGAACATGAGATTGATTGGTGCCTCGAAGATTTCGGACCTGAACCCCTCAATGGTTGATACAAGAGCGCTTAGTTCGCATATTGCGCCGGTGCCAGTTGATACACTCGGCCTTAACGTCTACGACTCGCTCATCGGGCCCCAGGAGAAGGCCAAGGCTAAGTTGTAGAGCTTTGTCTTGGTGTATTGTACATGTGCATATGTTTGGAGCGTTTAGAGTTGTTGAATTTACTTGTTATAGGCTTAGGATCAAACATACCAAAGATTACCGCTCAAATATCCTTTAATGCACTGTTAGAATTTTGTCAAAGAACAGGCCTGGGCCAGGTACGAGATATTCATTTGAGCACGTGAGACCGAGTGAGCGTTATGGTCGTTCATGGATGGCTCCGGGGTTGTAATTAGTGGGGGCTAGAGTTATGACGGTACCGAGATCGCCAAACGTTCATTGAAGCGTGACGGACTGCGCTTCTTCCTCATTCACAACCTCAGCATTCACAACAGCACCGTTTCGAGATTTCCCATAGCTTTTGGTATTTGGAGTGTCAGGAAGCGCTCGTACCTTGTGTCCTTTTCTTCAATCATGAGCGCCTCAGGTTCAACGGCGCAACCAGGCGCAGGTTGGGATGAAGCACAGTGCATGGCAGCACTTGCGCAGCTCGAGCAGCTACAAGCCCAGGTCTGCAGCTGACATGTTGTTACCGCAAAGCTAAACTGACATTCGCAGATCGACGACTTGCGTCTTGCGATACCTAGCATAATCGAACCCTTCTCCCAACCACCGAATCCGTCTACCTTCAAGCTATATTCGCAAGGCGTTATTGGCTCCCAGACCGGCATAAAAGCTCTGAATGACACATGGAGAGCACCAGACGTACAAGAAATGCTCGCGCACACCAAGAAGAGTTACGAAGCGAATCCAGATCTATCTACATCCACATCGGTGCCCTCCCATGGCTGGATAGAAAGAGAACGGCGCGAGCGCGAGTCGCGCAAAGGCAATGGAAAGCATACAGCTGTTGAAAATCAGGGTGATAGGCTGGACAGTGAAAAGATATCGCGCATTATAGCGGAGATTCAAGAGGCACAACCCAACGTCAAGCTGGAAGCCCAGAATGACAATCGTAGTATAACCGTACGAGCATTGTTTTAGCCTCTAGCTCGAGATACTAACATAAAGAGTAGGCTCAGTTTGTGGCCAACTCAATGAGGCTCTCGTTCAAAGTCAATATCGAACGGGAAAACGACACACAGCACAAACTCACCGCAGAGTGCCTAGGGACATCGGAGCCCTTCTTATCTATCACGAGGTGTATCGCTTCACGGCCGAATGCGAACGACTTGGCATCTCTCCTGGTATGACCCTCTTGATGACAGCAGACTATTAGTTGTGGATCGATTGAGGCTAAGATTTACAGAACATGGTTGTTGCATACAAGACCGTGAAAGGCACATCGTGTGCCAAATGCGGGAAACTGCTCGACGATACCACCCTCATCCCTACCGCAAGAAGAAGTAGGCAAATAATCGGCGCCAACGACACCCTAGAAACCGTCTGGGAAGCATTGCATGAAGCCTGCCTATAAGAGCGATGCCCCTCGGTACGCCGTAGTTGCTCAATCATCGCTGGCTATCACCAATGCTCATAACGTCTGGCCAACGGAATGTAGTGGGTGTCCTGATACCAATCACCAGTGAACGAACGGAACGCTTCTGGATACAGGTGCTTCCCGTTGGGCTCTGGCTGCCACTTGACATCCGTCCACATGTACTTGTTGTACTTGCCGTACTTGCGGGTGCGGAAGTCGTAGCTCAGTCCTGGAGCGCGTCCACCAAGGGCACCGTTGCAGGTCCAAGGTGCATACTTTTTCGACGACATCGAGAGATCCTTATCGCGATCGTCGAGGCAGGTCCAGTCGGACCAGCGAGATCTGCTTTGTCGGTTCTTCATGTAGTCCATCTTGTCGGCGCTGATGGCGATGTGGATGTCAGGACCCTTGTCTTGGAGTATGTCCTTCATGCGGCCCCACTTCGATCCGTTCCTGCCATCCTTGGGCCAGATGAAAGCCTTCGATGACCTGATGTTGCGAAACTTCTTCCCGTCTTGGATCCACGCTCGGTGGTCTCGGCTATACTCCTTGATATTGGATCCGTGTGGCATGGCAGCCTGGTGGAATACCGGGAGGTGATACGCCATCGCGGAGGGTGAAGGATGCAGAATGGGGACGATCAGCTTGGCGTCTACTCTAGCAATACGTAGCTGCTTGAATGGCTTATACCGTCCAGCGTTTGTTGTGACTACTTGTCTTCGGTGTTACCAATCATCATACCCTTGATTGCAGCTAAGCTGTCTGTATAGTCGTTTGTTTAGCGCATTGTCAAGCTACCCTCTTCAACCGTCACCTGGTCTTACTGTTATTGCATCTAACAAATCATGTCCAAAATCCAAGCAATTTGTCTTCCACCGCATTGCTGCAATGAGAAGCTAGAGCCAAAAAGGCTAAGCGTCATTGTAGCTCTTGCTCGCGGCAGAACAACGCGACCGCCGAACTTTTGACAACACAGCGCAACAACACCGTCGACATGTCGCTGTTCGGCAATATTGGAGGCACCCAGCCTGCTGCGAGTGCGGCGCCAGCCTCGTCGTCCACATTCGGGTCTCTGTTCGGCAACAAGCCTGCAGGCACAGCGGCTGCACCAACAACAGGCGGCTTGTTTGGCGGGTTGGGTGGAGCTGCCTCAGGTGCTGCATCAGGCACCACACAGCCGGCAAGCAGTGGAGGATTCGGTGGCAGTCTGTTTGGTGGCGCAATGGGAGCGGCGAAGCCGGCTGCATCTCCAGCTCCAGCATCCACAGCTCCTACAGGAGGTCTCTTCGGTGGAGCAACCACAACGCAACCGCAAGCACAAACAAGCAGCCTCTTTGGCGGCTTGGGAGGCCAAACGCAGCAATCGATGGCCGCAAACCAAACCTCGAACCCCACGCAAACGAGCGGATTCGGAGCATCCTCCCTCTTCGGTACCACTTCCACGCAGCAGCCCCAGCAACAGCAGGGTGCTCCTTTGGCACAAACAAACGCGGGAACCGGCCGATCAGCGCACTTCGATCACCTTCTTGAGAGGGGCCGGAAGCGCAATGCTGGCGAGAATGGTCCTACCAATTTCGATGAGCTGCCGTCGCTGCAGCTGGGCCTTGGGGACATCGCCCGCAAGGTTCGCAATCTAGGCGCTGGCGGTCCTTCAGCTGCTCAGGCTCAGGATGGCACACAAGACCGTGCCGCGTAGGTTCTGGAACACTAAAGCACGTGGTACCATACTGACCATTTCTAGGCACTACCTACTCTCTGCATCCGGGGTGAAGATGGGCAGCACCCTCCGCGATCTCAACCAATTCTCGTCCCAAGCAGGTTACGGCGCGAATGTATCTGCGCAGAACGTATTCGATAGCGACGTTGACAGCTACATCTCGAACCTCCACTCCCAGTCGACTCTTGCACTTATCCAAGAAGGCTTGGAACAGTCGAAGCGAGACTTTGATACATTCCTGGAGGACAACGTTCAGATCGAGTGGGACAAGCAGCGCCAGAAGATCTACGAACACTTCGGCCTTGGCAGGCAGAGTGAAGAGATGGCAGCTTCCCAGAGCACATTTGGCAACACAGCTCGAGGCGCGTTTGGGCGCTCCACACGCAAAGGCCGTTCGATGGGACCTAGGGGCGCTGCGACGAACGGCGCTTCGACGTTTGGAGCATCCTCAGGAGGACCGCCGGTCATTGGCCATTCCCAGAGCGTTCTCAACGGACGAGACTCCTCCGAGAAGTCAGGCTTTGGCGGACAGTCTGGCCCACAAGATCGTCATGTTCGCGACAAGCAGGAAAAGTTCATGGAACAGGTGAAGAACCTCAACGAGGAAAGGCAGCGCGAGGCTCCGTTCTCGGTTCTGCATGCTTTCTCCAATGTGGAGAGCGCTACAGCTGGAGACAACTCGGACCACTTCGTCAGCGCATACGGAGCCCTCATATCCATCAGTGGCGAGCAGACCCAGGCAGAGGCAATCAACCCGGGATCGAACAATCCAAGGGCGCGAAGCTTTGCCCGCGATTATCTGGACGACGCAGCTACATCGAACACAAACATCAAGATGCGAAAGCGAATTCTGGATGGATCTCGAACGTATCTTGAGAAGAGGTTCTTGGAGCACGTGGAGGAAGTCCTCAAGAAGAACCCGTCTGAAGCTCTAGTTGGCGGTGTGCCTTCGTTGCTGAACAAGATCCGCGGCTTTGTTCGAGCCAAGGTAGCCTTCAAGGAACTTGGCGCAGACCTTGAAATTCTCCAGAGGATAGGTGACTCTGGCGAAGAGTACCCTTGGGTCATTGTGTTCTACTTGCTGAGAGGTGGTCTTATGACGGAAGCTGCGGATTACGTACGCGAGAAGAAGAACTTCTTCCAGAACAATGACCGGAACTTCCACCCAGCAATCGCACACTATGCAACAGACCCTGACCGTAGACTCAGCCCTGACCTCCAGCAGAAGATCAGCCATGTCCACGCGCAGCGAACCCGCATCGCCACATCGAACGATCCTTACCGGACAGCTTGCTATAAGATCATAGGTCGTTGTGAGATGAGCCGCCGAAACCTGGAGCCGATCAGGGAGTCTATGGATGACTGGGTGTGGCTGCAGTTCAACCTGGCTCGTGAGAGCAACCGAGCCGAAGAGAACGCCGGCGAGATCTTCGGTCTTGAGGAGTTACGGTCCACAATCAGAGATATCGGGCAACGCCACTTCATGAACGACGATGGCGAGGCTTCAGGCGGATACGGAGTTTACTTCTACTTGGCCACACTTGCAGGAATGTTTGAGCCGGCCGTCAACTATCTGTACCAGCACAACTATGTCTCAGCGGTCCACTTCGCCATTGCACTGGACTACTATGGCCTGCTCAGGGTGTCAGACTGGAGTACCGCTGGTAACGAGATTCTGACCTACACCACGAAACAACAGCCACAGCTTAACTTCGGACGAGTCATCGGCTTCTACACGGGCGATTTCCGTGCTGCTCGAGCTGATGCAGCAGCTGAATACCTGATCCTGATCTGCTTGAATGCAGATCTGCCAGGGGAAGCGGGCAAGCAGCAAGCAGAGCTTTGCCATGAAGCTCTTCGCGAACTTGTGTTGGAAACGCGAGAGTTCTCGACACTCTTGGGTGACGTCAAGTCGAATGGTCAAACAAAACCTGGACTGATCCAGGAGCGTCTGCCACTGCTCAAGCTAAGTGGCGAGAATGGTTTGATCAACACCATAACTCGGGAGGCGGCCAAGATGGCAGACGACAACGGACGTACCAACGATGCTGTCCTTCTCTGCCACCTGGCCAACGAGTATGACAGTGTTATCTCTATCCTAAACCGTGCTCTATCGGAGGCTCTTTCCGTCGAGATTGGACAGGAGCCACTTCGCCTTGAGCCCTTGAAGCCGCGACTCCTTGCTGTAGACGGACAACAACAGCAGCAGCAGCAGCCGATCGACCAAACGTCCACTAGCTTGAGCATGCTTGGGACTGATGATCCAATTGACCTCGCACAGAAGGTCATTGCCCTATACGACGGCAACAACTTGTGGTGGCGAAAGGTGTCAGAGCTGAACCGTGACACAATACGCATACTGTTCCAGCTCAACGCGGCAAAGAAGATCATCGAGGCGCGCTCATATATGGAAGCTCTTGGCGTAAGTTCTTTCGTATTTGGCTGTGTATCATTGCTAACATGTGTCCCTAGATGATTGAGAACCTTCGTATCCTCCCCCTGTCCGCCAACGGCAACGTATCGGATATCCGTTCGTCAGCAAACACCTTCAGCTCATACCCGCCAGAGATTGCACGTAACATCGGCAGCGTGCTCCTATGGTGCATCGGCTGCTGCTCGCGACACCGCGAACACCTGCTCTCTGGCCAGTTTGATGATCCTATGCGTAAGAAGTTGGCGGATCGGTTGCTGCAGAAGGCCAAGGATCTTATGGTATTTGCAGGTCTCATCAGATACAAGCTTCCTCCGCGAGTATTTGAGACGCTGGCAAAGGAAGGTCAGGACGTTGGTGCTTATTGAGGGTATATTAGGAGGGAAGGCGCAACTGGAATGAGGCTCTGGATATCACACAGGAGCATGTGAAAAACCTGAATTGGTAGACGATTGGTTTGGTGGCATCAAAGCATAGCGCAGTCTAGCAAAACGCACTGCATTGGATGTCTTCGGATGAGAGTCTTGGAATGTGTTTCTTCAATTTGGTAGCATGTGAATGCCGCTGCGAAGGTCGCAACTGTCAAACGTGGCAAGCTGCAGCTGCCACGTGCGTCGTCCACGCTAGTCTGCGCACGGGCCCTACACCAGCCTCTCCCAGCCTCCTGTTCATCCTGCCATCAACAGTCGTCTGACGATTTCCCCGCCACGAAGATGGATCTCATATACTCTGCTCCACTGTGCTCGTACTCTGTTTTGCGTTCATATCGGTCAGTGATCAACGGTTGTCGACTCGTACCCTGCAAGTTCATCACCTGAACCCAAGACGACTATCAACTCTGTTCAGCATTCTCAATATGATCTTCAATACTCGATACATCGCTCTGGCAGCCATCGCCACAACGCTCGTCAACGCGTTGCCTCTTGACCCAAATCAACCACGCGACATTCTTCCTCGTGCGAAGAGCTACTCTGTTATCAACGTCGACGGTGGAGCGTCCACCGAGGCACCTGCGGACGCAACCACAGTAGTCGACCAGACAACAAAGACTGTCGAAGTCACCAAACCGGGACCAACTGTCACTGCAGAGGTCACAGCTACTGTTGTGGAGCCTGTCCCTGCACCGGCAGCAACCAGCATAAGCACCAGCTGGACAAGCAGTTCGACATCCTCGTCAACGCCGACATCTACCCCAAGTTCGACAAAAATAAAACCGACAACGATTTCAGCCGTTGCCTCAACGACGACTGAGACACCAAAGCCTGTTTTTGTTACTGTCACCGTCACCGATGACGCTGGACCTACTGAGTACTACGACAACGGGATGTGGCATACATCCTACAGGATCAAGACCTTTGAGGCCGTCGCAACTCCTTCACTACTCTCGACGCTGGGCGCGATCGCTTCGAGCTCGACTGATCTGCCTGCTTGGTAGATTGACTGCTTCCGCAACCACATGGGATCTCAGAGCGACAACATAGATCTTTACCACTTCCTTTCTTTTCTGAGTCACAGTTGACAAAAACATCTGTTAGACTGGCTACTGTTTCTATTAATTCAATACGGAGTACATGATGTATATGATACATGACTAATGGACAGAAGGCGGGGATGTGAATACGATGTGTGCATTGGGACGGCGTTATAGACTGCGGCGACAACGCAAGTCGTCTTGCAAGTAGACACTGTATAGAGCGACTCCATATGATAGAAACTACTACTCGATAACCATACGCGAAGATGTTCGAATGTGACATAATGACGCAGCTAAGCTAGATAGCTCTCATCCCTGCAGGTACTCTTGGCGAGCGCCTTCCCATCCCGCCATCTCGGCGGTGCCTGATCATTGACCAGCGCTCTCCACAACCCCGGACTCTCCACCGTTACAATACACAATGGCGTCGCCGCCGCCCCCCGTTGAAGACCAGGCTCGCCTGCTCGAAGATGCCCTCGCCGTGGTGCGCCAGCAGACGATGCTCATGCGGCGGTGTCTCGAGACACCTGGGAAGCTGATGGACGCGCTCAAGTGCAGGTACGGGGAGCTCCGGACATGCACCACCAGCCCGCAATTGCAGAGAGATATGGATCGCTGATTGTGTGCCCAGCTCAACGCTCGTCTCGGAATTGCGCACGAGCAGCCTCGGCCCCAAGCAGTACTACGAGCTCTACATGGCCGTCTTCGATGCCCTGCGCCATCTTGCCGTCTACCTCCGCGAGAACCACCCCGTAAACCACCTCGCCGACCTGTACGAGCTTGTCCAGTATGCTGGCAACATTATCCCTCGCCTGTACCTCATGGTCACCGTCGGCACCGTCTACATGGCCATTGAAGATGCGCCGGTTAAGGAGATCATGAAGGACATGATGGAGATGAGTCGCGGAGTACAACACCCCATCCGTGGACTGTTCCTGCGCTACTACCTCGCCGGTCAAGCACGCGATCATCTTCCCTCCGGCGACAGCGAGGGTCCGGAGGGCAACCTGCAGGACTCGATCAGCTTCATTTTGACAAACTTCGTTGAGATGAACAAGCTGTGGGTGCGACTGCAACACCAGGGTCACTCGAGGGAGCGTGAGCAAAGGACGAAGGAACGCCAGGAGCTCCAGCTTCTTGTGGGCAGCAATTTGGTCAGGCTCAGCCAGCTCGTCGATCTGGAGAACTACAAGAAGATACTCAACCCTCTGCTTGAGCAGATCGTACAATGTCGAGATGTTCTGGCGCAAGAGTACCTCTTGGAAGGCATGTCTCGGTTCATGTGCACTTGGAGTTTGGCTAACAAATTGCAGTTGTCACCCAGGTCTTTCCTGACGAGTTCCACCTCCACACTCTCGATCAATTCCTCTCTGCGGTCGCGAGGCTGAATCCGCACGTAAATGTCAAAGGCATTGTTGTTGGCCTTATGGACCGACTATCATCGTATGCGCAACGCGAAGCCGAGTCGGAAAGCCCAGAGCAGCGCAAGAAGACTGAGGAGGAGTCAATAACACAGCTTCTCGAGAAAATACGGATAGCGAAAGAGAAGAGCGCGGAGCCGGAGGCCGCACCTACACAACAGAATGGTGAATCTACCGAGGGTGCTGAGACAGAACCGAGAGCAGATGGGACTTCGACTGCATCTTCGATCACAGCTGTATCCCCTGCAGAAACCGAGACAGCCGAGTCAGACGGTGCGATTGAAAAGAGACGTGGCATACCGCGCAATGTAAAGCTCTTCGAGATCTTCCACGAGCAGGTGCAGACACTCGTCAAGATGCAAAGACTGGCCATCCAAGACACCATTGGGTTACTTGTATCGCTTGCAAATCTTGCTTTGTAAGTCAGACGTGAACATTGGCAGGAACTATACTAATCGGCCTAGAAACATATACCCCGAACGCCTCGACTACATCGACCAAGTCTTGACATTCGCAAACCAAAAGGTTACCGAATACCAAAACAGCGCCGATCTACATTCACAAGCAACACAAAGCCAGATCCTCAACCTCCTTCTTGCTCCTATCAAGACCTACGTTTCCCTCTTCACCGCGCTGGCTCTGCCGAATTACATCCCTCTTCTCCATTCCCAGCCGTATCCCACACGGCGAGCAGTAGCTGGCGAGATCGCAAGGAGTCTGATGCGAAACAAAACTCCTATCACCACCGTCGAGAACCTCGAAAGCGTGCTGGAGATCCTGAAGGTCCTCATCAGAGAAGGCATTCAGCAAGCGCAAGGGTACCCGGGCGGCCCTATCCAAAGACGAGCTCAGGAAACCGAAGAGACAATAGAAGAGCAGGGCTGGCTGGCGAGGATAGTACACTTGATACATGGAACGGACAACGATACGCAGTTCAAGGTAGGTCCTGCTGTATTGACTTGAAGAGTAGAGGCGCTAACAAAGCTCGCAGCTTCTTCAATTAGCACGCAAGGCATTCTCAGAAGGCAACGAGCGCGTCAAGTACACCACACCGGTCATCATCACAGCATCTCTCAAGCTTGCGCGACAATACAAGAAACGCGAGCACTTCGACGACAACTGGCAGCCGCAGTCATCAGCGCTCTATAAGTTCATGCACAACACCCTCTCTACACTCTACAGCCGTGTCACAGGCTCCGCCGACCTATCGCTGCGCCTCTTCGTCGCCTGCGGGCAAGTCGCAGATCAGAACAACTTCGAGGAAGTCGCGTACGAGTACTTCGCACAAGCATTCACGATCTACGAAGAAGCGATCAGCGATTCCAGAGCACAGTTCCAGGCTGTGTGTGTTGTTGCCAGTGGGCTGCACACAACACGGAACTTCGGCAAGGAGAACTACGACACTCTCATCACAAAATGCGCGCTGCACGGTAGCAAGTTGCTCAAGAAGCCGGATCAGTGCCGTGCTGTCTACCTCGCTAGTCATTTGTGGTGGGCGACGGAGCTCAGGCAAGTCGGAGAGGAAGATCCGAAGAACGTAAGTAACATGTGTGTACAATGGCTGGGTTCGCAACTAACGGTACACAGCTATATCGCGATGGCAAGCGCGTGCTTGAATGTTTGCAGCGTGCTCTCCGCGTCGCTGATGCATGTATGGATGCAGCAGTATCAGTGGAGCTCTTCGTTGAAATCCTGAACCGCTATGTCTACTACTTTGATCAGGAGAATGATGCTGTAAGCTTGTTCAACGGTGATGTAAGATGTGCTTTATTAACACTTCACAGGTCACAACGAAGTACCTCAATGGTCTCATCGAACTCATCCACTCCAACCTTCAATCAAACGAAAACGCATCAAGCCTCGAGAACCCAAGAAAACACTTCCAGCGCACGCTTGACTACATAGCAAGTCGAGAGTACGAGGGCGTCATCGCCACACCGAAGTAATAGCGATCATGCATCAGCCAGGTACGCGAGGTTGGAGACATCGGTTGCAGATATTATTGGCAGATAACGCAAGGCGAGTTATGCATTGGAGTGGTAATTAACGTACGAGATAATTATACCACATTTGATTATATCACATTTGAACACGATCTTCATTCCTCATAAGCTCACTATCGTACACGGCACTCTCCCGTCTCTACGCATACAGCCCACCCAACCCAGCCAGCCCCAAAGCTAGGGTCCTCGCATCCTTACCAACCTACTTGTGCGGCTGCAGACCGTTCAAGCTGGCCACCGAGACAAAGTCACCCAGGATCCACTTCGCACCGTCCTTCATTAGCTGGTTCCCCAACGTCTTCACCTCATGTTCCATGCCCTGAAACCCCATGCGGATATCCTCCGCGGTCTGTGAATGTCCATGTTCATTCTGCAGCGTAGTCATCGCGCGACAAATGACTTGTTCCGGTCTAAGCCCGGCATGTCCAGCGTCCATGAACTTCTCATGAGCTTGCCGAAGCTGGGTCGCGAGTCGCGAGCGCTCCAGCACAGCGAGATGGCGATGTGATACCTCCTCTGAGGACTGTATGGATGCATACTTGCGTTTCACGTTGACGATGTCCTGACGGTACAACAGCCAGGCAGGGAAGGAGGCTACGAAGAAGGCGGTGGCGAATTCGATGCCCTTTTCTGTGTGGAAGTTGGATGCGTAGTCTTCTAGGACTGACAGCTCGTGTGCGAGATTCTTGAGCGCTGCGAGCTCGTCGAATTCTGGATCGGTATAGTTCTCGAGGTAGCTCATGAACAGGGCGCTGAAGTCATGACGTGTTGATGTTGTGCGGTGTTGGTCTGTTCGACGTTGCTTTAGAGGACGGATAACGTTTTGGTCTTCGGGCTCTGTGATGCCGCTATCTTTGCGCTTCCGTCGACGCCTAGAGGGCTTTCCTGTAGCTGGGTCCGGTTCGGCCGCGAGAAGCGTACCGCTGTCATCCTGTTCGTTCTGTTGTCCCCTTTCCTCGGCGAAGAACTGGCCAAGAGCTTCGAACAGATTCAACTCGCATTCTTCGAGGATCAGGCCAGCAAACATGCTATCAGCGAGAATCGGGCTAGTGATCGTATTGTCCTTGATGGTTGAGGCAGAGCCGCCTAATGCGGTGGGAGAGACTGAGCCGGATGATTCCTCTGGTGCATGGAGGGTGTAGCTGTTCTCCAGCTGGTACATGCTGAGCATATCTTCAGGGACCTCCGCAATTCCCAGCTGGAGCACTTTGTCCATATTGCTGGCTCCCGATCCGTGCATCTGTTTACAATTCTTGAGCGCAATGATGAATATCCAACGATGGAGATGAACCCATAGCCTGCAATCGAGGTCAATAATCTATATACTGTTCACGAGTGATATGAAGACTTACAATTTCTGGTCTTCGCTTTCCTCATAGAAAAGGTCCCTGGGGTAGTTCTCGTCAGCGCCTGGGGCCAGAAGCTTCGTACGATCTGCATCGATGCTCCATATTGCCGAGTGTGTCTCGAATAAGGTATCGATTCGGTCGTCCAGGTAGTTTCGATCTGCTGCGTATCGAATCAATTGCGTGGCCGAGAAATGGTTGCACAGCTTTCGTGCGATTTTGTTGATGTCTTTGCCCAGTGACACGAAGTACCCGATGTCGAATCTGAACTTGAAGCGATGTCGTGGAACCACCTTCAGTCCCAGAGACCGCATCGTTGCCAGCATGATTCGGCGCTCGTTATATGTAAGGTAGAAACAGCGCCAGGTCTTTTCGTCCCAGTACTCATCAAGAAGGAGGTTCCTCTTAGCGTGAGGCATAGTGCTGTCAGTCACAGATTCAACTAGCAGATCGTACTCGCCGTTCAGATGCTCCGTAGTAGGTTGAATAGGAAGTGGGACATGCTTTCTCAATGGGCTGGTTGTAGCAGCTACACTCGGTGGCGTAGCCGAGACTGAGCCTTGAGTATATTCGCAAGAGAAGCCGAGATCCGCACAGCGACCACATGTCGGGTGCGTCCGATCGCACTTCTGATGCCGCCGACTACACGACTTGCATGATCCTGGTGGCTGTCGCACTGAAGTTCTCCTCACAGGTGGGTCACGCACAGACAGGGAATGCCGTGGGTCGAGGTCGAGGCCAGTCACAGAAGGAATGTTTTCGGTGCCGTGACGCTGTTCACTAGATTGTCGAGCAAGATGGCGCGTCTTGGTACCAATGACCGACTCAACGTCCTCATACGTGGAGGTGCGCGTAAGAATTTTGTCTTCCTCGGACTCATCAGAGCTGTTGCGAACAACTTCCTCGGAGAGATAATTCCTCCTTGGGCGTCGACTTGCTTTCGGCTTCGGCATCTCTTGCATTGGCACGGCAGCTTGGGCAGGCACCAATAGTGCCTTCTTCCCTAGTCGTCTCGACTGTCTTTCTCCTCTATTGGTCCACACAACTGCATCATCATCAGACTCTTCGTCGCGAACGAATTCTTTGGACAGAAAGCTCTTACCCTTGCTCCCCTTTGGCCTGCCTCTCGGTCGTGGGGTTGGCTCGTCTAGAGAGGCCTTGGTACGGAGTTTGCTTGTACTTTTACCGACATCAAAAGCTGAATCTTTGTAGATTTCAGTCTTCTTCCATGTCCTTCCCTTTCCTTTGTAGTGTCTTGTAGTTTCGTCAGTTGAGTCGGGATTCATCTGTGAACTTTCTTCCGGCGCCGTGTCTGAGGTATAGTTGATGTCGACATCTTTCCGAGGCTTCGGTATTCGTACTGTCCTGCGCACATGCAAATTGTTGCTGATGGGGAGGTCGGTCTGCTCTTTTGATGCATCGGGCAAGGTATCATGTGCAGACGAGATCGGAGCGAGGTCGGCGGCAGCTGCGAGTGCGTCACCGCGCGTGGCAGTCTGTATGTCCTGATGCAGCAATGATGACTTGCTGGTGGGACCGGTAGAGTTCCAAGTCATCTGGCCGCCTGTGCTTGCTTGAGGAAGCAGCTTTGCACGAGGTTGAACCTTATTGCGCAAAGAGTTGAAGGCCTTCACAAGGATCCACAAGCGGAGATAGTACATCAACCTGTATACGACATTAGCAAAGAACTCGATGTTGTTATTGCGATACGTTCTCTTCGATGCACTTACACAGCTTGATCTGCAGCATGCTCGAACACTAGATCCTTCTGATACTCTATCTTGCCCTCACTAGCCTGAAGGAGCCATGCCCTCTCCTTTCCTGCGCCCCAGATTTCGTCGCCGAAACGACCAAGAAGATGTGCTATCTCCTCCTGAAGTGGTGCATATGCGTAGTCTGTAGCGGCATCTAAGAGCTCCTCCAGAGTAGTGGGCAGTCTCTTTACAACCTCAGCAACGGCATCAGCAAGCTGAGAGACGTTGTTGTATTGGAACAAGATTCTCCCGGGACCGTTGTTGATCTGTCGGAGTCCAAGACCGCGGAGAATTGTGCTGATCTTAAGGAGAACTGGAGTGTAGCTGAATCGTCTCCAAAAGGCGCGATCGCGTGTTGGCATAGCAGCAGCGACAGCGAAAGGCGTCGAAGATTGTTGCAGCGCGCCCATGTCAGGCGGTAGTGGGAGTGCGACAATCAGGCTTCTGCCTGCAATTATCTGGACTATGCGCAAGCCATGTGGCGCCGCTGTACCAACAGCGGATTGCGACATTGCGCGCAGAGTTGAGATGACTGGATCTTGTGCGTAGAGTAAGTTGATTTGATCGGGGGGTGGGGGAGCGAAAGTGTTATAACAACTTGCGTCGTGCGGTGACGTGACGGAAAGGTCTGGCTAAGCTTGGCGGCGAAGATGTTGCTCCTTCACTGTGAACGAGCGGCGGACTCATGCGCCATCCAGAGGCTCGGACTTGTCCCACGAAAGCTGACAAACTGGAAACTCTTACCCGATTATTTCTCCTGTGCCTAGCAGCATAAGCCAGGAAGCTATGTGTCTATCTAGTAATGGTGCATGAAAGTGTCGTGCTTAGTAGGCTTCAGGGTTGCCGTTACGCGGCTTCGTGCCAGTCGATCCATCCGCTCGATATTTCTCGTTCAAACCAATTGTGCGACGTACATCTCTCGCGGGATAAGCTGTCTGGTTTGGATTCACTAAACTCTTAATGCACGCTGCACTATGCACCGTCTCTTTGAGGACTTTGCCCGCACATCGCGCTACTCGTTCGAGGTAGGGAGCGTGGGACGATGCTAACAGCACCGCATTCCTCTCTTAATAAATTTACCCACCGACTTCCAAACGTTGCGATACCCTGATCGAGTAAGGTGAGATGCCTCTAACATGCGCAGCGCTTTCTTTCAGCTTTCTGCCGTGCCTTTGTCATGCTCACTCAGTAAGACATACCTTCGCTGATCTACTCTTTCGATCAATCCGATTTAGACACAACCGTGACAACTCTTACATATAGGGGCATTCACAGAGCACATGTTCGGGTAAGGCAATGAATACAGTGCCATCCTTGTACGTATGGGCCTTTTCGTGAGAATTAAGAGGACAGGTGGGGTAGGTAGGGCTAATGGTATCGAAAAGGAACGACGCAAACACGCATCGGCTGTACTTCGACAGGTTATGTGGTGCAGTCCAGAACTGCTGGATTTCTCGATGGATGGACGGCTATGCGGATGATAGGTGATTGTTGATGGAGGAGGAGTGAGGCATGTAGTGATGATGGGGGTGCACTAGTTTGCTTACCAAATATTCTAAAGCAGGCACGCCAAATATAGAACTTAAGTGATGGGCCGAAACAACTTCACTAGCCGCAGCATGTTATTGATGAATGGAGATTAGTCGGCCATGAACACGGTTTGCGCTTTGAATACGATCATTTACAATATATTTATTTTAAAAATTTAAGATAATCAATGGCCCGTTTGGCTTAGTGGTACAGCGTCTCACTCGTATACTTCTACGTTATGAGAAGATCCTCGGTTCGATTCCGAGAATGGGCACGTTTTTTAGTTCAGTACAGACCATAAATAATCCTTTTTGGCCCTGTGGTAATCGAGGTCATCGTAAGTTTTTACGTTTTTCTGTTTTTGCGAATCACAAATCGTAGCTGCGGTAGTGCGAACGGCCAACTGGGAGACAAACTGCCTTTGCATCGGCAAGACCTTGTTGACACCTGCACAAAACCATCAGCCGCACACGAGCGACACATCTGGTGTCTGGCATGATAACAAACAGCAGTCTTTGACATTATGCATGCGCTTAGCATGTATCTATGAAATACTGCGCCGAGTAAGGCTATGCACAGTTCGAGAGAAACAATGCATGAATTCGAGAGTCAACAACATGCGCCTGACAGAGAAAGGACCAAGAGAGTCCAGCATCATCATCTTCAGTAACCCCAGTCTCCATCATCCAGCAAGCTCTGGCTGGCAACGAAGCTGAAGCCACCGAAAGGGTTGCTCTGCGCCTCACTCAAGAAGTTCTTGGTCAACACCGGGCTGAGCGGCAAGCCTGTGAACTCCTGGTTGAAATTCTCAGCCAGCTCAGGGTCAGTGATGAGAGGCTGAATCGGCGGCTCCAACTCGCGTGCTTGGAGCTGCTTCCAATTGATCTTGCGGAAGAAGCGGTGGTTCTTGATTGTTTGCATGTCCTTGGTCATGTTGTACCCAAGACGCTTCTTAGGGTCCTTGCGCAGGAGACGAGTAAGTAAATCCTTTGCATCGGCACTGAGATAGAACGGCAAGGCTAACTTTTGCTTGAGAATCTTCTCCTGGATCTTGGCGTTGTTGTTGCCGGTGAAGGGAGGTGACCCGGTAAGCAAGTCGAAACCAAGAGCACCCAGAGACCACCAGTCCACCGCAGCGCCGTACTCCTTGCCTTCGATAACTTCAGGAGCCATGTACTCAGGGGTACCAAGAATAGATCGACAAGGGCTCTCATCATCAAGTGTCACCTTGCTCAGGCCAAAGTCGGTGAGAAGGAGATGTCCTTCATGGTCGAGAAGACAATTTTCGGGCTTCAGATCGCGATAAATGACGCCAACCGTGCGGTGAAGGTGGTCAAGAGCAAGCACCATCTCAGCCATGTAGAATGCTGCTACGTCCTCAGAAAACATACGTTCGGCCTCTAGATGGTGGAACAGCTCGCCACCCTGCGCGTATTCAAGGATAAGGTAGAGCTTCTCGTGGTCCTGAAAGGCGTAGTAGAAATTGACGATGAATGGGTGCCTGTTGACGCTCTCTAGGATGTTGCGCTCGGTCTTGGTCTGCTCGATCAACTTTTTATGCACGGTGATAGAGGCCTTCTTGAAAGTCTTCTGGGCAAACAGGCGGCCAGTGCTGAGCTGTCGGACGAGTAGAACAGTACCATAACTGCCTTTGCCAAGGCACTTGATGGGCTCGAAGTCGTCGGCGCTTATCTTGCGCATGACGTTATTGCCGAGCATGGTAGAGGTCTTCGACAACGTATCGACGCTGAAGTCTTCGTCCAAATTGACCTCGTAGCTCTCCATCTCTGTGCGATCGCTGTCGCTGGTGCTATCAAGCCCAGAAATACTAGTGTTGCTTGACATGCCAGAGAAGACCTGCTTTGCGGGCGGGCATTTCAACGGTGAGTCCGTTCGAGAGCCAATGTTCAGAGCCTCGAGCTGAGCCTTGAGGCTACTGATGCCTCCCATAGAAGAAATCGGCCTGAGCGCAGGGCTACTGGTAACACTGGGCAAACCAGAGACAGCGGGCCCAAAGCGCGGCGTAGCAGCAGCAGAGAAGTCCGATTCTTCTCCACCAGACGTGACAGGGGTGTGAAAGCCACGAGCAATGTTGGCAGCCGGCGCAATGCCGTCCAAGGCCTTCTTTTTCTTCTTCTTGTTCTTCTGCGCATTCTTCATGACCGAGTTGAAGTCCAGCTTGTCTGGACCTTGCTGCTTGGCTTTCAGATTGGGCTGCATCGTGCGCTTGGGCAGTGGGGACGCGATCGTGATAGGTGGGGTACCCACATGGAGAGGCACATGTGACAAGTCCATATCCATTTTGTCTGCTGCGAAGACATCGTCCGCGTTGATCGTAGGCTCTGCGCCCTGCTGCGCATCCTTCTTCGCGGCTTGCGCATCGTCATCGTCGAAGGAGAAGATCGCCATGTGTGCAGTGGTTCGCTGATAATAGAGCGCTTGCTCTGGTAGATTATGTCGCACGTTGACTCTAGGCAGTCTGCATCAGCGTGCGCAAACCCGAAGCTCTCAGTGTATCGCGCACAACCAACTCAGTACTGGACTAAGCCAATATTACCGTCCACCTCTCACGGTGGACCCTCCTCCCCTAGACAGCGGCGAATCAGCGCGGCGAAAGAGGCGTCGGTCTTGTTCAGTCCGCTGGTCGAGGCAATATATGGAAATACGGGGCCAGTCAGGGTGAGCTGGGCGATAGAGAGAGAAACGGTCGTGTCGGGAGAAGCAGAGCTCATAGATGATGGTTCTGAAGATAGCTGAATGTCGATAATGTGCGCCAGGTGTCTTTCCTGGCCGTTGATATTCGTTTGTGTGTTGTGAAAGTCGCGTTTGAGGAAGGTAAGGGAAAAAGGACAGCGTGATCAGCAGGAAGAGGGACCTCAGAATTCCGGCTGCTAGCGTGCCAAGCCTACATTTTCATGTGAATAAGCTTAACCCTGAGCGGCTGGCTTGTCTCCCCCCAGACTTCATCTCCACAGAAACAAGTCCATGCGCATTCATGCCTTGCTTCCACAATGCCTTGGAATCTGCTTTTTGTATTGCTGTATCGAGATCATGCAGGTTGGCAAATGCGATCGCAGCTAGAGGGCGTATTAGAGTTGTCTTTGAGCTTTGGGCACGGTCTCACACATGACGCATCGATTGGATCACAATAACCAGATCAGGAGCTCAGTCTCGGAAAGTCCTTTCAGCTGTCGTGTATTCGCACAAGCCTGGAACACCGCAGTAATCTATTTTCTCATATCCCCTTCCGCTCAAGGTTGGCCAACACGGAGGTCCCTGTTTCTCAACTTCCGTCGCAAGCATCTCATAGCTTGTAGGCCAAACAACATGTGGCTGACAGAGCGGAGTTTTCAAGAAAGTCAAGACGCTGTCGAACTGTACACTTTCTATTGTTCGAAATCTATTTAGAACACGCTCATGCATCGACAGATGGCACATGCAGGGTCGTGCAAGGAGTACAAGGCAGAGCCGCGTCGTCACGAAAGGGTCCAATGACTGAGAAGAGGATTGTCGCTCATTGAGTCAGCCTCTGAGTCAACTCGCAACAACGAAGGACTTTAATCCTAGCAAGAGCAACTGTAGAGCCGGCTCAAAGATCTTGCATTGCATAATGTTTCATGGAGTGGAAGGTTGGCGGTCTTGGTGAGGGCCGGGCCGCTAGTGTTGCACGGAAGACCTGATTCGTCTAAGTCTGTTTGCCTAACATCGGGCAAAACTCCGCCCCCTCAGTCCAAACTCAGACACGAGGACGACGCAGGGACAGGATCCTCGACTTATCAAGAATCCTAGATATTTTCAATTATTAACGATATATATTTAACAATTAAATCGTTTCTTCATAAGCCAATCCAACAAAGTTGGAATCTCTTGGTTCTTCCAAGCCCTCTTGGCTTAGTGGTAAAGCGTATCACTAGTATTACCTCGGTATGCAATGATAAGATCGCTAGTTCGATTCTGGCAGAGGGCATCTTTTTGGCATCTGTTACTTTCTCATAAAGGAACCTTTGACGTCGGAATATGCTTTTTGTGAAACTACTCAAACGGAGACCGCTACTGCTGTAATCTCTTATTGACCAACTTATGGTTTGAGGATCAACGAAGCCAACTTCAATGGAAAATCTAGTTCAATGCGGAATAATATCACTGTAGTTTCATGCGTTCTATTGATTCTCGCGTTTTGCATGACAGTTCCAGACATGTGGCGGCCCTCTTCAACGATCACGACAAGCAGCACAAAATGTAATCAACAGTTGGAAAGGTATAGACATTCCAAGAGCCCTATATACTCATCATGCTACATCGCTTGCTTTGTACAAGTACGTCAACGCTTGACGCTGCTTCAACTTTTTACAACCCAAAAACAACTTGCAGATGAACCGCTTAAGTGCAGGTACCGAAACCAGTCTGGCAACCGGTGCCGCAGTGGCCAGAGGTGGAACCGCACCAGTTGTACTGGGAGCAGCAGTTGCCAAAGGTGGAGCCAAGGCAAGTCTGCTTGCCGGTGCCAGCGCAGGTACCGTCGGTAGAGACCTTAGAGGTGGCGGTAGCGGCGGCAGATGTCTTAACGGTGGAAGTAGCAGGCTTCACGGTGCTGGTGGCAGCCTTGGTGGAGGAAGAGACAACGCCGTTGCCACCGCAGTTACCGAACCCAGACTGGCAACCAGTTCCGCAGTGGTCGGTCTGTTTAGTTGTTAGTCATGATTTGTTTTAGATTGCGTGTTGGGAAAACTTACGGTGGAACCGCAGTAGTTGTACTGAGAGCAACAGTTACCGAAGGTGGAGCCAAGGCAAGTGGTTCCAGCAGCCGAACCGCAAGTTCCCTCGGTAGAAACCTTGTTTGTCCCGGTAGAAGAAGCAGCAGATGAGGTCTTGGTGCCAGTAGCGGACTAATAATAATGTTAGATAAGTTTTCACAAAAAAACCAGTAAGCCAGAGCGATCCACGAAATAACAACAGCGGGTAAGGAGGGGAAACCATATCTTGGTAGAAATGGTCTTGTCGTTTTGTCGACTTTTCGGGTTCAGACGATGCCGCGCCTGATGGACGGGGCTCTTGAGCTTGACGTTCGATCGTGTCAAGCCCAGGCCATCGGTCTCAGTGGGATCACTTTTTCAAATCATCAGTTTCCTTCAAGGTTGCGCTTAATGACAATACTGAACGTAATGACACAAAGGAGACCTTGAGGACGACTCTCAAGAAGGCTTGAATGAAACTCGAGGACAGCTCTCGAGAAGGCTATGCATCGCAAAATCATAAGCTTACCTGGGTGGTGGTGGATCCAGCGCCGTCAGCAGTGCGGTACCAGTTAGCGACAGGGTCACCAAGGCACTCGCCAACGGTGACTGCCTTGTATCCAAGACCAGTGAGGGTAGACAGCATGTAGTCAGTGAGGTTGTAGACGGTCTGGTAGTGGATATCGTGGCCGATGCTCAACCACTCAGAGCTGGCGGCAGAGGCGCCATTCTGGGTAATATTGCCCTTGAAGTAGTTCTTGGAGTTCTGGATCTTGTTGACGTCGTCCTGGTTGTAGTCATCGGTGTCAACGTCGAAGTAGGTGACGTGGTAACCAAGATCGGCCATGTCCTGCTCGCAACCAGACTCAGCCGTGCAGCTGGAGTAAGGAGGGCGCATGTAGGTGGGGATTTTGCCAACGATGTTGCGAAGAGCCATCTCATTCTTCCACATCTGCTGCTTGCGGTCGATGGAAGAGACAGCGCTCAGGTCCAAGTGGGTCCAGGTGTGGGATGCGATCTGGTGGCCCTCGGTGTCCATGCGCTTAATGACACTGACAAACTCAGCAGTAGTATCGATTTCGCCCTTGTTGATGTTGTTGCCACTGATGAAGAAAGTGGCCTTGGCGTTGTATGTCTTGAAGACATCGAGAACGTGAGTAGTGTAATCCTTCTGTGGACCATCGTCGTAGGTCAGAGCAACTGTGCCGGGGGTAACGCAGTTGTAGATACCAGCGCCACCATAGGCAACGGAGCCAACCTTGGTACGGGCAATAGTCGAGGTGTTGGTGCCAGAGGGGGTGATGTTCTCAGGGCAACCAGGACCGTATTTGTAGTCGCAACCAGGAGAGTAGCAGTAGTCGTCTTCGGTACCGCAGTCTGTATCTCGTCAGTGTCATGAATCCTATGGTTTCATAGTAGGCAGCCATACATCCAGCGCCAGAGCAGCACTGTCCCGCGGCACAAGAGCCAATACCAGCACCGCACTGGCGGTCGTCCTGGCGGGCGTTCAGGCGGTTCTCATGGGCATGAACGGTCTGAACCTCAGCGATGCGAGCCTCGAGGTTGGCAAGCAGGTCACGGGACTTCAGGTCGCGCATGTTGATACCAGCGATCTTGGGCAGTCCCATACCGCCATGGGCGCTGACGAATGGGGCGACAGCCGCAACAGCGGCGAGTGTGGAGAAGTGCATGTTGTTAAAAGGTTCGTGTTCGTATTACGGGATTACTAGAGGTAGTTTGTGTGGAGGGTTCAAGGAAGCGAATGACAAGTGTGAGCCAATGAAGACTTCACGACTGAATGGTCTTGAGAGGGGTAACGAGAGGCGAACCGCGAATACAGCGGACGGAATTAAGGCTTCGAAAGAGGTGAAGAATAGAGGCACACAAGACGAAAGGGACTCTCTGTTTATGAAGGGACGTAAGATCGACCGCCAGCGAGATACCCCTGCACGAAAGTTGCTAAACTTGACGATGGCGCATCGAAGCCTGTCTCGCCAAGTGCCGGTTCAACCTAAGAGAGTTCAAGCCTTGTGTCGTGGACACCCCTGAAGCCTCACACGCTATCAGCTCCCGCCCCGTAGCTCCGGATTCGCTTCGGCACCACCGGGGCTGTGGTTGGCTGAAAACGTGGATAGCGGCATGGTCAGCCTTCACTGCAGGAGCATGGATTCGACTGTAAACCCCACCGAGAGGATACTCAAGGGACATGATGTTGAAATTGAATATCGTATCCGACGGGACCTGAGGCATTGCACTGTTCTGTGCTCGCCTGGACTCAAGTCTTCCCGGTCATCGTGGGACAGATCGTCGAAGTGCTTTTGGGGATCTATGGAAACAACAGTGGCTTCGAAGGCTGACGACAACCTCTGCCGTTTGGGGAACTTTCTCAGCCCTAACCCGCTGTCGCTATTGGGAGATGCATTTCGATTCCGCGCAGTCTGCCTGCGTCTGCCATGGCTTGCTCCTGGCCTGCTTCTGTTATGGACGCCTGGCGCATGGCAGATGGAACAACGACGTGGGGATTACATGCTGCTAGTCTTCAAATTTGATGCTGGTGGCTCAACACGACAGTTGGCGTACACATTGGCAACCGCTGCCGAGCACACCAGAGAAGGCTGCACCCTCGTTAGGACAAGCTTGTTGAAAGTAAGGAGAGGAAAGACCCACCTGCTCTTCTTCGATGCCATCATCCGCACGCATCTAACTTTAGGTCGTTCGAATCTTGTGGTTTCAGGGGGCGTTCCGCGCATGAAGTCTCTTCCAGCATCCCTAAAGCAGCACCGACCCCACGGCAATCTCGACTAAAGCATCCTTGAACCTGGATTGTTTAGGAGCTAGGCCAACAAAGATGGATCCCGCTGCTGAATCACCAAAGGCGCACTTCTGTTCGGGATATTGGCGTTCTTCCCATGTCATGAAAACACTCAAGGAGCCAACCACATGTGCCGAGAAGCGAAGCTCATTTCTTCTGCCGGCATGCAACTCACGTCACTGTCTCAAGTTATCGATACACATGGGCACCGATTGCAGACCTATTCTCCGAAAGCCGCAGGCAAACATCGTAAGGCAGCAGGATCAATACTTTGTTTTGCAGCGTGCATAGGTGGTGGTGCACGGGAAATTCTCGTACCCCCCTCCCTTTTGCCATGCAGCGTGCAGCTAACCAATTAGTGCCAGCTCTTCCAACCTCCCCTCCACAATTATCCTTGGTGGAGAACAGAGACCGCGGGTCGGGGATACTGCGCAAAATAAAATCCGAGATCGCTTTTGTGTCGCTTTCGAGACGAGAGCGAAATCGAATTGAGGTGTTCTCTGGCCTTCCCGCGATCATCAGCCCTACTACACAAGAACCCTGCCAACATCATGATGCGCAAATTGGCAATGCTTAGGTTGCAAATCGGCTCTATTTACCGTTATCCGCCGTCCAAGCTGAGACTTACCATGACGGCCCAACAGAGGTTCGTGGATCCAACATGACTCTGTTCCACTCGACCACGTTCTCTGAAGCAACCGCTGCGATGGGAAAACAATCGCGGTATTCCCGAAACCGATATTCCGAACGTTAGGTCGTTGCACGCCTTGCTGTGTCCCGCTTGCCCCTGTGCTGTACACCGGTGGATGACTTGCACAACTCTATCAGCGTGGCACGATGGAAACGGTCGTGCGAGGATACGTCAGCTTCGTGTTGCACTGCAGCCCGGTCGGAATAGCTCGTTGTTAGAGTATTGGCATCACGACAAGCGTGATGTACCATTCTATCGTGTCTCTGTCGACCTTCTCGAAGAGGCGGAGAACATACACAAAAGGCACGCACTTCCAGCACGAAGATGCATCTATTCAAACGCTAGCAACTTGCAGTTGATGTCTTGCGCTGATCGATATCTTGCACTCTCCAGAATATCAAATTTCGTATCTCCGCATCCCGCGACCTCGTATTTGACATACAACACGCATCTACACCCAATCGACCTCCTCTTGGCCCCAGAATTTACTACCGATCACCATCATCCTCTGTCAGGCAACGGACGAACCGCAGCGCCCGCTGTAATTTTACTTCGCTTCGCCACTGGCATTCGTTCTGGGCATCTCTAGGCAAGCCTCCACCGACAACGCATCGCACGTTGTCAAGGATGTCAGCACAACAATCCAATGTGGCATTTGGTACAAGTCTCTCCACTCCAGGGCTGACAACAAATCTCACATGACAAAACCTCATACGAGGCGGGGCTGAAGCAGTGTAACTTCGCTTGACCACAAACCCATGAACGAGGCTCACCACCACGCTTCCTCGGAAGCACAGCACGCCGCCAGGCAGATCGGTCGCACCAACGGCAAGTCGTGCTGTGTCCTTGCATCCACTCTCACGTCACGAAAATCATACTTGCAGCAGAGTTTTCGGCCAAGCGGTGCTGCATGATGAGGCCAAGGCCTGCATTGCCACTCCTCAACTCTCTCTAATGTTTCGTAAACAGTAGGTAAAGCGAAACATGTCATCGTCTCACACTTGGAAAAAGGCTTTGGATGATTGTAAGTTCAGATATCGTCACCGGTGAGGTATGCGTGCGATCAAGCATCTCCAAGCCCTGCTCCAAGACTCGGGGGATGGGTTCAACGGCCAAGACGTGGGGTGGCGTGCAGTAGCGTGGATCTTTCAGAGTGCATGAGGCTTGCTGACATGCATACCAATACTTACCCCTGCGGGCTTCTGGGTTTGTGTGTCTATCGCAATTTTGAGTGTTCGACGTGAGTGTTTGCGCGGTGAAGAGGGGAGCTGCAGATGGAGTGTTGATGTGTTCCGCGGATGTGCTTGTGCTCCACTTGACTCGATGTTGCGCTCTCTTAACACATTCTCGATGGGCAACGAGCGCGTAGACATTTCGTAGTGATACCGCTTGTACAACTAAAAGTTCGAAAACAATGGAATTTTTCTTGCGACAGTCCGTCTATCCCGCAAGTCCCTCCTCATGACCACACTCGTCTTTGTGTACAGTGAAATCACCACCCATCACCTCCCAGTAACCACTTTATTCCTCCCCGCCAATTCACCGCAATTGCCAAAGCCGCAATATCATTATTCACCGGTACATGCCTCGACTTGTCGAACGGAAACACCACGCTCTTGTCCCTAATCCCTAACGCATCCACATACAGCACATTCGGGAAGTTATAGGCGTAAACGCATTCCACGCCTTCTCCACCAGATCATCGGACACCGCTGCGTTCGGGTTCAGGATCGCTCGGTCGAGATTCAGGACGTCCTCGCGTTGTTGGGTGGGTGTCCAGGATAGGATGTGGATTTTGTCTTTTAGGCATGCAGGATCTGAAGCGATGTTGCGCTCGTCTTTAAGCCTCTTGACTTGGTCGTCTTTCATGGAGGTTAGGTCGTTGCTGTTGCTGTAGGAGTCGTAGAAGGGGAAGTTGTTGCTGGCGAAGAAGCCTTGTTTTGCGTAGTCACCGAGTTTAATTCCTGACGGGAATTGGGCGACTACGAAAACGGATACGCGGTCGGTGAGAAAGTCGCCAAGAACTTTGGCGGAGAAGCCGGTATCTCCTGAATAGTCGACTGTGTAGCGGTTGTTGATACCTTTAAGCTTTTCGAAAAGCGAGTTGCACTGACCCTGGTTCAAGCCCTTGTAATCGTTGTCTGTGTCGAGGGTGTGGCTGAGGTTGATGACTAGTTCCTGGAACTTACCGGTGAAGTCGTTGACATGTTTGATGATGTCGTCCACCGACTGTCCATTACCACCAACCCGAACATCGTCTTCTCCCACCTTCAACTCGCTATAGTGCCCAGCCACCTACTTGCCATTCGAGAGGACTGGTCGAAGATCAAAGTAGCGAGACCCAGCCATAAGCTGGCCTTTAAAGTCCAAATTCTGAGTCTGAGTGTTGGCGAAATGCGCTCCAACGGTCCCAGGGCTGAATGTTCCCATAACAGCGTCATGGCTACCTGGCATGCAGATATGCTTGAGAGTTCTGTTCGCCAATGACCCCATACTTTGCTACATCCAGTCAACATACGTACCGCTGTTCGACCACCACTGCCCGGCTTCGTATGTCGCCATGATGCAGTAAATAGCTGCATCATGACGGAAGCCCAAATCAACCTTTGAGCCTTTGGGACTCTGCCTCGTCGCCATGTCGGTTGATGAGATGGTGGGCTCATAATCCTTGGGCTTCTTTCCGAGTATCGAAAATTTGTCCGGGGCTCCAGCAATGTCGTAGTATGCTTCACAGGCATCGTCCTCTACAAACCACTTTATTCCAAATTCTACGTAGACCCTAGCCACCTTCCCTGCCTGGTGTTAGTACCGCAGTGCGCAAGAGTGTTTGTCGAATCATTTGTTCGTACCCGCAGCAACATTCGGCCATTTCCATGTATCCATCTGGTACGAGGATTGACTGCTTAACGTCCATTCAAAAGGCAAGCCATTTACTAATGCCAGAGCACCTCCATAGCCCATGATACCGTTTCTGAATCGTTCTGACCGCTGGAGGTATACATGATGTTGTTCTCCTTCAAGACATACTGGGTACCATGCTCTTTAAACTCAGTACCGCCAATATAAAGGCCTACCCCTCCCCTAATGAGGAACAGGCCGCCACAAGACCTTCCCTTCTAGTGGCCCCATGATGACCAAGCATCTAGTTTGGCTCGTTTCGTGCTTAAGACTGATTGCTATTCTCTGGCTATCCATCAACGATAGTCCGATCACGGTTGTTCCCACTGTAAATTGAAGCGCGCCGCTGTCAACCGGCCAATTGTGATATGGCTCAGGTTGCCTGCCAAGCGCATTTCATATTCAAGGCGAAAAGGTGGTGTTGACCGTTCTGGTGATTCGCGCACTTGCTCCGTCGGTGTGGTGGTGAACCGAATTCGCCAAGACATTGAAAGCCTAAAGTATTATCGAGGGCGCCAAAGCTGTAGATGACTGGTGCTGCACAGGCTGTGTAGTTTTAGGAAGTCGGTATTGAGATCAGAAGAGAGTAGATGGATGGACAGATGAGGTGCTGCACATCAAGGTGCAACTAGCGCTGAATCTAGCCGGTCGGCAACTGTCACCGAGGCACAGCCTCCCACGTACAGGAGAAAATATGTTTGAGGAGGCGAAATAGAAATGTATTGAATGCTCGCTATCTTAAGGGCAGAGATGTAGGCTTCTGGTGTAATGCTATGACAGCGCTGAGTAGTGCGCTCAAGGAACCTGTCGCATGGCTCTGGCCGCTTTCTTCGAACATCTGCTGCAGCTGCTCGGGTTTGACCACAACCGCATCACTCTCCTCGCTGTTAAGAACATCATCGATAGCTGATAATACCAGAATGTCATCGTCTTCGACGTCCATGACGTCTTCTGCCTGGGTATATGAAGTTTGCTGAGGCATCTCCTCTGGGGGAGGTGTTGGCAGCTGTACCGTGCCACTGGTGGGAGTAATGACACGAATGTTCGCTGCTGAGTCAAGGGTAACGTACCCTCTCTCGCTATGTCGAGATGCAAAAGCGAGGTTGATGGTAGAGTTCTTGGTTGACCAAAGAGCTCCTGCTTGCTGAGGCTTGAAGACTTGAATAGTAGACGAAGCCCTCTGGAAGCGCGCGTTACTGTTCTCGAAGCGTGGTATCGATACAGCAAACGTGCTGTCGGTCTCATTAGTAGCAAGCTTGACGAGAGGAATGCGGTCGAAGCGATCGATGCCAGGAGTGTTGATAGGTACACAGTACACCAGCTGATCCCGGACCATATCCCAGACTGTGATGGAGTCTCCGACAACGATGAGGTGGCGGTCAAGGATTGCGAGACCACTAAGTGCAACAACATCGACCTCGGTCAAGGATCGCTGAATGGCGGTAGTGTTCGCGTCGATCAGATGAACAACTCCAGGGTCTTCATCTGAAGCCCAGGAAATAGCGGCGGCCATAACCGAGCCATCTGCGGAGAATGCCAAACGCGAATTTCGAAGTGGGAGAGCCTGCTGGGCATTCGCACCCGCGTCGAGGACATCAAGCTTGTCGCTGATCTCGACTGAGCAGTCGAGCGACCAAGTAACAAGACCTTGCTTTTCAGCTCCGCGTACGACCAAACCATCTCTAAGCCTTGTCTTTGGTCTCCACACTCGGACAAAATGGTCCTCTCCGACTGTAGCAAATCCTGGGGCGGTAGGATCGGCGATCAAGTCAAACACCTTTCCGTTTGCAGAGATGTCCTGGAAGAAGTGCGGTGCGTCCAATCGAGTCTCAAGCTTCCACTGCCCACTCTGTACATCTCTTCGCCAAATCTTCAGGTACACTTCACGGCGATGGGTGCGCTCCTCTTCCCTAAACTCGGGAATGCCCTCGTCAAGGTAGGATATGTCGGCTTGAGGCGGCGTCCATTCGTCTACTGTAGCAAGCCACTCGCCATCGTGGCTGACTTGCGCTAGGGTAACTGTGGGTTCGAGAATTCGTCGGCCTTCTGGGGTCAAATTTGGGTCGGTTGCGTTGTTTCGAGTCAAAGCTTGCTTCGAGGTGGTGTGTTGATTGGCGAGGTCGTACGTCTGCAGGTAAGGCTCAGGACGAAGCCCTTCGCTTCGGTGGCGCGGCTGCGACGAAGGCACAGAGAACATCACCTCTGCTGGATTCATCGGGTTGATGGTCAAGGGCACCGGCTGGAAGATCTCGTAGGAGGCGGGCGGTGATTCTGCGTCCGCGTTCTTTGGCAGCTGTTCGATCTCGATTCGGCGTGACTGAATGCCAACAATGTTGGTTTTAGCCTCGAGCTCGGTAGTCGAGAGGACGATGACAGAATTGTTTGCCAATGTAACGCCGTACGAGGAGCCTGAAGGGGAGACTACAATGCTCTCGATCGCGGCTGTAAGATGCGGTAGGTGCTGCGGCTTCCCGGTTGCGAGCTGCCAGATTGTGATGACGGTCTCATCGCCTCCAGAGATGACATAGTTACCTGTATATGTTAGCCAGTGACCCCGCGCCTTTGCCTGTATTACTTACCATCCAACGACCATTTGACCGATCCTACAGCGTCCCTGTGCCAATGCAACTTCTTCGGCCTCAGACTCTCAGCGCTGTCTGCTTTCGTCTTCCCTGCCTTCTGGGTGCTCTCAATGGCGGCGAAAGTTGCCAAGATATCCTCGAACAAGAGTATCACACCAGATACATCACCAATCGCAATATCGATGATGTCCCTCTGATCCTGGGCAGGCTTCGCGGCTTTTCCTGATACCTCAACTGGGTCGCGGACATAAGCGTTGAATGTCGTAACGCGCTGAGCGAACTTGAGCTCGCGCCAGACGTACTCGAAGTCCTGTACAGCGGTCTTGCTCTGCTTCTGGCGCTTGCCCACCATCAGCGAGTCGCCACAAGCCACAACGACGAATTTCCCCTGCAGCAACACCTGAATGTCCAGGATCGTCGAGCTCGTCTTCAGAATGGGCTTGAGTTCGGTGGTCGAGGCTTGGGCTCCTGTTCGCAGTGCATGTACGTTGACGATGTGGCTCTTGCCCGGTTCGTGGCAGTAGACGAGATCTTCGCCAGAGTGCGTAACGACTGTCATGTTCCGTACAGTCGCACCGATGTCCCAGCGACCAATTTTTTGCCTAGATACCCAGTCCCACAATGTGATCAACCCAGTAGACTCGGCGACGTAGACTCGGTTCGAGTCGGTGGCAGACAAAGCATATGCTGTGACCTCTCCAGAACCGCTCACGGGGAGCTTGTATGCCAGAAGAGACGAGTCGGCGGCGTAGATCTCGAGCGCTTTCTGGGTAGCAAGGATGATGAACTTCTCATCGACCGAGAAGACAGGATCGCGGGGCAAGAACCAGCCACCTTGAGCAGATGAGACGCTCCAGTTCCCTGAACCCTTGGACTTCTGCTTCTTCGCTTTCGTCTTTGATGCAACTTCGCCGCTTGTGCCGTTCGTTTTCGAGGGTTTCGGTGTCGCATTGGGGGCGTCCTTCGACTTTGGTGTTGCTTTGGGAGTCTGCTTAGGCTTCGGTATCGATTTGGCTACTGGTGTAGCAACCACTTCCACATCCTGTCCCGCGCCTGCCTCAGTCTTCTTTTGCGTCTTTGCCTTCTTCCTCTGCGCCTCCGCGCCTTCCCTCTTCCTCTTTAGCTGTAGAGTGCTGTCCGCCATTTCAAATCAGCTCTCGAGAAATCCTCGAGAAAGTTGTCGCCTAACGAATGTATATCACAGCTGGCGCAAGCTCGGTATCCAAAAGTTCGAAACTTTTTGACCCAGTTCGCGCTAGTCTTTCACCGCCTTCTTGGCGCGCCCGCAACTTTCTTTGACCAGCCAGCGACCATCACGAGCTGCGCGCAACAACGAAACCGGCGTCAACCCTCAAACCCTCAAACCCAGCAGAGTTTGATCGCAGAGCTCATAAAACCCCGCACAAATAACAACCGGCCGCCAAAATGATTGTCCCCATCCGTTGCTTCTCCTGCGGCAAGGTGCGACCAATATCTACGAGCCTGGAGGCGGCGCATACTGATCATAGAGCAGGTCACCGGTGACCTCTGGGAGCGCTACATGGTCATGTTGACCCAAGAGAACAAGCTCGAGGTGTACGACCGCCCTTCCTACCTCCTTTCGATACTACGCTCCACCCGCCGCGATATCTCACCAAATCCTACGTTTCCGCATACGCCCTGACCTTTGGACCCATGTTGCTAACATGTTTCACGCATAGTGATGCCCTCGACGAGCTCGGTCTCACGCGCTACTGCTGCCGCCGTATGATCCTCACCCACGTCGATCTGATCGAGAAACTCCTCAAGTACGTTCCCAGCGCCGACAAAGCCGCGACAGCGAAGCAAATGCGCGAAGCTGCGTGCCAACAAGATGCCATTGCATACCGGTCAGGGGCTAACGGTCGTCTCTAGGTACAACGCAAGCGAACGAGAACAGGCACGCGCCGCACGCCAGGGACGGTAAACGTCGCACGCGACCTCGAAATAGCGATACTGGAGTCTTTAAGCATTTACATGGCGTTCTTGGGAGGAAAACATTTTTGGACAAGCTTGGTTTTGGAAGTTGTCACATCAGAGGCTGAAGTCCTACGACCGTAATATGATCAGCCTCTTATGCGTTGCAACGACTATTCTACCCATGAAGCCGTGTATTTCCAAAAAACATGTGCATAGAAAGGCAAAGGTAGGGCCTTGGTTTGGAGCTAGTATTTGACATTCACGGGACTCAATACGATGGCAGGTGTGAACACGGCAGTTCCCTTTGCACGGTACCGTTTAGTGCTGAATGACGCTGACTCTTGCCCACACCTGCATCTCCCACTTGACTTGCCAGCAACAACTGGACTCCTGACAACCCCACAGGAACATCACCCACATTATTGTAGAGTGATCACGGAACGCCGATACGTTTGCGATGTCTACAATTGACAATTCACCAGAAGCTCACACTTCAGACGCCACCAAGCAAGCCACAAAGATCAAGCTGTGAGCTGCACTGTCTGCAACAAGCAATTTGCCAGAACCAACAGTCTACAAAGGCATGAGCGAACACACCAGACCTCTCAAAGATGACGCCTTTCCGAAGGGTCGCGCGCGTGCTACCCGTGCGCTGCTTCGAAGCTGAGATGTAATGACACACTACCATGCTCTCGATGCCTGTCTCGATATCTTGAGTGCATCTGCCCTGGAAAACCGAGGTTTCCCGCCAAAGCAGCACGATCGTCGCGCCGAACCTCTCCAATGACGATTACTGAGCGAGAACCAGCTGTCGAATCACTCGGTCTCCGAACCAACTTAGACGTGCCAGAACACCCAGAGGTCCACGATGTCAACCCTGATCCTTTCGGTGAACCCAGTTCCCCGTTGGCCAACGATGCATTGTGGATCTCGTCCGCTCACGAGCCGCCTAGAGGATCAAGCCTTACATGGAAGGCTTGGCGGCAGTCGGAAGAGATACTATGCCTTGGCTACGCAATATGGATGCTTCCATTAGCCGTGGGAAGTACAGCGTCATGTTCATCACGGTCTTTCGCGTTTCGAACGACCGCAGAGCGACAAGCAAACGCGGCTCCCGGCACCCTCGCACCTATTTGGCATCCATCGGTACCTCTCTTCAACAAATGGCGAAGCGCGGCGTGTGACTGCCTTGACATCCTCCACAGCTCCATTTCGTCACGCAACGCCGCTAAAAAAAAAAAAAAGAGTCACCTACGGTTCTGCACTGCCACGTCGCTCGTGTTGCTCTCCTGTCGCCACTTTACCATATCGTCAGACTTGCGAGCCACCTCGTATGCAATACCAGGGGTACGCCACTGCCCTCCAGCGTCAAGAATGTAAGCGAGGATCGGCGATTGATCCGATGGTCGACTTCGCAGGATGAGGTTTGCGGGGATTGATATGGCGTTTGAGCAGAAGGTGTCGGCGAGGGAGTTCAAGGGCATCAGGATGGATGCGTTGATAGTGAACTCGTATGCGAAAGGGGAGAACGCTGATGATGTGCAGGTGTGGGTTTGCAGGAAAGTTGCACGGCTGAGCTACTTACATATTGCAATCGAGGCTGGCGGCGTGGTGCTCGGGAAGCTGGAATCATAGGGCTCTCATTGTGCTTATTTGGGACATTCACCCTCACTCGCCCAATGCTTCTCCACCCAGCCAGTCATGATATCCGTAAAACTCTCTCCTTGCGCATAGACCTCCGTGTCATCGCTCGTGTACTTCTGCCCAATGTACTGCAGCGCCATGAGTATCCACTTCTGGATAAACCCGTTGTACATGAGATCCACAGTCTGCGGCTCCTCATCTTTGTTGTTCGAGTCGAAGCCAACTGCGGATTGTATGCAGTTTGGCACGTTGTAGAATGCGATTTTGGAGTGAACGGTGTCGTCACCGTCGATGCCGGCGTCGTCGTGGGTGGTGTAGCCAGGGATAAGTGCTGGTACCTCGGCAAGCATGGGACTCTGACCACCACCACCACCACCACCACCACTCTGGCTCTCAAACGATTGAGCGAATGACAGCAAGTCTGGTCGAAACCGTGCTGCGGTGACTTCAGGCGGCTGCAGAAAGGCATTTGCTTCCATCATCTCTAGCAGTATCGGCCCGCCATTGTTTAGAAGCTTGATGACCTGGCTAGCAGCCTTGTACGGCACGTCTTTGATGAGTCGCAGTGGGCTGGTGAAGGGCGAGACGAGGAACTTTGTGTCCTTGGTGAATGCGCCTTTGAAGACGTCGAAGCGGATAGCGCCGGTGTTTTGGATGACGAGTGCTTTGCCGCCACTCTTGATACGCTGCGATTCGGCGATGGAGTCAGGCAGAACTTCTTCTTCGATCCATGAGAGGATGCTCTCCTTGTGCGGGTATGGGCGTCTGCTGATCCAGAGATCGCGTGGAGCGCAGCCGTACTTCTTTGTTAGATCGAGGGAGTCTCTGGCGTCACCGATGGCTTTTGAGACATTGAGGCCATACTGGGTAGGGAAGGTCTTCTCGTCTTTGCCGCTGTGGTGGCGCAGTGAGAAGAGATTGTTGTCGATGTAGCGACGGGAGAAGGTGACTACCGGCTTCTGAGGTGTGGCTGCACTTTCGTCTTTGCCACCGGTGCTGAGCCCATCGATGGACATGAAGCCTAGCGTTTCCATGTATCGACCACTCTCGAGTGCGACGGACTTGTCATCGAAGATCTTGTAGTCTCTGATGTGTGAGTGTCCACCGAAGAACTGGATTGGCAGATCGTTGTGCGCCGCGCGGATGGTAGAGAACAAGATCGCGTACTCGGGAGAGCGGATATCAACGTGGCCAAAGACAACAATCAAGTCGAGGTCGTCGTCTTTCAATGCTTCCTTGAACCAGTCTTCATTGACGGTGTCTTCTACTCTTGTTACGACAGTATTGTTCGCATTGCCTGTGAAGTCGAAGATGAAGCCAAACGCTAAGACGCGAATCCCTTGGTTCTTCGTAGTGAACTTCTTGTAGCGCGGTGCGAGCGGCTCCAGGTACCCAGTCCTGGGGTCGTATATATCCAAGTTTGAGGCCAGGTAGCTTCCTTGGAAATCGCGCACTGTGTGGTAATACTCGCCTTCAGCAGTGTCTGCTTTGTAAAGCTCATGGTTGCCAGAGCTGATGAGATCGATGTGCTGCTCCTTTGCAATCTCGTATGTGAACTTCCCTCGAGGCTTCGACGAGTCATAGATGGCATTGCCCTCTACTCTATCACCTGTGTCGACAACCAAAAGATCGACGCCCTCTGCGTCAGCCTTGTCGCGCATGTGCTTGGCAAAGGAAACATAGTCGCCCCAGTCTGCTGAAAAAGAGGCTCTGCTGCACGTCAGACTCGCGTCGACTTACTCTTTAGAGGGGCATGGTTACTCTTGCAGATGGCCACCCCACCAGCCGTGTATGTCGGTGGTATGCAGGAAGTTGAGCTGTGCCCAGGGTAGCTCACGCAAAGGCGCTGCTATTGGCTGCTGAGCCTCTGGCTGCGCGCAGGACGCCGCTCTGAGCGACGCAAACAGGAACGCTGTGCTCTTGAACATGCTGAATGAACTATGTGCGACAAAAGGCTCAGGCACGATGGGACGAAGGACGCGGCGGATACTCGAGGCGCGTTCAGGTGACCATCGAGGTGCTGAAACGGTGCCTGGATGCTGCCTTCCGTGTGACCTAGCGCAGCCTCACAGAATACAATCAAGAAACCGCGGATCACAAACGCGGTTTAACAGTGAGCACGTGACAGACAAGTGAGAGGGCGAATGGTGAATGCGAGGGTTGAGGGTGAATGGTGAACCTAAGAGTCGAGAGTGACTGGTGAGCCTGGCGTTTGAGAGTGAATGGGCGTGCACGAGCTACCAACGTGACCCCTGTCGTATTAAGCATAGCGTTGATGTAACCAGCCTCCGAGCAGCAACCAACTCGCGACTTTTTTAGGCCCACAACACACACCACCAGCACTTCTTGAACACTGCCACCCAACCCGCGCACCACCCATCAAGTCTGAACTCGCAGACAATGGCTCGTGCTGCATTGTCCCGCGCTGCGAGCGCAAAGCCTGCTGGGACGAAAGAAAATAAAGAGAACAAGGTCAATGGCACTGCGGGCATGTGTTACATCATTCACAACAGCTATCGCATGTCTCGCTAACCCGTCGGCCAGGCACGCGCCCCAGTCGCGCAAAGACAACAGAGCCTGCCGCCGCTACAGACGGCACTGCTGTGAACGGCGCAGCGGAGGGAGCTTCCTCAAAGCGTAAACTGCGACGCGTCCCAACAAACGCATGCCGTGCTGACAAGCTCCCAGCTGCTGGACGCGCGCGCGCAAAGAAAACGGCGACACCCGCGCCCGCGCCTGCGCCTGCGAAGAAGATGGCCAAGCGCAAGAAGGACGAGGAGAGCGACGTGGAGGAGGAAGAGGCCGAGCCAGAGGCCAAGAAGGCAAAGGTCGACCGCCCCAGCGCTGCGCGCAAGCCGGCAAAGCCCCTGCAGGACCCATCAAAGCCTCTGCCTCGCGGCCCGCGACGGGTGCGCGGCAAGAAGACGGAGATCAACGCGATCCGCTACACAGAGCCGCTGAAGGTCTTCGTCTTCGGCGAGGGCAGCTCCGGCGAGCTCGGCTTCGGGGCGACCAAGAAGGCCATCGACGTCAAGCGCCCGCGCTACAACGAGGCACTGAGCAACCAGCACGTCGTGCGCGTCGCGGCAGGCGGCATGCACGTCGTTGCGCTGACCAAGGACAACAAGATCCTGACCTGGGGCGTCAACGACAACGGCGCCCTTGGTCGCGACACATCCAACGCTAACATCAAGCTGCGTGACATGGACGCTGACGAAGACTCGGACTCGGACGACGAGACTGGTGGCCTGAACGAGCTCGAGGCCACGCCGACCGCGGTTTCTGCCGAGTACTTCCCCGAGGACACTGTCTTCGTCGATGTTGCTGCGGGCGACAGCTGCACCTTCGCCCTCACCACCGAGGGCGCCATCTACGGCTGGGGCACGTTCCGCAAGAATGAGGGTATCCTCGGTTTCGAGAAGGGCAACCACACTGCGCGCTTCCCTGTATACATTGACGGTGTCACCAAGGTCACGCAGATAGCCTGCGGAACCAACCACGTCCTCGCCTTGGACAAGGACAAGCACGTCTTCGCTTGGGGTAACGGCCAACAGAACCAGCTCGGCCGTCGTGTCACAGAGCGAACCCTCATCGAGTCACTGCAACCGAACCGCGTCGGTTTCCACGACAGCACAGTCAAGCGCCCCAGCCAAAAGATCGCGCAAGTCGCATGCGGCGACTACCACGGCTTTGCTATCGCCGAGGACGGCCACGTCTGGTCATGGGGCGTGAACAACTACTGCGAGACAGGCTACCCGGAGAACGCCGGGGCCGACGATGCCAGCGTCCTCACTCCCCGCGTCGTCCACAGCCTCGAGGGCAAGCACGTTGCCTCCATCTCCGGCGGTTCGCATCACAACATCGCCATCACCAAGGATGGACAGGTGCTCATTTGGGGTCGCTGCGACGGCTCGCAGACCGGCATTCCTATGGAGACATTGGAGGCCGAGGACGATGAGGAGAAGGTGCTCAAGAACAACGGGAAACCCAAGATTCTGATCGAGCCTACGCCCATCCCCAACCTGAAGGACATCGTCACCGGCGCCTGCGGTCCGGAGCACACCATCGTCATCGACAAGGATGGCAAGGCCTACTCCTGGGGTTTCTCTGCAAACTACCAGACCGGTCAAGGCACTGACGAAGACGTCGATGAGCCTACACACATCGACAACACCGCCGTACGGGAGACGAAGCTCACATGGGCTGGCTGCGGTGGCCAGTACTCCATACTGGCGAGCAAGAAGGAGTAGCACATTTTATGAAAAGCGTTTTGTTTCAAACCAAATTGCACATTTCCATCTACATAGGATCTACGTTGTCACGCCCAAGGAGGCGTTCATTCGGCATATGAGGCGTTTGGGTGCATAGCGTGGGTTGTTGTCTCCATCTTGTCTTCTTGTATGAGACTCAAGTAGGCCTTGTGAGTGGTTTCGGCCATAGGACTTGGTTGATTTGTAATAGTAGAATCCTATACTGTTCCGTCTGCAACTCAATGACCCACCGCTTTCTTCGAACACAGTTGCGTTGACCTGTAAACCGATCGCAACACGACATTGTGTTCTTTCCAAGGTTCATCCATCAACTTCAAGGTTTCCTTGTTTCGTTTCTCGCCAATCGTACACGCGGCCTGCGAGTTCAGTCTTAACCCAGATCGAGTCAAGTGTGTCAGCTCGGAGGCATTCAAAGCGAACGCCACGGCGCTTGCTTCTACAAACACGTCACCGGAAAGCAGGAATGGGTTATCCAATCACGCTGAGATCTCGCTAAGGCTCGAAGGCATACCTGCGTGGCTTGGTATATGCCTCCATCTCGCTTGATCTATATATGCTTTCCGGCCCACGGCTTTGGACCTACTGGACACAAGCCTTAGTATCATTGCCTTTCAAACTTGACGCGTCATCTTCACTGCACACGAACATTCAGACCCCAGAATACCCCACCACAGCGCATTCCAAGCGCTCGTGTTGGGGTCCAATCGGTCAACTGCCTTTGATCTCGACATTGAGTTCAGACTCGTCATTCATCTTTCGGCGAACTCGTTTTCGCCATAACCCCTTCCTATTTCTCGTCCTCCAGATTGCGATTCTGCTTTCACGAGATTCGAGCTCTCCAACGATTCCCTTTTTGATTGTTCCCTTTTCTCACCCTCCAACGATTTCGTCTGGCCGCCTCTCGACAATTTCATCTTTCCCCTCATCAACAACATCCTCGATCCCCCACTTGACCACCTTTGTGATCCTTCTTTTCCCGATTTCCCCAGTCTTCCTGTTGACCTATTTCCGGTTCCCCTCGAAGACAGCAGCACCCAGAATTTCGAGCATATTCCCAGGCTTCCCACAGACAACAGTGGGATAGTCAGCGACACTACACCTGCCTGTGCGTCCAGCACAACTGATTCGAATCGCTCTTCTACTTATCTGTGTTATCACGGTGAATGTGGGAGAATGTTCTCTAGTCAAGGTCAACTAAAGTAGGAGACACACAAGTTGGGCATATAGTATGCAAATACTAACAAGCGCTTAGTGATCACGTTCACCGCAAACATGTGCGGCGATACAGCTGCGAACATCCAGGATGCGAAAGATCCTTCAACCTTCGCGCGGACCGAAACCGGCACAGTCGTACGCATTTGCCTCGAGCAGTTCGAAGAGTCCACCACTGTTCCCAACCCGACTGTGGCAAATCCTTCACTAGAAGAGAAAACATGGTCAGACACCTACAAAAGCATAATCGGTCAAGATCTGGCAGTGTGGTCACCACTTTCCCAGTTCCGGCACCTAGTGGTCCAGCGATCACCCACAGACATCCTAAATGACACGATGATCTCATTTGCTGGACTAGACCGACCTTTGAAAGAATTGCACGATACGTTTCCGCGGTACGCACACCACGCTTCCCATATCATGGGATTTCAAACCTGGGGTCTAACCACAACACCTTCACCACAAACTTTCTTCGCTATCAAGACAATCGAAGAATCACACCGGCTTTCATATTCGTTTGAGCTTAAACAGTTGAAAGGCCTAAAACAGTGTTGGACCCCTTCGCCGCCGGATTGGAAATGCGATCAGCTGCTCATGGATGAAACAGGCATGGCTCGTTACAATGTCCTTGTTTCTTTTTTCTTGTTTCCTTTTGTTAGTTTCAAACGGAGAGCACAAATATCAGTACTATTCGATCCTGGTTAACATTGGTGCCGGCCGGGTGGCGAAATGGGCTTTTGAGATGGTGATTTCGAGGTCGGAATGCTGTGAGTAGCAAGAACGTATCGAAGGTTTCTCCTACGAATTGAAGTAGTTTCTTCATAGGTGTCGGCAACTGAAACAGCTGTCCCAATTGTGGTGAATTCGTTGTTTAATCATAGGAAACATGTTGCTGCTTCGTGACTGTGTTCTAGAAGGTTGCTGCAGTTTCAATGCCTTTACGCCTCTTCGCATAATGTACGCGCACTGTCGGCATGAAACTGGACATACAAATGGTTCGTATTGTCTCAGACAAAGACCACGACACACTGCGTTACAACTGGACCTGTAGAAACCTAGTCCCGCTTGCAGTAAGTATGTGAGAGTTGTGAGCGGAACGATGCGCAGTTCAAAGATCGGTAGGACTAGATTGGCCCTCCGTCTATATTGAGGTAATCGGGGAGGCATACAACATCGTAGCCTTGTGTTCTTGTGACCCATGCATGCCACGTCGCCAACATGCAGGAGCGACTCGCATTCAACGCTACACCACGATGGGCAGTGTGCGTCAGAAAAGTACTGTGCAGCCTATGGTATGCCTTCTTGCCCTAGGTTCTACGTAACCCCTGCGGTCGTCGACACGACGTAGCCAGACCTCACACGGCATCATCATTTGTAACAGGTCTGATACTCTACAAGTCAGGCCAACAGCATCAACTCACTGTTCTATACTCACTGTATTTAGACGCTCGCCTATTGCTCGCTCATATAGCTATCTTGGAGGTCCTCTGCCTCTTTCAAACTGTAGGGTGTGCCGAACCTTCCCAGCCTCGCACGGATCGAGACCGTCACGTTGCGACACTTCAAATGCACCTCTCCTGGCTGCAATAAGTCCTACACGAGGAAAGACAACCTGCTGAAGCACCAGAAGGAGAAGAAGCACCGCGATTCTATCTCGCGTACCTGATTTCTGCCCGACTATTCCCCCTTTCCCCACTCGAGGCGGACAACAAACCGCAACAAATCAAAGAAAAAAAGAAAAAGGAATAAGGAAAAACAAAAATTGCAAGCTTGTTCTTCCTAATTCTCCAGCTGTCAATTTGACTAATTATATCCGACAAATTACTTGCTTGCGTTTGCTTACCTGTTTTACGTGCTTCATAGGTGCATTGCACAAGTAGCGGGTCCCCCTATTTCTGGTTAACAAACCTCGCCGTCAAACCAAGGTGGCCTGCCCAACGGGAGGTCGCACTTGAGAGGATCTGTATTTGAGCCCCTTTGGGGGTGTCCATCACTTTTGCATCTTACCTATAACGGAGAACTCCCGTTATTGTTTTCGCTGACTGGCGTATTGTGTTGCAGTAAATGCAATAAGTGAAGGTGTAACCGCGCAGGGCAGTAAGTCAGGGGTAACCGCGCGAAGCAGTAAAATCGGTAAATTCTGTTGTTCTGTGTTCTGTTCTCCGTTCTCCCTCACCGGGTCATTAGGGTCTGTTTACATGACGTATATCCCGTGCAGTCAAGAAAGTGCTGTTGGAACAGGCAAGAGCACTGCACCAGCACGTGGCAGACATGACCTCTTCACTCCATAAACCGTCACATATTGCCAGTTGATTCAAACGTCTACAATGAGTCAGCTTGCTGCTCTGTTCGCAATGAGCCAGCCCCGGAGGAAAACTCAGTGGCTTCCCGAGGACTATGAACAGGAGGCACCTGGTTGCACATGACAGAAGTTGGCCATGGTTCTTTGTAATTCGGGTGTTGTGACTGCTGGAAGCTTACGATGCAAGACTCCATCTTTCATTGCCATAGAGCTGCGGATTCAATCAAAGCATCTTTCGATCGATCTTTTGTCAGCATCTCACTGCAAGGTTTATGACGTCCAAACTTAATCACTTCCCATTACCCCAATGTCCCTCCCAATTTAGTAGCCAGTTATCTTCGGAAGTCATATTCATATGGAGGCATAACATGTCAGTGTCAGCCTGACACCTGATCAGGCTAGGCCGACAAATCGACGTGCATCTCTTGGCCTGTATGGGAGGCATACAATTCAGGTCTTGTTCAGATGATTGGTTGAACAACATTTCAGCCTGACATGATGCCTCGTCATCTGGTTATTTCTTGGACATCAGAACGTCTATAAAGCTCATGAACGAGCGTACTTTCTGCTACCAACGCTCACCTCACTTTGTTTACGCCCCTCCGCCCAATCAACTGGACTGCGTCCTTTCTGCCACGCTTTGACGCGCGGCGCAGATAGCGAGGGTTGCAACATACCCTCGCTCACTGTAGAAGGGTTGAGATGTTGATTGATTCTTTTAGCTATTAGCTGGAATCGATCGGGACTATATAGTAGAAGGCAATAGCAGTGAAGGGTGGGAAGCAAACTGAACTAACCAAATGAGCTGGACAGTCACTGCAGCGGACCGCTAGCAAACACAATCAGTGCAGTGGACCCGCTAGCAAACAGATGGCAATCGGTGGATACCTTCACCCCTCCGACACTCACCCACCTAAGCCCTTTAGGTGTTTAAAGCACAAATTGGGAAAAGCCAAAACCCAGCACAACATCATTTACACTCCCAAGAAGAACCATCGCATGCGCACAACCTCCGGGTCAGCCCAGCAATCAACGTCTTCAGCCCTTACTCCTTCAGACTCGACATCAACCCCGTCTCTCACCGGCCCTATCTTCCGGTATCTTCGCACAATGCAGGCACATTAGAGTCTTCTCCAGCTTGGACCGCTTCCGGTGTGTATGACTCTTCGCTGGTACACGATGACGAGCAGCTGCTCTTATCTCCCGGCTGGACAGACATTGAATCTCCCGCGCTTGTGGCAACGCCAGATACACCGTCTTCATCAAATTTTTCGTGTCAAGCATGCGCAGAATGCTTTCTACGCAAGTGTGATCTGAAGTGAGCATAGCCACTGTGAAGCTCTCAAACGCTGGAACTTCGGTTGACTTTACCTTCGTGGCACTCACATCCATCGCAAACACAAAAAGCGATTCGCTTGCGATACTTCTGGTTGCTCTCAAGCCTTCCACCTGAAGCTCGATCTGCAACGCCATCAGCGAACCCGTCAAGCTCTGTCAGTTCGCCGCATGATCGAGTGTTTAGAACCTGGTTGTGGCAACTCTTTCACACGGAGGGACAATCTGCTTAGGCACATGGAGAAACATAGCGTGTCACCTTAGTTGTTAGCGTTGTTTATAGAGGCGTTGCTCGGACATTGTTCTGGCGTTGCTCTGGCGTTGGGACTAGATTATGGTGATGGAGAAAGCAATCGAGTCCTTCATTCTTTTGGACACTTGTAGTCGTCGTCGTTGAACTGGGTAACAATTCTGAACTTTGAGCGTCGATGCAACGTTCGTACGCAGTCGTTACATTTAGAGCTCCAGCGTGCCAATCCTGCTTCCAGCATTGCCGCCAACACCCCATGGCCCCTCGTTGATCCTCCTCTTCACCATAGACAGGACGACGTCGCGTCCACCGTCCTCTTCCAGCTGACGCCCCAGCGCCCTCAGCACATCGAACTTCGCCATTGCAACTTGATACGCTGCATTCTCTGCATCGCCTCGTCCCCCGACGAGATTCGAGAATGATGTAGCAGGCTTTAACAGCGCTGGTAGCACGCCGCCACTGATGCTCGGATCGAGGAGGAGGTCGATACCGGACTTGGGAAAGTTGCCGAGCCGAGCGTATGTAGGGTCGTTCGCAGGGATGCCCGGTATGGCTTCGGACGACCAGGATGCAGTGATGAGAGCGCGCAGCAGAGTAAGAGCCGCGAGAGCATTCTCCTTCATTGCAACAGTCTCGGCATGGCTGATGATGTCCGAGAATGTGTTCGGCTTCTTGCTTACGAACAGTGCAGTTAAGAGGCGGGCATATGCGGATTCAATCTGTGTGCGCTTGGCGTCTGATCCTAGCGTCTCGACTTGTGGGAATGTGATTTCCTCCTGCGTGCTGTTAGTTACTATGTTCGAAATCAATTGAAATCGTATACCTTAGGCGGCCCGTGGAAGATCGTCGCCAGCGTCTTCAGTGCGTCTTGATTTGTTCTGGTGATCGGCATGTCGAGTATGACACAATCGTCCCAGGCAAGACTTGAGCCCCGCCGAGGTATCAGCGTTGATCGTGGCATAGATGCGATGATGTTCAGTGTCGAGGCTTCGCACTTTCGGATGTTGCGTTGTACATAATCCCGTATTGTTGGCATCTCTGGGCGCTTCTCGAAGTTCTCTGGATAGTTGAACGCATAGTCGCTAATATACTTCGCTGTCCGGCCGCTTAGAAACGAATGCTCTACGCCAGGGTTGTCTGTGATGTGAAAGTCGATGAGTTGCTTGTGGATACCTTGCTCTTGGAGGAAATCTAGAGAAAGACTCGAATCGTAGTGTCTGTCTTTTGTCAGAGGCGATCGAGTGAAACCTGATGGATTACGTACGTGAGATGCGGCGTTGTCTTGACCGTAGTGATCAACACACTGAAAAAGTTGATGAGGGTCATGTACATGAGCATGTCGTCTTCGGTATCCACCATTTTTGTTGTGGCGTAATGAAGAAGGCCTTGGTTGTTGCCTAACCCAACCTCACGTTCCACGTCTACAGTATGTGAGGCAACCAGACTATCCCAGTGCATGGAGCCGACCCGCGGTAGCCATGATAGCAGTCGTGCTTGCGCTATAGTCTTGTCTCGCTTGCTCAAGACAGGCAGAGGTGGTGATGCCAGTTTCCTGAGTGATGTATGGTAGTAGTACAGAGACCGAGTATCCTGGTCGTTGAACAGTCGCCGCCACATTGGGCCAGTACCATAGGTGTGTGTCGTGTCTTCTCCACCAATTGAAAGCGGCTCATTTTTGGATGCTTTCAGTAGAGAGACAAGCAAATCTTCTGCTTGGGTCGCTACCCCTGTGTCTTGTGTGCAAAGCCATAAACGAACAATAGACGCCACGACTCCAGGGCGGTTTGCAAGCGCTTGTGTATCAGCACTACTCGCTGTAGCCTTGTCCAGCAATGACAGGACCAGCGCATGGAACGGCGTGGCTTGTAAGTCAAGCGCAATCTCAAAGTCTACATCTTTGATGTCTTCGAACCGATAGGGCGTTGCAAGCTTGATGATGAAGTGTACAAGAGGTGATGGAGCTTGCTGAAGCTGCGGCAACAAGGCAGCGATCTGCAGGAACAGCGGCCGTGTCTCCTTCCACGTTTGACTCCGGTACTCGGGTGTGCTTGTGAAGAGCTCGCACTGCTCTAGTAGTTCCGTGTCCAGCTGGGTCGTTGGATCGCTCTCAACAGCCTGTAGATGCGCCGACAAGTCGGTCAATACGGCAGAAGGAGTGGCCATGATGTTGCTGAGCAACACGCAGCTCGACTAGCTCAGGGAACAGAGATGCTTTGAATATGTGTACTGTGGCGGGGCGAGGCTGACGAGAAGTCCTCGGCCTACAGAAGGTTCTAGTTTGAGCTCAGGTGACTACGCGTCAACGCAACCTTCGACGCGTTCTATCGACTGTTTGCACACTTCTCGCCTTTTCAGTTCGTTTACTGCAGCGGCAAGTTTGTAATGTGCGTTGATGTTGTTTGTCAAGGCTGACGTCAGACTTGATGATGTCGAGCTTGTTGTGTGCTGCGCAATATGCCAAGGGTACTCTTGCTGCGATTTCGCTATGGCGGGCTAATTCCCTGTATACTGATGGTCAATACGAAAGACGTAGCGCACGCTGATATGCTGTCAAGAGTTGTACCTGGTGGTAAACTTGGAGGCGGGGACGATGTCGGCTAGGGTGCCCCACTTGAGCAGTCGTCGGCTGCAGCTGCATCAAATAATTTCTGACTCGGCTTTGAACATTCATCACAACATCGTAATCACGACCGATAGACGCTGCTGTACCAGAGACAACTATACGGAGCGCATTCTCACAATTACCCAGCTCTAGCGATCACGTGTAACTAAGTATGCCGCCAGCCGGTAGAGGAGGGCGCGGCGGTGCGCGTGGAGCCTTCAACCCGCGGTTAGGCACAGTAACAATTGGCGGAACTGAGCTGAATTGGGATCTCTCAGGCCTTGAGATTCAGAAGGGCCCTGCTGAGCGCTTTCCAGTAGGCATCCACTGTACCTCGCGCGCAATCACATGCTCAAACCTACGACGATGCGCTCGAAAGCTCTGGACCAGGACTAAGATGATGACAGGAAGCTCCTCCTCCACAAGCGCCCCCACCGACCGCCGACGAAGCCAGAATAGTACAACACTTCTTGCAAGTACGCGACCGTATACACGAAGGGCCGTTTTACACTATCCTGAATGATGGCATGAAGAACGGCCTCAAGAGGAAGGCCAGCGAGCCTGCGCCCACCGAAGCTTCGCTTTTCAACCCATTCACCGACAATCAGACATATTCAGCAAAGTACCTGAAGGTTCGGAGAAGACTGCCGAAGCTAGACGAGCGACCATACGGTAAGTTGGGCGACAGCTGGCCGGCTGGGAACCTGTGCTCATGAACACGATCCAGTCACAGAATTATTTCCTGCAGAACTACGACCCACACTTGATGGTACAAGAGGAGACGGCAACCTGTCAAAAAAGCGCAGGACCCTTGGCGTTACCAAAGTCAACGCTGTTTCCCAGATCGAGCGCATGATCAAGTTTGAGGAAGGTCGAACCAACGAAGCAGAGGCGCGCGCTGAGGACGAGGAGGACGAAGACGAAGACGAGGAAGCAGAGCAAGACGACGACAAGCCAGAAGCCATCGATGAGGATGATAACTATTCTGCTGCATCGAGTGACTCGGAAGAGTCGGACGACGACTACAACGCCGAGCAATATTTCGACAACGGAGAGGATGATGACATTGACGACGCTGATCCGTATGAGAACACATACGAATGAGCGTTGGGCTTAGCAATTATCGAGCATTTGGTTTGGGCGTTCTGTGAGTGGCATTGCTGGCGTTGGTTGAGTGGATACCCTTTCTCATATCTTGTTTGGTTCAACTCAGGGCTCGACCTATACAATATTAGCATTGCGATCCCAACCATGGTTGAAGGGCTTTCAGCTCTGATGTATTATTTCAGGCTCTATCTGAACTCTGCTTTGTAGTCCTCGATATTTCCCCGGTCCTGGTCATTCATCCTTTGCTACCCCTTGAAGCACTCCAGCCTCACGAACGACGATCGGGTTTTCCGGACGCGCAATTGTCGAGACATCCAAGCACGACACTTCAACACTACATCTGACTACTACAGACATAATGTCCGAAAAGAAAACCAACGAAGTAGTTGAACGGCTTCGCAGGAAGAACCTGAGGAATTATGCGAAGTACCTCGCAGAATACCAAGACAAGGCGCAGACTTTGCCAAAATTGCACCCAAATCGTCAAGAATACTTCCAACAGTGTCTAGCATGTTTCCAGCCAACATCTGGTTGCAATTCGATACCTGACCCCCAAGCCCGCGGAATACCCTTCAATCTTGACCGGCCTACCCTCGCCGCCTTTGCAATTTTGGACATACTTGGCTATTCGTGCGGGCTCAGCGGTGAAAAATACAACATAATCAGGTTCCATAACGAACCTCTTTCATCACGATTGTGGATTACAGGCTACCCGCAGAAGCCCGATGGCGCAAGCGAGGACAATATTTCGTGGAGACGGGTTAGCCTTCACACTCTGAATACCTCCAAACACATATATCTGAACGGCATAACAGATCTCATCAAGGTTCTCGGATATGTCACGGCTTTCCAAGCCACATTTGCTTCAAATCATTTAGACACAAATTGTCGCATTGATTCGAAAGCAACAAAGCCGGAACGCTTCTTCGACGATAAAATCCTCACAACCTTAATCCACCAAGAGTACCACAAGGGCCAACCAGGATATGCGCGCGTCATCGAAGCCGCTCGCCACGTGAAGAGAGGCTGTCTTCTCGATGCTGTGGTGGAGTTATTCACGCCCTTTCTTGGCGTAACACCTCGCTCCTCTATGGGATTTGTTGATTTCTATCATAGCGGTGGACGGAGCAGGCATCACTTGAACGAAGTGCAGATTTGGCGTGCAAAGGACGTTTATCCTCGGGTTCTCACTGGATTGCAAGGCTGTGTACTTGTCAGTGGTCTGACGACACCTGAGGGAGACTCAGATGCCGAAAGTAAGGAGGATGGAGAAAGGTCGCGCTGGTTCCAGACTTGGTTAAAGGAGCGCGGGCTTAAAATTCCAACGGAGCTTCATGGGCGGCATAGGGAGGCACTTATTTACGACTTGACAAGCCCGAATGAGCGATGTGAAGTAGTGATGAGGATTCTAGACGAGCGGGATCGGAAGATGAAGGAATTCAAGAGAGAGATCCCTGGGCTGGAACATTGGTTGGGGAAGTATTGTCCGATATCAAGATATGGGACAAATGAGGGGAAACGGAGGTATGAGGGATTGAGGAGGTGTAGGGAAAGGCGTTCGTCGTTGAGATTTTGCATCACGAGTGAGGATGAGATACAGGGTCAGGAGAAGAGAAACAGAAAGAGGAGTTGGGACATGATGGATCATGAGTGTGTTGAGCTTGCAGAAGTGGTGACGAGGCTGTATATCGGAAAGGATGGCGAAGAGAGGGCTCAAAGCTCGATCGGCACGCCTCGGTGTATGCTTGCCCATGCCAGCCTGGTGGACCCGAAAGAAGACAAAAGGTAGACATGTCTTTCAATCTGGTGTGTAGATTTAGCTCAATGCGGATATAGCCTAAACATCTTCGGTGGACCATCGAGAGCACCTTCCTCACATGTGTTAGACACTCGATTTATTCCCACGTGCTCAATTTGATGCAATCCTGCAATGTCTGAAAGATGAAGTTCTCTAACTCATCGGTACTGCAGGATGGAGACTGGAGATTGTCGATGAGGCTGAGCACGCTAGTGGAATGCCTGAAGCTGCCGCAGCAGCACAACTTTCACGAACAACTGGCAGCGAACCCCTCATTTCTTGCGCGATTTGTTCTTTCCTGTCTCACATGACTTGAGTGATCACAGATCTTGCATCACAGCCTTGCGCAGATCTCACTAATCTGGACCCTGCATTGTCCCATGCACCCGTTGCCACGGGGCTTGTCGAGCTGGTCACCCTCACAAGGCAAGTTTAAGTGAACATCAGGCAAGCCAAGATACCAAGATTACTAACTTTGCAAGGCTCAGACGGCTAGGCGGATGTGTTGTGATGCCGCCGGATCTGACTGGTGAGAGAAGAAGCTCGTGACGTGAGATAATTGATCGGTAGGGTCGCATTCGGGTCAAGAGATAAGTATTGAAGACGACCGCAGCTTGGAGAGCTTCAACAGCGTTGCCAGCATCAAACGCCAATATGTCTACCATGAATGTCGGAGTGCCCAACTCTGTGCCGTCTTATCACAAGATGACTATGGAAGAGTACAAGAAGATGGCCTTCGTGCCTACGAAGGCAAATTGCGAGACAAGGCGATTGGAACAAGAACAGGCTGCATTGCAATATCAGCAGCAGGGTAAGCGCGATATTAACAATGCAGAATGAAGCATGACTGATCACGATGTAGGCGAACGGAAGTCTATGAGCGAATTCGAAAAAGACCCACACTCCACAACGTCAACTTTCTCAGCGGAACGGGCAAACTCGCATTCGAATTCTCGACCAGAGGTCAGACGCCTCAGTGGGGATTTCAACACGCCCACACACGTCGAAGTTGAACGACACAATGATACGAACAGTCCGCGGGGCTTCAGAGGGACGATCAAGAGTTGGGTGAAGAGATCGCCTCCTCTCACAGTCGCCTGAGCAACCTCCATTTTGGCGTTGACCTCATTGCCTTTTCATCTGCTTCAATAGACACCCTTCGCTGCACAGATCAATTTAAGAATTTCCCAACTGAGCCTCAAACTTGCTTATCCCGTCGTTTGTTTCGTCTCGTGTTACCTTCCAAGGCGCAATCGCGATGGTGCAGCATCGGTATGATGTCACGTTTCCCAGCCTCGTTCTCACCCGCCCTCCGCGCAGTGTCCCCCGCAAACAACAACCTCGCGTACGAGTCAACGTCAGTCAGCTCTGTGCGCGTTCGTTTCAGCTTGCCTTTGTGACCGCGGAAGGTAACAATCAGCCCACCGAAAACCACGGCTCGTCAGACCCTGAGCGCAATGCAGAAGGATTGTCATAAATCTTGCCACATGCGGACAGTTTCTCCAAGCACGGCACGCGCTGAACAACGGCCGATGACGTCTCAAGATAACACATGTTCTGCAGCACTTCCCGTCCGTTTGCTCAGGTACAGGCAACCGTTTAAAATGCGATGATGCTGTTTCTGCTGTAATAGGATATTCAGACCGGGCAACTTCGTCAACCAATAAAGCCTATGTTGCAAAAACAGAACTTCTGAAGGTCTATCACGACACTCACTCCGCGGTAATCCTGTCTTGAAAGCATCTCGAATCGAACTTGTGACCTCAGAGTGGAGCAACAACATCATTATGGATCACTACCCTGAAGTCAACGTTGGGGTGCAAGAACACCCATCAAGTGCTTCGCGCCACGACTCTGCATCCTCAGTCACCAAAGCCTCTGACTTCCACTCACCACCGTCGCTCGTCCCAAGTCGACAACCTTCTCACACCATGCCTTCCACTGCGGCTCCCTCAAACACTTCAGCGCAGCAAAAACCGACTTCAAATCCTCCCACATCAGACGCTACCGAGCCACAAGAACAGGAGCGCAAGGATTCCATCCACACCGATGAGCAGACTGCCGAGAAGCTCAAAGCCGAGTTAGCTCGTTACACAGACGCACCACCGCCATTCTCAGAGGAACAATACGAAAACAAGACCGAGGAGCAGCAACTCAGCATGAGGACGCAGGACTATGCGAAAGAGCTTAGCAGGATGATGGGCCGCCAGCTCGTACGGGGCCTGAAGACGAACGATACAGAGGAGAGATGAATTGAGTGGTGAACAGTGATGACGACGGGTGCGTCACTCCAGACACATTTCCCCAGCAGGCGGGTCCTGTACGATGTAAAGCATTTGAGCGAAGCATGGCGTTAAAGTGAGGCGCAAAGCACCAGTGCTAGCTGGTATGCGTCTTGACTGATCGAGACGATCTCAAGTCTTCAATATGAACATTTCCACACTCCCACCCCTCTCTTCCTGCTCTTGATTTCTTTTGGTGTGCTGACTTCCTGTACCAAGTTTTGAAGTTGTGGCTGGTGGTTCCAGTAATGATCGCCGCGTAATCCGCATCAGACAAGACGCGTTCGTCAACTCATCGATACAGCCGCTGACGCACACCACTCTGACAACGCCAAGTCCATTCCCAATTCTTCTCAGCCGCGTTCATAACCCCTGTCGCAAATAAGCCTCACGAAACAACGTATTGCACTGTTGTGCCAAACACGCAACAAGGACCAACAAGAAATCAACCACCAAGCCCTTTCTACAACCAGATATCATGGCGTCCACAAGTATGAAGATGATAGATCATATGAGCGTTTGCGCACAAGGTGTGAACACACATTTAACCTCCTCTAAATTGCTCCACGTTCCTCTGTTGCGCAGTCGCGATTTGCATCAACTTACATTGCACGTGCAGACCCAAACACTCCTGTCGTAAAATACAAGCCTTCAAGCTCAACAGGATCCTACACCCTAGGAGCTCGAAGAGCGGACATGCAGGGCGATAAGATTACGAAGCAAAGATGATGAGACAGAAGATGCAAGCAAACAGAGCTGGGAATCAAGACGCAGTCAAGATCGAAAAAATAGTAAAGCAAGTCGGTGAGGAGGATCACGGCTGAGTTTTTGGAGGTGGATCGTTACTCTAGGAGTATGCTGGCGAGCGAGTCATGATTACGAATTTTACGAATAGACAATGTAATGCTTAATTGACAATGTATTGCCTGAATAACTCCTTCTACGCAAAAGTATTGCACTGACCACCAAAGTGAGCCTCGTTGTACGAAGGTCTCAGAAGCGCAGGCGCGTCCTAACAATTGCCCAATCCAGCCTTGCTAGTGGCGAACCCCTGCCCCTGCTTCTACCATCCCTCTTCACAGCACCTTACGCACCCCGCATCTTCGTACAAACAGCCACGCAAACATGCGCAACAGAGATCAGCTTCTAAACATAGCAAAAACCAAACTAAGTATCGACACCATATTGTAGTTCAACGTTTAGGCAGCATGGCGCAGCCCGCGGATCCGGGCGGCCTGAGATCGCGCACGAACTTCGCGGGCAGATGACGCGGACCAACACGTGGATAGGGTCCGCAATTCATGAAACAAAACATGTGGAGGGAGAAAGTTTAAGAAGAAGGGAAGTCCGCTGGACCCTTGACAGTTTTGGATTAACACGAGAAAACGAGCTCTACGAAATATCGATCACTGTTGCAGTGCAGTTGAACCATTTGGATGAGGTACGACCGAGAATCAGATCACACATGTAATTTGTCTGACATTGTATGCTAGATCACTACATCAACACTCGCAAATTTGAGATCCGCCACATCCGGTCAAAACATTTCAAATACACTCACAACAATGGACTCACAATCCTCGTCTGCATCATCGTCTCCCACCTCATCGCCAACATCGCAAGCCTTCAGCGCATTCCCTTTCCCTCCTGTTCCGGACCACATCATCGTGACCTTTGACGGCAAAGTGCGCGAGATGGTACGGATAACGAAAGACCCCGTCGAGGCGCGCGAGTCCCGCCCAAAGCCAAAGCGATACTACTCCCAAGACAACTAAGGAGAGACAATAAGAACGATGGCCATGAGAATAAAGCCGGCCATCCTACACAAACACCGAAACAGCATCGCTGTTGTGCTTTGCCACATAGCTTAAAAGGAGTTTTGGGATAGGGGCATCTTGGGTTAGCGCACTAATGCATTTACACGGCTTATAACATATGGAATACAATGTCTATTACTATTACACCACAGTAACACAGGGCTGCTTTACACCCATGCTCGCCTCATGATCAGATTGCCTATTCGAGATGGACTGTATACCTTATTGCAGACACTCTCTCAGGCAAGTCCAATCTCCATTCCCTGCTCCCTTTCCCTTCTCATACGCGCTCTCTTCATCCTCTTCTTCTTCATGACCCCCATCGAACAAAAACACATCAAGAATCCCTCCCATCTCATCATCAATCAGCACGACCATCCTATCGGCCTCTTCAGTCACTACCTCCAAATACTCCCTCTGTGCTCATCCTGCGTCAAGAAAGTATGCATGAGCCGAGAGATATCATCCACACGCTCATGCAAGCCCACGATTCCCTGATGATCGCCAACAAACTCGCCATAGAATTGTGGGTTTGCTTGCAGCCCATCGAAGGCGCCTTCGTCGTCGGTGATGTAGATTTTGAGGTTGCTGATATTGGCGCATACGAGGCTCGCTTGCGATGTGTCAATGTACTCGGAGTTTGCAGGGCAGACGTGCTCGCCGGGTTCGTATGTGAGACTGGAACGGCAGTATACGTTGCGTGGTCGGTCGTGGGTGAATCTCGTGGCGGATCTTGAGATGTATCCGTCATCTTTGGTATGGACCTCTGCGGCGAATGTGACTGTCTTCTTCGCTCGGATTGGTTTCGTCTTGTTTGTGTTTGTAGTCGGCGGAGACAGATGTGCAGGATATGTAGATTCTTCCTGCGCTAATTTGATGGCTGCTGAGGCGCAGTTCGTTCTTCGAGCAGCCGCTGCTTCGAACGGATGTTTGGCCTCCCAGTCTTCTTCGTACATGACCAAGATGTCGAACATATCGAGGAGCTCCTGCAACTGTAGTCGTGCCATGTGCCAGCCCGCCCGTAGAGATACCCCAGACTTCTTCGTAACATATATCCCCGGTAATAGTCTTGGTCCACCAACTTTGTTCCATGCCACAGTAATGGCCTGTAAGAAAGAAAGATGCGCTGCAACTTCGCAGACTGGGCATAGCTCGTTCATACTTATGTCTGACGGATGATACGCATGCCCACATTCTGAGGCAGTGTGAGACCTGTAAGGAACTGGAGGTGGTATGTTGCCGCCGATGAGTGCATCGCGATGTTTGATGAAGCGATAGTACTCTAATGCATCGCAGACCTGTCCGATGTCAGATCCAGGGGCATGCTCCTTTTGCCACTTGACGAGGAGCAAGAAATCTTGTGGAGGGAGCACACTGGCTCCGGGGGATGTCGAGGTGGACTTCGTAGCCATAAGTTGTCGTAGTGAATATTCTCTGAGGTATTGGTGGTGATTTAAATGGAAGAACAAACTGCATACTATTCTGGTGGGCTCTGGTGGGCTCTGTGGTGAAAGCCTACGTCGCTTGGGCTGCTAGTTACTTCCATCGCTGCACTCCCATGAACTTCACCTTTCACCGTGATGACTCAAGGCTTAGCATCTATGCAAGGGATGCGCTTCCTGTAATGTGTTACAATGCGTCGCGTACGAATCTGGACTTCCTATGATCTCGACAGAGGTCTTGAGACTCTTCACGAATCAACCATAAATTGAAAAAGATAAGAAGAACCGTACAAACCAAAGTTTAGAAGCGCAAAACTTCAGCAGCTTCCAAACAAGCCAAACCTACCACTGCGGTCTATCGCCTATTGAGTAGAGTTTGTAGGCCTTCAATGTACCGGCACCATGACCTGTAGTTCTGACGTCCAGCTCTTCGCTTGCGACTCCCCATTATCATTTCCTGCGTCGTCGCTCGACGTATGCAAGGTGACAATCAGCAGGCAATGTGCCTGCGCAAGAACCTCCTTTGAGAGTGACCTATTGTTCAAAGCGGCGCCAACGGCAACCTGAATTTCTGCCCAGAAACGATGCTCATACGCCAGACTTTCACTCTTAGTTTTGTATGCGTCGACCCAAGGTTGGTCCAAGTGGAGGGGTGAGAGATTGATGTAGACCTTGAACTGTCCCAGATTGTAGAGCACATTGTTTGCAAACGAAGTATCAGCCCAGCCTTCCGGGTCTTCAGCTGCATGTGCACCAGGCTCGTAGTCAACATCGGAACGCGTCCAATCTTCTAGAGGCCGACTTGGCCCGAAATTGACAGGCGATAGTCATGTTGCGCTGGTAGGCCTGACGTACATTGTCCTCTTCTCCAACAATCTCATCGGCCACGATGGTTGTGATGGGCATGAACCGAACAGTCTTCTTTTGATGCTGTGATGCTGGTTTTGATGATGTGCGAAGGCTCGACGTCGTGTTGCGATCTTGACGTCTCAGTATTCCGACGACTGGATATCTCGTCATTGTCCAAGCAATGATGACTGCGTTGGTAGCTGAATGAGTGGCCACAGTGTTAATTCTAGAACACGGATGCTCGGCATCCAAAGAGTTTCGTGGTCACTCTGCTCTTCGAGAGACGTAGTAAGTTGCGCCAGCTCGAGACGAAACTGAGTCCACATAATTCTTAGAAGAGGACACTGCTGGATGAACTGGGCATCTGGAACTTCTTGCCACGGGTCCCCAATTCTATCCCATGCACCTGCAACGTGCCACAACACCTCGAGGAAGGTAACAACAATGCAAACCGAACAGTATTCGCGCCCTACTGATGTGGAAAGATACACGGGATGGCTGCATTTTGATGTGACTCGCTGGCCATTCGCATTTAGTTGATTATTGAAGCTTCTTGTATCTTGATCGATGCAGAAGTCTACGTAGTCCGCCGCAAATTTAATAGCTCCAAGATCGTCGGTTTCGCCGTACTGTTGTTGCCAAGTTATTTATGCGCCGGTGAGGCTGTCATCTCCAAACAAGGCGATTGGAAGGGATTTTAAGGTTGGCATTGCCGGGTGATGAAGGATGCCAGGTAAGTGTTCACCGTTGAGCGGTTAGCAGTCAAATGTGCGTCAGCTGAAAAGACGTTAAGGTGCTCTAAATTCAAGTGTCTCCCTAATCTCACTTCGACTTCGATTTGCTTCTATCCATACCTACATTCAAGTGAAAGTTAGTATGTTTAGACCCATCTTGCTTCTCGTTCCAGCAGCTGCAACACTACCTTTCGTTGTTACAGGCAGGCACTTTCTTTTCGTAGCTTGCATGCTCACATACCCACATGAATGATGCCGTACAAGATACCGCAAAGTGCGAAGGGTTGTAAGGAGGGGAGAGGGGGCTGGCTCTGCCAAAGACACAAGGGCAATGCTAGCCCACGCTAGCCCCACTTTTCGATGGTGCTTTCTTCTGCAGCCAATATGAAAGAGTTATACAGAAGTAGGAGTCACAGCTGGTCTATCCTTTGACTGATATGATCTGGTGGTTGACTAGATCTCACTGGCAATCCGAACGACCCCACGGCTCACGTAGCTCAGCATAGCTGTAGCCTTCTCACTCGACAGCCCACTACCCCTGTGTTCGACTCACCCACGTCATAAGCGACTCTGCATGTGCCACAGTTGCCGACCTTACAACTACTCTCCACGTCTCCAAATGCACTCCTCAACGCTTCTAGTAAAGACTCTTCACCCTTGACCTGCACAATCTTGCTTTCTCGATTGATCACCTCTGCGTCGAAAGGATCACCCATTTCATCCGCTTGGAAGGCCTCGTAATGCACGTCACCTTCCTCTACTCTAGCCGGAGTTGCAGCTGCCTTCACAGCTAGATTCATGCGGTCCGGACCACAGATGTACACGTGTGCATTCCAAGACAATGTACTAAGGATGTTCTCAATGTCCATTCTTTACCCTAGGGATCGATCATGAAAGCGAATGTAGTCTCTCAAAGGGTCTAAGCGGTCGCGAAATGGGATCTCATCTGCAGAACGTACAGCGTAATGAGCCGCGGAGTTCTAGTGCACATCGCGGTAGTGTTCAAAGGGAGGTAGAAAGGCTATGATACTTATCCCACCTATGATAAGAGGTGGTAGCTCGAAGCTTTCGCAACAGGTATCGGTCCCGAGAAAGCACCAACTTCGACAATATCTCCAAGCGATGTGAATTCGTGCAGGTGTCGCGAGCCACGACTCTTCTCTTCGAGAGCTATCCCTAGCTAGAATTCATTGGGTACCAAATACGATAGAGTATGACCGGACAAAACCATTTGGTAGTTTGATCGTAGCATATGTCCCAGGGTCTAGCTTCTCAGTGTCTGCGACCTTTTCGGCGGCTTTGAGAACGAAAGACGTAATACGAGGGGTTTGGCGCTTCTTCTCCACGATGGTGAACTTTCGCCGCACTGTCTTCTACTTGCTGGTATCCGTTTGTGTCTTAAGTTTCTTCACTCGTTTTTGAAAGTTGTTCCGGCTCTCGTCGCCGAGTGCTTCGATTTCGGCCAGCTCTTCGTTCATAGCATAGTCCTGCTGGTTCCTGTGCAGATACTCCTGAACCCTTTCAATAGTCCGCCTTGACCAATCCTTCTACAAGGCAACGGTAATACCAGCCAATTCAACTAAGCTTGTACGTATTCGGTGCAAGGTTCTTCAGCTGAAAGCGGTGGTTCAACTTGTAGCATAGTTGACACGGCAAGCTGACCTGTAGTACAGCTCCTCCATCGCCGATAGCGCAGATATCGCCAATGCACACGGTTCTCTCGTTCACGTACTTGAAGACAAAATTCTCGCCGAAACCGCCAGGTACAGATTTCTCTGCAGCTGCGGGGAACTCGGATCTCCATGTAGGGTAGTGGGAGGCGGAATCTACAAGCACAAAAGTCAGAAAGGAATCGTGGAAGAAGGTCAGGTGAAGTGAGATACGAACATCCGTGTACTGCTTTGTCGACACCACCATGGAACGTTGGGTCGTGTTCGTCTGCATCGAGTGCCATGAATGACAGGCGGACCGGCCCCTCACAGATGGTCTTGTCGATACCAACTTCTAAGCCAACCATCTTCTTCTTCATCCTCACTGCCCGAAGTTTTAGTATGACATCGCTAGTACAAGGCTTCCAGATGTCGACGTCTTTTTCGAGGTCAGTAGCCATGACTACGACTAGGTGAACGAAGATAGCTATAGGGGAAAAGAATGACTGTCGTGACTCGGTGTCCCTAAGTCAATGAGACAAGAGGAATATGTTGTTCGAACAGACAGGAATATGTAGCAGTTTGCTCGAAGAGATGTCAAATGATACTGAAAAGAGATTACCCGGAGGCTAGAGTAAACAGAAGAGTACAAGTCCACGACCCCTATGGCGTTAGTGCGTTCGAACGGCGTGTAGTCAATATTCTGTGGATTTGCTCTCCAATCCACTCCGTCTAGAACTGCGTAGTGTTGACGCATTTTCTGGCAGCAACGCAAGCAAGTAGGTAGCGACCCAAAGCTGTAGCCACCATGTAAGGCTCTCATTTCGCAAAGATGGCATTTGCGCAAAAATCTTCGAACATAGGATGAGCCCGGAAGGCGATGACTGTGGTTGAGTTGAAAGACGGCAGTAGTTTGCGAGGCTTGGGGCAGGAGGCAAGTGGTTGAGGCTGCTTGCCCCACACTGGATCTCCGCGTCACTTTCGCATTTCTACCACCAAACACCACCCTCAACACTCTCCTATACATCATGCCACTTGTTCAGGCCTTTGTTGTGAGCGTATTCGATAACTCAGCAAAACACATTGTCGTACAGACACTTATTCTTGCCATGCCTTCCTCTTGCCTTGATTAGGCTAGAAGACATGCATGTGAGCTTATCAGCCCCAGATGATCATGTACGGATATAAAAGGCGGGGAAGACGGGAGTGCTCCACGAGGGGCATTGTCCTGCGCCGTTATGCATACTGACGATAATATGAACGGGACTGCCTTCGAAAACTACGCTCAAATCCCAATTGCAATCGTTGGCGGCGGCCTTGGCGGCCTTGCCCTAGCCATCGGTCTACTCAAGTATGGGATACAGGTCCATATCTACGAATCTGCCGAAGCCTTTTCCGAGATAGGTGCAGGTGTTGCATTTGGTATCAACTCGATAACGGCCCTGCATCTAATCGACCCGAAGCTACTCGAAGGCTACAAGAAGCATGCGACATTCAACGCCGATCACGACCGCGCCAGCACATTCATGTCTTTCCGATGGGGCATCGATGAGATGAAACGTGACGGACACAAAGCAGGGGACGTGATGTGGAATCTGGACGATGATTGGCGATCTGAGCGCGCCGAAGCTCTCGGTGTACGGACAAGAAGTTGCATTCACAGGGCACGTCTGCTGGACGAACTTGTGGCGTTGCTGCCAGCAGATGTCACAAGCTTTAAGAAGAGCTTCGTGACTGCTGAAGAGCAAAACGATGGATCGCTCAAGCTACGGTTCGCAGACGGCACAACTGCTTCGGCCAGCGCACTCATCGGTTGCGACGGGATCAAGAGCAAGGTACGAGAGCTTGTATGCGGCTCAGGTGTTCAAGCCACCTACGCTGGGGAGGTAGCCTACCGAGCTATGGTACCCAAAACGGATGCTGAGAAGGCCCTCGGGTCCGATCTTGCGTTTAACGGACACATTTACTGTGGTTATGGCGGATACATCGTTACGTATCCTGTCGAGAATTGCGACTTCGTCAACATGGTTGCCATACCGCATGATTCAGGCGAGACCTGGACCTGGAGTCAGAATGAGTGGACAGTGCCAGCGACTGCCGATGAAATTCGTCAACGCTTTAAGGGGTGGTATCCTTCGCTCATTGATATAATCTCTGAATACAGTTTGCCCAGTAAATGGGCCCTGTTCGACCTGCAGCATGACGCGCCGTATTACAAAAGTAAGATTTGCTTACTTGGTGATAGCGCCCATGCAACAACACCACACCTCGGCGCAGGCGCTGGGATGGCAATGGAGGATGCCTACCTGCTGAGCAATCTGATCGCCTCAAATGGCAGCGTTGCGCATATTGAAAATGCGTTTCGAGCATACGACGCTGTAAGACGGCCACGCACGCAAAGCTGTATCGAGAAGAGTCGCAATGCAGCCATGGTCATGGACTTTCTGGAACCGGAGATCGTTGATGATACAACGGCATTGAAGGAGGCTCTGAGGACGTCATACAAATGGCTCTGGCACGAAGATCTAGAAGCACAGCTCTGCAAAGCAAAGCAGTTTCTTTAGAAGCCTTGACGTGTCGACTGTGTAGAGATTGCTCATGACGGTACTCGTCAAGCACAAACTCCAGGATTGTTGCTCGGATTTCGAATCCCATGGTGCTCAATTCCGGTCTTCGGTATATAGCCGCTGACAAATCTACATCGTGCTCCAGATAACGTCATTCGTCTTTGACAACTAGCCTCGGTGTACACCGCTGTACAGCGCGAAAGTAGGAAAATTCCATGCCAATCTGCCGAGATTGTCCGGCGACTGATTAGAAACAATGAAGGATGTATATAGGTTGAGCCTTACGTCTGCATCAGTTACGATTTTCCAGCAGTATCACCGAGTCTCGTTCTTCACGCAATATACCCCTCGAGTTCAACAACTTCACACTCTATCGCCAACATGTCCGACTCACGTCTTTTCAAGCCACTCAAGGTTGGCTCGATTGAGCTCAAGAACCGCGTTGCCATGGCACCCTTGACACGATTCCGTGCAAGCGACAGTCACACTATCCTTCCCTTCGCAGCCGAGTACTATGGCCAGCGTGCTTCCGTCCCCGGTACCCTTTTGATCTCTGAGGCTACTCTCATCACCGGTCAGCATGGAGGATACCCTAACGTGCCTGCAATCGAGACCCAAGAGCAAATTGATGCCTGGAAGAAGGTCACCGAGGCCGTTCACAAGAAGGGAAGCTTCATCTACCTCCAGCTCTGGGCTCTGGGACGTGTAGCCAATAAGGAGTACGCTCAGAGCCAAGGGATCACTGTCAAGTCCTCAAGTGCCACCCAGCTTTCCGACGACCTTGCTGTTCCTAAAGAGATGACTGTTGAGGAGATCAAAGAGACCGTTGGTGCATACGCTCAGGCTGCCAAGAACGCAATCGAGGCTGGATTTGACGGAGTTGAGATCCACGCTGCCAATGGTTACCTGATCGACCAGTTCCTCAAGGATACCTGCAACAAGCGTACCGACAACTATGGTGGCTCTGTTGAGAACCGCAGCCGCTTTGCTCTGGAAGTTACCCAGGCTGTTGTTGACGCTGTTGGTGCCGACAAGACCGGTATCCGTCTTTCCCCCTTCAGCGAGTTCCAAGGCATGAAGATGGCCGACCCCATCCCACAGTTCTCGGACATCATCAAGAAGCTCAACACCTTGAACCTCGCATACCTGCACATGGTCGAGTCCCGTATCTCCGGCAACGTCGACGTCGAGGGGTACGACTCTCTGAAACCTCTTTACACTCTGTATACCTCCAGCCCTCTTCTCGTCGCTGGCGGCTTCAAGGCAGACTCTGCCCGCAAGCTTATCGACGAGGAACTCAAGGACCGCGACGTTGTTGTCGTCTTTGGACGTTATTTTATCTCCACACCTGACCTTGTCTTCAGGCTGGAGAAGGGCATAGACTTCAACCCTTACGACCGCGACTCTTTCTACATCCCCAAGAGCGAGAAGGGCTACACCGACTATCCCTTCAGCGAGGAGTTCAAGCAGACTGTGAACTTGTAGAGAAATAGTAATGATCTTGCATCAGCACGGCGTTCAGGATTGGGAAAAGGGCATTGCATGAGTGATGATATCATCAGTTCAGACTAGACATTAGACGTCCAGTAAGTGAACTTGTCGAACAATCACAAATAATTTGCAAGTATCATATGTTATATCAAGCGCGCGTTCACAGATACGTGAGATGTTTGGTGATGGTGCCAGGATGCAGTAACATGAGCAGCTGACGGTCTAGCCGGGTTGGCATAGTTGTCAACAATCAAATCAATCAATTCTGATCCCTCGACTTGAATTGGATTGAGACATCTTTTCAGACGCTTGATTTGATTGGTGATTAGAAAGATTGGATTGATACCTATGCCTTTTAGGTCTGATAGACCCACTTATAGGCCCACTCAGGGGTGAAGGACCGAGGCTGATGTCACATGCGTTCTTCTCACCCCCTTCCTCTGCCTTCCTCCCTCACACTTACTCGATAGCTTAGTGAACCAATTCATCTAAGTATATCAACCAGGTTCTACCTTACCGGCTTGATTGAATTGAGATTTGCAATCAGTTCAATTAATTTCAAGCAGATCAGGTCGATTGTTGACCACTATGCCGATTGGTTCAGGGTTGGTGCGTGCGGCTGTGGACCAGAGCTCAGCCTTGCAGCCTCTCCTCTTTCATCATTCCCCTCATCAAACAGTTTCTCACGCTCATCGCTAGGTACACTGCATCGATCACTTGGCCCCCTGGGGATCCATGTGCTTTCTGTCACTGGGAAAGCATGTGTGAACGGCGTCAGACTGGGGCTCCAGGCTGAAAAGGCCGCCCAACGGGGCTGCCTCTGCCCGCTTTGCCTGTTTGACGCGATCAATCACAAGATCTAGGTACACCTCCTAGCATTCACCACATAGCTACTGCACCCTGTGGGTTTTCAGCCTGGTCGTCCTCAGGACTAATATAAATCTCAAGCGACTCCTGCTTCTATGGGATTGAGACCTCCTATAGTTGTCTAGAGTACACCATTGTCCTGGAATCGTTATGGCGGATCCTACCCAGGAGGAGTATCCTTTCGGCCAGTTTCCCTACACCGCCGCCCTTGACGATGGCATGGCGGCTTGCAACCTATGCACTTGATGTAACTAAATCTCGGTTAGGCCAGCTTGTCAAGCAAGAGTTGAAAGCCGGTATACCGTCCTGGTGGTCTGAAGGCTATGCGGAATAGTCAAGCGCCGAAGTGCTAGACCACCATCATGGGAAGGGTAAAATCCGGCGCTGTAACGACGCACGAAATAATTGCGCAATAGCTTTCGAAGAGACTAGCAGCTGACGGTTTCAAACTGAACAATATCCACGACGATCGGACTAAGGATCCTGCTGATCCTGAAGGTCCTGAGGTGTGGAAAGCCGACAGGCTGAACATCCTGGGGTGCCTGAAGTTCGGGAGAGAAAGTAGCAAGGCGCATCTTGGTGGCAAAGTGTGAGGAAATCGACAGAGGTTGATCTACTCGATTACCGGACTCAATCAAGCAGTATTTTTGAAACACGTCTTTCTGCGGCTCCCTTGTATTTACGTTATAGCTTACATTGAGATAGGTGTTGCGAACTCCGTAATGTTATAATCGATGTTTCCGTATCAGCAAAATCAACAACTGACACCCTAGAAGGTCAAGAGCAAGTGAAAGAGCAAGATAGGCTCACGAAAATTCCTAGCTATCTTACCGTGCGTGCACTTACATCCACTTAAATCAACGCGTGGTATTGTGTCCTCACGCCTATATTTTCGACCCACAGCCAATTCTGTCCTTGATTCTTACACCTACAATATACAACTCAACCACCCTCAACGAATGCAACCGCCAAAGATGCGTTCGCCCCTCCTCTGCTTCCAGTTGCTCACGCTGGCCGCGACGAGAACAACCTCTTCACAATCAACTACTGCTTCATGTGCGACTACGATCGCCCACAGTAAGGGTACTGTGCAGGTTCAGAACCAAGCCGGCATGGTATCGGATTTGGACTACGGGTGGGTGAAGTCGACGTACCCATGGAAGGAGCCACCGCAGAGGCCGCAGAAGCACTGGTGATTTTGTCAGTCACGGTCGGTTCGGAAGACTCGAGTTGCACTGCTACTGTGGTCTCTCGGTCTTCAAGATGCTTCCAGGATTGATGGACTTTGACTAGAAAGGGTTTGATGAGAGCAAGGCTCCGCATGGCTGGATATGGATACTGCATGCCAGTGCTGGGAAATAGAGAACCACAATCGTAAACTCGACTATCGTATGTCGAAATGAAGTGCGACGTGAAGTCATGATCTTGTAACGGATGCGAACCGTTGAGACCGAGTCAGCTAATCGAGGAGGAACGGAAGGAGGGAAGGAAGGTAAGCTCAGCCTTGCCGATGATGTCAGCTTCGATGGTTTCGCAAGCACGCAACCGGAGGGACTCTCGTCAACGCAACGTCCTTACCTCAGATATCTGTGCCACCTCAACATCCCTCCACAACTCCATACCCCAATCACGACACCCTCCCAAGCCACGCAGATAGCCGTCATCCCGAGGGTCCCCGAGCTTACAGTCCCAACGAAATCCTAAGGTCTCAACATCTGCACGTCCACAGGTTCGCCCCGTACCTGCAGGCAGCCGTTAGCCCTCTCAACGACCTGGCACCGCCAAGGGCACCCCCCGGGGGAGTCTTAGAAACGGTGCGCACATCAGGGGACACCGTCCTCTTGTAGTTAAATCCACCGCGGCGTCGCAAGAGGCTAAAGCCACCGCGGTGAAAGACCTGTGTCACGTAGGGACATCAGGTACCCGCTTCTTTCGCCGTCACATGCCAGAAATTTGCTGGCATGTGAAAGCGCACGGGCAACGCAATCGCGATTTGCGCACCGAAAAAGAAACTGACACCGAAGGGAGACCCCGACTTTAGAGCTTGAGCACTGATTCCCGTACCGTAGTTTCCGTTCGCTTGAGAAGCGAGCTGTGGCCAAGGGCCGTGGTGTCGGGTTCTGGGGGTTTGCATGTGTTGAGCTTATCTCGACGACAGGGCGGGACTAGTGGGACATGAGGGGCTTTGGCACGCAGGCGGTACTTTCCTCTTGCTGCAGCACGTTATCGCACGCACGCATTCCAAGGTTCAAATTATTGTGCTTATCACAGCTTGGGCAGGTCAAATCATTTGGAAATTGTTTTGAATTGCATTACAATGAGTAACAAGGTGGTATGCTGGTCTAAGCAACGAAAGAGGCTCCCAAACACCCACGCCTAAACTAACAAATACATCATCTCTCTTCAAGATTTTGAATCGTCCTCCATCTATATGTATAACATCACACGCAGTGCACACACACACAAGTCTCCTAGAACTGTGCGATCGCGACAGAGACAGCCTGTTCGTCTGAGTGGCTGATGCTGATGTTGATGCTCTTGACACCCACGCGCTTGGCCTCTTCCTGAGCGTGACCAGAAAGCTGGCATGATGTTAGCACTGAAATCGTTATCAATCTTGGGTAGGGAAGCTTACCTCGACGACCGGCGCACCAGTCTCGTCGTTGCCAATCTCGATGTCCTTCAGGGCAGCACCTGCACCCTTGCCCTTCACACCGAGGGACTTGAAGACTGCCTCCTTTGCTGACCACTTGCCAGTGAAGCTGGCCTGAGGGTTGGCAGCCTTCTGGCAGTAGGCAATCTCCTTCTGGGTGAAGTTGCGCTCGATGAAGGTATCGTTCTCGATGTTGATGGCGCTGATACTCTCGACGTCAACACCGACCTTGGTGTTAGCCGAGGCAGTAGCCTTGGTCAGGGACTCAACCATCTTTTGGGTCTCTTCAGCCCTCTTGTCCTTCTTGGGGTCCGCAGCGACCTTCTTTGGGTAGCTGTAGGTGGCAGTCTTCTTATCCATGGCAACACGTGCACGGGGGTTGAGGAAGACCTCCTGCATCTTGTCGTCCTCGTAAGGAGCCTTGTCCTTAGCGCGGAACATGGTGTTATTGATGAGGCCATCGTGGAAGTAACGGTACGCCTTCTTCTGGCGAGCCTCAACCTTCTGCTTGTAGGCAGCAAACTGAGTGTGCTCGAGAGCAGCGTAGAGGTACTTGGGGTGGATACCAATAGCCTGAGCACCCTTCTGTCCGAAACCGAAGGAGGTGACGGAGAAAGCCTTGATGCCGTCGGTCTGGATTGCCTGCGAAGGGTAGACGATGTAATCAAACTGCTCCATGATCTTGTCGACGTTGTCCGCGTTTCGGTTACCAGGCACAAGACCTGAGTTGAGAACCTGCAAGCAGCCGTTGAACATCCAGGCTCCAGCAGCACCCTTGGGGTGACCAGTAAGATACTTCTGGAAGATACCGAGCAATGCGTTACCCTTCTTGCGGCCGAGGTGACGCATTTGTTCGCAGATGACGCTGGACTCGTTCTTGTCGTTGGCGACAGTAGATGTGCCGTGGAAAGAGGCGACGTCAAGGTCATCGATGGTAAGACCCCAAGTAGCAAGGGCACCACGGAGAGGCGCAATGCGGGGATCCTTCTTCCAGAAGTTGTTGCCAAGACTGTTGAGAGCATCCTTCTCTTGTCGCTGAGCCTCAAGCTCAATATGGTTGGCGCGCTCCTGGAGATACTCAGCCTCACTGAAGTCCTCGGAGGCGGAGTCCTTAATTGCGGCGACTTCCTCCTGGAGGTACAGAAGCTCAGACTCCTGCCATTGCTTGATTTGCTTGCGGCGGAGATCCATCTGGCGCTTCCTGTACTTGATGTCGAGCAGAGGCGAGGGGAACTTGGAGGCTTGTTCACGAGCAGTAGTCAACACACCCTTACCAGGAGCAGGGACGGAACGACCAATCTTGTCAGTGGCGGTAGCCGTGAAGCCAAGAACACCATAGATGGGAAGACCCATGTCGAGCGCCAGCTTAGCATCCATGATGACCTGCATACCGCAACCTTGCGATTCCATGAATCCGTTACGGGTTGTGGTGGTAGGACGGGACATCTCCTTGGGTGTACGACCGTGAGCAAACTCATCTTCGGCGTTACTGGTAGCCTTCATGTTGGCAAACTCGTAAGAGCCCTCCTCCTGGAAGTCGTCGAAACCACCAACGAAGCAGACGCGAGCCTTGCCCTCGACAATGGTATCGTAACCGATGTCAATGGACTCGACGGCAGTAGCGCAAGCACCGACGGGAGTCTTGATGGGTCCCGTGGACGACATGAGCAACATGTTGACCCAGGCGCTCATGGTGTTGATGAAAGACTCCTGGAGGATATCCTTCTGAACAGGCTTGTCAAGGAAGCGGTCCTTGTACATTCCCCTCAGAGCAGTGGTACCACCGATACCGGAACCGACACAGTTACCGACTTCAGACAAGTGGACATACTGGTAGAACTCGTAGGGGTCGGTGATACCACTGGCAAGCAGACACTCTGCTGTCGACACGAGGACGAAGAGGGTGACCGGGTCGACTTGGGAGATGATGTCATCTGGGACACCGTACTTCTTCGCGTCCCAGCCGGTGGGGATCTGACCAGCAACAAGGCGATCGAAGCGAAGAGCCTTGGGGATGATGAGAGTAGCACCCTTCTTCATGCGAACGGTGTACTCGCCGGACTCCTCGATGGCGAAGATCTCGACCTTGTCGCCATGCTGGCGCTTGAACTCCTCGGCAGTCTCCTTCGAGGCCTCGAAAGGGTCAAGGTCCTCCTCAATCTGAATCTCCTGCATAAGCTGCTTCTTGTTGGGATCATAACCGTTGAACAGCTCTGGTTCGATGAGACGGATACCGCTGTGCTCGAGAATGTACTTCTCGTACTTGGGCTTGACATCCTTGTCATCGACGGGTGCGCCGGTCTTGGCGTCAACCCAGCCAGAGTAGCTCTTACCCTTGAGCGGGCCGTTGTGGTTCTTAATGAGACCCATGATCCAGGCCATCTCGAGACAACCCTCGAGCGAGAACTCGCCGTAGGCTTCCATCTCCCAGCGGGTCCTGGAGTTACCCCAAGGTCCAACTTCAGCGAAACCGGTAACGACGACAACCTTCTCAAGATCGACCATACCCTTCAGGTCCTCGTTGAGAGGTTTGACCTCGGCATCCCAGTCGGGCAGCTTGGGGAAGTCGAACTTCATGTTGGCTCTTGGCTCGATCTTGGCCTTCTTGTACAAAGCCTCGCTAGCCTCGCCGTGGACAACCTTGTTCTCGATAGCGTTCTCCTTGATGACAGCCCTGCGGACATCGCTTGTCTCGGTGAGCTCCTTGCGGAGATCGGTCATGAGGTCCTTGAGATTGGGGATGTACTGGAAGCCACCGTTCAGATCAGCCCAGACAGGCTCGATCTGGCAGAGGTTGACGATAGCCGGTGCCATCAAACCAAGCAAGTTGAAGGCCATCTCCTGCTGAGAGAAGGTGCGGACACCGTACTTCTCAATACCCTCAGCAACGATATTGTTTGCGCCCATAAGACCAGTACCACGAGTCCAGCCGATGACAGCACCGCAAATGGTGAGGTAGTTGCCCCAGCTCTCTGAGTGCCACCTTGAGAAGAGAGTCTCAAGAGACATCTTCGACTCAGAGTAAAGACCATCGTTACCGAAGGTACCGTGGTTGGGGGAGAGGGGCAGGATAACCTGGGCGGGGCGAGTCTCGTAGCCGAAAGCCTGCTTCTGCTTCTTGACAGCACCAAGCATGCGGAGGAGGTTGGTCAACATGATACGATGAGCAAGCTCGGACTTGGAGTCAATGCTGTCAATCTCACGACCGTTCTCGGGAATGGCAGCGAACGGAACAATGAGATCAAGGTCCCAGCCCAAGCCCTTCTTGGGGTCGTAGATGTAGTCAACGAGTGCCTCAACATCCTGGTTGCTGCCCTGGTTGAAGGGCACGACGATGAGCTGAGAGCCACGAGCACCATAGCGGGTGTACATGGACTGGTAGTACTCAGTGACTTCGCGGGAGAACCTGGAGGTGGTGACAACGACCTTGGCACCTCCGCTAATCAGACCCTGCAGGACCTGGGCACCAATGGAGCCAGCGCCAGCACCTGTCATCAAAGCGTACTTGCCCTGGAAGGTGACACCGTTGTTGGCGGCGTTCTCGAGGCAGTCAAGGTAGACACCAGTCAACTTCTTGCTGTATTCCCAGCCGTGGTCATCCTTCCTCTTTAAGTGGAGGAAAGGAATAGTCTCAACCTTGCCCTGCTTGGTAGAGCCGTTGGCACGACCGTTGCGGCCACGCTTTCCATTCGCGCCCTTGCCGTTCTCGCTAGGCATGATCTGACCCTCGTTCATTGAGAGAGAGCGAATGACGTTGCTGTACAGGCTCTTGATCTGCAGCTGTGATGACTTGGAAAGCTTGTGTTGCTGCTTGATGAGCTTGTAGATGCGTTGCAGGTCGTTCTGAACCTTTGTACGGTTGCCGTACTCCGAGAGCTTGCCTCCCTCAGCCATTTCACGCACGTAATGCTCCAGCTTGCGGACACTTGGGCGAGGAGCCTCCTCATAGTTCATGTTGCCGCGAGCATCGATCTCAAGGTGGGGCGCGGTAGGCACGGCGACGTCTTTGTAGACAGGGGGCTCGTTGAGGACGTCTCGGCAGTTGTCGATAAGCTGCTGGCCGAGCTCCTTTGCAAGCTCGTAGGTCTCGCCGCGCTCGGTCGGGCAGTGGTCCATGTGGTACTGCATGAAGTCGAGGAGGAGAGGGTTCGATCGGTTCATGATCGCAATGCAGCGGCTGACAATTTCACGATCAACAGCCTTGAGCTTGCCAAAGATGATGTCGTAGTACATGGTAAGAGCGTCTTGACGCGCCCAGTTCCAGGACGAATCGTAAACACGCGCCTTGAGAGGAGTGAATTGAGGCTCAATTCCAGAGGCGTAGAACTCGCCGTGCTCGGTTGTCCAGAGGTCCAATTGCGCCTGGAGCGCAGACTGTGCCTTTGTCGAGTCGACGAATGACTTGTCGCCAGCGCGCAGGTCGATCTTGAGGTATCTGGCAAACAGTTCCAGCTGCTGCTTGAAAAGCTGGCGCTGGTCCTTGGTAAGGGCGTCGATGGCCGCAGGGTCCATCATCATGCCTCCACCAGCACCGCTGCCGTCACCACCGGCCACAGGGGCGGACAGACTGATGCCCGCAATTGAGGCGTACTTGTTGGCCTGCTCGTCCAAGAATGCCTTTCCGTCATTCTCAGAGCCAAGACGTGCCGCTGGCTCATTTGTGATAGCGAGCAGCAAAAGTCCGTCCTGTCGTCCCTGCGCCAGACCCCATCTTGTCTCCAAGTGCTTTCGCACAGCTGTGATGTTGAAGCCACCAGGCATCTTGGAGGACACCATACGGGCAATGAGGGAGGAGGACTGCTTTCCAAGCTGACCATTGAAGGTAGCCTGCATCGAAGCACCGAGCTCGTCGAGAGGAGTATCTTCGGGCTTCTCGGGCGTGGAACCGAATTCCTTGCCCAAGTCTCCGAGAATTTCGTTCTGAAGAGTGGATTTGCCTGTGGCTGGTTAGCTCGAGTCTTTTCGAATAGCTTCAATTGCTCACCTCCAACCAAATCCTTGATGGCTTTGCTCAGAGGAATGTCCATAAGAGGCTTTTTCAACTTCTGGGCGACCAATGCCCGCAGAATGTCGGTCGCTGTGACTGGGGCATCCGGCACCTGAGCAGCTGGGCCAGCGTTGGAAGCAGGGGCGGCAGCCGCGGGAGCTGCTGCTGCTGCGGGTGCTGATGAAGCTGCTGCTGGAGCGCCTCCGCTGGCAGCTGGTGCCGCCTCTGGCTCGTCCTCGACAGGGTCCACATCGTAGTAGATGTCTTTGGCGTCCTTGTTGTAGCACAGAATCTGACGCTGGACTGACAGCGCCGCATCGTGAGCTTCATATTTGGAGGCCAGTGTGCGCTTGGCCATCACACCGAGTGTGTCTGCGGGGCCAATTTCGACGATGCGCTCTGTGGTGTTCTCGCCGAGGACCACATCCTGCGTCTCAATCCACCTCACAGGCGAGGCGAATTGATATGCAAGCAGCTCAATGAGCAGCGTGTGCGAGAGCTCCTGCTCGACCTCGGGACGCATGGTGCTGGGAATGCGTGGAGTGTAGGTGGGTGGTCGAGTCGGGGTATCAGAGAGATGATGCCAAAGCTCGCCGGAGCTCAATGGGTATCTCTAGTCTAGTACACGGCAAAAGGAGGGGTATAGTGTCTAAAGGAAGGAACAGCAACGCTGGGGAGGGAGCGTGCTGGAATTAGGATGAAGATGGGTGTTGCTCGGAAGCTTGGGGACGGGTGAGGTAAGTCCCCCAAAGGCAAATTATTTGGAGTGGTGGGAGAGCGGACGGGTGCAGTAGGAACACAGCATCCAACGCATTGACTGTTTATCTCGTTCGAATGGAAGAGACTTTACTGGACGTGTCCTTTGGTCGTTGAGGATTTGTGCACCGCTCTAAAAGTCACGCACCCCCTGCGGCCTAGCCGTCAATGCTCTGGCTCTCAACACAAATTTCGCCAGTCTTGCGAGAGATAGCCACCAAAGGCGGTGGGTGTTGCGAAGCCAGTGCGGGCCAGGGTACACACCACGTCGGCCCACACCCGCTTTCAACACTGTGCTCAACAAGCTGCAGCCCTTGGACGATGCGGGGTGTCTTATCAGAGTACCGTTGGCGTACGTCAGACTGAGGAATGGGCACCCGTTGTTGATCCGCTGGTGCGCCCATCGCAGCTGCCGGAGTGTTGCTTTGAGGGGTCCTTCCTTCCCCAACGCTTTGGCCGCAGAAGGCACACCCATGCAAGTGCCCTCACCCCTGCAATGCTAGTGCGGGTCCAAAAGCGCCCGAGTTTTTGGAAGTCAACAGCTCGCCGCGGATAATAGACACGCCATTCTGCGCTGCCCGGCATTTTCCTACATCTCCACTCGCCCAATTGACCCTTCCCTCCCCTCTGATTACTCCTCATATACCCTTTTGCAACTGCTGCCTGCTGCGGTGGACATCTTGCACCCACACAGCACACCGCACATCGCAAGGGAGCTGCGAGCACTAGCAGTCCTGACGAAATCCCGAGCACACCAGGTTGATTAGTTTCTACCTGAGCAAACAGGTACGCATTGGGTCTTTGTTGCGAAGAGGCGACGTTGTGGAAGATGTGTCTTGATCGTGGTGATCTTTGATAGCTCTTTCTCAGAGCTTAAGCGCACCTTCCTCGAGTCCCGCCAAAATCGAATGAAAGCTCACAGCACCTCAGACGCACCTTCCTGTGCACATCGTTCCTTCCATATATCTATAATTTAGCCCAGATCTGTCTTTTAGAGGTATGCACCATTTTCATCTCAATGTCCTTTGATGTCACCGAGATCGCCGCACCAGCGAGCCCCTCATAGCCAAAATCCAGAATGACGAAACTAATTCGAGCTCGATACAGCTTTTCAGGCGTCAAACCGCTCAGCATGTACGGATCAGGCCAGCAGACCGGCATCTCCACGCCGCGCTCTGCAGCAAATCTGCGCCCGCTCATCCTCACCCACGGCTCGCTCGAGTACACCCTCCTCATCCCAACCGCCCTGCACTTCAATGCCCAGCAATTGAGGGACACCTTCAAGCAGACACTTCCCGAGCCCACAGACGAACTCGCCCAGGATGACGAGCCATCATCAGTCGTCGAGCTGGTTGCACGTTACCTCGGCTTCATTGCCAAGGAGGTAGAGGAGGGCGAGGACCCTGACTCTTTCGAGGAGGTCCTCAAGCTGGTTCTCACTGAGTTCGAGCGCGCCTTCCTGCGGGGCAATGAGGTGCATGCGCTGGCCGCCACGCTGCCAGGCATCACTGCGAAGAAGCTGGAGACAGTACGGTCATACTACGCGGCTCGCGCTGCCGTTGAAAGGCCCATCAAGCACCACGAGTCTGCCCTCTTCCGCGAGGCTTCTGACGAGAACGCCTTCATCTACGCTGTTCTGGGCGGCCAGGGCAACATTGAGGAGTACTTCGATGAACTCCGAGAAATTTACAACACATACCCCTCGTTTGTGGAGGATTTTGTTGCGGCTGAGGCACAACATCTGCTGACTTTGTCGCGGGACCCGCGCGCAGAGAAGCTGTACTCCAAAGGCCTGGATGTTATGCGATGGCTCAACAACCGTGAAGCTCAACCTGACACCGATTACCTCGTCTCAGCGCCTGTCAGCTTGCCGTTGATCGGTCTTACACAGCTTGCGCACTACGTTGTTACGTGCAGAGTGCTCGGTAGCCACCCCGGACACATCCGCAGCCGTTTCGCTGGTGTCACTGGTCACTCTCAGGGTGTTGTCACAGCTGCCGCAATCGCGGAAGCAAAGAACTGGGAGACTTTCGAGAGGTCTGCTAAGAAGGCAATTGAGATCCTTTTCTGGATTGGTACACGCAGTCAGCAAGCCTTCCCCAGGACTTCTCTGGCTCCGAACATCCTACAAGACTCGATCGACAACAGCGAGGGTACCCCAACTCCTATGTTGTCGATTCGTGACCTGTCCCGCAAGGCTGTTCAGGACCACATTGACGCCACAAACGCACACTTGCCCCAGGACAGGCATATTGCCATCTCGCTGGTCAACAGCGCACGCAACTTCGTCGTCACAGGACCTCCAATCTCTCTGTACGGTCTCAACCTTCGTCTGCGTAAGGTCAAGGCTCCTACTGGTCTCGACCAGACAAGGATACCCTTCACCGAGCGCAAGGTTCGCTTCGTCAACCGCTTCCTCCCCATTACCGCGCCCTTCCACAGCCCATACCTCGCCGAAGCGACGAAACAGCTCGAGGATGACCTCAAGGACATCAAGATTGCTGCGAGCGACCTCGGTGTGCCCATGTACGATACACACACTGGCAAGGATATTCGCGAAGATGGCTCGGACAACGTTGTCCCTGCTCTTGTGAGGATGATCACCAGCGATTCTGTTGAGTGGGAGAAGGCTACTGTCTTCCCCAAGGCTACTCACATTCTCGACTTCGGTCCTGGTGGCATCTCCGGACTCGGTGTGCTCACCAACCGCAACAAGGAGGGCACTGGTGTTCGCGTCATTCTGGCTGGAGCTATCGACGGTCAGAACGTCGAGGTCGGCTACAAGCCTGAGCTCTTCGACCGCGACTCTGAGCATGCTGTCACTTATGCTGTCGACTGGGTCAAGGAGCATGGTCCGAAGCTTGTCAAGACATCTACTGGCAAGACCTATGTTGACACCAAGATGAGCAGAGTACTCGGCTTGCCTCCTGTCATGGTTGCTGGTATGACACCCTGCACTGTCCCCTGGGACTTCGTCGCAGCCACCATGAACGCTGGCTATGAGATTGAGCTTGCTGGTGGAGGTTACTACAACGAGAAGACCATGACCGAGGCTATCACCAAGGTTGAGAAGAACATTCCTGCTGGTCGTGGTATCACCATCAACTTGATTTACGTCAACCCCCGCGCTATGGGCTGGCAGATCCCACTCCTGGCCAAGCTCAGAGCTGAGGGTGTTCCTATCGAAGGTTTGACCATCGGTGCTGGTGTACCTTCTATCGAGGTTGCCAACGAATACATTCAGACCCTGGGCATCAAGCACATGGCCTTCAAGCCTGGCTCCGTCGAAGCTATTCAGGCGACCATCAACATCGCTAAGGCGAACCCTACTTTCCCGGTCCTGCTCCAGTGGACTGGAGGTCGTGGAGGTGGTCACCACTCCTTCGAAGACTTCCACCAGCCCATCCTTCAGATGTATGGCCGCCTTCGCAAGTGCGAGAACCTCATTCTCGTTGCCGGTTCCGGTTTCGGTGGTGCGGAAGACACGTACCCCTACCTCACTGGTAGCTGGTCGACCAAGTTCGGATACCCTCCCATGCCTTACGACGGATGCCTGTTCGGCAGTCGCGTGATGACTGCTAAGGAGGCCCATACGTCTCCCTCGGCCAAGCAGGCTATTGTTGACGCTCCTGGCCTTGACGATGCTGACTGGGAGAAGACCTACAAGGGCCCTGCTGGCGGTGTCATCACTGTCCGCTCCGAGATGGGCGAGCCCATTCACAAGCTTGCTACTCGCGGTGTTATCTTCTGGCACGAGATGGACCAGAAGATCTTCGCGCTGGACAAGGCCAAGCGCGTTCCCGAGCTCAAGAAGATGCGCGAATACATCATCAAGAAGCTCAATGAGGATTTTCAGAAAGTCTGGTTTGGCAGGAACAAGAAGGGCGAATCCGTTGATCTGGAAGACATGACGTACTCTGAGGTCATTCAACGCATGGTTGATCTCATGTACGTCAAGCACCAGTCTCGCTGGATCGACCAAAGTTTGAAGCGTCTCACCGGCGATTTCATCCGCCGAGTTGAGGAGCGCTTCAGCAAGTCTGGCGGCGAGTCGATCATCCAGAGCTACGATGAGCTCAGCGACCCATTCACAACGCTTGAGCAGGTCTCCAAGGCCTACCCTGAGGCCGATCAGCAGTTGATCAACGCTCAGGATGTTCAGCACTTCTTGCTGCTTTGCCAGCGCCGTGGACAGAAGCCCGTGCCCTTCGTTCCTTGTCTTGATGACACCTTCGAGTTCTTCTTTAAGAAGGACTCTCTGTGGCAGTCCGAGGACATCGAAGCCGTTGTTGACCAGGACGTCGGCAGGACCTGTATTCTACAGGGTCCTATGGCCGTCAAGTACTCCACCAAGGTCGACGAGCCAATCAAGGAGATCCTCGACGGTGTTCACGAGGGCCACATTAAGTACTTGCTGCACGACGTTTACGGCGACGATGAGTCCAAGGTCCCAGTAGTCGAGTACTTCGGCAGCAAGCTCCTCGCGGCCTCAGAGGGTTTGGAAGTTGACGGTCTCACCGTGTCTCAGCTCGAGAACAAGACAATCTACCGTTTGTCACCTGCGCCGAACGCGACCATGCCTGAGGTCCAGTCGTGGTTGCAACTTCTTGCCGGTAACACATACTCGTGGAGACACGCGTTCTTCACTACCGATGTGTTCGTCCAGGGCCAGCGTTTCCAGACCAACCCAACAACCAGGATCTTTGCCCCCGTCCCTGGTATGACTGTGGAGATTGCCAACCCCAATGACCCCAGCAAGACCTCCATCACAGTTAAGGAATTGCACCACGGCGCGAAGTATGTCAAGACTGTTGATGTCAGCTTGAAGGATAACGAGATCTTGCTCAAGATGTACGAGGAGCGTACTGCTCTTGGATCTGCTGTCGCTCTTCCCTTCCGTTTCACGTACCGTCCTGACGTTGGCTACGCGCCCATCCACGAAGTCATGGAAGCTCGCAACGACCGCATCAAGGACTTCTACTACAAGATCTGGTTCGGTGACGAGGCCTGCCCATTCGATGCTTCAGTCACATCCCGTTTCGATGGTGGCCGTGCTACTGTCACTAGCGAAGCTATCAACGACTTCGTCCACGCCGTTGGCAACACCGGTGAGGCCTTCGTCGACCGACCAGGTAAGGAGGTCTTCGCTCCCATGGACTTCGCCATTGTGGTTGGCTGGAAGGCGATCACCAAGCCTATCTTCCCTCGTGCCATCGACGGGGACCTGCTCAAGCTGGTCCATCTCTCCAACGGCTTCCGCATGCTTCCTGGTGCAGAGCCTCTGAAGAAGGGTGATGTTCTCGACACTACTGCTCAGATCAACGCCGTCATTAACCAGGACTCTGGTAAGATGGTCGAGATCTGTGGCACTATCACCCGTGAGGGCAAAGCTGTCATGGAGGTCACCAGCCAGTTCTTGTACCGCGGCGCATACAGTGATTTCGAGAACACTTTCCAGAGGAAGACTGAGAAGCCAATGCAGCTGCAATTGGCAACCAGCAAGGATGTTGCTATCCTGCGCTCAAAGGAGTGGTTCAACTTCGAGGAGCCCGAAATCGACCTCCTGAACAAGACCTTAGTCTTCAAGCTCGAGACTTTCCAGAAGTACAAGAACAAGACAATTTTCTCCGAGGTCGAGACCATTGGTGAGGTTCTTCTTGAGCTGCCAACCAAGGAAATCATCCAGATTGCATCCGTCAACTACCAGTCTGGAACCGCTCACGGCAACCCTGTGGTCGACTACTTGGAGCGCAACGGTTCCACGATCGACCAGCCAGTTCACTTTGAGAACCCCATTCCTCTGCACGGCAAGGCTCCATTGACACTGAGGGCTCCAGCATCCAACGAGAACTACGCTCGTGTGTCAGGCGACTACAACCCTATTCACGTTTCTCGTGTCTTCGCCAGCTATGCCAACTTGCCTGGTACCATCACTCATGGTATGTACTCCAGTGCTGCCGTGAGGAGCCTGGTCGAGACTTGGGCTGCTGAGAACAACGTCGGCCGCGTCAGGAGCTACCACGTCAACCTTGTTGGCATGGTTCTGCCTGATGACATGCTCGACGTCAAACTCCAGCACGTTGGTATGGTCTCAGGTCGCAAGATCATCAAAATCGAGGTCAGCAACCAGGAAACCGAAGACAAGGTCCTTCTTGGTGAGGCGGAGGTCGAGCAACCGACAACATCCTACGTCTTCACCGGTCAAGGTTCCCAGGAACAGGGCATGGGTATGGAGCTGTACAACAGCAGCCCCGTTGCTAAGGAGGTTTGGGACCGTGCCGACAAGCACTTCATGGATAACTACGGTATGTTTACTCCATACTTCTTTGAAAAGTATCCCCTAATCAGTTCCAGGTTTCGCCATTACCAACATCGTCAAAAACAACCCGAAGGAGCTGACTATTCACTTCGGTGGTCCTCGTGGAAAGGCTATCCGTCAGAACTACATCTCGATGACCTTCGAGACCGTCGCTACCGATGGATCCATTAAGTCTGAGAAGATCTTCAAGGAGATTGACGAAAACACGACTTCGTACACCTACCGATCGCCCACCGGTCTGCTGTCGGCGACGCAGTTCACGCAGCCGGCCCTTACCCTTATGGAGAAGGCATCGTTCGAGGATATGCGCTCTAAGGGTCTCGTCCAGCGCGATAGCACTTTCGCTGGTCACTCCCTTGGAGAGTACAGTGCGCTTGCTGCGCTCGCCGAGGTCATGCCCATTGAGAGCTTGGTCTCAGTTGTGTTCTACCGTGGTCTTACCATGCAGGTCGCCGTCGAGCGTGATGAGACTGGTCGTTCCAACTACTCCATGTGCGCTGTCAACCCCAGCAGGATCTCGAAGACTTTCAACGAGCAAGCTCTGCAGTACGTTGTTGAGAACATTGCGGAGACAACTGGCTGGCTTCTCGAGATCGTCAACTACAACATTGCCAACATGCAGTACGTCGCTGCTGGTGACCTCCGAGCTCTTGACTGCCTCACTGGTGTGACCAACTACCTCAAGCAGCAGAAGATCGATATCCAGTCTCTAATGCAGAGCTTGTCAATGGAGGATGTCAAGGCTCACTTGGTCGAGATCATCAAGGGCTGCGCTGAGCAGACCGAGGCTAAGCCCAAGCCTCTCGACCTTCAGCGTGGTTTCGCTACCATCCCGCTCAAGGGTATCGATGTGCCCTTTCACAGCACATTCTTGCGCTCTGGTGTCAAGCCCTTCCGAAGCTTCTTGCTCAAGAAGATTCACAAGACATCGATCGACCCGTCCAAGCTGGTCGGCAAGTACATCCCCAACGTCACTGCGAAGCCGTTCGCTTTGACCAAGGAGTACTTCGAGGATGTGTACAAGCTCACAAACTCGCCTAAGATTGGCAATATCCTGGCCAACTGGGAGAAGTACGAGGAGAAGGAGGAGACCACTGCCTCCGCGTAGAGTCGATGAGATGTCGTGATTTGGGCGTTGTGACGGCCGTTTGCTTAGACTTTTGATATCCGGTGGTAAAATAAGCGCTTTTTCGTAGAGATGATAAACTTGCAATTTGTACTACAATTTATTAATGAGCTTTTACTCTCTGTCTTGTTTGCATTTCTTCGTAGTCATGCCGATTCCTGAACCGATCTGTGACCTATCCTCTCATCGTAATACCACATACCCGGGTGGGAGTCCTTGTCTCAACTAACCGGTAAGACCTCCAAGCAATCCAGACAGACCTCCAGCTCCGGCCTAGCCCTGACCTTGACCCTCTGCGCCAGCGCCAGCACCACCTCCCAATCCTCCAAGCAGGCTAGTCAAACCGCCAGCGCTAGCGGCACCCTGGCCTTCGCTGCCTGGAGTAGCACCGTCCCCAAGTCCTCCGAGCAGGTCAGCCAGTCCACCAGCACCAGCACCGGCCCCAGCACCTGCATCAGCGCCCACACCACCGAGCAGACTGCTCAAGATGCCGCCGATGTTGAGGCCACCACCTTCTTGCTGCTTCTGACCGCCAGCTTGAAGTGCCTCTTCTGCGGCTTGGTTCTGGCCTTTGCCTTCTCCTTTGCCGTGACCATTACCATTCCCGCTTCCTCTCCCATTACCCTGTTCTTGCTGCCCATTCCCAGCCTCCGTACCATTGCCAGCGGCACCAGTCTGATTTGCCACAGCGCCACCACCCACAATCTCAGAAGCATTGCCCGCAGCAGCTTGTTGACCCTGCTGCTGCTTGGCCTGGTCGAGTTCTTGCTGCGCTTGGTCGATCGCTTGTTGGGCTTTCTGCTGCTCTTCGGCAGCCTTCTGCTGGTCCTTTGCGGCGCGCTCAGCGTCCTTCTGGGCCTGCTTTGCGTCTTGCTCGGCTTGGTTTTGGAGTTGTGCGGCTTGGTCTTGCTGTTGCTTTGCTTCTTGTTGGGCCGCCTGGAGAGGTTAGAATGTGTTGCTGGAGTGTGGAAGATTGGAATTTACCTTCTGCTCTTGTTCGGCTTGCTTTGCTTCTGCTTCTTGCTGTTTGGCCTGTTGCTTGGCTTCCTGCTTGGCTTGCTGTTGGGCGTCTTGTTCCGCTTGAGCAGCCTGGGGATGTCAGTATAGTGTATGCTGCGTAAAGGTTGGGTCTTGGGGACTTGTTGTGGAACGTACCTTCTGGTCAGCAGCCGCCTGATCCTGTGCAGCTTGGTCCTTCGCGGCCTGGTCCTTTGCAGCCTGATCGGCAGCAGCTTGATCAGCGGCGGCCCGGTCTTGTGCAGCCTGTTGCTCGTGTGCATTCTGTGCCTGCTCGGCGGCAGGATCAGCACCTTGAGCCTGTTCCTCTTGCTGCTGCTGTTGCTGTTGTTCGGTGAGGGCTGCCTCTTGCTGCTGCTTGGCATCTGCTGCTTGTTGTTGCTGCTCAGCTGTGGATAATTAGAATAGTTTCGATAAGGTAGTTACAAAGAGACATACCCGCTGCATTACCGCCGGCCTGTTCGGCTCCGAGCAGAATGTACTCCTGGTCGGCAGCGACACCCTCCTGGTTTGCTTTACCCCTGCCCTCTCCTTCTCCCTTCCCTTTTCCTTTGCTGCCGGCTGGTTCGGTGACATTGGCTGCAGCTGGTGGTGCAGGTGGCGCAGCAGCCTCTTCTGCGGTGCCTTTGCCGTTACCGGCGGATTCGGTAGCATTGCCTAGGGCGGCGAGAGCTTCCGGCGGTGTTGGTGGTGCTACAGCAGCCTCTTCAGCAGCACCCTTGCCCTTCCCTTTTCCCTTGCCGGCGGGCTCAGTAGCATTGCCTGGAGCCGCGGGAGTTTCCGGTGGCGTTGGCAGTGCTGCAGCCTGTTCGTTATTGCCTTTGCCCTTACCCTTTCCTACGGCTTGCTCGCCTTCAGCAGCATCCTCTTGAGCGTCTTCAGCGTCATCCTCGTCATTGTCGCCAGAAGCCTGGTTCTGACGCTGACCTCCACGAGCAGCCAAGAGGGCATTGCGAAGTTCGAGTGTACGCTTGCGAAGGCCATAGACGGAAACCTCCTGTCGTCGATCAAGTCCAGTGACGGGTATGGCAACATTCTCAGTCCCACTAGCGACGACTGGGTCCGTGACGACAAATGGTGCTGGAGCTGCTGTCACCAGCGAGGCAGACAGCAAAGTAAGAAGGGAGTATTCGATCTTCATGATGGTAGGGTGAAGAAGAAGATTATCGAGAAGATTGAAAAGAGGTGTATCAGATCAACTGTTTGAAATAGTAAAAGTGAGCTCAGCTCTCCCAAGAAAGAAAGGTATTAAGATAGCGAGTGCCCTGCACCAAAGATTGTTGAAGAGAATAGGGTTGGGCGTGCCGTTGAATCCTCCTGGAGAGACTGCATATATACTCATGTTGTTGTGTGTATGGTCTTCGAGTTGTTCTCGGCTGAGGCAAGTCCTAAGAAGAGTAGGCCCGCGCATTGGGATGCATTCTCGAAGATCCCGTGCATTCCATACACGCGCCGTTGGAGGATGCTTGCAGACTTTCAAACTCCAGAGAACAGATATCGACAGACTCACAGATCTGTCATATTGGGCGATATGCTTAATTCGCCTTGACAGCGACTAACAAGAACGGTCGAGGCTTTGAACTTGTGGTCTTGGTCAGGAACGGGCGAATGATCAAACGCATTGAGAAGCAGATCCCATAATGGCGGTCCTGACAATCATCATTAGCGAGGATCTCCTGACTGTATTCGAACGTGTGTTGTCGGAGACCATGTTGCAGGCAGACCGGGGTGCGGGATAGCCCAAAAGAGGTTTCCTAAACGCATGAGTTGGTATGTGACTGCGGCCTGCAGGCATGAAGCTTGGCCAGTTTCAGGCACACTGACGTGCGATCTTCAACATCAGGAATCAAGAAGATCTTCTGTGAACGCTCCACCATATCTTTCGACATGAATTTGTGAGTGGTAGCACCGTTTTCTGTAGTGGTTTCATTTCGCGCCTGCGGTGCGGGTGCCTGAGATCTGAGGCGAGGTTGGTGTCAAGAACAGAATGTTCATAGCTGGGCGAAGGTTGTGACCGCTTCGTGTCGAGTTGCCAGGTTGCTCAGGTACTCATCGTATCCCATGGCATCTTCCTGAAAGGCTTTGAGGCTAGTTGTAACCGATGTCATGCGGTAATGTTGTACCTCGGTGGAGGTTCTCGGCATAGCAATCAGCGGCAAGGCTTTACTCTTGATGGCCTTGCGCAACAACAGGTGAGAATTGCAAGGGAAGCCGTTTTTTCTTTCAAATTTTCTCAATTGTAAAGACCTGCTAAGGAATATTGTTCGATCTTGAGCCCGCAAAGGACCAGGTTTGTTCTTCGGCTTTTGGGTGGAAGAACCGAAGGAGCAACAGAATCAGCAGCTCTTTCATTGGCCGGTCGGGCAGCCTCGGTTCTGAGAAAGTTGGACTTCGTCATTGAGCTCTGAGTTCAAGAATGGGGGTACTCGAACTACGCCTCTGTTGATATCGTTGCAACTCACAATATTGGGGTGGATTGCTCAGCGCGCGACGGGTCCGAAATTTCAGGCTGTCCTGGCGGTGTCATCGACCTTGTATAGCTTCACATCTTTCGCCGATTTCGCCTTCCCACACCTCACAACACAATGTCGTCTAGGACGGTATCCGCATTGCTAACACGGCGATTGCTTGCAACACCACGCGCCACACGTCTACCTGCTCGATCCTTCGCGTGCGCAGCGTCACGAACACAAACCTTGACCGAACTATACCGCCCTGCCATTCGCATTGCTGGCCAAAGAAGAGCTTTCTCGTCAACGTCACGAGCACGATTGGCCACCGAAGATGATTCCTTTGACCCGAAGTCAGTCGAGCGCGAGGTTGATGAGGTCGATGTTCTCATCGTGGGTGGAGGGCCCGCTGGCCTGTCAGCCGCCATCAAGCTGAAGCAGATAGCCAATGCGGCAGGAAACGAGGACTTCCGTGTACTATTGCTCGAGAAGTCAGGCGAACTGGGCGACCACATTGTGTCTGGCAATGTTATTGAACCCTCTGCCCTAGACGAACTGCTGCCAAACTGGAAGTCTGAGGACAATCTGAACCGTTTCGCCGACATCACACCTGCGAAGGAGGACCGTATGCGCTTCCTCACGAAGACCGGCTCGATCCCCCTGCCGAAGCCGCCGCAGATGAACAACCATGGCAACTACATCATCAGTCTGAATCAGATGGTCAAATGGCTCGGTGAGCGTGCAGAGGAAGTGGGCGTAGAAGTATATCCTGGGTTTGCCGCTTCGGAGATCTTATACAACCACGAAGGTGTAGTCAAGGGTGTGGCGACCAATGATCTCGGTATCTCGCGCGAAGGCAAAGCCAAGGATTCTTTCGAGCGTGGTATGGAGTTCCACGCTCGTGTGACGCTCCTTGGTGAAGGTTGTCACGGCAGTCTGTCGAAGCAGGTCATCAAGAAGTATGATCTGAGGCGAGACAGCCAGCACCAGACATATGGTCTGGGTATCAAGGAGGTCTGGGAAGTCCAGCCTGAGAAGTTCAAGTCAGGGCAGGTCACCCACACAATGGGTTACCCCCTGTCAAAGGACACCTACGGCGGTGGCTGGATGTATCACTTTGGTGATAACCTGGTCAGTATCGGTCTTGTTGTCGGTCTCGACTACCCCAACCCATGGCTAGCACCATATGGCGAATTCCAGAAGATGAAGCACCACCCGATCTACAAGGATGTATTGGAGGGTGGCAAGTGCATCTCATACGGTGCAAGGACACTAATTGAGGGTGGTTTCCAGTCGATTCCAAAGCTGGCTTTCCCTGGTGGCGCTCTTCTGGGAGACTCAGCAGGTTTAGTCAATGTACCCAAGATTAAGGGCACGCATACTGCGATGCGATCCGGCATGTTGGCAGCAGAAGCAACATGGGATGCACTGCAAGGCAACACCGACGGCGGTACAGTATTCCTGTTTGACTACGAAGATAAGATGAGGAAGTCGTCAGTCTGGTCAGAACTCAAGCAGGTGCGCAACATGCGACCTTCTTTCCACACCGCGCTAGGCCTGTACGGAGGCGTGCTATATTCTGGTCTCGAAGCCTACGTCTTCCGTGGCAAGACACCGTGGACACTGAAGCACGGCCTGCCCGACCACGCTGCTACCAAGACTGCAGACCAATATGAGAAAATCGAGTACCCTAAGCCTGACGGCAAGATCAGTTTCGACATCTTGACAAGCGTCAGCCGCAGTGGCACAAATCACGAGGAGGACCAGCCATGTCATTTGCAAGTCAAGGACTGGGATGCGCACGCACAGGAGCAGTACCCCAAGTACAAGGGTGTCGAAAATCGCTTTTGCCCTGCTGGCGTGTACGAGTACGTTGAGGACGATAGCAAGGAGTTGGGCGTGAGATTCCAGATCAACGCCCAGAAGTAAGTTCCCTCACATCTACGACAGCTGTGTTCACGATGCTAACCCGGCTCCCCAGCTGCGTCCACTGCAAGACTTGCGATATCAAGGTACCCGCCCAGGACATCAACTGGCAGACTCCTCAGGGTGGCGAAGGGCCCAAGTATGTTCTCACTTGAGCGCCGCAGCATGTCAATGTTGAACATGCGGCAACTGTTCTCTCCGGCGTACACTGGCGCCACCTCCTGTTCAAAATGTGTATAATAGGCAGCGCGCAATTGTATATACCCATTCCCCTGCAACTTATTGCCGCCCAACGATGAAGCCGAGTCAGTCGAGCAACTTGTGATCTGAAGTCGCGCGCACCATTTCGCATACTCACCCTTTAAGGATGTCGTTAGAAGCCTAGATGGGGCCTTTGCAACACCCATTGTGGTCTGACTGAGAGCTAGCTGCCTCATAGCATGTTGAATCGAAGGCCGAGGGCTGCTCCTCTGGAACCACGTGACGGTGCCAAGACTGGCCGAGCACTTGAGCGCTGAGCGTGCGCCTCACTCCATTCCAGCACCACTCAACCACCGTTTCCGGGGCCGCAATATCAGATCCAGCTGCCCGCTCATCTCTATCCCATTTTCGCTACCGCAACATCTGCACGTAGTGCTCGAGTTACCAGACCCAACCACGCACGACTGCATCTAGCCGTCGCGCGCCATTCTCTCCAGGTCTTCGAGCTACAGGTTCCCTGTGAAGGCCGCCCTCTCGCACCCAACAGTAGGACTCCCGCGCCACCACTCAGCTCCCCAAAGGTACGACCAGTCGCCTACTGTCTTGTGTCCGCTGGCCATCTATCCACGCGCTTCACTGGTTTCTGTCGCGCGTAGCCTTGGCCGCTGGTTTTACTTGTCGCATGCTTCCTGTCCGCTTCCTTCGCAATGGCATGCCAAATTCAGACTCGTTCCCTGGTTGTTCTCACATTCGTCGACATGCGCTCACTCTCCTCACCAGGCTAGGTTCTCAGCAGGATACAGCTATATAGCAGCTACCGCCATGACCGAGGTATCCTCTACACGCCTCTACTTGGGTAACCTTCCCCGCAATGCCACCAAGGCAGAGGTCGAAGGCCACTTCCAGACCCATGGCACCGGCGAGATCACTGAGATCAAGCTCATGAACGGCTTTGGCTTCATTGAGTACAAGGACGCTATGGACGCACGTGACGTCGTTCCTGGTAAGCTATGAACCACTATGCGCAGATGGACTTTTGCTAACGATCGACGCAGCTTTCCGTACGTATACACCGTCAACGACACAACCGTCCCCTCGAACACACGCCTGACTTGCACAGATGGTTCTGACTTCATGGGCGAGCGCCTGATTGTCCAATTTGCGCGTGGATCCCGCCGCAACGAGAACTTCACCCCCCACGAGCGTGTCCCTCCGCGTCCTCGTCGTACTCCCTACCGGATGAGAATAACAAACCTTCCGGTGGAGACCAGCTGGCAGGTTAGACACCCCAACTCTTGGACTTTCCCTGTTCCCAGTTAGGCCCAAGCACACCAGGTCCTGGAACGCCTATGGCTTTGTTTTTGCGTGCTTCCTGTACCCCACACAACTGGATTGGATTCGGCCTAACCTCGATGTATAGGATCTCAAGGACTTTGCCCGCCAATCTGGACTGGACGTCGTCTACTCCGAAGTTGGTCGCGAGCGCGATGGAACTGGGTATGTGCATGCAGCAAACCACCTCTGCAGCTCCACTGATCACTTCCTAGTTTCGTCGAGTATGAGACGGCCGCCGACTTGAAGACCGCCGTTGAGAAGCTGGACCGCCGTGAGTTCAAGGGTCAGGAAGTTGCCTGCACCCAGGACATCTCCGACCCACCTCCACCCCCTCCTTTCAAGCCAAGGGCTCCTTATGGAGGCCCTGGTGGTCCTGATGACAGGGGCCGTGATAGGTACCGATCTCGCTCGCCCATGGGCCGCCGTAGCGGTGGCTACCCTCCCGCTCCGTATGATGATTACTACGATCGCCGCGGTCCTCCTCGTGGTTACAGCCCTCGCCGGGATGACTACCGTCGCCGCACCCCGCCGCGCGAATTCTATGACAGACGTGAAGGAGGATATGGTCGCTCGCCGCCTCGTGGCCGCATGGCGCCTGATGAGTATGGCCCACCGCGTGCCCGCTATCCTGACGATCCTTACGATGCCAGGGCCGGCCCACCACCTCGTCGCTACGATGACCCCTACATGAACGGCGGCGGCGGTCGTCCTTACGACGGAGGTCGCCCTCCTTCTCCTCGTAGCGCACGTCCTCGCAGCCCAGGAGGCCGTCCACCGTACGATGCCCCGCCGGCTGGTGACTACCCTCCCCGTGGACGCTATTAGTCGTAAATCTCTCTCTTCTGCGCAGGCTTCGGCGCGTCTTGAACAGCGCTTATAGTATCAGATCCCGGCCCATCTTCCGGACGGAAAGTCATGGCGATTGACGGATGTGCGGAACAAAGTGTGTACGGCACCTGGATGAGACTACTTCTACTGTTTCCTTAACTCGGACGGTTTTGCTTGGATCCATCGTGTATTTCTTCTGGCCCTTGCGTGGTTGCGGTTTGGCTGGCTGTGCGACTTCTGTAGTTGAGGCAGCCTTCTGCGGACCGTCCAAAAGATGCCCACCCAGGGTCTTCGCGCACCTAAAAGCTATGTATTGGGTGCATCATGGGCTTCTGCTTTTTCGCTATTAATGGATTATGCTTGGTATGTACATTAGTTCCCAGCTATGAGTATACACACAGTTCGCTGCACAAGAAGAAGCTGGGCAAATGAAATTGGTTGCATGGACAACACGACTGTGTGTAAACACCAGGTGTACCAGACACGGCTCAGTGACGGGCGGCGAGCTACGTCTCCTCAAAGATGGGATGACAGCAATATGCTATACTACACCTGCAAGTCAACACACTCTAAGCTAACAAGAAAGTGACAGGCTACGCGTTGGCAACGATCCTGTAAAGTGGCGCTGCACGGTTTCGTGACTTGCTTTTACCGTAGCCTAGAAGTCGAGAGCAAGGCGACGAAGAAATAGTGGATATGGGATGGTTCCTTCACCTCGATACCAAACTCCCGCTTACTATATAAAACCTTTTTGCCAGCTTCGCTCGATAGCTTCCACATCCTTACTCCATTCTTCACTCGTTCTCGGCTTTACTTTTGTAAGCACCGTTCTGTTCGTCCGTGGCACTTGTACTGATGTTGGTAGCAAAACACCCATGGCTCCCAAGTCCACACCCTTCAAACTCTCTGAGCCTGCCTCAGTACGCTTCTTCAACATCTTCCAAGATGAGGGACAACTCGAAACGACGCGGCGCTTCGCTGCCCCGCTTTCAAATGCAGATTACGACCCAAAGGACGAGAACTTCGACACCTCTCAAGTTCACCGCAGCAAAGCCGTCTCCAAGTTCGACAACAAGCCCACCACCAAGATCGAGTCTGCACCCTCAGTCAAGCGAATACCATTAGCCGATGTCACTCAGGCTACAGTCGGTCGCCCTCGCTCACTATCCGCTGCGTTAGCTGAAATCGCCAGGCTGGAGGACGAGCTCGAGGTTTCTAAGGGCAAAAACAAGGAGTTGAAGGGCGAGATCGTGGCGTACCAAGACGCGCTTCATCAGGCCGACGAGGATGCAGGTTACTTCTGAGCGCAGAGGTTGAGCTCTTCCTCTCGTGTGTACAGTGCTGAAGCTCATGATCAGCCGTGTCTCAGATATGTGTGTGGAACTTAGACATTGCTATGCCGCTTGTCGGCTAGAAGGCTAGGACTCGGTCCTGGCTCTAGAGACATCGGCGTTAAGGAGATGATACCCCATTACGATAACGACAATTCAATACGAGTATACGATATTTACATTTGCACCATGGTTTGCTTATCTTGAGTGATCCATGGATTGCGTGCCGCGCATGCCTTCCTTCCCTTCCAGACGCGTCGGTACTAGCGCGGTGCCACTTGTTCGCTTCGACTCACCTCAGTCCTACAACTTCTCGTCCTACATCAACGACACTCATTGTTGGCTCGAACAGCAACTCATCACTATTGCTAGCAGTACGAATAAATACCAACTGTGAAAAAAGACACCCTCAGCAAGTGAGGACAGGCCATACCTGTCGAGTGACACAGCCTTGTTTGCTCCGGCTATCCGCGTGCACCGACACCGCTCGAACAGTCCCCAGCCACGTCCAAGGATCTCAAACATTCTCTCATTGTCCTCATTGTCTCACACATTCGCTTCACCGTGATCTCAAGTTCAATAAATACGGTCGTTCCACTTTCACTTCACCTTCCCTGTGCTACCGATTCAACTCCTCGGCACTTTTCAACTATTGCAACAATTTCTACTACATCATCATCATGGAGTCTTCCGAGGGTCAGCTTGCGCTCATCAGAGTGTGGGCTAACGGTACGGACTTCGAGATCGACAACAGCAAATCACCAAAAGCCAACTTCGCAGGTCTAGCGAAGGCGCAAGGATGGGTTGGAGGTGACGCGAACTGGCGGCTGCACTGGGAGGCGTGTTTCAAGGAACCTTATCTGTTCGGTTGCCGTAGTGAGTACTTCACTTCTTGAAATGAGAATCGGCATAAATGAAATACTGATAACCTTCAGAAGGCTGCGAAACACCTGCCAAACCCGTCGCTACGCTGGGTTTAATGGAACGCTCGCGCCGCCGACTCTCCAGCAGCTCAGACAACTCTGCTGAATCTGCCGAGTCAGATTTTTCCTTCATCTCAGCAGCGCCTAGCATTCAGTCTCTAGACACTAATGGCTCAATCATCGGAGGCATCGTCCTTGGGCTTGAGTCTGTGTCACTTGAGAACACCGAGAATGCGCCGCCCACGGCTTCCACTACCGAGACCCAGCATTCCAGGACTCCAACCACGTTGGCCCTTTCCGCAGAAGACACCACAGCAGCAGTACAGTCTGGCGCCACAGACGATGACCAGTCCCCTCCCAAGGCCAGCCCCTTCTGGTATCAATATCCCGGCTTCGAACCGGATCCACGTGCGCCCTTCAAACATGAGCTTGGCCGCATGTGTAAGCATGTAGGTGCAAAGACCAAGAAGGAGAAGAAGGATCTACAGACCAAAGCGCTCACCGCGGAGATCAAGTACCACTATGGCGCCCACATGAGCAGGCTAGACCGCTGGCAGGAGCTGTGCGAGGAAGTTGGCATCGAGAAAATTCCTACTTCCATCACTCAGTGTCAGAAGGTATGTACAGGTCGTGCCTCCTAGTTCTATTCCATTCATGTAGGTCGTGGAGCATTGTTGACATGCCTCAGGTTCTGAAACCCGTCTTCGTCAACCTCTTCAACCTTGTTGATCATCGCCGTAACCCAGACCTCAAGGTACTGCGTTTCCAGTCGTACGGGGAGTTCAACAATTTCACTCGCAAGGGCCATGAGTTCCCACGGAACTGCGCAAAGCAGGAAGGGTTCATCAAGGTTCTATTGAAGAAGATGTAGGGCATTCTATGTTAGACATGCTTTCTGGGACCGAGGAGGAATCTGTTGATCTGGGCCGTAGCCTGGATCTACCTGACGAACATGATGATCGGGCGTCATGGGATTGGATTTTTTACATAACGACGGAGTTCAGGGTGCGAGGTGTAGGGTCGTGGTTAGAACCACACGACAACCCTGTAGGCATCCAAACAATGAATGTTTTTGCATAATCTACTATCATTACCACAATGGATGTCGCAAGATCCAATGTGGTGCTTCAAAATACAACTTGTTATCCGAGATACACCGATGATCAAAATACGCAACAGTCCGAATTTGGGTTGATTGCCACCAATGTTTGCACTTTGATGTCTAGTCTTAGAGAAATTCTCTGATGTCTTTCTCTACGACAGAGACCTTCAAACTGCCAAACATCAAATTACCGAACAGGTGTATTTTTCTCACGGTCGTGATTGTTTTGCGCCGATCTTTATGTCTCATTGAGAACAAAGGCGGCGAAACTTCCAGACTGATGTTGAGGGTCCTACCACGCCGCATGAGCCTTCACTTCACTGCACATCACCAGCTTGACTGAACCGCATGAGCCACTGCTTGGCGGCTGCAACAGCTATATATGTTATCGACTTACTGCCTTCTGCCATCCCACAGCATTAGTGACAACACTACCTACTGACAACCCTTTGGTCCACCACTACCTTTTAAATACATACCACAAGCGCAGATGGCTCACCGAAACCGTGGACGAGCTGGCGGAACGCGTGAATCTCAACGATCCGGCTAACGAGAAACTTGCTGATCAGTGACAGAGCATGGTGTACCACTACCTGGTGCAGCCGTTCCTTCCACCAACACCGACTCAGCATCGAGCCACGATCCCATGCCTGATGGTAGTGAATCTGGTTCTTCAAGTGTTGACGTGGGCTATTTCGCGCTGCATGGCATTACGTCCGGTCCCAACGACGACTTTAACTTCATGTTCAACCGATTAGCCATCAAGGAGGGGTGGTCGAAGACCCAGCGCAAGAAGCGTCGCCACGAAGCCATCGCAGGTGAGATCGAAGCGATCTACGGTGCCGATACAACGAAACTGGAGAAGTGGCAGGAGCTGTGTCGCGATGTCAGGATCGAACCTGTTCCGCAGTCCATCACTAAGTGCAAGAAGGTATGCAGGCCGAGCGATAATGTGGTCAGATCGTTCATTAACGTGACCTTAGGCTCTGGGCTCGGTCTACGTTAATCTCGTGAACCTCATCAACCACCGTCGCAACCGCAGTGTCCCTGTCATTCTCTTCCCAAACTATCAAGCATTCCGCACGTGGACGCTTGGCGGCAAGAAGTTCGGTGACCGCATCTTTCCGAAGAAGTTGGCGAAAGAAGAAGGCTTCGTCAAGGCGCTTCTTAAGGACTTGCATTTTCCATTTTGAAACAGCTTAGGTTGTGGGGTATCGAGTTGCATGGAAAGTGGGTTGTTCTAGACTGGCACTGTCAAGCCGGAGTTTTGATATATCAGTCGCTGGGGTTTGGGGATAACAGTGCTGTCAGGGTATGCTTCTGGTACACTGTTATAAGTCCATAACAACGTCGAATGTATAGATGACCAGGAACGTGTGTCCTTGTTTCTGCAGTGTCCGAACGTGGTATAGTGCCTTCGTCACTATATCAAACAAACGATGGATAGAGGAGAGAAACATGCTCGAAAGGTACTTCCAAATACATGACCGCTGGTAGCAGACTTGAGTCGAATAGCTTTGGAACAAAATTGGTTTTCTACTCTTTACTCTGATAGCGTTTTGTCTCATTCACGTGCTTCGTGGTCGCCGTAAGCTGCCGCCTTGCCGTAAAGCGACGTTGTCTAGAAGCGATGAGGTAGAGGCGATGTGCCTCCCAAGGGAACGTTTCCGGCACTTCTTACTTCCAAGCATGGAGTAAAAGACGACTCTGAAGCTCTTGCCAGCAAAGGTTGCTGCATTGTGTGTGCTAATCTGTCGTATCAGGCCTCGATCAGCATGTTCGAGCGGGGAGGACGTGAGTCTCATGAGCACCTCTCGAAGAGTCCAAACGTCGATTCTCACATCGAAAGCGATTCAACGCTCATGCAGGGACGCACACCAGGTCATCTGAAGCTTTGCCCGCATGTGAAGTAACAATTGACGCGTGAACCCCGGTGGTACTGACGGACGCCTTCCCACTGACAGAATTAGCGCGCTTGGCCCGGAAGTTGTTCCTTCGGTCTCGAATCCCCCGCCACTCCAATTCACGCTGTACAACACACAGCCTTGCTAGCAATCTATGAAATATTGCTCAAGGCCTCCAGATCACAATGCTTGTGCGTCTTGTATCATCTGCTACGCGTTTTGCGCGCTCCCACAGCTGTATAATCACTCTCACTTCACCATGAATATCCCTACTCTGTTTTGAACTGCTACCACGGCCTGCTAACGACCCACGGTCGCCGTCGCCATGATCACAAGTACAGTGCTCGAGGATGAAAATATCCAGCTCGAAGATGGCCGAAAGTTGTCATATGCGACGTATGGCAGTCCTGTGCCCCGCACCACGGTCATCTATATGCATGGCTTTCCCTCATCGCGGTACGAAGGGAAGCTATGGCATTCGGCATGCGCGAAGCGTATGATACGCCTCATAGCTCCGGATCGCCCCGGCATTGGGCTCTCAACATACCAGTCAAATCGCCGTATTCTCGATTGGCCCGCCGATATACTCGCACTCGCCGACCACCTTAAGATATCGCAGTTCTACATATTAGGTGTTAGTGGAGGGGCGCCTTATGCGCTGGCATGCATCAAGAGGATACCGAAAGAAAGGCTGCTGGGGGTGAGCGTGGTCAGCGGGATGTACCCTACAAAGTTCGGCACAGCGGGCATGATGCTACAGTCACGAATGTTGTACTGGATTGCTCCCTGGATGACGGGCCTCATTTCGTTCATTTTCGACACTAGCATGGGCAAGGCTGCAAGATGCTCTGACCCGCAAGTCTTCGAAGACATGCTGGAGCAGGAGGTCGAGAACTGGCATGCTGGCGACAAGGCTGCAATGAAAGACCCAAAGCACTGGCCGACTTTTGTCGCGATGATGCGAGAAGCTTTCGTGCACGGAAGCCGAGGCGCAAGCTGGGAGGCAAGGTTGGAGGGCAGCGAATGGGAGTTTGAGTTGAGTCAGCTGTGTATTGGTAGCAATATCGGCTGTCCACTCACACTATGGCATGGTACCGAGGATGTGAACTGTCCGGCAGCAATGGTGAAGAAGGCCAAGGCCCTGATGCCAGGTTCCAACTCGCATATGATGGAAGGGGAAGGTCATGTGAGTTTTATATTCAATAAGGCAGACGAGATACTGGAAGATCTCATAGGCGTCGAAGAGGAAGAGGATTTTATTCATATTGAGTAGGTACTCTATTCCGTTTTGTTGGTTCAGACATTATTGAGACTGTGGGGTGGTGATGATTTCTTGTTCTATCGCTTTATTGCTTGAATTTGAACTGAGATTGTTGAGTGTGGTATGGTGGATAAGGGTTTGGTAGCGAATCATCCGCTTCACACAACTACAGATAGTTCTACATGTCTCGGTACCTTCATTTCTACGTGTCTTATTCTTAGCGACGTTTCAAATATATGACTGTCGTACAATTTCAGCGTTCACCTAATCAGACACAAGGCTTCTTATATTTGTGCTTCATCGATGACTTGTATCAGCCTCCCGTGAATTTAAAAAAAAAATAGTATCAAGCAACAAGCCACGAACTTGCTACTACTCCCATCCATCACATTGAAGACCTCCAGGGTACCATATGCAGTAGCAAGAGTCTTCGACATCGAGCGACCCTTCTGGAAGACCTGCTACTGCTCCGAAGAAGGGTTGTTTCAGATGCACTGTGTACAGCCGTGTTCGAAATCATCGATTCACGAGAGCACTGCATCTGCTTCTTCCGACAGCCTCGAAGGCTTCTTGATTTTAGACGTAAGCTACACTACAGCTCTGATAGAGCCGCGCCACGTTTCAAATTGCGAGTCCTCTCTTACTTTCCCTTTCTTTCAGAGGGGTCGAAAAGCGTGATAGTTCGACCTTATATCATGGCTTCTTCGGTTGTCTTGGTCGTGGTGAAGGGAATTTGCTATTCGTCAGCGGTGACGCTGGGCATTATCGTTCGCTTTCACCTACGACAGACGAAAAGCAAATAGCAAAAAGATAAGCTGCCCCACCTACAGTTCGAACAGGAACTCAATCAAAACAAAAACAAAACATCCAACACCGTATAACGTAAATGTGTTAGATAATATTCTTTTGCATCTTGATATCTACATTCACTGGCAAACAGGAGGCGCCATCCATACCTACCTACTCTGGAACATCGTCTCGACTGTTGATGCCGATATGGTGATATTCATCCTTACGCTTCAGCTCCAAGGCCAGCTTGTTGAGTCCCGCTCTGATGTCCCAGATGAAGCAGTATACAGTCAGTCTCAGTCGGGAAAAAAAGGTGGAGCCATCAGGCACACATGCATGTTGTACCGTAACTACAGGGAGAAAGAGACGACATAAAGACTAGGTAGGTGTCGAGAGCAACAAAAGAGCAAAAAAGGATGTCGCACATTATACATGGCGGTACCGTGAATCGAACACGGGCTGGCGCGGATCTGGATCGGAACACTGAGTGTTCGCCAGCCACAACGCGACGTCATACCACTAGACAGTGGGGTTGTTAGAACGCTGCGAGGACAATGTAGGATAGTTAAACTTACCCATACCACCGAAGTGATGATTGATGAAAAGTCAGCAATTTATCTAAAATATATTGTGAAATATGGCATTAATAACCCTCGTAACAGTTCACAAACCGCTGCCATTGAGAAATTTGCAACAAGGTGAATGTAGTGGGGTAATTTTACGCACCCGAAGCGGGGTACAAGGTCTGTGCGTGCTATATGTGACGTGACAGGGACCACTCTAGGGCTCGTTGTTCTCTCGTTCGTTGCAACCTCGTCTAGCGCTTCGAGTCCTGCATGACCGATAATCATGTCGCGCCGTCAGTCGCGCAACAAATCGACAACATCATATCGTGTCGAGGAAGAATACTCTTTCCTCGATGAAGACGACGAGGATGCAGAGCTATCTCGATCGCGAAGACCAGTCATACAGGACGACGAGGAAGATGGCGACGATTTTATGCCTGACGCCAATGCAGAGGAGGAACAGGAAGACGACTTCGACGAAGAGCTCGTAGAGGAGGAGGAATCGGAAGATGAGGCGGCTGCAGACGAAGAAGCTTTGGCGCAGGAGTCGTCCAACATCGATGTTGATGATGTCGAAGTCACGCTCTTGCGTCCAACCACGGGCAAAGGAAAGAGCAAGCCTGTTACGCGCATCTTGCCACAAAGCCCAGCACCCAAAGCAGTTGCTCCGGTGCAAGTACCTCACAGCTTCGCTCGAAGTGGCGGGAGGAAAGTCAACATGGACGATGACAAGATGCGGTCTCGAGGTATCGCCGACTTCAGCAAGCAAGGAGGTCAGGAAGTACGGTTGAAGGATCTTTTTGGTCCTGCTCTTAGCGACCTCAAGCCAATTTTGAAGACCAGGGACGAATGGAGACTGCAAGAAACGTTGCCCATCCGGGACTCCGGATTGAAGAGAAGCCACTTCGAAAGCGAAGAGGCAAGAGCAAAAGACGAGAAGCTCATGCAGACATGGTACGCCAAAAGTGGACGAGAAGAATTCGCGGACGGTCAGAAGATTTCCATCCTGAGTCAAGAGCAAGGCGCTAAGTACATGCTCAATGACGGTGCTCAATCGATTAACGTCCTCATGGGCACAACCACTAACCCACAACAACATCCGCTCAGGAAGAATTCGTTCGTCAACGTCGCAGATCCCTTCGAAGACAAGGAGCAAAGACGGGGCTGGCTTTTCCATTTGGGAGCACGCGTTCAAGACGCTCAATGGATGACAAATGAAGACGGAGGCACACAGTATCTCGCTGTTGCTGTCGAGCAGAAAGACATGACAGCTCAACATCCAGCGCCAATGGAACAACCGACAGCGCCTGCCTTCTCTGCCACAAAGCCGTTCGCTGCATCGATCCAGATATGGGCGTTCGAGTCTACTGAGGAGCATGCACTTGACCCTTCAAAGAAACCGAGGCTTGCTCTGGTCATCTGCACCGACTGGGGCGCGCCAAAGCAATTCAGATGGTCTCCTATTGCGCTACATAATCGCCACGAGCCGTTGGGAGATGTTGAGACGGTCGACATTGGTTTTCTTGCGGGCATATGGTCAGACGGGCGAGTAAGAGTGCTCAACATCGAGATTCCCAAAACCGAGGCGCAAACATCTAATCCTATCTTCATGTACTTCGCGCAGGCAGCATTTGATGCTGCAATACCGCAAGCAGTTCCCACATGCCTCCAATGGCTCTCTGGCTCCACTCTCGCCGTTGGAACCTCTGCTGGCACGCTAGCCATCTGGACCTTGACACGCCCAGGAACCCTATCACGAACACCCTCAGAAGTCTGCATTCCTAGGCCCTGGTTCTATAAACAGATTGGAGACACCTACGTCCTGACACTCCTATCTGGCTGGCCGTCACAACCCCACTTTCTCTCAGCCAGCACAGCAGACGGCTTTGCACGACTCTACGACATCCGCTCCCCTGACGCGGACACCGTCGCTTCAGTCCGCGGACGCGTGCTAGTCGTCACTCAAGCATGGCACGATCACACCCAGTCCTTCATCATGCCGGACGAATACTACATACTGAAGCACAACAACATCCGTCGTTTCTATCATAACATCTACAGCGCGCGAGCGGAGAGCAGCATCGTGCGCGTCGCTGCGAGCCCAGTACATCCCGGTGTCCTGATTGGAGGTGCGAATGGGGCTGTGTTCGCGGCTAATCCTGTGGCGCGAGTGGTTAATACGAAGGTTGTACCGTGGCAGCAGAATTGGTTTGTGCACGAATGGAGACCGCCGGTGGAGAAGATGGTCGTCACGCCATCTGGTCAGAATTTCGAGATGCAAGACGAAGATTTCCAGGAAGTATCCAACCCTAATGCTGCTAAAGTACCGCCATCCGTCCTGTCTGTGCCAATGGTGCGCATTACGGAAGGTTACAGGGCTACACAGCCAGGGATTTCGTACTCTACCACATCGAGAAAGAAACCGGAGAACGAGACCAGTACGCTTATCACTATCTTCGAAGAGCAGTCCTCGATCAGTGCACTGGCGTGGAACCCAAACCTGAAGTTTGGGACCTGGGCCGTGGCAGGGATGAACAGTGGACTGCTGCGCGTGGAGGATGTTGGTGTCTAATCCGTTTCACCCAGATCTATACACAGGGCATCCAGAACTGGAAAAGAAATAACTCGTACTCATACGACATTAACTTCAGACCGTCTACCTCGCCTACCTCCTCTTCGCCGCCTTCTTCGCCCTTGCCTTCCGCGCCCTCTGCGCCCCCTCGCTATACTTACATTTCTTCTTGCCATATCCACACCAAGTCCCTTTTCGTTCAAAATTTCCAGTAGTTCTCTCTGTAGTCGATAGTCACTTCCTCACCTTCTCGTCCCCGTCTTCTAGTTTTACAAACAACCCTCGCCTCTTCTCCCACCCTCACAACCTGGAAAACTGCGTTGGCATTATACGAGTGATTAATGTACTTTGTCCAATCCCCGAAGCTGACAGAATCGACACATGCCATTGTTTCGTTGTCCTCATCGTTGATGTCAAAGAGGTATTTGCTGTCGGTCGAGACCTCTATGGGGATGAGTTCGCCGGCGTACTCACCGAGGATAAAGACGTTCTTGAAGGACTGGAGAGCGCAAGTCCCGATATTCAACATGTTGTCTAACCAACGTAAGTCGGTATTCTGCTCCCTCCATGCCACGGTATTCTGTGTATCCCAGGGCGTAGTCGTGCATTCACACAGTTCCTCCGTACTCTCGGCAACACCATTGCGCGAGGCACAAGACTCCTCTCACCCTTTTTTGCGCTTCAAAAAACTCCTCTTGGACTTCTGAACGGTCTTGTCACGTCTTTTTGGAGCCTTACTACTGTACAACACAGCCGTAAGCACACACCCCCGGAAACTCTAAACCAGCCGGGTACCCCCTCGGTCTCGTCCCGCCCTCCCAACGAGCAAGATCAATTATGTTCTCGGATATGCAGCGCGTATACTCTTTTCTATCTTTGTAGAAAGAGACTGCCTTGTGGATTGTGCGTCTCTCTTTGGCGCGGCCGGTGTGGCGTGTCACTGCTTCCTTAGCAGCTTGGGAGTATGAGAATGTGGGTAGACGATCGAGTTGCGCGGCAGCTTTTTGATAGCCATACTGAGATGTAGCTTCGGGAGTTTCTGCTTGTTGGTAGGCTCGCATGATGTAGAACTGTGCATTGTACTTGTATTAGGATGCTTCTAGGAGTGCTACTCTTGGATCACTACGACTAAGATGGAACAAAAAAAAACGATAGCAAAGACTACAACGCGCGCTTAATAAAGGGCTTGCACAAAGGCATCATGCTCTGCTGTTAAGAAAAAAGACGTTGTACAAAGTTCGGGAACCAGCCACAATGCATTGCCAACAACGGTGGGGTTGGCAGGTCGACTACGTCGATGAGGTAAATCAACATGACATACTGGAGCTGTGCAGTAAACATGTACTTACACAAGTTACTTCACACATTGCCTTACAACGACAAAGTACGTTGTGTATTACTTTTTCATTGCTAATGTCAAACAAGCTATGTAGACGCCAAACCTCCATTCCAGTTTCAGGGGCCAGGAGGAAAAGGAAATAGACCTCAGATGCCTACTTGAGGTCAAGGGAGTATCATCGTAAAGCTAATCTTACAGGATCCTAACGTGATCCGCTTTTAACCATCAATACCATAGTCGTAATCGTGTCATAAATCGTCTGGTAGCCATCAAGGCTGAACGATGCTTGTCGGAGGCGATCATGAAGACGAGTTGTTTACAACTCATCCTTAGCGGCGGAAGAAGCCTTGGAGGCCTTAGCGCTGGCAGAGCTGGCGGAGGCACCGGCGGCATTGTAACCGGACTGAGCAGACTTGGAGGCAACGGAGGCGGCGCTCTGAGCGGACTTAGACGCATCGGCGGAAGCAGAAGCAGCCGACTTAGAGATGGAAGAGGAAGACGAAGAAGCAGCCTTAGCAGCGGCGCCAGTGGCGGATTTGACCTGACCGGTAGCAGAGCTGGCGGAAGCGGCAGCAACCTTAGAGGCGGAGCTAGCAGAGGCAGCGGCGGCGTCAGTGGCGATGCCGAACTGGTTCTTGATCACGTTGGTGTAGTAAGCGAAGCCAGCGGTGGCCCCGGAAGCAGCGCTGTTGACGTTGGAGGTGGCAGCGCCGTAGGCAGAGGCAGCAGTAGCAGAAGCAGAGTCACCGTAGAGACGGGCACGATGCTTGCGAGCGAGAGCAATGAGCTCATTGCGCTTGGAGCCCTGGGGAACCTTGATGCCGTTCTTGTCAGCCCACTCCTTGATCTGGGAGTCGGACCATGAGTCAAGGAGAGCATCGCTCAAGCTCTGCTGGGCAGCGGCGGCGGATGAAGAGACCTGAGCGTAGGCACCCTGAGCGTTCTGGCTAGCAAGGCGAGACTGGCGGCGGAGGCTGGCAATGAGAGAGTCACGGGTGGACGGCTGGGGAACGTTGTAGCCACGCTCGTCGAACCAGGCCTTGAGGTCGGAGTCAGACCACGAAGCGTAGAGCCAGTCACCCGGGTAATTGGCAGTCTCGGAGGCCTTGTCGGCAGCAGACTGGTAATTCTCGCGGACAGTCTTCAGAAGAGAGTCACGCTGGCGGGGCTGGGGAACAGGAATGCCGTTCTTGTCGGCGAAAGCTTTAAGCTGAGAGTCAGTCCAGCTGTGGAATGTTAGTATATGGCGCCAATAAGTGTAGATGTGATGCTTACGAATCGAAGATCCAGTCCTTAACGTTGCCGTACGCCTGGTTGGCAGAGTCCTCAGTCTCGTACCAGTAGGCCTTGACCTGCTCGGCAAGGCTCTTTGCGTCGTTCTCGGTACCCTTCTTCGCCTGCTGGCCGCGGGCAGTCAGGTAGTTGGAGAGAGACTTAGCATCCCAGCTTGTATAAGGGTTGACGGTCTTGTCGTTCCAGTTGTCGGCGACGGTCTTCTGAAGGTTCTTGCGGTCAGAAGGGCTGGGGTGGGGGATGTTGTTGTCCGACAGCCAGCGCTCGAGCTCCGTCTCGTGCCACTTGTCGTACACTGCTTGATGGTGTTAGCAAGAGCATGTGGAGCCGGTACACGAGAGCATCAGAGAGAGGCTCCCAGACTACGCACCAGACTTGCCGAACCAGCTGTTTGCTGTGGCCTGAGCAGCCAGAGTCACCACCAGGGTGGAAGCAAGGGAGAACTTCATGTTGATTGGTCAATCAGTTCTCTGTCGTGATAGCGATGAGGTGATTGATGAGGAGATGCTGTTATTAGGGTGGGCAGCGATGAGAGATAGAGTTTGGTGGTGGGAAGGCGCAGCAGCTTTAAGAGGGGAGCACAAATGGCTGGCGAGTAGAGCACAGTGCGGTGACGTACGTTGCCTGTCACCTCTAGTGCGCAAACAAGGTCAAGCTCACCTGCTGCGGGCCACTAGCCAATGGGAAGGCGTTACCCTCCTATCACAGACGCGGACATCGCGTTTCTCTTGCACAATATTGTGGAATCTTTCACGAGCCAGACCCTGCTCGCACAATGCTTGTGGAGCGAAGGATGACGATCCGCGGCTTGACATAAATCTCCACCCGCTCAGAAAAGCAGTGACGCTGTGCCCCGTCGTTCTGTCTTCTTTGAGGCTTCCTTGCGGGCTGCAACGTGTTGTTATGGCATTTCGAGAATCTGCATCATGATCGCGCATTGTGGGGAAGCCGCTGATGTCATGGGGATCCGTGCTGAAGCTATGGCCTCCTGGGCTAGAACATACGATGGAGGAGGCGAGGCGAGTGTTGCACGAAAGACAGGATGTTTGCATGGCACGGTGTTGTCAATGTCTGACTGCATGCCTCCTAGAGGCTGCATCAGAGCTGTGTTCGTAGCAGAGGTCACACGCGATCATAGGTTGTAAAGTGCAGTCCATAAAGACTTGGTAGATGCATTGGTTGATTCATCTCATTTAGACGCCTCCCGTGCGTATACATATTCGTACAGTGCCATTGATTCTTAGGTCTTAGACGTGCCCAACGAGCTTCTTTACGGTTCACGGTCCCGTCCGCCTTGTCCTGCAATATATTAGCCGGTTGCCTCTACACCATCAAAGTATGATCGTGACTTACCAGCCCAAAAGCTCTTTGGTACCTTGTCCTTCTCCGCGTCCTCGTTACTGACCTGCTCATGCGCCTTCTCAGCCCTCTGATCCATCTCCTTGTTGTGCTGCTTCACCTCCTCGCTGTCCGTCGCAGGGGGGTTTGCGTTCAGAATCTTGGGCTGGGCACCGTTGACTGACTTACCGTCGCCTCCGCCGGTCTTCGCGGTTCTGTCGTTCGACTGGCTCTGCTCTGATGGCTTCGATTCGGACGATGATTTGCCGGACGATGAGCTGGAGTCTTCATTGGGCGACGAAGAAGACTGCCCGCGAGCGACTTTGGGTGGTGGTGGGCCAGGGTGCTCAATGTTCTCGCTAGGGTTCTGTCCTTGTTGCTGCGGCTTCTCGCCAGCTGGGTTGCCTTCGCCGGAGCCGTAGTCCTGTGTAGCAAAGCGGACCTGAGGGCGTGCAAAGAATGCTGGACGGACAGCTGCTGGGCGAGCTGCCGAGCGTAGAAGGGATGCTGATCGTAGGAAAGACATGATGTGTGATGAGTTGGTCGATGGGAAGTAACAAAAGTGAAGAAGTTTGGTGGATGTTGAAGCTGAAGCTCCAAGATCTTTAGCACAATGAGGTATCTTGGGGGTGACATCATTACATGTAACCAGTGGGATCTACGCGCACCAACCGCCAACGTCACTCACATTTCACGAATGAAGAATGTCTCTGTCGATCTTGCACGCTCGTATCTTTGTGAAAGTTCAGATAGAATATCTGAATTGATGAATGAAGGGTATCGCATGCCTCACCTCCATAACCACTCCGTCCCAAGCAACTAAGCAACTAAGCAATATATCCAAAATGCTCCATATGCACCTTCGCTAACATGCAAAGCAATCAAGATATACAAGACAAAATTATTGACAAACGTATATGTTCAATCAATGCCAATCATCGTTCCATCGCATCTCCAGTCATCGACTTCTACGCCTTCTGCTTGCGTGTTGGTCGCCTCAGGGTCGACCTTGACGTGGCTGAGCCAGGTTCCTACTCTATTTGCTCCGCGCTTTGTGCCATCAAGGGACAGGCCGGCCATGGCAGATGAAGGCGCTTCCGCTGGTACATGTCGAGCTACTGGGGCTGACGCTGGGGCTTCACGCACCACGCGGCGGCTGGTGAAGTAGGACTGGCGAGGAGGAGGAACTTGTACAGGTCTGTGTGCGGCAGAGGTGATAACAGGGCGGACTTGGTAGGAATCATTCATATGATGTCGGCCGGAGTTGCCGAGACCATAGACTTCGACATTTGCATGATCGCCGCGGTTAAGACTCGACGCTGCGATGTTAGGCGGATGCAGGTGGTGTTGAGACTGTAAGTGAGCAGCTAAAGCTCCGTCTGCACGGTCTCGAGGGCGATCGCGTTCGCTGCGATGTCGAGTACGGCTAGTACGTGTGCTGGATCGGCGGGCAAGAGGGGGGGAAGGCTCCTCGGTAATCTCAATGACCTCTACGCCGTTGTCATGCCTACTGTAGGGTACACGCATTTCGTCCAGGCGGTCCTCGTCTGGAAGGTGCGAGTAATCGAACCAGGGGCAGTTACATGTCTTCCAAGGCAAAGCGCAGACCATACAGAACTGAGCGTTGCAACGGCTGTGGAGTATCAGTGAAAGCCTAGAATCTACGCCAGGGCTGAACTTACCAAGTCATGTGGTTGCAACCTTCTTTCAGCTCGACCACAGCCCTACAATTGTAACATCTCTGCCAGCCCTTCTCCTTCGCCATCTGCACTAGACGAGTGGTCTCTTCGTCCTTCGGGCACTCCCTTCTTGTGTGATACTTACTGTTGCAGTGGACACATACCTTGGTGCTGCATCGGCCACAACGAGCATACTTTCTTCCGGTGGTTAGGTCAACACGAACCCTGCCCGGTTTGATCCATTCACCGCAGCCTTTCGCAGGGCAGTAGAGTCTTTTAGTAGTGTTGTACTCTTCAAACTTCTGATTCCAGAGTCTCTTGAATTTATCGTCGAACAAGCGATCGACGTGTTTCAATGGAATGTGATTGTTGGTGCAGCACCGTGGGGGCATGTGCTGTGGGTCTTTAACAGAGAGAGTAAATTGACGCTTCAAGCATGCGTGACACATGCGATGGCCACAAGCGAGCTTTGCCGTCTTGTTAATAGGAAGGTCGTCGTTCATGCAGATAAGGCAATCAACCCTATTGTAAGGTCAGCGCAGTTTGCGATGCAGCCGCAGGGCATATCTACCTTTGAATTTCCTTTATGGATGGCGAACGCGGTCCTGCTCTGAAGAAGGTCGAGAAGATGCCTCCAGAGTTCCTTCGTGTGGGCTGCTCTCTGGTGGAATAAGACCTTACAACGGGGGAGGCAGCAGGAACAGCTGACAACTTGACGACACTTGGACGTCGAGCCGGTCTGGTCGACATGTATCTGTTGCTTGGCTCTCGCGCAGAGACGCTTCTAGTTCTAGTGAGCTGCTGCTGCTGTCTGTCTGTCGACATATGATAAGCCTACCTGCCCAGTTTTGGTTCGTCAACCCGGCGTGAGGAGCCGGACCCAGACCGAGGTGTATATGCAGTTCGACTTGAGGACCCGCCTTCATCACTTCTTTTGCGCCCTGAAGACCTTCTAACTTCACTCGACTTGGGGCGGCCATATACGTAGTCCTCATCCCCACCAACTTCAATCACTTCCCTCTTCTTCTTTGTTTTGCGCGTGCCATCTCGCCTCAACTCCCGATGGCTGCTGCGAGGTTCCTTTACGCGCTCTACTCTGATCTCCTGTGCCATACGATCCTGGTCACGGTATCGATCACTCTCAGGCCTTGAGTAGTAACTAGCCCGCCGCGTTCTTAGGGCATCTAGATCGACTTCTGCCTCTCGTCGTGCCTCCTCTGCTCGTCGACGTTCCCTGCGCTCTCGCTTGGCTGCGTACTCGTCGTCGCCGTAGTCGCGACTTCGGTGGCGGCGGTGATGTCTGCTTTCTCGGTCGTCTCGCGAATATTCGTCGGCGTATTGGTATCGTGTGCCTGCCTCATCGCGATTCCCCATCCCCGGCAACGTGCAGGGTTATATCGCGTACCTGGGCGACGCCAGCCTACGAAGTCACAGGTTCTGGCAGACCTCAGGCAGGCGTGCAGGTGGACGTGCAGGAGAGGGGTTGGGTAGTAGTGTCTGTGGGCGTGATTGACGAACAGCCACCTGCAAGCAGGTCGAGCGTGCCCGAGCGTGCATGAGACGAACTGCACACTCCAACCAGCGACCGCCGCGTTGGGCGGTGAAGCGTGATAGAGAGCAGCGTGGACGGTCTCCTGGATGATCAGTGTGCCCGCCGGTGCCTTCCCAGCCGCCCGCTTCAAGGACTTCGCTAAGGATAAGATTCGTCTAGCGGCGGCAGGGGTACCGTTGGGTGCATGTCAGGTGTCGACGTGATGGCTGCCAGCTGTTCAGAGGCAGACAACAGGTGATAAAGAACATGTCGCCTGCAAACGGTACGTATGCATTGTTGGGTGTGCCCGCAGAAAGTGCCACCAATCGTGGAACAAGCGGCAAACTTAACGCAGGGTACTCAGTATTCGTCAGAGTTTGTCGCACTGCCCCTTTTGGGCTGCAAGCTGAAATGCAATCTGCTGAGTCGAGTCGCCACAAAGATGCGGAGGGTTTATTGCATATTTGCTGAGGTGCGACAATGCCCAGTTATGACAATCGTCGTCCTTCAGTCCCTCTCCAGCGTAACCTGGGTAGAAACCTCCCACTTCTGTCCTCCACTGCCATAGCTTCCACCCAAACGATTTCGTACCATGCTGCCGATCCGGTCGCGCAAACGTCCTATCTCGTCGAGATTGCGTACTCGGACCTTCAAGTTTGCCTGACATAGACCGTAGTGTACCTGCCAGAACTTCGCCTCTTCGACTGCGCTCACAGCTGGGTCCGTTTCGATGTCGGACATGACGTCTGATACTCCTGGACCCGAGTAGGACATCAGCAGCATCTTGCCCAGTGTCCATCCCTGAATCCATCCCAATGCGACCATGCAAATTGCGACAGAAAACGACAAAGTGCGGTCCAGCCATACGTACATCTGTATACTCAGCAGAGGAAGAAGTAGCAACAAGGCTGAGCAAGATAGTGTGAGAAAATGAGAAGGGTTGCTCAGGACTGAAGGCAGGTTTGCAATCGCGCCCAGTCTCATCACTTTGCCAATGCGAGCGTGATTCTTCAGCAGGATAGCTGAAACGAGCGTTGAAACGATACCGCTCAGAGCCGAGAGATCGATGCTGCCAGGAGAGACTCGCTCATGCGCGCCCGCATGGTGCGCAGTGTGTCCACCAGTATTCTCCAGAGCATGAGTAAGACCATGGGAAATGAGGTCTAAACCCATGAATAGAAGGCCAACAGACATTCCCAATCCTGCTATAACTTCCAGACGTTCGAATCCAAACGGATGGCGAATGCTGGAGCGCTTCCAGACCTCAAAGTTCGATCCAACATCGACTGCAACGCACAGGAAGGCACCAATTGCATCGTAGAATATAAGACGAGACAGCACCGTGAGTGCCAGAGACTCGTGAGAGCCCCATTGTACGAGCCCTGCCACGAGTAAATGGCCGAAACACCAGGCTAATCGTAACTTTTGGTCCTTTGACATGGACGATCGATACTCTTTGAACGTTGGGATCGGTAGGGAAGCAGGGAGTTGGAGAGGAGCGCGAGGCGCTGGCTCGAGGAAGATCTGGTGGGATACGCTGCTGTGCTTGTACTTGTGTCCTCGTCTTCTTCCGATATCCTACAATAATCAGCAAGAGCTTGAATGGTATAGTGAATAACTTACATTTTGCTTTGCTTGCGGCCGGCCAGGCTGGTAGGTCACCGACTGGAAGTTGAATGGATTGCGCGCATTCTCTGTGCCACTCATTGAAGACGTGTCCATGTCTGTCCCACTCAAGGCGCTGGCAGGAGTGTATGGGAATGTTGCGCTCGCTGGTGTATACAGGGTTGTCGGCGTCGCACGCTGCGAGACAGAGTCGCTGGGTCCCAGAGTCGCATACTGCTTGCTAGGAAAGGTCGCCGACATTGGAGAGAGCGCGTTCGGGTCGAATCCTAGCCCTCCAGTGGACAGCTCGCCTTCAAATCCAAGTCCAACGGGCTGTTGCGGCGCGTCTTCATCAGGAGGCGGTGTTGGCGTCCTGGGAGGCAAGGGCATGGGCATATTCGAAGCCATGGCAGCTGCTCAATATGCGACGGCTGTTAGGACGGTGGGCTCAGCGACGACACATACGTCCAGGGACTCGCAAATAAGAGAGCCAGATTGACCCCAGACGGGAGGTGGAGGGGAAATTGGGGGATGCCTTCCACATGCAGATTGATCGTATTCGGAGTGGACCGCTGCACCAATCACTAGCCTCCGAGGCCGCACCAGGGGTTGATTGAGGCTAATGAACGTCACCGGCCGCGTTGTTTGGGACGATAATGCGCTACACCTTCGTTGTTCTTGATAGATTGGTCGCGAAACATGACACTTCTGACTTGACAGGCGCACCATATGGCCTGTGTGCTTGCAAACAATGGAACATGGGAACGGCCCACAGCGACACGGAAGTGATGACGCAACGCGATCCAAGGAGGACAAGTTGAAGGGAAACACTCAAGATAAGGAAAAGCCAGAGCACAAGCGCAGCAAGTCCGGAGGGATTCTGGGCAGTCTTTCATTCCTGAGGTCAAAAAATGTCGGAAGAAAACCAGTGCTGAAGCTGGAGGTAGATGATGAAGGTCAGATGGAGGACACAGAGTCTATACAGGGACGCTCCTCCCTTGCGACTGCCTTGCGCCAGAATGGGCAGGCTCGAAAGAGAAAAGGTTCACTGAGGAAGGCAGCCATGGCGAAGATGCGCGAACGCAGTGGCTCGCTGCGCAAGGACCGGACGCCTGTGAAGCCGCCCATCATCACCACGACCATGAGCACGACTTCGCTCGAAGACGACGACACGACTCCCCGCCGCTTCAGCTACGAGAACGCTCCTCTCAACTCGTCCTCAGATAGTGGATGGCTGTTGCCTGAAAGCACGCTGTCTCAGTCTACGCTTGCACCTGGTCTTGAAGCTGCTGAACGCCCGCGACTCCTCGCATCGCCTATTACAAGCCCAGTCGGCCCATACGCATCAACGACAGACGAAGACGAAGCACTCTCATTTTATCGACCTCCAATGTCTGGAAGCAGCAACACTCTGTACAGCCTGTCTGCGCAAGACCCCACCGTTCAGCGCCGGCGCTCAAATCGATCTGACCGACGAACATCGCTGACGACAGTCCAGACGCCCGCGGACCTCGAGGCCGAAGACGAATGGGACTACAGTGAGACAGAGTGGTGGGGCTGGGTTGTGCTCATTGTGACATGGGTTGTTTTTGTGGTAGGAATGGGCTCGTGTCTTGGAGTCTGGAGCTGGGCTTGGGATGTTGGTGAGACGCCGTATGCGCCGCCGGAACTGGAAGACGATGAGTCGCTACCCATTGTGGGATACTACCCGGCGCTGATAGTGTGTACGGCGGTGATGAGCTGGGTTTGGGTGGTGATAGCGTGGGTGGGCATGAAGTACTTTCGACATTCGAAGATGGTCGGAGACGACTGACGCAACCATCAATACAACGCAACAGTATCGAGGCTCGTTCCCTGCAAGTCTGTGACAAAAGCATGCATGTGCTCGCAAGTCCAAGGAGGGCGAACTGCGGACAACAAAAACAATTGTACCACTCGTACAGCAAGCTTAGAGACATTCAAATAACATGCTTCCATGCCAAAATGGCAAAAAGAATGTTGGAATGATCCCGGGCTAGCCGGGCACTGAAGCTTGTCGCTTCTGTGGATCGAACACAGTACCTCCAGATTTAATGACTGAACTTCAGTCTGGCGCTCTCCCAAGTGAGCTAAAGCGACCTGATTAATTTGATGAAAGAGCTCGTCTTAATTATAAATATAATGTTGAGAAAACAGCAAGCTTAAGGAGCGTTCTTCATTTCTTCTGTGTAGATATCCGTTGCACTCAAACCGACACGCGATCCCTCCATTGTGGGGTATGGGAGTCCTTAGATGCATGCTAGGCGCGTCAACTGACGCCGCGCTAGGTATGACACGCCATCGCGAACTTTCAACGCGAGGTTCGAAGCTTCATCACTCAACGAACCACCGCACCCTAAACGCACGACCATCACTCACAGTTGCGGCGCATTATGCAGCCCTCACCGCTCGCCAACCCGCTGGCTGCTGTAGCCCAGCTTGAGACCTCCGGATCGCGGCTCGACGGAATACCTCAAGATCTCGAAGACTCAGTTCGCTATGCTGGCGCACGACTTACACAAGCTGCTGGTGTACTGCTCAGGCTGCCACAGGAGGTTATCGCGCAAGCCATCATTGTGTTCATGAGGTTTTGGGTTGGTGCAGAAGGCGGGAGTCTGGCTGAGTTTGGTGCTGGGGCAAGTCAATCGTCCTTACAGCGCATGTAGCTACAGCTATACTGACAGCGTTGCAGCAAGTGTCAGCTTCCTCACTATGCCTTGTCACGAAGCTCTCTGCATACCCCAAGTCGGCGCGTAGTCTCGTCAACGTCTATGCCTACCTTGATGCGTTCCCTCTCCCTCCAATGCACACCGAACCAAAAGAGGGCAAGGCCGAGATGTACTATGTCTCTGAAGGCACATACGAGCGTCGACGAGCCTCACTTTTCGAGACCGAGCAGCGCATCTTGAAGACACTCGGCTTTCAGGTGCAAGCAAATCTACCGTATACCCTCTGCATCACCTACATGCAGGCGCTGGACGTCTTCACGCACCCACGCGTTTCAGAGCTCGCCAAACGCGCTATTGCGCACCTCAACACTGCTTTGTTGAGCCCTCAGCTTCTGTACCTTACACACCAACCCCCAAGCCTGGCGATCGCAGCGATATATCTGGCAGCGAGGGAAGCAGGCATCAAGCTGCCAGAAGCTGAGTGGTGGGAAGTCTTTGATACAGACAGAGAAGAGCTCGGCTTTCTCTGTGTAGGATTCTTGAGTACGGAAGGATTTGCAGAGCAAGAGAAGGAAAGATGGGCTGGGCGAAGGGTACCTCTGACGGTTGAAGAAGTGAACGCTGAGATCAAGAGGCGGAATGAGGAGAGCGATGCGTAAGAGATGACGGATATAATGGCTCTATCGACCGCTCACCACAGAGACCCACGTGCGCCTTCATCACAAGCTAGCGACTGGTGTGCGCAGGTTTAAGATTGACCCCGTTCCAGGGCTGGATCGTCACAATGTGTGGTGTCCGGCGACACTGTTGCGAGGTTGTTTCCAGGGCCTTCACTGTGCACATGCATTATTCGCGAACAACTCTGTAAAGTTCCACCGACTTCGCTGTGCGCAACAATACCTTTGTCCTCAACAATCACGATACCCTCACATACGAGCAGCGGAACACCCCATATCATTCTACTTGGCTTTAAAATAGGATCAACCGTCGAATTCGCAATAATGGCAACATCACAACCGGTCTGTGACGGCTCAGAGTATGGATGTGATCACGATGAAGGCCCCACAGTGGCTGCTTCGCACGTCAATTCAATCGAGCTGAATAGTGTTCCATCCTCGCATACGGTGCCACAGGACTTAGGCCCAACCGATCTTGAGTTTATTGCAGGACTCACTCTCAAGTTCTCTCCATGCCAACGGAACGATTGCTCGAGTGCAGCCAACCGACAACTCCTACCACTGGGAGGTTCCTGCAGGTTCCCGCAGCAACATATACTCGTGGGCCAAAGCTTCCCGGGTCCGTACAAACGAGATAGTTCGATAGCAGGCTGGCACTCTGAAACGCAACACTGCTGTTCGACGGAGCTGCAAAGAACGTATGGCATCAAAAGCCGATGGTGCAGTGGGTGCACTGTCAGCTACATCTGCTTCCACTGTTGAAGGTAGCGGCACTCACCATGACCAGGTACTGTCCAAGCTCAAGATGTATCGTAGCTTCAGTTTCGAAGAAGAGGAGCGATGTGGGGACCTGAGTGTCACCTGGGAACAGGATGAGGAAGAGGCTGCGTCAAAGCCAGTAACCCGTGTCGATTCGGGAGTTGGACGACTTTCTGGAGGACGAAGCACGCGCTTTCATGAGGAGCTGGAGGAACGACCTCGCATTGCTCGCACCTTCTTACAGATCTTGGGTAGTGAGCCTTTCGTTTCCACTGCTCTGTTGGAGGACGAGTAAATCTGCACAGGATCGTGTGGGTAGTCAGTCACTCAGTGAACATACTGTGGTCAAACCAAAGGTTACTTATTGACTCTGCGATTGAAATTCATTCCTTTGGCTTTTAGGAGTCCTCTATCACTTGACCGATCTGTAGTTTCATTTCAAAGGGCGCTTTTGGTATACGTGGGTTGCAGCTAGAAAGCAAGTGCAAGGCAGTTGTTTGCTTTAGCAGGCAAGGTAAGAGCACCTGCCCTCAGTCCGCAAAGCAATCGGTATTACCAAACCCCATCACTCTTACACCACCATCGAATCATTCGTATCGCTACACACATCGTTTGCCATTCACTGCAATTAATTTAGCATCAAATATCTTGTCTCAAACTCGCCACAATGTCTCGTTCCATCATTGGCGGCACATACTCGCTCTTCGCCGCGACAACCTCGTACCAACGTTAGAACCACGGCCAATGGAATATACCACGGGCGATTGCCGCGCGACATTAAACACCAACTACGAAACTGAAAGCATTATGCAAGATCAGCTGAGGCCAAGGATCAGACCACATGCTAAACAACCCAGCAGTTCGTCTATTTCACAGGAACAAGTCAACTACAACGATGCCTCACGAAACCTCTGCCACTCACTCTAATCAAAAGCATTCGGGCTCCAGGCTTGGCTCGACCTCTATCCACTCATGGAAAATACACCGATCCGCAAGCCCGACGCCCGTCTCACGGCTCGTATCGACAAAGTCAAAGAGATTCTCGAATCCATCAAATGGAAGATCGACATTCGACGTCAACATTAGACTACAACGTAGAGAACGGTTGAAGTTCGAACTTGAGCACCCATTATAGGCTAGTCATTCTTGAACTGACCTGAATAATCTACTTGAATTCAATGCTACGGCCTTGATGTTTGCCCGGGTTATCTGTGATCTTTGTGAGGCGGACCTTAGTCTCGGTATTACTACACGATCTTCACGTAGCCACTGCTGCTGCCACTGCAAACGTGATTGCCGGATTAGACACGAGTTGACATCCTCAGGTACTTTGCTTATCACGTTAAAGTTGTCTGACCTACGAAGATGGCCAGGTCGTGTACGCTTCCTGGTACGTAGAGGTCCAGCGTTGAGCCGCGCATATCCTATGGAGGATATGAAGTCGACGACCTGGAAGAGTAGCCGGGTATCAAGCTCACCAAATATATTGACCAAACACAGCACTAGAGGGATCATCTGTTCTGTATATTTAGATGGTTTTACATCACCCTTTGCCGAAATGCCACGCCCGACAGGGTATCATGTCTGAAAGTAGCTCTAACACGTCTCAAAGGGCTCCGAGACTGTTACCCATTGACTGAAACTGTAAGGAGGCAAACTGAAAGTCAATTCGAGACTACGGTGCATGATGCGATCATGGAGACAAGGAACATCGTCGACACAGTGACTTGGTATTTGTACCATTAGATGGACTAAATGTACTGAGTAATCGCTCCTTCTTTGGAACCCTAGAAGATCTTCTTTCGATGCCGCATAATCACAGGATCTTCGCATAACGCCTCGAGGAAGATTGACCTCACCGACCCGGCCCCTTCCTGAAATATAGTCTTCCACCTGATAACGCAACACTGAACGATGTACAAGTAAGCATTGCGCTCATCTTCGAATACTGGGTGTGGCGCGTTTCATCATTGGTGGTTTGACAACCGCTGACCTAGGCGCCAGATTCTTGCTGGCGAAGAACTTGTGTGCGAGAGCTTCTTTGGGCTGGATGCGCTTCTCAACGTTCATGTGGAGAGATCCATTGAGCAGATCGGCAAAGTCGTTCAGCTCAGCGACAGTAGGGCCGCCTTGAGCAATGCCTCGGGCAGCGTCGTGAACTCTGGTTTTGATGTCGCGGCTGATTTTCTTCTGCTGTTCGATCTTGCGGACAGAGAGCTACATAATGTTAGCGTATGTTCTATGGAAAGTCTTGTGCCGAGACATACCTGATTGTACTGGTCCACCTCACGACTGATGAATTTCAGCGGTGGTCCAGCTTCAAAGTGTTCGAGAACGTTGTTCAGAAGTCCCTTCTTCAACAGCTTCTCACTTGGCCAACCAAGACAGTCCATGAAAGCCTTGATCATCTGATTGTTCGACCGCCCAGTGAACAAAATCTTGCCAGTCCAGAGTTCGTAGACAGTGCAACCCACAGCCCACATGTCAACTGGATAGCCTATGTCCATACCCAGGATGATCTCAGGCGCACGGTAGAACCTACTGACCAGGTATTCAGTGCGTTCAATGACGTCTCGCTTGTCGACTGCAGTACCAAAATCAGCCAGCTTGACAGTCTTCTTATCGGCAGATACAAGCACATTGTCGGGCTTCAAATCCAGGTGGATGACTTGGCAGTTCTGCAAATGTTGCAAACCAAGAAACATCTGCCGTGCGTACGTTTTCACGGCTGGTAGTGCAAGTCCGTGGCCATTCGTCTCTTCCTTGAGCAGATCTCTCAAGTTCTTGGACATGTGCTCGAAGATGATGCATAGATGGCCCTTGTGATCGAAGGAACCCAAAAGTCGAATAATGTGCCGCTTGTCCTGTGGATCTGCTTCGTTGACCTGTTGCAGGAAGTCCATCTCCTTCTGACTAGCTTTTCTCATCAGTTCGTTCCTGCGAATCATCTTGATAGCAACAAGCCTGCCGTGCTGGTCACTGCCATCTAATGTAACTTCTTCAGCCTGCGCAACGTTGGCGAAAACACCTCGACCCAGAGTCTTGATCATGCGATGGCGACCACCATTCACTAACTCATTATTGATGATCTTGTAATATCCTTCCGGGTCGTCCCAGTTTTCGAGAAGCTTTTCGTCCAACACAGTCCCCTTTGCTGGACCTTCTTGTTCTGGCTCGACGTCTTCACCCTCATCTTCGTTGTCGCTGAAATCGAACATATCGAAGACCTTCTTCTGCTTCTTTACTGAGGCTACCTTTTCGGCTGGCAGGGTAGAAAGGACTTTAGGGTCGGTCTCGTTGTAGGCATCGGACGGTAGATCTGAATTGGTGTTCTTCTTGAGTGCACGATTGCGATCATCCAACATGTCCTGAGTAGGGTCGTAGTCAGCTGCTGAGGGACTGGCCACCGCAGGGCTATTTCCACGACTGTCTTGAGCCTGTTTGTCGATGATCATAACATCTGGAGATGCTGGGACAGAGTCTAGATCGCCTGCGCGAGGAGAGGGAAAGGGCGATATCGAAGTGTCGAGAGGTGCTGGAGAGCCGACGTTAGGAGTGGTGTTTTCAGAGGCGTTAGTAAGCACTGCTTGTTGCAAAAGGTTCTCTTTGGGCTTCTGCTCAGCTGCAGCACGAATGGCAGCCCACCTGCGACGTTTCTCTTCGCGAGTTTCCTGTGTTGGAGCCTTGTCTTCGACAGGTGCTAATGTGATTTCGGGTTCATCTTGAACATTACTCCTGGTATGTGTTAGCCTTGAGTACAAATCGCTCAAAGGCGCTCCCACATACATTTCAACGTCCTTCCTCTCTGCCTTCGCCAAGTTCCCTGCATCTGGTCCAATATTGAGCTTCTGTGTGTCGCGCGTCACCTGTTGACTAGGAGTTTCGAGTCTACGGGTGTTGTTACTCTGCTTAGTATTGCGATTGCCAGCAACTATACTGTCGTTGAAGCCAGGCACGGTAGGAGTCTGGTTGTCAATCTCGGCATACGAGATAGGCTTGACATGAGGTCTCTCAGTCGGTTCCTGCGAGGCTTTTACAAAGCTTGGCTGAGACTGTCCGTTCCGTAGATCATCTGCGTAAGGTTTACGCGGACGGTCGCCATGTCTGCTGCGATCAGTGTTGTGGCGCTTGTCAGGCCGGCTGCCTCGAGGTGGTGAAGCCTTGCGCTTATGCCGGGATCGTGAATCGTTACCCTCATGGCCTCGATCGCTGCGGCCGTGTCGGAAAGGTGATGGCGAGCGGTCAATTGCGCGCTTGTTTCGGTATGGCGAAGGTGATCGCGTGCGCTTTCGACGATATGGAGAAGGTGAGCGGCTTAGAGCGCGATAGTTGTAATCTGAAGTAATCAGACCATGTCGCAAAGGCGCAAAGTTGCGTAATGGAGCCGTACCGTTTCTGTCCGAAGCACCATCAAGTCCAGAGACCCTGCTAGAGCCGTTAATCGCAGTTTCGCCGCGCTGACTGATTGTGTTTGCCTTGTGTTGGGTATCGACAACTTCGCCTTCCGAAGTTGAACTGGAACAAGACGCCATGCTGGCAATCTATTTCACTGCAAAACTCCTGTAAGAAAGCGGAACAAGTCCTGCGCGTCAGCTTGCTTCTTCTTGGAACAAGAATTGAGTGTCTCTATCACTGACTGGGTGTCCCACAGCTGGAGTGCTTGACCTGCAGATGCAGTGTCTGAATAGGCAAGGGAGCACGCAGAGAAGAGACAGGTGCAATCGCGATGAGTGGTAAGGCGCGCGTATGTTGTGGAAGGATGCGCGCAACGCGTTGGTGATGACTGCCGCGGTTGGAAGCACGGTGAAGTCAGACGCAGGAGGATTCGGAGTGGGGCGTGCCGACTAGGCGCAGTATTACGTGAGATTCACGTGATCTTCAATTTACTCCCACTACAGATGCAGAACGTTCCAGTAACTGACAAACGATCATTCGTTTAAGATCGATTATTCTTTGATACTGCCAGTTGAAATTTTGAGGACGGAAATATTGCTGAAGACTGCGCCAACTGCCCAGGCATCACAGGAGCTAGGTGTGGCTGGTCACTACCACTTTAAATCTCGCAGTATGTCGACTTGACCAAACACCTATGTCCACACGTCTCCGTGGTCAATGATGTGAGCGAATTGGTAATTTTTGGTCCTCGATTCAGTATCTGGCAGCCTCGAAGTAACGAGCGCTCATCAGTGGTGGTCTTGGAAGCTCTTAGGTCTGCCGAATACTGGGCATGAACTGCTCTGCAAGACATACGAGCAATAGCTAGGGTTCTCGTCACAAGCTGCCCAGGAGATCATCCGTATACATGGTCTTGTGATCGGTCCTTTGCAAGCAGTCACTGAGCTGCACTGATGCCCGTCGTACGACTTGCTCGTAAACAATGAGGGCCGATAACTCGAGGGGTCGAGAACGAGAAATGGTGCGAAGCTCAGAGAGGCTTGCTCGAGACCGAAGACAACGTCAGTCTTCGAATTCTGCCGAAGGACCTTCGCTCAACGTAACATGTTCAAATGCCCTGTTCACTATAAGGTTCATTTAACCGAATCAGACATGCAGATCTACCCTCAAGTTCTCATCCAAGAGACGTGCGAGGTTGCTGTCTCAGCCTGTCTGTCATACATAACTCGTCTGAGGATGATCCTCGTACCAAGTGTTAAGTCGACGCGAGTCGAAGGGCCCAAGAAGGAGCTGAGGGGTCTGATGTCATAACGTAGAAGATTTCGTGAATCGTACAGAAGGACTTCGCACGTATCAGAGCACGCTTGCGCCGCCGGGGACGATGTCCGGTCTGTCACATCGTCCTTTCGATTCGCTGGTCTTCTGGCTGCTGGAAGTCTCTGGCCCATGTCCACTTCAACGGAAAATGTCGGTAAGTCTGTCGGGCGGAAAGAGTGTTGATCACTTGTACAATTACTTGCTCCGATAGTTATCGGACGTTGCAAATGAGCTTACCGAATTGTGGACATGCAGGCGGATGCAACGTGGAAGGTGAAAGTCCAAGTCCGCGGACATGTCTGGATGAATGTGGGCACCTGGATGTGGGCGTTAGTTGTGGTCGAAGCGCGTAACGATCACTTGAACCGAGGATACCAAGAAACCTTTGTCTAAGCGGAAGTGTACCAAGACCGGAATCGTTAGACTAGGAAGCCGTCATTAGTAGCATCAACTGTAGTTTGGGTTGGAACGTTGACTTTGTGATGATGGCGTTCGTGGATTGTTTCGGGATCGCCCATGGTGGCTTGAGTTGAGGATGAAGTTGCGTCGGTTCGCGCCGACTTCCAAAGGATTCGATGCGGACGTCAAACAGAGAACGCGTCCGGCACAGACCATGGGTTCGGGTTTGTGACAGTCTGGAAATGGCCGATGAACAATGGGACCACCGTTTTCAGAAAAGGGTTCTTCTATCTGTGCGGTTCACAAATTTGCATAACATGTCGAGAAACGTCCGGGGCTGGCAGGACGTTTCGTGAATGGTTTCGGCACTCTGCCTGTTCTTGATCCTTTTGTTTTGACCATATTTTTGTGGGTGGAAGTGTGCTCTGCATGCTGGTCAAGCTTGCTGACTTTTGGTAAATAGATCCATGTGGCTGCGACCTTGACATGCACAACTCGCCGGCGGGAGATGCCGTAGAGGTTGATGCTGGATAGCCGACCTACCACCAGTACAAACTTGCTGCAGTGATGGTTTTGACCCTACCAGATCCCATGTGCCGTAAGCCCAGCGCCATGATCCTGAACGTCCGCAGTCTAGAGGCGCCACACAGATCACATCTCGCATGTTAGATCTTAGCGTAGAAGGAATTGACCCTGCATTGGTGTAGGTTGAGTAATCCTTCGACGAGGGTTGAACAGCCAATGGTGAGCTTTGGAACCATATCCGAAAACGCTGATCGGTCCAACGCCACTTGGCTGCACGGCGTAAAAGATCCTGTCACGCACCAACACATCGGGATCAGAGATGGGTGAACCGGTACCAGGGAATCCCACGATGAGGGATCAGTCTTCAGAGGAACGTGCGCGCACTGAAACGCGGTTGTAGAATGCTTGGACTTGCGGGCTAGCAGCAATAGTACGTGTGTTCGTATCTAGAGTTGACCATAGAGTAATCTAGACTCCAGTGCGTCATCGCGTGTTGAGCTACGTCAATGGCTAGCACGAATTTTTTGTTGGTTGTTGGCATCCCTAGGTTCATGTTCAATTCCAAAGCTTCAATGATGTTTGTAGATGTGAAACGATTCGATGAGAAGTCGTACTTGACATACCGCTCGTACATGGGCTGGCGTAGGAATCTTTGGATTAAGCTTCACAATACCCTGTGCACAAAAGCACGCCTTTGGCAGATGTACATGCCCGTCTTGCGAAGTTTCAGGGTACCGTTGCCGTGAAGAAGTCCAAGGTTGAAGTTACGATACGACCTTGGTGGATACTGAAGTACCACTGATGTCCACTTGGTGTAGGATTCCGGGAGCCGCAAACGAAGTCGTCACACATCGCGCAAATCTAGTCAAAAAATTAAGGTTGTGAGCTCTTGCGTGCGGGGACAAAGTGTGCCTGACCATTCCTCGTTGCGACAGCAAATTTGCCGAAAATGGCAACCGACCACGAGAATTTGCAGCTTTCAGTTGTCTGCGAACCATGTGGGCCTTTATGTAGGAAATGGCAAGATCATGTGAGCCAACAATGGTCCTTGCAGGAGTTGTTCACCGTCCTGGACTGCTGCAACAAGGTCATTGCTCCATCCTGCTCCTTATAAGATATTTGAGATACCCCAGTCAAGCATTCACAGCCAGAAACTCGGCCAAATACAGCTGCAACCCTGGAAGAACGTAGAGCCCAATCAGAAGACCTCTAGTCAATGTGGCATTGGAGGCGTTCTCGTCAGTAGCCTCGGGAGCGGGCGACCCGATGAACTACTCCACCTTGTAAGGTTCGGGGGTCGACTTGCTCCTTGTGGTCAAGGCCAAAATCCTGCTTCGAACTGTGTTGCTCAATATTAATTGTAAGAATAGCTGGCGATGAGAAAGAGCCTCCAGTGCGAAGCAATCACGAAAATCTTTGTCTGTTATGGCAACCCGCTTCGCGGTGATAGTATCCGGTACATACTCTCACCGCTCCCCGCCCTATCGGGCATGTACCGAGTACGGTAGAAAAGATGTGCATAGCTTTCCGTCCGCTCCATTCTTGAGGCTCGGTTACGATGACAAGTTTTGTCGAGGGAACAGACCGCCCTGAGCCGCTAAGTTAAGGACTGCAGACTTTCTGCTCCCAGTGCCGTGGAGATTTCCAAATACAATGTAGGGGGACAGCGGCAGTACGATGCTTGAGAACTGATCGGAGGTCTTCAACGCACTAATGCGCCATGCGGGTGAGCGTGTTCTTGCCCAGTGCCCAGATTCGATCTTGCAAAGGACGAAGGTGATGGCGTTGGGTTATCAAAACTTCAGAACGAAGCGTTCGTAAACATGGTGTTGGCAAACCCAAAAGCTACGTCATAAGAACCAAGACGATGCATCTTGAGAATCGCTTTCATGGCCAAACCCTACTGCGGCGCGGCGGTGCAACCAGCTGAGCCCTTGTACATCGGACCGAATACACATTACCGTCCTGCCAACTTGGGCCAGCGACACACCCCTCGTTTGGTGGACAAGCCTGAATGACATGCAGCCCAGTGTCCACAAGTCAGTGAAAGTCTGCCAAAATATGGGTCTCGAACATTGTTGGACGTGTCGTGTCCTAATCAATTGATGTACGAGTGCCGCACGTCACTTTATCAGAGAATTTGCAAAGACAAGGTCACCAGACCTGAGTTGCATGGTCTTGGGGTTGCTGGATTATTCAAAGGGTAAGGCCGAGTGGCGCATTGGCTGACAGTTGCAAAAGACAAATGCTACCAACGTAGAGTAGTCTTGGAGAAGGCAATATTGACACCCGGCCATCGAGGCTTGCTGAACTTGGATTCCTAGGGTGAAATCGTATGCCTTGGTGACATTTTTGGAAAGCGGCCGTTCTGGCCTAGTCCGACAGTGCCGTCCGCTAAGCCGATTTCCCCGCGGTCGATGGCTGTGGTGCGCTAGGACGCTAGATCGACTTGCATCGGCCATCTGCTGGTGTTCAGATGGGCGACGCATCTGAAACCTCGTTCCAGCTCCAAGTGCTTGTCGGCAGTTCCGCAATAGCATTGGGTCAAGCGCTAATCGTTTCCTATACTCGTTGCTCGAGCAGGCGACATACAGTGTAATTCCCCGAAATGCAGGGCTGATCACCCACATGGTTTTCGCGGCAAAGATTCCTCTCGTCTCTCAGACATCGATATAGCTTTCTGTCCAACATTTCGCATAAGGAAATGCTTGCATTCATGCCTCCACAATCGAGTGATTCGTCTTCCGGTAAGCACGTACCAGACATGTCGTCTGGATAACCATTGACATTTGCAGGGGTCAACTACTGGTATGGCAGTAACAGCCTGCCAGACGCGTTGGGAGGATTACCACAAGAGAATCCTAACAGCCCGCGCACGATGCGTCGTGCATCAGAGGCCGAGGTCCAAGCTGCAGGCTTTCAAAGGTATGTATGCGTCTCTCTTCGATTCCTGTTCCGTATTATTCGCCTTCAATGGACCTGCTTTTTCAGGCCCTTCCTGGTTTCTCCGTCCTCTCGTCGACTGCTTAGTGGTCCTGGTCGGCGCTTTCCGTACACACAACCACACAACGGCCCAATTCGTCAGGGTCACAACCACAACCTCGATAATTCCCCACCCTGCAAACCTCAGGAACCACCGTCTACCTTACGTATAGACGTCATCGAATGTATGTGTTTCGAGAGGAATGCGATCCAAGTCGACTTGCACAGCATCCGATGTTGCCAAGAAGTGGTTGCAAATCTGAGGAATTGACTCTTTGGAAGGGATCTGCAAGACGACAGACGCACATGGATGCGCGGGGCTCTGGACATCGTCCATCACGACACATGGAAACACGCCCTTGCCTACTCCTGATCTCCTGAGGCTGGACCTCGTCCGATGATGATGGCATGTTTCCGGTAATTCGACATTGACTGGCCAATTTGCCGGATAAAGAAACTTGGAGGTTGTTGCGGCGGGGTTCGAAATACGACCGATGTCGCCTACGGTCGGCCACATCCCGCCGATCAACACTCATGTCTGGGACTTGCTGACCAAATATCAGTCAGGACAACTGGGATCAGAGCCAAGGTCAACTCCACCTCGACACCTCACAATCAATTCTTGTGATTCGCCCGCAATCAGCGGCCGCGAACGCAGGACACAAAGCCCCGCTGGCACCCAAACAGGGACTTGGAGGCGCCCTTGCGAACGCTCGCGGCCAACACTCGTCTCCAATATCTGGCACCTATGCTCTGCGAACCCCTCGCGGAAAGATCACATCTATAGCATGTGAAAGCTGCCGGAAGCGCAAATCGAAGGTATATATCCTGTTTAGCAGAGAGCAGATGTAGATTGCTGACGAGCGGCTCCAGTGTGATGGTGTTCGACCGAAATGCAATACATGCCAGTCGAAGAGTCTCACTTGCGTATACGATGTAGCTGAGGATGGCAAGACGACGACGCAACTGCGAGCTCACGTTAGGCGGTTAGCGAAAGAACTGGAGGACATGAAATCCGTAGTGTCGTTGTTGGCCATGGCACCGGATAGAGCTGCGGCAGCAAATTGGGCGTCTGAGCTGGAGAAGAACGGCTTTGCGCACCATTCGGTCGACGAAATCAAACGGTCACTTAGGGTAAGCCTCGTCCGGATCGTGTCGAGGATGTTGTCTGACAATTCAGGATTTCAACGAACGGACACCGGCCATCCCAGAGCAAGAATCGTTCAGTACACCAGGCAGCGAGCAGTTTGTTGGACAAATGCCGAACTTGGGCGCGTCTTCTTACGATGGTTCCTCACGCGAAGAAAGGCAGGTCCAGTACCAGTACCTAGGCGCGTTTGGGGTTGTATATTAACAGGTCCAGAAGTCGGGAACACAGCCAAGCCGCTTTGAATTTTGCGCCTGACACTGCAGTTGACGGTGTGACACCCATGAATCCATCATCGATGATCCTCGAAACGGCCATGAACGCCCTGAACAAGTTTGGTTTCGACTGCGCATACTACCGGAGAATGAAACAAGACCTCCTTGCGAACGGTTGGAACGAGGTACAGCTATTTGGGAGATCCGAGACAGACGTAGACTCTCTGTTGTTGGGCTTCGCCGATCCTCAGGATACACAGCCTGTTCCGGCGTGGTGCGCACGAACAGTGAACAGGATCCTTCCAACAGCGAATCTTCCTGTCCGACTTGCTTCCACTTGGATTTTGACTAAATTGATGCGTGTAGGTGCATCTCTTAGCTTTAAGGGGCAATATGGCTGACAGTGTCGCAGTGGCTAATCTGGCCGAGCGTGGAGAACATGAACGCAAATCCGGAATGGCTGATGCCCCCCATGGGCAAGCAGGATGTGTCGCCACATGATATTTTGATCGACCTTGTTCCTTGGTATGCTCCAGCGCTTGGCTCCAGTAGGGCCTGCACTTACTCTTGACAGGCCACAAGTACGGCGACTGTTATACCAGCATCCTCAAGAATTTTCGGTCGGTCCTCTAGTCGGCGCCATTGGTATTACCTGGCCGTACGCGGACGACTCCTGCCACTATTGGGACATCGAGGCAGGCTGCACGCGCATGACTCCACTCTTCGAAAGTACCGTAGCCGATTTGAACAATTGGACCCTGGATCCCAAGATACTCGAGATTATGCCGCAACTAGAAGGCATGGTACCGATGAAACCGGTACAAGTGTAGTCCGACGTCTTTTGTATCTTTCAAAGCGTCTGCGGAGGCTGGTTGAAGAGACAGCAATTTCTTATGGCGGTTAACTGCGTTCTTTTATTGTACTGGTCGGTGTTTTGCATATATCCCCTGGAAGTCGTCAATTGTAGGAGCTCGCGTGCAGGGGAGTAGCGTGGGGGCCTATTGTCCCGCATTTCTGAGGGCGTACGAACGGAGTTCCTGTACACTATGACGATGCTGTAAGCATAGTATGATAGACACGATCGTTGAAAGGTGGAACATACTAATAGATTATATTCAACCCACGACAGGCGCAGGCTGCGTATACATAGTGCTCTGGTGCCGCGGAATTAAGCGTCGCAATACCTTTGCGTCGAAAATCTACACCCTTGACCCCTTCTTGTACCCACTTCAATTGTATCGTGATGCCAAGGCCGCTGACGGATGAAGCCTTCCGAACCGACGATCGGTGGACTTGCCCTGGATCTCTGCCAGGACACGTCCGTTGAGGCCACCATCTCTACCGTTGGATATTTTTGTATCTGCATCCGATCGATTGCCGAGTCAGAACAACATACGATAAGTTGTTCTACTGGAGGAAGAACGTCGTGGGCGCGGTTGCAGCGCGCTGTCGTGGTTTCAGGTATGCTTGGAAGGCGCTAGTGGCATGGCTTCCTGAGCTCTTTCCCCAGCTCTCAGCGCATGGCAGGAGTGACTTTTTAAATCCCAAGAACTATTTCCGAGACCGGCCGTTGCTGCAATCAGTAATCACCGGTGTAGTCCAGACGTTCGGGAATCTCATGGGTCGGATCGTGGATCGGTGGGTGTTGTTCGAAGGATTCGTTCTGATGTGGAAAGTGCCGCGGATTGTTAGTAACAAAGTGGAGCTGGCATATCATCAGCCTGCTATTACTCGCGTAGGCTTCCTTGAGGCTTTAGTAGCCTGTGACTGCGCAAGTTTCTCGACCTTACAGATTGATCAGTAAGCTGGACTGTAGCACATCCCCACGACCAAGTCAGGGTCCGCGGAGCGGTCCATCAGCATTCGGGAACAAAGACCAAGCGAACCTGTGTGCCTCCCGTTCCCGCACACCGATCATGCATGCGGCATCCCGAACCCCACACTATCGCGGAACGAACATTGAGTTGAGCTTTCGACGGGTATCCTGAGAGTTTCGTCATCTCGTTGACACTGCTGTGTCGAGATCGTGAAGTGCGAACAGTTCGAACAATAGAGGTACAGTAGCCGGCAGGCATGGATCATCAGCTGCCCTGTACGAGCGAGAGCAGACCGAAAACGTTGTTGCGCTGGCTCAGTGTAGATGTTAAGAACTTGAAGCAGAAGCCCCTGAACTGATGACGAGGTCAACGATGAAGCCACACACGGCTTGATGCACTGCCTTTTCAATACATCCTAGCCCACCAACCCGAGTCCTATAATGGGTGGCCTCACATAACACTTATGCAAGGATACAAATTCTGTGAGGTATTTCAAACTCAAATCGCTCAACTCGAGCTTGACCAGTCAAAATAGTAAAGCGATACACAACAGAGCTGTCGAGCTTCCATGCTTTTTATGACGCCCAACTCCATCTCCCTGATAGTCTCCATGCCGAGTCTGGTCTGAAGGGGCAATGTTGCTCCTTGTAAGGGTTGATGTTGGCCGTGTCTGTGCGTGGACATTCGCGGAAATGGCTTATGTCTTCATTGGACAGTGTGTGTTCCAAACACGATCTCTTGCGCAATTGCACCTTTCTGTGTCACCAACTCTCTGTCTTTCCTCCGCGGCTTCTGTAATTCTGCCTTGTAGTCAATCCACGCAGCCTTGTCGTCGTATCTCGTATTCGTGTCAATAGGCAAAGTGTGTGGTCTTTGTGTAGTATTCGGTGGGTGAGAGAAGCTCACACATAGAAGCTGCTAGTACTATCACGTGAAGGCCATCGGGGAATCCTTCACCTCTGACAATTCGCGTGCGCCTGCTTTGTCGACCTTTGTTCGAACGATATTCACCAGAACATCTTTACCAACATCACTATAAACAACAGCAGCGGTGCGAACTGATATAAAAAGTATCGCTCCCAGCGCGGCTAACCTACTACGTGCAATATCGTTTTCCTATTTCGGGCGCATACGACCTACCTAACGGAGCTGCTCCGCAGGCTTGTCAGTCACCTGGAGGAGTGAGGCTATGCAGACGTCAAGTCATGAGCAAATTGGAGCGCCAGGATAAGGACGCGTCGATCGCTGAGCTAGTCTGCATTGTTGAATCTGCCGTGTGCTGAGAAGGTATCGTTGCAGTGGAAAGTACAATAGTTGTGTGGAGCGATATGCCAATTCCTTGATTAGATGTTGGAAGGTTCTGTCCTTGAATCAAAATAGCTCCTCAGAACAACTCTTCAACTCTCACAATGTTACGCCCCACCCTACCACCAACACGATGTCCGCAGTCACCCCAATACCGTTCACGCGACCTATCATTCGGAGGTGTGCGCTCGTCTACCAAATCTTCAATGCCAGTGATCCACTCAGGCTGAGGTGGACCGCTCTGGTCACGGTTTCCAGGCCATCGACTTGCGTCTGGCTTTAGGTCATACACTATGTTACTTTTAATGTCTCCAATGAAGCCGCCAATAGCAGTATCGATGCAGACTTCCCCTTCTGGGTCGTAGACGCGCACTGTTACGAAGGGTGTTTTGCGGGCGGCGAGTATGCGGGCTTGGGCTGCGAGACGAGTCTTCAAAGGCGTGAGGGCTGAGGAAGATGGGCTGCTGTCGAATATGGGTGAATCGATTGCTGAGTCGGCGCGAGGACTGAGCGGTACGATGTAGGAACTTTCTCGGATTTTCGGAGATTGAGGTTGTGATACGTGTGCATCAATCATGATAGCATATCCACAGGATCCGAACTTCTGCTGTGGACATGGAAAGAAAGATGTGTCTGAAGGAAGAAGTGCGGTTGCGCGGGGTTTGCAAAGGGCTTGGAGTAGTCCTTGGGGGTCGTGTGGTATGCGTATTCTACGCAATGCTGGGAAGGCGCCTTCTTCGATATTCATTGCTAGTAGCGATGTAGCAAGGCAAGAGATCGGCTCCGGGTTCGCGAAAGGGAACTCCATGGACTTTCCGATCTCTGGCGAGAAGGGATCAACTGCCGGTCCAGACTGAGATCGAAATTCAAAGTGTATGGATTGTAGAGACGGACAAGAAAAGTCGGGTACCGAGATACGCGAATTTAAGTCCGGTGTCCTGTACTGTGCTATCGTGAAATGCCTTAGTCTACTGAAATGCTCGGACAGAATGCTCGTGATTGTGACTAGGCTCGATAGTTCTAGGTTGATGAGTGTCAGCTTCTCGATGGAAGTTGAGAGGTGCGAGGTTGCAAATTTCTGCAACCCCTTATCGTTGATCCCAGGGAGGTTTTCAAGGCGTAAAGACTGCAGCCTCGGTGGGACGGCATTTAATGCTAAGTTCGTAAATGATGCAGCTGGCAAACCAGAAATAGAAAGATGCCGTAACAGGGGAAGTTGCCGAAAAGTTCCAATGGTCGCACGAAAATTTAGAGTGGGGGAGAAGTCGCCGGAGCTTTGATGCAGCACCAAGGTGGTTAGTAATGGGTGCCCGGAGTTGAGGTCGAGGAAGCGCTCTGTCGGATCGCGAGCTGCGAGATAGTAGTTGCTGACTTCGTCGTTATCCTCTCCATCCGAGTTGTCATCTTCCGGCTCGGAGAGCAGCCACACTCGCTCCTGTAACTTCGACCTTGTTGCTAGTGCATACGAGAGACGGTCGAAGGATTGAGTGAAGGGAATGTGGAAACCAACGAGACGTTCCAGAGAAGGACACGCCATGACCAAGGACGCAACGAGGTTGACGATTTCTTCGCGTTCGATGCTTGCTTGCTGATACAAGGTCTGAAAGTCAGGCAAGTGCAGCTCACGTACGTGTCGCGCCATCAGATGGCGTTCTCGCAGTGTCCTTCTAAGCAGTTTCAGCCTACTGGGCCCTTTGACCTTCGTCTTCCGTGACTGTGAATGATCGTCATGCCCAACCACGTAGACTTTGCGATACATTTGTAGAGTAGCGGCTCTATCCCATGCGCGGCTCGTAAGTGACAGACTGTGAAGATCATGCAAATAGCATGATGGGCATGCCTGATCTTGCTGGAGATGGATCTGCTCTAACTGCGCTACGATGCAATTGTAGACCTCTCTCGGCAACGTCTTGAAAATGTGAGCAGGGAACTCCGCCTGAAGCCCTGAGCGCCTCCATGTAGAGTTCCTTTTATATCGTTCAACTTCCCACGGGGTCTTTGTTAAAAGTGGGACATCGTGGTCTTGCGGTTTTGTTGGTTGTGCGAGGCCGCGTGCCGCTGAAGCAGATGCGCGCGCAGATGATGGCTTCAGGTCCATCGACTCCCAATTACAAGCGACGCTGCTGCCCATCGAGAAAGATCTTGTCTGCTTCTGGACATCGGCGATGTTGGAAGACCGTGGTCGCGATGCATGATGCCTAGATGGAAGTCAGTAATGTCAGAAGGCATACAGCCGCGGAGGATGTATCGCTGTTCGCATATCATGCCAGATGGACATGGCAATGTCAGACAACAGAGCGACGATGGGTGAGTGGCATTACGAAAGTGCAATATATGGGCATGGCATGATCGATCAGCCGATGGTACTTACAGGTCACTGTGCTTTCGTTCAGAGGGATTTGTTCTTGGAGCCAGTATGCTTAACATCTCTTCAATACCAAAACCCAGGTCCGTAACGAATGTTAAGTTCAGGCAGAAACAGAGTTGGAACTGGCTCGCAGTCGTGGGATTGTGCTCTGGTTACACAAGCATAGAGGTACACGGAGCAGTGCGACTACCGTTAACAAAGTGTTGAGACATGCGATATGTTTTCAGCGTGTGAAGAAGGTTCCTATCCGGGCAGGTAAATCGATCGTCCAAGGACCCTGGATCGTAATGTAATCCTGATCAGACGGGTCTCCACTGCTCCACTTCTCCAAGATGTTGGTGACGACGTTCAAGTGCGCTTGTTTTCCGGTGGACCAGTAGGATGAAAGAGTGCTCCTCCAAGATTGATAGCGGAAGAGATGTGCGAAGCAGTTGTGCAGAAATTGAGCATCTGGCTCTTTCATACTATACCCATAGCTATCGCGCTACTGATGGCCGGCAATCCTAACAAGCCACGAAGCTTCAGGGCTGTCCATGTTGGGTGGAGATTGCCCTGGGCGTTCGGTATTGTCGCTACCGACCACAGACGCGCTACAGACGTTTGAACGTTCATAGCGGGTACCTGACGGATAACGGCAGAGACGAAAGTAAAGTCAGCCCAAAACGCGAAGTTTCGATGCCGTTGTGTTTCCATTGTACCGCCAAAGAACGCAACATTCAAAACAAAACACAGACTCGACATGGGTAACAATATCAGATCCAAATGCCGTGAAATAGGCGTGACGAAGCTCTGGAAACTTTGCGGATGTGGAGGGTTCAAATCCCAAAAATCAACGAATGAGCCGGCTCGGCTGCTCCCTGGTCGGCGATGAGGTTTGCTGATCTCCCCTCCTCTCGCCAATCGAGAGCTCAGGCCTGCAGATGCCTGTGAGTTGTTGTGAGCGACTGCATGCACCCGCAGCCGTGGTGAGCTGAATGGGACGCCGCTCTTGTGTCGTTGATGCTGTGACGCGGCCGACAAGACGATGATCCTCAGATCCACACTCTGGCCAGGGTCTTCCTGACGTCTGTCATGCACGCTGAGTTGTAGGCAACCCCTGCGACAAGGGCGGACATGGATTGCGACTCCGAAGTTGGATCTCTCGTATGAATGTCACCAAGGGCATTGTTGTGGGCAGTTGAAGCAGCAACACCCAACAGAAGCCATGGCGCGCCTCCGCTGTAGGTCATCTCACAGGCTGCGCGCCGCGTCTGACAGGCTGAACCTACTGAGGCAGGTGCCCGCACAACACATTAAATAGTGCTTGCTCCCCTTTGTCGCACATGAACACAGCATCGTCCCTGCTGCTGCATTTGCACCGGCCAAAAAGGACTGCGGCAAGCTACCGAGCACTGAAGGACGTTATCGAAAGGAGATGAGACTACAAGTCGTGTGACGACATTCGTAAAGGGGCGGACTGAACATGCTTCATTTGGCAGCTGTTGATGGCGGCACTAAAATGTCGTAAATCCTAGCGTATGGATTGTGCAAGACCGCCTGAAGGCGGCGGAGGTTTTCATTTCCATTGTTGGGAGCCTGTCGACTCGATGGCTCCGCAAACAGTTAGTGATCGCGTGCAGTAGCTCATTGAAACGCTGTCGAGCACGCCGGATCTGAAGCTGTCAAGTCGGAAATCGTGGCCGAAGTTGGGGTAGCTTCAAGCACTGTGCAGTACGATTTGGCACACGTTACAGGCGCGCTAACCGAATACTATCTTGGCCTCACTTTCTCTGAAGAGTAACTCTCACAGAACTTTCTAGTGATTATCAGAGTCACCAAAGAAACGTTTGCGTATAGTCAGTTAAATTAAAGAGCAATTTGATTACATCAATCGTCATGAAGGTATAGTACAGAATGCTTAACGATCGTCAAATTCAAAATCAGTCACCACAACATTACCACAGCACGCGATTGCTCGGCGCACAAACACAGTCTGTCCATGCTCCAAAGTCAAGTTCGAAGAGACTTTAGTTGAACGCGTAGACAGCAGCAGCACCCAAAAGGGCACCCATACCAACAGAACCAGTCTTCATAGCGGCGGCAGCACCAGCGGTGCTTGAGGAAGAGGCACCGGGGGCAGCAGCGCTGGTAGCCTCTTGGTTGATCGAGGTGGTGGGAGTAGGCTGACCAGAAGTAAAGGGGAGTTCAGAGACGGGAGTAGCGCCAGGGAAGGCACCCTCACCCTCGTCGCCAGAGGGGTCAGCAATGGTAGCGTTGCCGGGGTTGAGAACCTCATCGATAACGTGGACAACACCGTTGGCGACCAGGATGTCGGCAATAGTGACGCGAGCGCTGTTGACGAAGATACTGCCCTCATCGCCAATGGTGATGGTGAGGTTCGCGCCATTGAGGGTGGTGAGGACAGTGCCGTTTTCAATTCCAGATGAGTAGCCGACGGTACCGTTAACGACGTGGTAGGTCAGGATGTTGGCAATGTCCTCGGTGGACGCGTTGGCAAGGACAGAGCCAATATTTTGGAAAGCTTCGGTGGAAGGAGCGAAGATGGTGACGTCCGATGTAGTGTCAACAGCCTCGAGTAGGTCGGTCTTGTTCAGAGCACCGCGGAGACCGGTGAGGTTGGCAGTCGTGAGGGTGTCCGAAACGACCTCAGGCAGGACTAGGAATCGGTCAATAACGTGGATCACACCACCAGTGAAGTTGACATCCTGCAGTATGTCAGAAAAGGTTCATAATCATGAAGGCATGGTGAACTTACAGCCTGGGTGACGGATGAGTTCGCCAGCAGACCGCTGAAGAAGGTGACATTGTCTCCAGAAGCGACAGCCTCAACGACCTGACCACCAGTCGTATTGGTGAATAGCTCGTTGGTCAGAAGAGTCGGGACAAATTGGCTCTGATTTGTGATGGCGGACGATAGAACCGTGCCGTTCAAGACGTGGTACTGCAGGAGCGCAATGAGCAGTCCTTCATTCGCAGTCAAAGCTCCGAGAGTCTCATTGCCGACGCTGGCGAAAGCTTCGTTCGAGGGTGCGAGGATGGTAACATTCTGCGCACTGCTGAGACCCTGAACGAGCTGAGCAAGGCCTGGAAGTGCAAGGACACCGCTCAAGCTAGTAAGCTGAGAGGACGAGTTCAATGCCTGAGCGAGAGTTGGGGCAGTGCCATTTGTCTGAGCCAGGACGGCGCTCGCGAAGGCGAGAATGGACACCTTGGAAAGCATGTTATTGAAGCTTGATTACAATTGAAACAAGTCTGGTAGTTGGTCAAGGAGTGGAGAAAGGCTCGGCAAAAGGGTTCTCAGCCTCGACGACGGGAGCAAAGAGGGGAACACAATATATGTACCATTCTGCTTAGACCTCTCCCGCCTTGTCAAACCTGATCCCAGTTGCCATGCTTCCAAGGGTCGAACAACGAGTGCCACCGGCCCACTTTCCTTTGCACAGCCTCAAGAGCTCAAGCTTCGTCCAATGAGGCCTGGACGTTTTGCATCATAGTTCTAAGCGGAGGTGATGCCATCGATGGTTGTCCAGTAAGGTTATCGAATATTGCAGCCAAGTCACTAAGAAAGCAAACAAGTGGAACGCTAATACCAACACAACATGCGTCTGTAAGCATCGTGGCGGGGCTCAAGCGGCTAGTTCTCCGCATGCATTAAAGGGCGCGGCAGAGTCATTGAGGTTGTAGCGAACGACTTGGAACAAAGCATGTTTCCGGTCGATACTCAGCTTTGACGTAGTTGTTTGCATCTCTCACGCACTCTCACATCGTTGCATTGGTGTTGAAGCCAAATGCTGTGCAGAATAACGCCAGTTCCGTCAGAGTAGCTGGCAATGGTGCCAAAAGGCTGAGGTGGAATGTAGAGGTGAGGTCCACACATCGTGCACCACGGCGCCGGTCGATCCGAGACGCGTGTGGGGAAGCCTGAAAAAGCCTTGGCCCACGTATACCATCACCCAAACTGGCCTGGTCGCAGCCTGGTCTGGAGCCCTGGGCGCCTATACAACACAACAGTCTTGAGCATCTGATGGCTGAATCAAAGGTTTTTGCAGCAGATCGCACGCCCAAGGTCCGCCATCTGAAGGTGCGTGTGCGTCTTTCCTCTAGCAAGCAGGTTCTTTCACTCTGGGGGACCCGGACCATACCTGAACGAGGTGCACTAGTACGCGATGCGCGTGTCAGATCAATCAAAGTATCAACGCACCAAAGATGAGGTGTAGCGACTTCGGTCTTGGATTGTTGAGGCTGGCGTGCGAGCTTGAAGGACATCACAGCCTTGCAGCCAACACCTTGAGCCCAAATTCTGAATGCCAAAGCCTGAACCTATCGTGACAGTTCGTCCATGCGAAGCCCTATGCACCGGCAGATTTTCGCCGGGCATTACCCTTGTACTAGCTGTCAGCTACGCGCATGATCAGATGTCCTGCCCAAAACATCAAATGTACTCTCAAAGGAGTAATTCTCGCTGAGCCTCTTTGTTTCCAACCCCTTGTACCATTTCTTCTGCGCATCGCGAACCGCCTTGCCAGCCCAACCGAAATTATGCACTCGACAATCAAGCATGTCAAGCTGGACATGGCTGCCTTGTTTGTATATTGCGTCTTGACACCAATGGTGTGACTCTTGTGACATGCTAGGCAAGTCGGTACATTCCTGGAGTATCCTCTCCTGCCACTTTCAAGATCGCGAGCCGCCCTCATCAAAGTATGGGGCGTGTTTCGGCGAGCACCAGTTTTGGTGTGGTGCCGCTCAGCGTTCATTGCCATTAACTGTTGACTACGGGCCAATGTCAATATCCATCATGTTCTGCTCAGCTTGGGTCGTAGAAGTTGTAATGATCCAAATGGCCAAGATCGGCGGAATCCTGCCCTATGAATGCTGAGGACTGCATCGGTATGAACTCACTGAACAAATCAGCCATGTTTGCATCCGGAGCGAATCCAAGGTTTTGCATGAATTGTGGCTGATTTTCGAGCTTTTTTGTGCTGTCGAGCGATGCCAAGTCGTCGAAGAAGCTTTCAAGGTCTCCCGGAATACCGCCATCTAGATAGCGAGGGTCAGGCTGAGCTGGGCGAGACGCATTGAGAAAGGACTCAATCTGCTGGTTCGCGTTTGCACTCAATACATCTGGAAGACCGGCACTGCCCTGAGCTTGCACAGCCCGCGCATCGTTTGCTCCAGCAACTTGGCCCACTCCATGATTACTTGAGAGAGACTGGTGGATCGAGTCAGGCGTCGGCATCTGCATGACCGCAATCGACTGGCTGGAGTGCAACGGAGGCGACCGAATATCTGGTATAGTTTTTCGCCATGTCCGGTCAATGTCAGTCTGAAGCTTCTGCATACGAGTACGCAGTGCTGGGTCCGATAAGAAGTGAGTACTATGTCGCTTTACCATTCCCATGAGGCAATGCACAACTGGCGGCAAGCTTGTCAGACTGAGCCGATTAGGCGCAGGTTCAAGTAACTCCAAGATTCGTTGTAGCCAAGGCTGTGTTGGCATTAGCGACAGTGCGGTGCAGTGATAAGTCAGCTGTAGTAACACTGCGGGTGGAGTGGGAGGCGTAGGTGCGGTTTCCGATTGTAGGTAGTCTAGTTTAGGAGGCAATGCTGTCTTCCAGTCGTTCAATCGCTGCATAGTCTCCTGGATTGGTAGGCCAGATATTGACGCAAGCTCACTAGTAACCAGAATGTCGAGCACGTCCAGAAGGTGCCGGAAGCTGCTGAAAGCCAGAAGCGGTGTTCTTGATTGCTGTAGGGAGGCAGTGTTGGGACCGCCTGACCATGGCTGCCATTCTTCGAGGCCATCTTCGTCGATACGTCCAAGCTGCTCGATATCACATTTTCGAAAGTATGGACGTCTTCCCAGTTGTAGGGCAAGCATACTATCCAGGACAAGGCAGCCTCCAAAAATGTGCATTCTTCGTGTGCTGGGTATCAGCGACACCTGGTCCACATTCTCAAGTACTCGCGAAGCGCAGCCGACTAAAAACCAAGCGGCTTCCGCAAGGGATTGAGCAATACTGAATATCGCAAGGTTGAGAAGCGCCTTGACGTGTCCAAGGTCGAAAGCCCCCAGTTCATGAGGAATCAGGGATCTAGTAGTGTCATAGAGTTGCTTCGATGTCATCGAGCCCTGGCTGGGATGACTAGTAGGGTTCGTGTTACTCGATTCGTACGTCGATGCCACAGCCAATATACTCCAAAGTTCAGCGTGAGAGCCAGAGTTTGGTGTATCGAAAGATAGTCGCATGCCTGTCGCAGGATACGAATATGACAGCTTCAGTATATCGTGCTTTTCACATATCGGGAGCCAACACTGGGTATAAGTGAAGTACGTCTCGATCTGCTTCCAACTGTCCAAAGGAAGCGTTATCAGCAAAGTTTCTCTGGCAGGCTGTTGCACCAACGCTGGAATTTGCTGGACTGGTGGTCTAGGGGGGACCAGGTCGTATGGAGGCACCTGATTGAAATTCTCATTGAGGACGGTGGGAGCCGGCGCGGGCTCATCAACATCCGAGTTGTCCTCATCACCCTGGGGTGATGGCGGATCGGAATCGTGCCGTGATGGTTCTCCCCCTGATAGCAATGTGTCGACGTCTCTGTTAAACCGCGTCTTGCGCCATTGCTTATGCAACTTGTTCGATTCTTTGGAATCGCGGCTGAGCAACAGAGAAGACAATCCTTCTCTCGCTAATCTATCATTGAGGTATCTCTCGGTCTCAGGGTTTTGCTGAAACAATGTTGCCAGCGCCAACTCAAGAACACGAATGTAGCCAGGTTGAATGCCTCGTTTCTTGGGGTTCGTTGTGTATGTACAACCTCGCTTTGACGTCAAGCAAGTGGAGCATATTGGCTGACCGCCATCGCATTTTTCACGAGCAACTCGACACTGGTCGCAAGCTCGCGAGACTCTGGTACGTTTGGCTGGCTTATGTGGGTCCTGAGTGACTGATCTACGCTTTTGCTGGCTTTGGGCAGGCATGAGCGCCGTTCAATAGATCTGGCAGCTGTCAAGGTATCCAGTATTGATTCAGGAGAGCCGCACAGACTCGACAGCTGCTGTGGGCGAATTCAGAAGAACTGATTCAGGGTACGTCACGAGACGAGACTCCAATTGCACCTGCATGCAAACATAGACGTTCCTAACGTCTATACTGCGACACAGAAGCTGCGACAGATGAAGTTCTTCCGGAAGAATGGATTAACAGGGCATTATCCAGAGGGAGGATAAGAGATTTCGCTGTTGCATCTGTGCTCTCCTGCGTCTCAGTCAGCTCGCCTGGTTACAGTCCTACAAGATACACAACGTACAGTGCTTCTCGAAAACCACTGAGCTTAGCTTGCAGCAGACCTACTTACGCCCGATGCGCTTTAGTAATTGATGATGGGGGAATGGGTTGCTGTGGCTGGAGGTGGAGCGGAGAGCTGTGCTGTCTCGGCGTGCGTGTCTGGAGAAGGAGCGATGGCGGGGAAGAACTCTCATCCGAACCGCGATGGCTTTGCTCCTCCACCAAGCCTCGCCCTTTGCTTCCACACCGCATCCTGTGCAATGGCAATGCCAGTACCAGTACATGTCACATCTGCAATTCTGAAGCTATTCCCCAGCTTACCAGGCTGAACTTCTCTCTGTTCCGTCTGAGCAAAGCCGCCTTTTGGTACAGAGGTTGTGTGCATCACGTTCCCTTTAGCCGGCCAGCGTATCGCGCGTAAAAGAAATACCAAGAATCCGAGCAGACCACTGCAGTCAGCTACAGGCCACAACGGCCTTCACGACTCTCGAAACTCTCGATATACACCTTTTAGGGTTATCAGATTCCTCAGATCCTCGCCATGGCGTCTGCAGCAGTAGGAACGAAGAGGTCCTTCGCCGCCATGAGCGAGGATAGCCGTTCACCCACAAGTGCGCTGTCGACCCTGCATGATGTGAGCATGTCTGGAGTTCATTATTCGCGCCAGCGACTTAAGCCAAACATCGAGGAGTCATGTAAGTAGTGTTGGAACTGCTGTATCATGTATGCGCTAACTAGAAAGCAGTAACATCCATGACTTCAAGCGCCCGCTCTACCCCACGACATACACCAGTACCAACTTCACCACCCGGCGAAATACGTCGTGTGTTCGAGCCAGATGCATCCATTGTGCTTATTGGTATGCGTGGCACTGGCAAGTCGACCCTGGCTGTTATAGCATCCATGGCTTGTCGGCGACGTGTCGTAGATATCGACGACCTCTTCCAGGAAGCAACAGGCTTCTCTACTGCCAAATACCGCAAACAGTTCGGCGCATCCAATCACAATCTGCGACAAGAGGAGCTCTTGCGGACTGCTCTTCGAGCACACGACAAGGGAGCAATCATAGTCTGTAATGGGGGTTCTTTAGAAAGGAATGGGCAGCTGCTCATGCAGGAGTTTGCTGGGACGCATCCGGTGATCCACATTGTGCGAGACCTACACAGCATACACGAATACCTTGGAGGAGTTGAGCTCCGCAGACTGAGGGACATGCTAGCCTTCAGTGCGCCTATCCTTCGTCGTTGCTCAAATTACGAGTTCTGCAATATCTCAGAGCACGCGCCTACTCGATCCAATACGCCATCAGATCAACTCATTGCGCCGGCTTTCCTCACGCTCAAGCGGGCTCAGCGTACCTTCTTAAAGTTCCTCTCCCTTATCTTAACATGCGACGCGGCAGATGGACCCGTAGGCAACGCAAATCCTCCGCTGGAACCAGGGTATCCACTCTCAGACGTGGCGACAGAACTGAGAAAATACACCTGCGCTGTTCAGGTACCCTTGTCCGATCTTCTGGCTGAAGACGTGGACATTCAGAGTCTTGAATATGGCTCAGATGCCTTCGAGATGGTCGTTGACCCTACCGAACTGGACCCCCACAATCAGCGACTACGGACGGAACGGGCGGACGATATCAGCAATTGCATATCGAAGATACGTCGCAGCACTGTTGTGCCAATTCTCTACCACGTATTGCCTTCAGCATCGAAAGACTACAGTCGAGGATCATATCTCGAGCATGTACGCCACGGTCTACGGATGGCGCCTGAGTTCATATCCATGGATTTGTCCATTGGTGCAGAAACGGTGGCTGAGCTCATTGCATCTCGAGGCAAATCGAAGATCATCGGGCATGTCCACGCAGACAAGAGCTGGGACCACCGTTCCTGGAGCAACTACTACGAAACTGCGGTGCGACTCGGCTGCGATGTTGTGCGGTTCACGCGTCCAGCGAAATCTGTCGACGACGATGCTTCTGTGCATCATCTAAGATCTAAGATTCACGCCAGGAACAGCACCGTTCCACTGATATGCCACAACACAGGACGAGCGGGACGTCGTTCAACATGCTTCAACAAGCATCTCACATCCGTCATACCAGAATCTGTACGAGACAAGCCTGATTTTGCAGCAAGATGCGAACATAATCCTGAGACTTCCTGGCTCACTGCACGAGAAGTCACGACAGCTCTCTACTCGACTTTCACTTTCGACTTGATGAAGATCCACCTAATTGGTGCAAGGACCCAATACAGCTTATCGCCAGCTATGCACAATGCTGGCTACGCGGCTTGCGGCATGCCCCATCAATTCAAGTGCGTTCAAACCTCGACTCTGAAGAGTTTGCAAGAGTTTGTGCACGACCCGAACTTTGGTGGATGCATTGTTATACAGCCGTTCAAGATTGAGGTCATTTCGCTTGCAGACTCTCTCAGCCAGCACGCTCGAGCTATTGGCGCTGTCAACACTCTGATTCCTATTCGTCACCTCAACGGCGACGGTAGTGTTCCCGGCGATCTGGAACTCTTTCAAGAGCGCTGTCAATCAGGCTCTGTGCAAGCACTTCACGGGGACAATACTGAATGGATCGGCATCCGATCATGTATACGAAGAGGATTGTCACCCGCAAACGCTGTACGACCTACAACGTGCGCTTTAGTGGTTGGCGCAGGTGGCATGGCCAGAAGTTCCGTGTACGCGCTTTTACAATTGGGGGTGAAGAACATCGTTGTGTTCAACAGAACATTGGAGAAGGCGGAAGACCTAGTCGTCCACTTTACTCGACTTGTTTCGTCTTCGGCTGGAGCCAGCTTAGTACCATCAGCCACCGTCCAGGGCTCCCGACCGATGTTTCACACGATGAAGTCTCGCGACGATCCTTGGCCGGAGGGTTTCCGCCAGCCAACGATTATACTCTCGTGTATTCCCGCTGATCCAATAGATGACAACCCAGCACCACACTTCACGCTGCCAGAGCAGTGGCTGAAGAGTCCAACAGGAGGCGTGGTGATGGAGCTTGCATACAGAACGCTCAACACCCCATTGATGAACCAGATACGGGAGGAGCCTTCAAGGTTATGGACGTTCATGGACGGACTGGATTGGCTGCCAGAGCAGGCATTTGCACAGTTCGAGTTGTTCACAGGGAAACGAGCACCACGTCGAATCATGCGAGAGGTAGTATTGCAGGCTTGGAGGGACGAGCATGGCAACGCCGACCCCGAGATGGTTGAGAGGAGGATGAAAGCAATTGATGACCAAGAGCCGTGAGGATGATACCACAAACAATACGATCGAAACATTTCAAATTTAAACTGAAGACTGCAAAGCGTAATCGACAGCGAAAATATGACTTCGTCGAAAGGAAGAGCGCTCTGCGCCTATCGCAGTGCTGATAGTGGCCGTTGACTAGTGCGGTACCCCCTGCAGGCGATCAGCTGCACGTTCCACAGACAGCGGTGAAAGTCACGATGCAGACGCGTCTTAGCCAGAGACAACAACGCGCTGGCTCGTGCAAACACACTTAACGACTGTAGACTTACACGCTGACATACGCACGACTCCCCATCCGAACCCAGATCAAACTACTATGTACCATCGCGACGCATCAATTGCACACTAATGAGTTCGCGCCGGCCCCTCCAGCCCATCCCCGCGCTGTCGGCAAACGTCTTAAGCACGCGCTACGCCCGCATCACCACCACGACCACGGCCGCAGATGGGATTCTCGACATGGAGGATCACGTGCCGAACGATGTGCAAGACTCTGGATCGGTAGTGTCGGGCCTGACCTCCCTCGAGGGCGACGACGACTTTGAGCGGCTCATGATCCAGAATGCGCGCGACGAACAACGACTGAACGAGGCGCTCAACGGCAGAGCGCAGCCCTTCCGCAAGGCGCGCACACATCCTCGCGTTGGCCTGACGATTGACAATCTCGAGCGCAACGATGCGCAAAACAACAACAGCGTGTCCAGTGCTAATGCGCGCGTTGCCGCCAAGAGCCCACCGAGCAGCAGCGGCTCGACGCGCTCCGACCCTGTGATACACGCGCCTGCTGGCTGGGGACGAAAGGGACGGTCGAGCAGGAACTGGATGAGGAACATTACGCGCGACGAGCAGCCTCAGCAGACCCCGGCGCCGCCAGACGAGACCATCATCGAGCAGCATGACCACAATGCGCCGCGCCGCTCTGTGGAGGACAGCCCTCTCTCGCACAGGAGCTTCAAACAGGGCACACCGCGCAACGACAACTCGGGCGAGTGGGACCTCACATTCGATCTGAACGAGGCCTCGATGCTTGCATCAACACCGTACATCCCGCGCAACACAAAGCTGGACGACATCCGCGAGCGCGAGATCGAGAGCCTGCGTGAACAGGGCGTGGCCACAGCTCGCCTGGACAGGATACGGGAGGACGCGTCCGAGGAGAGGCGCCAGCCGCGGTCATCAGCCGGGAAATCGACAAACACTAACAGCACAGCAACTACAGAGGCCCAATCGCAAGAACAGGGCTCACCGGTTAGGAAGCTGCGCAAGCGGACCAACTCATGGCAATCGCTGAGCAAGTCACAGCCAGAGCTCGGCCAGGAGAACTCGCCAATTGCAGTCTACAGGAAGAGCGTGGAAACAGTGGGCGTGGTTGAGCGCGACGTAGTGGCCAGTGCAGAGAGACAACCGGATAGGCCCTTCAGCAATCGACGAACAGATTCACAGGATCTTCTTCGCCGTCTCGCACGCATGTCGAACACACCAAGCCCAAGGGCAGCTGCACCAGCGCGCCCTCAGACCGCCCCTGCCACGCAACCGCACAGCTCATCACAGACCGCCGTAACCGACACCTCGTACACAACACCAGAGGGAAAAGAGGAAGCTGCGAAAGATATGTCTGCGCAGGACACAGCTGCGGCACCCACGTCGACTCCACAAGAGCAACCTCAGCGCGATCAACGCCAGGACACGCCTCATGATGGAACTACGCCAGATGTGCCCTCATCGGCACCAACACCAGAAGATATTGATGCGACGCCCATGCCAGTGGAGCACCCTGTTCTAGATCCCAAGACTCCCCTCGTGATGGGCGGGTGGATCGACACGCCTGGCCCTCGGACAGCACATAAGCCAATCGAGCTTCCACGTCCGCAATCACGGTCACCCAAGAAGGGCAGTCCGCGCAAGAGTCATTCAACAGAAGGGCCTGTAGCGCCCACAGAAGAGCAGCAACCAGTAGCGAAAGCACCAGAACCTGCTCAGCCTTCTTTGCCCCGTCGCCAGCTTCCCAGCTCAGCTCTCCAGGCCCTCGTGCAAGAAGCTAGGGCTAGCCACGACTACGGTGACGATACCATACACTCGCTCGAAGACCTCATTACCCCTCTCCCCGACAATGAAACAGAGGAGGATACACTACAGGGCCTTACACTTCCTACCAGTGCGCCTCGCAGCGAAGCGGAGCGTGAGCGTCAAGCTGAGGTCATGCACCTCCATCGCCTGAACCAGCATTTACGGGCTACAAGCACAAATATCCGCGATGTTAGCCGGGGTATGAGGAGAGTGGAAACGAGGATGGAACACATAGAAGTTGAGGAGACAGGCGAAAAGGTGCCTGTGATCGTCCGCGATCTCAGCCCTGAGTTCTCGCCATGGAGATGGTTTCGCAGCTTCTTCTGGGACGAGCGTCTCAAGACGCAACGAGAAGTCAAAAACGCGCCTTTGAAGATGTGGGGCGGCGTCACACTACTGGGAATTTTCCTAACACTGTCCTTCATCTGGTGGGCGAGCGAAACTGTCGCTTGGTACGTGCTTTCTCTTCCGATCTTCATCCTGCTATCTCTGGACTAGAGTCAGTCAGTTTACCTTCCCTTCTCTCACCCAAATTCTAGTTGGGCTGCGCTGACGAGGGCAATAGCGAGATCTTCTGCCACCCCGAGTATGCGCGCTATTCGCCATATCCTTTCGCCGTCAACATGGACGCACCAAAACGGGGTGTTGTTATCCCTACACTTGTATATCGCGCATTGTTCAAAAGTTGGTCGGCGCCTATTGTTTCACCTGTCGCATCTTTGTTATCTTGGATATGGACTACGCTGTGGAGTCTTGCGTCCGGCGCCAGCGTGACTGGCTTGAGCAGGGCGTCACATGAGGCTGCCGCGAAAGGTGGGCCTGCCATGGCTGCACATACGCAGGCATCATGGAAGATACAAGAGGAGGCTCACGAAGAAGATAGCTGGGATTGGAGCATGGCGGAAGATGAAGTCCTGCGGCGGTAGACGCATGCAGTGTGTCTGTTGTTTGGTTTTGTGTTAACATGGGTTTGCATAGCATTGCTCAGCGCGGCGTTGGCGTTACTTCCTCTTACTCTGAGATCAGTCAGGGCGTTATTGCTTGGTCTTGGAGCACTGATATGGATTTAGGATACTCTCACAATAGCGATCAAGTTTGCCTTTGGGCGAGAGAAGCTCTTACCCTCACCCTTGTCATTCTAGTTTCTCGGTGGCTTGGTGTTGTGAGCACGATGATCAATGCAGCCAGGCTCACAAAGCGCACGAGCAAGGTACATAGGAAGCAAAGTTTCAAAATATCCTACTGACGACCTCTGCAGTCACCAGTCTTACTTCCTACTTACGCACCACGGCATTTGCCAGTACTGGTAGGCTTGTGAGTGAGAGGCGTGGGCTTACTGCCTTGTACAGCAGGCGTTATTGTAGACGAAGTCCTTGCCTCCAGCTCCCGTTGAATGGTATCTGCACTGTGCATTCTGCGCTTTGCTTCGAACGACAAGGAAGTTTACAAAGCCTTTGTCTGACATCGTTGCTTTCTGGACGTGCCTTCCAGTCATAACCACCCGCCTCGTGGCTGTCTTGCTTGCTCTCCGCAAAGGGCAAGACCCACTAACAAGAACACTGTGGCACGTCCGCTCTGGTCAGAACAATACTCCACCATCCAATGCCTTCATTGATATCTGCAACACCGCGACTCACGTACATAGCGCAGCAGACGCCCCAACTGCTCTCATTCACTTGGCTATAGTCTCGCTCCTTGCCTCAGTACGCTCACAGATTACTCTGCTCCGCCAGTGTCTGAGACAGGGATCTGACTGTCACATTACAGTCTACACTCCTTTACAAACGACTGAAGCGGCGAACCTCACTATCACGATCACCGTTACAGCGGATAGGCGGTTGTCAGCATAATAGCAACCAACTGGCGCCTTCCCGCCGTTACGCCAACACCATGACACAACTCACGCCCATCTCTTCGCGCAAACGCCCCTCGCCGGATGATGGAGCACAGTCAGATGGTTTCAGTACATGCGACACCGGGTCAACGAAGCGTCAGCGAACACTATCACCAAGCACAACCGCATCGTCGGGCCTTCGTCTCTCCATACCTCACGAAGATGCGCCACCAACGCCACCAGCAAGCGCGAGAGTGAGAGGTACCATGGCTCTGAGGCTCGTTATACCGCAAGAGCAGATCAGCCGCGAACAGCAGAAGAAGCTTAGTAGGCACAGAGCTGATGCAGAGCGCTGGAAACCGAAGCTTCAACGACCGTATCCCAGGACGACTGAGATCGAGAAAGCGTACCCGTTCAAACTGATGCGACACTATCCCGATGCAACTACACGGATTCAGCCGAACTTCGTCAGGCCGAGTATCGATAAATCTCCTCGTGTGTCTCGCCTGTTGGAGCAGTTCCCGCTCATAGACACCGCTCAGTCTGTCAGGAGCGAACCGGCAGAACACTCTCGAAGCCCAGCCACTCCTCTTGATCAAGCGATACCACTGAGTGCTCGCGTAGTCGAATTGAAGGAGGCACGAGAGGCACACGTAGAACTGCAGACGAATATACACATCACGGAAACTGAACACGCGCAGCGGCTAGCATGGCAGTCATTCTCGCGAACTGAGCGGGACCGAGTTGACCGCGGGCGCGAGGCGATGATACAATCTGGCCTTTTCACCGATGATTTGAGACTGGAGACTGTCGGCCGGCAGAACAGGTTGCCTGAGTGGAAGAAGCCTTGGACAGGACGCTTTGCTCGAGAGCGTCAAGCAGCTGGCTAGAGACTCGCTGCTAGACGCTCTTACGACACGAATCCGAATCTCGCCTTAGTCATCCATGCGATTCGGACGAATATGACTCACACTTATCCGGTACGTGTACTGTAACAGCTAAATGTATTATTAATTTTTCTCACGAATGAATTGGTGTTATGTGTCAAGATGTTCGAACCGTAGTTTGAGGGAAAGTAAACCATAGTCCAACCTCACGAAACATTCGACAACATCACGAACAATTCCTACTCGCTCAAATATTCAGTTCACCCGCTTGAATGAGCCATGGATCGCATTCTACTGCCTTGATAAATATTCTGCACACTCCTTCGTTTCCTCTTCAACCTTCACATCTAACTCACATCAAAATAATTCCAGCACCATTTTACACACACTACCACAGTATCCCCCACAGTATCTCCCACAGTATTCCCCCCCCCCCCCCCAACACGTCACAAGCATCCTCGCCGGCCTCCGCAACATTCAAACCCGGTCTTCGACTATCTCCACGGTGCAGAATCCAAGCACACTCCGGGGTCTTGGACGATACCTTGGGCGAACTGTGAAATGAGCGCGGACCCGGCTACGCCGGTGCACATGTATGCGCACAATGCCGCGAGTGCCTCCGCGACTAGGTGTGGATGTATTGTGGATAGTGTAATGGGCTACGAGTATATCCCCAATGTACCGATAACGCTGGACGACGCGCTGGCGTTGGACGGAGGGCCTCCTGGCGCGGTTGTCGCGGGCTGGGAAAGTGTGCCTCTTTGCCACGTGAAGAAGAAGGAAAGGAGAGTAGGGGATAGTTGTGTGGCTCCAGGGTGCAGGATCACAATGGCGGGTTTAGCAGACATGTCACGGGGACGAGAAGGGTAAGGTAGCTTTATCTGTTCAGAAATAATTCAGAGGGGTATCATGACTTGCCAACCTCCAGGCTTCCATCATCGCGCTTCGTAACAGCCGTGCTGTCTACTTGTGCTCCCGCACGCTCTGCAACGGATGGATGCGCTTTTGTGTGGCTGGCAGGCTCGCTCGGGTCAAGCATGCTCTTGTTACGCGCCGCGTCTTGCATCTTCTCGAAATCCCAGACTATCTTATCTGCAACACGCAACAGCGACCTGCCGTCCTCGAGGTCCATTCTCCAACGGTCTTTCTTCTCTTTCGTATAGCCAGGATATGCAATGCTGGCTTCGAAGCTCTTGATCTCAGCATCTAGAGCCGCTTGTGTTCGTTCCAGCTCCTGGATCGAGAGCACAGGGTCATGTGTCTTGAAATCGTGCGTGGACTGCGGTAACCACGCGGCGACCGAGCTGTTGGCTGATCCGGGCGAGTCCATGATAGCCTTGTGTTGCAGCGACATACGCCAGTTGATGAGCCTTGATTGTAGCTGTTCGGCTGCACTGCGGATGTTGTTGTAAATGAGCTGCAGGAGCTGGAGCTCCTCGAGACGCTGCCGTCGCTCTTCGTCACCCACGTCTTCCAGATGACAGTACTCATACTGCCTATGTGCGCTGACGAACAGGACGAACTCGGCTTCTTTCAGCAGCGCCGCGATTTCGGCTTCGTGCTCCTCTATCTTTGCGTGGGTGGCCTCCACACTGATGTATTTCAGGTCCTCCGCACAGTCGAACGGTGGCAGGTAGTAAGACTGATCTTCGTGCGCATGGGTAGAGTATGAACTATTCGCGTGCGGATTCGCTTCTTGAGATCCGGCGGAAACAGCGTCGTAGTCTTCCGCCTGCTCAAACGCAGAGTCTGGGAGCTGCTGCGCATACCACAATGCATTGTGACGAATGTACAGCTGGACCAAAGGATTGAACTTTGCCATTATCTTCTTATCCCAAAACAACTCCCAAAACGCAAGTGAGCGTCTCTGCAGTCGGCAATCGAGGCGCGCGTAGGCTTTCTTTCGGTCGCCCGTATATTGCAAGTATCCATGCGCACCAAGAATACCAGCGCAAGCCCCAATATTCGCCAGGCCTAAACATCGTGTCCAGCGTGGTATAGCTAGCCGGCGCATGAAGAAGGCAGGGACAGAAGCGGCAAGCCCGAGCCCTGCGCCGACGAAACAGCCGTCATCTATCGTAGGGCTCTTCGTCCTTTCGTACAGCTTCCACGGCCTGACCTCAGGGTTCCTTTGCGAAAGCACGACCGACATGAACCGCGAGTTGTAGTACCAGTTCGCTGCTGCGCCCAACACACCTGCCCATAGGCCTAGCTTCGCCGATGATCGTATGAACAGCGCCGGTCGAGAGAAAGTACAGCCTGGAGTCACTCGGTGGCTGTATCGTGTAGCGAAAGACGTGTACGCCGCCGCCACGGCAGTCGAGCCGAGGATCGAATACTGTAGCGTTGCATTGGCGCCGAGGGGGTCTGGCCTCTTGAGGACGAGGTTGTGCTGTCCTTCGCCTGTATGCGTCGTTAGCTGTGAAGCTGCGAAGTCGAGGCTTGACACGGACCAGGCGGCACGAAAAGACGAAATACCATGTTCGGCAGAGGACAGTCGCAGATTTGCAACTAGAAACGAAGGGCCACTGCTTCACATAGAGCCGTTGCCAAATGGTCAGGGAGGAAGGCTGTAGGAGAGCAGGAAGAAGGCGAGGCCGCTCATCGTGGGCGTGACATAGTAGGTAGGCACGACCGTGGTGAGCGGATGAGGCTGAGGCTAAGGCTGAGCCTGAAGATGAGGCTCACGAATTGATGTAACACTAGCGAGCCATTTAGGGCGATCAAGGCGTAAAACCACCCGCAACACACAAGGCCGAGAGCTCCGAATGGAACTTGTGATCAGAGCCGGTGAGTAACGTTGTCGAACGTGACGGCTGACAAGTATGGAAGGAGCTGCAGGGTCACGAATGCACGTGATTGTGTTTGGAACTTTGGAAGCCTGCCCAGGTGCATGTCTGCAAGCTTATGTGTATATTGTTACATGCAAATTACTAGACTTTCGCATTTCCTGCGGCTACTGGTATACATATACAGGAAAGCCGAGGAAACCCTTCGCAGAGACATGCTCTCAGACCCACCCCCACACAATTCAAATAGACTCAAGCCCTACATGCTGAGTACCACCGAACGCCATCGCTAAAACGGACAGGATGAATACTGTCTACACTTTTTAGACAAAGGAAAATAGTAAGACAGCCAAAGTTATAGAAAGAAAATGGTGCATGCTGAACAGTCGCTCACCGCCTGTGCATCACAATCTTGGAGTCCTCATGTCGGAGGAACTCGAACACGCCCCTGTTGAGCCGATCTAGTCCGTCCTTGAATAGGTGCTCGGTGTTCTCTGTGTTCGCCATGACTGCAAAGGTCCTACAAAGCAGATCTTCAGGGCTGACACCGTCAAGAGTGCTCATGTTCTTCCACTTCAGTCGCATGACTCGAAGGTCGTTCATAGCCAGAAGCCGATCCATGAGCCCAGCTGCGCTGACTCCAGGTTGCGTGAGCAGCGAGTGTCGAAGACTGCTGATGGCTTGCCTCTCGTGAAGCCAGGCCTGCAGGATACGAGAGCACATTTCGTAATGCGGACCGAGTTCAGCGCGGAACATGGCCTCACCGAGGTACCAAAGGTGGTGGATCCGGCTGATGACAATTCCTTCGTCTGGCGGTGTCGCTGGTCTTGGGAACAGATACTGGATGAGCAAAGCAAGAACCTCACACTGGAGCAAACGCAAGTCGACCACTGTCGCGACAGGTCTACCCTGGTGTTGGGGAGCAACCTCGACGTGTTGGCTCTTCAGTACCGGTTGTGGGGGTTGAACAGGAGCTGCAACAGGCGGTGGAGGTTGGACGACTTGGGAGAGAGCAGCTGGTACCACTGCAGGAACAATCCGCATACCGTGGATGGGTGCGTGCAGCTCCATTAGCGCGGGTGCGGGGGTGGGTGCAATCTGCTGGTTGTGCGGCTTGATCGACTGAACTTTCGCGTCCTGCGAAAAGGGTGTATTAGACCTGCTGGAAGGGTGCGGGGCAATAGAACGGCCGACATGATGGCTACTCGGTGTGTGGGTTCGACTCGGGGGCTGAGCTGGGGCTTGCTGCTGACTTAGCTGAGTGTGTGTTCTGGATGGTGTGAGATTGTGCGGTTGACTCTCAGGACGAGTTTTGACTTGAGCAGCCTGGCTTTGCGGTGAGCTTTGCGGTTGTGGCTGCAGCTGAGGGGTGGCCTGAGGTCCGAAAAGGCTTTGCTGAGTAGCTCGAGCTACAGAGGACTCGCGACTGACGACGCCGTTGGTAGGTGTGGGTGAAGTGATCGCGTGAAATCCTTGACCGGGAACGGACGCAGCGCTGAGTGCAGGCACTGCACGAGGATCTGGAGTGACCGATGGCAAATTCACGCCCTGAGCAGCTGTATCGTATGGACTAGTGTATGCGCGAGGTTCCACACGGTTCTGCGCCGGCGAGGTCATCTTCGAGTCGAGTGATGGTGCCCGGGACGCTTCATTTGAGGGCTCTCGGACTGGCGGCAGAGGTGGCGTGTTGACAGCCGTGAAACCCCCAGCAGGCGCCGGTGCAGTTGCAGGAGGCCCAGAGATTCCATTGACTTCGTTACTTGACATTGGGCTGAGTTGCACGCGAGCAGATTCCGGGCCAGCATTCGGGGCTGGCGAAAGATGGTGATTCTGGTCGAAAGGCCGGACTGGAAGAGGTGGCACATTCTCGATGCTACCGGGACTGGAGGCGACTAGTGACTTGAGTGACTTCCTGGGACTTGCACTTCTCCTTCCTGTTGGTAACGTGTTGTATGGCCGCTTAGCAGGCGAGGAGAGATGCTCTTCCCCATCTGACACAGATCCACCACCTAAGTACGCCGAGCTCTTGCGTTTCTTGAGATTTGAGACTGGCTTCACATCGAATTCAGCACCAGTGGATGCATCAGGTCGCGGTGGAGAAAGAGATTGCGGTGTTCCATGTTGTGACTGCAGCTGCGTAAGCATCCGTATAACCTTAAAACGCCCATGTCAGGTGACTTGGAATGGAAGGCTGCACTTACGCCACCTTCACCCTCAATTTCAGCAAGTGCATCGTAGTCGTTCGCACCGGAAGGCCTCTTAAGCTTCATGTTCCTGATGTAGTAGCATGCTTTGATGATGATCCATCGATGCAGGTGAATCTTGAGTCTGCACGCATCAGTAAAATGCGATACGAAATGATAACCCACTTGTCGCAATAAGCACTCACATTTCCCTGTGCTCTGCATTGTCGTAGAACAGATCTTTATTGTAGGTCTTCTTGGTTGGTTCGGGGGTGAGGAGACAGCTGCGATCGGCATCCCTGCCCCAGATAGCGGGTCCGTAAGTACCGAGCAACTCTTCCAGCTCGGCATCTAAGCTGTGCGGATCTGCAGCAAAATCGAGCAATGCATCTCTTTCCTTTGGCAACTCTTTCGACAGCTTCGTGACTTCACTCGAAATCTTGCGATAGTCCGGGTTGTCGAATTTGGGAATGCCACGATTCGTCGTCGAGCTGGATGCGGATAAGCCCAGACCCAAGCATTCAGTCACCTCGCGGATAGTAGGTGAGTGGCTGCTGAAAACGCTGATCCATCTTTGCCTATCCCATCGTCGCACGCCGTGCTCCAGATCCAAGGCCAAGTTGTCTTTGGAGCTCATGGTGAGGCATGAGTGCTGGTGGATAAAGATGTGACGATGAAAAGTGATGGGGAGATGGCGCACCCCAAACGTGGATGCGTTGGAGTGAGACTCGGTAACGTAAAGGGGAGTTCCACTACTTAGCGTAAACGTTCCACTAGTCGGGTTGCCTTTTCTTTTGGCAACAACAAAGATCGGGTTCGTGCTGTCTCAGACACCGGTCGTACTATCTCCGCATACACTCTATGCGAAAGCCGTTCAGAGCTCCAGATGTCAGGTGAGAAGCGTGGGTTACAAAAGTCAAGCAGGTCTGCTAGCAGGTGAGAGCTCACCCACGAAGCGAGCGAGTTCTGGCCGATGCCGTCAAGTACGCGTCCACACGGCATGACTCGCCGCCACCCCTTGGGTAATCATACTACCACTCCTTTTCCATTGGGTGGGGATAGCGGGCTACTGCGCCCTTGCTTCTGGTGTACGACGCTTGTGATTATTTAGCATAATAGCAAATAAATCCTCTACCGTACATTGTGTCGATAAGTGTAAGAGTTATGCTAGCTTTGGCCAAAATTTCCGAATGATCTTCCTCTTTAAGCATTAGTCGCCTCTCTATCAGCGAATAAGCGCTGCTGCTGCGCTTTCGTAAAGCACAAATGCGTCTATGACGCGCTCGTATCGTCTTTGAGTTCTTACTCGCGTCAGGGCCTGGAATTGCTCATCCCAGAGGTCGGTGTAACATCGGATAGCGTCTTTCCGATCGATTCGCTACCATTCGCTACCATTCGCTACCATTCTGACTTGTTGGTTGTAGGAGCCGGAGCATACCGCTGGCCACTCTTACTCTTCAGTTGTCCTTTGCAGAACGTGAGGTGAGGCGACTCACATGTATTCAATGTGGCGACCGCTGTCTGTGCTCTCGGGACGTACTTCCAATGCGACACGTAAAAATAGGAGTGAGGCATAGACTTGGGACTAGTCAGATTAACTGACGTGGTACGCAACGTACGACACCCGTCCTTGGCAATACTACACTTAGCGAGCATAATGTCATCCCGCTCGCCAACAGATCCCGAGCTTGACATGTACACCAAGACCTCACCTGGAGGACGTACATAAGTAGCGTCGCGTTCCTTGCCGTACGCCGCGAAAGGTTTTCCAACGGTCTGCGGCACACAAGCCTAGCGCAATCCTACGCAATCCTGGAACATCAAAGAAATAGCTGAAACATGTATGGCCGATTACCCGAACCCGATAATGCTGGCTCATTGGTGATCGACAAGTACCCTGAACGCCGCAACTCAAAACAGTGATATTTACACGATTATTCTGACAATCAGTCTGTGCATCCATTTGCACTACCCAACATACCACAGAGTACCCCTTCCCTCTTCCTCTTCCGTCTTACGGAAGGGCTCGACACTTTCTCCCAGCCAGCTGACAACTCTCGTAAACTCAATGGGCTTCCAGAGCATCTCCACTGCGAACTTCTCGCCGGCCAAAACCACGAAAGCTTGGCGAAGCAACTCGTCTCTGTCGACCATAAGTCCATGGCCATGGCCAACACCAAAGCCTTGTCCGATGTCTTCGAAGTTTGTGATGATAGTTTGTGTGGCGCCCATAAGTGTTCTGTGTTGTTGAATACGCCTCTCAATCTCAGGCGCGCTTTGGCCTTCGGAGTTCCAACCTATCGGTTGGTTAGCACTGTAATGACCAGGCCTTGAAACCCGACAATTATTGGGAATTGTAGAAATGAGGCAGACTTACGTTCTCCTGCACGATCAAGCGCTGCGAGATGTCGTCTAAGCTCGATCCATGTTAGTATCGCTCGCTCCCTTGCGATGAACACCGGAATGTTTTCAACCATCTTGTCGTAGTCGGCTCGCACGCCTTCTCTCCAGGCTTTCTCCAGACGATTGAGCAGCGCTTCTTCATCCCACTGAATGCTGCACTCTTCGTTGTAAAGGAGGGATCGGAGTGCTCTCAAGCTGTCGTAGTCTAATCCCCGATACGGTACACTGGCGTTCTGTTGGGGTACGTCTTCGAAAGCCGCGTCATCAGAGCGGAAACTGGCGACAAGCTTAGCGACTTCGACGCTTATCTTTTTGTCGACAGTTGCTTGATTTGCCTGCGTAATTTGCTGTTGTACAGCAGGCTTACTGTCTGCGAATTGCGGCGCGTTCGCATTCGCTGCAGCCCAGGGAGGATTTGGCTGCTGTGAGTTACTTCCTTGAAGTTCTCTTGGTATGAGCCTATCCCAAAGTCCTTCGACAACTCTTTGGGGCTGCTGTTCATGCTGTATAGATGGTTTGGAGACGCCGTTTTCGCTCGCCGCGCCACCATTGACAGATGTAAACCCAAGACCCTCGCGAGGGCCAGCAATCGGACTTCCACCTGGTTCAGGAGGCGTTAGCATTGCAGTAGAAGATATTGGGCTTCCACGTGACGCTGCCTCAGTCTGGAAAACTGAATTTGGTGCGAGTGCGACAAATGATGCAGGCGTGCTGCCCTCACCATTTGCGTTTTGCCCGTTGAACTCAGCTTCAGCTCTAGCTTTTCGATTCTCTTCCTTTTTCTTTCGTTCTCGATCTAGGCGCTCGCGCGCCAAGATGACATTGCATGCTTTGAGGCCTATCCACCAATGTAGAAGCTTATGTATACTGCAGATAGAAGTGTTAGCGGATGCCAATGTTATCCCGGTACAGCGCTCTCCAGAGGAGGTCGCTCGAGGCGATACCCACAGTTGTTTGTCCTCTTTGTTCTCAAAGTAGAGATCTCTTGGGTAGAGACTCTCTTCCACACCAGGCTCATTCGCTGTTATCAGATGTTCCCGGTCGCCAACACGACCCCAGATTCTGCTCCCATGCTTGTCTAAAAGAGCGTCTACCTCTGGGTCCAGGCTGTTTTCTTCGCTCAGACACTTCATAAGATCGTCCGACTCTTTTGGCAGCGTGGCTACGATATCGCCCATATCCTGAACCAATTCCCTGAGTAGGGCAGATTCGAAGTTGGTCTTGCCCCGCTTGTTGGATGACCACTTCGCGCGTAACCCGAGCCGTTCAATCAATTCGTGCATGCGCACCTTACTTCGGTTCTTCATGATATCGACCCAGTCTTTCGACGTCGCGTACGTAATCGCAGAGCTGTCCATGATTGCTTTCTTGCTTGCATCGATGGCGCTGTTGCGCAAGATCAGATGGCGGAAGAAGCGCTGGTATTGCTACGTTCTTGCTGTCGTAGGGCGTGTCGCAAGATGGTGGCAGTGATGGAAAGGTGAAAGACATAAGCGGCCGCATCTGATCATCGGCAGTTCGTCTGTAGACCGCAGAAATATACAAACGGGGAAGTAGGGGAGCGTATATGATGTAGAAGCAAGCTTGGTCAAGGGCGCAGCCCTACTGACCCTGGCTTCCAGAGATACAAATGCTTTGTTGATGAATTGAAGTTGGAAAGACGATGCAGTTTTGCCCCGGTGTCGCATTGGAAAGGTTCGCGTACGGAAGTGAAAGCGGTCCTTGGTGGCAAAATCTCTCATTGGTCAATAGCGACTTACACAAAACTCGTCAAAGCTTGTTGCCGCGCAATCGCCTCGCCCTTTCCATACCAATTTAGTGCGTCTCCGCATCTGCCCTTGCTTGCATGAACTTTGTAGATTGTACAAGTCGGCCGACCCAGGACCCCTGAGAATCAGGATCTCACGATCTTACCCTGACCCAAGATTGAGCTACTTTTGCTGTGTATCTCCATCTTCATTCGAATGTTACCATGTTAGAGAAGGTACTTGTGTTCGGAAATGGTTACCGAATATGGTTCACCACATTTGAAAGACCAAACTATCAAAACAGTGTTGTCCACACACGGAGCGGGGTAGCCAGAAATGAAAAATGAGTAAGCTTGAGAGTTTGGTATAAGCACTTTGTGATCAGGTTCATATTAACCCTTTCCCGCTATGTATGAGCATCGCAATCATGAGGAACATCGTTAACCGTACAAGCAACGTTATTTGCACAGCTCGGGTGCTGTACAGAAACAGTATCCCTGACATTCGATCATCTGTACTTCGAATATCAAAGTTGCAGCAGCGCACGTTTGTAAGCCTCTTTAAACCTTGGGCTCGTGAGAGACGCGCTCAACCTGACCGGGTCCCTTGTTGGTTGCGACCTTGACATCACCAGCCTCGATGTCGCGCTGGAGCTGCTCAAGGCGCGACTCGATCTTGCCAGCCCTCCATGGAGGAATGCCGCTTTCGAAGACGGTGTCCATCTCCTCGAGAGTCTTGCCCTTGGTCTCAGGCGCGGCCAGGAACATGTGAATGAGGGCAAGACCGTTGAACGTACCGAAGATCTGAGTAGGTTATTAGCTATTGGTGTAAAATTTGGGAAGCTTCTGGCAGAGAGCTCACCATATACATCTTCCAGTTGATGCTCCAGAGAAGAGGGGGAACGGCGAAAGCCAGAACGCAGTTCCAAGTCCAGTTCGAGGCAGTAGCGAGAGAGACGGCCTTAGCACGGACCTTCGCAGGGAAGATTTCAGACGGGTAAGTCCACGATGTCGGTCCCCAGGTGGTGGCGAAGGAAGCGACGAAGAGGTAGGAGCAAGCAACAATGGCCTTTGAGACGCCACCGTGCTCTCTAGGAACAACCCAGGAGATGTCTTTGTCGGTCTCATCAGGGTTGGGGATACCGTAGGAGGCCTGCAGAGCTCCAGTAGTGAAGAGCCAGGTCATCATCAAGAAGCTGCCGATGAGCAGCGCGGGGCGACGACCGAACTTGTCGAGGTAGAGGATAGCCGGCAGTGTCATCACGACGTTGATGATATATTGGATGGACGAGGTGAGGAGCTCGTCTGCGATACCAGCGCCGCGCATGATGAAGACGATGTAGTACATCATGATGTTCATACCGCAAAGCTGAGACCACATCTGGATGGACATTCCGAGGATGACACGCTTGAGGATGCGGGGCTTGACAAGCGCAGCAAAGCTGGTGACAGCTTCCTCGCGCTCAAATCGGAGGGCCTCCTCGATCTCCTTGTACTCGGCAAGGACCTTGGGGTGGTTGACATCGCCGGAACCGTGGAGGTGGGCAAGGACCGTAAGAGCCTCCTCCCAGCGATCTTTTGAGGCGAGCCAACGGGGAGAGCGAGGAAAGAAGAAGAGACCGACGAACAAGATGGCACCTGGAACTGCCTGGATACCCCATGGAATACGGAAAGCAGCTGTGCCTTGGAACTCGTTGTCAACGCCGCCGTCGTAGAAAGAAGAGCCGTATTGGATGAAGTATTGGATCAAGATACCCCAGGTGATAGCCCACTGCTGGAGGGAGACAACGCGACCACGGATTTCCTTAGGCGCAATCTCACTCTGGTAGACAGGAACGATGGCGGAACAGATACCAATAGCAAGGCCGCCGACGACACGGCCAACGCACAGAAGAGGAATGCCGTTGGAAGCAGCCTGGAGGATAGCACCGACGCACCAGATAACGGCGGCGATCTGGATGGCAGTGCGACGAGACAGGTGATCGGCAAGGAAAGATGAGCAGAGAGCACCAAAGAGGGAACCAGCGGGCATAGAAGCGGTCTGGCCGTTGTCAGTGGGGTATCAAACCGATGAAAGGTGAAGTCCTTACAATACCACCCTGGCGAGTACCAGCAGGGTGGCCAAAGTAGTTGCCATAGGCAGGAGTTCCAAGTACACCAGACATGGAAGAGATATCGAAACCGAAGAGCCCACCACCAATGGCGGCGAAGCCACAAATGGCGTAAACGTTGTAGAAAGTCTTCATCCTGCCAAACAGCGGAACTGCTTGGGTAGAGAGAGACAGCAGAGTGTGATGCGGTTGCTCAAGCTGGGGTCGAATGAGATTTTATAGAGCAAGGAGTCTTACTATGCGCGTGATTTTTACTGGGTAGCTTTTGCTTGTAGGAGCCTGTGCGCCTGTGACTAGCATTCACTGTCGCCGTCGAGCTCCCTAGCACCTTCACTCCCGACCCCTGCAAGAAGGCGTCTGCACCCAGGCTGCAGCCCCCACAAACAAGCGTTTGTCCACTGAGAACCGGCCCACTGATCCTGGGTAGTGCAAGGAACATGCATAACCGTCCTCCAATGATTATGTTTGGGCTCGGGACATTGTAACGTCAACCGCGGGCTGTGCTCGCATTGCCATGCTGCTCGAATGCCTTCCAGTACGAAGCAATCGATGTGACCTGCCGTTGAATAGAGCGGCTTCTGGCAGATCACTATACCATCTCTTACTCAAACACGGCTGGTTGGAAGAAATTCTCAGTTGACGTGACCAACCGCAAGGCGCTCCGCCAGATTAAACGCGGAGCATCTGTCATATCACGCGAGGCTTATGTCGCTTGCGAGAGCGAAAAGAGAAAGATTGGCACAACCCAACGTCAAAGACGCCCCGAAGCTGTGTCTTGGGCACTTGGCGTTGACCAAGATTCAATCCCTGCACGTCAACATGATCGAATGTCCTCAGAGATTTGATCCAGGGTGAAAGCAACAATGTTTTGCGACCCCGCCTATTAAGGCCCCCAAGCATTCAGCTAGGACCCTGAGTTCGTGTTACCAGCACATGTGGTCGCAAAGCTGAAGCGGAATCCAGGATGTGGTGTTACTGTCTGCTGCTACGGTTGGGCGTCCCGGACGTCGAAAGAGGTTGCGATGAACGGCAGAGGCGTTGAACCGTGCGGGGTCGGCCTTGCGCACATGCGGTTAGCAGCCTTTCACGAATGAACGTCCCAAGCCTTTGGCGCATATTGTGCCGCCGCCCACCATGTGCGCTGCTGACCTGTCAAGACACCAAAAACGGCGTGGCTTTTAACCATCCAGAATGGAGCGAGCGCACCGAGTCCTCCATCGGGGATGACAGCCGACATGGCGTTGTGATGAGGACGTCAAAGGACAGCAGAGACCAAACGCCATTTTTGAAGTCGAGATCTTGACGGCGCGAAACGAATAGCCACGAATACCGAAAGGAGGTATCCTACCGCTGCGAGGACGTGACAGAGTTGGTCGAATGGGATGGCGTGTATGGGTTGCATCAGATGCAGTTCGTCTTGTCCAGCAACGTGGAAATGGCCTTCGACTTGGGCTCGACCACATCACCAGATGCACATCGCAACCAATCGTGGTCAGTCTCAGAGGCTGTATAGATGCATCGACCAGACAATAGCTCGACAATGTCTCGATAATCCTGGCTGCAAGGGCGAGCTTGCTCTCAACGCGTACAGTGTGCTCTAGCAGGACCAAGCAATTGTGCAGCTCAGGCTACAAGGCGCACTGTATCGCACTGGGCGTCAGCAGGCGTCAGCGTTCGTGCGGTCGATCTGGCACAGCAAATCAGCTCGAACAACCTGTGGTAACGACACTCGCCCTTACCGGTCCTCATGCATCCTTCAGCAACTCCAGACAATCACGGGCCCATCTCACAGCGTAGCGCAAAAGACATGACCGGATCTGATGTCGCTGGCTCCCTTCTTTGGCAATTCCGTGTCGACCGAGAGGAGGACGATGTATTCCAAAAGAGTGGCTGATATATGAAGAGGCATGGTACCCAAATCTGCGAACAGAGCATCCTCAACGGGGTAAAGTTTCGTTCATAGAGACGGGAACAATTCGAGGTGACGATAAACTTGCAGAGTAGGCATCCTCTTCTTGTATGGAGCATCTCATCTACATCGTTCTCCGAGGTAGACCGCATCTCGCAGTTTCTCGCCGATGCAGCAAGTAATCAGCAAACCCTAAGAACATACCCTTGCACGTACAATCCATCAGGGATGTCAAACTGCAACACTCAGAGTTGAGATTCGTTCCTTTGGGATTACCTACGAAGTAACTCGGGAGAATAATGCCCTTTTACAACTCAAGAGGACGTCATGACCGCTGACGACAGGCCTAGCCTTGCCGCAGTGGCCATCTTTTTTCTACCACAACTTCTTCGGTCACCTCGCCCCTTTACACTGCAGAAGCACCTATCAAACTTTCCTGTTATTGTTCGCATATATCCATCCGTGCTGCCAGATCCCAGTTCCTCCTCTTCATTCGCCGCCAGAGGCATCGCGCTAGTTACAGCTTCTTCCAATCGCACCACGCATCACAACCAGGCACACTCGCAGCCTCAAAACAGCTCCACATAGCTCTGCATATACGTCGCACGACGTCTCGCATTTCCTGCTGTTCTCACAGCTATCTTTCGGCGATTGGGATGACAATCAGCTTAGACAAGACCCTGCATGAGATTGCGAATCTCGAGCTAATATGTGATGTGACAGCTACTTCGAGACCACAGTGGTACGTATTATAGACATTGGCATTCTGCTACAGTGTAGCAAGCAACTGTATGCTGCAGACCATGACTTCCAGCAGCGTCCTCGCCAGCCCAGCAGCTATGTCGCCATCTTAAGCTCACTGCGAATACCCGTTCGACCCGCTCGACCCGCTCAGCACGCGCATCGTCATACAGCTTGTATCACCAGACCAGCATTACATCACCTCGCCACGATCCTCCGCAACACCAACAGACTGGATTAACAGCACCACCTCACTGGCTCCCAGGCACGATCAGACGAACTACAGTGGAAGATTACCAACTGCATACATGCACAACGAACGAACGACCAATGACGAGAAAAATCCCGTACAGTACCACTGGCCAACCTAGTCCTTAACACCCTCCACGTACGAGATCCGTACAACACCTGTCGGCATTATAAACCAAGCCTCGACCTCTGAGCTTGGAGCGACTTCCTTCCGGAAGCTGCGCCTATCCACACCACCAACACAGGACTGCTGCCTTGTCTTCCCCTCCCACCTATGCCACACTCGATATCGCACAGCGTCTTCGCACGAACAAGCCTGACCATCTGCGACAACTTCATCATGGCGCTGAGCTACCTGGACGCGAAACGAATGATGTCGCCCGAGGAGCTGATAGCAAGCGCGAGCCCCTGGTTCCTGGATGCTGAAACGGTGTGGTGGCGGAAATTCTGGATGGACAGTTGATCATGTAGGGTGTTGTGTAAAGATGCATTGTATGATTTGGAGGGCGAAACAATGAGTCGGGTGTTTGGCCATGTCGGGAGATGGTGGAGGTTTGACCAACCGAGATGAGTGAGTGGGCAGGGTGATGTATGCTCAGATTGGTCTATTACAGTGAGCACCTCTAGGTGTATGAGATGTACACCGAGTGGCCTGAAACAAGTACCAAGACGCCGTGGCCATGCTATGCCTCCCAGTATTCGCCCAAAGTCGTCTGCTGTGCATGTCTGCGATAGACGTACACAGTATCTCGTGCTGCGCAGGAGACTTCTATGACGCAGTCGCTACAGCGCCGTCACCCAGAACCCTAGCCACGAGGATGTATGCCAGGATAGTGCCGAAGATGATCTTCCACTTGTTCCTGCTAAGATAGCCTTGTCCAGCTTCCCTCGCAATCTGCGCATCCTGCACAACTGTGGACGCACTCCCGTTTGGCCTTCGTCTCAGTCCAGCGACCTCGGGCGGGCAGTGTGCTTGTGCGGCCGGCTGTGCAGGGCGCGGCAGACCCGTAGCGGTGTCGATGTTCTTTTCCTTCATCCACTTCAGATTCTCCTCGTCCACCTCGGGCCACTCCAGTCGGAACTTGGCGCCGCCGTCGCCGGCCTTTATGCCCCCGATACCACGCGAGTTCGCGCTCGGTGCGCTCGTCTGCTTCGACCCGCCGCCCGTGCTATTCCACCAGCGCGTGCGCTGAGCAAACAGTTTGCGCTCGTGCTCGCTGGCGCGCACGCTACCCGTCGTCATCTCCTCGCTTGTCATGAAACTCAGCAGGCCCGTGAGGATGGTGCTGACTTCCCACGCCGGGTTGAAGCTCTTGGGGTGGAAATCGGATATGCTGAGGCACAGGCGCGTGCTGGGCTGAAAGCGGCCGGAGGGCGTGTGCATGCGGATAGCGGGCGGTGCGAAGGGATAGTCGGGCGGGAACATGAGGGTGCCCCAGTACTGGCCGCCTTCGTACGGTGTCTCGGGCGGGCCGGTGAGGATGTAGTGCCATTCGAGGATGTTCTTTTCTGAGGGGTGGGCGACGATGTAGGGTGGCGGCGCCTTGGCGATGGTGGCGTACTCCTTGGTGAGGCGCTTGGTTGCTGCTGGGGTCGCCATGGTGTGTGAGTGTGCGTGCGTGCGTGTGTGTGTGTGTGTGTGTGTGTGTGTGTGTGTGTGTGTGTAAAGGGATGGGTGGGATTGGGAGTGTGGCACGACGCAGTCGTCTATATGGTGCGAACGCTGAAGGCAAGGCCAGAAGGCTGAGGCGAAGACAAAGAGGGTATCAAGCGAACAGGTCGAGGCATACGAAAGAAGACGCAGGCAAATGCAAAATTACAACCCAAAAGGTGCCTTCTTTGTGCGGTTCCACGGCTGGGCGAAAGGACGGGCAAACAGGGTGATCACAAGTGGTGAAGTGAGAGTGGAAGGCACAGCGGAGGGCACAGTGGAGGGCGCAGTGGAGGGCGGAGTCTGGGCTGGCACGGGCCCGGAACGCATGCATGGCAGTGCGCTCAAGACAATGCGGCACGTGCGCGATGATGGAGCTGGCCTATCTTCCAGGAATTTTGCCAAGACATCAAGCTGCAACCCGCAACAGCTCTGATGGCGTCGCCAATTGAAGACGATGTAGGATGAACGACACAGACAAATACGTCACATGACTAACGCCGGCTCAGGTCTTCGCCAGGCTCAAGAACAAGACCGACTCGGCCGAGGTGAAGCGCCAGCAGGATGAGCTCAACACGCGCCTGTTCGCGCAGCACCAGAAGTCGCAGGAGCGGCTGGCGGAGCTGGTATGACGGATCAGTTGGGCTTGGTGGAGCGGTGGCTAATGCATGGCCAGGTCGAAGACAACACTTCCCTCCCCGTGACCATCTCGTCGGTCCGCGTCCTCCACGCCAACCGCACACGACGGGGCTTCCTCGAGAAAGTCGTGAACCCCCTCCTGAGCGCCAGCCGCGACGAGTCGTACACGCTCGAAGAGGCGCTGAAAGAGGTGGGCAACGCTACCGACAAGCTGAACCGCTTCGGCATCTTCAAGTCGCCCATCTCCGTCTTCCTCGACCGCCCCGACCCCACGAACGCTGCGTGTTCGCCCACTGATGTCGACGTCTACATCTCGGCCCACGAGCGCGGCAACTACACGATCAAGACCGGCACCGAGGCTGGGGCTTCCGAAGCAGACGCCTATGTCAACGCTGAGCTGAGGAACCTGTTCGGTGGTGCGGAGACGCTCAACGCACACGGATCGCTGGGAACGCGGACGCGCTCCGCCTACTCGCTCGCCTTCGACACACCCGTCCTGGCCAACCCCGACTGCAAGTGGCAGGTCAACGGCTTCGCAAGCTCCGTGCTGAAGAGCTGGGCGGGCCACGAGGAAGTCCAGAAAGGTGGAACCACCAAGCTCCTCTGGCGCTCCAAGACGGGCCACGAGCACACCTTCGGCTACTCGGGCATCTGGCGACAAGTCACTTCGCTCGCCGAGAACGCCTCCCCCACCGTCCGCGCCGACGCAGGCGACTCATTCAAGTCCACCGTCACCCACACCTGGACCAACGACAAGCGCGACTACCCCCTCCTCCCTTCCAGCGGCTACCTCCTGAAAACCGTCTCCGAGCTCGCCGGCTTCTCCGTCCTCGGCGGCGACGTCTCACATTTCAAGACAGAAGCCGAGTCGCAGATCGCCCTCCCCTTCGGCAACACAGGCATCACCCTAACCGCCGGTCTGCGCGGCGGCCTGCTCTACCCTCTTGCCCGAGCCGGCAGCGCCAACCCGCCAGCCTCCCGCATAAACGATCGCTTCCAGCTCGGCGGCCCCAACAGCGTGCGCGGTTTCCGCCTCGGCGGTCTCGGTCCGCACGACGGCCCTGACGCCGTCGGCGGCGACGTCTTCGCTGCGGGCGGCGCCTCGCTTCTCCTCCCCGTTCCCCGCGTAGGCAAGGAGACGCCTCTCCGCCTGCAAGCCTTCATCAACGGCGGGCGCCTCCTCGCGCTCAAGGGGGCCAGGTCAGAAGATGGAAGCTTCGCCGGCGACGCAAGGGAGAGCTTGAAGAAGACACTGCGCGACCTGAAAGAGGGGTTGCCTAGTGCTGCGGCCGGTGTTGGGCTCGTGTATGCGCATCCGATTGCGCGGTTCGAGATCAATTTCTCCTTGCCCCTGGTCATGAGGAAGGAGGAGCAGGCACGGAAGGGCTTGAGCTTTGGGGTGGGGATTGAGTTCTTGTAGATGGGGATGTAGATATCGTGTACTAGTAGTAGAGTCTAGCATGCAAGCTTTCTTTGACATGTCCGTGTTGTGTTGTCAGGCTTCGACACCTTGCACCACCCCGTTGCCTCGTCCAAATACCACGAGGATCACCGCTTTGTGGTTGTAACAGACCGACCTCGTAGCAGACACACCCACCTGCACTGCCCCCACAGACCCCCGTTATCTTGTTCATTCAAACGCGATATCCTTCAGCAGAGCATCTCGTGTGATATCACAAATCACCAGGATTGGCGAAGATCGTTGACATTTGGTGCATGCGATGCTATTCCATTCTATTCAGAAAAGGTACATTTGAATGCTCCTACTCCATCTCAGCAACATGTGCTTTGTGTACTGAAGAAGCCGTCTCGACGCATTGTTGAGGATTAATTCACCCATGCAAGCGAACCCACGCCGCAGAGACAAAACGCCGTTTCACTGCCAGCCTCACTTCTTTGACCCACTCGACGACTGTACTCGGCGTTGCGGTGCTGAAAGGCTTTTCGTTTGTTTCCGCGTTCTTCTGCTTCTTCTTCTTCTTCTTCTTGATTACAGTCTGCTCGCTGGGCATCTGCGGTAACGGGGCAAGCCACTTCCTTTGGTTGTCGTAACTCGATACTGATTTGGTGTTATGAACAAAAGCTTTGTAGGTGTCATTATCAACACGGTCTTTGGACAACCCGACAAAAGCGCGCAGATCCATCCCTTGTGGGGCTAGAGAGCCGTGATTTCTTTCGCAGAAGGAAATCCAGTAGCGGTCTTAGGAGACACCTTTGGAGGCGTCTCGGGGGCCACTTTCGAAGCCACTTTGGGAGCCAACTTCGGAGCCACCCTGGAAGCCGCTGGAGCACGCTACTGCTTCTTGTTGAGCTTCTCGTTGATGCTCTCCTCGCTCGGCATCTGTGGCAGCGGTGTAAGCCATTTGCGCTGGGTGTCAAACGTAGACACGGCCTTGACGATGGAGATGAAGTTTTTTGAGTTTTCTTTGTCCACACGTCCCTTGAACATGCCAATGAGCGCCTGGATACCCATACCCTGCGGCGGCAGGGAATCGTAGATCTCCTTCGCGGAGGGCAGCTTGGGTTGGCTGGGGGCAGGGGAGCCGGGCGCAGGACTGCCCGCGCGACTAGTGCTTGCAGATGCGGTGGGGGAGCCGTTGCCGAGGACGACGTTGAGCTTGTTCTTCTTTTTCTTCTTGATACGTGAGGACTCGTTGCCACTGGCCTCAGACATCTCGGAGTTGGGCCGCTTCTTGGATTTGAGTTTGTCGACGGGCTTGTGGGTGCCGGATGGGGTACTCGAGCCCATGGGTGTGTTGGTGCCTTTACTCGAAGTGCCAGAGGGTGCGTTGCCAGTCCCTGCAGCTTTCGCCTCGACGGCCTTCTTCTCCTCTTCTTCCTTTGCGCGCTGACGTTCTGTTTCGCTGTCGGTTTCGGATTCTTCAGACATGTCGCTTTCGGCGTAATCATAGAGTTTGCCACGCTTAACCAGCGTCTTCCTCAGCCCCTTCTCAAGCTCCTTGGCCATCTCTGCTTCCATCTCCTCGCGCTCTTCCTCTTCCTGTATCTTCTTCTCGTTACGGTCCCAGAGTGAGGCAGCCAGCTGGTCTCGCCTCAACTTCTCAGCAGCCTCCTTGACATCCACTTCGTCACCCTCAAACAATCCGTTCAGACCCTCTTCGTCATCCGCAAAGTCCTCTTCGAGGTTGAAATCGATATCGTCAGCATCCGCCTCGCGCTTGATGTAACCCTCGTCGTTTCGCACTGCGCGGATGCGGCCTTCGTCGTCGGCACCACCGCCCACTCGGGTGCTCATCTGGTTCCTGCCTCGAAGCTGGTGTGCTTCCTTTTCTTTCGCCTCAGCACGCTGCTCGATGTTCCGTAGGAAGCCAGGCACCCTCTCGACCTTGAACATGACCTTGTCGGTATCGTCGCCTGTGACCTTGACCTTGCCCTTGACGTTGAACCTGTACCAGCGCTCGATGGGCGCCAGCTGGATGGTGCCTTGCGAGTTCTGGGACAGCATGACGTGTGCCTCAGAAAGCTCCGACTCATACGTGCCAACCCACGTCTGCTTGTTCTCGAAGTCCTCGAGGTGCCAGGGCAGAGTCTCCTCGTACCGCAGCAGCTGGCGTTTCTTAGCCTCTGGTGTGTCGTCTGGCCGGTACTTCTGCTCCGTCTTCTTTTGAAAAGCCTGGGGCTTTGATTTGCCTGTAGGCGCAATCTTCGCCTGATTCTCCTCTCGAATCTTGCGGCGCTCCTCCCTCTGCTGTTCGATCCTCTCGCGCTCCTTGATCTCCTCCAAGTCCTCCTTGGTGTCTTCCTCCTCGAAGTGAGAGCCTGCTCCACTGGGCGGCGCACGGGGGTCTCGACGGTGAAGGCGGATGGGCGTAGCGAACTGGCTCGGATCCTGAATGTCGACGTGTGTCTTGTTCTGGACTCGCATGACGTGATGCCGCAGCTCTTTGAGGTCGCGGCGTGTGACAATAAGCGGGAAGCTGGTCGCGCCTGCCTGTTGGTACTCATGGCGCAGCGCAGCGAGCGACGCAGTCCCTTGAGCGGTGGCATCGGCAGGCTTGTTGCTCTCATTCATCTGCGCCAGAGACACCAAAGGGCGCGTGATCTTTGCGAGCGGTCGACGAGGCGCGCGCAAAGGGCCTTCTTTGGGACGTGGACGTTTCTTTTTCGCAGGCTGCTGTCCATTTGGAGCTGCAGACGGCGGCGCCTGCTGAGGCGCCGTAGGCAGGTTGTTCATGATGAACGAGTGTGTATATTAGGACTATGGAAAAGAATGTGGTGGGCGGAAAGTGTGTCGTGGATGGCGGTGAAAGGCAGCAGAAGTGCAGCCTCTTGTTCAAGACAATGGTGATGAAAGCTGAGCTGTGACGTTCCAGCGCGCCTTCCCAGCAGCCTAGCGCTGGGTAGCGGATCTCCGGCTTGGCATATTGGTCGGAGGCTCGGTAGAATGACGCCCCAGACTTGCTACGGCGCTCCGGTTATCTGTGCGGCTCTTTTCTCGATAGAGCATACATCTGGAGCATTCACGGGTTTCCAAGCTTGCGCGCCGCACTGGACGCTCCAAGACTTCGGTGCAAGAGCTGGAAATTACGGACTTTGGATACGCCAATAGCATTGTCTTTCTCTAGAACCGCCGACCGCAGATTGTCGACAACCTCCACAGCTTGAGCACGGACAGTGTAACCCATGGACAGCTTTGTTGGCATCTAAGCTCGTCCGGTCAGCAGGCATTCTGTGCAGCAAGAGCAACAGCAAAAGACTGGTTTTCGCGAGCGGTCACAGATCAGTCCATCACGCCAATTGATCACGCCTCACAGGAGACCAAACTATCATGAGTCAAAATCCATCCAACACCAGCAGCGATCTTGAGAATCAGCTGCGTGGCATGATACTCAGCAATGTCACCATCGCGGGTGGGCAGAACCATTACGACGGCCAGCCAGGCCAGCATCGAGGACGTGGTCGTGGCCGTGGCGGCTTCTATCGTGGCTCTGGCCCCAATCCTCGCGGCGGTTATGCTCACCGCAACACCAGAGGCAACCAGTCATGCGGCATGAACATGGCATCTTCATCCACGCGTGGTGGCGGGACTGACACCAACAACAACGAGACGGGCCCTCGCTCTCAACAACCGCACAACCACGCCTATGCTCAGCACCGAAATGATGCCCCTCATCCACAAATTCTGCAGCGGCCACGAGGTGGGTTCAATCAAACAGGGCAAGCGCCTCGGGGTGGTGGGCCTCATCAGTATCCCCGTCCGCAGTATGCCCAGAGTGGCTATCAGAACCAGCCGAGGATTGATTCGGCAACGCAGGTGCAGTTCATGGAAGAGATCGTCGAGCGTGAGCTTCCCAAAGTCGAAATGACTGAGTTCGAGATTTCAAAGCACGAAACGTTCAGGAAGGGCCTAGAAGCTATCATGCAGCAAGCCTTCGATGAAAACGGAGGCGAAGACCTCGATTACATTAGAAACATTTCTCTAGTAGCATTCGGTAGTCTCGGCTCAGGTTTCGGTCTGCCCGGTTCAGACATGGACCTTGCTGTGGTTCCTCAATGGAGCGACCCTGCTCGAGCTGACGAGACGGACATCGGTCCTAGGATTCCTCGTCTCCTCGAAAAGGCGGTACTCGATGCGAAGATGGGAGGCCGTCTGCTTACACGTACGCGTGTGCCGATTCTGAAGGTGTGCGAAAACCCTACTGATGCACTTTACACTGCCCTGATGGACGAGCGCAAGAAGTGGGACGGTCTTTCCGAGGAAGAGCAGTACCCTCGAACTCCGCCGCCAGTAGACCCCACAGTACCGCCACCGACTTTCGATGAGATTGAAACGGAGAAGGCTCTGAAGGCTGCTGCAGGGCAAAGGGAGACTGCAAAGCCCAGGCGGAGGTCTAGCGTCGCGGCAGGGGATGGCGTGACGGCAACTGAAGCAACGACTGAGGCAGCGACTGAAGCACCGACCGACGCGGCTGCACCTGTATCGACCATTCCAGAGGGAACCTTGCCTGCCGCATCCAAGACAGATTCGACTGAACCCCCCACCACGGTGTCCACCAACAAAGAGCATCAGAACCGGCCAGAGAAGCAGTGGCATCGTGAAAAGGTTCTTGGGCCCCTCGACTTCCCGAAGACTGGTGTTGGCATCCAGTGCGACATCAACTTCGCGAACCCTCTCGGCATTCACAACACTCACATGCTCCGCTGCTACTCCCTCACCGACCCTCGAGTTCGGCCCATGGTCTTGTTTGTCAAGTCCTGGGCTAAGCGTCGCAAGATCAACAGCTCTTACTCTGGCACGCTGTCATCCTACGGTTGGGTCCTGATGGTCCTTCACTACCTTGTCAATGTCGCATCACCACCAGTCTGTCCCAACCTACAACACTACCTGCCACAAGCAACAGACATCAATTCACTGGTTGACCGCTTTAAGGATGCGCGGAAGATTAGTGGTTACGATGTCCGCTTCTGGCGCAACGAAGAGGAGATCATCCGAGCGGCACAAGAGGGTCGACTAACACAGAATCGCCAGCCCCTCGCCTCGCTTCTGTGTGGCTTCTTTCGATACTTCGCATCACAGGGCGGTCACTACGGTCGCCAAACCAACTTCTACTGGACATCCGAGGTGCTCTCTCTTCGCACACCCGGCGGTATCCTCAGCAAGCAGGACAAGGGTTGGGTCAGCGCCACTACTATCGTCACTGCAGAGAAGAAAGTCACGAACCGGTATCTGTTCGCTATCGAAGATCCCTTTGAGATCGATCACAATGTCGCAAGGACTGTCACACACCGCGGCATCGTCACGATACGTGATGAGTTCCGTCGTGCTGGAAGGATACTGGGTGCTGTTGGCAGGGGTATGGAACCTGAAGGAGGGCTCTTTGACGAACTCATCGAAGAGGCTCCAGCACCAACTGCGAAGGTTGAAGGGCCTGAGGCCAAGATGATCGATCAGACGAACATCGCACAATGAGAGAAGTTGGTATGCGAGCATTGAGCATAGATGAGAACGCTAGACCAATGCTCCAGTAGCCGCAACCGGCATATCTGCAAGCAGTATACACTCGAGCAACTTGCGGCACAAATACCCAGGATCCGATGCGAGACCGGCGCTCTTTACTGACTTTCGTTGTATACAATGGAAGAAAGCGGTCAGCTTGTCGGAGCCACAGCATAAGTCGTATGGACAACGTAGATGCATCAAAACAAGTCATGGCAGTGACATGCACTGTCAGCATGCTTTACTTCCGATACCTACCGTCACAACTGCCGTAGCCCTATGTCCTCTCCATACCCCACAACGCTCTCCGCAAGACCAAAATGATGTTGTCCTGCCGATGGGTAAATGTCGGCTTTTTGTACTGACCAATGACGAACTTCAGCTAAATCGCTTTCCCACAACCCGCACAGCTCAACCATGCTAGCCACGGCGCGTTCCCCACAATAGCTTGATCCCCGGAAGGATTCTGTACCTGAATGGGTGGTAACCCGTCATATAGCCGCTTGAGTCTGTGGAGAACTGACAATTCTTGTTCGACACGCGCGAACAAGGTCGAGCCCTGTTGTTGTTGTTGTCAACAAAGTACATAAGTCATGGTCGGGTCGTCATCATGGACCCTTTCTCTATCGTTCGCTTCCCCAGGCTACCTTCATCATGTTGCGCAAGACAGCATTAGCACTTTCGCTGTACGCTGGCTTGACAAGCTGTGCACCTACCAATGTCACAGGTCCAACAGCGCATGTAAAGAACGGAACTTACCAAGGCGTCTACTCACCTGAGTACAACCAGGACTACTTCCTCGGTATCCCATACGCGCAACCTCCAGTCGGCAATCTGAGGTTCAGGAATCCAGTCAGCTTGAACCAGAGCTGGAGCGGTGTGAAGCCAGCTACACAGTACTCTGGCGAGGTATGCCCTCTTCAACAACATACATGGAGGTAGATGGAAAGATGGCTAACAGTAGATAGTGCTACGGTTATGGGTCTGACCAATGGAGTTACCCCGTCTCGGAGGACTGTCTCTACATCAACGTCATCCGCCCTACCGCATGCAAGAATGAGAAGCTTCCTGTCGCTTTCTGGATCCACGGAGGCGGCTTTTACATGGGAGGAGGTGTTGATCAACGTTATAACATCTCCTTCATGGTTGAGAACTCTGTCAAAATTGGCAAGCCGATTATTGGCGTGAATATCAACTACCGCCTCAGTGCTTGGGGTTTCTTGAGCGGCAGCGAAGAGATCAAAGAGTCTGGGGAGATGAACCTGGGACTGCGAGATCAGCGACTGGCGCTGCAATGGGTCCAGGACAACATCGAGGCCTTTGGCGGTAAGTTGTACCAAAGACGTCTTGCTATGTGGTACTGACAACGATAAGGCGACCCAGAGAAAGTCACCATCTTCGGCGAAAGCGCAGGAGCCGGATCTGTAGGTTTCCAGCTCACAGCCTACAGCGGACGAGATGACAAGCTCTTCCGCGGTGCCATCATGCAGTCCGGCAATCCTGTACATTTCAATCGTCTCAACGATCCACTAGGCTACGCTGACTCGTACAACGCGATCGTGAGCCGTACACCCTGCGCAAACGCTACCTCACAGCTGGAATGTTTGCGTGCACTGCCTGCCGAGCAATACAACGCCGCTGTCAATGTCACTAACGCCACTCTGAACACAACATCTTTCATGCCCATCCTCGATGGCGATTTCATCCAGAAGCGCACCTCAATCCAGATGGCGAATGGCGAATTCGTCCACGTCCCCATCATCAGCGGCGCAAACAGCGACGAAGGGACTGCCTTCTCCCCTTCTCCCGTCAACACCACCGAGGATCTGTACACTTTCATGACAACCGGAGAACGCGCCGTTCCACCTGCGCTTGCGAATCAGCTGCTCGAAGCATACCCAGACGACCCATCTGTCAACGTGATCGCAAACCTTGGAGACGCAAGACCAGGTCCACCATTTGGTGAGCAGTTCCGCCGCTCAGCAAGCTACTTCGGCGACCAGATGTTCATCGCGCTGAGGAGGCTGACATGCCAGACGTGGGCTGCTGCTGGTGTTCCGGCGTACTGCTACCGCTTCAACACTATCCCGGCTGGTGCCTCGGCGATCCTGGGCGTAACTCACTTCACAGAGGTGTCTTTCGTCTTCTTAAACCTCCTTGGTGCTGAATATGCGTCTGTCTCCAGCAAAACGCAGAGTTACAGGGATTTGAGCAGGTTCATGAGTAGCAGCTGGGTTAGCTTCGTCAGCGATTTGGATCCAAACTCGTGGCGCGAGGGAGGTACGTGGAATGGGACGGAGGAGCTGTGGCCGGCGTACGATGTGGCTAATCCTCAGGACTACGTTTTCGATGCGAATGTTACCAGCCATGCAGAGGCGGACACCTGGAGGAAGGAGGGCATCGACCTTATCAATGCGAACAACCTGGAGGTGTACGGCAGATAGGAGTTTCCGACTCATGTATAGGTTAAGAAGACGCCAACCTGTTTCAATACATCGTCCCTGTCTCCTTGAGATCATGTCCGGCTTGTACTTCCCGAGAAGCCATTGCTCTTTCTCGTTGTCCCTTTACGCACTTGCTATCTGGCTTTCGCTCCTCTTCAATCGCGCTACACATACAACAACCCAGCCTGTAGGCCCAACAATCCTAAACACATCACCCACGCTCCACTAACTTCCACCACTACACCACCTGCGCCTGTCCTCGAAGGAAGTACGCTCGAGGACGCCGCATTCGAAGAGTTGGCGCTGGATGGCTCAGGGGTCGATGTTCGAATAGTCGATAAGTCGGCGGTCCATAGGTCGGTACTTGAGATAATGGGGGTTGGAATGTCAGTGGCTGATATTGCGGCGTTCTGGAGGTTGCTGACGTATGTTGGTGGTGGGAGGAAGGTCAATGTTTGGGCCTGTGTGTTGGCTACTGTGAGAGTCAGTAGAGTGCGAAGTGATTAGAATCGAGGCTTGCTCACTTGTGGAGGTCGTCGATGTGGTTAACACTATACTGATCGCGAGCGACGCGATGTGGATGGTCTGAAGAAGCGAAGGCATTGCAAGCATGATGGGGAGATGCGAATATCCTGTTTGACTTGCTTATAACTGTGAAGCTCGAACACACTGGTGGTTAGCTCATGTGTGCAATGGTGTGGTTTCGACTTCGTTCTCAGCGCCTTATGACCGCACCGCTATGCACAACGTTGCACCGTTCGTACCGGTTTGTGACAGTTTCGGGGCTTTTGAACGGATACCGACTGCAGCTGTAGAAGGTGTGACCGTCGCACTGCATGCTACTCAACCAACTCACTGGACAACGGTCTTGCACAGATGTACACGAATAGTTGCAATAGACACTTGATCCATACTTCCGATAATGACATGTTTGCGTGCCGCTCCAGTGACCAAACATCCGAGTACAGAATTCACACGACACTTGCCGCACAACTATTGCTCTGTCCGATCCTTTCTAATCGACAATGCACCAGTCACTTACTCCAAAACGGAGGCTTATAGTCACCAGGAGCCACATAGCGCAAGTAGGTACTGCTGGTATACTTGATGAGTTAGGCACTTTAGTGGCCTCGTTTGAGCCAGAAGCTGTTGTCCGTTTTGAAGTTTGGGAGTGCGTGGTCACGAAGGCAGTGCTTTGACTGGGAGTCGTAGACACAGTGTTCGGTCCGCTATAGACAGTATGGTAGGAACTGACGACTGGAGAGAGTTCTATTGGAAGTGTGATATACGACAGCTGGTCTGCAGTGGGATCAATTACTGTTGGAGTACTGGAATCCTGGAAGGTCTGTCGCAAGAGTGAGGGGGAGGTCGGGAGGCTACCACAAGGATTTGAAGCTGAAAGACTCGTGTCGATTGAAGTATGGATCTCGGTGTCTGACGGAGTTGGCAGTTGATCTGAGCTGTTACTGGTTGGTTCATACTCACAGCTTGGTGTACTGGAATCCCGAGATGTCTTCGCCGGTACAGAGCTTGCTGAAGGCGCGGGAGGCACAGGAGTGTGAAATTTCCAATGTCCCCTCAAGGGCAGGGACGAACAGAGGTTGAATGATAAGTGGAACTATCGAATGTGGACGAATATCGAGGCCGATGCGCACAGACATTGTGTGTAGAAGATCAGTTCGAGTGGGCGCTAGCGACCTGCGCTTGCGTATGTCAAGCTGGCGGTTGCTCCTTGGCGTGCCAAAGGCAAGACAGTCGGTGTCGGAACGCTGCTGAAAACAGAAGGGTAAAGACAATTTATCGAGCCTGAAGCGCCCTGAAATAGCTCACCCGCAAGACATTCTCCTCACACCATCCTGCGAGAAGAAGCTGTCGTCGCTGGATCTGAATCATGTCGAACGTAACGGAATATGGGGTTGGCTCCTGGGGATACTTCGAGCCTTGAAAATTCTGCATCCGATGGATACTCTCTTGGGTGTATATTTTATCGTCCTCTTCCAGCTCTTCGGTATCTAGCCATCCTTCTACTGTCGTAAAGGAACTCGAATACTCATTGCATCCTATAGCAAAGGAGGGTAGGCTAAATTGCTCGGCTTCCATAGCAAATGCTGGGATTCGGCACCTATCTATCGTGGTGCTCCGGCGCTGGCCTTCAGTCATGGGTACTGCATCGTCCCTGTCCAGGGTGCCGAAAAGAGTCCCATTGGCGGAAGAGCCATATGAGTAGTAGGTATGTTCAAGACCTTGATTACGACATCTTGCGATTTTTGTCGAAAGTACCCTGCTTTAGCTGTGTCCGGATGACTCCATCGATCGGCGAGTCCTGTGTGTTTTCGCTCAAGACAACGATCCTAGTATTGGAAGATCGACTTGGGAGCTGCTCAATGAGACCTTGGAGAGCTATATAATAATCAGCAGAATGTATGGACCCCCCTAATTATGGTACAGTGATGTTCACAGTACATACGCACTGTACGGACAGGTAGGTGAGTGGTCAGCTTATCTGGTTGCCCTAAGATTCCCACGTTCTGCCCTGCATTTTGTCACCCAATCTGTCACCAAAGCTATCAACCACGTATAGCTAACCAGTCGGAAGCGGTCGCTTGCCTCTAACGTACTAGTGAAAATACTCAACCAAAATTAAGGGGGGTTCATACATTGTGCCGGGCACCGATAATCATGGAAGGGTACAAATACTTTGTCTTCGGACAACCTGATATTCTTTCTGTCTCTGGACTACGTCTGACGCCCCTCGCTTCCACAATGAGGTAGACATGAAATGTCACGCCCGCAGTTGATCATCAGGGACTTCAGTGTCGACAAATCGATGAATCTGATCAAGCGCATGAAGAGGTGCTCTTTCTCGCCGATGTACATCGGCTCGACGTACTCGGTACGGAACATGCTTGGACACATAGCCCCAAGCTGGAGGCGGACATGTTGCATCCGCGGCATGATTCGACGTATCGCGGTGCAGGCATGCGATGAACTTCCCCAGTGGCAGTCATGGCCTTTCGTGTCCAGTTCGAGACTTGGACAGGAGAATGGCAGTGCGTTGATCAACTCGGTGAGCGTGCTTCGCGGATTGGCGAATATTGAGTCAGGTTCGAGGAGCAAAGAGAACGACACAAGCTTATCCATCGTATCGAAGAGACAGGCGATGTTTTCGAACTGCTCATATATGAGTCGAAGCGCCCGGGGGATGGAACCGTATCTATCGAAGTCCTCATCGCCCCATTCAACCCTAGGCTCGGGGGCCCTGTAATCGTTTCGTTCAAACTCGTCATCGCTGTTGTATTGGCTCCTAAAATCTTCTGAAATGAGAGGTCTCTTATCGAATACAAAGGACTCGTCGCCTACACGAAGTGACAAAGAGCGGATAAAGTGTCCATTGAACGATCCGTCGAGTGGCTCCACGAATGCTTCAAAGTCTGCTCGCGCTAGGAAGATATTGCGGTACAATTGGAGTGCCGATGTGATTCCACGTCTTAAATACTTGAACGAACGAAACCAGATCATCATTGATAGGGCCGTCAGAGCCTTTGTCGCAATCATAATCGTAATCGTAATCGCAGGGTTCAGTATCGAACTGGCGCTCTGGACGGAAGGAGAAGTAGTAAGCACCCATAGAGGCACCACATTTGAGTTCGAATGCTATTGCGAGCAGGATATAATCCGGTAACGAGAGCACCTTGACAGACTGCAACTGTGAACCGAACGCCGGATGGTCAGGCTTGTGCGCGAGTGCGGACAATACGGTCTGGGCAAGGTGAAAGGTCAGAGTTAGTACCAAACCAGCCGTAGCATAGATAAAAGCACTCCATACTTCTTCGATGACTTGTGATTTCAAGGTTGGGGTTTGAGTGCGGGGAGCTCTAGCGTGACACGAGCGTGCTGGTTGCCGTGGCGACAGCAACGCGCTACATGTTTGCAAACGGCAGCAGGCACGAGCTGGATATTATCCAGATCTAATCTCTGTGCCACGATGTCGACGACACCTCCGAACTCCCCACCGAAGTCACTCATGATGGCAATGGAGCCTCCACCACGGCCTTCGAGCGCCCTTTTCGATGTCTATCTGCGACTGCGCCCGTCTAACTCCGCACATCTCCGGTTCCTTACAGTCGAAGAACGAGATGACAGCCATCCCACACATATCACCGTTAGGCCACTTGTCAATGACAACCGGAAGCGCGCAGTTGAGCGATTCGCATTTACGCAAGTTTTCGAGGAAGATGCGCGCCAGATGGATATTTTTAAGGGGACAGGTATTGTGCCTATGATCGAGGGAGTACTGGGCGCACCTGGGCATCACGGACAAGATGGTTTATTGGCAACTTTGGGTGTGACAGGATCCGGAAAGGTACAGAGAACTGGCTCCGAAACATGTGGACTGGATGCTAATACTACGGTAGAGCCATACCATCCTTGGGACCAAGTCACAGCGCGGTCTTGTCCAGATGACGCTCGATGTCCTCTTCCAGAACTGCGAAGAACAGCTTGTACAATCGTTCTACGGCGCCCCAGCATTTTCGTCTTTGGCGGCTGCAGACGTATCTGAAGCTAACATGTTCACTGCTTCTTCTTACCTGGACTCCATGTACGGGGACAACCAGTCAGAGCGCTTCCCATCGAGAGCAAACACACCTGCGCCTGTAAGTTCATCTTTCCAGTGTCTCATTTCTCCCATGTGCTCCTCTAACTTTCATCGTCTTCATCTTCTCGTCTGGTGACATCTGATACTCTGTATCCTGCTCTACGGGCCACTTTCTCAAGCCGCCCAAGTGCGAACATTCATCCTGTCAACGTAAACCTTTCCAACTTCTCTCGATCGACCGCGAGCTTTGACTCACGTACAGCAAAGGACTGTAGTTTCGTCTCACAAGGCACCTCTCGATCGAACAAGATCCCTCGATCTTCGACCCTACCACAAGCCCCGTCCGTCGCCGACATTCAAATACCCACCGACCCTACCGCCGAGTATGCCATCGTTGTCTCGATGTACGAGGTCTACAACGATCGAATTTTCGATCTCCTGACTGGAAATGCCATGAAGAGCAAGCACCCCAACGTCAAGCGCCGAGCACTTTTGTTCAAGAGCACAGAGCAGAGCCCCGAGCGCAAAGTGGTCGCTGGACTGACCAAGATCGTCTGTGGCAGTTTTGAGGAATCTATGATGGTGCTTGAGACTGGCTTAATGGAGCGCAAAGTCGCTGGTACTGGAAGCAATGCCGTCAGCTCTCGCAGTCACGGCTTCTTCTGCGTCGAAGTCAAGAAGCGTGACGCTCAGTATAAGGGCTCATGGTCTAGCAGCACACTGAGCATCGTGGATCTTGCAGGATCTGAGCGTGCGCGTAACGCAAAGACAGCTGGTTCCACTCTGGCCGAAGCTGGCAAGATCAACGAATCGTTGATGTACCTTGGGCAATGTATGCAGATGCGGGCTGACCACCAAGAGGGCTCCAAGGTACGCAGCGCTTCTCTCCATAATCCACCTTAATGCTAACACATCCCTAGAATGTTGTCCCCTTCCGCCAGTGCAAGCTCACTGAGCTCCTCTTCTCCAACTCCTTCCCATCATCGACACGATCCACACAGCACATCCCTCCTCAGAAGTCCATCATGATCGTCACCGCCGATGCGCAAGGCGACTACAACGCGACCTCTCAGATACTCCGGTACTCCGCCCTCGCACGCGAAGTGACCGTCCCAAGAACACCCTCCTACACATCCACCCTCCCCACCGGCCCTCGCCCAGGAACCGCCTGCTCCGGCCGCAGCACCCCCTCCGCGCTTCTCGACGAACTCGAGTCCTCCGCCGCCGAAATCGCACGTCTCCAACAAGAACTCTCCATCTTCGCCCTGCGCCTCTCGGAAGAAACCGCGCGCCGCAAAGCTGCAGAGCAATCCTGGGCCGCCGCAGAAGACCACATGTCCACCCTCGAGCAAGAAATCCGGGACGAATGCTACCTCGAGATGGAAAACGCCGTCGACCAAGAACGCCGCAGGTGGCAAGCTACGCTCGACAACGAACAGGACAACCAACAAGCCCACCTCGACTCCAAGGTCGATGTCGTCATCAAGGCGACGAAGGCGCAGATGCGCCTTGAAGAACCGGTGAAGGTGTATGAAGACCCGGATCCGGAGGTAAGAGAAAGGAATGAGGAGTTGGAGCGCGAGAACGAGGTGCTTAGGGCGAAGATTGAGCAGTTGGAGCGGGAGGCGATGGGGAGGAGTGCGAGTCCGATTAAGAAGATGAGGATTTTGAAGAGTAAGAAGTGGGAGGATCCGGAGAGTAGGTTGTTTGGACTTGATGATTGAGCTGGCTCCTTAGCTTTCTTTTTGGGGTTTCGTTACGACTTATGATTGGCGTTTGGGTGGTTTGGATAGGGTGCCGAATCTCTCAGTCTCTTCTTCAGTCATACTTCTGGGTCTCGGTAGGGGGTTGTCTATATCGAATGCTTCGCGCTGTGTGCATAATGCATCTTCTTCCTCATCTTCACAAGCCTTCTCCTCAAACGCCCGAGCATCAACCAGTTGGCGAAGTTACATGGCCTGCGATAACCATAAGCGAGGGATGTCAGTCTCATCTCTACTGTCTGGTCAACACAACGCAAAAAACATATGACTTTCGAGACTCACGGACTGACAACCATATTGAAGTGCGAACAAGCCTGAGGCCCCAGATAGAAAGTCCAGTCTTGTCAAGATACATGTAGATGCATACTATACAAATTTCCGCTCCAACGCCACGCTATGCTACCAAAAAGCTCGCCCCGTCCTCCATCTTCACCACCTCACGCCTCAATCGGCTCAGCCTTCCTCCTATACGACTCCCTCTTCTCGCTCTCGTTCCCTGGCTCCTTCCCCGCCGCCTCGATAACATCGACCCTCTGCTGCTCCTCGACCATCTCAACATGTCCCGGTCTTCTCGGCCTGATACTCGTTTTCTGAATAATCGGGTAGAAGTACGCGGCCTTCTGCAGCTTCGTGCTGCGCAAGCTCTCCTGCTTGTGTTTCTCCGGGTCGTGCATGGCCAGTGCGACGACATCACCGTATACGTCTTCGCACGCGACCTGTTGTGAGGTCTCATATGTGCGGATATTATCGTACTTGAAGAATTTGCGGGGGCGGCCTTCGTCGTCTTCGCCCTCGCCGTCGAAAGTGATGGACTCGGCGGTGGGGTCGTTGGTTGTGAAGTTGCGCTGGATGTCGTGGACTCGCTCTCTGCTGCCGGGGAGGAAGAACTCGAAGTGGAAGCGGGAAGTTGGTGCTGGCGCTGTGGGATCCTCTTTTTGCGCCTCCTTTTCTTGCATGTACAGGTCTTGATCCTTGATTGACTGACCAGCGGGACGGAAGAGCGCGACGTCAAGGCGAGGGTCGTATGAGGGGTCGAGTGGGTTGTTGATCGGAGCAGCCATGTACTTGAACATCATGTACGCGCCTGTGTCGGTCATAGCGTCCCAATCTGGCAGCAATGGGTATGAGTCCAGCAGCTTCAAGTTGGGGTTCTTTGGGTTCTTGGGCTTGTTCCAGGCTTGCCTCTCCTCGGCCGAGATTTCTGCTGCACGGAGGTTCTCTGAGCTGTCTTGCCCGTTGTAGGCGTCGGCCGGATACGCAAGGTTGAAGCCCTTCAGAATGTGTCTGGAGATGTTGATTGGGTCATCTACGGAGGCGTCTTGGAGCTTTCGCTTTCGTCGTACGCGCATCGTGTTTGACGAGTTACTCGACTCGAACTTCGAACCGCCCGTTGTGCTCGAGGTGATGTACTCTGTGCGTCGCAAGAAGGAGGTGCCTGTAGCTTGGTTGTGCGATTTACCAAGCGCATTGGGCGGTCGCATCAGCGCCCGATCAGCAGCACATAACGGCGGCGGGTGTGCCATGGCATGGATAGCTGTATGACGCGTCAGTCCCTGTGCACAGCTTGCGCATTGTTGTTCTTCTCTTACCTGATTCATCCCCATCGAACACCTTGGGGATGCCCACCAAGTCAATGGGCATGCCCAGTTCGGCATCAGCTTCAATATTCAGCGGCTGCTCTCGCGCAAGCCTCGATGCGAAACTAGCCGATGTGTATTGTCCGCTCGAAAGACCAGTGTTGGGGATGTCGAGCAGCTTGGGAGGACATGGCGGAGGAGGGAGCGCATTGGAGTATCGGATTCGCGCAAGGAAATCCTGGGGAACGACGCTCGATCGCTGGGAGCTCATCGTGACGTTCGGCGGGTGGAAAGGCTGAAGGTGAGGTTGACACGCTGTGAAGGTTGCCCAAAGAAAGTCGGAGTGCAGCTCCCAACGCCGACGCGCTTCACACGCTCACGTGACAGCCAAGCATAACGCAGCCCTTACGCTTCTATACAGCTACCATCAACTGCGATAGATGCAGACTGTATCCTTCAACGTTCTTCTTCCGTTTTTTGACTGGTCATTTTTGTTTTGGAATCAACAAAGCACGAGCCCGAAGCTGGAGGGACAGCAATTAAAGTTTAACCATCGTAAGAGTATTAGATATAGATGCTACTATAGGACCCTGTCCTCCTACTTACTTACAGCTGCCATTACTGAGGGTCCGTGCTTTTCTAGTGTTGCCACCCAGCGGCACATGCATTGCTGCCTTCTTACCCAAACGCCATGTCCTATGTCGACCGCCAATCGTCGCTGGAGAAGGTAATAACCCCTGCCAAAAAGATGGCCAAAACCATCAGGAAAATCGTCCTGATCAAAGACAACACAGCTTCATCTTCGATCCTAAAATTATTCGTTTACTGAGCCTTCCTTGCGGCCAGAGCCTTGGCCCTGGCCAGCTTCTTCTCCCTCCTTGCCTTAGAGGCCTCAGCACCAGCCTCGGTGTCGAGGCAGAAGTCCCACCACCTGAAGCTGCTGGCGTAGTTGCCAATGAACTTCTCGTGGTGAACGTCGTGGTGCTCAGCGCCAGCCCAGAAGGGAAGGAAGTGGTGCAGGCTCCAGGGGAACTCGTAGCCACTGTGCGAATCGATGGCCTGGAACAGGCGGAGAACGATCCAGGAGTACATGGTCAGGATGTGGAGATCCTTAGTGATGGCGCACCAAACGATGGGACATCCGACAGTACCGAAACCGAGAACCATGACTTCGATGGGAGAGGCGTACTCAGCAGCCAGACCGAAGGGAGCGGAGTACTGGTGGTGGATCTTGTGGATGTTCTTGTAGATGTAGGAGCTGGCGTGCATCGCGCGGTGGGCCCAGTAGTGCCATGCGTCCTCCATAACGAAGAAGATAGCGATCTGGTAGGCCATCTTGTACAGGGGAGGGAACGGAACGCTGGTCTCGAGGCCGAAGTACTGGCACATGGGGTGGAACAACCAGATCTGGGGAAGCTCGACAGTGAAGTGGGACAGGAGGACGAGAAGCGCGCATTGTGTCTGCTCCCAGGCGGTGGGAATCTTGTCCTGCTGGGTGTTAGTATTGCTAATATCTCAAAGATCTGAGGATTGCGACGCACCTGCTGGATCTTGTACTTCCTGAACATAGGGAGCATATCGATGATAATCCATGGCAGCGATCGCCCGAAGTAAAGGACCTCGTGGATCACGAAAGACATGATACCGGTGGCCAAAACGTCGTTGCCCATCCATGAGTACCAGGCCAGCCACATCTTCTCGAAGTAGTTGAGTGAGACATTGTATTTGGAGATCTCCTCGAATGAACCCCAGTAGGTGTCCTGCGCCATTGGCGTCAGAACGGCGGTAGAATTCCTGTCGCACCTGTCAGATTGCTGTGATTCGCCATCGGGCAGTGTCGGAGACGTACATTCTGCTTGCTTGCAACAACAAAGCAAAGAAAATCGAATGAAATGACGACTGCAGAGAGGAGGTAGGTGGTAGTGCTGTGATGGCTGCAGTGGAGAGGGGAGGCAAAAGAGGGTGCAGAGGGGGCGGATTAAATTGCAGATTGTTGAAGCCCGGATCTGCGCTGGTCGATGGCACCACTTTTGTCTGTCAGGGGAGCACGGCTTCCGAGAGGCGCAAGTCTGCGCAAGTCCCTGCCAAGGGTTCCGCCTTACCCGATCGAGATGTGGGCTAGGCCAGTCGGCGGCGCTACTACTAACTTCATCTCGTTTCATCGTCCTGCGCTGCTATGGGGAGATTTTTGCGGCAGCGGCATTCCTCTTGCCGATTCCTGCGCACGATGGTCAGCGAACAGACAGTCGTGAGCATCATGTCATTGTGGGCTCACACTAACCCGCGATGCCGATGGCCACTGCTCATGCCGCTAGCAGAAATATCGCACCGCCAAAAGAGACAGCCTTGCGAAGGCGGTGTCCATGACGCGTCGGGTCCAGCTCGCCTCTTTACAAATGCACGGCACGCATCAGTGTTCCAAATGTTTTCGTATACGCTTACTCGTCATTGGTGGTTGGAAGCGTAAAGACAGTCGTCGACAGCTTGTTTGACGAATCAGCGGCGGCTTGCTCTACCGTTCGGTTGGTGTGCGCAGCATCCTTGACCTCCTGTTTTACATCTGAACTACCACAGTCAACAGGGTTTGGTGCACTTACAGGGTGGTATAGTCTTGGATCATGCAGCAAGAGTACGTCAACAAATGTTGTTGCCCTCCGTGTCAGTCTGGTATGTCCGAACAGATCAGTACTGTCGTCTTTCAAGGTTCTCACTCCGCAAGGCTCCTTTCTTCGTTTAGTCTTGTCTCTTGAGGTCGTTTTGTCTATTATTGTCATCTACTTGTCTTCAGGTCGCAAAAAGCTACAAGCCGCGATCGAGCTCTGTTCCGTATCGTTGTCTCTTTGACTTACATGGTTTGCTGCTGGTATCAAGACACGTGCTTGCTCCTTCACCTACCTCACTCAGTACTTCACTCGCTGCCGAATTAAAGCAGAAAGCTACAAAAAGATTGGATGCACCAGGACTTTAATCTGAAATCTCCCGCATTCACCCGCCCGGCAAAGATGTGAGCTATTCCTCGCTGTTCCACCATGATATCCTGGTGTCCCTCAAGTGTTCTGTTCCTCAAGGCAAGATGTCCGGATCAACATGCCAGTGTCCCTCAATCTGCCAGGCTGGCTAGGCCACTAGGTGCGGGCGCCTTACCATTCGGCCATGCGTCCTTGAGTTGTTTGATGCGAGAACCCTCTGTTTGTATTATGTATCGACGCAGATGGTGAAGAGGGACAAGACGTTGTGGGATACTCAATGCTAAGTGCAGTGAAAGCGCGGTGCTAGCTTGCACGAAGGTACAGTGAACTGTAGGTGAAGACAGGGGCAAGCTGCTTGCTCACGAGCTTAATATCGTTTCGGCAGACACTGTGCATCGCGCGGCATGCCAGTAGCGCTGTTGGCTCAGCAGCAGCAGTAAAGTATTGACAATAGGTTTCGTCAAGCATCTGTGGAGCGATTCGAAGTCACTTCTGCTTGGCTTGCTGTGAGCCACTACGCACTGTGAAGGCAATCCGTAATATTTCGAAGTTAACGAATGTTCACTACTACCTCTGTCGGTTCAGAAGACCAAAACAGGCGGAGTCATAGTACGATATCAATTCCATTGCCTTGCGGTACGGATACGTTGTAAGATAGAATGTGTGGAACAAACGAAATCGCAGGACGACAATGACCATGCTTGCTAAGATCGATATATTCGTCAAAAGAGCTCGTTGTTGGCTCGCCAAAGCATGGTACTATAAATCATCAGTCTCCTTCAACGATGTTAGATCAAAATGACAATGAAGCTCACATCAAATGCGATTATTTCCACTCACTGCGCTATGTAGATCGTTGTGCTTTCATAGCAAACGAAAAGCCACATAGATACGAGTTGCATTCCAGCAAGAACTCGGATCTCTGGCCTAGGCTGAGTCCACATTGAAACTCAACATCTGTAAGGTGGATTCTTCATCTCCTCAATGACGACCTGCAGCCCCGCACAGGCAATACCTTTGTCTTATCTCGTCATGCACCAAACTCAGTACAACGTCCGGCATGCCGAAATGAGTCACAACGCCCGAAGCGGGCTGAAGATGCACCTGCCCGTAACGTGACACCGCGATAATTACGCGTTACATCGCGTGTGTCGCGTTGACGTACCTTGTAGCCACGAAGAGTCCGTGAAACCTCCCGGTCGTTGTATCTGAAGAAGGAAGAGCAATTCGAGGGGCCTCTAGATACCTGTAAACGAGGCTGATGACCGCATTCGAGCATTGCTGCTGCGTTGTCCGTTGTCGCTTTCCTCTAGCGCAAGCCCCGCCAAAAAGCGATCAACAAAACAAGCAAGGTCTTCCATGCACTTCCAAAGTTGCTGCTTAGACCGCAACGGGAGTTGTTGGTAGTGTTGCCTTGCTGCCTGATGTTTATGCACGATTGGTATTGGACACGCGCATTCAGCTCGACGAATGAAGAGTGCTGCATCGCCCGGTTGGCTGGGGCTACGTCGACAGGCGGCAGGGGATGTAAACTTGGCAAGGCTATGTATAAATACCGGCCTCCCCCACACTTTGAGCCCGTTACGCCCCCTCGACAAGCCACAACCTGACAATCCGCGTGTGGTATCTTCACGTCCCATGCTAGATGCACACCAAGTTCTTTTGACGTAGTGTCTTTCTCACGAAAAGCGCGAAATCTAAGAGCTTCCGGAGGTCCCTCATTCTCACAACCCGCGTCAACTAACCTGTCCACTCTTTATAAGTCCCTCTGTCGCTCGTTACGATCCCTCTCTTCGGTCAACATGTTCGGAAAACGTTCGTTTGCTAGTTCAAAGGACCGTTCGGGCAAGATACAGAAACAGCCGAAGAGATCGTTTCGCGATGCTTCTGAACTGAAGCAGAAGCAGAAGAAGATGGTCGAGAAGCTGGATGCGCGCAAGGATAGCCCCATGATGGAGGCGACTTCACCGAGTCTCACCTCTGCCATCGTGACAGTCGTCGTGGGTCCTGACCAGCGACTGTTTGCCGCGCACGAAGATGTCCTGTCACATGCCCCGTTTTTCGCGCAAGCGTTGCGAGGCCAGTTCTTCGAGTCCGCTAATCGACGCATCGACCTGCCTACGGAAGAACCAGAGGTCTTCTCCTGCATCCTCGAGTATCTATACAAGGGCGATTACTACCCCCGCCTGGTTCATGACAGGCGTCGTCAGACCTGGATGCTCGAGGGCGCAATGCCCTCGCCCGACCCAAACAAAACTAGCGACCGCGCCGCCGCTGTCGAGCCAACCTTCTTTCACACCGGTGTGGGTGACGTTATCCTCCGCGACACAGCCGTGTACTGCGCTGCTGATCGCTACGGCCTTGAGGAGCTCAAGAAGCTCTCCCTGCGCAAGCAGGGCCTGCAGAGCGGGATCGAGGTTGGAGTGATCTTGCGCAGTGCTCGGTATGCCTACGAGAACACACCGGACAATGACTCGCGGCTGCGCGCTCATTACCTCGCTTTGATCATTCGCAGCCGGAAAACATTCAAGCGTAGTGGAACCATGCAGATGGAGATGGAGATGGGGGGAAAACTGTTCTTTGACCTGTTCGTGGCGATGTGCAACCATGTCGATGATCTCGTGGACGCGAGGTGAGCCTTGCACATCTTCTGTGTGATCTTTCGTCTTAACCGTAAACGCCTGTAAGTTGACCAACACTAACACACCCCAGCCCCTCCGCTCGCGGCACTCCCAGGACCATCTAAGGTTGCCTCGGCCGCATCTCGTCAAGCACAACTGCAAACACACACCACACACCACACCACTTTGGAGTACCATTAATTTGATCCACTCTCAACTCCCGACAAACCCAAATTGCCAACAAGCGACAACGCTCACGCAACTCGCTCATCGTCACTCAACGTAAAACAGAAAACCCAGAAAAAGACGGAAAGGACACGACTCCTCCCCTGATTTCCTCGGCGTACATCGACGGCCCGGCTGGTTGCAATCATTCTTAACCCCCTCCCCTCCCCTCGCTTCTTCTCCCCTCCCATTTTACTGTGTTTGCTTACCCCCATCACGTCTCTGATGTTCTCTTTAAACGACTTTGCAACGATTCTCCATTCCCACCGCCCCTCTCTGCTTGCGGAGAGAGTACATGTCTACTACGAGACTGCGTTTCCTTTGTTCACTTGTGCGCGTTGGTGGACGGAGTGGGAACTGTTGTTGTTATAGTAAGGGATGTACGGACATTCATTTTCAGAAGTATGGTTCTGCGCTGATCAGGATGACCGCGCTGGAAGGGCTCTTCCCTTGGCGGAAAGGCCCGAAGCGGAAAGATTGATTGAGACCGCTTGGATGGTCAGACTGGCTGCGAAGGATCTTAGTGGCGCGCAATGAGAGATTTAGGCCGCTGCTACATTGATTTGCCTCTGTATGTGTTGCTCATTGTGCATGTTGTCTATTCACGGTGTCTATGAGATGGTATGATGTGGTCTCGAGCACTTCGAGACCAGCTGTCTATATGCCAACCTCGAACTTGCCATGCACCAGGCCCCAGAACTCTTCGACGATATCTTTCTGTCCTTCTCCACCACGCACAGCCATGTATCTTCGCTCGTCCACTCTCGGCTCCCAGTTCCCAGGGTTCGCATCAACAATGATACCGCCAGCTTCTTCGAGGATAATCCACCCAGCACAGACATCCCACGCCCAGCAGCCAGCCTCCCAGTAGATATCCAACCCCCCACTTGCTACTCCACACAAGTTCAATGCTGCAGACCCAAATGACCTCAGCCCATGCACCATCCCCCCGCCGTTCTCCTTCGTCGCTGCCAGATTCTTGAATGTCTCGCTCTTGACCGTGAAGTCGTTCCCACTGCGATCGCTTCCCCATTCAACTGCGACCAGACATGTATTCAGTGTCTCAAGCGGCGTCGGCGGTGTCAGCGGCAGCTTCGTCGTCTGATTCAAGTACGCGCCCTGCCCTTTAATCGCTGAGTACAGCGTCTGCGTAAATGGATTATACACCACGCCAATCACGGGCTTCAGATCAATCGCCAGCCCCAGCGATATCGACACATACGGATACCGGTGTACGAAGTTCGTTGTGCCGTCAATCGGGTCGCAGATGAATGTCGGCGCGGGCGTGAGTGTGTCGCCGGGCTTGTATGTCTCCTCGCCCATGAAGGAGAAGTCGGGGTACTTTTCGCGGAGGGAGGTGGAGATTAGTTTCTCGACGGCTTGGTCGGTTTCGGTGACGAGGTCGACAGAGTTCTTTTTTGAGCCGGAGGATGAGGTAGTTGGTGTGGCGGAGGTGATGCGGGCGGCGGCGCTTTTGGCGACGGAGATCATGAAGTCGTGGATCTCGTTGAGGTTGAGGTCTGCCATGTTGACGACTGGGTGATTGGCTTTGTTGATTGTCGGGTATGAGTGTTCGGGTAAGAATGTTGATGGAAAGCTGTTGAAGCTGCCATGCCCCTCGGTGGGGCAGACAGCTCAGACAGCTCGTGTGGATCTGCAGGATCCATCACGTGTGGCAGCGACTTGGGGTTTGGCATTTTGTGACATTTGAATAGATATGGTGTCGCTACAGACCCTTTGACATTGACCTTATTTAGTATTGCTGCATGCTATTGTTCATTCAGTGTTGCAAATGTCATAATCTGGGGCCCCGCAATCTCCCCGCATCCATCTGAACAGCACAACTCTCGAACCAAGGCACAGTGCCAGGTGAGGTCCTACTGGGGGTGTGTTCCCCAAAAAAACTTATTGTTATATCCGCCCCCTATGTGCACGTTCAGAGCTTGCTCTTCTCCATGCCCTCCCTCTCCGTTTGCTTTCCCAAATCAGTCTTACTCGTCTCCGCCTTCAAGCTCGCTGGGTCGCCCAATTGGGTGTCGTTGACTTGCTTTCCATCCGCATTCGCCAATGTTCCCCTCACCTTCTTAGAATGTGGAAGTTCGTTGTCATTCGTGTCTGACGAGGAGTTTGAGACCAGTGACGAAGCGGTTTTTTGGTTCTCTAGCGTGGGTGGGTTGTCGGTCTCAGGCTTCAGCGAGACATGGTCTCCTAGCTGGGGTGGGTTGCTGCCCGACTTGATGGCAGCTTGCGTCTTGGGGTTATCAAGGGTTCCGCGGACAGTCTTGGAGTGTGGCTTTGACATGGTGATATGTTTGTGGGATGTTATTTGTTGGATTGGGACTTGGTTGGCTGGAACGATGTGAATGGTCAAAACTCTTTACAGATTGCAGGAGACCCTCGATGTTTTATGGTCAAGACTTCCAACGAGAGCCTCGGTAACGCATCATCGACCCTGGATCTGGGGTAAGTGCGCGTTGATGGTTCGCGTCTTTGACAGTCGATTAGCGTGTATAGATGACGTCTGCATTTTGTTGACGTGTGGAACATGCATGTGAGAAACGCCCGTAGTAGCAATGCTACCCGCTCTCAGAAAGAGAAAGTAGCACAGATGAGCATTGTGTTCTTTGTAGCAAGTCCTACTTGCGCCTTGCTGATTCAAGGCATCTTTGATATCGAGTTTCAAGTGCTGCTTACAGTACAACGGCTGCAAAGCGATTCAAGATCAATTACAACTACAAGGACTCCAAGAGCTTGTGAGAAAGGCGAGTCATGATGGAGACATAATAGACTGTTCATAACACTTTCGAAGTTAGTCGTCGCAAGTTTCTGAGTGCGCAGAAGTTCAAGATGGTCGTGGAAACGGCTGTGTTAGCGTATCAACTTGCGCCATGCAGCCTTGCTGGGTCTCACCATAACCTCGGCATCTTCAAAAGACAATGTCAACACGCCCGCCGCAGCGACCCCACGAAGGCCACGAACTACCACGATGATAGAAGCCGATATCGTCAGACTGTCGTCGATACCATGGGCCGCCAATCTCATCAACGACAAGCGCTGGACGCCTACGCCGAGCTCTAATCAAATTCCAAAGCCCACGGGCGAGGATTCGTTCTTCGCAGAGACGCTTGACACCGGTCGCACGATACGAACGATGTTGACGCTGAGACCAACCAAAGAAGAGGAGGGTGATCTGGCATACAAAGAGCTGTTGGTCATTCTGGATTTGGGCGACGGCCTCAATGGTTACGCACAGGTTCTGCACGGGGGCTTTGCGGCTACACTCTTAGATGAAACCTGCGGAGGCCTTATCCAGTTGAATGTCTTTGAGAAAGCGAAGAGGCTGGGCCCTCAGCATGTCGTGAATTACCTCACAGCCTGTAGGTGGTTCCCGGGCAGAGCTGTTGGTCTCAAGGCTAACAAGGGTGCTACAGATCTGAAGACGATTTATAAGAAGCCAGTACCAGTTCCTGGTCCCGTTTTGTGTACCGCAAAGATAGAGCGACAAGACGGCAGGAAGCTATATGTACGTGCGACGATCGAGGACGGCGCAGGAACTGTGTACACCACCGGAGAGTGCATGTTCATCCAAGTCAAGCCGAAGCTATAAAAGGCGTTCTTGGCCCGGGTTCGAGTGATACTTCTCAAGCAGCCAATGTGGGCATACCTGGCTGTACTGTCTCGGACATCACCTCCGGACACAAAGGCATTAGACATCCCGTGGGACCGCATATCACATGTGCGTAGAAGGCACAAGTCTTGACGGCAGGTGCTCCGAGGGAGGAAGATCTGCTCGGCAGATCAAACTATGGGCGAGACCTCGCTACCTCGGAGCTCATAACGGCTTGGAAGACTGCAGCATGACTGGCTGCAGCGATATGTTGCTGACTGGTGGTTGGTTGCGATATCATCTTCAGGGCGTTCTGCTGTGGCGATCCTTGCGCCTGATACTGGAGTGCATTCTGAGAAGGTCTACGGAGTTTGCAAGCTCTATCCTCATAGCAGGAACATTCGCAATGATTGGTTGGGATGGAGCTAAAGGTAAATGTGTCGAGCACATGACTGGTCAAAACCTAAGCCCCTTAATATATCCGTTAGCGCCATCTGATCTACCTCGTGCAACTCTTCAGCTCTAAGTCTCCCTTCCAAGCTGCAAGAGTCTGGGGTACGTCCGTGTAGTGAACGATCCGCAACAGGCATCAACTCCGGTTACCACCCCCTGACAAGGATGCGCCGTTCCGCTGTGCTCTTTATTTCGACTACCGTTCGATCAACACAGAAAACAACTGGAGATCTATGCGCCGCGTTTTAAATCCACTTCTGTCCTTGCATATGCATTAATCCTTCGGCTCTCAAGACATCTCGCTCGGGCCAGTCTTGCAACGGCTGCAGTGCAGTCAACTTTGGGTTCTGCAGGGTCAAACCTGAGGTCATCTCTTCCACCTCCATGCCATTGTGTCTTGGAAGGCGCACGCGACTACCGCCAGGGCTAGATCTACCAACTTTCTGTGCGAAGAAGGTTACAGTGGTGTGTCCATGGTTCAGCGCCTCGATGCAAGCACGCGCGCATTGCGGAAAAGGTCATGTCGCAACTTCCATGGACGTGGAAGATATATGCAGTGTAACAGTCACGGGGCAAGCCCATGGCTTACCCACAAAACACCATGGCCACGAGGTAAGAGAATAGACTGCAGGGGTTTACACTAAACGCTAAAATCATAGTAGCAGCGGCGATGACTTCCAGAACCGTTATGGACATCTAGAAAAGATTGGAAAACTCCTCATCACATGCCTCCGTCTTGTGTCGCTCAGTGGTTGGACATGGTTTGACGGGGATTAAACGGTCGAGCCGACCCGGTGACATGTGCCTATTCAAGGTTAGCCCCTCGACCTCTTCAGCGATTTTGTACTCTGCTTCGACACTTTGTCCTTGCTTCCATAGTGCCCTCATTTTACTCAATGCTCGTACGCGCCTTGTACTAGACCGCATCAGCTCATCCAAGAGAGGGATTGCCGACAATCACTATGGAATGCCATAATGCGAAACGGAGCCGTGTCCGCCAGAACACCAACCGAAGTTTGGCCTGGCGTATGACCGTTCATTCAAGGACCAGGCAGTGGAGTGGGCCTGCTGTGGCGACCAGTCATAAGGGCTTTCTAACTCCATGGAATGCTCGGTGCTCAAGCATCCCTATGGATGACCAGATGTCTCTCGGAGGGGCAGGGGTTCACTTGCGCCTTTCCACAACTCCTCTGCGAGTGGGGCAAAGGAAAATGGGCTTCAACCCTGAAATAAATAGACACGCCGCTCCTGCTGCAAAAATGGATTCTCACAGGCTCCTTCCCGCTTGCTCTGAGCACGCGTACACTGAGCGCGTCCACGTCCTTATTTGATAGCTTGCGCTACGCCTCTGGTGTACCCACTTCACACGATCATGCATATCCTCTCAGTTGTGCTCTGCCTTTGGGTAGCTTACACCCAGAGTGCGGTCATAGGTAGGTTCACTAGATGCTGCAGTTATGTCATGTAGCTAACGTGCCTTCCCAACAGCGCCCCTCCCTCGCGCTGCAGATGCTGTTTCTACAAGATCACAATCTGTCGTTTTGGACGAGAAACTACAGCCACGAGTAGCTGCTGATGGCTACTGGCTGAACGACCTATCCGGCAAGGGCATCGCTCCGTTCAACCCAAATCCAGCTGCATACAAGGTTTTCCGAAACGTGTTGGACTATGGAGCAAAGGGTGCGTATCTTCACTGCTTAAACCGAAGCCTGGCTTACTTCATAAGGTGACGGTGTCACTGACGACTCGGATGCAATCAACCGTGCGATCAGCGACGGAAACCGCTGCGGTCCATCTGTATGCGACTCGTCGACTGATACTCCTGCTGTCGTGTACATTCCATCTGGCACGTACCTCATCGGCAAACCGATCATCTTCTATTACATGACTCAGCTCATCGGTAACCCTCGAAGTCTACCGACTCTCAAAGCTTCAGCCAGCCTTGACGCTTTAGCCTTGATCGATGGAAGTCCTTACAACAACAATGATGGCTCACCTGGTTGGACCTCTACCAACTTGTTTATGCGCCAGATTCGAAACTTGATCATCGACGGTACTGCCAGACCTCCAACTTCAGGGTTCCAGGCTATTCATTGGCCGGCTTCGCAGGCAACTACGATCCAGAATGTCAAGATTCGCATGACTCAAGCATCAAATTCTGTCCATGCTGGTATCTTCGTGGAGAATGGTAAGTCCTCTTGTAAGAGTGACATGATTCGTACTGACTCTAGTTAGGATCTGGAGGCCACATGGCCGACCTCGATATCGAGGGAGGTTTGTATGGTATGAACATCGGTAACCAGCAGTTCACCATGCGTAATGTCAAGATCTCCAAGGCTGTCGTCGGTATCTCCCAAATCTGGAGTTGGGGTTGGCTATACTCGGGCTTGACAATTAGCGACTGCGGTACCGCCTTTTCTATGACAAACGGAGCACAAAGCAACAAGCTTGAGGTTGGATCAGTCGTCATCATCGACAGCGAAATCACCAACTGCCCTACTTTTGTTGACCAAGCATGGACAAGGAGCACGACTCCCATCGGCGCCGGACAGCTTGTCATCGAGAATGTCAAGCTGAACAACGTACCAGTCGCAGTAAAAGGACCCAGTGGCGCCACAGTTCTTGCAGGCGGATCCATCACTATAGGCACCTGGGGCCAGGGCAATAGGTACACACCCAATGGACCAGAGAAGTTCCAGGGCCCTATGACAACAGCAGCCCGGCCTGAAGGGCTTCTCGACAACGGCAAGTTCTACTCGAAGTCGAAACCTCAATATGAGAACCTGGGCGCGGGCAGTTTTGTAAGCGCTCGTGGTTCCGGTGCTACAGGTAACGGCAACACAGACGACACCTTTGCTGTGCAGAATGCCATCAACCAGGCTGTATCGGAGAACAAAGTTCTGTTCTTCGAGCATGGTGTCTACCGAGTCACTAACACGCTCGACTTCCCACCCGGTCTCCGTGCGGTCGGAGAGACTTTCTCAGTCATCATGGGCTCTGGCAGCACCTTCGCAGACCAGAACAACCCCAAACCAATCGTTCGAATCGGTCAAGCGGGCCAGAGTGGAAGCATCGAATGGTCAGACATGGTCGTACAGACTCAAGGAGGCACCCCTGGAGCTAAGCTCATCGAATACAATCTGAGGTCCGCCCGTGGCTCAGGTATCTGGGACGTTCATACACGCGTCGGAGGAGCCAAAGGTACTGGACACCAGGTTGCGCAGTGTCCTACCGGATCGGTCAACCCCCAGTGCTTTGCCGCGCACACTAACGTCCACATTACCAGCTCTGCCTCGGGAGCGTACTTTGAGGTAAGCGGATGTGTATCAACAATACAAGATCCTTGCTAACATTTCTGACAGAACAACTGGTTTTGGACAGCAGACCATGACCTTGATGATTGGAACTCGACACGCGTTTCCATCTTCACTGGGCGTGGCCTCCTGATTGAGGGTAGGGGCACCTGGCTATGGGCAAACGGCGTTGAGCACCACGCCTTGTACCAATACCAGTTCAACAAAGCATCAGACATCTTTGCCGGCTTCATCCAGACCGAAACCCCTTACTACATGCCGACACCAGATGCACTCAGTCAACCCTACGTGCCACAGGCAGCCTACAGCGATCCTGTCTACACATCTGGCCAGCGCGCATGGGGACTCCGTGTTGTCGACTCGACCAACGTTCTCATCTATGGTGGTGGTCTCTACTCGTTCTTCATCAACTACGATGTGTCTTGTAGTTCCCCCGATGCACCGCAGGGCAGAAGAATTTGTCAAAGTCAAATCCTGAGCATCGAGGGAGCAACGAGCTTCCAAGCCTTTGCGTTGAGCGAAGTCGGAGTTGAACAGATGCTGACTATCAATGGTGAGCAAAAGGCCATATGGTCCGACAACCTGAGTGTGTACCCGGACACCATTGGCTACATCAAGTACAACATCTAGAAGCATGTAAGGGTACTGGTGCAGTCATCTTCAGTATATAGGTTGCATTAGCGACGGAGTTCATTCGTCTGTGGTTGGTGTGTGGAATTGGATTTGGCTCATACATAGTACGAATGTCACAGCCAAAATCTGGAAATGTCTCCAATACCTCTTCATCTCTTCATTCGGGGTATCTCTCGTGTCTATATCCTATACTCCTTGGTCTATGATATCGCGCAGCGATACGCTGTTCAACCACTCACTCCAAGCTCACTGGGCCTCAGTCCGCTGTGGTGCCCAACCTTTCAACCATGCTCTTGCCTTGTCCAGATCGCCATTCTCGGCCTCGAGTGCAGCGACGCACCATTCCATACCATATCCACCTTTCCCTTCAATACCCTTCTCAGCCGTCAACATTTCGGCTAATGTGCGACGCTTCTGGCTCGCTTCGTCAACGCAGAATTGCAGCGGCGTACTGTAACCCCTCCCATCCATACCGTCCAAAAACGGCTTGACCATCGGAATGGCCTCTCTCGTAGGCACCGACTGATCCCCCTGGCCCAAGTTCTTCCGGCCCGCACGACAAAACTCGTTCCTGCACCACGGCTTCCCGCATCCCGTCAGCAGCTGGCTCAAATACCTTCTCTCGATCCGGCGCCTTAGCGCCTTGCCCTCAGGATCATGCAGCGACACATACAACGGCCCAAAGCACACACTGCACAGCCCAATCTCATTCCCCGGCCCCTGTCCCTTGCGCGTCCCCGCACGCGTATCCCCCATCTTATTCGCGCCGTCCTGGGTGCGCCCGCAGTTCTCATTCCGACACACACGCGGCGCAGGGCGCGATAAGCGCTCGAGGTCGTGGTGCCGCAGATGCGTCTCCATGTCTCTGAAGCGCACGATCTTGTCGCATAAGTGACATTCTGTCGTGCGCCCGCCGTCGGCAAGCTCGTGCGGTGTCAGCCCCGAGAGCAGGAGCTCTGGGTTCGGCGGCGCGGTCGGGTCGCCTTCCTGCGCGACCTGCAGGTGGCAGAAGCGGCAGAGGATGAGCTTGCCGGGACAGATTGTGGTTTTGTGGTGCGCGAGGGTGGGGAGTGAGGAGAAGGAGAGACTGCAGGAGTTGCAGGTTTGAGGCGTGTGGTAGATGGCGTTGTGTTTGCGGAGGCTGAGGGAAGTGTTGCCGGTGAATGTGTCGTGGGGACAGTGCCAGTGGTTTTGGAATGCGGGAGAGCGCTTTTGGAAGACGCGGCCGCAGCCTTGGGGGCAGAGGATGTTGTTGCGCAGACAGAAGTTTTCGTGTAGGAAGAGTGAGCCTTTGGGTATCCGTTGGGCACAGTTCTTGCACTGTACTTCGTCGGCGCCGTGTGTCGCATCCTCGATCGTTTCCACGTCGTTTGTTGTCTGTGCCTTCGGATTGAATATCGACACCCTAAGGTGGAATGGCTTTGGTGTACTCGATGGTGACTCTGAAGGGTATGCGCGGACTGATATCCAAACAGCCTCTGCTCCGTCGAGCTCTGCGTTCGTAGGCCGTATCCGAATGCGTTTCGGGTATTGGCTGGACACATCCGCGAATGCATGCTCATCCTCTCGTGGTCGAACACGCTGTTGTGCCGAATACGGGCTTACGTAGAGGTCGATCTCTTCGTCATCGTCCACTCCGCTGAGGGCGATCTCGAGTCCTTGTGATCTATCCCATGACTCTAGTTCGAAGTCAACGTACTCGCTCTCGAGTACCTGCCCGTCTTTGCCCTGGAAGATGTCAATTGCACCTCCAACAGAACTGCCCTCCGTTGTGCCCGGCGCTTTTTGCCTCTTCGCAACGATGCTCTTCAGCGTCTCTCGTGCCTGCTCTTCATTCAGAGCCTCGATGTCGACTTCAAGATCGGTATCAACGACGCATATGCCGTCTCCTTCTGGTTTGAATCCATCAACTAGAAAGCGGAACTCCTCGCGCTTGCCACCCAGCCCGCGCCCGCCGTATACGACGAGGACCTCGCCGTTGGTCAGGGTGGTGAAGTTCGAGCGCAGGTGCTCTTCGAGAAGCGACTTCCAGTCCTCAGGGTCGTAGCCTGCTTCGAGCGGTCGCAGCTTGACAAAGGTGCCTTTGGGGAGTTGCTTGGCATGTACCGTAATCTTGGTCGAGGCGGCGCCGTTCACTGCCTCGCCATCGCCCATGACCTCGTCGCCGCCATCTCGGCCGTTCGGGCTTGTGCCTGTTGAAGACTCTACGGAACCGGCCTCGATTCCCAGAGCGTCTCTCAAGAGACTGCTGAGAACAATATGTCCCTCTTCCGCCGAGAACTCGCGTATTCCTGCATGTACAACCCTGCCGTTCTCTGGGTTGACGAGTCGAAAGGTGAGCGGGTGCGGCAACTGCTGGTAGCGGTCCTGAAACTGGGCGCGGGCCTGCCGCTCGGCAGCATGGGTGTATGGGTTGAAAGGGTCGAACGAAGTGATGTGGGGGCGGTCCGCGTCTAAGGTGACAACGGGGGCTGCAGCAAGCAGCTGTTCCAACGCGGAGGGCGGTAGGAGGATCTTATCGCCGGGCAGCTGCGTGCTCTGAGTGTTGTGGGCAAGTGTGTACTGCACAGACCACTTGAGCTCTGCTGGCTCAGCGTCGGTGGCCATTGTGGTACTCGTTACTGTGGGTGCATGCAAGATATGTCAAGAGCGAACATCGACCTCATATCTGGGGTATCATATCGTGAGTGAAGGCAAAATGTCGCTGACACACGCGATGCGGCTCGCCGTCTGGAAGATTCGAAGCCTCGTTTGGGAGACATCGTCATACGCTAAGAGTGGCTGCTTATCGATAAGCAAAGCCAAAAGCACGCGACGCGTCGACGCAACGGCGTCTGGAGGCGCTCAGGAACACGATGCTGTGCTGCTGCATGCCATGTTGGACAACAAACAAACTGCGAGTGGCTCATCTGGCAGGTACGATGCACGGCGACTTCGCTCGCCGCGCCGTGCTGACCGACTCTATCACGCAATGTCGCCGTGACCATCACTCGTTCAGATTCCATCTGATAATTGTGTCTGCTAAACGGCGCCCCGCCCTGCCGATAGCTCCGCGACCCCCAGATCTATCCCATTGTTTCCCCTGCGGCCCGGTCGTGTCAGCTTGCTTGCCAGCTGCCTTGACGGCCATTGTTTTGGCCTGTTTCTTCAATCCGCACCCAAGACTTTCATAACGCTTGGCCGCCATGCTGTGTTCCAAGTTGTGCTTCACGGTGAACCCTGATCTTGCAGAGAGCTCTCTACTTCCAGACGTCGGTGATTCTTGGCTGTGGCTTCTGCGCGCGTCGGCGCTATGCTTTTGGATGATCGCTATCAGGGAAGCCAACAAATCCCACTCTGTAAGTTCAACCGCGCCAGTCCTTACTACACGCGGTGTATCAAGCGCCGCCCTCAACACCACGTCCTGCAGGGTCAGACTTGTGGCACGTGTCGTCTGGGCTGCTGTCCCTCCCTGTGAATAAGACGTTGGTGAGTACCCTCCTAACCTCCAGCGTCGTCTGGTTGTATCCCTCGTCCCAAGCTCCGTCCTGGTCGCGTCATCCAAGTTGCGACACCTTGTTATCATGGGCCCCTCCGTGTTATCCAATGGCCTGCCTACCTCCCTGGTGGATGTTCTCTCCAACTCCTTGATCTTGCACCAAACTGCTCCTTACCTGCCTGTATCCTCGCTTTGCGCTCTGTCGTCGACATCCAAAGCTCTGTACGACGTCATCCGCCAATCGCCCGAAGCTTTTCGATATCTCGATCTGTCACCCGTCAAGTCCGCGATTGTACCCTTTGATGGCCCACTCGATGGCGGCGGTATCAGCTGGCGCGCTGAGCGCATGGACGAGTCACTGTCCGAGGACGACTTTTACTCCGGTCCCCTTCGCGGTATCGTCTACAGACTCGAGAAGCAGCGCGTCCTACGTAATATACATACGCTGGTTCTGGATGGGTTGAGCGTGACAGCGGAGTTCGTCAAGGAGCTCATTACCGAAGACCGATACAATGTCAGACTGCTGTCAATCCGGGAAGTCAAGCACTTGAACGAGCGAAAGCTTCAGCAGTATCTCAGATATGCAGTCCGCCCGTCGAGGCCCGAAGGCACCCCTCGAGTCAAGGGCATTTACATGTTCGGGCCCCGCGATCGACAATGCGAACCGGAGACACCACGAGCGCCCTTTCCTTCTGCTTCCCGTGGCGTTATGTCTTCACAAGGAGCTCAGATCGGCGCACAATGGAACCAGAAGTCGTCTCACGCTCTGAACACTGCGTTGGCGCGGACTCAGGATAGATGGTATCAGTCGTCTGGCAAGATGATCGCAAGGCGGCCTTCTCCAGAATGGGCTGAGGTTGTGCAGGCGTGCGAGGGACTCATCTCCTTTGATGCCGTTCTCTGTCGAGGACCACGTCACGACCCGAGTAAAGCCTATGCCAGCAGCATGCCGCATCCAGCCGCGTTCCTCAGGCCTACTATTGCGACTGTGGCGCTGGGACCAACTGGCTGCGAGACGTGCCATTCTGCTTCTGAGGGCCCAGCGATTTTCGCCGATTCGCCTGCGACTCAGTTCCCTCTTCTGAGCCCCGTACCACTCCACGGAAGCACACTACGTGCGGCCAAAGTCCCACATACAATCGATGGATCAGGCCCGCCACCTCTGTATATGCGTTGCGAAGACTGTCTGAAAGGCCGCTGGTGCGAGAGATGCCACAAGTGGTGGGACGAGGACTGCTACGCTGGATCAACTGTTGCCCAACGAACCGAACTCCAACAGACCGAGCTTGCGGAGACCTTGACAACCAACGGCACGACTTCCATGGTTCCGAAGCAAACCATCAAGGTACATATGGGCTTTTGCGTAGATCACTGTCTGGTCGGCGAAATGATGGACGGCGCAGGAAGCAATGGGATGTGGGGATGAACAACATACCTTGGCGCGCAAGGCAATGGCCCTACCTGAAGGCATTTACCATGCAGCTGGATCCGGACTCAGTCTCCATGACTGGACTTGGAACCTGCTTTTGGATGATGGCACCTCGGACCTGGCTTTGTCGCGCCAAGGTATGTGCTCGGTATATTACACAGAAACAGGCTGACGTGAACTCTTACAGATCATCGGTGTTCGACGTGACTGCTTCGGTTGTGGCCATACAGTAAGTGCTGTTGCTCGATAATCTTGGAGTCGCACTGACGCGTTGTAGTGTATAAGCTGCAAGGAGCTTTTCATCCGACAGTGTAAGAAATGCCAGAACGAATATTGCCTCGAAGACAACGATGCATCATCTGACACCTTGGTGAGTGGGCAGACGCCTCGTCTTACGCGTGGACTTTTACAGCTTGCACATGCTGATACCATAATAGTGTGACTGGTGCAACTTTACTTCGCGGCGTACCGTCGAGATGTATTAGGTTGTGCGCAGGCGTGACGCCACTGAATCACCTCTGAGCTGAAGCTCGGTGAACTGCATTTGGAGTAAGGACGGTGTGAGATGGAAATGATTATGAGCCTATGCATGGCGTTTATATTGATACCCCCCTCATTCCTAGTAAATGCATGACTGCTCTTGACATCTACTTGCGCCAAAAAAAAAGATTTGGCCTCTGATTGCTAGCATTGTCAGTATCTCCACATGTGTCACAGTGGTCTCACTTTGTCTTCGCAATTCTGTTGGTCCCAGAACTGCTGAATGCCTACAGAGATACTCTTCAACACATCTACACGTGACGGCTGCGGAGAACGGCCGGCGAATCAGCTCCAAGAAGCTCCGAGCCAACGATAACATGTGGCTGCCATTCCTGGGCTTCAACGAACAACGAGACATTCGCATTTGCTTTTCCTTTTCCTTTCACGCACTCACATCCTGGTCTGGTTGTCGACTCGCTCTCTTCGCATTACCTGTCGTTCCCTTACCCACCCGCGGTGACGTCGCTCGGTCCCTCCACGTAACGAGTTCAGCCAACACGGAGACAGCGACTCCAGGCTTCCACATTAGTAACCTTCAGTCCACGTCCACCTCAGTCTGCTCTCCACTATCTCTCTTGATTCACGAACCCTTGCACACGCGATAGACACAATGGCATCCTACGGTTACGGACAGAACCCTCAATACGGCGGTGGGGGTGCGCAAAACCTCCAATTCTACTCCTCCTCATTCTCGAATCAGCCAGTGTCCGGGCACTCGACGCCCTTCCAAGCCAACTACGGTGCGCCGCAAGCTCAGGCTTTCCCTACACAATATGGTCAAGGGTTCTCGGCGCCCGGTGTTAGTGGACAGATGGGCATGGGAGAGTCAGGGCTGCGGACAGGATGGCTAGCGGCGTTTGGTGCAGAAGGATACGAAGGGGAACCACCACTGCTGGAGGAACTTGGCGTCAACTTCGGACACATTCAGTCGAAGACACTTGCGGTGCTGAACCCTTTCAGGCGGATTGAACCGCACGTCATGGACGACAGCGATGTCGCGGGTCCTATTCTATTCTTCTTCATCTTCGGCACATCGCTTCTGGTAGGGAAAACGGCCATTCTCAAAATATCGGGAAGCTAACATGTTACAGCTCTCTGGAAAGCTTCATTTCGGTTACATCTACGGCACGTTGACTTGCATCGAACTATTGAATACCCTCTAACGTTGCGATAGGATTGGGACTTGTAGGCACAATACTGCTTCACCAGATCATCTCGCTCATGTCACCACCTATAAGCGCGGATGAGGCCGTAGCAGGCCAGGACCACGGACACCCGCGCGGCTCCCACCTTGGTTCATCGTTGACATACCCTCGATCAGCTTCAATTGTGGGCTACTGCCTGCTTCCTCTTGTTCTGGTTTCAACCCTGGGCATTGTCGTGCCTCTGGACGGCCTCTTCGGCTACATTGTCACAATCCTGTCTATCATGTGGTGCTCATACTCTTCTAGCTCCATGTTCACCGTTGCTGGTAAGTGGTCAGATATCGCGGTGTAGTACAGCATGCTAACTTTTTGCAGGCCGCATGACTTCGATGAGAGGACTTGTCGCCTACCCTATGGTATTGTTCTATGGCAGCTTTGGCATCATGGCTATCTTTAGCTCTCGAGGCACTGGACAACTGGGCAAGGTGGCAGCTGGACAGGCATGAGGGACGAGGAAGGTCACAAAAAGCGCATATGGCGAATTACGAGCATACAGCGAACGGCGTACGGTACCATGAAGTAGAATACAAAACTTAACAACGGCAAGTTTGACATTCACACGTTGAGCATCGATCAGCCAATCGGCGCGCGGCAATTGGTTAGTGCATCGCAGCGGAATGACGACGAGGACCCTGCCCTGCACTTCCCGAGCTGCGGCCAAATTCTTTCTCCCCCGAGATCTCCGCCACGCGCTGACCATCAACGTATACCCTTCGTCGCCTCCTCTTCTCAATCTAATTATTCTTCTGTACAGTACTTAATCATGGGTTGGTTTTGGGCAGACACTACGCCTTCCGCGCCCGCAGCGCCTGTTGCGCAGCACCCCATGCCGGTAGGCAACGCAGAGCCTCCTGTATGTTTATCATGCGCATGCACTAGACGTATCTCACAGATGATAGCCACAATGTCCCATGCACAAGAAGGCGACACCACCTGTCAAAGCAGAACAGGCACAAGTCCCCAAGGGCGCCTGCCCCTACGTCCCTCCCGAGAACGCATCATCGACCCCCGAGCCCAAGACCGGCCTTCTCGCAAAGCTAAACCCCCTCAACAACATGTTCTCCGAACTCGACAACAAGAAAGCCGACATTCAATCTCGCGACCTCCCCCTCTCCCGCGAAGCCTCCACGATCCCTAAAGGCGACGGCTCGCTCTGGGAGTACCCCTCGCCGCAGCAAATGTACAACGCCATGCTGCGCAAAGGCTACGTCGACACTGACGTAACCGCCGTCGAGTCCATGGTCTCCGTGCACAACTTCCTCAACGAGGGCGCTTGGGCCGAGATCATGGGCTGGGAGCGGCGGTTCGCGCGCGGACTCAAAGAAGGGTACGAGATCTGCAAGAACGGCGAGCAGCTTGCGAATCTGAAGCTGGGCACCGCCGAGGACGGCATCTTCGATACAACGACGTGGGATGTGAGAGACGTTCCGCCCCCGAAGTTGCTGAGGTTTACGGGTCGCCCGACGGAGAGAACGCCTAAGGCAACTGTTATGCAGTGGCTGGGCTGGATTAATCCTGAGAAATACGGCACGGCGCCGCCGTTCGATCGCCACGATTGGTTCGTCGAGCGGTGCAATGAGCAGGGCTGTAAAGAAGTTCGATATGTGATTGATTACTACGAGGGCGAGGCCGTGTCGGACGACGAGCCCGTGTTCCATCTGGATATCCGGCCTGCGGTTGACGGGCCGACTAGCGCGGCAGAGAGGTTGATTCGCTCCGGCACCGAATTCTGGTGGCAGGCGAGTGGCGGGAGTGCGCGGATGCTGAGGAAGCTGCAGGAGGAAAAGAAGAGGAGGGAGGAGGAGATGGCTGCCAAGAGTAGGCAATATAACTAAGTCCTCGATTCCATGGGGACCGATGCGAGGGAGAATGTATAACGGAGACTATGCGTATGAGGCATTGCGCGGCGTTTGGGCTTTTTGTATGATTGGGTTGTACAACAAATGGCTCTTGTTAGGGTTCGAAGCATGTTTGCTTGAGCTTTGTTTCTTTTCTTTCTGATGAATTGCATACCTTACGCAGTCTGGAATCTCTGCTATAGCTCTGACAGGTTCTCTAATGACGATACGTCTTCTTCGCAAGCCTCGCAACTACACTACATTGATTGTGGACATGATGTTTAAACGCAACGTGCAGAGTGCGCAGCACGATCTAACACAAGGCTCTCTTGCTATTCATCGTCAAGCAGTAACACGATGACCTTGGAACACTAGAAATGAGAATGCCGCCAGCTTCCGAACCCGGAGTAGGTGGTTGGGAGGTCCGAAAATTGCACATGTACGCATTGATTGCTTCTTTCGGAAGCATCTAAAACCGTTGGTAGTGGTGCACCAGGGACTCAGCAACACGGAAAGCGAAACCTTTGGTTGGCTAAGATTGTTGTGGGGGGTTTTTTTATAAGCAGACTTTGCTAGTAAAAGCGTGGGAGCAGGCGCAGAAGGAGCTGCTGCAGAGGAGAGAGCGGCAAGGCAGCGAGGAAGTGAGGAAGGTGGCGTACAACGCGCGAGAAGGAGCAATAAGAACAAGAACATCACAGTACACGCAGAAGTGCAACAGAACAAGGATAGCAACAACCGCACGCACAATAAAGGGAAGGACGCGACTGTTGGATGGGGCTACATTCATGTGCTCGTCAAGTCCGTTTAGAGCAGACTGATGGCAGATATCTGGGGTAGCGGAAGCTGAGAGTTCGAGTATCAAGGAAGTACGGTGGGCCTTGGATAGGAAGTGGTATGCAAGGATATGCCCACGTGTGGGGTATACAGTAAGACTTTCTCGGAGAGTGCTGACCCGGGTGGTGAAGCTGATGCATGTATCATAATCAGCTAATCTCCAAATGAGAAGAATGCAGGCAAGATATGGGTACCATCTCGAGGTTACATTCTTCCTGAGATTTTACGAGTCTTTCAGCCCTATTTCGTTCGCAATCTTATTACAAAACTCGGCCATATCCACGTCCTTGACACTCAGCCCCTCCGGCCTGTGTGTGGTCCACTCGACTGTTACTTTGTTGTACAGATTCGACCACTCGGGGTGATGTCTTTGGACTTTACATTCCTGTGCCACTGTATCCATGAACTTCCACGCATTGTTGAAAGTCTTGAACAAGAATTGTCGTTTTAGGCCTTTCTTAGATGGCGTAAGCTCCCACGTACAAAGAAGTGGGGAAACCCGACTGGGAAGGTCTGCAGGCTGGTTTGCGGAGAAGCTGATTTCCTGTACTAGTCCACTGGACAGAGGCTGTGTGTTGGAAACCATGACTGGGTGGGTTGTTGCGAATGACCGAGAGTATGCAATCGGAGATCCGTTGTACGAGCCAGGAGTAAGCCGCGACCGGATTGGAGGAATCGAGCACGTAGCTGGAGTCAGCTGTGCTCTGTACGATCTGGGGATGTCAGGCACAGGGACACATGACTAAGCAGTGGTGGTGTGCTTTAGCGAGTACTTACGGAAGTGCTCTGACGAGGCACCTGGGGGGTTTGGTCATAGCAGGGCTTGTACTACTGTGGAATCAAATGCACTGGGCAATGCTTTCTTGATCTTGGGGAATGCTGGCAACTGGAACCGCTAGTTGCAGAACGACAGCGTCGGATTTAAGATGGGTCAAGATGCATCAGCGGTGGTTGGATAGTGGGTCGCCCATACTGCAGATCAGCTTGGACCACTTCCGTTGCTTCGTCATACGGTACCATGCATTGGTCCGAATGCTGAAGGAGTCTCCGCAACAGCATCAGCATCTTGGTCACACCTGTGGGCATTCAAAATCAGCATGTCAGAGGACTTGTGAGACGGGAATCGCAAGGGTTCGATTATGAACAAAAGCTGTTCCCATCCTTGGAACTCCAAGCAGTCATGCACTACAATAGCAATGAGAAGACCGTCAAGCCAGTAGATATGTATTTGTTGTACAACGTGAGCTAGGCAGTAGAGAGCTTTGCAACACGGAGCATTGGTCGGCAATTTCGGACCAGGAGCTTGTGTATCCCGTAATCCTGATGCTCTTGGCGGACACAAAGAGAGCATTGGTAAGCCTAGCAGGCAAACATCGAATAGCGTTCCGCACGTCAATAGGACTTGCCAAAGTCAGCAAGTGCGCAAACAATAAAGGCGTGAGAATAAGGCAGTAGCGGCTTTGCATCAGCATAGGGAAGGCGTTGCGCCGTTGAACGAGTGTCCGAGTGGTGATGTGGTGAGAAGTACTCATCGGCCGGGCTGCTGCCGCTGGCCGGGTATATAGAGCGCGCCTGCCCCAATGACTAACCTTTCAGTCAGCACCCACCCTCAGTCAGCACCTCCTGCACAGGTACGTTGCTCGTACCTGTTTACCAAGTCTCGCGATGCGCGCCACGACAGAAACGTTATCGCGAACTTCGGCGCAATATGCCCGGCGCACGAAGCGACCATGCTAACATTGACTCGTGCAGACGCGTTCTCTTTCCCTCGCGCTGTCGCGACTTCCAGCAACTGCGCCGCACGTCACCAGTAAACGCATAGAGCGCTTCTATAGTAGACTCGATTCCTCAACCACGACGCCAGCTCGTGTTGGGCCGTGCCGAGAATAGCTACAGCTCTGCTGTCTAATCAGCGCCACTGCATCCATCCGTGACTGGTCACGTCCCAAAGTGAATTGAATGCGCCGAACCATATACCCCTCGATCCGCAGCGATACTGGCTATAACATGCAGCAACCAGCCGCTCAGGTAAGCTGTGGTGATCGTGTACTGCTCCACCGCCTTGCTGACACTTGGGCTTAGGACCATAGCAAGCCGACCATCGAGATGAGTTAGTGCTTGCTCTCCATGCTTACTTCTTCTTGGTGATTACTAACGTGCAGTGCGATGAAGGCTTAAGAGAACATCTCCTTGCTGCCGGTGCTGGCCAGCCCAGTACGCCCGCATCTATCCAGCAACAGCAACCTCATACCGGCGGGGCTCAGCAGCACATCGACCCAGCCATCGCCGGCTCGCAGCACTACATGAGCCAAGCCGACCCCAGCGACGACGGTGAAGGGCGCAAGGGCCGGAGAGAGTTGTCGACTAGCAAGCGCGCTGCACAGAATCGAGCCGCCCAGGTAGGTTCGCTGCTTCACCCTGACTGGATGATACTGACATTGCCAGCGCGCGTTCCGTCAGCGCAAAGAGGAGTATATCAAGCAGCTCAAGGATCAAGTCAAGGAGTTTGAGCAGCTGTGCGAGCTGTATAAGAATCTGCAGACCGAGAACTATCAGCTTCGGGACTACATCATCAATCTCCAATCGCGCCTGCTCGAGACACAAGGCGAGGTGCCACCCGCACCCGCAGGCGTCGATCTGTCCAACCGACCGCACGGCGGGTTACCCAGCCTGAACCAGAACCTCCCACAGCAGCAACACCAACAGCCCGAGCAGCAACAGGCACAGCAACAAAGCCCCAGCTCCACCAATAACGGCGGGCTTTCAGAGCGACAAATAGGCGAACTGCAAATGGCCGCTCAAGCAGCAGCCGCAGCTCAGAACGGCCCCAACGCCGGCAAGCACGCGGGCCAATTCGATGCAGGCGACTACTCTTCCGAGAAGCGCCAGAAGGTCGAAGGCGATGCATCGCAAGGTCAGCAGCCCGAGCAGTCCCCCCTCTACCCCGACCCAAATGCTTATTGAAGGGCAGACGAGGAGTGATTTGTTGACCGATGGCTTACATTGGAGTAGGCCCAGACTACAATGCGTTCGTTAGCGAGCTGCAGCAGTCCAGCAGGTCGGCGGAGTAGGATTTATACCCGGCGTTATCTGGCTTCATAAACCCGAGATGGTGACTCTCAGGGGTCTGTTGTTCGTCCTTTTCGTCACGATGTCATGCATAAGTATCAGAGACTGGTTCATGGCTCGGATCTGGTCTTGTTGTACCTGGCGTTGCGGTGTTGATGTGGCTGTCATATTTAGCGGCTCGAAACTGAGTCTGCAATACTGCAAGGGGTTTTCACATAGGAGGGTTCCTGGATTAATTAAGAATGTTATTGTTACTGTCAAACCCGACTGTGCCAGGACTCTCGTATCTAATGTGATCTGAGTCCGTACTGATATCCCAGCAACCGTGAGCGCCACCCAAACTGAGCTTTTCTGAGCTTTTCTCGACTTCAGTTTCTTTATATCCTTTGCACACTGGAGGCGACCTGGTTTGCGACCAAGATTTGTAGCGCGGGTGTGGCATCCTCGTTTTGTTGCCAACTTCCTCTTTCATCACCCTCCATTTTTCCGCGACCAGTTTAGGCTTGCACGTTTTGGCGCTTTTGCTGAGATGGAGTTCTCTGTGACTTCTCCATACATGACATCTTCTTCCACAATGCCTTACCCGGCGGTTTCTTCCCCTGAAAGCTCGTTCTGCAAAAATTTCGGCCTCCACAACCCGGACAGCCCTTCGTAACCACGCTGTCTTTTCTATACCTAACTTCTTCCTCAACATCATCTTCCTCCGCGCCTCCTTTCTTATACTTCATCCCCTCAACCACGGCCTCAAAACCCGTTGCTCATCCTACCAAGCAAACATACACTTATTGTTCAACAGCCTACTCCCCAAGATATCATACTCATACTTACTAATCCAGCTATCATTCCCATGACTCGACAACCTCCCAAACACACTCCCGCCCTTCCACGCAATGACCTGGGGGTCCAGATCCCTCGGCGGCGGCGGGAGCAGAATCTCCAGCCCCGGGCGCAGCTCGCGCAGTCTCTGCTCGAGAAACTCGCGGAACCCGGGCGTCTTTGCGACGCCGCCAACGAGCACGATGCCGCCGAAGAAGTCGCGCATTTTCTTCTCATCGCCACGTCCGCCTTGCGCGAGGGACTCGAGGATCGCGTGGTCCAAAGGCATGATGGGAAGCGTGCGGTCGCGCTCTTCGGCGATTTTCACTTTCTCCAGGACCGGGTCGCGGAAGATTAGGCCGGCGGCGGGCGCGTCGGTGTCGCCCATGCCGGGTGTGTCGCGGTCGGGGTTCGGTGTGCCTGTTCCTTCTGGACCAGGGGAGCCTGCGACGGAGGAGCGTGGTGTGGCTTCGTTGTCGTTGAGGCGGCCGAGGAGGTTGAAGGGTGGGGGCTTCTGGGGAGTTGCCGCGATGGCGGGTTCTTGGGTGCCGTTGATGGGGGCTTGAGCGGATCTGCCGGCTGCGAGCTCGAGGACGACGAGTTGAGCTGCGGAGATGGGGTCGTTGGGGGAGCTGTCGTAGAGGTCGACGGAGCGGGGGACGACAGTTCTGCGGCCTTCCAGCTTCCGCGAGTTGTCGAATATGGATGGCTTGAGGAGGCCCTGTTGAGATTAGCAAGCCATCATGGTGATGCTATCTGTTGGTACTCACCATGACAGACAGCAAGGTCTCATCGTAAGTTTTGAACATGTACTTCCGTGTGTCCTGGCCCGAAGCTCGCAGGTGGAAGTCCCATGTCTGAACCATAACAGAGCCCTCGTCCATCGAGCAGAACTTCTGCTTCAGCTCCTCGGCAAGCAAGAAGTCATACCGCCTCTTCAAGTTTATGTCCGAGTACGGGAAGTGGCCGTACAGCATCATCTTGATGAACGTTTCTGTGACATCCGCCCCACCCATCTTCAGGTTGATGCGAGACTCCTCGACACAGAGGCCTTCGTCGACACAGCAGATGGACGTCTTTTGAGCGCCGATGTCGACTACACACAGCTTGTCCGCGCCCGCTCCAAAAGTGTTCGACAAGCTCTCCTGTTGCAGACAAACCTTTCCGATACCAAGATCCCGTATGAGGATGTCGAGCATCGTTGTAACGTAGTTGCGCTCGTACAAGTCCGGTATGATGAGCACGCACTTGTAGTTAGCCAGGTCTTTCATCCTGGTGATACCGAGCTGATTCCTGAACGCCGCTTCGTAAATCTTGGATATGTCGTGGTAGATCTGGTTGCGATCCGCATACTCGCTTTCGTTGAAGGTACCATGGCGCAGAGGCCAGAACAGCTTGTAGCGAGGGTTCGATCGGTCGGGGATACGAAGTGCTTCGTGGCCGGTGAAGAAGTGCGGCGCCCTGTCTGGGTTCGAAGGGATCTCTGTGAACTCGATACGATTGATATCGTTGTGTTCTGAGATGACCTCTGGCGGAGTGCGGCGGTTGTAGTTTGTGACCAGGTCCTTGGAGTTCGGCAGCACTCGGCGCTTGTTGGAGCGCATTCGCGTCCTCAGCTCCGAAGACATAGCCATGTACTGATCGGCGAAGTCTTCGCCAAACCACTTCTCAGGGAGCGCGTCTGCCGGCACTGCTCCCTCGACCTTCATGCGCTTGGGGCTGGGCTCGCCGCCGTCCTCCTCGCACTCGCTCTCCTTCCATCTCCGCGCAATGACCATGGGTATTGTCTTGGGCAGCGCATCTGCGCCCAGACCGATCCTCAGGTTCTGGCTGCCGGGGTGTATGACGATGAGCTTCGAGATGTCCGTCCTCGAAGAGTCCAATGAAGCGTCGACCTCGTCCGCGGCCTCTTCAGCTAGCGGTGTTGCGCCCTCGGCCGCCTGAGGGACGCCCAGCGCGCGCGCGCGATCCCTGTCTCGGGCCTCTTGCACGATGCGTGCGCGCTCCTCGTCTTTGGGGTATCGGACAGCCAGGAACTGTTCGTCGCGCTTGAGGAATTCGGTGTAGTAGTTCTTCTGGTTGATCATGCCCACCTGGGGCCACGACGAGAGGTCCATGTTGTTGTCAGTCCGCTCGAGGCCTGCGCATGTTGTCAGCAGCTATAGGGCAGCACAGCGGCGTCAGATGGTCCTACCTTCCTGCCTCAGCTGGGCTCTGCCTGACTTCTTGCCCACCATCTTGTCTGTGTAGCTGTGGCGCGCTGATCTCCAAGTGCTGACCTTCAAGTGCTTCTCTCCACCTAAGCCGCAGACAGATCTGGCTGTGGCTTGGTTGGAGCGCGCCTGCCAGATAGCTGCTCGGTATTATCGCGACGCAAGCTCCACCTGTTCGGTGTCGAGGTCACGTCGTGGAGAAAAGTAAATTGGGGGGTTGCGGGGTTGCGGTCGTAGAGTCAAGATTCGAGTCGCAAGCAATGGCGTACGCGAAGATAACTTGGTGCTGCAATGGGTCGCGCCCTGGCTGTGCTGGAGATGTTGCGGGCGCCTCTCTTCCGCGATTGGTTCCTGGTCATCGGTCCCACCTGCCGCCAGCCTTGCCGTGGTCTCGAGGCGAGCGTTCCTTCCGCAGAACATACATAATTTACATGCTTTCGAGCAACTGAAAGCCAAAAGCTGCTGTCTGTTCGAGGTGACGTTTCACTGCTATGCCATAGTCACGCCCATAGGCCCACGATACAACGCCATATGATACAACGCCATGATACAGCGTCATGATACAGCGCCATGATACAGCGCCATGATACAGCGCCATGATACAGCGCCATGATACAGCGCCATATACGCATACGCAACATGCACGCAACATGCCCGTTTTCCTGCTGACCACGCAGACTAGAAAAAGGCACACCATCCAATGTACATGGCTGCCAGATTGACCGGGTCCCTGGCCATCGCAATCAACGCATCCACATATCCTTCCACACTCAGTGGCACCGACTCGCCCTTCAGGTACCCATTGACCTTTGTTCTCACACTGTCCAGCACCTCCTGCGGTGTGTCTGGAACGCTAGCAATCTTCTTCCTCCTCTTTCCACCTAAGAAGTCGGCTGTGGGATCGTGCACGAAGGTTTCAAGAATCGTAATGAGCGTGTCTTCATGCTGCCGCAGAAGACTGTACACCAGCTCGGCCGCTTTTCTGAAAGGGCCTTCGACGCCTTGGGGGCCCATCGCATCGACCATGTTGTGTGTAAGACGGAAGGGTACGAGCTCAGGCTTCTCAAAGGTAAGACCCTTATCAAACAGGCAGTTGAAGTCAACGTGGAAGGTCCCACCGTCGCCTTGCTCCAACAACACGTTCTCACCATGTCGGTCGCCCAAACCCAGTACGTGGCCAACAATGCTCATTACTGCGCAGGAGCGTGTGTATCGTAGTCTTGCAGATAGCCAAGCCTCGGGTTCAGGGAACGTCTCGACGAACCACTCATGCAGTACTGGCTGGAACTTGCCCAAGATCTTCTCTGTGAAGATGGGCACCTTCGATGGCGAAGATGACGCTTCGTTGAGCAACATGCGGATTTCGGAGTAGTCGATGTGCACGTTGTGCTGGCGATAGAATCGGATGATGATATCGCGCATAGGCTTGAGACCTTCGACCCACTCGATGGCTCCACACTCTTCGTTCAGAGGCGTCACTGCGTACGTCTTGATGTACAGCCGGCGCTTGCTGGACTCGATGTCCTTCTGCAGCGCGCGATTGATCATAGCGTTGAACTCCATGAGACGTTGATCCTTGCGCAAGTCATCCTTGGGCTTGCAGAGGAGACCGTAAGAGCGGCCGTCCGAGCCTCGTACGTTGATCTTTCGCGGACGCTGGAGTGAGGAGAGCACCAGAACATCGTCCATGAACGCATTGATTGTTACAGCATCTTGCGGGAATGGGTTGTGTAAGCGTATCGTCTTACTGTCATTTCCAGCAGGAAGGTTCGGCAACATGTTGGCTTCGATGGGCACCACCAACTGGCTAGGTGCCAGCTTGTGGCTGAAACCAAGGTCCTTCGAAAGACTGACATGCGTGACCCGTTGCTCGACTGGAGCGTCACAAGCTATCAGCAAAGCATCGGTCAAACGTTGTCCTTGCACGATGACGTTCTTCAGATCTAGGTATCCATTCTTGCGCTTCGACGTGTCGCGCAACTTTTGTAACACGGCAGTGCCGCGTGCTCGACGGTCATCTTGAGTCGAGTGGAGCACCGCAAGTAAACTCCATAGCGTCTGTTGCGGGTACGCTGCTGCGACCCGAATGATAATAAACTGCAACGCATCCCAGACATTCTTGTTCGGATGACTGATACGCGTGATAATCTGCGGGAACGCAGTATACCATGTATAAGCAGGCATGCGCTCACCAGCATACCGCTTGAGGTATTTGTTGATGTGGTCCAGATAGGTGAGTCTGTGGTCGTGAAACTCCTTGTCTCTTGCCGATCGAGGCGCCACATTCATGACGTCCGTTCCTAAGTTCAGCCAGAGCGTAAGGATCTTTGGTAGGGTCTGGTAATAGTACTTCGTGCCATAGACTGTAGAGCGTACGAAGTTTTCAATGACGAGTTTGATCAGACTCCCTGCAAGGTACTCTTGGCTCTGTTTCGAGACTGGCAGTCTTTTCTCAGACTCGAAAAGCTTAAGGTAGTATCGTCCCAAGTAGTAGTGGCCCTTGTCCCATTTAGGGTATGACATGACGCCTGTCGCATATGCATCTTTTAGAGAGCCAGACTTCGTTTGTCCAGCGCGATCAAGCCATTTCGCAAGGAGTAGCTGAGCGTGGCATTTCACCTTGCTCATATGGTCGCCTCCACGGCCATCAGTAGTTATTGAGATGTTGATGGGCAGGCTGTCGCTGTTCTGGAAGGCGTTACTGTTGATAGCGCCCCGCAGGTTTTGGATCGCTTTTCGATGATGCCCTTCTTTCCACAGCAACTTCGAGTACTCGATCTTAGAGGCACCGTCTCCCAGCTGGCCGGCGTGGAGAACCGAATTGAAAGCGGTGGTAATAAACCCGCCCTTACGTGCAAGTCGTCCTGTTGTGAGCCAGGCGGAAGCGATGTCTAGGTCGCTAAAGTCGATTCTGAACCAATTAGCGTTGATCATCTGTTCGTTCCCTCCAATCACTTACTTCGAGACTAGCATGGTTGCACGGCGAACACCAAGAAGGTACTGCTTGTCAGAAGTGTAGGCACCAATGACGTCCAGTCGGCGATCCAAATTCTCAAGAATGACTTCGCGTTCTGGTGTGGTTGGTGTCATGACGCCGCTGATTGCTTCGATCTCATATAAAGCGTGCAGTTTGACCAATGTGTCGTGACATGCTTGCAGAGAGTTGGTATTTGACGGAGAAAGACTCTTGGACAAGGTTCCACGAAGAGCGGCGGTGATGGTCGTGAATTCTGCTTCGTCTTTTCGATACAGCGCAAGCAAAGCCTTTCCAACGCCAACATTGAAGTCCGTGGTTGCACCAATGATTTGGTCAGATGAAGCACCGAGAATCCGCTCAAGCTGTGTCCATTTACCAGCCGACCAGGCTGCTTCAACAGCAAACGGAAGCGTGCTGATTGATAGTGAGTTCGTTGCATGGAAGCCATCGACGTAATTGAGGATCGCATCTACATAGGTTCAGTCCTGACAGGTCACAATTGCGCGGATCAACTTACCATATTGGCCAGACTCTTTAAGACAGGTCAAAAGATTGACCTGAGTGTCCAGGTCATCCGGTTTCTCAGCCAACGCGATCTCGTACCAGCTCTGAGCTGCGGTCCATCGGCCAGCCTTGCGATCTTCCATGATCTGTTGCTCGGGGTTGAGCACTTTCAGGTGAGCTGTGATACCTTCGATACTGTCAGGCTCATCGATCTGCGCGTAGATGGATTGTAGATGTTGTAACAGGTCGTCTTTCTCGAAGACTTGATTTGTTTCAGTCTTGAGTTGCTGCTGTTGTCGGTAATATTGCTCCCAGTGAAAAAGGGCGCGAGCGTACGACCCACACTCGACCGCACGTCGAGAGATCACCTCAGCCGGGATGAGCCGGAGGATACTTTCTACGCGAGTGATCTGTTTGATTGCGTTCATCTCTTCTTCCTCTGAGATGCCGCGACCGGTCTTGCCAGCCATGATTCTAGCGTCGGTCACAGACTTCTTCTTTTCTTGTAGCCACAGCGAAAGATAGTCCAGGACTTGGAATACGTTCTACGTTACTCAGTCAGCGAAGCAATACTCAGTATCACTCCAAACTTACCTCGCTACATTGCTTAATCAGGACAGCATCAGTCTGATCAGTAGACTGGATTTCACGCCGCAGTACCGTCAGCAGCTCTGTCCCTACATGTGTCAAGTTTTGGTCATCGTCAGACACGATGACATTTAGGGCGGCGAAAGGAAGTATGAAAGTTGCAATCGACAGATCAAAGCCTCTGATGACTCTAGCCAGGACTGGAAAAACCATTTCCACGTTGACGCCCTGTCCCTTCTGTAGCAGATCGTACACGAAGGTTTGGAGCCAGGTTCCGTGACTGATTTTGCCATCGAAGATTGGGTATGCGGGAGATTTGTAGTGCAGGGCTGGGTTTCGATTGACGGAGTATCTCGAGTTGAGGAAGGGGGTCAGGACGTTTCTCGTAGGCTCGGGAATGTCGTTCCACCTTTGTGCTTCTGTGCTAGCCTGTGAAGAGCGAGGCTTCGCTACCGCCAATGCGCTAAAGCCACAATGCTTGAGCATCTCCTGCATGACATAGGCGATCCACCCTTGAGAAGTGGCATTGGTAGTCGAAAGAAAGACCTTCACGAGGACTTGCTCTAGTAGAAGAGCTACGAAGTCGATGTCCTCGTCTCTTCGTGAGAAGTTCGACAACATCAAGACGCGCTTCTTTTCGCATACTGTCTCCACTCGATATGGATCGAGACCTCCAATGATGCCAAGACATTGTGCGCATAACGTGGTAATGTCCGGGTGATCTTCTGAGAATCGTATGCTGGCGTCTAGGACTGATCGAGTAAGTGCTGCCAGTACGGGCAGTGGCTTCTGCCCCACAATTGCTTGGTGCAGGTGCTTTTGATTGGCATCAAGATACGGTCCAAGCTCTCTGAGAGCCTGGCGTACAACCACAGCGTTCTGGTCTTTGCACCTATTGCCGAAGGCTTGGAAAATCCTGACGATTTCCACGTGCGACTTGAAGCGTACCAGCTCTCCTTCAGTCTTCGACATCATGGGAATGGTCGCTAGCGATGGGAGATACTCGATTCGTGCCCGTAATTGTGCGTCGTACTTCTGCGTCAGAGCTATAATTGTCTTGCTTGCCAAAAGTTGAGTCTCCTCCGAAAAGATATTCCAGTGCTCTACGATTAGCGCGAAGGTTTGATCAATGACAAGCATCGTATCTTCCGCGTCAAGTGCATCAAGTAAAGCTATCCATACCAGTAGGGCATCGTTGCAAAGGTCTGGATCTGCCATTGCGGACTGTAAGCATGCGCGTATCTACTTTTCGTTAACATGTTTCGCACAATCGAGCTTATAACGGCTTACCTGCGGTAATGCGCCGTTCACACTGTAACGCGCAAGAGTGATGAAGTCTCCGATGGCTGCTATACATCTTTTACGCTCAGGCAACGGATGTGGCGTGGTCTTGCCTCGAGTGAGTGGGCTCTCCACAATGTCTGAGAAGTATGCGATGATACCGAGAATATGAGTTTCGCAAAAGTCGTCAAGGCTTCGGGTTTTAGAAGAGGACCTGCGCTGGCCCTTTTTTATGTCGGCGAGCCGAGCAAGCGTGCTGAATGCGCGATGATACTACACATTGTGGTTAGCTCGTTAGCAGGAGGAACTCTTTGTCTACGTACCGGAGCTTTCCTTGACTCGTCTTGTTCCGCGGAAAGCATGAGAATCTCGATGGCAACGCCTGTGATATCCAGTGCAACCAGTGTCTCAAGCCTGTCATTGCTGCCCTCCCGCATAGCTGGCTCAATGTCGGCCAATGTCTCCATAGCATGGGATTCGACGTCTGGTACAGACTGCGAAAGCAACAATGCCAGGATCTTCGCAAGGTTGTTCCGTGGCTGAGTCAATACTTCCGCTACTGGGACTTTGCGAGCCTGGGCGATCTTCTCAATGATGTCCCTCCTCTTTGTCAACACCAAATGCGGTAAAGTATACGACTGAGTTAGTACAAGCAGCTGACGAACGGTTTGCTCTGTAAGATCAGCAAGCTGTTGTGCCTTTTGGGGCTTATTGACGATGTCCTTGATGACGGAAAAGGCAAGTATCCTCCAATACGGTTTGAATAAGGCCTCAGGTTCGTAAGGCTCAGCTAGAGCGTCAAGCTGGGATTGTCAGTGCGGAGTTGAGACGCAAATAACAAGGATTCTTACTTCTTTATACGCCATGCCACATATGAGAGCGTTTGGGTGGCCAAGGTACTCGACTAACCGATGTAAGATGATCGGAAGCTCTAGCTCACCACACACACTTCGAAAGATCAGCTGGTGTATTGAAGCCGATCTGTACAACTTACCGCGCCACTTGGCCATATGCTAGGATCAAGGTCTCTTGATCAGCGAGGACACCACGTTGCACGAGTGCATCGAAGAACTCAATGACTGATGTCCGATTCTTTTGACAAACACGACTGGAGATGTCGCTCCGCAGGAATGTCATGAGTGCATGTCTATCTCATCATCAGTTTTGGAGCGCCGTAAAGAATGTGGCGTACTCACGTCGCCGCAATTTTCAACTCTCTGAGAGACCGGCTCATGCATGCAAGCAACCATTGTCCTAGTTCGCACACTTCCAGGTTGAGATAGTCAGGGTCGGAAATGTGATTGAAGAGGCGTCCTATGGCAACAGCCATGAGTACTCGAGGCCTTGCCGAATTCTGGAACTTGGGCTCTTTCGTGATTGCGAGGATTGCGGCAACAACTTCCTTCCAGTCCTCACCACGATCATTCCTATCCCAATAGACTTCCGCGTTTCGGACTTTGACGGCTGGTCCATCACAAAGAGAGCAATTGAGTTTCTGCCAATGCTCGTAGCCATTTCTGTTGGCCTGCAGACACCGCGAGCCTGAGCAAGCGACCTTACCCAAGGCAATGAGCAATTGTTGCTGTGCAGCTTCGTTCTGCTTCGGGTGCTCGGGTAGAGAAGAATATTTCGCCCTGATAGTGTAAGACAAAGCTCAACGGAAAAGAGTATGAACATACGGGATGATGTTGTGGAGATTTGAAAGATTGAGTATTGGGGAGTCTTGTGAGCTGCCGTTGAGCAGTATTGTGAGTTCGTGATAAGCCGACGTGTTAGCGTCCTCTGACGATTCGTGCAGCGTCTTGCGTCGCTTTGCTGGCCTGTCCTCGACCAGATTCGTCCTTTGAAATACCTGAATGCACTTGGTCGCGTCTTCGGCTATCTGGGCTGACATAAAGCTCGCTGCGCCATTCGAGCATAGCTCTTCACGCAGGCTTTCCGTGCTCTCAGGCCACTCTGCTTTCGAAGTCCATAGACATAACGCGAGCTGTTGTACGTTAGAGACCGCAACAAATAGTACTCCATTTTGCATACCTGTAAGTCCTTTTGCAATCCAGATAATACTTCTGTGTTCTCACAGATTCTTCTTGCGCTATGCTTCAACGGTTCCGTATCAAATACCTTTGCGGGCCGACGCCGCCGATCAAGCACGCTTTCTTGAGGCGTCTCGATCTGTGCAACATGACACAGCCGCGTCACCATGAGCGCGAGCTGTGTCTGATTGCTATCCGACATTGATGAAATAGCGAGACTCTCGATCAGACGGGCAATGCTGCTAATCGATATCGATGCAGCCTTACCCGAATCCGAAAAGCGATCTTTTGGCTCGGACCCAGGAATCGCAAGAGTGTCCACGAGTTGCATGTATAAAGCAATTGTCTCGTCGTGTAATGGGCGCTTATCGGAACCAGTATTCCACCGTCGAAAGTAGTGCCATAGCTCCTCACAGGTATCCAGGATCCACGGGTACTGTTGCTGGAAAAGAACCTTCCATGGTTTTTGGCGTGTTGGGGCGCACAGAGCCACAAGAAGGTTGAGACCAACACAGATGGCCGAAGTTGGTGAAGAAATGGTTCTTTGGAGCTCATGAGGTACAGCGATCAATTGCTTGCTCTCTGGCCAAAACTCATTAAGGCTGCTTGAAGAGGGTATCACAATGCGGAATGGCTCAACTCGTACTGTCACAGGGTCGTTGGCTGCTTTCAGTTCATCTCGAATATCTACAAGTCGATCAGTGATGCATAGTCGGCAGAACCGAGGCACTTACAAACGGCCGTTGACTTGTACAATCGCATCACGGTAACGGCCTGGCGTGAATATGCTGTTGTACTAGCAAGTATGCTGAGGCAGAAGTTGAGCATATCCTGGATGTGCCGATGGATCGGTCGTAGAGTCGCATGTGTCAATATATCAAGGAGCTTTGGGAACAGCCACATGACGACAGGCGGTCGAGGGATTCCATTGTCGTCACCGTCTTTCGGGCTCAAGAGCAGGTGTGGTTTTTGGTTCAGCAAGTACATTATTGCGTTGATACTGCGAACACCCTGTTCCATTTGTTCGTCTTGCGCAAATAGATCTTCTTTGAATAAGCCCTCTAAGCCTGCCTCTGCGACAACGCAAATGAAGGCTACGAGTTGAACGTCCGGCTCGTCCGTGCTTGGGTGCGCAAGGAATTCTTTGAGAAGCTCGCCAAACGTAACTTTTGCGGCAGCATCTTGCCTTGAATTGACGTTTGCTGCATTATGTACGATTTGAGCTGCAATAGTTGACGGCGGAGGGTTTCCGTTCGTATTGCCGTTCGTAAGCACATTTGCTGCAGGGGGCGGCGGCGCCTTGCGTTGGGTTGAGCCCCCGCCTTTGCGGGCCATTTCGATGTTTACTTGTGGGTCATATCGAGATAATGAAGGCGTGTAAGGAGCGTCCAAGGGAAGTGGGGCAATCGATTGAGTTGGGATGTGATTGAGGCGTAGTAGGTACTCGAGCTTCCCAGAGTTCGGCACAAGCAAGCCTTAATATGATGTCGCGAGCTTGTGACAGATTAGTGGATATTTGGCACAAGAGATGCAAGGAAGTTGAGTGCTGATGACTGCTGTGATCGATGTCAGACGCGTCGAATAATTTGGGAAGGAGCGCGTTGTCCCGTGATGCTGCCAAGAGCACTAATTGCTCCACCCTGGTCTCGATGTCCGACCATGTCGAAGTCAGACCATCATTTGCAGATCGCAGATACAAGTCGCCTCTGAGGCACTCAGCGCATACGAAATACCTTCACGAGTAGCACAAAAGTGGCCCATAGGGCACGTCACACCGATGCAGTTCTCCTCGAAGTCCTTCCGCGCAACGCTCCCCAACTCTCTCGCCGCAAAGTACCGCAAAGCGCTTCAAAAGCACCCATTCGCACTCTTCGGCCTCCCATTCCTTGCAACAATAGTTGCCGGCTCGTTCATGCTCACACCCGCCACCGCTCTGCGCTACGAGAGATATGATCGCAAGAATCAGCAAATAAGTCAAGAAGAGGCAATGGGCCTGGGGCAAAATCGAAGGAAGGTCAACATGAAGGATGAATACTACGTGAGTGGCCTACTATATATTTCGAGGATAAGGAAAAGCGTGGAGGCTTGAAAGAGAACGGCTGCAACACGGAGCAGGTTACTGACGAGCTTGCAGCGATTACAAGCGAAGGATCTCGAGGACTGGGAGCAGAGGCGTGTCAAGCGCCTACCCGGTGAGCCGGACGGCACACTTGTTTAAACTTGATTGTATTATATGGCAGGGCGTTGTAGGGGAATACTCGAGCATAATGGCGAGTATTCCTGAGCCTCTCGGCGTTCGGCAAATCGACCAAAGAAACATCTCAACTTACGTACTCTGTGCATGTGAAAAGACAGATTCGAAGGTGACGACTCGTTCGATATATTTGATGCCAGATGAGTTGCAGGCGTAAACAAGGCTACAATGAGGACCGGTTTGTTTGTTGTGAGTACTTTCGTATTCGTCTATCTACAACAAGACTTCGCGAGAAGTGTATATTAAAATGGCTAAGCTCTTTTGAACTGTCATAAAGATGTCGACACCCAAACATGTCGTTTCTTGCTTATTCGTTCCGTCCCATCCATCATAACGATCGTAAGGCAACCCAACCTCGCCCGATTTTGATGTGTCGTTGCGGTCTACAGCAAACTCCAGACGTTCTGGACGCCCATAAAATGATGCAACCCTGACCAGAGTCTATGCCGATTCATGCAAATGACTCCTGCAAATGCCCAGAATGCAGCAAAGAAAGAAGTAAAGGCGAGAGATCTTAGGGTATCTACTGCTTGATCTCGTAGGTGCGGCGGAACATGTCGTCGACGTTGGTGAGGTAGTAAGTGCCAGGCAGGATACCGTCAGTCTCACCCTTGGGGGTGTAGCTCTTCTGGAGGTGAGCCTGCTTGCGGAGATCGCACAACTAGAATGGCGTTAGTCACGTGCGCTCAACAATAGTAAGAGTTCTGAAAGGGAGGCTTACAGCATCATACTGCTCAGGGGCAACAACGCGCCTTGCATCCAGGCGGTTCTGGATGTCGAGCGACCTGGCAATCTGCTCGTAGCTGCCCTTGATAGTGAAGGAGAACAGAGAGGAAGCGAGTCCACTTCCGTAACTGAAGAGAGCAATGCGCTTGCCTTGGGCAGTCTGGCTGTCAATATTTGCAAGCAAACTGCACAAGCTGGCATAAACACTGCCGCAGTACATGTTTCCGCACATAGTGGGGACCTGGATACTGGGCTGGACACGAGCAGCAAATCGCTTCTTGGCGAGAGCCATGAAGGTCTTCTCGATGGTCCTGTCGGAGATGGATGCCTCGTAGGAGATATCCTTGATCTCAGCGGGAACCTCAGCAAAGATGGGGTTGGAGGGGTTCTTGAGGTAGTCGTTGTAGAGCAGACGCGCGTACGATTTGGACACGAGCTTGCAGGTGGGTGCGTGGAAAGCCATGTAGTCGAAACGGTCGAGAGGGGTCTCCTGCTCCTCAGCGTGGCCGTTGACACCGTTGCCGTTCTGCTGAGACTTCAATGTTGCCTCACGCTCGTTGTAGGCCTTGTAGCAGGCATCTACAGCCTCGATGTAGCACTTGATGGAGAAGTGACCGTCGACAACGGGGTACTCGCTCGTGAAGTCGGGCTTGTAGAAGTCGTATACATGCCTGACGTACGAACCACGCTTGCCGGGCTCCATAACAATGGGAGCGTCGGGGCCAATGAGCATGGCAACGCAACCAGCACCACCGGTGGGACGGGCGTTGCCCTTTGCGTACAGCGCGATGTCGCCAGCGACAACGACGGCGTCACGGCCATCCCAAGCAGAAGACTCGATCCAGTTGACGGAGTTGAACAGAGCGTTGGTGCCACCGTAGCACGCATTCACTGTATCAACACCCTCAACGTTGTAGTTGCCGCTCTCCTCGAACAACTGCATGAGGACGGACTTGACCGACTTCGACTTGTCGAGCAGAGTCTCAGTGCCGACTTCAAGGCGACCGATGGACTTGGGGTCGATGTTGTACTTCTTGAAAAGCGAGGAGACGGTGGTCAAGGCGAACGAGTAGATGTCTGCACAGCAAATGTTTAGCCCTCTCTCCTTTTCACAGCCAGGTGCTCGAGGAAGATCCCCAGCAGGCACTCACCCTCACGGTCGTCGCAGAAGGACATCTTGGTCTGGCCCAGACCAATGGTGTACTTGCCCGCGGCGATGCCATCGAACTTCTCGAGCTCGGCCTGGTCGACGCACTGTAAGAGGAAAAGTCAGTAGTGTTGACATGAGGGGTACATCGAGGCGCAAGACTCTGTATGCGCTCGCTAGTCGAATAGACTTGCCTGGCTGGGAAAGTACAGCTCAATGGCCTTGATACCGATGTTCTGGGGACGGGCAGCCATGTTTAGTATTGTTGTGAGGTGTGGTGGAGGGAGGGGACGAGTTGCTAAGGACAAGAAGGGTGGTCTTCGCTTCACCGCCGGGTTACTTAAGTACTTTAGAAAGGAGCACGCGCAAGCGACAAAGGCAAAGTGCGGTCAGGTAGCGGCCAATGCTGGCAAGTTGAGCCTCTAGGGTGGATGAGGAGATTTAACTGTATTTGTGCAGATAACCTGGATCTCAACAACGCCAATTTCCCGTTCATACGTTCGCTTGACGCGCGATGTTGTACTTTTTCACCACTGCATGTTGCATTCACCACAATCTGCGACTAGGGTCCCACTCGAGAAGGCGCGCCCCTCTCCTACCCTTCTGCCTTGTCTGCGCAATACATCTTTCGTCGTCACATCTTTTGGCCACCGTGAATCGGAGCAACGTGGCGCCGTAGTTCTGGAAAACATACAGTATTCGGGTGTGCCAGGAACAGCCGAACAGGGCCAATCGCGTTCATCTTGGCACGCAGGGTCGCCGCTCTAGCGTCTGCGACACGAGGTGAATGGGCTCTGGTCAAATCCATCTTGGGAACACCACAACATCGGCAGCTTGCGGCAACCATGGCACAGCCTCCAGACATGCGCGGCACCACGCAATGGCGAGCCGCAGTTCGTGATACTCACCAAAATGATCAATAATGTAGATGCAGGGGAGCTTTACACGTTGAAGATGTACTGACTTGCGAAGTGTAGCTTGCATAACAACGAGCATTTTATACCAATGCTCAGCCTTCTCGCTTCACTGTTACTGTGTACCTACTAGATCTAAGATTTGTGCACACTGCAGTATGATGTGCATCCTCCATCTCGCACCCCTTTTCCAAGCACAGCCACTTCCATCAAGCATGGACTGCTAACTTAAAGAAGACGTCCATCATGCCTCGAGGCACTCAACACATTGTCCACGCGTGTTATCAAATGTTTGGTATCACTAGATGGCAGGAAGCGGCACGCCATACTGCGTAAGCTACAGCCTTTTATGTCATATTGCGAGATCAAATTGAGGCTTGAGTATCCGCAGGCTACAGCTGTCAGCTGCATGCCAGAGAGCGGCATGACCAGAGCTCGCATAAACTTTAACAAGACGTATGCACGCAGGGCCGATATATCGGAGCAGTTGCTCTTTCTGTAAACTTTGTAGTCACGATCTACCTGGGACTACCAAATTCCTCAAAACGCATGTGCTTCCATCTCAAGTGCGTCTTCAGTGATGCCTGACAACACAGTGTGCATCTGAAACGAGACACTCCCTAGATACATCGTAGCCTGCACAGTTGACACAACATCTCGAGAACGCATCAATACCCTCGATCATTCACGCAGGGATTCGTCTGCAATGTTTGACCTTGATGTGTGGACATGCATGGAGTGCTCCATTGGCTGTGACCAAGCCAACTCGGCCAGAACCCGGAGTCTCCACCGTTTCGATCTGATAAAATATTATCAGATGGGGCCTGACGAAAAATCATCGCGGCAGATGGAGGACGATGTCATAGCCTGAGGCCGTCACCGGAGCAGGGCCAGGGCATCGAACGTAGTGGAGGAAAAACTGGGAGTAAACCAAAGTGGTCAGAGATTAATGTGAGGGGCGATCTCAAGTCTCCGTCACGGGGTTGCATCAGCCACCTACCACAGCTCCTTCGTGAAATTGATGAGAGGGCAGCGACCACGCAACGCGCTGCGAGGGCAGAATTGATGGCAGAAGATGCCCCAATTGGTGCACATAATTAGCCGAATTGCTGGTTTTCCGGACCGCGAAAAGCGAGGGGTTGGCGGGTTGCTGAAACAGAACCGAATTCAAGCTAGCGATTTAGCGGCTGCTTTGGCCGTGCGCCCATCCACCCGTCTCAGAACAGGCTGTTCAGCGCTGCTTCATACGTAACACCACCACTCCCTACACGACCACCGCTCGCTACCGACATCGCTGCCCACATTGCTCACACTTGCCCCGGAACGCGCACCGAGTCGACGCACATCACGTGGAGGATCTCGCGACGCCGTATCGAGGCTTGGAAGGGGGAGATAGGGCCTCTGAGGGCCTCAGGGATCGCACCGCGCGATGGAACGACGCAACAGCCACGACAGCACGCTCTCGCGCCGGGAGAGCGTCCAAAATGTCTTCGATGACGAATACGAGATTGACTTCGACGAGGATGACTTCATGGTCTCGGATGGCCTCGGTTTTCGCCAGACACACGCCGACACGGAGACTCGAAATGGCCACCCGCAGGAGAGCGACCGCAATGAGACCCCGCAGCGACAGTACTCGACATCAAAGGCCCCAGGGAACGACCTGCGACGGACTGCGACGAGGAACAGCACCGCCAAGGTGCGCAATTCCATGGTACAGGATGGTCGCCCCCCGGGTCTGAGCAATCGACCGCCCATTATCCAATCACCGCTGCAACACCGCGATTCAGTCAGCTCTACTGCATCTTTTGCGACGACCAGCATGTCAGAGAATCCCTTTCGGACAGGCCCCAGCCATCCGTACGGCATGTACCCCCAGCACACCATGGACCGCTCGAACAGCATTGCAACGGCCTCGACCGGAACACAGGACCGGCCCATGTCAATCCAGCGGCCGGCGCATCCCTATGCCATGTACTCGCAGAGTGGACTGGACGATGAGACGCCCATACAGACAATGCAGGCGATCCAGCCTACAGTGCCCCAAATCCAAACGGCTATGCCTGTAGGCTTTCCAGGGTTGAACAATGGCTACCACCGAGTGCTTGGACCAGATGGCGAAGAGCAGGACATTATTGGGCCAGACGGTCATACCGAGCAGCTTCCACCGTACTCCAGATATCCAGATGAGGGCCCCACGAAGGCCTCCATGGCTGCGGAGGCGAGCGCGTCGCGTATCATCCCCGCACCCCTGAACCCTGCCATAGAGAGCGAGGACCCCTTCAATGCTCCTGCGTCACCAGTATCACCCCTCAGCGAAGCATCCTTCTCAGCACACGCCCTGTCTGCCGCCTCCTCTGAACCCTTGTTGCCTGCCATTGCACCTGCTCGTCTCCCACCCCAAAGACCAGAGACACAGACGGGCAACTTGGCTCCCATCTCCTCAGCCAGCACTGTTCCAGCTGCACCATCTGATTCATCTTCAGCATCACTATTGACGGCGGAGTCGGGAGAGTTCAACGAGAAGTACAACGAAAAGGATGACCCTGAATCAACAAAACCAAGTTGGCGTAAAAAGAGACTATTTGGAAAGGTCCCAATGGGTGTCGTAGTTGTAGTCCTTCTGCTGTTACTCATTTTTGCCGTTGCTCTTGGGGCGGCAATCGGGACTTTTGCTGCAAAGAAGCACAACGGTGACGACAAGAAGGGGCACGGCAACAAGCCAGAAGAGGAACCGTAAGTCTACCTTGCAACTCGTGACCAGGCAATGCTAACCTCGATAGACAACCACAAGTTACGGGTCCAAGTGGCTCGCTCTTTGGTGCCACGCCTATCCCAACTCCCTCTGGGTTTTCATCACTTCCCACTGGTGCATTCTCACTTCCACTTGGGTTTCCACAGGAGGCCAACCCAGGCTGTCTGGTGCAAGCCAATGAGTATTCAGCGTGGTCTTGCAAGATGACGTTTGCGCCCATCATCCTCACCATCAACAATACAGGCGTTGACTCCAATGGCAACCAGCAGCAAGGGGCGTCGACTCGAGGAGGCGCTCTGGCCCCAGATGGTGTTATCCAATATGGCGCGCAGACTCCTCAGCTCGACCTCGAGCCTATGCAACTTGTGCTTGACCTCGACTACAAGAATTACGGCCCGGCCTATCACTTCTCTGCCAGATACGACAAGATCGTCGTACTAAGACCCGAAGAGTTAACCGCTGGCTCATCTTTGAAGAAGCGAGAAACTACAGACGACACGCCATCTCGCCAACGATTCACCGTCCAGCCCGGAGACTATCCATGGTACTGCTACTGGAACCGTACCTACATCGAAGGTTACATCTACGCCGAAGACAACTCAACCGCAGCATCCTTCACCGCACTACCTACAACGTGGCCAACAAACCCGCCCAGCTCTACAGTCCCAGACACTGTGACTTTCGCAGCCGCAACATTCGCACCGACAAGCACAACAACGACATTACCCAATGCAGCCGCCGATGTCATTCCAACCTCATCCTCCATCGCACGCCGCGACGCCATCGCAGACGCAGCAGCCTCATCCTCACGCATCCCTCCCTACCCGCGCATCGTCAAGATCGAAGAACGCCGTCTGCCCGGCTCCCCACAGCCATACTGTCAACGCATGGTGCTGCTCGACAATGGCAAGATCGCGCCGGCGCCAAACGGCAACGATCCCGTTTTGATGTTGTGGTTACAGGAGCAGGACCCGAGTTACGCGGAGTACTTCACTGCCACGGCGAGCGCGCAAAGCAAGCGCGATGTCGAGCGCCGTGGGGATCCAGCGGATTCGTGTCATTGTCAGTGGATGTTTAAGTGAAGTGGGGAGGTGGTGGATTGCTGAAGTTTGTCGTGCGTTTGAGCGTTGTTATGCATCTACATGGAGTCTGGGTCATCTCTCCACATTGTCTTTTCTTTTCTTATTGCATATATCACGGGCGCCAAGGACAGTTACGGCGTTTCTATGTCTGGTCACATATATGTCGCTTTCCTTGCCTACCGCGGAAGGTTCTAGCTATGGCGTTCGCAACGAACGAGTAACTTGTATATAGTGGATGGTCGCCGCTGATGTGAAGTATTGTCAGGCAGGCTTGTGAGCTCATGTAGGATGCACTCAGATTAGTGTCGATAGAAGAAACCTATTATCATTGCAAACCTTTGATATTCTGTCGCTAATTTAAATAGTGATATTGGGTCCTGGCACTGACTGAGCGAAGGTATCGGTTTAATGTCGGTTCTAAGTCAAGCCGTCGTCGATCGATTGCACGCCTGCGCTTTCGTGTGTTCATCAACAATATTCTGTAAGGGCACGATGTTATCCTCGCAGCTACGTAGACAACATAAGATTGTCGCTGACGGTGCCCTGACCTGATGTTGCACAGTGGCCTACTGTTCGAGTACATCATTCAGTAGCGCACTGAGGCGCTCCAGTAACCGGTAAGTCGTATTAGCTTTTTTCGGTGCATCTTTGACTCTTCGCACAAAGGTGTTGATTGTGTCGACAGGTTGGATGAGTTGAAATAACAACGATACAACGGCCATGCCGCTGGCCACACTGGAGAGGGGTTCCATGATGAGTGGGGAATGGGAAAGAGTAAGTCAAGATCAGGCGTAACAGAGACTCTAAAGAGATGTACATCTGGCTAGGCGGAGGCAGTTCTGGAGGTGCTTGTCAGCAAGGCTGAACAGCGTTATGCGGATTGGCCGTTGTATCTGCACGATGCAAAGCGCTGCAGTTATGCTAGCAGAAGCGATCCACCATCTTGGTTTGGTACAGAAAGCGTGATCTGAAAAACCTGGGAAAGATTTACGGATGAACTTACAGCAATAATATACCAGTTTCAAATGAGCGTTCTCGGCGGCTGTCACGTTGGTGCATGGTGACTAGTAGTATAAGCTGTTCATTACTGAGCCTAATACTGTGGTATCTGGTTCTACTCTCGCTCGTCCCCTGGACTCAGTCCATGTGGTATAATGTTCTACTCTCGCTATACTATCGACCCCTAGAATGACACGAAGAACGCCGATGCTATGTACAAGAAGACCATAAGATCATAATCGAACTGAAGAAGATATGCGAATCATCTATAGCTTGGATTTGGTGGGCTTGCGAGTGACCGTGCACTGGATGAGGCCGTTGGGGTCGGATTGGGGAGCGAGAACGGTCGCGTCCTTGCCGGTATTCTTGATGTCCTTGTGCCACGAGAGGTCTACAAAGTGTCAGCTAGCATCCGCGGTTAATTGAAGCAACTTACCAATCTCGAAGAAGTGCTTGTTGGGCAGAGCGTAGTCAACTGCCTCGATCTGAGGAACAACAGCAAGAATGTTGTTGGCCATCTTGTACATGGTGGCCTGCACACTGGCACTGTCGTCCTCGGCGAAGATCTTCAATGTGATGTCCCTTGCCGCCTTCCAAGCACCGTTGAAGTCAATTGCCTTGACCTCCTCCAGCGTCTTGAAGAGCTTCCATTGCCAGCCAGCCTCAATATCTGTACTGAGAATGCGGTCCCAAGTCTCAGGCAAACGTGTGTACTCGTCGCGGTGGAAGCCATGGAAAGCAGAACCAGTGCTCTTGAGCACGAGCAGCTTTTCGATCTTGGAGCGAATAGAGGAGCCCTGTCCCTCCCTTGTTACTGCCTCGACGACACGGATCTCGTCACCGTCGCGGTAGAACGAGTGTGGGTGAGGCTTGCCGTCGATTTCCATACGAGTCCATCGGTGCTGGATGATCTTGACATGCGCGGCATGGATGTGCGAGTAAGTGTTAACGAAGTGGTTGCCAATGATGGCAGCGAACTGCTCGGGAGGATCGATGGGGTTCTGCTTGGCGAGGATGTAGGTAGTCTGCTTCTGGGTGTCTGTTGCGACTATGACTGAGTTGTCTGCCTTGGTGTAGCTGTAAGGAGTGAGCCTTTGTGGTCATCAGAACTACTTTAAGACCTTACGAGGTCTCAATGTCTCCCTCGAGCAGAATGCGGACAGTCTGCTCTACAACAGTGTGAATACCAGTCTTGGGATCCTTATCAACCTTGTATAGGCGGACATTGTCCTTGCCGTAGCGTGCGTAGCTAAGTTGAGACATGGTGTTTGAGTATGTAGACAAGATTGCTCGTAACAAACAGTGAAGCAGAAGCTACTGGGGCCAATGGACAGCTGAGGGTTGAGTGAAGGGAGCTATGAGTGCTGGGTGGTGACGATAGATATAGCTTCAAAGACGCAAGCTTATCGGACCACTTTCGAGCGGAGGTGGCCGAGCTGCAAGCACACTGCTTTTCGCAGAGATGGATCCCCAACAAGGTTTGGATGAGCGACCGAGGGCGGCGTAAGTTCGTTCGCATTGGTTGAGAGGCTCATCGGCGGACTCCGATGCCCTGAGGGTGGAAGCCACCAGGATAACGACGGCACGTGACTGCTTTCACGCCCAGCTCCGCCAGTGGGGCTTGTCGAAAGGAAAAAGTTCATAGAACTTGAGGACTAGGCGATGGCCCATCTCCGTGCGGCATCACGCCAGCATGGTGTTGTGGTGAAATAGACGTGCCGCAGATGCCGACCTCGAGATGCCCGCGGCGGGTGTGGAGAACGAAGCACGGACCGCAACGCTGTTGCTTCGAACATGGGCTCTTCGGTGTTGCGATGTGGTGGACACGCGAACAATCAACAGTTGCTTGACTACATTCATTCTCTGTGTGATTGTGTTGACGCTCCCTTGTCTGCCCCAACGCGCCTGCTCCAGGTGCTGCGCCGCTCCTTCCTCCTTTTACAGGCCACAGCCACAACCCCGCTCGGTCTGGTACCGCAGCACACTGATTGATATTCACCCACCACGGCTCATGAGGCAAGAGGAGGGCGGCGCCGTAACACCGAAATGCGATGCGGTTGACGAGCCTGTGGACACGGCCTTCTGAATGACGCCACCCGTGCGCTCCGTGAACCCGCAGGCCGACGTGCCCTCGACCGACCAAGGCGGCTCGCTGCTCGCGCCCACACGCACCAGAGATGGCCGTTCCATGTCTGCCGCCGCCGTCAGCGTCATGGCAAGCTCACGCGGGGGCCAGTCCTCGTATGCGACTGCGCACTCCGGGCCTGGGAGTTTCAACACGCAGTTAAAGCCCACGACTTCGCAGGACAGCAGGTTGCGCCCCGATATTGATATGCACGCCATTACTGTGAGGGACAACGACAACACCACCAGCGAGCAGCGACAAGCCGAGCTACAAGATCAGATCGACAAGGAGACCAAGATCAAGATTGGATCCGAGAACCTATTGGAAGCTCTGAATGCAAAGAGCGCAAAGAATGTCAAGGATCAGAGGGCACAGGTCGAGGAGCAGCTCAATATATCGAACAAAAAGCTTGCACAGCTCAAGGCAGGGCTGGCAATCGAGATCCAGCGTGCGAAGGAAGTAAAGTCACCGCCAGCAGATCCACAAAGCCGGCTATCGTTCCTATTCCGTCGAAACCTCTCCCGTTCACCGTCACGCCACATTGCCAAACAGGACGAAGATGAAGACGAAGAAACCGAATCACCGACCTTTGTGCTGGCAGAGATATTGCAGGCATTGGAAGTGCAGGGCATGCAGCCTGAATATTACGTTGAGCGAGCCAATTCTCTCGTTCTTCTACTCAAACGGCACACTACGCTCAAGTACGATCTGGCTTGGTCCATATTCGGCCTGAGGATGCAGACAATGCTCCTCAGCGACAGTCGAGAAGTTGTTGCGGCTGCCTACCGAGTCATGCGGTATGCATTCACCGACCGAAAGTCTCTCCAGATTATTCGAGGGTTACAGACCGATTACCTGGTAATTTTATCTCTCGTCAAGGAAAGCAAGGCTAGCGTCGAGCGCGAGCAGGCACTGAAATTTGTGCGAGCCTTTCTGGACGTCAAGGATGGTGTTGAAGAGATCGGACGTGCTGTCGTCCGTATTGTAGTAGCGGTGGCCGAACATACCGAAGATCGACTACGGAACATTGCGATCCTAACTCTGGCGGAGATCCTTGTTAGAAAACCCTCGCTTCTGGTCGGCGCAGGCGGATTGGGAGTACTCACAGACGCGCTCGGTGAAGGTAGCTATCATGCTGCTGAAAGTGTCGGCTCTTCTTTGCTCTACTTGCTGGACACGCCACGACGAAGGCAGTTTCTGCGCTCAGGCCGGGAACTGGAGACGCCATTCGCCATGTTTACCGATGGAGGCACGCTACATGGCCATTTACATGAGGAGAAGCTCAAAGCCAACGCCAAAGTCATTGCGTCTTTACTCAGAAGCTGGTCAGGGCTGCTGTCCCTCTGTATGAACGACTTCCTCCCAGTTCGGTCCCTACTCCTGTCATTACAAATCCCGACTATCCATGTACGCAACATCATTTTAGAGCTCTTGTTCGATCTTTTCAGGATTAAGTCACCATCGTGGTCTTCGTCTTTCCTCGCCGGTCGACGTCTGACGACCTATGGCCGTGTCACGAACATGCGCAACGAGCCTGTGAAAGATAGCTCAAATGCAAAGACTGGAACTTATACGAACAAGTGGAGCCTGTTAGACCACTACGTCTCCGTAGTCTTGGCTGCTTTTCTGCACGCTGGGCTGGTACCGGCTCTGCTACGTGCTGAGGAAGATCCATTGACTCTACAGTTGAAGCGCAAGACAACACTACTTCTCGGAGAAGTTCTAAAGTTGGCGAATGACCTTTTACCGCCGTCTTGGAGTGCACAGCTCCAGGTTCTCCCTCAATTGTTAAGATCGGCTGCTGAATTCGAGTCAGAGGATCGGTTCGTTGCAATTGGAACCATCTACCAGGTGGACAGCGTCAATCGTACTCTGTATCGGTCAGGCGCAACATCCCTCCATCCCAGTAAAGGCACCACCACAGTCGACGGAACGGCATCCGACCGTCCGACAGATCAGTCCAAGGTCCAAGCAGCCATGCAAATGGACGAGGGTCAGTTCCGCACTCTGATACTCGAAAGTCAGGTCTTGAATACGAGCAATTTCCAGAAGTGGAACTGGAACCTGATCCAAACTGCCATCGATGGCCCTTTGCTGAACCCCAAACGCCTCGATGAGGCATTGAAGGTCACCAAATTTGTACATCGTCTGTTCAACTTTTATCGTCCGTTTAAGTTTCGATTTGCTGATGTGAAAAACACGAAACCAAACCAGCGATATGTTCGCGCAGGATGCGGACTTATGACAAGTCTTTTACAGAACCCGGAGGGCGTCAAGTACCTTAGTGAGAGCAAGCTTATCCGGCAACTTGCAGAAAGCCTATCTCACTTCGACAGAATGAGCGGTCTCACATCTGATTCACCTCTCTTCCAGGCCGACCGCATGAGCGAAACTCTCACCGGAAGTTACTTCACACTTTTGGGTGCGCTGAGCAAGGATTCTCGAGGCATCCACATCCTCGAAAGATGGCGGGTCATCAATATGTTCTACCATATTATCGAACTCAATGGTCGCGACGACCTGATCCGGGCCTTGCTCAGCAACTTGGATTACACCCTCGATGGGCATCTGCGCATCATCATATCGAAAGCCATGACGTCATGTTCAAAAGAGATTCGCATCTTTGCAACTGGCCTATTGCACAAGTATGCGACAAAGCCGATGCAGATGTCGGGCCCACAAGGTGTTGCGGAATGGGCTATCAAGCTGCTTGTAACACAGCTGTACGATCCAGATGTCGAAGTTTGCGAGGTTGCAATCAGAATCTTAGAAACGGCATGTAACGAAACCGAATCACTGGAATTTGTGGTCAAATGCCGTCCTGCGTTGGATCATTTAGGCGAAATTGGTGCACCTTTGTTACTTCGGTTCTTGTCAACGTCAGTGGGGTACCACTATTTAGATGGGTTGGATTACATCACGAAAGAGATGGATGACTGGTTTCTGGGGAGGAACGACGCCTATGTGGTACAGATCGAAGCTACTATGGCACGCGCGTTGGCCGACATTCCTGACAAACCGTCATCACTGTTGTCGTACGATGAGACTTCGGAACAGCCCGAGTATGGTCTCGTGCCAGCACATTTCTATCGAGAACTCACCAGGACGAAAGAAGGCTGCAAGCTGCTGAAACAGAAGGGGCATTTCGAAGAGTTCACTGCCAACATTCGCGATTTTGCTACAGAGAATAATGATTCTGAGATAATCCTCAAGGTTAAGGGCTGTCTGTGGGCAGTAGGAAATGTTGGCTCTATGGAACTTGGTGCCCCGTTCCTGGAGAATTCCGACGTGGTGAAATGGATTGTACAAATAGCAGAGACCTCTGAGGTCATGTCGCTTAGAGGGACAGCATTCTATGTTCTCGGATTGATATCGAGAAGTCTGCACGGTCAGGAGATCCTGCTCGAACATGGCTGGGATGGTGTGGTCAGTGACTCTGGTGAAGCACTAGGGTTCTGCCTGCCATTGAACTTCAGAAAGCTCTTCGAGGTAGGTATCCAAGCCTGAGGGTCTAAACCACTGCTAACCAAGCACAGATCAAACCATGGGCAGCCAAGTCTGAAGACATCAGCTGGAAACGCAAGACCGAAGTCACAGTGGCTATTACTGACAACGACCCCATCAATGCACGCATCCTCAAGCTTGCGACTGACCTTGGCAATACGGTGCTTGCCAAGCGAGCTGCAAACGATCTCCAAGCGTCAGTATTACCGGCACTCCGAAATGGGTTTGAGTTGACTATTGCAACAGTATCAAAGCTAAGAAAGCACCTGGGTTCAGCAAGCCATCGATCTTCCGAAAAGTCATGCAGATACTGGAAGCACATCATTTCCGCCTGCCAGCATGCCGCTTCGTGTTGGACTTGTTCGACAAGCGGGTATTAGAGCAGATTGTGCTCGAGGAAGAAGACGAGGAGAGTGATGAAAGTAGTGACTTGGATCCCGAGTCGGACGAAGAGCCGTTTGGTACGGTGGGTGCTACAAAGGCTTCATGAACATTTGCTACGGGTTTTCAACGCCGGTTTCGATATCTTGGCGTTAAGGAGTACAACAAGCATTTCATTGTACGTGTTTCCGGCGACGGATTAAGCGTACCAAGACTAGGTTCAATGGTTAGACTTGCGTGGGGAGTTCCACGGTACCTGTTTGGGACTAAGGGATGGATCCCAGACATCAGCTTCGTGCTTCACTTCGGAAACATTACGTGAGAGGCGAAGCTCATGGCATGAGTCGACATGAACAGGTTCGCTTTCATGTCGAGTTTTGTAAAAGTTGTAGTCATTATGGTACACGCACGCCAGGTACGGCGAACCACGGAAAATGACTGGCTATTTGTAAATATGGTAGAAGAACATGAGCAGGCATTCAGCAAATGCAGTCCCACTGGAAATGCAATCGTCAACGACAGGGTCTTCGGTAAACGCGAGCCATGGTCCCGGTGCAAGTGTGGCACATGGATAGCGGATGGCAGGTCGAGAGCTGAACCCTGATTGGCCGGTGCATTCATTGAGTCGACTCGTCATCGATGCTCGAAAGCGTGCATGCTCAGTGTTTGACAGCCTTTCAACAGCAAGACAAGGGCGACAGGCCGCCGCATCTTTCGCCGCATGTGCTGCAATCAGTCCCTAGATCGAGGGGTCATCACGCAACGCGCATGGAGGTGCACATGAATGAATGGTCTTAGCTTGTCGCCGTTTCAATGTGCTGATTATGAAAATGCAATACACACTTGACTTTCAGTAGAGTTTTGGGCGTCTCCCACGGCTGGCCCTTCTCGGAAACCGCGGTCAGGCTGGAGTCCCGGGCGAACACGCAGAAATGGCAAATACTCCTGACATTTTGAAGGGGCGCACTGACCATTTTGATATTGGCTTGCTTTGCTTGCGAATTGCGCACAGGCCAAGTGGACAGAGTCTGGTGGGGTGGTGATGACGGGCGGTTTTATCGATCCCGCTGAAGAACATTATTCCCTACTGATCGGGAGAGACCGTTCTTGACTGAACCTGGCAAAACACCATCGCCGATCTCAAGCCTAGGGTCTATCTATGCACTCATCCACCATGTTAGGTCATGACTTCTATTCTCTCTCTGACTCGGATTCGTACTCGACCTGGCACCTTCTTGTACACCTACAATTGTAGCAAACTAGCAGACCGACATTCAGCCTCGTCTTTGTCGTTCTGGACCATTTAAAGCATTTGACAGCGTCAGTGTCCAGCGCTTTTGACTACTTCTTGGTCCATCCCGCCATTTCCTGTTTCCCGGTCAGCACGGTCACCTCAAGCTCGGCTGCAAGCCTTATAAGTTCTGAAGGCATAACTCGCCACACTGGATTGTTTCACTTAATTGCATATTAAACTCACGGCATACCTATCGTATATCTTCAACACCTACTTTCTTCCAATACCCTCAAGCCAGTCGTGCCGTTGCTGCCGCCCACCTTCCCGCCTCGACCGTTCCCATCACGCGACCGTCCACCTCTACCTTCAGTCCCATCGGCCTAGGTCTAAACCAGTACATGGCTGTCCGTGCCATCGCACAGTAGACTGGACTCGTATGAATTGCTCAAGGGAGAAAGGGTGCTCTCTCGTCAACGACGTAGAGCATACCTTCGAACCGCGCGTGCCGCCGCAGGTCTTTATGGTCAACAATGGCCTCCCAGCAGAGGCAGTGGTGGTAGATACCCTGGCCGTCCACCGCGATGCTCGACAACTGGTCCGCCTTGTACAATGTCCCCGGTGCTCCCACCCACTCAAGACTCCTGTGACACTGCCATGTTCACATACCGTCTGCCGTGGATGTCTACCAGAACCCCAACCACGGACAAATATATCTTATCCACATACCCCGGATCGTCTGATAGGAATTGCATGCCCGCTGATGGGATGCGGGGCAGAGCACGCAGCTGCGGAGTGCTCGGTGGATGTGACGTTGACTAAGCTGATGGAGCTGGTTCAACATGAGATAGCGCAGCACAGGCCATCTTCGGAAGACTCGCCTACCCTGCTCGAGGAGATCCTGCGACATGATGAGATGGAAGATGATGACGACGAGAAAGAGAAGAAACAGATCAGTGAAAAGGGTCACCGGCAGGTGTTGCACGGTGGGCGCCTGGTATCCACATACGATATGGCCGAGATGGGACAGCTTCAGTATAGCTCCGAAGTGGAATATTCGACCATCTCAGCGGATGGGGACGCATACGAACAGCTGGATGCGACAGTCCTTGAGCGCCTGCGAGAAGTAACGTACCAGGAACTGGACTGCCTTGTCTGTTACAACATGATGCTGGAACCAACAACGACCACCTGCGGCCATACCTTCTGTCGCCGTTGTCTAGCCCGTGTCATGGACCACAGCAACATCTGCCCGTTCTGCCGAAGAGATTTACATGTCTCTGCATCTTTGCAGACGAATCAGTGCAGCAATGCCATCCTGAACTCCCTGTTGAACGGACTATGCGCGGATCTTGTTGCTTCCCGCGCCGCTGCGGTAAGGGCTGAGGAGCAAGCTGGTCATGAGGTCTTAAGCACACCACTCTTCATCTGCACCCTGGCGATGCCTGCTATGCCGACCTTCCTCCATGTCTTTGAACCTCAGTATCGCCTGATGATGAGACGTGTTCTAGAGGGCAACAGGCAATTCGGCATGGTCATGTACAACCGTACATCCTCATCGCAAGGTGATCTCGGAGCCATCCCATTCCTCGAGTATGGTACCTTGCTCGAGATCGTCAACTACGAGCTCCTTCGTGATGGCCGCAGCTTCGTGGAAACTCGAGGCATCGGTCGTTTCAAGGTCCAGGCCCATAGCATGCTTGATGGCTATAATGTTGCCAGCGTTGAGCGTGTCGAGGATGTGTCTCTAGCCGAAGAGGGTGCACTGGAGCAGCGTGAGACGACCATGGCACGAGATTTCGCAGAATCACACTTCCGGGAGGACCCACAAACTCAGCTCCCTACAGACATTGCTATTGAGTCGCTGTCGACACAACAGCTTCTCGACACATGCACGGCGTTTGTCCGTGAAATGAGAGAGGCTAGTGCGCCGTGGCTTCGCGAGCGCATTATCCAGGTTTACGGAGAACCGCCTGAGGATCCCGCTCTGTTCCCATACTGGTTTGCATCTGTCGTCCCGGTATTGGAAGAAGAGAAGTATGTGCTTCTACGGACGACACGAGTCCGCGAACGCCTGAAGATTGTATACTCCTGGATTGGAAGGATACGTGGGCAGCGATGGTAAGTTTTCTTCACATTTTCCCCCTCAAACCTATACCGAGACCGATCTATATCTGAACCACGAGACACAACAACGGTTTGCCAACTGGAAAATTGTCCGCGGGAGATCTCAACGGCCATCTACAGTGTTGCGGCTGTTCGCAGCTGTTCTCAACGTGCTTGTCAGGATGACGATAGACCCTTACATGGCGACCCTGTCCCTCGGAATCCTCCTCGGAACGAACCGACCTTGCTCAATATCTTTTCCACATCAGCAAGCTGACTCAATCACAGGGCCTCTGGCAGCGCTTGCAACATTCTTTGACTCGTGGTCGTGCTCATTAGTCTTAGCCTTAGCATCCTGACAGCTGCACGACCACCACCACAGCCCACTCTTTAATAGCGTGGCATCTCTTTCCTGCGGACTTGGTCCTCGCCTCAGATTTCAAGAACGCTCGTACGATCTCCCGGACATTGACCGCCATATTGCAGCATTTTTGTTTGTTCTCGCTTTTCTAAAGATTACCCCCTTTCAGGAGGACCGGACCCAGGAGCCTGCCTGGTATACCCGTGTCCATGTCCATGCTTTTTGACCCGGGAGCTTGCCCAGCTGGTGCATTTGTAGCGAGACTGCTAGGTCTCGAAAAGTGGCATGAATATGGGATTGCATTGCTGGTGTTAGATTGTGTTTGGGGACTAGTTGCGCATGATGAGATTGTTGCGCTAGCTGAGATGTATGTTCAGACTTGTAGATATGAAGTAAATCTACATGTGATTATATGGACTGATTCTGAACATTTACTTGATGTTGTTTTGCGGTCTTGTGCATATGCGGATGTAGTACGCGGTAACGATCATCGAAAACAGCACACTTTGCCCTTTTATATGCGCCTGCCCTATGGTTCTTCTTACGTACGGTCCAAGTGACTAGGAACAGTACACAGGATTCTGCTTGTAGAGAAAGAGAAAGAGAATGAGAGGTGCATGTGATGAGAATCGCTGACGTAAGGGTCGGTCAGCTTCGAGCTCTGCGCCGACCCTTACCAAAACTTTCAGCCCTGGAGCGACGTCAACATCACAGCGCATCTCCCTCTACCACCAAACCACCCAGTACGTCGCCACTATGGTTGCTATCATACTCTGTAGTGCTAATAGCAAATTAGAACCCTATAAATTACACATTCACAATGCCTCCTAAGGAGCTCAACGGAAGGGGTGGCCGCGCCAGCGCCGAGCCCAGTTTCGTGCGCAACACCATCCAAGGCCTTACAAGCGCGGAGAATAGGAGCGTCGTCACATCAATCGGCCTATTCGCTGTAAGCCCACCTCGTATCCAGAACGAAGATGATGAGATGAATATGCGGGATGCGGAGCCGATGAAGCACAATGGCAGATGCGCAATGGTGGATACCAGATGCATATGCTGACAGTCGACTTTAGATCGGTGTTACCTTCCTGCACAGCAGCTGGGCCGAGATCCTGCTTCCCGCGTAAACGATGCAATCGATGCTGAAGACGAACGAACGATGAGAGAAGCGAAGAAGTCGACCCCAGAAGCACACGTCTCAAAGACGAGATAGTGGTATTCGGATGTGTATGAAGGAACAGTGTATACGGACACGGCATGGGACTGGCGTTCAGGCAGAAAGAAAGTTTCCATTCGAAGGTCTGATGGGGTTGTACAACAAGTGTATACAGCAATAACATACCCACAATTGCGCCACACCATCGCATACACATCTCGCCCACCGTCTCACACGAGCGCCTACATACATGCTTATATCCTCTTCTAGCACCGCGGTCAGCCATCCAGCCTGATGTCACCATCCGAAACCCCAAACGTCTCCCAAGTCCGAGTCCGAGACAGCAGCGTACACCACGTCGCCCAAGCCCTCACCAAGCCCATCACCTCCGTGACAGAAGCTTAGCCCGTCCTCCCGCCTCGCCCTACCCATCTCCTACACTCCTGCCGGGATACCTCGTGGAGCTGAAACAGGTACCAGTTACAGTCATCGCCCTTCCTTCCTTCTCTCTCTCAAATTACCCACGCGATGGGTCGATGCTCATTCGAATGTTGTTTGGCATCTGCAACGGACTTGAAATGCACATTTCGTTGGTATTGAGGCGTTCTTGGCGTAGGTCATGTCAGACTCTGCCTCATTCGATCGCGGCTACGTTCTGACAGCCGCACCAGTGTATCTGTGAGTGAGGCTTGTCCGATTCTTTCCGACTGCGTCCCGGGACGTTTCGCGAGTCGAAGTGTGGCACAATCTTTGCGTCTGCAGGTTTGTGGCGTGGTGATGTGGCTCGAATGAGTGTCAAGTGAAGCCAACCTGCATCCGGATAATTCGCCGTAAGCGCTCGTGGCGGAATTGGCATCTGGCGGCTCTGTGCTGACGCGGCGTGAAAGCACTATTGCTGCAGTCTCTCCATCTGGGGCATAATTATAGGCAGCCTAATGCGAAGTTATTTCTGGATCACATGGCGAGTAGAAGTACAATCCAAGCACGCTCGAATGGTAAGGGTATGTATGCTTCGTGAATTATGTCTCGAAAACAATCAACAGTCCTGCTGTGAAAGAGTGATAATGATGACAGACGAACAACGTGCTCGCTAACATTACAGCGGGGGTTGAAAATGAGGGCGAAACAACATGCTATGCATCGCTACTACAAGCCGTCACCGAGTACAAGAGGGGTAATCGAAGGTCCAAAATGCGTACTGTCCCAATAAGGACGTAGATGTCATGTCGTGCGTTGCGTTATGCTGGGGTATCTCTAGTCTATACTTCTCGAATCCAGACCTGGGAAACGTTAGTAGATGATTCGAGACATTGCGGTGCGATTGTATGACTTACCTCCATCTTGGGGGTCTCGCCAGTCCTCCTGGCATTATCCTTTGCAGTGTCGATGGCCATGTCGAGATCGTCCTGGTCGGCCATGGTGATCATGTCACCGTCATCCTTGATCTCCACCTTGAAATTCTGCCTCATGCCAAACTTCTCTCTGATCGATTGCGAGAACTCGCGCATGGTCATGTCTGCAGTAACAAAAACGTAACGAGTGTCACCGCCATGAACCTTGACTCGAATCTTGCCGGCGACACCACGAGCCCCGCCGCTGCCGCCAGATCTCGTTGAGCGCGCAGGTGACCGTCTTCGGGACTTGCTGTTGCGAGACATCATCTCGAACTCGGCATCGTCCAGATCGCTCCCATCATAGTCATCCTCGTCCTCCTCTTCGATGTATGCAGGTCGTCTTGAACCTCCGCCCTGTCTCGAACCGCGACCGTATTGGCCCCGGCTAGAACGAGACTGGTACGAGTCATAGATATCATCGTTGTAGTCATCGATAATGTCCTCTTCTGACCCACGGCGGCGAGGCTTGTCGCGTGGCCTGTTGCGCATCGACTCAGATCGGCTCGGCAGTGGTCGTTCAGATGCCGAGCGCTGGGTTGGCTGACGGCGCGGCTCTTCATTCCTTTGGTCGAATGCGGCTCTTCCAAGATTCAACGGTTGTGGTTTGGGTCCACCACCACGTACAGACTGTGCTCGACTCATGGGCTCATTGCTGCTGCCCTTGGATCCCCTACCGTCACCCTCCGGTGGTGGTGTGGGTGGGAACATGTTGCGATTCATTGGTGGCTCGGACTGTTGTCGCGCTCTGCTCTGGAGCTCTGGCTTGACAAGATTGGTCGCGGCAAATGACAGCTTCTCCTCGGGTCTGTCATCCGTAGCTGTGTTGCCCATCTTCTTGATCTCAGCTCCAGTGAATCCGGTGAATGCATTGTTACGGTCTGATGCGGCTACTAAGCGAGCTTTTCCAAGGTAGTCCTTCGTCTTCAAATTCTTGACCTTGGCCTCATTGGGGCGGTAAACGATGCCGACTGGAATGGAGAACACGGTGTAGCCCTAACGTTTGTCAGTCCCAATCTGGTCGCAAGATATGCTAGTCATAGGTACCTCAGCCTCCTCCCGAATAGCCTCATCGATCACGTCATGATCTGGCACAACCTTCTCTTTGGCCGCAAACGACAAGTCTTGCAGACCAGCGTCTCTTTGCTGCAGGTAGATGTAGCAAAGACCACGGTTGAAGAGGACCTCGCACGAATAGAGTTTAAACTTTAGGCCTAGTTGTTCGTAGTCGATATTGTTGTTGCCGCGCAGGTAGAGAAGGGTGTCGTTGAAGTTGGCTAGTGCCTCCTCAAAATCGCCCATTAAGAAGTTCGAGACACCCTGCTGGAAGTATGCAACGGCAAGGTACTGGTCCAGACGCACAGCGCGCTGGTAGCAATCGACCTGAAGTTGTCAGCACATGCGTACAGTTGCATGCCCGTTGTCTTCACTCACCGCCTTCTCGTGCTCTCCCAGTGTTGCATGGATCACACCGCAGTTGAACAAGATCTTGGATGTGTCGGAAATCTGGTCGAAGACTTTCAATGCCTCGTCGAACTCGTTGTTGTCGTAGCTGCCGAGGGCTGCCACCCAGGTCTCGATTTCCTACCCCGCTACATCAGCAATTGACCCGGAAGGAGCGCTGGAGCAACCCAGCAGGAAGGCGCGCACCTGCTTCAGAGACATGACGAAGGTTTCTTTTCACTAGTTACCCGGCAGTATGGTGTCGTCAAGCCTCAACGCGTTGCCGCTCCTACCACTCCACAGTTGAGGTGGGGTAGCGTTCCGTTCCGCTCGAGTGCGACCAGATGAATCGCGTCTTCTTCACAGTCCACTGGTAGCCGCCGGGGCTCTCAAGAGTGCGCGACGTCGGTATTAGGGCGCGGTGAGTGTTGCGCTTCAGGTATTATATCGAGGTATGTTCGGGCTGGGCGGCGGTATCGTGGTGTTGCACGAGCAAGGCAGGCGCAGGTATTGAGGGACAGTCCGGGCAGTCTGAGGAGAGAGAAGGAGGCTTCGAGGGCAGCACAGCAAGACACGCAGGGACACGGTGGGAATTTGGCGGGCGGCTGCAGGCTCACACAGGTGGGGAGACCAAATCTGAGTCGCAGCGCGTCTGGAGTCCAGCTTGGCCGGCTCGTCGTACGCCTCGCTGATTGGACCCCTGCATCGTGAAAGCCGACATCCACGGCGCGTAACACTCTCCCAAGACACTTGACACCAACCCACTCGAGCCATAACACCACCGCCATCCGATTTTCTGATAACTTGGCAGCACCTGGAAGCGTCTTCTCCAATTCTCAGGCCTCCGCTCCGCCAGGTGACAGCAGCACGGCGGCGCGGCAAACCTTCGGACATTGCCCCTTGCGGACGTGGACTTCAGCGTTTGAGGTCTGTTACATGGCAACCCTGCCACTGAGACATCCACGTGACATAACCTCTTCCTGACCACTTATCAGGAATGCTCAGGTTACTAGGCATAAACGCATGAAGTCCTCAGGCTCTCTGAAGCCCGTGAACAGTTTGAGCCTAGATATCAAGGTGTCATCTTTCCGGACACGGCATTTCCAAGACCACTTCATTATATGACAGAGCCGCATCCATCTTGGCAACACCGTGCTCATCACTGTACACAAGATGTCAGAATCAAGATTCACGTTGGGATCGTGGCTCGGACTATTTTGGCTAAATCCACCTAGCTTGCGTGGCTGAACGATAAACAGCAGCACACCGCTTGTCTAGTTCCAATCATCCACACCACAACTCGCAGGCTGGCTCAAACGTCGACGAACGCATTGTAAAGGTATCGTGAACTAGGCTCGTAAGGTGTTCTCTTAAGTGAAGAGCAGGTTGCAAAATGTCCCAGTAACACCTCCAAACGTAAGTTGACGGTACGACTTCTGGAGGCCTTCACCATGTTCACGTTCGCTCTCTGATGTCTGTAATCTTCCTGCTATTGAGAGCTACTGTTCATCCAGGTTATCGTCTTCTAGCAATCGTGTCTACTGGCGTCTGTTGTATGCTGTTTCTGACATCACTCTCCTGCCTCGCTCCAGTGTCTTCCATATGGCTGGCCTGAAGCAGTTCTCGACATTTCGACTTCAAGAAGAGCAGGCGCTTCCCATCTATTCCAATCAGTCTCCCACTCGGCTCTTGTGTCCATGCCATCAGCCCCGTTGGGCTTGTGTTGCTCTCCAACCTCATGCACACTTTCGCCTACAATCTCAGTCTACTTCTTGCTATATCCAGGTAACTCTGCCTTCCTGAATGCGTCTTCGTTGTCGTTTGAGTATGTAGATCTCACTCGTCTGAATCTCAACCAGAAGAAGGAAATCGTCACTATCGTAAAGATAAGAGCCACGGTGGCTCCGACGCTGATATCTGCTTTCGCACCCGTGGAGAGTCCGGGAGATGATAAGCTGCTTGTTAGCTTAGGTAATGATTCGATGGCGTCTGTGAATATGTGCGAGGTAGGTGCGGGTAACGATGCTGTCGGTGAAGACGTAGCAGCAACAGGACTCCAGCGCAACATGTCTGTGGACTGCCAAGCCACCTTGATCGGTGGCGCACACAGCCAGAGAACTGAGTTCTGACCCAAGCTTGTAGGAACTATGGTCGTAGTACCCTGCAGGACAACTGAGCTGGTATTGCCAGCACAAATGGTACTGCCTTGTAAGTCGAAGCCTCTTATACTCGAATTAGCATGATTGCATTCCTGCGGTGAAATGGGGTCACTCACGATGGATAACAGAATTTGTAAGTTGTGTCAGTGCTCACAGTTATTAGAGTTTGGAGAGCACTCTCTCCGGTCTTCTGCACAGCTACGTAACCACTAGGGCAGGTAGCTGGAGAATATACGTAGCTCTTCTCCGATCATATTGTCGTACTCGTCAACGTTGTGGTCAATTCGAAAACGAAGGGATCTAGCTCCTGTTCGATTTGACCTGTGTACTCGCACGCTGCAGGGTAGTTCACTGGGAAGTAGGCTGGGTCGCGTGCTCGAGTGATTCTCAGTGCGTTGTCTTCAGCGTCTCTCGTCAGTAGTCGTAGCTGTCAGGCCCTAATGTGTAGGTGTTTCCAAGATACGAGTCTGGAGGTATCTACCCGGCCTCAAGGTCCAGAATAGGTGTCTGTCTTCGTATCACTCAGAGGTCCACAGGTCTTAAAGCTTACAGTCGCCATGATACGGATGGTAGAAAGAAAGGTTTCCACGCACAAGGCTGCGTCAACGCAGGTACAGGCTCTTATTATGTTCTCGTATACAGGCGTAGTACAGGAGGGTGTCAGCTCCAACTGTTACGTTTGCATGATTAACATAAGGCTGGCAAATTCCAACGGTCGAGCTCTACTCCGCTTAGCTCTTGACACGCTCTATGCAGGACTGCGGGAGTAAGAGAGCAGCGCGACCTGCCACGCTTCTTTACAGGGGCGCATCGGACGTGCTCCACCAATTGCCTTCTGTGCTGACAGTGCAGCCAAGCTGACACTTATCGTCAAGCAGTGGAGATCCTTTATGTGCTAGTAATGTCGAACGAGTCAATTTTCGTGGTGATATTAATTGCAACTAGGTGTACGTTTACGTAGGGGTCATGATGGGAATGGATTGAGTGTGTCAAAGTGTGGTGACGCTACTGCATTGTCTGACTACATTCCTAATGCAAGTTTGTACATGCACTACACTGACCCCTCTAAATATGAACACCATGTGGGCCTAATTCTTCCATGGGAGCCTCTCTGTGTATGCAATAAGCTTCAGGTATTCGCGACAACTGTGCGTGTCACCATCTCTGGCCAGACCTCTGGTCTCAAAAGTGAGGTCGTCGTAAAACCCTTCGAATTTTGGAAGGTACTCAAAGCAAGCCCTGTCTCGTCCTTATCCACTTGGAACAGGACCTTAGATCACAGAGAGGAGTATTTTATGAAGACCTTCAAGCTTCGCTGATGTTGGTAGCTGCACTTGAGCCTTTCATTCTCCGGATAAGGAAAGCACGCCTCCAGAGCCCAGATGGTGCCGTCCACATTCATCATTCGGCAGACAATGTTGCTGATGGTTGCTGGTGGCTAGCCCCATTTTGGTCTCTTAGCTCGCCACGCTCGTTGCGAATCTGTTTCAGGTGGGACCTTGACTGGAAGTTGCGTGTCGTCAGCCTCGCTAGGTTTGCAGTATCTATCCTTGCTTTGGACGTAGGCAGACTGTACCCGGTATTCATTTCATCGATCGAGCTTTGTGCTATTACATTGTGCTCTGGACATCTTCCTGGTGAATAGAGAAATTTCAGCTCGGACATTCGGGTAATTGTATATGATGAGGTCGTGCTACCACCCGCCAGTGTAGTAATGGTGGGGTATAAACAGGTGCTGAGTGGGCAGTTTGGCGGAAATCAGGACGGATCGCAACCCCTAAACATGCAGTGGCTGGTAGGCACCGAAGTGAAAGTCGTGTTGGACTCGGTACAGGTGGTTTCCGCCTATGGATGATCGTCGGTGTAGTCGTAGCCCCCTGGTGACAGTGTATACAAAGGCCCCATACAAGAATCCGGAGGGGTCCACGTTGTTTCGAGATCCGAGAAAGTAATTGTGATAGTGGCCGGAGCCTGGCGCGTGGGGGAGGAAGAAGTTGCCATTGTCAATGTCACACGAAGGCGCGTGAGTTGCGCTCACGACCCGCAAAGCGAAGGACGGCCGACCTACTTTTAACGTGGAGCTAAGTAGGCCATATTATGACACAACAGGATGTCGATTTTCTTCAACACATGTTGTGCCACGACTCAAGCGGCTGTACACCGTTGTGTGCTGACGCAGAAAGCCAGCCCAACCGTCGAGATGCAAGTTCAACTGCTTGCAACGAAGCCACTCCGCGGAACAAGAGAGGTTAAACATGAGCTGATAATAGGATGCTGTTACACGAAATTGATAGTGAAAAAGGTATTCGGAGGCATCGGCGGTGTTCGTTTGGTATTGGGCTCTCTGCTTTGTTGCCAATGTCTCGACGCCCACACAACGGACATCTTCTACGCTCCGGGTAGAGTTATGTCGACCTTGAAGACAGGGATCCTTTTGTAGTCAAGCCGTCATCGCCTAGCAACCATGTCTACCGGCGTCTGCTGTATGCTGTCTCTGCACTCCTGTTCTGCTCCGTGCCTCTCACATGCATCTGCTCTGGAGCATTCCTTGATACATCACCTTCAAGCAGAGCGTTTCATGCAAGCCCACTTCGTCTGCTAGGTCGGCATACTTTTTGCCTTCGCCTGACTTTGTGTGTACCGTGGTCATCTTCTTGGCGAATCTTGCGCCACTTTGTCCGTCTTCGCCAGCCCAGGAAAACTACAGCAAATGCGGCTATTGCTGCCACAGACACTCCAACAGCAATGCCCACTTTGACTGCTGTTGACATCCCAGGTGACGTTGAATCAGTGGTTGCTTCAGAGGTGGAGCAGTCAATAATGCTGTAGGCGTGAATGTAGCGGGAGCATTTCGCCAGTGTGCGAGGTCTGATGTATGCCATGCGACCTTGATCGTCGGCGCAAAGAGGTTGAGAACGGAACTTGAGAAGGTCATGGTACGGTTTTCTGGTAGAGCTGCAGTGTGACTAACATATTGTACCGGAAACCAACGAAAAACCCCTGGTGTTTGGTCAACATCTCAAGATATGCAGAATTGGTGAAGTGGAGGTATCCTTACATTGGGCAACATATTGCACTGGTCCGATTGACACCGGAATCATCGGTCTTCGTGCTCACAGGTGCATAGTCGCCCGGGCAAGTGGCGGATGAATATACATAAATGCGTTTCAGACCACGTAAGATTTACTATTTTGATACCGGCCTGGAACGATGCATCTTGGAGATCAACGTAGGGTTCGCCAAAGGCTGTGTAAATGTGCCTGTGTAAGAGCAGGCTGCGGGATAATTCGGTGGGCAACAGGTTGGATCGCGTCCCCGATGGACATTGAGGGAGACGCATGTCTTCGTCTTGGTTCCTGTTGTTGTCGTATCGCTGAGCGGCTCACAGATTACTCAACTTGGGACCACCATAGCAACTGGGAAGGGAAAGACTGAAAGAAAGAGAGAAAAGGCGAACAGATTGAGGCTGTAAGGATACAGGTACATTGGCCCCGCATGGTATGCCCTGACACAAAGGTAGTACACGACCAAACTTCCAACCGATGTACAAGATAAGCGATCGCTCCAGAAAGTCTCACCGATGTTCGGGATGACAGTGCTGAGAGCGTGCCCACTAGACAGAAGTCAGTCATTGTCAGTAGAAGGGTAACAGACGGCCTGCCTTGGACAACACGTTGCGGTAGTCGTTGCAGGCGCAGATCCATCGATCGAGGTAGTCGCCGACGCATAACCGACAGGACATGTGCCGGGCGAGTAGATGTAGTTCTACTGCTGCGGGACTGTGCCCTGGTATTCACATGCTTTCGGGTACTTCGAAAGGAATTAGGCTGGGTCGCGTCCGCGGGTGACTTTCATCCACTCATAGACGTGGTAATATTGCCGCTGACGGTGAAAGTGTTAATCCAATTGAAGACCGGGTCATATCCGACCGGCAGCGAGGTGTGTGTAGGTTCTCCGCCACTACACCGCTTTGGCACATACGAGGATGTCACAGGCCCAGGCCTGCTTGTTATTGGCCTGTTATCGTTAGTGTTCAGGCACACGGAATGCGGCGTTAGTCGCGTGTTTACAATGTATGCAGGTCAGCCTTGTGAGACGCGACGAATAGGAGGTCAGCATACATGCGCCTTCGCTGAGCGGTTTCGACGTTGAGATACGGAAGACTTGCCATGAACTCTCAACTGTACAATATTCGAGGTCGGACCTGAGAGGCAGGCCTTGTTGGGTTTCGACGTTGAAGTACTCACAACATGCCGCGATCGCGCTGTTCCTCCCTCTCTTGCCATACCGTCTTACCTGAGCAGGAGCACACTGTCTTGTCATCTTCAAGTCTGTTAGAATGTAAAACAACGATATGCAATGGCTCGCTCAGAATATTTGAGAGGCACTTACTGTCCCATACGCCAGCACTTCGCGCGATGACACCTACTAATGTGTCTGGGTCGTTCTTGTCAAACTACAGGTCATCAGCCACGAAGTCGGAAAGAGCAAAACAAGTCCAATTTACCTTTCCATCCTGCTGCTTCGCAACGATGATACTTCTCCCAATCATCTCCCAGATCTGGATAGGCCTATCGAGGAAAACAGAGCCAACACCACCCTTCTCTACCTCAACGGTACCGAAGACACCTCGGCATGGCTTGCCCTCCTTCTTGGCCTTCAATGCTTCCCAGATGCCACCTGTTGACTCCGGACCTTGCGAGATGTCGCCGGCCTCGCGAACGGTGGCGTGATAGGTTCCTGGTGATAGTCCTCGAATGCTCAGATCAACAACGGTCATGCTTGGTGCTACCTCGACCATGCGGACAAGTCCGCGAACTTTGTTCTCAACATGAGGGGCGTGCGACTCTAGAATGCAAACAGCAGCACCTGAATATCGTTAACATGCAATACATCTTGAATGCAATAACTTGGTGGGCTTACTGTTCGACTTTCCAGAACCCCGAAGAATAGCATCTCGCCCACTTGCTTGCAGAGCATCGACAATTGCTGACGGCGCTGCTGTACCTTCAATCGAGACGAGTTGTTCCTCAAGATTGGCGGTGATCTTGTTGATACCTATGTCCTGTTAGGCGGATGACGTGCATAGGGCTCGACCGAGCGCTCGTACCACTCAAGTTGCTAAGGGACCCTTCGATGTCTTTGATGCAGGCCTCGCAGGTCATAGGCACTGCAAATGTGGTTTCGAACGCCGGCACAGTCATTGTGAATTCCGTGAAACAGTTATTGATTTGGTGTAAAGGGTATGCTTCAAGTTGCGTGATCGATGTGTTTCTCGTCTCCACGTTCGCTTTGAAATCCATCGGAAATCCGTCTTCGGCCCGCAGCTGGGCCCGACCGAACAGCGAGATCTGATAACCTCAGAAGTCTTGGCATTTACAATTTCCAGCCAAGCATCGCAATCGAACCTCAGAATACTCCAGCGAACGGCATCGCCCGCGACCACTCGTTCCGCCGCCAATCAATCGATCGAGGGATCGGTCTTCTCCTAGGAATAGGCCTCAGGAAAGAACAGCCAGGCCATAGATTTTCACAGCCATGTCTCAAGTAGTAGGCAAGGTACGTTTTCTCCTAGCGGACCTCCGCATCTGCACCTAGCATGCACACGGCCCCTGTGCATGTCTCGTACACACCAATGACACTCATACTGATTCCATGTATAGACGCGCCTTGCGTACGCCCGCTCATGGCACCTCATTGACATCGGCTCCCACCCACGAGCCCTTGGGCGCGTCGCCTCCTCCATCGCGCTGGCCCTGATGGGCAAGCACAAGCCAATCTTCGACCCGTCAACTGACTGCGGCGACTACGTGGTGGCCATTGACTGCGCCAACCTGCACACAACCGGCAAAAAGCGCTTCCAGAAACTCTACCGCACACACACATCACGCCCCGGCTCGCTCAAGGAGATCAACATGGACCGCATGATGGCGAAGTGGGGCGGCGGCGAGGTCCTGAGAAAGGCGGTCAGTGGAATGTTGCCGAAGAATAGGCTGAGGAAGGAGAGACTGGCGAGGTTGAAGACGTTTGAGGGCACGGCGCATCCGTACGGGGAGAATATTTTGAGGGTTGGGAATGGTGGGGGACAGAGTATTGCGGAGCTTCCGGAGGTCAAGAGGGCGTTCGAGGGGCTGAAGGAGGCTGGGCAGGCGCCAGCGTCATAGCGAGGTTGAAGTGGAAGGGGATTGTAAGATTGTGGGGCTGACGGAGTTGGTCTGTAAGATCTGTGTATACCAGGAGCAGCATCACATGGATACGGCGTTCAGTGCTGTGTTGGAATCTATTGTAGCATATACCAAGATATATTCTCCAACATCAATGTGTGGGCGAGACGCTTACAACGACAACCTCTAGAGCGAATGTGCCTGGCGAATATCCTAGGATCATACATATATGGGAAAGATGCGGCCAGTTATCATTCCAGAAGCAGAGGATATGCTTGTGTCACATGCTGTTCGGCGCAAGACTGGGCCCTGTGGCCTCATAGGCTTCGGCCATTGTTGACCTCGATGATGTACAATCAGACGATTGGCATGGGAAATCTTCCTATTTATTTTCTTGATCAAACATCTAGTAGTCGTAGAAGCCCTTTCCGCTCTTCTTACCCAGCCACCCTGCATCCACCATCTTCTTCATCAAAACCGCAGGCCTGTACTTTGAGTCGCCAGTGTCATTGTACAGCACCTGCATGATTGCCAGGCATGTATCAATACCAATGAAGTCAGCAAGCTGCAACGGGCCCATTGGTACATTTGTGCCATTCTTCATGATACTGTCAATGTCCTCCTTTTTCCCTACGCCCGTCTCCAAGCAGATGATAGCCTCGTTGATGTACGGCATCAAGATGCGGTTTGCAAGGAAGCCGGGGGAGTCGGCTGATTGCGAGGCAATCTTGCCCATCTTCTCGCAAAAGGCGATCGCGGTGTCAATGGTGTCTTGTGAGGTCTGTAGGCCCGTGATGATCTCGACGCCTTTCTGGACGGGTACAGGGTTCATGAAGTGGGTGCTGATGACACGCGACGAAGCAGACAAGTCGGTGGGGTCCTTGCTTGTGCTCGCAGCGATCTTGGTGATAGAGATAGACGACGTGTTGGTCGCAAGAATGGCGTGGGAAGGACAGATCTGGGCCAGCTGTGAGAAGATCTTGGTCTTGAGGTCTGGTATTTCCTGTCAACTGTCAGTGCGTATTCCAGCATTTGAACGGATATTAACCCACCGGAACAGCCTCAATCACAAAATCAACGTCTGAGAGATCCTCAAGCTGTGTGCTAGTGGTCAGTCTCTCGCGAGCAGCATCTGCGTCTTCCTGAGACAGCCTTCCCTTCCCAACATCCTTCGCCAGGAGTTTCTCAGCGAACTTCAGGCCCTTGTCAATCGAAGCTTGCGAGCTGTCAATTAAGCTGACAGGTACTTTAGCCCTTTGTGCTGCTACAAGAGCTATTCCAAGACCCTGTTTCCATCAATTGAGGTTACTTGAAGCAATTCGATGCACTCACCATCTGACCAGCTCCAATGACGCCGAGCCTCTTGACCTCAGCGGCCGCACCGACTGACGGTGTGGAGCTCAAGGCACGGCATTGCTGCCTCGCTGCCGATCGAGCTACTTGTCTTGAAGCTGCAGAAAACATCTTGTATTCTTCAAAGTTTGTTTTGAGTGCAAAAAGTGAAAGTCAAACGGCATGTGAACCGCGCCTTCCGTTTCCTGCTCGGCTTAAGCTTACCGAGGCATATGACCTCAGCGGAGTTTCTGGGGTCGCTCCGCTCAGCCCTAGTTACCTTGGCGAATCTGCACGCTTCGGCTGGCCACTTTACGCGTCGCGCCAGACGCGTCGAAAGATCGCGGGACGAGTGGGCTGCTCGACGACAACCACCACAATGGCCCAAACCACGCTGGACGACTGGACGAGGGATCCAGTAGACCCTGAGATTCGTGCTCACGTCTACAGTCTTATTACCGCTGTAAGTCTTCCTAGTATTGCAATGTGATGTTCCACGTTGGCTAACGCGTGCGCAGCTTGGTGGTATTGGTGATAATGGCACCTACGCACTTGGAGACGACGCACTCGTATGTCTGAAAGATCTGCGGAAATGGCTGAAGTTTGCCGACGGGCAATTGAACCGTCGCGATGTGGCACGATGCATGGCCGAGGCGAATCTGGTGAGGGGGGACCTACTGGAGATACTGGCCAAAGTATCGCCTAGAGTACTTGAACAACCGTTGAAGCACAAGTTGGCGGTCGCTACACGTACGCACGAACATGAGAACACTTGGTGGCCATACTGACGCTGGCAGTGGAGCTACTTGTTCCCTTAACCTGGCCATTCGAGATCGATCCAGTCGAAGCGACTGTGAACCACCACCGCCATGGACCCTATGTCCAGCTCGCACAGATCGGATACAAGCGCGCTATCCTACAGTTCGACCGAGACCGAACTCTCCAGACCGCCGTGAAGGTCGCCCTGCCCTCTATGGCAATACCTTTGCGTGAGAGGTCACCACGAGATGAGGGCATAATTCGCATCGCCTTGTACTTTATACGCAACATTGCTATGCTCTCGCCGCCGAGCAGCGTACCTATGGATATCGACGAAGCGGAGGTGTCACGGTCTACGACAATTGATACCTTTCAGGAGCAGGACATCTTCCAGGTGCTTCTCAGTATGTCATCTAGCATCGGAGAAGATTTCGTTGCGCAGGATGTTGTACTGTTGGAGATTTTGTTCTTCTTGCTCAAGGGCATCGATGCAGAGAGGCTGTTTTTGGAAGACAAGAAGTTGGGCAGCAGGAATGCCAATGAGCTCAAAGACTTGATGCAAAAAGAGAAAGCAATGCTCGCTGGATACGCACGTACCGCACCAACACGTCATAATCGCTTCGGCACCATGATATGGCTGAAGCAAGAGGATGAGAAGGTCACGACCGTTTCAGGACAAGATGTGCTTGGAAAAGCTCAGGCTACCCTGGACAAAATGGACCAAACGAAGAAATGGAACAAACCAAGACGACCAGGACGCAAGACGGATTTGGAGCAAGAAAAGGAAGAGTTCGACTTGCCGGTTGCATTGAGTACGTCTGCACGAACTCATATCAAAGCGTTCGTTGAAGAGTTCCTCGACTCATCCTTCAATCCGTTATTCCAGCACCTCAGGAAGGCTATCGAGCGCGAAACCGAACGTGTAGAGACGCGACACTCGCGACAATTCTTCTACCTTGTATCGTGGTTCCTCCGAGCAGAGTGTGCAAGACGTCGAACTATCAAGGAGAAAGCCGCCGATCCCAAGAGTCCAGCGGTTCTTACTGCAGAGGACGAAAGCTACGGCTTGATTGCAGAAGTCACGAATCAGGAGACCTTCATTCTGCTGAACCGTTTCATGCAGAAGAGTCAGGACGAGAAGGCATGGCAAGATCTCAATGCAGGTATGAAATGCTTTACTCAAATTCTGCTCACTGTACACGAAATGTCTGAATCTGGACTGGAGGACGACCAAGAGATTGCCGAAAACATCCAGAATCGCATCTTTTACGAGGAGTCTACTCACGATCGCGTTGTCGTGATCCTACGATCATACAGAGATCAAGGATTTGGCTACCTCGATGCCGTTACGGAGCTCTCACATGTCTTCTTGCGTATGCTGGAGCGTTACGCGAAGCAGAACGTAGACATGCAGATCAAATCGAAACGACGAGCCCGCAAAATCAAAAAGAAGCAAGCGCAGGCGGATGGTGCGGAGGGCGAGGACGAAGGTCATATCTCGGAGAACGAAGACCTTCAGCAAGCACAGAAGACGGTCACTGAACGCAAGTTTGACTTCAACCGCTTCGCTGCGAAGTTTGTGAATCAAAGCAGCGTCAACACATTCGTTGCTTTCACTCGGTACTTCGCCGACCTTGACACTGAGCAATTGAAGCGTGCGCATCGCTTCTTCCACCGTGTTGCCTACAAAATGGAGCTTGGCGTCTTGCTATGTCGAGTCGACATTATTCAGCTCTTCAACAAGATGATGAAGGGACCGCGCGGCCTAGACCAAGAGTCTCCAGCTTACAGAGAGTGGGATGACTTCGTCAGGCATTTCTTCAGACAGGTAGTCAAGAGAGTGCAGGAGAGGCCAGAGCTAATAGTCGAGATGCTGTTCAGCAAGATCCCCCAGACGCTGTACTTCCTCGAGCATGGTCATGACCGAGAAGTCCTTACACGTGCACCGCGCCCACCAGCTGAACTAGAGGTCAAGCCTGGGATGGAGAGGCCTGAGCAGATTGGTGTTGCGGTTGGTGTACTGGTCAACCAGCAGAAGTCAGACGCTTTACATTGGGTCCGAGATGTTCTCACGTCGTCCGCTGAAGAGCGGAAAGCATGGGAAGATGCAGAACAAGCCCGCAAAGAACTGGCAGCAGCCGAAGCGCCTGAAGGCGAGGCAGCTCCAGAAAGCGCGGAGACTGAGGCACCAACACCACCTTCCATTCGTAAGTACTTATTCTCACTCACCTGCGGAAGCTACTAACGTTTCTAGTTGTCAAACATGACACCGCAGACCGCAAAATCGCTATGTTCAAAGATAATAAGCTCCGTCTACTTATGACTCTGGTGGGCTTCATGAGACTAGGCGCAAACGATGACCCTGATGCTTCGTGGGTCATTCCATCGTCACTCACGTCAACGGAGCTTCAAGAGGCCATCGATCTCATTCGCAAGTTCGAGTTCGACCCGCCCATCTATGAAGATGGCAAAGCACCGGAAGATCTTCTCCGTAGCAAGGCCGCTGCAGCTCGTCGATCGACACGTCGTGCTGACTTCGATGACGACTCGGATGGCATCGACCATGACTCAGAAGAAGATAGAGGGGAGTACGCGCTGGATGATCCTACAGCGAGGAAGCCTGATGGCGAAAGGAGGAAGCTCAAGCGGCGCAGACGAGTTCACACACCAGTCGAGTTGGATGATGGGGAGCGTGAGGCCAAAGCTGAAGCCCGGCGGAAGAAGGAGATTGAGAAGCAGGCAAAGACAAAGAGTACGATGTTCGTCCACGACTCGGATGATGAGGAGTGGGATGCAGACAAGGATGCAGCGTTCTTCGCACGTGAGCAAGCACTAAGAGAGGACACTTTGAAACAGTTCAAGAAGTCACTTGTGCTTGGCACTGTTGAGCCTGCGGTGTCCAAGAAGGAACTGTCAAGGAAAAGGAAGGCTGAGGACACAACCAAAAAGAGCAAAAGAAGGAAGTCTCCACCGAAACGTAAAGCAGGGCCTTTCGATGACAGCGACGACGACGACGAGAATGCGGGCGATGCTGCTAGTGTCAGCAGTCGTGCGCTATCAGAGGAAATTGAAGCTGTTCTGAGCGATGTCGAGAGTGAGGACGAAGCTACAGACACACCACTTTCTTCACAACATGCTGGAAGCAAAGACGACGTGCCCCATACATCGGCAGCAGCGACCCCGTCTAAGACTCAAGATGTTACTATGGCGGACGACGATGATGATGATGACGATACACCCGTTGTTCGCAGGCCTGCGGCACGGCACATGAGGGCTGGCTTCGTTATCGACAGCGACTCGGAATGAGATGAAGAACATGTACACTTTGCATAAGGAGGGTTGAGCATAGCATGGCGTTCGGGTTTGTAGCTTTCACTTTTGTATACCCTCCGGCTCTTAGTAGCCGCTCTAGGTCTGTGTCCGTATATCACTGTTGATGCGACAACTATCAAGAGCTTGTTAATGCATTCAATATCTTCTTTGCGGTAACTGTCTTCGTGTAGGTTTATGATCTTGAGCAAGTTCAGACAGTTCAAGGTGAATGCATCCATTTGGTGACGTCGCGCCTTCTTTTCGGATGGCTACCTCGTCCTTTCCTTCTTCAACTCTTCACTCCCCACAACACTCGGCCAACACCTGCATAATGTAAGTACCCCATCTTCGCACACGCCTCGCACCACGTTACCGCCATGCTAAGCTTTCCAGACCGACAACGAAAATTTGAGCAGTTGCGTGCTCACTGGGAGGCTGCTGAGACCGGCGAGGGCATAAAGATGGTGGGAAGAAGGGAGAAGCAAGCCCCTCACCATGTCGTCCATGAGGACCTCCAAAACAATGCGGGGAGCAAGTTCCGCAGAAAACTCAGCCATGGCCTTGCACTCATCTCACTCACGCAACGGAAGAGTGTGCCTGGTCGCCAGCTTTCGAGCAACGCGTCACTGGCTGTGAGCGCACCTAGTACTAACGACAGCTCCACTGCGATCCTGGAGCACGACGCTTTGCTTTCACCTCAGGCCGACACCGCGTCAGTGAGTACCTCTGGTGATCCACCTACTCCATTGCAGGACGGCGCACGAGCAAGTGAAGATCTCCAGACACCCAGACAGTTGCCTCGATCGCGCACCTTTAGCTACATACCACGCCCTGTTAAACTCGACGCCGACGCACAACCTGTAGTCGAACTCGACGAATCCAACGATGCATCATTAGACACGGTCATGACAGATTCGAAGCCTCTTCCGCCGTCCAGGATACCCACCCCAAGCCCACCACAGTCGAAGCGTCGAGGCTCTAGTCCACGTCAATACCTGCCTTCCAATTCATCACTGCAAGCAAGTATCGCAACAAATCGTCAGTCGTTCATGGGCATTGGAAATGGCTCTCCGGCCAAGGCTACGGTACGCTCACGTACGACTCCGAACCTGGTGAAAGCGACCAACACGTCCCAGCCAGCGAGCTACATGGCACCGAGAAGACCAGGACTTAAGAGGCCTTTCGCTTCTTCTACACTCCAAAAGCCTGTACTGGCAGAGAACGTACCAATGAACAAACGCGTAGCCCAACGGCGGTCTCAGATTCAGGATAAAGCGGTCAAGCGAGAGAGTTTGGCAGTACCTTCTGCAGCATTCAACAGAAGGTCGTTTGGACCAGGCGCTCCGCTTGCCCAGAACAAACGTGCAAGCTTTGCAACGCCTTCTGCCAGCGCCAAACGCCTGAGTTCGCACCTCATGCGAACACCGGTTACCGCCAGGGGTGTCTCACCAAAAGTGCAAGAGGGATTTCATGAACCAGATGCCCCTCGCTCTTCGGAAGAGGCACCTGTGATCCAGTCCCAATCCAAGGACTCAGAAAGCTCTCCAACGCCGACTCTTTCAACTGTTGATCTCATAGATCCGCCTCTTGCACCACCGCCACGACTGGATGTCGATAATGATACACAAAGAAGGACACTCGGGACGCCAAACGGACTGGGTGGCGTTTGGAGGTCTTCCAAGGTCTTTGCAGCTGCAAACTATCAGGTGAGAAGATTCCCACGTTCCTCCACCTTCCACCATTTTGGAAGACGTTCGGAAGCCCCTCCTCCAGTACCTCCCATCCCACATCAGTATAAGCCGCCATCATCATCCAACCTCATCCACTCTGTCTCGCAGCAATACACATCGACATCATTATCAAATCTGCACCACCATCTTCCAATGGCTTCAGGCAAGTTCGGATCCTGCAGCAGGTCCCTGCTCTCTGACATAGCTTCGGCTCAGAGGTCTACGGAGGCCGCCTCGGTGAAGTCTATGTCAACCTTCGCATCGGTAACTGCATCTGAAGTTGCAGAGAATGCAGATGAGAAGAATTGTACCGGTACAGCAGGAGCAACCTCAGTACCCAAGGCTCGTGATGATGCTCCTCGACCGAAAGCAGTATCGACGTCTTCCAGCAACCTAACAGCCCTGCCTCCGGTTCTGGAAAAGCTCAATCCCAAGCGTACCAGAAGATCAATATCAGTAACACGTTCAGTGAAGCCTACTGGAGATCTGCACAGCCAACGACACTGGTCTCTCACTGAGCGTTTCTACCCAGACAGTGCTGACAATCTCACTCGTGTACAGGTCAAAGACTACATGCCACCGTTATACTGGGCCGGACGGTTCCAGTCTCGATTCGATCAGTGGCGCACAGAAGCCATGGTAGCGGTGCTGAACACCGAAGTCAAGCCTGAAGACGAAGGACCATTGGGGCAGTGCGGCCTGGACGACGAGAGGAAAGCCACCATCTTGATCTTCATGCAACTTAGGGATCTCTGCGCTTCTACACAAGCCGCAGACAGCCTTCACGTACGCTCAACCCTTGGTCACTATGCTTGTTAGGTAACGGCGCTGACGGTTTCCCAGGAGTTCGAGTACAGATACCGAAAAGATCACAAGATGCTCGACACCAAACACGATCTCCCACCATCACTACGTAAGCCCGAGGAATCGACTCCCAAAGGACCCATTGGCCGCGCTGTACGCAAACTGACGCCTCGAAAGGCTAGCTTTGCCAACTTGTTCAAAGGCAAAGGCTGGAACAGGAACGATGACACAAAGCCAGTGGATGTGCCTGGACACGTCCGCGAGCTCCAGGAGATAACGGATCTATCTAGTGGCCTCGAGGCTACAGACTCGGACAGCTTTGAGTCTGGCTCTCGGCAGCACGCTCGCTGAGACCGCCGATGATCTGGATAATGATGCGGGACATGGTCGGTACACAGACATGATGAGCATGTTGCCCCATTAGGGCCAATGTGTGCTCAGATGAGAAGGCGCGGAGTTGGGTGAGGGCTTGCTATGCTGCCGTAACAGTATTCTCGGAAGTACATGGAGGTAAATGTGGTGTCCACATCTGTATCAACGATATTCAGGAATCAAGAAGTAGTCTCTTTGAAACGCATCATTCAGGAATCAAGAAGTAGTCTCTTTGAAACGCATCACCAGAATCTTCCTCCTCCAAACGTATTTAGCCAGGGACACATACCAGAAAGTGATGATGGTACGGTGGGTGCGAGATCACGAACAACCGAGGTTTTTGAATCGATGTCATTAGATTTGTGGTGTCGTGACGAACTCTATCTTGTAGTACAAGTGTCGCCCAACAGCGTGCACATGCTTCCAACCCACACAGCCCAATCCACGCACTTAAGCGTAGAAGTTGACAGTGTCCTTCTTCTTCGCCTGCACCTCAGCAATAGCATCGACGTAGTGCTCGTGGCTGATCTTCTGCTGACCTGATCGCAGAGCAATCATACCAGCCTCGACACAGACGGCCTTGAGCTGCGCACCACCGAACTCATCGGTACTGCGCGCCAACTCCTGCCAGTTGACCCCCTCATCGACAGTCATCTTTCGCGAGTGGATGCGCAGAATCTGGGCGCGGGCCTCCTCATTCGGCAGCGGGAACTCGATCTTCCTATCCAGACGACCGGAACGAAGGAGCGCGGGGTCCAGAACGTCGACACGGTTGGTAGCAGCGAGGACCTTGACACGGTCGTCAGATGCGAAACCGTCAAGCTGGTTGAGAAGCTCCAACATGGTTCGCTGAACTTCTCGGTCACCGGACTTCTCCGAGTCGAAACGTTTTGTGCCGACGGCGTCGAGTTCGTCGATGAAGATGATTGAGGGTGCCTTCTCCTTTGCCAGGGCAAAGCAGTCGCGCACCAGCTTTGCTCCGTCTCCTATGAACATCTGCACTAGTTGCGGGCCTGCGAGCTTGAGAAAGGTGGCGTCGGTCTGCGCGGCGCAGGCTCGTGCGAGGAGGGTCTTGCCGGTACCGGGAGGGCCGTACATCAGTGCGCCTGTATCGGTCAGTATAGGGTCGTGCAGGATATTGATGGCGTAGACATACCCTTTGGCGCCTTGATGCCGATCTTCTTGAATCGCTCGGCCTCCTTCATGGGCCAGACGACAGCCTCGACTAGCTCCTCAATCTGCTTGTCCAGGCCACCAACGTCTGTGTACTTCTCCGTCGGTTTCTCATCAACCTCCATGGCCTTTACTCGGCTGTCGTACTCAGCGGGGAGTGTGTCGAGAACAAGGTACGAATCCTTATTCACACCGATCAGGTCACCAGGCTTGAGCTTCTCGTGGTCCACCAGACCGATGAGGGGCAGGAAGATAGTTTGTCTCGTAGACGTCTTGATAACCGCCGACTTGCCCACACGGGTGGCGTCCAAGTCGATGTTCGCACCCTCTTCCTTGGCTTCTGCTTCGACGTCCAGGTCTAATATCTCGACGACGTTGCCGACAAGGTACGGCAGTTGCCTGAAGATTGTTAGCATGGCCTCCGCCATCTTCACCCTGGCACGCCCGCAACTCTGGACAATGAAGCATACCTGTTGTTCTCGATCTTGTCTAGGTTGTCCTTGATCTTCTCGTTCATCGACGCCTTCTCGTGTGTAAGCCTCTGGAACTCGCTCTTCATGATGCGCATGTCGTTCTCCAGTAATCGTCTCCGCGCGATGATGTCTCGTGTGCTTGAGTTTAGGATCTCCTCGTCAAGTGGCTCCTCCTCTGGCTCAGCGTCTTCCATTTCTGCGTCGCCATCGGCCTTCTTTCCATCTTTGCCAGCATCACCGTCCTTTTTCTTGTCCTCATCCTTCTTCTCTTCCTTCTCGTGGCGCTCAAGATCGTCGAGATCCTCAAGTGTGGACATGGTGGCGGCGTGGGGTGGGGCTGTGGTTGGGTACAATAGCCTACGAAGGTGACTCTAATGAGAGCTGCGTTGTGGAGGCAATCCGAGAGGGCGTCGCTGGCGGAAAGGTCGGGTTGGTGGGGTGTTGATGTAAAGCTGTTTGGGAGGCAGCTATGAGTGACGAACGTGAAGGCTCCCGCGATTACTCCGGTCTTGGCGCGTTTGGGTCGAAGCTTCCCGATCAAGGCGAACACTCTCACAATATCATATTCAACAACAGCCTCAATCTCAACCATTAACGGCGTGTTACATAAATTCTTTGCGATCAGTCGTCTCAAATGACCATTACTTTAATTTCTACAGACGAAAGTTGCTGCGCGTGTTCACAAGCTGGACGAAACGGTTGCGGAAGCTCAAATACGAACAGATGTTGTAGCTAAGTCTATCAGTACGCTAGCCAATATGCCAATGGAGAATACCTTGAGCGGTGTTGCGCCGGTCGTCCTTTGGGATTGACTTGGGAGGGGCAGCCCCTGCTTCATTGGACTAACGCTAGAGCGGGACAAAGCTCAGCTCAGAACAAGCACTTGTGAGGCATCTCAAAGCTTAACGTTCAGGAGCTGGTGTGATATATTTTGACACTTCATGCACTGCCACTACTACCGTTTTTTACTGGTATATAAATATTTCAATCTCCAGAATTACTCATCAAATCACAAGGCACCATGGCCTAATGGTAAGGCGTTGCTTTCCGGTGGCAAAGATTGAGGGTTCGAGTCCCTCTGGTGTCGTTACCTTTTGCTTTTTGCTGCCCTCTCACACCTTTGGTGTTACGAAACTTGCAAAGGGTGTTGTCCTGAAGGTCAACCTCGGAAGGTCTTCGTGTTCCATGTCTTATCATCCGAGTGCCCGCATTCGAACACCCCAACTGCACACTCCTCCGCTACTGTCCAACCGTACGTTTTGAGTTTAAGATCCTCACACAGTACAGCCTCGGTTTCACTTCCTTTTGCTGTTACTGATTGCTTTTCTCGCTCGTGACGCGTGATGTCTGCAATGCATACTCTCCGATGCTCGCAGAGCGCTCGGATAGTCACGAGACATGCTCAGGTAACTTCATTACCAATGCACACCGAATCACACATTGACACCATTTGGTAGCTTCCCTTACTCAGTCATGCTCGTTTTCAGTCTACAGCAGCCGCGTCAACTACATCGACCGAGGCCACCCCAGCTTCAGACCTTGACTCTATAATTGAGGTGAAGAAGGAGATTAAGATTCGCACCCCACAGTTCAACAAGCTTGTGGGGACAGAAAATACACCGAACCCTAACTCGGTTCTTCTGGATTTGAAGAAACTGGATGGTGAGCTCGATCGATTGCATGAGAGTTGGCGGAAATTGCTCCCGACAACCAAGGGCCCGATACGCGTTCGCACAGAAGTCCACAATCTGCTCCCAGAAAATGCCGTCGTTCTGGTTGAAAATAATAAGATTGTTGTTGGGGGAAAGGCAATCCCGAATATCTGGCTCAGAGACAATTGTCAATGTAGCAGCTGCATGCACGAGTCGACGAAGCAGAGACTCCAAGATACTTTTGCAATTCCCAAGGATCTGTCTCTCAACTCCGCTTCGATCACCAAGAAAGAGAAGGTGCACGAAAGGGTTGTCGATATCGAGTGGAGTGACGGCCACAAGAGCAAGTACAGTCAACCGTTCCTAGCGAACGCGATCACAAGCTTCGAAAGAAGGTCCGTCGTGCGCCAGGGGTTGATGAATTCAAAACTCTGGGACTCGTCCATCGCATCACACCCGCCCACTGGAACTTTCCACGATGCAACAGACAACAGCATAGGCCCAATTCTCCAGAAGATAGTAAGCACACCCAAAGCACTTTAGCAGCAATCACGAGTTAACACCTGTCCAGCGCAAATACGGCTTCTGCTACGTCGACAAAACCCCCTTCGACACTCCCCAAGCAACCGAAGGCCTTCTGCATCGCATTGCTTTCATCCGCGAAACGCACTACGGCGGCTTCTACGACTTCACCGCAGACCTCGCCTCCCAGGACACAGCATACACCAACATCGCCCTCGAAGCGCACACCGACAACACCTACTTCTCCGACCCCGCGGGCCTGCAAGCATTCCACCTGCTCTCACACACCGAGGGCACAGGCGGCGCCTCCCTGCTCGTGGACGGCTTCAAAGTCGCCGACGAGCTCTTCCAGCAGGACAAAGAAGCATACCGAATCCTGAGCACGGTGAATGTGCATGCCCACGCCTCAGGCAACGAGGGTATTAGTATCCAGCCGTACCGCGGCTTCCCCGTGCTAGAACACGACCCCACGACCGGCGACCTGCTGCGCGTGCGCTGGAACTCGTCGGACCGCGCTTCGATCGAGCTGCCCATTGAGCTCGTCGAGACGTGGTACGATGCTGCGCGCAAGTTCGATGCGCTGCTCAAGAAGAAGGAGAACGAGTACTGGGAGCAACTGGTTCCTGGCAGGGTCCTGATTTTTGATAACTGGAGAGTGTTGCATGGAAGGAGCAGCTTTACGGGGAAGAGGAGGATTTGTGGGGGGTATATCAATAGGGACGACTGGATGAGTCGGGTTAAGATGGAGCGGTTTGGGCAGGAGAGGGTTTTGGGAAGTTTGGCGAGTTCGTAAGGAGTGGGGTTGAGAGCACGGTGGTGGGGGAGGGGTTATTGAGACGCAAGCAAAGAAGTGAACCAAAGAAATCATGCTGATACATCCTGTGTTGGCTCTTTGCGACGTATGTACAGCTGCTGTGACCCAAAGAAAGCGCCTGGTATTTTTTCTCTTTTCTTGTAATCTAGCGCCTGGCGGGGACGTTCTTCTCCTGCTCCAACTCCAACTCGGCCTGGCGGTAGTACTTGGCAGTGTCGACACCGTGGTAGGGGTGATTGACCAGGTTGGGCCACGGCAGAACGTGGGCAAATGTGGCTGCGTAGCGCGAGTTCCTGTGCGCGACTCCCTGCATGTACTCGGTCATCTCGGTGGTGCCGTACAGCGACTCTCCCTTCTTGACCTTGTCGACCATCTCGCGCATGTCCATTTCGACCTCACGGCGGTTCTCGCGGGCGCCGTAGAAGCGAGCTGTCTCTCTGTTAGTATCGTGTCCCAGCCAATCACACACTTGCCGATTGTAGAAGTCATGCACGTACATGTTGACCTCGAGTATGCGAAGATGACGGCTCCAGCGACACCAACAGCGCCGCTCAAGCGCATGACAGGCGCGAATCCGCCCTTGCCAACGAACGAGGGCGAGACTCGCTCCCAGTACAGCATCAGACCGGGGCTGATAGCACCGACTGCCGCGCCGTAGAGCCAGTCAGAAGGGCGAGAGTAGCGCAGTACGCGCGAGAGATGTCTTCGCTTCTTGTCAGTACGTGCGCGCAGCCGACCGAGGGCGGGTAGAGGGGGTGAGACGCATACGGGTCATTGTCGATGAGCTGCAGCGTGTTAGCCATGTGCAGCCATTGCGCACGATGCAGGGCCGCAATTGCTTACTGGGTACTCGCCGGTGGGGACCTTGTCCGGCACAACGGCCTGGTGCCTGACAGCGGCGTCCTGCGAAGACATTGTGGGTTGCTGGCTGCTGGCTGGCTGCGTGCGGTGCGGAGGTGTGAGTTGAGGTTGCCCCCGGTAAAGCTTCGGAGATGTGCGCCTCAAGCCTTGCGGAACCATGACGGCGCGCGTGAACTGGGAACTTTTGTGCCAAGCCAGCCCTACCATCTGCAACGCGCGACAAGTCGCGAACAGCAATGCTTGCGCGCCCTGCGATTGGTGCACTTCGACTTCCACGATAATCGCCGCCTTCGCACATACAAGAGATGGAAGGCATACAGGGCACCTCGTCCGGCGCGGCGAGCGACTCGGCCATGGTACACGCCCGTCCCACCGTCGCGGACCTGCATGGAGAGAACCACTTTGCGCAGGTAGCCAGGAAGAACTGGCTCGCCGCGACGAAGACGCCAAAGGTGCGCCCGGACGTCATCAAGAAAGAGCTGTGGGACGAACTGGAAAACGTCGACTTTGCGTACTCGTCGCTGCTTGTGCTGGAAAACCTGCAGCTGCTGGAGAGATACCTGTGGCCAGGGTTCAGCGAGGATGCTTCCAACAACCACCATCTGCTGCTGGCGCTGGTGGTCAATGTCAAGAGGAGGGAGAACCTGCCGTCATGGGGTAGGATATACAGCTTTGTCGCCATGGTATCAGTGCTAACAAACCCCCCAGACCACTTCACAAGCAAACCCGCCGAATTCTCCTCCTTCTTCCGCCGCATACTCTCCATGACCGTCGATCCCTCGCAGCCCTTGAAGATTCGCACCCAACTAGTGTCCTTCGTCATCGGCGCATTTCAGTCGCTGGACAGTGGTCTCGTGCGCAAAGAGTGTGCGCCCCTCGTTGGCATATCGATATGGCACAACCTGCACTCAGACGCAGTGCGCGAGCAGCACTTCGAGGAACACCAGATGCTGCGCAAGGCATGGCGCGCGTCATCCAAGCGATTCGATGCCGCAGACGAGACACTGCAGGCCAGGCTGCGGTTTGAACGGTCCTGGCTATACACCCTGGTCCTCGACTTTCTAGATCGCCTATACAACAGCAACACAAAGCAAGAGATGGCCGACAATCTGGCATACTGCGAGCGCTTCGTGGAGCTCCTCACCGACCTGCAGAGTCAGCTGCCGACCAGGAGATACGTCAATACGCTTCTGAAGGATCTGAATTTGCTTCCCGCGATCAGACTATCGCCCATGTACGCAGATGAGGACAACGGCCTTTTCCGCGACCTCTACAGTCTGCTCAGCCATTTTACCTACTTTGCGATTGAGGACCAGACTGGCAAGCAGCTATCGAAGTTGGAGTACGATCAGCAACATTACAATACTCTGGCGAAATTGCAACGGATAGGCTACGCTACATTCCAGGAGAAGTTGCAGTTGATGGCTTTGGCAAACTTCGCGAGTATTGGAAACCGAGAAGAGCTGGACGGCCATTTGCGCACATTGAGTGACGACGAACTCAGAGAGCTTTGCTCCTTCATGGGACTCCGAACGGAATATCCAAGCACAACATTCCTGGTGCGAGACCGGACTTTCCACATGGAGACCCTCATCTCGCTGGTCGAGCAGAGGCCTACCTTCAAGGATAACGTGCGTGACGTGCCCGTCTTCCCTACAGAAAAGATCTTGTACGAAACCACATTCCTTCGAAACGAGTCATACAACGGTTCGAGGCCTCTCGCGATCCCAAAGTTGAACTTGCAATATCTGACCATGGGCGACTTCCTGTGGAGGTCGTACATCTTGTACCGTGCCGAATCGTTCTACGGTATCCGGAAAGATATGGAAGACGTGGTCAAACGCGTACAGCCGCGAGGAAAAGGCGTCAGCACAAAGTTTGGTGGCTTTTCCAGGATGTCGATACCCATCAACGCGCCGGGCATCGTCGATGTTGCGCCCTCCAAGGTCGGAGAAGAACACCCGGCCTACGTGCGTGCAGAGATCATCCTGGATGTCAGTCGTTTGCAAGTTCCAGTGCGTAGGGAATGGGAGTCCTTGAGGCCGGACGACGTAGTTTTCCTCCTCACTGTGGAAGGCAAGGAGGATGCGCCTATGCGCAACGGCCACAGTGATGCGAACACAGGCGAACAAGTTGGTCTTCAGAGGTTGAGGTGTGCCCAGGTTGTCCAAGTGCTGGACGACAATGGCAGACCCTTGCGCGATCAGACACAGAACGGCGACTTTGCGCCTCGAGCACGATCACGACGACTCGTTGTCAACATCGATGCGAAGCAGTACCAAATCGATATGCACCACGTTGCTGAAGGCCGACCTAACATCTATGAGAACGTAAACATGATTGCTCGTCGCAGAGGGCGAGAGAACAACTTCCTCCCCATCCTCGAATCCATCAAACGTCTGGCTTTGTCCGACTTCCCAGCGCCATCATGGTTGCAAGAGGTCTTCTTAGGCTACGGCGATCCTTCTTCTGCAACCTACACACGCCTACCCAATCGCTTACAGTCAATCGACTTCCGCGATACATTCTTGGACTGGCAACACCTGATCGAATCCTTACCCGGAAAGACAATAGAGCCTGCAGAAGATGCACAGGGAGCCTTCGGACCACCCTACGTCGTGCAGTACCCTGCAGCAGTTGAGCCAGCAGCTGCACCTGCCAAACCTTCGAAAAAGCGGCGTCGCGACCAGGTCGAGGTTGCGCAACCCGCGCATGAGTCTCTGCATGTCTCGACGTACAAACCACCGAACATGGGCCCGTACCCTGCAGATGCTATCAAGCAGAACGCAGTCAGGTTCACCCATGCACAGGTCGAGGCTATCACTTCTGGCACACAGCCTGGTCTGACGGTCGTGCTCGGCCCGCCGGGTACCGGAAAGACGGACGTTGCGACCCAGATTATTTCCAATATATACCACAACTTCCCGGACCAACGAACATTGCTTATTGCACACAGCAATCAGGCGCTGAACCAACTGTTCCAGAAGATCGTTGCACTTGATATTGATGAGCGACATCTATTGCGTCTTGGTCACGGAGAGGAGGACCTCGATACTGAGGCCAGCTATAGTAAGCATGGCAGAGTAGAGTCCTTCCTCGAGAGAGGCACATACTACCTGTCAGAAGTCGATCGACTTGCGAAGAATCTCGGTGCGCCAGGTGCTCATGGCAATTCATGCGAAACTGCAGATTACTTCAACCTGGTCTATGTCAAGCCAGCTTGGACGCAGTACTGGGACAGCATCACATCGAAAGAAGCCAGCGTTGAGCAGATAGTCGCTGAGTTCCCCCTCAAGGACTATTTCTCGAATGCGCCACAGCCCTTGTTCCCACCTGAGGCGGATCGCGAGCAGGTTCTTGACATTGTTCAAGGCTGCTACCGCCATGTCGAGAAGATCTTCACGGAACTCGAGGACATCCGTCCCTTCGAGATCCTACGAAACCCTCGCGATAAGGCGAACTACCTTCTCGTGAAGGAAGCCCGCATCATCGCCATGACATCCACCCACGCCGCCATGCGAAGACAAGAGATCGCCTCCCTAGGTTTCCACTACGACAACGTGATCATGGAAGAAGCCGCCCAAGTCACCGAAATCGAAAACTTTATCCCCCTCGCCCTACAAACCCCCCAGAACGGCGAGCTGCCCCTCCAGCGCATCGTCCTCTGTGGCGATCACCTCCAAAACTCGCCCATCATCCAAAACCTCGCGTTCAGACAATACGCAAACCTCGAACAATCCCTCTTCCAGCGCCTCGTCCGCCTCGGCGTACCAACCATCACGCTCGACCAGCAAGGCCGCGCCCGCCCCTCCATCGCAGAACTGTACAAGTGGCGCTACCCAGCGCTCACGAACCTGCCTGCTGTTCTATCCGCGCCGGACTTCCAAGTCGCAAACGCAGGCTTCAAGCATGAGTATCAATTCATCAATGTCGACGACTACAAAGGGCGCGGCGAGGCCGAACCAACACCGCACTGGATCGTCAATCTGGGTGAAGCTGAGTACGCGGTTGCGCTGTTCATGTACATGCGCCTGCTCAACTACCCGGCGCACAAGATCTCGATCCTGACGACGTACGCGGGTCAGCGCGGACTCATCAATGACATCTTGAATGCGAAGTGCAGAGACCACCCATTTTTCGGGCGCCCGAAGGTTGTGGCTACGGTGGATAAGTACCAGGGCGAGCAGAATGATTGTAAGTCGCTCTAAGCCGTCCCAAATTCTTTCATCCTTGTGTTGGTGGTAGTGGTGTACTAACAGACTCCAGATATCATCCTCTCCCTCGTCCGCACAAAAGCAATCGGCTACCTGCGCGATATCCGCCGCCTCACCGTCGCCCTATCACGCGCCCGTCTTGGCCTATACCTCCTGGGCCGCCGCACCGTCTTCGAGTCCGTCTTCGAGCTCAAACCCGCGTTCGACGTGCTGTTCACCCGCCCGGACGAACTCACGCTCGTCACTGGCGAGATGTTCGGTGAAACCTCACGACCCGTGCATGTTTCCGGTGCTGGTGATGGAGAGGGGGGTGGGGAGGTCGACGGCGAGGCGGTCATGACGGGGTACGAGCATCTTGAGGAGTATGTGAGGGGTATTACGGGTGCGAAGATTGAGGCGTTGAAGGCGAATGGGGGGCGGTTGCCGACTAGGGAGGTTAGGATGGTGGATGGCGGGGATGAGGATGTGGATCGGGAGGAGATGGTGCTTGTGCCTGAGGAGCAGGTGCAGGAATTTGGGGCTGATGATGACGAGGTGGTGTAGGGCTGAGGGCGAAAATAGGCATTTGACGGCGTTGATGATGATGATGCATGCAGCATTTGGCTTTGTTTGTTCATGTGAAGATACCAATTCGACAAAAGCATTATATCCAGTGCTTTTGATTCATCTACAGATATGCCTCTAAGCTCATGTGGTATTTCCAATCCGCAGTACGTCATACGCCGTCCATCCTACATGCCCCATGCACTCAGGCCGGGGCTTTTGGGCAGGCGCGCAGAGAGGCTATCTCGGCCCCTTCTTGCCCTTCAGATACGCACTAACCTGCTCGACATGACTGACGAAGAATATCCTCTTTTCGTCGTTCTTCCACTCCAAGACTCCGCATTGTTCCGCGTACTTCATTACATCCAGGTACTCAGCCTGCGTCGCGAACTCGCGCATCAGATACCCGGGTTTGGTTTCTACTCGCTCGCCCTCGTACTCCCATAGCCTGATCTGATCCATGACTGTGGGTGGGATGAAGGTCTTGTTTTTCTGCATCTGTGGATGCGCGTAGGTTGTGAGGTAGGAGATGATTTGCTGAGATGTGATCCCTTGCGAGACGGCCTTGTGTACGGATTCCTTCGTAAGTTTCCCAGATATGAGATTCGGGAAGCGGTGTTGCAGTTTGCAGAACAACGATATGATGGCGATCTGGATCAGGGAGTTTGTGTAGGCGTAGAGGCGGTAGTTTGTTTCGATGATGATGAAGCCCTGGTTCGCGGTACTGCTGCTGCTGGAGCTTGCATCGCCGGAGGTGTTGAGGCCGCCGGACTCGGAAGTCAGGGTTGTGGCGAGACGGGTTGGGTAGAAGACTTTGGCATCCTTGGAAGAGCGGTAGACGATGCCCATTGCAGAGAGATCGTCGAGCATATGTAGTTGTGTTGGGGAGAGGGTCGAAGTCGAGTAGGCTTGGCCAAGTTCGAGCGAGCCGAGCATGAAAAGGAAGGAGAGTACGTCTGTTTCGTTCATGCCGAGCTTTTAGATGTTAGTAAATGCAACCCACATTTGGATACAGTATCGGCCGAACTTACATCGTTGACCATTTTCAGGTACACGATCAACAGGTTCCAGACCTGCGCATTCGTCTCTTGCAGCACAAAGGTAAACCCTTCCTTCGTGATTCGTGGTTGCCCGTGGAACGTCCTGACGAGATCTCCGGCATGCAATAGCTTTTTAGTCCCTGCTCCGATGTCTGACTTGACGTCCACGCCTGCAGCACCGCCAACCATATAGAAGAGGATCGTCTCCCACTGCGCTCTCGCATACTCGTCCAAAAACTCGAGGCTGACCCTTCTCTCGCCCCTGCTCTCCTCTTTTGTGGCAGACACACCAAAAGAGCCATCCTTCCCTGAGCCCTCCAAGGCATGTCGCAAGCTGCGCTTGAAGCCTCGGGAGAGCGAGTGCGAAATCGTGCCGTCATCTTCCTTAGTAGTGTCGAGAATGTGGAGTTGTGCGAGAACGAAGGTCGCCTGCTCTTTTTCTCGTGTGGCACCTGGTTTGAACCAGGCTTTGAGCTGCGCATCGGGGAAAGATGTGGGCATGTAGAGCATCGCCATTACGAGTGTCTTCGCTGTTGCCTTGTATCAGCTATCAGGCTCTTGCAGCCCTGATAGTCATTGCACTTACCTAGATGTGGCAGCATGCAGCGAAACACCGCCACTACTGTCGCGGGTGCCTCATAGAGCTTCCTGTGCGTCTGCAGAGGCAGACCTTGGAGGTATTCAAGCGCCTGGGAAGAGGATGGGGCCGACATTGTTGCGGTTGAGGGTGATCGGTCGGCGTGCTACCGTATTATCATCGTCTTGAAGCAAGACGGCGGACCAGACGCGTCAGTTGCGCGGTAAGTGTTGCGAAAGGTGAAGTTCAAAGAGTATCGAAGAAGGCAGCGATGATCGATGACGCGCCAAGGGCGGAGCGGACATGTGGGGCTCCACCTCCTTGTCTAGCTCCCGAGCTCCCCATAGCTTCGAGCAATTGCCGAGCGGAGGACCGACCGTCACTCTTCGATAACCTGAGGGTGAAGCCGCAAAGATGCCGGCGCTCAAGTTTGTCAGATCTGTGAGCTTCTGCATCACTCGTTCGATGGATTGGAAGAGGTACTGATCGATTGAACAGGTTTGGGAGTCGTTCCGTGCCAATTCCGGCCTGGAGCCAAGGTACGTTGCACCAGGTCTCGAGGATAGATTGTAGCTGACAAGTGAACTCGCACAGATTGTTGGATGGCGTAGGTCTCTCAATGACCCTCGCCATGTGTAGTGCTAGGCATTGCTTGCTGACTTTAATTCCTACAGCTTCGCGTCACATCCGCAACTCCTGGCCGCGTCAAGTTTGAACTTGATATTCAAAAGGAACATACTGTATGGAATCTCGGCTCAAATATCTGCGTGAATACTCACATGTAACCAGAACCGACTGAACATTCTCCATGGAGGCACAATAGCCAGTATGGTCGATCTCGGTGGCTCTCTGGCTGTAGCATCTCAGGGTCTCTTCGCTACAGGCGTGTCAACCGATCTCAACGTTACCTACCTGTCGTCAGGAGGTAAGATCGGTGACTTGATCAAAGCTGAGGTGACTTGCGATAAGTGTATGCTCCAATCAAGTCGACAGATCTGTACGTGACACTGACATCGCATAGTCGGCAAAACACTGGCATACACGTCAATCAACTTCAGCAACAGCAAGGGCGAAGTGTTTGCGCGAGGAAGCCATACGAAGTATGTGGCTTTAGCATGGAAAGACCCCAACAATATCGTAGAGCAGCTTTCGCCGAAGAAGAGTGAGAAGAAGGACTAATTCTGTTGTACCCTTTCGCTCTCTTGTCGTGTTGACATGGCGATGTGTTCGATGAACATCTTGTACTCTACAGGTCATGAAGACAGGCGAATATACCGAGTTCATATTCTCTGGTTAGTCTTGGTGCCTGTCCAATGTCGATAATCTGTGGCGCAATGGGCAGGATACCTTCACAGGCCAAGCAGCTTTGACGGAATCTGTTCGCGGGACGTTCTGCATTTGGTTCGAGCATAGCGCGGACGATGTTTTTGGCACGGGGTCTTTTCGCTGGGTTTGCTTTAACCATCTCACGGATCACAGGCTGATGCTTAGATCCATCCAGAACGAAGCCTTGATTCGGCAGCGCGGCTAGCTTCTCGAAGTATGGCCCTTCGAGAAGATCCTTGCTGATGTTGTCTGGCTCCAGAGCTGCCATGATCTCGATGTACACACATCCAAGAGAGAACACATCTGAGTTCGAGTTGCGATCCTCCCGTCCAGCAACCTCCGGCGCACAATATTGCTCGGTGTAGCCGTTTAGAGATCCAGTGGTTATGCTATGTCCTGTGTCCCCAAAGTCACGAGACAGTCCGAAGTCTGCGTACAGAAGCGTCAAGGATGACTCGGAAGACACGGTTAGCGAGTCAGTCTGGTGCACTAGCATGCTTCTTCACATGCCTCTCTGGTAAGAGACCTTCCACGTCATCGCCGAGATGGTTGAGTTCGAGATGTTCGCTGGGGCCAATCTTCAGCGGTTGTTCAACTGCGTTGCTTCTCATGGTGGGATAATTCCAACTCAGTTGGTCAAAGTGGTATCTCTCCATTGAGCGTGAGACTTTCATGTGAGTTATGTGGTCGATTTGATGATCGCCGCGAGAGTTGATGATAGCTGAGGTGAAGAGGAGCTGAGAGCTGCAGAGCACTCCGCACGCCAAGGTCATTTGTCGCTACGCTTGTAGCTCTCAGTGGTTCAAGAGCGCATTGTGCATAGGGAGTGCATGTCGTAGGATAATCACAGACGGAAGCCACGAATTTCGGCAGTCGTTCAAAAGCGTGAGCTCGCCATCGCAACTTCCTTCCCATTATTGCGACGCGCCATCACCGCCCATCTCTATTACCCACAAAACTCCACTGTCTTCTCCTCTGCCCACCGTCCGTCTGCGCTCTCATCAGTTTCGCAGCTCCATTTGCTCCCTCCAACCCTCTACGACTGACAGTTCTCACAATCCTCCCCATCGCACTCTCCCCTCCATCACCAACCTTCCTCCTCTGCTCATCCGCAGTTTGCTGTTTCCACCCACCCTCCGTGCGATCCTCCTGTTTCTGCGGCCAAAGAATCTGATGGATAACCACGGCCCGAACATTCATAACGACCACAAACATCCACATTGTAATCAATGCGACGGTCATTACGCACCCCACATATCTAATCGCCATATTCCCATTTAGCGCCCTCGCAATCGCAAACGTCGCCGTCGTCAACGCCGTATTAGGAAAAACAAACGAGTACCACGTCATCGCGAAATCCATCTTGCCCCGTCTAGCACAGGACCAGTGTGCTCCAACACTAACGAAGAAAAACCACAGTGCAAGACCCCACAACCACAAGCCCATAAAATTCGCCATAATCATGCCCACCCTCCCCGCCAGTTCTCCATTCCCCTCGCCCATGAAATCGCTCGGAACAACTTTCGGCAGCTCCTGCCCCATCGTCACTACGCCTGCGATAGTGAACCCGCTGGGGCCGACGGATATGAACATGCCTGGGCGTAGCGACTCTTTGGGGAGCTTTTGTGTCATGAGACGGTAGATGAAGGCTGCGTAGATCATCAGGCTGACCAGGAAGCCAATGCCTTGGATAATGTAGCCGCCGAGAATTATTTGTAGTGCGATGGTGGGGGAGGAGACTTTGGGCGCGAGGGAGCCAGCGTGTGGGCCGATGATGAGGAGGGGGTAGGCGGGGAAGATCCAGATTGGGGTCATTTGCTGGAGTCAATATCAGCGGGGAGCAGCGTCAGGAATGAGAAGTGCTTACGTTGATAGTGAATGTTGTTGTTGACCACCTAGACACGTCAGCAATCTATGTGGAAGTAGGTGAGGCAAGGGGAGGTGATGAGATGGGAAGGGCGATACGAACATTATGAGGTAAATCCCCAACGAAAAAGCAACAGCAAGTCCACAATCCACCCAAAACAGCACAATCATAACATGCTGCAACCACCTCTTCTCGCCCACCATCCCGACCCCGTACTGACTAATATTCATCATGATGATACCAAAACTCACAATCGCCGCCGGAATAAACAGACTCTCCGTCGGATGCAAGAAGCTCGCCCTAAACGTGCGCGGGTAGAAGTAAAACCGACACGATATCATGAAGACGTTGAAGAGGAAGAGAGAGAGGTTAAGCAGGAAGAAAATGCACCCAAGAGTGTAGAGGCCGCGGAAGCGGAAGGGGACCGCGTAGAGAACGTTGGCGATCCCGCCCGTGGCCATGGTGAGGCAGAACCAGGTCCATGTGAAGTGACGGATGCGTGAGCGCCAGGGAAGTTTGGAGTGGCGGCGGCCCGTGGCTGAAGCTGTGTCTTCTGGACCTTCAACATCACTTTGCTTCTCTGGTTCTCCTGAGTCAGGGTCGGGGATGTTTTCATCGCCACCTAGGACTGATGCTCCTCTTGGTCGTTGGTGCCCGATGTTTGGGTCTATCTCTTCCTCAGCTTCGACGCCTTCCTCACCGCTTCCATCCTTGGTCTTCTCATTCAAACTCTTTCGCCGAGCCATTGGCGGCAGATTGGCCGCGAAGTCATCGAAGGGATCTCGCTCAACGGACTGGGGCTCAGGCGTGAGCACGTGAGCATGGTTTCGCCAGCGTCGACGATCCGCTGCGCTGGAGACGGTGTCTATGCTAGCTCTGCGAGACTCAGGCGTGGTGGGATGGATACGGGCGGTGAAGAAAGTCTCTTGTCGCTCATTCATTGTAGGGAAGTCCATGACTGGTACCGAGCCGTAGAGGCATTAGCGAAAGACACAACAAGTAGACAATGGTGACGCTTCAGGCTAGGAGACCGTGCGGCAAGCAGGAGCTAGCGGTTCGAATTGAGGACGTTGAGCAATGACGTATGATCAAGTTTTGGGTGGGTGCGGATTGTGGAGTCGTGAAGTTTGGATCTCTGAGTTGAGCGACATGTTGAATTTACCTCATTCTGTACCCTTGTCCATGCGACAACACATTTCTGTACCCCACGTCCTCGATGTGGAAAGATAAGTGAGCATCACAAAGCCATGTCCAGCAAATGGCGTCGTTGAGCTCGAAGATAGCGCATCCACCATTCGGCTAGCCATCCGAGCTTGCCGTGATATCTCCGAGCCGCTTCGACCTCTCAACAAGACGCAAATACACATAAGCCAGTCGATGAAAGTAGTAACGATTAATTTATCGCCATTGTGAGAACTAATACAACCCGAATCGAAACCTGGAATGCATGACCCATAATACTGAGTCCCAAACCAATAAGATCAGAACACCCGCAAATGCTGACCGTACGCCATGATCGTACACACAAGATCCACAATGCCCTACCGAGTCCCTATACGCCATGTTTCTCGCCATGTGCTTCCACATCATGATGTTTGTAACGATGGTCTGCCTCCTGGCTACTTACCAGAAACTGCACCAACCAATATAATGCTGACACAAATTCTCCAGGTTCGTCGCCTCCTTGATCAAGCGATCGACCTGCATTTGATAGTTCAGCTCCTCACCAGGCCTAAAGTCTTTACCCGTGAGCTTCTCCTTGACGCGCGACAAGACCTGCAGCGCACGCGCGTTCTGCACTTCCTTGGCTTCCGCTTCGTTGGGCGGTGCGATGCTGGACCGATGGCGGCCGCGCACCATCGAGCCCATGTCGGTGATGTCGCCCATGATGGATTGGCGACGCTCGGATGGGTAGTTGGGTTCGGGTGGGGAGTCGCCGCGGTTGCCGAGACGCCAGGTTAGGAGGGGGTCGTGTATGAACTGAGGGATGTTAGTATCACTCATTGAGCCCGTGCGCAAAGATGAGGTGATGACTTACAGCTTCGAGCACCGCCATGACGGATTCTTTGTTATCGCGCAGTACCCGCATGACATGCTCGCACGTTGTCCTGTAGCTGCCTTCGATGTTGCTAACCTCCATGGCGTACGTCAACATGCGCGTGAGACGGAAAGGCACGCGTTCGGGGTATTTCTCGCGGTGCATGGCCACTTCGAAACAGTCGCCAAAGTCGATATGTACGATCTTACCCGTAACCCTATCGAGCATCAAGTTGGACGGATGGCGATCACCAAGGCCGAGAATGTAGCCGACCATCGACATGACCGCCAGCGAGCGCGTGTAATTTGTACGACGATCGAGCCAGGCTTCAGAACTCTTACTCTTGAGCCAGAGCACACGATACAAGTCTTGGCCGGTGGTGTTGTCGAGCGCGTACCCAAAGACTTCGACCTTTTGCATGAGGGTGAGACAGTCGTAGTCCGGAGCCATCTGCAGCATGATGCGATGTTCGATGTTGAGCAAAATTTTCCTGCTATCACGGTACTCCCTAATAAGAACGTGGAGGGTGTCGCTGTTCGGCACGAAACCCAGAAGACCGGACTGCGTGCTAAGCGGCACGGCGGCATAGCGTTGGATATTGAGATGTCGCTTGCGTGACTCGACATCGTTGGCCAGCAGAGTGTTGCAGAGACCAAACAACTGCATGACCCGCTCGTCTTGACGGATATCTTCGTGACCCTTGAGAATGTGGGTATGAGGCTTGCCATCGCTACCCTGCATTTCGAGCTTACGAGGCCGCTGCTTGGACTGAATGACGGAGGCCAGCGGATCGAAAGACACGATACGAATGACTGGCTTGCCAACCACATATGTCCCGGGAACAGCGAGCTCGAGATCGTGGGCGTCCTTAAGCTTGGGTGAGACATACTGCAGCTCTAGCGACATGAGCGACGGCAGCTGGCGTGCAATCTTGCGGAACACCTGGTAGTACAGATCCCAGGCCTGGTTGAGGTCTCCTATCTCTCCGGAGGTTCTGAACGTGTTGCACCAGTCCCGGGCCTCCTGTAGCTCTCGGCCGAATGACTGTATGAACGAGATCTCGCGCAACGTTTCTGGACCCTTGTCGAGCATAGCGTGCAAGGGCGCGAGCGTTGCGAACATACCGTCTATGTTATGATCGCCGAAGTACAGTCTACTCGCTTCCTCGAGGCCTTCATGCCACTGTTCGTGCCAGAGCACCGCGATGCGGATAAGCTCGTGACTGACCAAATCGGCCTGTTCGACCAGGCGAGGCGAGTGTTCGCGCATTGCTTCCATGAGCTCCTTTGCGGATCGTTGGCGCCTGGAAACGTCTGACTTCATACTAACAGTCAATGGAAAGACGAGAGCTTGCGGATGCGCTTTGCCGACTTCAATCAATAGCTGGTGAATCGACTGTCGTACAGTAGGATTTGGCTGGTTGATTCGAGCGAGCAGTTGTGGGATGACTTCCAGCCAGGTGTCGATCGGTACTGACTTTGTCCCTTCGGTGATGGTCCTGTTGACTTCCGGCAGACCACCATGAGTGAACCAAAGCGTGAGTAGGCGAAGCGTGTCCTGTAGCGAGCTAGTCGAGGACAGCGCAATAGACTTGAAGAAACCATGAATGGCCGGGACGACGTGATCGTGCACTATGTTAGAGGGCACATCTGTAGACTCCCGATCAGCCTTCGATGTGATCGAGTTGATGACCTCGAAGTTGGCAAGTGCCCAAGCGTGCCATGCCTTGTACCAGTTTTGGTTATACCTAGTAGCAGCGGCATAGGCAGACAGAATCTCATGAACATATTCGTGCTCCCACTCTCCATCCTGGAGCTCTTGTTGCCAGTCGCCCTGCTTCAGGTAACACTTCGCTAGGAGACGGTGGCATTCGGCCAGTTCAGCTGGTGAGACGCCCATTGCTGATCCGTTAAGTGTACTAGAGCCGTTCATGCCTGCCATACCGTTAACACCATTAGAAGCGGCGAAAGGATTCATGTTGTTGAACAGCTGAGGATGACCGTTGGTCATGCCGTTCATACTGTTCTGTCCCATCATTGGATGCGAGGCGGCCCTGGCGCGCATAGCTAGGTCATCTGACAGTCGCGCTGTGAAGTCTTTCATGGAGTCGAGCGCTTCTTGCTGGGTATGCTGATCCGCCCACATGTACTTGTACGTTGCGTACGCCACAGGGTGAGAGATCTTGTGTGCATTCTCGCGCACATATTCGACGACCCTGTGCTCACCTGAACCCTCGATGTTGAGTAGCTTCTGCAGCGCCTTGTTCGCGAGGTTCATTCTGTTGTTCTTGCGGCAAAGGTTGGTGTACTTGATCCACATGTCGGTGCCCTCGTCGGGCGAGATGACGAGTTGCCGCACCTTCATCATGCGTTGCCATACTTCAGGGTTGGGCTGCAGCCCCTTAAGCCGCTTCATCCAGGTCTTCCGCATGGATGCCTGCTTCTCGCGGTTCTCCTTGATGCCCAGCTGCTTGTACAGCATGATCTCTTCGAGCTCAGCAAGCATCTGTACACGGATCATTGGGAGGTAAGCCCGCTGGTACGACTCGCCAAGTAGCGAGCTGAGTTCCGTGTCGAGGCCCTTGCGAGCCTTGGCGATCTCATCGATAGCGATTTCGAATCTATTGTTGTGGATGTTGAGGATAGAGGCGAAGAATGCTCGGTCAGGCGATTGCTCTTTCATGACACTCAAGTACGAGTCCATGTCGGCGAACTTGCCCAGACCCCATGCAGCCGTTGCAGCAAGCGGTGCAATGGCTTTGCGATACTCCTGGCTGGCATTGGCCCACTTCTCTTTCGACAAGCTCGAGAGCAGATCCCATTCACCAAGGGCGTGTAGACAACGCATCTTACCCATGGTGATTTCGAATGAGTCTGGCTCTTCAAGCTCTCTGCGCTGGTAAGAGTGTAGAGCTTCGTCCCATCGCTGCAGCTTCTCGAACCATGTCTCCTTCAGCTCAACGTCCGTATACCCCTGAGCCTTTCGCAAGATTCCAAAAGCCGCATCTGTCTGCTGCAGCTGATTGTTGATACTGATGAGGGCTTCGACCGCACTCGAGTTTTGTTCGGCATTAAATTCCAACTCCTTGTAGTGCAGTGCCTTAGCAAACGCGTGACACTTGCCAGCGTACATTCCCAGTATCCTGACGTCAATGGGCAATGCTTTGTCGTCGTGTTCCATGAACTCTGCCAAGTTGAGCAGAATCTGCAGGATCTCAGGTGGAATATTTGGTGATGTGAGCGCAGCCTCGATCGACCGCACGAGCTCTTCCTGATACTGATCATATAGTTCAGTCCAGCACGAGACGAACGCCGAGTTGAACAAACTCCTGGCAATGGGGTTGTAGATGCTGCCGAGCGGCGTGCAGGCGCGCAACGCTTGCTGTGGAGACTCTCTAAGCAGCTCGACACTGAATCTACGCATCCATTCGACCCAATCCTCCTTTGTGGTTTTTGATGAGGCTTCCCAAGCCGCCTTGAGATGTTGCTGGTTGACTGCTAGCTTTTTTGTAAGGATCTCTGCTGGGTTGAGGTCCTCATCATCCTCTCCATATCGCTCATCCGGGCTAAGATCTTGTGGCAGGGGCTCACCCTTCTGTAGCTTGGACACGATACGACCATAGTTTTCGTGAGGCACCTTGTTCGCAATCAGAACCTTGTTCACGGTCGGCACGAAGTGGATGTAGTCGGGTCCCAGCTGGAAGATCAACGCACAAAGCGTTTCAAGAGCTGTCTGCTTCAGAGCCGGATCGTTCCCTGAAAGTACTCGGCAGAGGGGATGAATGATTCGTGCAGCGAACTCAGAGACATTGACTTGTTTCGACAAACGACCCAACGTTTCTATCGCTAGTCTTCGGATGTGCTGTGGTTGGCCTGGCTTGTCGAACATCTTGACCATGATAGGGATGATCAGATGCATGTACTCCTCAGCGCTTGACCCAAAGATCAGGAAAGCGTGTAGTACCCTCTCGGACGGCAGTCTCTTACCGGTCGTATCCGAGTCGAGGACACTCAGCATCAGAGGAAGGACATCTGCCAGGTAGACCTTGAACTCCCCTTCGAGCGACCGTGCGATAGCTTCAATGAGTGACAGGATCGTGGCTTGCAGTTGAGGGTTATTACCCCAGTACTCTTTGACACATGTCAAGATCGATGGCAGGTATGGACGGATGTGTTGGCGCACAATACGCACCAACTGACTAAGCTGGTTAAAGTAGCCTTCCGATCGACCAGCTGGTGCGGAGCGAATGACCTGGAGGAAGCCGGGCACCACCTGGTTGAGAAATGGCACGCACTTCAGTCCCATGGTGGCGTAGATGTTCATAACAGCATCGACGATTGCAGAGTGAAACTGCATAAGTGACAGATCCTTCAGCAACCCCATGAGCGTGCTGATGACGATGGTGGGATAGTACTCCTCATTCGAAGGGGTGGTGCCTTGCATAATGAGCGAGACGTCAGTAACGGCCTGCGCTTCCAGTATAAGTTGTTGATCCGGGGACTGCTCCATGATCTTCTGGTACTCGTCCGGATCCAGTGCGCCGAGCGTGCCCATGAGCCTGACTGTCTCCCGTCTCAACTCGCCCTCTGGCTCAGTTTTGACGATACTCATCAAGATGTTCATCAGCTCTGGGTAATCTCTGTACGGTTCGATGACATAGCCGGCATTGGTAGCGAGCTGCCCAAGAGCCTTGAGCGCAGAGAAGCGTTTCGAATCCGAACTTAGATCTTGCATGAAGTCCAGGATAACCGGCATCAGCTCAGGGATGTACTTGATCATGCCCTCACCACCAACTGAGGCGAGATCGCCAATGGCCTTGAGTGTAGTCGACGCAACCTCAGGATTCGGGTCCTTTGCCTTGGGTAAAAGCACGGTAACGATTGGGTCAACGAGCGGTTTGATAAGGCTGTCGGCTGCTCCAACCAGACTACTGATGAGCTTTGCACTCTCTTCCTTACTCCGCGGGCTGTTAGCATAGTTGACCTCGGTCAGCAATTGCAGCAGGACTTTGCGTAGTGACGGGAACACATAGGCCGGGTTCACTGCTGTCAAACGTCCTATTATAGACATTGCAGCTTGCCGAATAACAAAGATCTCGTCGTTGAGGGCCAGAAACAAGGTTCGGACGTTGTCCGCCTTCCCAAGATGACGATCGAAGCGAGCATCGAGCGCGAGTAAAACCTCCCAGCGTATCTCCCAGTCGACATCGCCCACGCCAACTGTCAAGAGCTTCTCGATGATATCACCGACCACTTTGGTAGCGTGAGTGCTAGTCTGATATACTATCGGATCCTTGACGAACAACTGACAGCATGTCAGGGCCGCGCGCTTGCGGATCTCTGGGTTGTCTGCTTCCACATAGCGAATGGCAACATCGCGCACGAATTCGTTCAATACGTGTCCAGTGAAGTCGAAGCTGCCGAGTGTGTGGAGCGCAAGAGCAATCTCAGCTTCTCGCGCAGGGATAATCGCGGGGTCCTTGTGGTCTCGCGTCCAGATTTGCGGTGGTTGTGACACTTGGTAGGGGCTGCCGAGGGGTAAGAAATGTCGTTGAGCAAGAATCTGACTGAGGAGGTCCAAGAGTTTCTCCTGAATCATCGGTCGTGATGGCGGTACGTAATGCGCCATGTCGACAAGGGCCTGAAAAAGCGAATCGCTCAGCCCGCAGGAGAAGATGGGGTCCAGCAATCGCTCCACGCTCTTGGTAAGAGCTTGTCCAACGGCTGCAGCGATCATACTAAGACACTGGAAGATCGGAGCCTCGTTGACGACACCCTTGTTTCGTGCTTTAGCTGTCAGTCCTTCCTGAATGAAGCCTAGGATACCCTCGAGGTACGGAGAGATGGCAACTCCTACGGCATTCGCTACCTGTCCGATTGCGACGAAGGCCTTGTCGCGATCGCGGTCCTTTCGTATCAAGCCTTGCAGGTGCAGCATGCATTGGTGGAGGTACTTCGCGGCGAACTCGGTAGGCGAATAACTGGCGAGTCGCGGGATGATGAGCACGACCTCCCTGCGGACGAGGGTATCCCTATGCTCCCGGTACTTGAGCACCGTCTCAGCCGTCTCCTTGAAGCGCGGTTCGTTCATAAAGTATGCGCTCTTGTCCAGCAGCTCCTTCATCGTAAGCAGGGATCCGTGTATTGCTTCGTTTGTACCGATCGTGAACCCGCGAAAGATCTCATCATAGACCTTGCCGAACCACAGCTGGCGCATAGCCGAGTCGCGGGGGGATATGATCTCAAAGCAGGCACTAATTGCCTCTGCAGCCGACTCTCTTATGAGCACCTTGGGGTCGCGGAGAGCAACCCAGATGACCTCGAAGATCTGCGCGATCCACTGGTACATGAGCGTGGGCGAGTTCTTGGCCAGCTCGCGCAGGATCAGCACGGCAGCGAAGCGGCGGTTCTCCAGACGTTCCAGCTGCAGCCATTCCAGCGCGCCCTTGACCTCGGCCTCGACCAGCTCGGCCGTGAGCGTGCCGCCGGGCTTCGCGAGGCGCCCCAGGGCCTTCGCGGCGACCACCATCGACGTCGTGTCCTGGCCGCGCATGACCGCCCGCAGGTACGAGGCAAAGCGCGTCGTCTTGGTGCCGGCATCGTCGCCGCGGAAGTCGATGAGGGCGTTGAGGGCGTGGATGCCGCCGATGCGCTCGTTGGAGTCGCTGCCGCCGACGATGAGGCTCGAGATCTTGCCGTAGACTTCGCCGTAGAAGTTGGTGAAGACGGTGGGCGCCAGCTCTGCGCAGTGTCAGTGGGCGAGTGCTGAGGCGGGGGCCCGCAGTGCCATATTGCCATGCAAACACGGCAGGCTGCTGCAGCTCACCTCGATGCGCCGCCTCGACCGTTTGCCGCAGGTTGTGCGCGCCCTTTTGTCTGATTTCATCGTGTCTGCCTATCTGTCAACTCTACACCGCCAAGGTCGCGTGCTGGGGAGCTTCCTCACTTGGAGCGGAGCTCTTGGACGATGCGGTCCAGCGCCGACGACAGGGCGCTCTGCTGCGCCATCGTGTCTGCTTCACCTGAAGCGAGCGGCAGAAGGGGAGGGCAGCTGGAGGCCTTCCATAGAAGGGAAGACACAGCGTGGGTATGTATGTGATATGTGCAGATGCGTGGGGGCCTGTAAAGTTGCCGACATGCTGGGGTACCGCCAAGTGATGTTAGGTAGTGGGTCCGTTCACCGAGCTCCTCATTTGGCAATCCTAGCAACAACGTGCAACGAAGCAATTCGTCCCCATCACTCACGGCACTTCATTGGAGGCGTCAGGTAGCGCAGGGGAGACATGGCCAATAAGCGCTGATCACAATCGTGAAAGCAGTCAGACAATACAGCAACTGCTCGAGCGAAAGTGACGTGCATCTCATTTGATGCTCTAGGAAGTGTAGGATATCACATGCACAGCTAGGAAGAAGAAACACGAGCACAACCCTAGCTCGGACACCGCTGAGATCAGGTACCAGAGGCACTCTCCACGTGCCTGACACCTGTCCAGTGACCGAGCTCCACGCATCTCCTCCAGGCAGTCACCGAACCGTAATAACGCTCCATCTTGGTTCACCGTGCCTTCCTCACAGCACCACACGCACCCCTCAGTCTCTCGCCGCTCAGCCAATCACACCCTGCGCAGCAGCACCAATAGCACCCGCGATATTGCCAAAGAAGATGCTCTTCAGGATCGTCTCGCCCTCACCCACCGCCCACATCCCGGCATCACTGAGCTTCTTCCTCCAGTAGTGTCTCTCCCTTTCACTCAGCTCCTCCCACCGCTTCGCCTCGGTGTGCTTCTTAATCACCTCATCCGTGCTCTCGTGCACCTCCGTACTAAGCTCGGCGCCATCGGTGTCGTGATGAATGACCAGCGCTTTCTGCTGGGCCGGAGGGTTCGGCGACGCGTGGTAGGGCATGTGCAGGTGGAGGAGATCCTGGATGCGGTGCACCGTCTTCATCGTGGGCGTGTCTGCGTTGTTGAGGGCGGCTTGGTGGCGCTTTTCACGCGCCAGTTCGCCCATAGGTTTGTACTGGGAGCCTGCACTCTGGAGACTGCGTGGCACGATGTGTTTTGTCAACTCGCCCTGGGGATCGATGAAGGACTGGATCATCAGTGCTACTGCGGCAATGACCATGGCTATGACGAGGTATGTGGCGGCGCTGTACATGTTCCTCGTTCGCGTTGTCTGGAGGACATAGCGTCCATTGTATGGCTGCAGCTCGAAGGTCTCCACTGAGATGGTGTTGCCTAGCGATGTCGAGGCTAGCCGAAGGTACTGCGGCCCTGCCTTTCGGTCTGCAGACTGGTCCGGAGGAGCGACAGGCTTATGGAAAGGTGAGAAGACTGCTTTTGTCATCTGGACCTCGTGTACCTGTCTGATGTCAGTCCGTGCTTCCTCCAGATCTTCTCCATGCACATACATTCTCGTAAGTAGCGAAGTGGTAGAAAGAGCTCAGGGAGTTCCGTGAGCGGCCGTGGTAGTCTATCGAGTAAACGAGGAGCGATATGTCGATCGAAGCTATAGCGATAGCGATCTGGTATGCCCCAGTCGAGTCTGCGTCCAGGAGTGCAACGTCCATGTCTGATGCAGCCTTCACGCGCCTCGGTAAAGTCTTTCGCAAGACAACGCTGCCTGGACCTTCCTCGTACATGTGTACGAGCAACAGTCCAACTCCCGTCCTATTGGGCTTGTTGACCAGCAGAAGAAGATGCTCCGGGGTAAGCCATCGTATGCACCGCAACTTGGAACGTCCACCCTTCTCTCCGAGATCTGGCAATGGAATGGAGTACAGCTTCCGGCGCTCGTTCTTAGGCTTGGTCTGCGTAGTGCTGATGTTGTGGACTACTACATCGTAGTCGAGCACATAGGCAAGCTCGAACTGGCCATCCCCTTTGTCAAAGATGTCAAGATCATTGGCTTCTTCGCCCTTTCCTAACCTGATACGCTGAAGGATATCCTGCGGATCCTGTGGCTTGTTCGAAGTAGCGCTGAAGACCACAATCTCGTTCTCGTCGCCCGCAAGACTGGACGCTATCGCGCCGATGCGCCGTGTTGGTGTGCTTGCTGCCGTTCTTTGTGGTGGTGACAGGCGCACCAGACGTTGGTACCCCTCCTTCTTTGCATTGACATTCTGCACTGGTGCGAAGAGCTTTGTCTTGCTTAGATACGAGACGTTGGCGTCTGCACCGTCGGTCGCAACTTTCCCCTTAGGTAGTTGGACCTCGAATGCGCGGAAGTGCTCGTTATTGTCCTTTGCGCGATCCTCTTCGCTGCTGTTCACTCCAGCGTATAGTATCAAACCATCTTTCGTAGCGAGGTTCGCAAGACATGTCACTGAGTCGTCTGTGGAGGCTTCGATTTCGGCGATAGGTTCGACGGACGGTGCTCGTGATGTGAAGTCGAAGAGTGTGATCTTGTTCTTAACGCCATGTCTTCCTCCACCACCTCCACCTCCTACTGCGAGTACACCTGGTCTGCTGGTTGCGAAGCTTGCGGCAAAGATTGGATATGAAGCTGCAGTGGTCAGCACGTGAGCGTCTAGTTAGTGGTGTGAGTCGCAGCAACGTACTTTTGGCCTTTGAGATCGTAGGGCGCGACATGATGAAGTTCTGAGTGATGCGCCGCAGCTGCCTCGGAGCTGTGCTATTATTTGTAGGGTGACGTATGCTGAGGAACACTACGGTATGGTATGAGGAAGTGCACGGGGATAGGGTCGCTCGAGATTTTGTAGGCTGAAGATAGAGGTGTATGTGTCAAGAGGGTAGGCTGCGTGTGTGCGCAAACTTGAGGTTTGGTTTTGTCCACGTTGCGCGGGATGAAGCGCAAGAGCGCGGCGCAAGCGTCATGATCAGAGGTCCAGCCTGCAAGCATCGCGCCGGGGTTCGCTTATCAGTACATTCTCGTTCTAGTGCCGTGACTGACATATGCATGAACATAGGAACGGCTTTGCAAGTCACAAAATAGTATGTCTTTCTAAACCTATAACAGAGTGCACCTTTGCTGGCTTTCAGTCAGCTGGTCACTTCCTTCTCCTTTTCTTCTGTCCTCCTAGCGCCTCGATGTGGTTGCCCACTCCACTGTACACCTCTGCCTTTCCTGCTCTTTCCTTCTCTTTTCTCCTCCTTTCCTCCTCTTTTCCACAGGGATATCCTCCATCCTAGACAAGACAGGTACGCCGAATCAACCCAACCGCCAAGGCATCCACCGAACCGTCTCTATCAACAAAACGCCAGGGGGGTGTGCCACATAATGCTCGCTAAACGAAGAAAACGGAAATGGGAATCCAATGCCTTTGGAGAAAGAGAAGCTATGTATGATTTTTCGTTCGCCGGGACAAGAACCTAGCCATTCTACTGCTGAGGTACCGGGTTGCCGTTGGCAGCGGCGGCAGCTGCCTGGGCCTGAGCCTGTGCGATGACGTCGGCTTGGTGGACAGCGCCTTGTACGACTTGCTGCTCCTCGGCATTGAGGTTCTTTGTGAGGTTCTCGTACAGCGCAGGCTGTTCCTGCTGAAGCTCTGCTGTCTGTTAGTTCTGATCAGGTACTGTTACTGAAGGCAACTTACGGAGCAGTGCGTGCTTGAACATGCTGTATGGCTCGACCTTGTCGAGGGGTGTCTCAAGAAGGCTCTCTTCCTCGAGTTCGTCGTCGTCATCATCATCGTCGACGCTGCCGAACTTTTGGGCCTCTTCGTTCAAGAATTCAAGGTAAGCGGCGCTCTCGTCCTTAATCTCCTCTTCGTCGGCCTCATTGTTCCAGTCAGCTTCCTGTTCCCACTCCTCGTCTTCCTCGTCATCCTCGTACTCATTTGCAAAGTCGAAGTTGTCTTCCCTCTTGGCTTCCTCACGGTCTGTAAAGATGTTAGCAAGCGAATGTTGTTGGTGGTGGTAACAGTGTAACTTACTCTTCAGAGCAGCCGGCAGGGTCTGGAACAATCGCACGACACCCTGCAGTAGACGAGGCCAGCCCTGCTGGACACTGACTGGGACGCTCTGGGCGTTCAGGGTGAGCAGCGCGCAGATAGCCGAGATACACAGCTTCTTGTCGTGAACTCTTGTAAAGTTGTCGATGCTCGAAAACCACAAGCTGAAGAACTTGTTCGTCCAGCCATTTGCCTCAAGCACGTGAAGCGCAAGAGCGGGGTTGTAGTAGATGCTGTTGATGATGACTTCCATTAGGTGAATGCGAAGGGACTTGACCTTGGGCTCATCGTTTGTCAGGACTTGCATGGCAAGTGAGAGGAACTCTGGAACGTAGTCGTCGACGTGACCGCGCATGTTCAACATGATGATCTCGGCGAGCTTGCAACCGCAGATGCGGTCGACACCTCCAACCTTGTCATCCTTGAAGATGGTGCGAACCATGTCGATCATAGCGTCAAGGTAAGCCCGGTTCTGCACAAGAGTCTGGGTTCCGTAGTTAACGAAGTTCTCCAGAGCGGGCAGCATATCTAGGTCAGGTCAGTGATTGCGCCTAGTCATATTGAATGATGATCATACCTTCAAGGTACAGTTCGGCACCAGCCTTGAATGTCCTGTGAATGAGCTCGAAAGCTTGCCACATGGTCGGTGAGATGCTCTTGGCAGCAAACGTGCAGCTGTCGATGATCTCGAATACCTCGTTGTATAAATCTACAAATAGATTAACATAAGAGCGTTGTTGACGGCTAAGTCGATGAAAACGCTTACCGTAGAGCTTGTTCTCAAGCGTGATCGTGATGACAGGCATGAGAATAGTCTCGAGGTGCAGGAGAACGTCCGGTGTGCTCTCAAGCGTGAGGATCAGGGTACCAATGGTCTGCAGGACACCAAGCGCTGTGATACTCTTCTCGTCCAGGAAGTCGCCATATTCGCTGTCCTCGCCCTTCTCCTGGTTTCTGGATACGAGCTCGCGGACGATACGGAGGTAAGTATCGCGAAGCTGCTCACTAAGTGCGACCGCGAACGGTGTCAGTTCTGGGGCAAAGACCTCGACGAAGTCTTCCATGACGTTGGCCAGAGCATCCACATCGACTTCGTTAGCCAACTTGAGAAGCTGCTGCATAACCTGGGGAATGTTTGTCTTCATGTTGGTGCGGATAACATCGTGGCGGATGAGGGGCTGAAGAGCCAGGGCGGCGGCCACGCGCACAGGAAGGCAAGGGTCGGCCATGGACTCGAGGATGTTGCGGTAGATGATGATGAGGTTGTTGGGGTCCTTGAAGTCAAGCTGCTCAAACTTCTCGAGGGTATCGCAGGCACGCGCACGGAGGAAGCCTTGAGGACTGCGGAATTCGGGGAAGACGTGGCGAACGAAGAAGTATTCGACCTGGTCGGCGATGGGGCTCTTCTTGCCCAGGATAACACCAGAAAGTGTTCCAATCATGCGCAGCGCACCTTCCTTCTCTCTGGGGTTCTTCTCGCCATCCGGCACAGCCTCGTATCGGTTTACGACCTCGTTGATGTAGTTCAAAATGGTGAAAGTCTGCTTTCTCCGGCTCTTGGTGAGTGTGACGAGGAAGTTCGTGGCCGCAACATCGGGTGCGGTGACGTCTTCGTAAAAATTCAGCTTTCGGTGCAGATACTCCTGCGGCTCCTCATCGAACAGCTCGATGTCCTCATCTGACTGGCACAGGACGGGGAAGATAAGGTGCGAAATGAGGTTGTCAGTGTGTGGCTTGAGCAGAGTCCACATGGACTTGGGCTTGATGCATTCGTCCAAGAAGTTCAGGGTGTAGTACAGACTGGCCTTTGACAGCCAGACCTGTTTGCCAACCCACTTCTCGATCTGCTGAAGGTAGACCTTGAGGATCTCGGGTGCGAAATTGGCGATGAAGTTCTTGGCGACCTCGGTGTAATCGACCTCGTTGTTCTTGCCCAACGCCGATGGGTTACCATATCTAGACGTGTGTTAGTCAGACCTATCCAGAGCCATGGCTTCGATACGCACCTGACGTAGAGACGGTTCAAATTTGCGTATGACCACTTCTTAGCTTTCCACCAGTGGTTGACCTCGCGCTCATCGAGATCCTCGACCATAGATGTCTCTGGTGGCTCCTTGCCAACAACGGTCAGGAACAGTGTGCACCACCCAACCATGGTCTGCTGTTCGCGAAGAGAGGCGGGCAGGTCGAACTGCGTTCTGGTCAGCGCCTCCACTACATTGTCTTGCCCTTAGTCTCTTACGTAGATAGCATGTTTGTACACCTTCAAGACTGTGCGGAGGATTTCTCCAGCCTCCAAGCTCGTCTCACCGGCCAGCGAGTTACCAATGTTGAGCAATTGTGGGAACGACATAGCAACGATCTTGTCGAAGTCCGCCCGGTTCTCCCCCGACTTGAATCTGTAGATCTTGCATATCGCCAACAAACACTGCACACCGGCAAAAACTGATGCAATATCTCCGGCGTTCAACAGCTGGATGGTGATGTCGAGGAAGTTGGGCCATTTTGAAGGGAAGTCGTATGCGAGGATCTTCTGGAGGGTCGGGATAAGTTGCAGGCGAATCTGCGGCGGCGAGGCAACGAGAACTGGTACGAGTCGGTCGCGGAAAGAAGTCTTCTCTTCCTCTGGTATCGGCTTGGCCTGGCTGTACTCTTCGGCGGGCGACCAACCCTTGGAGACGCGATTCTTCAGGTAAACGACAGCTGCATAACGCGTCAGCACTTTACGCCCCGTCCACAGGTCCTTGGGACTTCTTACTCGACAATCGGATAGCAGGGTCCTGCTCCTGCTGGAGAACGTTCAGCAGGCCGTCAGTGAAGCCTGGCTGCTCCTCGGCCTATGACTCTGTCAGTTCGCGCCGATACGCGCCAGGATCCTGTGGCACACGCACATGCTTCAGGTCAAGCTCAGCTTGCTGACGGATAGCAGCATTAGGGTCGAGTGTGGCCTGGATGCGGTCACGTAGGCCCGCAGCGTCCATGGTCGCGATTAATAATTCGCGACGGCGTATTTGTGCTTCTGCAGCTGTGCACCTTGAGCGTTCAGGGTCGGTGCGTGCGGTGTGGGCGGTGGGGGTTTGAGGTTAAACGCGGAGGCCTGAGCTGCACGCTTTGCTCCAGCGCTGCAGAATGATATTATGGGCGTGGAAAGAGGATTGTGAAAACAGCACGCGTGTGTGTCTTCTCGATTTCTGTGCCCTTGCGACTTGCGTCCGGCTTGTGGCAGACAGGCGAGGAGAATGTGTCTCTGCCCCTCATAGAAAAGAATCGAGTGGGTCAAAACGAGGCTTGCCTAGCCTGGGGCTAGTTGTCCCGCACCAGCCACGTTGTGAGCTGACCGCCGGTAACCAGCGCGCTGCAGCATCGTCTGTCACTGGCTTCGAAGTCTGGTACAAAATATCATGATAATCTTTGCTTGATCTCGCGATAACCAAAACCCGATCCAGAGCAGCATTGACCTGTCACCTGTCAGGCGCAGCTCGCAGGGTGCTCATATGCCACGTTGCCCTTCCCGCCCCTCCTCCGCGGGTTGAGATCGGTAATCGGTACCTGCAGCCTCGAAGTCGTGATGCAGACCTTCTGTCAGCCGAGCGTCACAGAAGCTCCGCGCGTTCCTCTGACCAAGAACTAAAGAGAAGTGACAGTCGGCTATAGACATCGAGAAGTACCTGATGAGGAATTGATTAGACTTTGAGATGAGTGACTACGGAAGAGCTCATTTTCTGAGAACACTACCCTACCAGGACCCCAATCTTGGAAGTCACAGGCAGCCATGTGTGGCAGCTTCCGCAAAAACTGCAGAGGCTACCAAATTCGTCTCTCGACGCTTGGGAGACTAGATCCTCTTTCAACCCAAAGGCTTTATTTGTCGTTGGTCAGACTTGCAGTTGTGGAGGTCAGGAATGGTGCCCTGCGCAGTCGGTAGTTTAGTGCTCATAAGAAATGAGGAGTTGCCTGGAGTCATTCCAAAACTTTCGTGAAGCACTGCAAAGCACAAGAGGTCTGGCTTTTGATCTTCAGAAGATCCATGAGCATAACACATGCCCGTCCAGACAATTGACTTGGCTGTCAACAGCTCAAATCACACAAAGCATGCAGAAGACCGAGACCTGTCCAAAGTCCAACGCCAGCTTGAAACAACGCAGGTACGTGGCAAGCCGTCAGCCGAGGCGATGACATGTATTGCAAGATCCGTATCTTCTAGCTACTGCGAGGCTGGCCAACAACTCGAACCTCACACAACATACTGACAGCCTCCCACAACCACGACTTCTGCAGTCACAACATCCACATGGGCGTCAAATCTCCGTCACCGCATTCTACCCACCTATGCAATCTTGTTTCATGCTGTGTACGCCTCACATCCAAGGCTCATTCTACCTTACATCCCAAACTCATTTACCTGCAGGCATCAGTAAAGCCGGTCGGCATCTGGAAACCATTTTGCACCACCACCCCGGCCTATCACAACTTCCCCATTCAGCCACTAGCTCACACAAACACGTTGAACTGCCTCATTACCGAAACCTGCAAGCGGGTTCGTCTGACGTTCATGCCATGCCTGTCACATCTTGACCGCGTAGAGAACATGTAAGGAGTGCACCTGCGGGCATTGATCCATGTATATAGTATATGCCGTGTATGTTATGCAACTTTTGACGCATGGCGCGAGGCTCCGCCGAGCACATCCTTGCCCGCATAATGCCTCAAGGCTTGCAAGCTTGCAGCCTCGTGGATCTTGGGTTCCCATCGGCTTCCTCAGGCCTCAAGAGCCAAGCTCAGGTTCAATGGGTTGTCCCGAAACACACGGTTCCATCACCACCAACCCGGGATTGCCCATCCTATCTGAAACTTTAGGAAACACCCCCGTTCTACAAGTACAAACTTGCGCAGTTACAGATGTCGCTGTTTCACAAGTCAGTCTGAAGATCACGGTCTCACCATACACGGATTCCCATGTTCACACAAAGCACTGGGAACAAAACGTACCGTTTGATGAGTTCCTGGCAAGTACCCATTTTCTGGAACAGCGTCGGGTCGCCTATGATTCGAGCAGCGTTCTTAACCTCGCGACACGTCTCATCCAGACGCGTAATCACCCGCACGATAGTGCCCTCCATGACATCCGTCAGGTCTGTAATGCGGTTGAACGACATGCCGCGGGCCCACTCGTAAACCACCTCGACCATGCCGAAGCGTGGCTTCGATACGAAGTCGTTGGAGTCGTCAGCGGACAGGATGACCTGGTATTCGGTTTGCACTTTGTTGACTTTTTCGGAGATCTCAACGATCTTGGCTACGCCGCGTTCGAGCGATGCGGCTAGAACGGGCTCGGTGTCGGTCTTTTCTTGGAAAACGAATGCGGAGAGGAGCGCGACGATTTCTTCGGGCTCGTATTCGGCGAGGACGTTTTCGAGGACCAGCTCAGTGAGAACTAGTTCGTCGGCGGAGTGGATCTAGTTGTCATGGGTAAGTGGATTGCATGTGTGAGAAGGAGAGAAAGGCTTACCTCGCACGCCACCTTGCCCTTCAGCTCAACTCGCGATCCTTCATCAATGAAACCGAGCTCCCGAAGCACCTGTATCCTCTGCTCATAGTCGGGGAGTAACTGGAGGTTCTGATCGGACATGAGTTGGCGAATAGCAAGGATGTTCTCTTTAATGACCCATTGGTCATGTTCCATCGAGAACTGATCTTGTCAGCATATGTTGAGCAATATTACATCTATGGATACCTACATGTTTCAGGAAGTTCGGGCACTGCAGACACTCTTTGTTGACAGCATTCTGGCCCCGTTTGCGTCGCGCATCCTGTGTCTCGCGGAACTGGAGGTTCTTGATGCGGCTGTAGTCGTACTCGTCCCAGTCTTCGTAATTCCAAGATTTGCATAGAGGGATGAATTGGTCTTGTGCCAGTTTCATCATGTCTTTCTTCTTACTTAAGTTCTGAACAGTTTCTGGGATCACAATGGTGCTCTTGGTAAAGCACTCGACATCGTTGAGAGGGATATACGAAGTCTTTAGGATCATGTCCTTCGGATTTGTTGGCAAGGTGCGAAAGAACCTCGCGAATTCAGCAACATAGGGAAGCAGGTCATCAGGCTTTCGCTCCAGGTTCTGTGCAATCTCCAGGACCTTGACAGTAGGCTCATTGCCTTTACTGGGTCCATCCTGAAGAAGCATACCTACCGTTCGCATGTTGTCCTTCTTATAGACAATGAGTCGGTTCTTGCTAAGCACGCGACGTCCCAACGGGTTGCCAAGAAGACTTAAATGTGTCTCGTTCGTCAAGCGCTTGTAGTCTTCACAGGCCTGGTGACACGCTTCCAGATCAATATCGCAGATCTTGCAAGGCTCGCGCTTGACCTTCTCCAGATCAGCTTCTGACAACTTGACTTTCTTCTCATGTTCTGGTAGTAGTGCTTGGGTGGCGTTCTCACTGAAGCTGCGCTTGATCATTTCCTCGATCTTCAAAGCTTCGACGCGTAGCAGGTTCAACATCATGTTATACGTGAGCCTGAACTGCGATCGCAGCTTCGTTGGTTCGCCCAGCATCATTTGTCGGAGTCTCGCTGCTGGTGGCGCTTCGTCGGCTCCTGGCGCGCAAATGATCACCGTACCAACAGTGTCGAGACCTCTCCGCCCAGCGCGACCAGCCATCTGTGTGTACTCGCCGGGAAGTAAATCACGGAACTCTCTACCGTCGTGTTTGCGAAAACCAGAGAAGACTACAGTCCTAGTCGGCAGGTTGAGACCCATGGCAAAAGTTTCTGTCGCAAAGAGGACCTTGACGAGCGTCTTTGCGAACAAGATCTCGACGACCTCCTTGACAATAGGTAACATGCCACCATGATGGACGGCGATACCTCGGCTGAGCAGCTCTCTTAGCTTCTTGATCTGAGGCAAGTCTCGGTCTTCGGGGCTCAGTCTGGCCAAAGACTTCTCGATGGTCATATGGATAGCACTCTTCTCTGCAGCGGTGCAGTAATCGATGTTTGAAAGCGCATCGGCATTCTCTTCACAACGCTTCTTCGAGAATACGAAGATACAAGCTGGAAGTAGCTCCTTCTGGCGCAGGTGCTGAATGAGATGTACCCAAATGTTTCGATCTTGAGCAGCTGTTGTTCGGCCTCCACCACGGCCTGTCCTGGCAATGTTGCCCCGACCTCTAGCAGCTGGTGGACCTGCGCCACGACCACCGGCACCACCACGACCGCCATTTTGTTGGCCTCGTCCACGCTGATTCTGCCCTCCTCTTGCAGGTGGACCACCACGACCGCCGCCTCCTCTTCCTGCGGGCGCATCCTTAGCAACAGGTGGTGCCTTGACTTTGTCTTTTCCAGAGAGAGCATCGTTGGCATCTTTCCAGCCGTTATCGATAAATTTCTTGTCTGCGGAGACGATCTTATGCATCCCCTTGCCTGCCCAGAGGTAATGTTCAAGAGGAATAGGACGCTTAGGTGTCGAAATGACATATATGTCCTTCTTCTTGGTTCTGCCGACCCAAGAGGCGAATTCATAAGTGTTGGGAACGGTGGCTGAAAGCAGAATGAGGGTGACGTGCTCAGGAAGCATAATTATGACCTCTTCCCAGACTACACCTCGCTCCAAGTCATTGACGTAGTGGACCTCATCGAAGATGACAAACTCGACATCTCTGATGAGATCGGCTCCACGGTACAACATACTTCGAAGAATCTCCGTAGTCATGATGAGACAGCTAGCCTCAGGTCGAATTTGTACATCTCCGGTAAGAATACCAACATCGTCGAATGTTTGACGGAAGTCACGGAACTTCTGATTACTCAAAGCTTTGATAGGCGAGGTGTAAATAGCTTTAGTCATGTGTTTTGCAGCGAGCGAGATGGCGTACTCGGCAACCACCGTCTTACCAGCAGACGTATGGGCTGCAACGAAGACAGAATCACCGTTCTCGAGGTGGTAAACAGCTTCTTTCTGGAAGGTGTCCAGCTCAAAGGGATACCTGCGCGCCATCTCAGGCACAAGCTCTTTGAAGTTCGTAATGTCTCGGTTGACATCAACCATGTGAGCCCACTCTCGCCCGCCTTTCCCGTTAGCCATGGCGAGCTGGGTGTGAGGCGCTAGGGCTGGGAATTCGACAGGTAGCAGTGCATCGATCTCTTCTTCTCCAGGGGTTTGGCCTTCGACATCTTGTCCCTCAATTCCGTTGGTTTCAATACCATCTGCAGTCTCATCATCATCCACTTCGACATCTTTGACAGGGGCCGCAGCTTCGCCAAGCGTATCTTCCACCTCTTTAACAGTCTTCCCATCCGCAGCTGGTTTCTGCTTGAAGTCTAAGCCACGCGTGAAGCCTGGTGGGATCTCCAGAAGGCCACCTTCAGCGCTGAAGTTGATCACCCGATCAAGCCCTCCGGTCTTTTTCACATTAGCACCATCTTGTCGGAGAATTGCTTCATCCTCGATTGCAGCGATGGCCTCGACGCCATCAAGACCTCCCGGTGCAAATGGGAAGAAGCCTGCTGCACCACGGACAAACTCGGCTCTGTTGGCAGGTTTCCTCAAGAGTGACGTGGAGTTCTTAGCGGTTGCTGAGTTCGCAGGAACCGTAACCTCCTTATATCCCGTGACGCGACCTTCAAGACCCTCACGCGTGAAGCGGATGATGGTGCGGGTCTGAGTTGGGGCGATCTGGAACAGGCCACGGTAATTGGTCGGTGTTTCCCATCGTTGCTGCAACTGGTTCAACCACTGTGTGTTGAACGAGCGTGAAGGGGTCAGAAACTCGTGCTCCAGTTCTTTCTTGATGGCTTCCTTCGTCTTTCTCTGTCGTTTCGGCGGTCGCTGTTCGCCTGCAACAGAGTCTATCCAGCCTTTGTCGTCGTTTACTGAACTGTAGCTCAGGCGCAGCTTCTCCAACTCTCCAGAAAGAGCCTCCATTTTTGCGTGCGGGAGGCAGAGATGAGAGAGTCCCTGGCTTTGTGGCGCCGTGGTGTGGAAAATCGATGATGACGTTGTCAATGTTTGTCGACGTCGCGTCAAAGCGCAGAAAGAGCCCCACTGCGGGGGTCCAGGGCCACATACACAAGCTATGCACAGCTTGTACCAACAACAGTGCAGGCACGGATTGTTCCTGCATGATCATCGTTCCATTGTATTTCAATGCTCTTAATACGAACACTGGATATCACGGTTTCCAAACGCCACGCTTTGCAAAATAACAATCATCAAGCCCGTATCTCAGCCTCTCGCGTACAAGACCTGCTGGAGGGCATGATCACCACATATCCTCCATTCCTTCCATAGCCTCCATCTCGTCCGCGAAGGGATCGTCCCGAGCCGACGCTGACCGCGAAGGCAGCGCCTTTGGTCTCGAAACATCTGGTTCAGCACTCTCCGCTAAGAGAGCATCCAGTTCGTCCTCATCTGGCTCTTCAGTTGCAGCGTGCGATTGATCGTGGGCCTGATTGGGTGCTTCCGAACCAGCTTGCGTTCCTGCAGCATTTCCACCTGATTCAAATCCTTCTATGGTTGCTTCTTGGCTCTGCGCAGGTGCTTCATCTGGAACATGTGCATCCAGGTCGTCGTCTTGTTCCGTAGTGTGCCTCGGACTCCCTTCGTCTATCCAAGCCTTTCGATCCACTTGCATTCGTTTTGTGTGTCCGACCTTTTCGATGATTGCTAGGGCGTCTGCGAATTTGGCGCGGGGGTAAAGGTCGTCGAGCCACAGCTGGTACATATTCAGCATACGGGCGATATCTCCATACTGTAGTAGTATCAACACGCAGTTGCTGATCATGTCTATGTCGATCATACCTCGTGTCCCTTCCCCTTGAAGCGCAGCCTTTCTTTCGAGATCTTTCTCAGACGTGGGATGCCTGGCTCTGAGCGTAGCCTTACATCGTCAAGCTTCGGTATTGATATGCGCTTCTTCGTGACCACTATCTCCTCGTCGATGCCGAGGTCTCCATCTGTGTTATTGTTGGTGGTGGTCTTGCTGGTCGCAGGCTTGGTCTGCGACTGGACATGACCTCCTTCTGCTGTTATTCCGCTCAAAATATCGTCTAGCTCGTCGCCCGAGGTGGGTGGCGGATTTATAGATGCCATCTTGGAAAGATACAGCGAAACAACAATTCACCTCAATCCTGATGTGCAAGAAGCAGAATTGCTGCAAAGTAACGACCTTTGCGACTGACATCAGAACGCGTCGCGCGCGGGAGACGCGTGCTGGTTAGCGTGCCAAGAACACTTTATTCTTGCGACAAAGAACTGGGGTCTCGGCCAACATCCAATCCACATCAACCAAAGCTAGATACCCCGTTCGCGCCGCATAGCGAAGGTGACACCTGCAACGCCAGCAACTGATAGAAGTTCATTGGTAGTGAATGAGTTGAAGCTTGCAGTTCAACACAGACAAACAAGGATAACTTTCACATCTCGACTAGTGATCACTTCTCTTTCAACATCGCTTGCGTAAGATGGCTGTGCCTATTGTAGGTGCATCTCAGATCAGCACCGCAGCAAGACTGGATGAGTTGCTGCAACGCGCGCGAACTGTCAAGCCAAGCACTTCAATCGAGCCTCCACTCCAAGTCTCAGAGCTAGTGCCTGAAAATGGACCTCTCTTTAGCGACATTAACGGCGAAAAAGACGTTTTGTCGACCGCAGTCGAGAGTGCTGCAAAGGGTGTTTTCTACGCCAATATCGTAAGTTGCTTGCGTCCGCTAAGGATCTAAGCTAATGTCAGAAGGGATTGACAAGAATCGACGAGCCAGCGTTCATAACTGTATGGAATCTGCTTGACATCCTGCAGTACTGTGGTGATAGAGGTACGCATTCACTGTGGGCTGGAACACGATCGATGAAGACTGACGAAGTTAGACGTATGCTCAGCACAACTGGTACTCTTGCTTATCGAAGAGCTGCTGGACAGCCAGTCACTGGCGCAATGTCGAACAGTGTTCAGCTTCCTTGAATCGCGGAGAGAGGCCATCATTGCGGTATGTCCACTTACAACTCCGGGTTGCCTTACTGATCGCTTTTTAGATAAGCTCCCAGAACAAGTCATTGGTCATTTTGCGACTGTGCAATGAGCTGCTTCGTCGGTTATCTCGCGCAGAGGATCCAGTCTTCTGTGGACGTGTCTACATCTTCATGTTCCAGAGTTTCCCGCTTGGTGACAAGAGCTCAGTCAATCTTCGTGGAAATTTCCATGTCGAGAACGTAACAACGTTCGAAGAGTTCCTGACCGAATCAAGTACGAATGAGGACCCCATGCAAGTCGACAATGATGCAAACACGCCTTCAATCAAAACAACAGCGGAGCCAGAAGACCTTTCGGCGAAGCCTCCTAACTCTCGTAAAAGCAAAGAGGGCCCGCCAACGCTGGACATCGATACGCTTTACCCAGTCTTCTGGTCGTTACAGCACTCATTCTCAAACCCTCCCCGTTTGTTCGAGGAGAATAACTTTAAAGATTTCCGAAGCAGTCTAGAGGCGACGCTCGCGAAATTCAAGGAGGTGCCGAAGGTGATACAATCAGGGGACATTGAACGCAAGAAAGGGTCAAAACCCTCGTCGGGCGACAGCTATGACGCGTTTGCAAACACGTTCAACCCCAAGTACCTCACAAGCCGCGATTTGTTCAAGCTCGAGGTATGGACGCAGCACCCTTCTTATCGTATGCTGTGACTGACGATTCTGTAGCTAAGCGACCTCGCTTTTCAGCGTCACATACTGGTTCAGGCCTTGATACTCATCGACTTTCTGTTGACATTAACCGAGAAGGCAAAGAGCAAATCACTCTATCAGAATGCGCAGAAGGCCATGCAGTACAACTTCACAATGCGTGAGCAAGACGTAAGTGTCCGCCACTTTCCCTCCTGATCTTCCTGTTTCGCCACCGGTATCTACGTCAGTGATCATCAGTTCCTATAGTCTTGTCTGACCATAAAGCACAGACCGAGTGGGCATTGGGCATCAAAACCGCCGTTGCAAATTACCTGCAGGAGGGTCCGGATGGCAAATTCTACTACCGTATGGTAGACACTGTGCTTTCCCGGGATAAGAACTGGGTGAGATGGAAGATGGAGAACTGTCAGCCGTTCACTCGGAAACGGGTCGATACAGCAGAGTTCCTGACATCCAAGTCTGATGCAGTGCGTGCCGTCTCGAAGAAGAGGCCAAATGAGCCTACAGGCGTGTCCAGTTCTCTAAACTTCTTGTACAACACAGAAGCAGAGAAGGGGCTGTCGCAGCTTAGACAGCGTGATCGGTATGTTTTCCCCATTCTCATCAGCGTCTTTATATCTGTGCTTACGCTCGGCAGGTTCAATGCACCTAGTGCAGAGATCTACGCAAAGAAGGCCAAGATGATCGACTTGGACTTGGAAATTGCTAACAATGATGCTGAGAAACGTGAGCTAGAGGAGAAGAAGTCCAGCTACATCTGGAGAGGTCTCCGCGCGGCTTCTCAGAAACAGCTGAGCTCGTTCGACAAGATCGAACATGGTAAAGGTCTGGAGGCTCTTCAGCCGGTCCCTTCTCAAGCTGAAATTGCAGGCGACAACACCGCACCCACTGTTCCGGAAGACAGGGATGCAGCTCCGCAAGAAGAACAGCATAGCGTTGAGGAGCAACGGGCCGAGCAACGAAGTCAAGTGACTGCAGACACAGAGATGGAGTAGCCAGCAGGGCATTGTTGCCTGTACGAGGTTGGCGTGTCGTCAGGGGTACTGAACATGCAGTCTTCTTCACGAATTTCGGCCTTTTTTGACGATGTGCATTGTGGGGAGAAGAGTGGCGCCTGGCTCCTCAGGAGATGCTGTAGACGAGGGTCATACGAGGCACAGCCAGTCATCATACATGTCTTCGAGCGATCGTTGAGGTACCAATGGGGTCGCCAACAGCCTGTGAGGCAGCTGCAGGACGGCGCCACAGTACATACAGCGCCACGATCTGCAGCTACATAGATGAAGGGCACAACCAAGAGGACTGGTCCGTCGTGCCTGGCTAGACACTGTGTCATTCCCGGCACTGCAGAAATGAGCTGTACAGCGAACACAGCAAGTGCCACTGGCAGCTAGGATGACAGCAGGCGGGTATGGGCCGTGTTGCAGTCATTGGCCGAAGTTTGAGTTCAGATGCTCCACGTACGTGGGCGATGCTGCGGTTTCCCGAAATGAAGGGACCTTGTCTTACCTGTCACAACGTTCTCCATTATGGACATAGGCATTGTTGCTGTCCTGGCATACCGCTGCCTGCAAAATGTCGACTCCACAGAACAGCGGCACCAGGCTGTTTCCAAGTGTTAGCACACGGCATTATCGATAGTCTTTAATGCAATGGCAGAACGAAAAGCCGAATGGTGGCGTTCTTCAGAGAGAGCATATTCTGCCGACATCAGCATGCCATCCATGTGCCCATCAAACCCACACACTCTCCGCCGTCCACCAATGGCCCGCCAAAATTTCCGCGGCGGTTTCGCTTTCGATGCTGGGTGGGCGGATGAAAGTGGGTAGTAAAATGACAGGAGCACGGCTTGGCATGTGTTTTGAAAATGGACCGCGACGCCGGTCTCGGCACCGACTCTAAAGCTGGAGGTTGCGTACGTCAGCAAAAAGTAGTTTCTGGTTTCCTTTTGCGTTGCGAAACATGCCAAACTGGCCGCCAGCTGTGTGCTTCACGGGCGTACAATGCAGCCTAGTGCTCTCTGGCAGTGAAGCCGCCCGTGCCGATGACCACAAGTCCACGACGGGCACACCGTACCCAGCGCTCGGCTGTCGTTGCTATATTCATTGATGGACTACACCCCAGCCTGGTGCGCCGGGCTGGCCAGCTCATTCAGGCACGGGTGGTAACTTTGTTCGGCCTGAGCGCTGCTGATCCCCGCGGAAACTTGGAAGGGGTGGCTGCACTGACCTGCACTGGCTGCGATCGCAACGCAGGCCCACCTGCCTATCCTTGACCTCTCCTGCAACGCGACTTTGAGACATTGTGGCAGCCTCACGTAGCGAAACAGACTGGCGTCTGAATGCTGAGCCCTTGTGCTCGCGTCCGCCCTGGGCACCCTGCTACGATGCGTTACGTCGACGGCCACCGCTGTCAGAGCCACCGACAGATGGCCGGCGTTGCACCATGCTGGAGCAGGCTTCGAGAAAACACGATCCTAGTGCGGCCCGAAGCTTTTCGCCGTTGGATCCTCCAGCCAGATCGTTCACTGCACGCGCTACACATTGCAGCCGGCGTGCTAGGCGCTCGACTACAAGCGACTGCTCGTGACTAGACGGCACCCGCTACGACTGATCGCGCAGGTGTGTAGCCAGTTGGTGCCATTTCAGCACGGATCCTGTTAACCGCTGTTTGCTGGCCGGCGAGGGCATCCACGCAGTGAATTTCATGCGTCACAGGGCGCGATGGGCGGCTCGAAAGAACAAGGCTGATGCAGCGCGTTCCTGACGCAATCTCGCAGGCCACAGCCGTTATGAGACAGCTGCCAAAGGACGCTTGAAAGCCACCAGCCGCACACCAGCACGGATGTGGACCGCTGTGAAAGCGGTGGTTACTCGACAGTAGCATGGAGTGAGCACGCTGCACATGCGCGGCTAGCAACACACCTGTCCTCAGTCCAACCTCACCACCACCACCTCGCTCGCCCACAGCGCGGACTAAAGCAGCATCAACAGAAGAGACCCCGCAAAGAAGCGTTGCCGAGCCCTGTAACCCTGTCGTACCGATCCCTGCTCGCTCTTGCTGCGTGTGTCCCTGGAGCTCCCGTTGTGCTTCAGACCAATGATGGCGCCCAAATCTGCCTGTATGGACACCACGGATCATGCCTTGCTCGTCGGCGTTTTCTTTGCTAGGGCCCTGGTCGCCTGCAAGCAGCCCTCCATGTTCACGCACCGCTCACGGTCCTCCTCGAGAGGGCCCCCTGGTTCCCAGTGCACCTGATCCAGAGACCGTCGATTCGCCCGCTCCCGCTCCGTCTCTCTTTCACGTCCCGAGCTACTGTATCCCTGTGTCTTGGAGGCTTCCTAGCCCTCGACGTTAGTCACGCTTCTTGTCGTGTAACGACTTGCTTCTAGATCCTCTAAGGATATCATGTTTCCCTAAGAGTGACCTTAGTCCATGCGTGGTCCAACCCCAGTCCTCACACTTCTCAAAAGCTCGATTTATCCGGATCGTCCTTAGTAAAGTGCCGTCAAGCCTTTCCTGTCTGAATGATCTATTCCCCTCCCCCTGCTGCTTTCGCTCAAGCACCCTCCGACGGATTCTAATCCTACTTACAAAGGATTCCCCATCGCCGAATGCTTTCTGTCCATTCGAGCTAGCCAACTGCTTGTCACTACACACTGCCTCGTCATCAAGCATCCTTCTCTGGCTTCAGCCCTGATCAGATCAACCCAGTGTCTCCTTCAGCCCCACATCGAATCTGGATCTCGATCAGAACCTGTCTACATCAAGCTTTACCGACACATTCTCTAAAGGTTCCTAGCTGTGGGTCGTTACGTTGCTAAACTTTGCCACCTTCTGTACCTCTCACAAGTCATCGGTGGCCAAGGCTTGAAGCCTGGCGGTGCAACCAGGTGAGTTCCACTCTATCTGCAGAACCAGGCGCTGGTGATCGTTACCTTCTACTAAACTGGCGCAGCTACACAATCAGCACTACCCTCATTCTATAGTTTTCTTTTGCGAAAAGCGCCAATGGTTGACGGAAGCTTCATCGTTCCCCTGTCTCCTCCTACATCGCCACGCAATTCTGCGTACGGCACAATCACTGCCGAAACCGAGTGGCAGTCTTCCAACATAAGGGCAGAAGAGCACACCCCGCCACATTCGGACTGCGACATGACGGCCCTCCAGGTCGAGGAAGCCAGCAACGCATTTGATCTCAAGCGCCCATCAATTCGATCGCACAAGAGCTTTCCCTTCCTCCTCGACAGCAAATCACATCTCAGCAATGGCGCTAACTTACTTTCAACGGTAGACGAGATCGAGCCGCACGACTTGCATGCTGTGACTTTTGGCGGCTCGGCTCCTACCAGTCCGATCTCCAGGTTGACTCCACCTTCGACACACGATGGAACTACCGAGGAGAAGGCCGAGGACGAGGGCGACGACATCATTCTTGATGAGAAAGATGAGGCTGTTGACAGTGATGTCAACGAGGAGGACAAGCCTATGACAGCCGCTGAGATTCGAGCAGCCAAGCGCAAGATGAAGAGATTCAGACTTACGCACAACCAAACCCGATTCCTCATGAGCGAGTTCGCTCGTCAAGCCCACCCAGATGCCGCTCACCGAGAGCGTCTCTCGAGAGAGATCCCCGGTCTTAGCCCCCGACAGGTGCAAGTGTGGTTCCAGAACCGGTAAGCAGATCGACTGAGTAGCAGCAGCACGATGCTAATGACAGCGCAGGCGAGCGAAGCTCAAGCGTCTTACTAGCGACGATCGCGAACGCATGATGAGGTCTCGGGCTCTTCCAGATGACTTCGACATGGCACAAGCACTCCATGCTCCATTTGGCAACTCACACGGGCTTGGAACACCACTCGCTTCCCCAGCTGCGTTTGGTCAAGGTTTTCCGGAAGGTGCTATGATGCGACCCCTGAGCATCGACACACTACGACGAGCAACACTTGACTCTCACATGTCACCTACAGGCATCAGCCCTGCCTTTGGTGGATTCACATTCACACCACCACAGTCAGCAACCGACACACTCTCGCCCGTATCAGCACATGAGTCGCCCTTCGGCTTCCCTTCTGCACCGCTCGATACTAGTCCTAGGACATCGAACCCGTTCTCTGTTCCAGTCAGCACACCAACGTCGTACTCTTCTCAGCACAGCATTCCACGTCTTGCGTTGCACGCCGATCGCATTGGCAGATCTCGCGCTGAATCGCTAAACTCACCACTTCGAACAAGCATGAGCTACTCCCATAGCAACGACGGGATTCAAGCATCGATGGACTCCAACAGCCACTCTGATACTTCACGACCATTCTCGAGCTCAATAATGCCTTACGGCATTGGTTATTCATGTAGGTTCATCTCCCATGCAACCCTCAATTCAGAATTAATCAGTTCAGACACCCCTGTACCAGGCTTCCAAGCTTCTAGCTCGAACAGAATGCGTTCTCTCTCAAACGGTGTGCCCAGGCGTATCGAGTTGAGCACCCACTACACTCCAAGCCGCAGCGCATTGACTCCACAAACCGCTCAATTCCCATCGTACTCCAGCGCACCGCTCGCCACACCGGTCTCGTACGGCATGCCTCAATTGAGTGCACCGCACCATCTATCTATCTTCCCCAATTCGTATCTACGAAACGACTCTGCACACAACGACCACTACTCTTGCGTCAGCTCTTCCCTCAGAGATATGCTCGAGCACTCCGACCACGGAAATGATGACCACAACTATTGATCATCAACTTGTCTCACCAATCTGTTCGTATCCCGCGTTAAGCGTATTCTTGGGCGCATGAGCGGCAAAACTATCCACTGAAGCGACCAAAGGCATAGCGTTGCCCATGGTATCATGACTTTACGGCTATTCAGGCAGTCCACTTTGAATCACTACAAACACTTTTGTGGCCATTGTTTGGCCGTTCATACTTTCTCTTCTTCGACCAGCCTTAGATAGACCTCTTCTCCGTTCATGATTCTTCTGACATGTTCGGGCTTTCAACATGTTCATCACTTTCAACAGAAGCGAACGGCGCTTCTGGTATACCCTTCCTGTACGTATCTTGGTAACCAACTTTTCACTTTGCTTGGAGATACATTATGGGTGTCTATCTTCATGTACACAGCCTCCTTCTTGTTGATGGCCCTTGTACTTCCGTACTCGATACGCCACTTCCAATGCACCACAAACTATCAATGTTGAAAATCCATTATGACTACCGATCAATGCAAGACGCCTTACAATACCCCTCAACTATCACCCCACACGATACCCCGTATGATGATCATTGTCCAAATTGCTGCTTATTACAACTGTTCGTCAGGAATGACGTCCCGGCCTCCTCGATATGGACAGGGTGATGACAGCGCGTACCTGCACTAACGGTCTCACCTTACTCGCGCCGCTGTTTGTTCCTGCGGTTAGCCTACGGTCAGCCTACCACAGAGCAAGGGTGAAGGCCCAGCAAGGAACAAACCAGCACTTAGACAACGCGCGATGGCTTAGCTGCAAATCCTAGAGTACACATGATCCTCGCCTTCGAACGGTCTCGGTATCTAGCTTACAACCGGAGTCGTGCACCGGAGTTCTGCTTTAAGCAAAGTGGTCTGCTCTCACGATGGCCATATGTTTGTACAGCACCAGTGGCTAAAGACATAGTCACCTGCTCAAGTCGGCTCGATCTTGTCGGATCGTCGGTTCACCAACGATCCAACCGTTGTGTGCCTGCACACCTTGCCCGTTTCTATTCACCCACCCTAGGCGTCTCGATACCATAAGTCCGTAGCGTGCTTCGGGAGTGCTAGACTAACGCAGCTACAATCCGGACCATCACACCGCCACATCTGCAATTGCCAGTGCGCGAAAACTTGGGGATCAGCGATGTGCATTTGCGAACCCGCGATTAACAGATCACACGGCGAAGTAGAGCCTGTGTAGTGCAGAAGCTGGGGTCAGGCGTGATCGCCTGGCCTATCAAGGTACTTGGATTGGGGGGGAAGCTAAGGATAAGTTCACGATGCCGCAATTCTGGAGAAGTGAGAATAAGAATGCGAGCCCCAATCATGAAGAGTGAAAGGGCGCCCAGCCTCAATTTACCCTGAGCCCAAGATTTACTCTAGCACAGTTAGTTTACATCTGGTTCACACCCGCAGCGCCGTGCCCCTCTTGCACATGCACATTGCATGGTCAGAACGTGTGTTGTAGATGGCATGTAGCACCGCCCACGTTTTCCCCGCCAAATGGAGAAAGAGCAATCTGCAGCATCGGACGAAACCATGAATGGGCATCGGGGTATGTGGTGTTGTAACGCATGACTCGGTGCAAGGACCCACCATCCCATACCCATATCGCAGCTGTTACCATCCAGGCCCGAAGAAGCAATCATGGCAATTTAGCCACTGGGAGACCAAGCTTCATGCTTGCCCGTCGCAAAGCAAAGCGTGAGATTGATGCTGGCATTGCCCTCGGTTCCTGGAGCTAGAAGCCGAAATTAAGCAGGTCCGCTTGGCCGCTCCGTCTGGGGTAAAGTGTGGAGAAGCGATGCTGCAGGTGTTTATTGAGATGAGTGATCATGTGGAGGCGAGAGGCTCACTGGATGGAAGGAACGAGAGACGATCGAAGCCGTCGAACTTTCTGTATGGAACGATCCTCGCGTGGCTGCTTGTCAGACTGACCTGACAGCTGTACGATCTCGTGGTGTCAGGCTAGGAACGCATTGAACCTGACTGGGCGACCTGCTCGCTTGCCCCTTTCACAATGAGCTGATGTAGAACCGTGGTGCGCAATTGGTGGCATGTCGGTCTCAGCACTCGGATCAAAGATCCATAGAGCCGTGGTGTAAGTTTCGATAGTTTGATGATGTGGAGCTTGGTGTGCTTGTATCGCTTGCTAGTGTTACCTCATGGATCTATCCGCATCCAAGTATCGTTAGATGTACGTTCAATAACTCCGATGTCGCGGCGCGTAGAGCGGCGCAGGTTGTACGCACCGCCGTTGTTATGTTGCTCGCTTGGGTATTAAGGTACGTACCGAGATTCCCTGCTCTTGCGGCTGGTAAAAGGATTGTAGCCGCTTGCTAGGAATGCATCGAGGCTCTCCTCTTCGAGAGCCTGAATTCGTCCGGTTGGCACGGAATGTATCGTGAATGTGACGGACTCTGCATTACTGCGTTTGCGTCATTGTATACCCGCCATTGGCGCCCAACGCGTGCTTGAAATGAAAGTGTGGAGTAGCAGGAAATGAGAGGCAATGAAGATCCGGGGTTCGAACGGTCAGCCTTGTGCAATCTCGCACACGCGAACTTCGTACATGCGTGTTGGCGGAACAGAAAGAGACATCAGCCGGTCATCTTGCACCACCATCGTGAAGCCCTTTCGAGTCTTGTACAGCATAGACGTCCGGGAACTCTCTGTAACCTTACGCTTTCTGGCAGTCAAGTAACACGACCGGTAGGCATCGCTTTTTCGAATACGCGATTGGCAATAATTCTTCGGCCGTCGGCAATTGTTGCCTGCCTGTTCAAGAACGGACAGAGTGAATGCTATTGCGCTGAGGTTATTGGTGGAACCTGAGTACAGGACCTTACACTCACGTGTGGTCATGCGGTACTTCAAGCTCCTAGCTTGTGCACTTCACATGTCAATTGGGCTCCGAGCGCAGTGAACGGCGATGTCATGGAGATGATGCAGGCTCGATGCATCCTTGGAGGACGTGCCGAAGCGAAGACGAGATGGGAAGGAACTCATGCATACCGCAACACCTACGGCATTTGGCATGTCCAGCATCGCCTTATCTTCCCGCCTGGCCCCTATCATCACCCAGCAAGGTAAGCAGAGACAGCGCGCGACACGCACTCAGTCGATGTTGGGTTTGGCTTTCGACCTGCCTCTTTGCTCTATCGAACCGGGCGGTCGAAGGATCAAAAGGGCTGCGCGAGGCGCCTCTAGTGCCCGACGACATCATGCAACCTTGGAAGTTGTGCAGCTGCATGCTGTTGGATCCCGAGGCTGTGCCCAACACGGCAGCCGATCATCGTATAACGGCTGGCGCCATGAGCTTTTCTTGACTGCAGCAGTCTCTGCTCGTACAAGATGCGGAAGGCTGACGATGCTGAGCATTCGTATGCGTAGGGCCGAAGGGAGGGTAGACGGCGACGGCTAGAGGTGGAAAGTCTCCAGCCGTGGGTAACTCGGAGGACTCTGGCGAGATTCGCCTTCAAGGCCGACTTCAGGATGCGATGATTGAAGGTCGTGAAGAGATTGCGCTTGTAGCACCTGACAAACAACACGAAGACCAGCACAGCCTCATCGCAGCACTTGTGTTAACCTGCAGGTTGACGCTATCTCACCTCCTACCAGATCCGACGAAGAGGCCGCAGCTAGCGTGCGATGGGCGGTTCCTTCGCGAAGTCGCACTGAGGCTGGCACAAGGCATGTTGCTGTGCTTTTGTTCCTGGCGGTTCGCTGCATCACTTGTGTGCCTGGCGATGGAGTGCATTACACAGCAGTTTGGCTGCCAGTCAGTCTTGGTCATGTCGTGTCTCCAGCATCGATCTGCGGGCCGGTCTTACCCAATGGTACAGCATGAAGCACTTGCTCCACAGACGCAGTACCGTTGCTGTGCTACACTCGCAGTCCGGCAGCATTTGTCAGAATCACTTATATTTCAAAGTAGATGCAGAGGTTGTAAAGTTGAGAAGGCGTCAAGTTGAAAATCTAGAAGAGTTGGCATTGGTGTCACGACGCTAACCTATCGTCTACACAGCTCTGGGGGCCTGAACTATGTGTGCCACTGGACCGTCGCCTCAACTGCGACATGGAATCCACGTCCATGACAGTCAGTTTTTCCCGCTTGCCGATGAGACCGAGCGGATTTACCATCTTTGCTTTTCACGTAGCTTCTACCTCTCCTCATACCCAGTAGCACATCCCTTCCTCCGTTGCCACGACTTGTTGTCCTCTGCAAGGCGTAGGTCGAAGCTCCCACCTTCCCAGTTGCACTCGTGTCTTGAAGCAAACACTTGCCAACTTCATAACGTGGGGTGGACCCATTCTGCACTGTGGCGAATACAAATACATCTGGCTTTTGTTTTTGACCATCCTTCTTCAACCATCCCAGTCCCCACCTTTATCCAGCGCATCCAGGCTACCCTTCTTCAGCAGCTTCCTAGAAGCTTTATCCCCCGACAATTTCTTAGCGCTCACTCCAAAAGCCTGCGCAAACACGGGCAACAGGTGGTGCGAAGCACATACTTCCTTCTTCTGCTTAACACTCTCCTCTAGTTTCTCGCGAAGTAGAATCTCTAGTATCTTTCCAGTCGGAGTAGTCTTGAGGCGGCGAAGCATCTAAGCTTCATCGGCATCAAAGTAAGGCGCGCTCAGGTATAGGCTATCGGTTGTGCTGTTGAGTCGGTCCTCGGAGGATTTGTCTGAGTCGAACTTTTAGAGGTCGAAGATGAAGACGTGTAGCTTGTACGAGAGGAGTCTGTTTTCGCACAGCTTCTCGATGGTCGACATTTTTAGTCTCGTTCTGATGATATTTTGCAGGTGTCTCTGTTGGTGGGGGTGTGCTCGAGGGTAGTCGGTGAGTAATCGAAGAACAAGACTTGTGAGTTCAGAGCTGCGATATGACTGTCAGGAGTAGTAGGTAAGTATGAAGGATCTACTGTGTAAAAATATCGGATCAAACGTCTAATACTTACCCATTGGATAGCTCCTCGAATGTGTGAACGCCATTGTAGGCCATGGTTGAGATGGCACCGCCACAGAGGGACTCATTACGTGTGGCATTTAGGCAACAACACCACTCCAGGATAAGGCCAACGTCGAAAGAGTCAGACGCTCAGTCGAAGGTCACCGGTGTTCAGCATCCTCGAACCCGTTGACGATCTTGACTCACTGTGTGCATCTGTGCGCCTTCCAGAAACCCTCGAACGATTCCGAAAGTCAGCCCGCTTGCGCTAAACGGAGTTAAGGTGAAGAATGCTGATTGGCCGATGAATTGTAATTATCGACAACACGGCGTCATGCTGCATGAACTCGCAGCAATACGTCAACTGCTGGTAACGTCGTTCGATTGCAGCGAACGAACAGGTTCGAAGGAAGAAGAGTAGGTATTGTGCGCAGAACAGGGCGTGGATGGCAGCACAATGCCAACAGGACCCTTTGTCTGCCTCAAAGCCACCTCCTGGCGCTGATGAGACGGTGCGACAAGGCACAGAGCTGGAGGACCGTGCAATATTTGTTTGGACGCGGTTTCCACTCACCTGGTCGAAGTCTGCAGACTGACTGCACGCAGAGTGTTTGACAGCAAGACACTATTGCTTCACTTCGCCGTTCTTGGTGCAGACGTGGGGGATTGCTGGACGCGCAGCACGCCCCGGGAAAAAGAAATAACACGCCTTGGTGTGTCTAGTCCGTGCTGGCAAGGCCCACGTCAAGGTGTTGGGGCGAAGTGCAGCGTGCAGTGTGATGCTTGTGTGCTTGCGGCTCGCAGTGAGATGTGGTGAGGGGCCTGGCCCCACAATGGAGAAAAGAGCGAACAGACAAGACTGAGTTCACAGAATGGATCGCAGAAGCAGTGAGTCGCCGTGCATGACTGTCTGTGAATCAAGAGGACGCAGCGGATAGCAGGCAAGCCACTGTTGGTGGTGCACGAATCACATGCGGGTGTGGACTCCATGGGTCGGACTGCGGATGATCCCTGTGGCTCGCTAAGGCGAACTCAACTTGGGCGAACAATTTTCAAGAACGCCTTCCTCTCCCTTCACACCTCTTCATCGTGAAGACCTATACCACATCTCCGCAGCGGGCTCAGTGCATTTCCACGCGAGCCGCTTGCCGAATTCACAGACACGTCTGTTGAAATTCACCCGAGGAGTACCTGTCACGACTCTTTTCACTGCATCCAGTGAAAGCGCTCGGACAGCCTCCCCCGTCGCCCTTTCCCCAGGAGCCGACCCTTTTTCGCCCAACGCGACAGACCTTCTCTCTTCTGCACCCTCGAGTCGCGCGCCCGCCGACTCTTAATAGCAGAACGACCCCGCTTCGAATCTGAGATTCGTCCGGCACCCCGCGCCACTCTGAAAGCGACTGCGACCTCACCCGCACTCGCCCACCTCCCACCACCACTCCACCACCTACCGCCTCCAAGCCCCAGGTACTAATGAGTGCATCCGCTTCAAACGCGCAGAACCCACCGATCGCCGCTTCCTCGACCGCTACGCCCGCGAACAACTCCTCGTCTGGATCGTCCGCCAACGTGGCCGCTGGTTCGGCTCAGGCCACTGCCCGCAGCTCGTACGCCAACGCGACCAAGAAGATCTCTTCTCCTACGATCGCGTCCAGCGGCGCGCCCGCGGCAGTGGGAGCCCCGCAGAGCGCACAGCATGGCAAGAGCAGCTCCGTCTCCCCGGTGAACGGCAGCAGCATCACGCCCGCCGTGCCCACTATGCCCACCATCGTGAGTGGCGGACCTAACGGCGACCACAGCCGCAAGTCCTCTGTTCACATCAAGCAGACGCCCCCGACCTCTGGCGCGCCCTCTAACATCAAGTTTGGCTCGCTCGCCGGCTCGCCTGCGCCTGCACCCGCCATGCCTGTTGCTCAGGGCAGCAACCTGAACCCCCAGGCCCAGAACCCGCGTGTTGCTTCGCCTGCGCACTCGCCCTCGCCCATTCCCACGCCCATCTCAGGTGGACCCAAGCCAGACAGCCTGCCCACCCGCCCGAACTTGGTCTTTGGTGGCCAGGGCAGCGAGAGCACTGATAGCGTAAGTCTGCGCCCACGCGTGGTTGGCTTTCACCAACAGCACTGCACCAGTCATCTACAGTCAGAAGAAACTGCTAACGCAAAAATTGCAGAACCGCCCCGCTATGCCTGCTCAACCCAACGGTCCCCCTCACATGCGCCGCGAGTCGTCCCAGTCCTCACACAGCGGATTCCCAGTAAACGGTGGCCGCGGACGTGGTTTTCAGCCGCAGCAGTACAACCAGTCGCCGCAGCCCTACCGTGCTATGCCCAACCAGCCCATGGGAGGACGAGGAGGCATGGCCCCGGCTTTCACGCCCCAAGGTCTGCAGAACTCACCCTACCGCCAGAACCGCCCTAGCCCTTCGATGGCACCTGCTACTATGCACCAGCAGCAGCATTTTGCTAACCCTCAGGGACAACCCTTTTACCCAGGACAACAATACCCTCAGCCAGTTCGTATACCTTCTCATAATACTTCTAATATCTCCTCTGTTGCAGAGTCCAGCAAAGCGATGAATGTTTCAGCTGCAACTCGATCTTCTCAACTTTCTCAACCTCCGCATGTTCGTTCGACAAACCTGAAGGGGCTTGGATTCCAAGCACCTGACGACGAGTCGAATGCTTTCTTACAACCTCTCGACTTTTCTTCATTCACGACTCATGAACGCGAACAGTATCTAACGACATTGCAACAACAGAACATGTACGGTATGCCTCCTCAGGGTCTTGACCCATACAACAACTACTACGGCCAGCCAGCGTACGGACTGCAGCAGTCTATTCACTACCCTGGTGTTCCTAACAGCCCTGGCCGTGGTCATGGCTTCCCTCAGCAGATGCAAAACCCTTACTCGATGCCCGGCCCTTACGGCCAGCCTCCTCAGGGACAGAGCATGTCGCGCACTCCATCGCAGATGTCCGAGCGCCCGCCTTCTGCTGTTCCTCAGCCCTCAACTCCTGCGATGACCAACGTTAACCACCACGCACACACTCCTAGCGTCACATCCGCCAGCCCAGCACCAAGCTCGAGCGCTTTCGAGCGCCCGAAGAAGAAGAGCGCAGCCATTGTCATCAAGAATGCAGATGGAGAGGTTGTCGACTTCAACAAGCCCAAGGGAGCCGCCTCACCTGCACCCAATGCCGCGCCTGCAGCGCCTGCTCAGTCCAAGTCCCCTGCCATTGCCGCCACTCCTACGCCACCTCCTCGCGCTCCCAGTGCCACGGATGCCACTCGCACTGAGGAGGCACCTGTCAAGTCCGCCAGCGAGAAGAAGGCCGACTTTGTCAAGCAGTTCCAGGAGAAGCTCCGTCTTCAAGAGGAGGCTGACAAGAAAGCTAAGGATGATGCTGACAACGAAGCCAAGGCTGCCGCCGAAGCCGAGCAGAAGAAAAAGGATGATGCTAAGGTGGCTGAAGAGAAGGCCGCTCAAGATGCTAAAGCCAAGGAGGAGGCCGCCGCCAAAGAGGCCCAGGAGGCCAAGGAGGCTGAAGAGAAAGCTGCAAAGGAGGCCAAGGACAAGGAGGAGTCCGCCGCAGCTGCTAAGGCCTCTGAGGACGACGAAGCCGAGAAGAAGCGCAAGGAAGAGGAGGAGTTCGAGCGCATGGTCGCCGAGATGGAGGCAGAAGACGCGAGGCGCGAAGAGGAAGAGAAGCGCTTTGCGGAGGAGCAGGCGAAGAAGAAGGCGGAGGAGGCAGCTAAGGCTGGCGACAAGGTCAAGGCTCAAGAGGAGGCTCTGCGCAAAGCTGAGCGTGAAGCTGAAGCCGCTGAGCTTGCTCGCGAGAACGAGACGCCTGAGCAGAAGGCTGAGCGCGAGGCCAAGGATAAGGAGATGTTCGCTTCTCTGAAGAAGAACACCATGTTCGGTCCCGGAGCTACCGGTGAGGAGCCCAGCGAAGACTCCGCACCTCCTGCAGCGGCTCCTACTCCCGCACCTAAGCCAGCATCCGCCACGAAGCCTAAGCCGGCCGCTCTTAAGCTCGAAACCAACAAGCCTGTCGAGCCTGCTCAGCCCACCGCTGGTATGGAGTCTCTCAAGACTGCTCGCTTCATCCAGATCCGTAACGAAGCTATCAATTACCCTGAGGGCATCCAGTCTCCTAATCCTGCATTGAACCAGGGTTCCAAGAGTAAGGGTCGCCAGTACGACAAGGACTTCTTGCTTCAATTCCAGGAAGTTTTCAAGGAGAAGCCGTCAGTCGATTGGGATCTCAAGCTCAAGGAGACCGTTGGTGATGGCTCCGACTCTGCTCGTACTCCCTCTGTCCGTGGCAGCGCCGTTGGCCGTGCTCCTTCAGGTCGCTCTGGCCTAGGTGGTCCTGGTGGCATGGGTAACTTCGGTCAGGGAGGTGCTTTTGGTGGCTCACGCACTTTGCCTCCTGGCACAACCTCGGAACAGCGCTTCCAGCAGGCCTCTGGCCGTGGTCCTGGTACAATGACCAACCCTTTGGCACCTTTCGTACAAGGTGGCAGCCAGCGTGGCGGTTTCCCTATGGCACCTGGCATGTCCCGTTCATCTTCTTTCCAGCCAGGACCCGGCTCTCCCCGTGTTGGCTCGCAGGGTGGTCGTGGTGATCGCAGCCGCCGTGGTGGTGGTGGCCAGAAGGGTCACCAGGCAGACACTAAGACTATGCCTCTTACTGCCGGTAAGGAGATCAAGGACCTCGACAAGACATCCAGTGGATGGAAGCCTCACGGATCCGAGAAGCAGGTTGTCACCGGCCACATGGCTCCTGATATGGTCCAGCGCAAGGTCAAGGCTGCTCTCAACAAGATGACGCCCGAGAAGTTCGACAAGATCTCAGACCAGATTCTCGAGATTGCTGCACAGTCTAAGGACGAGACTGACGGTCGCACTCTTCGCCAGGTCATTCAGCTTACCTTCGAGAAGGCTTGTGATGAAGCTCACTGGTCTTCCATGTACGCCAAGTTCTGCTACAAGATGTTGAACACTATGAGCCACGACATCAAGGATGAGAACGTCCGCGACAAGCAGGGCAACCCTGTCGTTGGTGGTGCTCTTTTCCGCAAGTACCTTCTGAACCGCTGTCAGGAAGAGTTCGAGCGTGGTTGGGAAGTCAATCTCCCCGAGGCACCCGAGGAGGGCAAGGAAGCCACCATGCTTTCGGACGAGTACTACATTGCCGCTGCCGCCAAGCGCAAGGGTCTCGGTCTTATCCAGTTCATTGGTGAGCTTTACAAGCTGGGCATGTTGACTCTGCGTATCATGCACGAGTGTGTCCTCAAGCTTTTGGACTTCGAAGGCCTGCCTGATGAGTCTGCCATTGAGAGCTTGGTCAAGCTCCTGCGCACCGTCGGTGCTACCATGGAGTCTGCCGAGGCTGGCCCCAAGATGATCAATATGTACTTCGAACGTGTTGAGAAGGTCATGAACATGGAAGGCCTCCCATCTCGTCTGCAGTTCATGTTGCTCGACACAATCGATCTTCGCAAGGCCGGCTGGAAGTCTAAGGACAACCTCAAGGGTCCCAAGACCATTGCCGAGATTCACCAAGAAGCCGTCGCCGCACAGCAAGCCGCTGAGATGGAGCGATCTCGCTCCCAGCGTGGCGGAGGTGGTGGTCGTCTCCCAATGGGCCGCGGCGACGCGCGCTCATTCTCTGGCGGTAATATGATGCCTCCTCCGGATAACGGCGGCCGTGTACAGATGGACGATCTTCGCAAGCTCTCGAAGGGTGCATCTGCCCGCGGACTTAACAACGCTGGTTCGCTCGGTCCCTCTATGCTGGGTAGCCGCAGCGGCAGTGGCCGTCGTGGCCTCGGACCCGGTATGATGGGCCGTGGTGGCGATGAGTCTGGTAACTCATCCCGCACTGGCACTCCTGTCCAAAAGGAGAAGTCAACCGCACATGCAAATGCTTTCGAGTAAGTCACAATTGTGAAGATGAGCGATCAGCACATGCTAACATTTTCACAGTGCGTTAGCAGCCCTTGAAGCCGAAGACAACGCTGGCGAGGTCAGCTCCCCACCACCAGCTGCCGCCGAGACGGAATCCAAGCCGTCCGAGTGATTACCTTCTACTTCGTTCCAGCGCGTGGCGGTCATACCCATAGACAGCACCACACGCGGTAATCTAATCGCTTGTTTCGTTGCATAGACAGGGGCATTTTCTGCGCGCATTGTACTGCATTTCGCATCAAAACTAGCGGGGTCAAAAGTTCTTTGTTGTCGATTCACAGGTCTCGAGAGGATGGTGATGTTTTGACCATCTTTCGGCCTGTATCATGAGCGGGTACAATACCATGACGGCGTTCCGGATTTACTGAAGTAGCCGACCACGCCGACCGCTTCCCTGCGTCTCGGATGGTATCTTTTGGCTCCTGGTTCTAGTACCCTTTTCTCGCTCTTCGTTCCTGCACATTTTTGTCTTTAGCTGCGAGTGGTGGATGATCTATAACGCATCATTCACGTTCAATTCCTTCCTAGCCGCGGTGGTTTGACGCACGCTGATGGGGGAGACATTCAGCACGGATTTGCTTCGGCATAACCGTAGGAACATGCACATGATGGGAGGATTTATGAGAGATGGCAGATTTTTTCGTGTGCATGGCTCGATCTAATTCAGAATGAATCGATAACTTCATGTGCTGTGCCCTTCACATCTTCTTGCGTGACTTCCACTCCATCGTCAGGTGTCGAATCAATGAACATCACAATGTGTCCTTTGAGGAGCCCGTCCTGCGTGGGGCTCATCCTCGTCAATGATGTGATAAACACGAAGATCGACCTGCAAGCCGACGCGGCTCTCAGCCTGTGAGAGCCGTTGAACATCGATGATCACCGTTTATCTGGCCGGGTGAGGGGGTTGCGACAAGGATGTGTACCTGGCGACGTCATACAGGGCGGAGAAACCATATATAGCAGTAACAACTGCATTCGATCTCACTCACCACACATAACCTCAACAAACGACTCGGACCAATTCCATCAATCGCCAATCATCAACATGGCCGAGCAGAACCAGCAGCAGCAGCAGTCAAAGGGTATGCAAGTTCCTTGATGAAGTAATCCACATAGCAGCTACGCTGTTCGAAGCAATGGAGCAGGATTGGCGGCTGCTCACTGGTTTTCAGAACTCCAAAGATCTTAGCTGATAATGCTACAGGCTTTTTCGGAACCGCAACCAGTGGCCTCGGTACGTCTTTTTGCTTTCACGATTTCTCAACAACATACACTTCAACATCACCTCTACGGCCCAACACGAACATCGCTCTCATATATCCCAACATGCATACTGACTAACACCAGGCAACACCCTAGGCGCCGCAACGAACACCCTCGGCAAGGGCGTCGGAGCTGTCACAGATGCGACCGGCAACGTCGTTACCGCTACAGGAAAGGGTGTTGGCGACACCGTCACTGGACTCACACAGGGTCTCGGAGACACTACCAAGGGTAAGCCGACGAGACTTCGATGAGAATAAAAAGACACTGACCGTTTGGTAGCTGGCGGAAACTTCGTCAAGGATACAAGCAGGAGCGGAACAGACACCATCGGTCTTACTGAGGCCGAGAAGAAGGAGCAGGCTAAGCAGTAGGGTTTTGGATATAGCGTGGGGCGAAAGAGCAACAAGAATGTCAAGGGACAACTGCTTGGAGCTATGAGATTATGGCAGATCAGAGTTATCGGAGGAATGAAGAATAATCACGACAATCGTCTATGCCGCCGATTGAACATGCTCATCGCGACACAGCTTTCGATGTTGCTGTAAGTTGTGCTGCTCGGAAGTATGCTTCGTACATGAGACCTTTATTGATGAGTGTAATCCTGCACGGTCAGACTCCATATGAGCTGAGCCTGCTGAACACTCATCAAAAGCTGAACGCCCCAGTCCAACACATGCCAAGCACTTTCCTCCTGAGAATCGTCCGCTTGCCAAGAAAATGCCAGCAGTTTATTTTTCAGCTTCGCACGGAGTTGCTTCGACACGGTAGAGATCGTCCAGGAGTCTTTGGTACACTTCGCAGAGATCGACAGCGTAAAACGCAGATATAAGTACGATGGATGACTGGAATCGATAACTGTCCGCTGGACATAAGGGTATCTCGCAATCAACGCTTGATGGCGCCTTGTGCAGAACATGAAAAATCATGAACAGCATAAACAAACAAGACCCCAAAGTAACACAAACACCAACGCTATGCAAGCACAGAATCCAATCACTGAGGAGCCTGCTCCAAGGCACATCTCCGCCAGTAACAATCGATTACCCCGTAACTCGCCTGATCCACAGCGCTGAACCGGAGTTGGGATCGTCCTTTTCCCTCTTACGCAAAGCACGATGCAGCTTCAGGCCAATGTCGTGCCCCTCAATCTTGATCTCCGCCAGCTCGTCTTCGAGCGCCTTCTTCTTTTGCTCCATCAACCTTGCGGTCTTGAAGTCTGTCAACATGGGGTTTGAAGGCGCAGCAGAGTTCAAATCCTTAAGCACTCGGTACACGTTCGAGCGACGAACGCGCAAGTCCTCCACCTGAGACTCAAGAAAAGATACGTGGTCGTTTGCAGACAGAGTCGTGGGGGGTTGCGGCAGTGCCTTCTGCGTACCTGTGGTTGACGTTGAGATCGTAGAGTCTGGACGCGGCGAAGTTGGAATAGCAAGAGCCGCCGTACGAGTCTTTGTGCCGACTGGAGATCTAGCAGCAGGGACCGGTTTGCGAGCAGGCGGTGTATCTGGGATCTTGTCTGCCTGAGGAACAGGACGGCGGCGATTCAGAACCGAGGAAGCAGCTGACGCAGGCTCTGTCGCCACCCTGGCTTTTGCGACATTATTCAGAGCTGGCATTGGCTGCGGTGGGGACGGCGGTGGTGAATGCTGGTATGTGGTCGTGCTATTGTAGGTTGTCCATGAGAAGCGACTGTGCGAAGCTTCCTTGTCCTTCTCTGGTGTTTGCTCGACCGGTTTGTTCCACACCGTGCTCTGCTTTGGCGTGAGATTGCGCTCCCATGACTCTGTGTCAGAGGCTTCGCTTTGATTGTCAGCAGTCGCAAATGAAGATGGCGACTGCTCCTCATTTGTTGGGGTGACGGGGCTGGGATAAGAGTATGGGTTTGTGATTCCAAGGCCGTGGCTCTGAGGAGTGGTGGGCGAAGTCAAACCGTAAGTGGGTGATTTCCTGTCAACTTTGAGGGGAACGATAGGCTTGATGAACTCGTTATGCGCGTCAGAGATGTTTGGATTATCTGCGACAGGGCGAGCGTCAGCTGCCATTGCAACGCGGTTAGTGATTGTCGCAACAACGTTTGACATGTCCAGACCAAGCCCCTCCACTTTTCGAGTAGATGGGTTTCTTGAAAACTGTAGCGATTGGTTCGTGGTTTCGTCCTTAAGAGGTCGCGCGATTTCTGCTCGGCCTGTTGCGCGGCTCCACGGCTCGGGGGCTTGTGTAGGTTCAGTCGGCGGAGGCTTCGTACCAAATCGTCCGACGCGATCTGTGAAGCTTGTGTTCTTCTTTTTGCTTTCCGGTCCTGATACCGATACTTGGTAGCCCATTGGCCGCAAGTTCTCTTTCGCGTACACGAGTGGGTTCACCGAGCCGGCCCTGCCTGCGTTGCTCGACGTCGGCTCGCCAGAGTATTCGTCCCATCTCACTTTGCTGTTAGGGGCGACTTTGCCTCCCCAAAACTTCTGCGAAGAAGACTTGACTTCACCGGTTTGCACTGCGACTGATGCTTTGCGCAACACAGGTATGTTGCTGTTCGCACGTGTTGCACCACGATTCTCGTCCATTGGTGACACGTCGCGCATCGAGCGATATCTTCGAGGCAAGCTGGAGTTGTGTTGCTGCTCCGGTTCCGGTGAGCTTGGTGGTGATATTTCTTCGTATGCAGAAGGTGGTGTTGCTGCGGAATTCTCGTAGTAGTAGGATAGATCGTTTGAAGGTCGAGAATAGACCGAAGAGACAGTAGGGATGTTGGATACTCTCGAGTCCTGCGAGGAAGAATGACTGCAGACGGTGAGTGGACAGTTATGGCATGTCGCAGAATATGAGTTCTCGTGACTTACTGGTGCTGTGTAGAGGGTGCATTGAGTCGATAATTTAGATCGGCGACATTAGGATTTCGCATAAGCTGCTCTTCGTCGTAGGTTGTTTCAAGAAGCACAGGGTGGCCTATCTGCGTAGGCCTCTCCTTCTCGCGCCCATGACCCTGGAATCGTTTCCACATGGTGAGTGCCTGCATGAAACAAACATTAGCGCCATTCCGAACCATATAAACTGCCAGTCCCCGTACCACGAGCGGGTATGTCAGAACATCACGTTAAGCATCAGGGTCCTTGAACGGGTCGTCCTCCTTCTTCGCGGTAGCAGCCCTTGAGGGGGGCACAGTAGCGGTCCTCTGGGGAGGTGCGGTAGCGGTTTTCTGAAGAGGTGCAGTAGCGGTCTCCTGGGGAGGTGCAGTAGCGGTCCTCTGGGGAGGTGCAGTAGCGGTCTCCTGGGGAGGTACAGTAGCGGTCCTCTGGGGAGGTGCAGTGGCGGTCTTCTGGAGAGGTACAGTAGCGGTCTTCTGGAGAGGTGCAGTAGCGGTCTCCTGGGGAGGTACAGTAGCAGTCCTCTGGAGAGGTGCAGTAGCGGTCTTCTGGGGAGGTACAGTAGCAGTCCTCTGAGGAGGTACAGTAGCGGTCTTCTGGAGAGGTGCAGTACCGGTCTCCTGGGGAGGTACAGTAGCAGTCCTCTGAGGAGGTACAGTAGCGGTCCTCTGGGGAGGTACAGTAGCGGTCCTCTGGGGAAGTGCAGTAGCAGTCCTCTGGGGAAGTGCAGGAGCGGGCGGATTTTTCTTTTCGGCATCGGACGATGACACCGAAGTTGTTGACGAAGTGGCCGATGACTTCGCAGCTGGAGATTCTATGGCAGCCCTCTGTAGGGGCGCTGGAGGTTCCGTGGGTGCTCTTTCGGCTGGAGTGGGTTTGTCGGTGACTGCTCTCATCACTGGAGCAGGAGGTGGCTCGGTGATCGCTCGTGTGACTGGAGCTGGCTCCGGCTCTGGCTCGACGGCCTTCTTCTCCGTGTGCACCTGTTTATTTGCACTGTAGTGGTTGTCGTAGCGGAGGCGACGGCGCGCAGGTTTGGAGTATTTACGATGTTTGTCTGTACGGCAGAGGCAAACAATGGCGTGTATGGCTGCACCGAGCGGGCCGGCTAGGGGCAGGAAGAACCAGGCTGCGAGGTTGAATCCGATTGTCTGCCATGAGGCGCCGTCGAGGTAGAGAGCAAACCACGGCATGAAGATGGCCAGAATGATGAGCCCAAAGGTCACGCGCTGCCTTGGCCTTGGTACGTCAATGGGTTCCTGCGTCGAAGCCATGCTGGATGTCGATAGTGGGGTGCAGTGTGCGGTAAGAGTTGTGCGACTTGGTAGTGTCTTTGACGGGAGATCCAGGTGACCAATACGCAGGCAGATGCGTGAACGAGTGGAAAAGTTGCTGCAGGTAGGGATGTTCAAGGATGAAGGTGGTACCAGCCCGGATGTTGGAGATGATGGGTGTAGAGAGAACGAGATCGAGATACGTACCGATTAGCCAAAATTACTGAGGAAGGTGTGGTGAGGCTGCTGTTTGTTGCTGTTGTTGTTGTTGGTGTATATAAGAAGGCGCGCCGGATGTCAACAGAAGAAGGTGTCGAGGTCAGCAAGCACGAGACTCGCAAGTGAACGTGGAGGACAGCCTGAAAGAGAAAGCCGCCTCGGTCGTTGGTTGCGCTGGGTTGGGAGGCGCAGCTCAGCTGTCAAGTCAACGGCGCAGGTGTTGCTCGTTGGTTGTCGCTGCTTCACCTTTGCACAACCGCGCCTGCCGTGGTTCGGCAGCGTGAATCAAAAGTTTCGACCGTCCTGGTGTAGACACGCAGCTGGCGAGTGAGAGCCAACCGAGGAGGCCGAAATGAATCCCTCTCCCGCGTTTCAGATGAAATAGCTGTGTTTCAGGTGTCGCGCCATGCGCAATTGTGGATCATGGCCACTGGACCCTGTGTGCGCGCGTGCTTGCGAGCAGGTGCGGTGAAGCTGAGCGAATGTGTTGTCTACAAAGGGAGGAGGATGAGTGACGCTCAAGGCGTGCTGTACAGTCAACTCGCAGGAATGTCTGCTGTCAGCTGCCACAATAGGGCTAAGCATGTACATCATCCCCATCGCTTCTTTGCATCAAATAAGGTAGCGAATGTTGCCAGACATCCGTTCAATACCGAATCCTCAAAATGAAAAGACATTCGAAGGATTGGTGTCACTGCCCCACGACTGTGGCGGCCTACGACGTTGTACGAGTCAGGGCACAGCTCGAGCTGTCAGCACCGGGGTTGCATCATACGCTGAGATGATTTCCCCTCCAAAGCTCCATGAAACCCACCATCACAACACTACGTCCAACACCATCCCTTGATCACACCGCCACACCCACTATCGATTGAACATGACCGAAGGTAGGAAAGTGCAGTATTCTAGCTAGTTGAGGCTAATATCTCGCAGCAACTATCGAGCCACCGGCAGCATATGCGTAAGCAGACCGAACCTCCGCAATTCACTTGAAGTACGGCTCTGACCATGTGGAACTAGATCCTCGCCAGTGACACCCATCAACCTCATTCTCCTCTCCCTGTTCGTCTTCATCGTTTACCTCCGCCTTAAGCCTTCCAAACCGCAGACCTTACCGCGCGCTCCACCGCCGACCGTCTTCCGGACATTTACCCCACCGGAGCTGTTTCCCTACAACGGCCAGAATGGCATGCCGGTGTACCTTGCGGTGCGCGGCCGTATCTTCGACGTGACATCTGGACGCAACTTCTACGGTCCGGGTGGTCCGTATGCAAACTTCGCTGGCCGCGACGCAAGTCGAGGACTTGCGTGCGGTAGCTTTGACGAGGACATGCTGACCAAGGATCTTGACGGACCTCTGGACACCCTCAAGGATTTGGATGAGGAGCAGATGGAGGCCATGCGCGGGTGGGAAGAGAGGTTCAGCGAGAAGTATCTCATTGTGGGCAAGCTTGTGGCTGTCGGCAGCCCAGAGGCTGAGGCTGCTAAGGCGCAAGAATGAGCAAACGGACAAGCACTGAAGAGATACGAAGCAACGGCCTGAAAGGTAGCTAGAAGCATGCAAAATCATTTAAGGGAAGGCAGCCCAGCCCATAGGTGGTGCTGATAAAATGGAGAACACGTCATAAAGGGCTTCCGGCTGAAGAACACCCTCCATCGACATTGGGTTCGACGCATTCCTGGAGGCTTCAAGTCCTTGGATCTCTTGCGTCATATCGCGGCGTAAGCGTAGATATGAGGACACAGATTGCATAGCTTCCGTTGATGAGCTTGTTCTTTCACGCACAAGTCGTCAGAGCGCTACTACATTAAGTCCTCGTTCTTCTTACAGTCCTTATTTGCATGTACGTTGTAGTTGTGAGCACTGCGTATGTCCAGGGCCCACCATCACGATGCGTTCTGCTTCGACTAGCGCGCCTGCCTTTCGTGTCAGCGAGCTTTCACCTTACTACCAGAGCTCACCCTTCCACCTCCCACATCGTTCTTGTTGTAATGTTGTACAGTCACTTTGCCATCACTGCAGCACTCACCATGTCACCAGCCATTACTTCGCCAGCAACCGCCTCGTCAGCGCCTATCGATAATACTGCGCTGAAACCCACCGATGCCGGCGTCAAGAAGCCCGCAAAGAAGCAGAAGGCGAAGCAAACCGGTTTCAAGAAGAACCAGAAGGCGAAGCTGGCTCTGCAGAGGATGCACGTGTTCTGTGAGTGACTGCCTCCAGTCTGGGCGAGCTAAACATCTGCAGACAAGAGTTTGTATGCGAGTTGCTCGAGAAGAGGTTCTTGCTAATGCTGGTGAACAGTCAAAGCTCACCGTAGTGACGACGAGTACAAGGATATGACTTTTCCCGAGCAGCAGAAGGTGTTGGGGAAGCTTGTATGTGCTTCGCGCGCAGTGGAGAGAAGGTTAGGGATGCAACTGACGGATTTGTACAGTGGAAGGCTTCGCCGGAGAACCCTAGGAACAACGCCTAGACCTACGCCGGACTCGGGTATTGACTACAATCTTCGCAGGTCAGACACGAATCAAACTGATCGTCGAAGACATCGGCAGAGCCCGGGACTCTAAGAGTTCACCAACTCAACATATAAAGAATCTTCACAGGCTCTCTCATCACATCGCGATTCGGTCTGATCACATCTGTATCATCGACATATCCCAGAGGTGGAAAGTGCCAGATGCCGTGCGCCTCAAACAGGTAGCAATGTTGTGTATCTACTTATAACGCCGCTAAACGCTCAATAAAAGCTATCCAAACACCTTATACACTCCCTCCGAATGCGCAGGTTTAATGCTCACCACCCAAATTTCTCCACAGCCAACCCGACATCCCTCCCCTGCCACATCTTGCGCGCACACGTATTCCTCACATCCCTAACCAACCCCTCCGGCCCACTAACAACCACCCCCGTCTTCCCCCGCGCCTCAGCGTCAACCCACTCGCCCACCACACTCCTCACATCAGGCCGTCCCGCAAGCGCAGTCGGCGGCGGAATAAACACATCCAGGCCCCAGTTCTGCAGCTCCTTGAGCTTGTCCTCTGGAATCCAGAGACGGTGCGATGGAGAATGTGTGATCCAGAGGAGTTTGACAATCCTGCTGGACTTGGCGAGCGCGGTCTCCGGATCGTGTGGGGAAGGGCGGACAAGGGAGTAGAGTAGGGGATATGTGACTGCGATGCCTGAGCCGCCGGCGATGAGAACTGCTGTGGATGATGAGCGGAGGAGGTCGAGGGCGTGCGAGGAGCCGTAGGGGCCGTCGAGGCGGATGAGAGTTTGTGGGTGAGTGCGCGCGTAGTTCAGTAGTTGCTTTGTAAAGCCAGACTCGGCTTGGGCACGGATTAGGAGCGTGAACCATGCATGCTCGCCTTGCTCGTCTTGGGTGCTGTGGTGGATATTTGGGGCGGCGGAGAATATGGTGAAGGGGTGCGATTGCAGTGCGTGTTTCCGGGACAGGGCGGGGACGGAGATGAGAACGTGTTCGTTGGGCGCCCAGCCGTGCTTCATATTGTGGGACAGCAGGCGGAGGGCGGGCGAGCGGTTGCTGACGTCCCAGTTTGAGGATAGCAGAACGGTCTCATCATCGTCCATGACGGTGAGGATAGCGGTGTGGGTGCTTGTCTTGAGCCAGAGCCGGTACACAAGCCGATCGATAAGAAAGACGGCGAGCGAGATGCCAACGTAGGGGCGAGAGGTGTGGTGGTGGAACCAAAGGAACGCCAGACCAGCAACTTGCAGGACGATATGCAGAGCTAGGAAGACCTCATACCACCGCTGGCGGAAGCTTCCCAGAGACGTGAAGTATATCAGCTCATACGCAATGAAGGCAGCCAGTCCAAGCAGCACCACTCGATTGAACAGAAAATTGGCAAGCGTGAAGCCCAGATGCCGGAGCATACCATACCAGACCACGACCATACCCAGAAAATGCAGGAACGCCTCCAGACACATCACCTCTCCCACGCGTCTGTGGAAGATGTTCAGACCTTCGTACGAGTAGCCGGTGAGAAACTTGATGGGCTGGTTCTTCGCAGCAAGGAGATACAGAAGCGGCAGGTTCGAGATGAAAATGATACCGCAACGATCTGCAAAGACGAACAGGTACAAGAACGATAGTGGCATGCGGTACAGGTTGTAAAAGACAATCAAAGCAATCCATGCCAGCACGAGCAACGACACGCCATTGGTAGGCAGCGTCTTATTGACAACCGGAATTGGAGGCGGTTGGTACTGCAGTGCTGCCTTGACGACACGATAACGTGTCCAGACAGCATTGCGTCTCCGTCGCAGCGGCGTGGCCAACAGAGGCGTCGTTTCCGCAGCATCGTTACCAGCCTTATTCAGAGGTCCAGGCGGTGTCACATTCCCTTCGATAGTACTGCTCGAGGTACTCCAAGCCTGGTCTTCTGACTTGGCGACAGCGGCAGATTGCCGCGAGCAAGAGTAGTGAACGAGCTTCTCGCCCCAGTGCCATGCCGTGAAGACCAGCAGAACGCCTAGCAACACCACATTGTAGGTTTTCAAGAACCGCCGCCCAGAGAGGATCGCCTCGACTAGTTTCCGGAACCGCGGATCTTTTCCTGGGTCGTCGGGGTCTACGAGCTTGCCTCCGCCGGCGGTGGTTGAGAAAGTCTCGGGGTCCCAGGGTGCGGGCGTTGAAGCGGTTGCTGCGAGGGCGAAGCGCAGGATGTCCCGCATCCAGGGTGTTTCGTCCATGTTAGAGACTGCGCGCGTCATGCAGTGAGATTTGGTAAAGACTACATGGACGTGGTGAGCGACATGGCACGTTGTGAAGGTTCAGGGCCCCACGTCATCACGCGCCCGGCTCGCGTGGGTGCTAAGATAAGCCCTACCGTACTTATCGGCAGGAGCTACCGAAGCACGCTTACTGGACATGACTAGAGGAGTGTGGGGGACAATGGATTGTTTTGTTCACGTTGCTACTAAATTCTAAGCGGATGCTCTACTCGTTCTTCCACTCTGCCTTTGACTTCGCAGCGAATGCCGCCATGCCAATCTTCTGATCCTGGCTTCCAAACAAGCCGTGGAATACTCTCCTCTCATACTCGACGCCTTCCCTGATACCCAGCTCCTGGCTCTTGTTGACTACTTCCTTGGCAGCCTTGACGGCGATCTGACTGAATCCTGCAATCTTCTCCGCCGTAGCGATAGCTCCATTCACAGCCGCCTCTGGTGTCTCGAACACCTTTGCAACCAACCCCCACTCGCCAGCCTGCTTCGCAGAGATGTTGTCGCCAGTCAAGATCGTCTCCATAGCCCGCGACTTCCCGATCGCCTTGGTCAGACGCTGCGATCCACCCGCGCCAGGAATGACGCCTAACTTGATCTCCGGCTGACCGAACACTGCCTTAGGTCCTGCGTACAGGATGTCTCCCATCATGGCAAGCTCGCAGCCTCCACCAAGCGCGTACCCGTTGATGGCTGTGATGAGCGGCTTCTTCAGGAACGTAACAAGGTCCGACCATGTTTCGATGAAGTCGTTTCCGTATGCGTTGCTGAAGGTGAGGTCTTTCATCTCTTTGATGTCTGCACCAGCGGCAAAGGCCTTCTCGGAGCCGGTCAGGACGATCGCGCCGATGGACTTGTCGGCTTGAAAGTCACGCAGGGCTTGATTGAGCTCGAGGATGAGGGGAGTGCATAGCGCGTTGAGGGCTTTAGGACGGTTGAGCTGGACTGTGCTCGTCAGCAGGTCTCAAGGTTGGAAAGCTTGATGATTCCAGGTTCACGTGTGATATTCTCGAGTCACTTGCATAGAGCCTAACGAGGACATACGAAGGCGCGCGAGTGTGACTTACTAAATCCTACGCCTGGCTTCGGGGTGGAGACAAGCAGGTGCTCGTAGCTTTTCTGGGTCGAGTAGAATCTGGGTAGGCCAGTAGGCCTGAATTGCGAAGCAACTCTTGGTGTTGATCTGAAGGCCTGCATACTGAAGTATGTGCAATTGACTTGATCCAAGAGTAGTTTGTAGAAACTTGAATGTTCGTTCACATCGAAAGTTGGAGCTCCCGCATAGCTTCGGCAGCCTCGGCTATGTCATTGGCAATCGCTGAACGCCGCCTTGCTCGCTTGCACCTGCCGCCAGATCGCGTTCGCCTTAGCGTTGCCTTCTGGATTGTGTTTGGTCCCTCAGCCTCGCGCGACACGCAACTTAACTTTCCTGACAGGTCGCCTCAACAACGTCGCCCCCAACAGACAGCCTTCCTTTTCACTACAGGGCCCCTGGACACGCCCACGACTGTCGAACTCCACACACCGCATAACCGCAACCATGGATTCCCCGGAGCCTGATACCCCTTTCGCGGCCGTCACAGCGCAGACAACGAAGTATGGCAGGGTACGTTCAACGCCCGGCGCATCTGCTTTTCCCCTTGCATTTCCATGTCTTGGATGCGCCCAAGCGGACGAATAAACGATGACTAATGCAAAGCAGATGTTCCAGGCTTATCTCGACAAGTCCACACCCTACAACACCTATCGATGGATTGGCACTGGTGTACTGTTCTTCCTCTTCGGCCTGCGCATATTCATCGCCCAGGGCTGGTACATTGTCGCCTACTCGCTCGGCATCTACCTGCTCAACCTCTTCCTCGCCTTCCTCTCGCCCAAGTTCGACCCCGCGCTAGAGCAGGATGAGGGTATGGAGGATGGAAACGCAAGCGGCCTCCCCACCAAGGAGGACCAGGAGTTCAGGCCATTCGTGCGCCGTCTTCCAGAATTCAAGTTCTGGTACTCGACGACCAAGGCCATCGCTATTGGTTTCTTCTGCAGCTGGTTCGAGATCTTCAACCTACCTGTTTTCTGGCCCGTCCTCGTCGTGTATTGGCTGATCCTCTTCGGCCTGACCAGTAAGTCTGAGCAAAAACCTAGCATACGTGAGAACAGCGGCTAACGTGTGGCAGTGCGCCGACAAATCCAGCACATGATCAAGTACCGCTACGTCCCCTTCACTGTGGGCAAGACACGATACCCCGGCGCCTCGAGCTAAGTGCACTCGCGTCCACTCGATCATTCTCACCGCTTCGTGCGGACGAACAAGTTGCTTTTAGCGCGAGCATTGTTGTAAACGATAGACTATGTGCTTCTATTCTGCGACAGCATGTTGCACTAGGGAAGGTTTCTACGCTTGGATGTTGCATGATATGTATACGTAGGTTATGTCAAAACACCTATATCTTTAATTCTGGGGATGACAAAGAGCGAATTCAAGTCTCTACGAGCTCGTACATGTATCAGTAACGTGCGGACCCCTGCTGGTGGACATCTAACCAAACAACAGGACCTCAACTGCTCACGACAAAACATCTCACAGCCAAGCATATTTTAGCAAACCGACAACAGTGCCCAAGCGACAAACCAGCCTCCGAGCACGGCAAGCCCCTCGCATATGAGTTACGGCTCAGTCCTCCTCGTTACAACGTTATGCCAACTCACCTCTTTGCCGGACGATATTCTGTCTCAGCTTGTCTTTACTAGTCGATTTCCTGGTTTTATTAGGTACGGCATTTCTGCGACCTTCAAGGCTCGAAAACTGTATCTCCGTCCAAGTGCTGGTATCAAAAAGACGACCTCCCACAGACACCATACAGGCCGGCCTACAGTGGTCTGACAAGACTATGTTGTCGTTGCTACCAGGGACAGCGTAGGGGTGTACTGAACAACTGATCATGGGCAATGGTGGTGTGGAGAAGGCCCATGGAGGGTAATCATGGCTACCTACAAGCCACTACATTTCAGTACAGATTAGGCGATACGCAGATGTTGACCCAGATCAATACCTACGACTTCCTTTGTGCATCTAGCAGTCCGTATAAAAGACTTGGGTGTTGATCGGCTAGTCTCCCGAAGGTCAGCTTGTTGCACACCGAACGCGGGGTTTAGCCTACACTAGGCAAAGCGATCCCAAGCAACACCAAAAGCAGGCGTCTGCCGCGTCTAGCACTATCTTGTCTGGACGCCAATCCATGCCGTCGTCTTGACAGATGTCACAGTTGATATGATATGATTCAGAGAGGGCAATATAAGCTGTCCTGCCGCTGGACTCCTCTGGTCTCCAACAACAGTTCAAGGCGACAGCATGAGTCTCTTCTTTAACCTTATCAGCACAACCTATGGTTGGAGCCTCTTACTCCTCGGAGCGGCAACACTCACGTTGATCGCGAGTTCCGCTGGAAAGTACTTCAAGGTACATTGTGCAGCTCGGTCGTGAACTGTACAACAGTCATTGATCATACTACCAGAAAGCACCACGATCACTACGATTACCTGTGAAACGACGAGACCCAGCAGTCTCAGGAGAGAACTTAGAAGATGCATACTACAACATCGAACCCCTCAACGACTTCGATGTCGACGCCGAAGAGCCGATCAAGGCCCGCCCGTTCAAGCCTAAGTTTCATATGACAATGGGCACGTTCTGAGCAAGCACTACTGGTGGACGTATCCTCTAACACACTGTTTAGCTATCAAGAACACCACGCTCTCCGACCTCGTAGCCATGGACAAGACCTACCACTCGCGCATCCAAATCCGACGCAAATTACTCACAACCGAGCACCACGAAGTCCTCGACGCCAACCCCAAAGCCTTCCCCGCAGTCTTCGAGCTGTACAAATGGCTCTCCCAGACCTACCTGCCCCGCCGCTTCCCCACAATGTTCACCTCCACGCCCACCGGCCTACTCAACAAAACCACCAATGAGACACTGCCCCTGATCCCTTCCTCCGCCGCCGACGCCCTCGAACTCATGGGGAGCCACATTGACGACGAGTTCTTCTTCCTCCTACCCTCTGGCCAGCCCGAGGATGAAGGAAAGTACAGATTAGAGGCGTTTATAACATGCTTCCCTTCCGGGTTCAATACAAGGAGTAAGTTGGGCTTGCTGCTAGCAGACATCCACACGCCTGTACCGCATTACAAGCAGAAACTCAAGCGCTCGATGGACAAATTCTTCGCCAGCCTGCCCGTCGGCAAAATCGTGAAGCGCTGGAACTGGACCATCAGTACCTCAGGCGAGCTGTTTTGTGTCAAGGGAAACCACACTACGGAGGAGGAGTTGGAAGAACAAGGGAAGGAAGAGATTGATCTGAAGACGACGTTTTTGAGGTGTGAGAGGCAGACGCTGCATCGGCTGCCGGAAAGCAGGGCGGTGGTGTTTGCGTTTAAGACGTATCAGTATCCGATTCGGGAGTTGAGGGATGAGGGGAGTGGCGAGGCATTAGTAGAGGCTATTGATGGGATGGGGACGGGGAGTGCGCCGGAGATGACGGTGTATAAGAGGCAGGTTGTTTGGGGGGAGAAGATTAAGGCTTTCTTGAGGGGAGAGATTGAGGACGATCAGTGAGGTTGCCGTGAAGTGAGCAGTTGGAGGAATGGGTGGGCTGTGTTGCATGTTTTCGCGTTGCTTTCTTGGTTTCATGCCATATACCCGAGGCCTTCGAATTGTTTGCCTCAAATGAGATTTGTTTGGATTAGTCTACGTCTGGAACTGGTACGCCGTTGATGATCGTCATGCCTTGCTCTCGCCCGAGAGATTTCATGGCCTTCACGGCCTCTTCGTGGCGCAGCTGCTTCGTCTCTTCGTCTGTGACAAGTACGAAGTCGTATGTGAGCAGCTTGGTGCCAGCTTTCACATTGTACTGCTCTGCCTGCTCGGGCGTCACGGTGTCTAGGCCCACGATGAGTGACTCTTTGACGCCGAACACCGCGTCGGAGGTCTCATAGTCAGAGCCTCGGATGTACAGTGCCCTGTAGGAACGCAATTAGCCACCAAAACCCTGCATCCAGTCAGGTAGGAGCTGGAATACTCACGTAACTAGATGATCAAACCCCTCCTTCTCAAACATAAAATGCATATGACTCGGCCTCCAGCAATGTCTCCCCAACCTAGTCAACAGCTTCCCCACCGGCCCATCATGCGGAATCGGATACGGCACAGGCACAATAGCATTAAACCAGAAAACGCCCTCTTTGTCACTGTGGATAACGGCTCTGCCATCTGCCTTGCTCCCCCGGTCGTCGTACTGCACATCGTACTTCCCGTGGCTGTCCGTTTCCCAGATGTCGACCTTGACATCTTCAATTGGCTCGCCGGATGTGGACTTGACGGTGCACAGCACGAGCAGTGGGTCGCCGTTGGGATCGGCGGATATGGAGAACCCGTTCTGGTCGGCGGGGGCGTCGTGGGTGTGGAAGGGGCCAAGGACTGTGCCTTCTGTGGAGTGGGAGGGTTTGGGGTGGTCGATGGAGTCGACGAGGAGCGAGAGGCCAACTATGTCGGAGAGCAGGATGAACTCCTACATGGTGTCAGTGTCGTTGGAGATTAGTAAAGTTGGGGAAGATGTACCTGTCGTACGTCTGTACATATCTGGCCGACTTGAGTGAGGAACTGGATTCCTGCCATCCATTCGTCGAAGCTCAGGCGTGTCTCGCGCGCGAAGTCGTGGAGGTGCGAGACGAGCTGCTCCATGATGTATTTCAGCCTTGGATCGCTGCATTGTGAGTTGATGCGGACGACATTCTCGGTGATGTTGTCGATGGTCAAGTCCTTCAGGACTGGCACGGATTTGTCTCCGGGGCCGGTAGACGACATCTTAAACCTCTTCTTGTTTCGGTTGCTGTTGCGGTTGCTGTTGCGGTTGCTCCTGTTGCAGCGGCTGACGTTCTTCCGACCAGCGTTGCCTAGATGAAGCAGACGACGCGTTCGACCAGGTGTTATAGTTACGGAACTGAAAAGCCTGGATAAGCTCTACGACTAAGTTTATCAAGAGTTGTACGATGCCGTCAATCATATTGAAGCTGTGGATATTAGTTTAAACGGCGCTGTTGACTAGCAAAGGGAGCAGGAGAACGGCAAAAAGGTACGGAAATGCCCCGCGACTTGTAGGAGCGCGTGAGCTCGGCAGCAGTTCTGCATCTCTGGCGTTCTGTCCAATGTCCATGTCGGACGCCTCATAGGCTGCAGCATCTGTTCGACGCGTCGTGACGCCCCGCTTGATGCATCGAGACGTGGATGTAATGATGCGGGGCGAGCGGGTGTTCCGTTAGCGTGGCGACTGGGGCTTACAAAGAGCTTACTCTTTCGTACATCTGTACCGTCAGGTGCCGCCTTGTTCAATCCGGAATCACGTCAAGTCCGAAATCCAAGAATCGGCCTCTCAAGATCCCTCGTCAATAAAAGTGTACCGATGTCCGTCTTGGGAGCAACAAATGCCGGTGGACCACGTCATGACGGGCCTGTTCAACAGCCCTTGGTCATTCAAGGAGATGTATTCATTCTGCTTCTTCTTGTCGTGGCGTGTGGTATGATATGGTTCTCTTCGTTTCGACAAAGGCCGCAGGGTCAGACAAGTAAGGAAAGTCGAGATCAATTTGATGGATGTCCATTCACCATTCGCCAATTGAACAGGACCACGTATTTGATTCGTGAGAACGATCGTTTCGTAAGCCATCCAAACGCACCGTTGAGATATCCGGATCCTGACGGTGGTAGGGCGAGAAACCCCACATCTACGTAAAGAAGCACACAGAGACCCTCCCAGGCGGACAGACAGCAAGCGTTCTCATCGTGAACGACACAGGATGTGGAACATCTGCTCCAGACAACACTTCTAAATCTCGAGAGTGGAATATCTCAACCTTCATCGACCACCACCTCAACGCAACCGGCGACACCCTCTACCTCATCATCCTCTCCCATTGCCACTATGACCACATCCTCGGCCTCTCACCCATCCTGCGCCCAGCAAAAGCCTTGGGCGAACCCCAATCATCCCACGTACTCATCGCATCATCATCCCACGCCCGCTCCTTCCTCGAGCCGCGTGCAAATCTGCGCGAACACTCACTATGCAACTCCATGGGCCTGCACTGCCCCTCCTACAATACCACCATCTGGACACCGCACAACCAGCGCCTCACTATCTCTCACCCCAGACTCGGCCTTCAGATGCATCTTCCTGTCACGACGTTGCATACCCCCGGCCACACCCCTGATGGTCTGAGTTGGTACGATGAGGAAGAACGAGCGTTGTATGTCGGCGATTCGTTCTATGAAGCCCCTGCACCCATTCTTTTCCCGAACGAAGGGAACTTGTCAGACTGGTGGCGCAGTGTCAACACCCTCATCTCATTCGTGAACGAGAATAATAAGGAGAAGGGTGTGAGTAGGGTTACGCTGTCGGCAGGGCATGTAACGGTTGGTGTGGATGCGATGGATTGTTTAATGGACGTGAGGGAGTTTGTGAAGAGGGTGTTGAGGGACGAGGTCAGATTTACAAAGCAGCCGGCGAAGAGGGGGGAGCGGTTTGGTTTTTGGTCTGAAGAGGGAGGGCGCTTTAGCCTTGGGGCGCCATTGAAAGTTATGGAGGAGGGGAGGGCCGGGATACCGGGGGAGGAGTGGAGGAAGAGCGTGTAGATAGGATCAGTCTCGATCACGGAGAGATTGATATGCAGTTTATACTGAATGCCGACAGTGTATATTGTTGATGACTCTTGGGCTGCGCAATCTGAGCTCACTGTGTTCATCTTCGATGAAATGGAGGCACATGGGTCAAATTCAAGCTCAAAAGAGGAGATCGACATTAGGACCCTCACCAGGGTATCGTTGGGCTTCTTGGCCTTGATGGAGCGCTGCTCGGAATAGGGACATCAGTACGATGCATAAGGCTTTGAGGTCGAACAGCGTAAACATGTCGACTGTCTCTTTTGTTTGGCGACGGAGGGAAAGGGGGGAGGCAGGACATGCTCTCTGCCTCTTTGTCTTTTAGATTTCAGATATTGCGAATGGGTAAACAAAAGGTAAGAATGGCCAAGTTTTGAAGTGACCCGGACACCAGCTCAAAACATGTCTAGCTTGGTGATCGTTTTCTTGGACACAGAATGCCGGGCACGTCGAAGAACATTTTATCTCCACGCATGGGTACGGGGCATGTGGATTCTAAAGAGGGAGATATAAGTCGCTCAGTTGCAGCTTTTAGAAAAGACACCGCGAAGGCGGCGCAGCATACACTTTGTCTGCTCACGTTTTGGGAGAGAAGTTGAAGAGAAGGGTGGTTGAAGAAGAGAAGACTGAAGGTTGAGTATGGTCTTCATACGTATCTCGACGCGCAGTATCGCTTCCTTGGTTGAATTCAAAGTATTGGAATGAAGCTTCTAGGGCAGAACGCGAAGCATATATATGGGTATTTGAGCTTTTTGATTAGGAAGAAAAGCGGATTATATTGTGATTTCTGTCCTTCGGTAGTCTTTGTAGAATCTCATGAATATATCGGGAGTGTATCGCCGAATCCAGATGAAAACCCTTAGAAATGAAGATGGAGCGTGGTATAGACGATAGTTTTTTGCTTCGAAAGAGGCCACAAAAGGCGTAGTTCTTGAAAGTTCTGCCTTGGTTAGTGGCTCACTTACTCTCAAGTTGATTATGTTCTGGTCTCACGTAGTTTCTCTGACAGCACAAAGGACATTCAATCAGCGTGGTGACATCTTGAGATTGAGGTACCGTAGAAGATTCCGGTGAGGGAGCTTTTTTCGATTTGAAATGTGTTGAAGACTGAAGTTTGAGAGCAATTGGAGGCAGACAACACATAGCGCTCTTGCGTCTGCGTTTGGACGAGGAAAAGGCAGAAGAAGACCATAGGCAGTGATGCGATCCATTTTTGCGCTCGCTCATTGACGAGCGTGTATGAATTACTAGAAGTCAAGTGGGAGACTGTTATTTGTAGGCAGGACAAGCGCACAGTGCAGGTCTACACGCAGCCATGAGGCTCCACCCGACATACAAGGCACGCATCTCTCCTGTCTTGTATTTCTGGCACCAAAGAATCAGCAAAGGCTTAGGCCAGGATCTCGGACTATTTTGACAAGTATGTAGTGGAGGTGTGGAACTCTGTGAAGATGCTCATGTTTGCGTGGTTGAGAGACTTGGAGAAAGCATCACATGTTGTTGTCTTTGATGCATTTTGAGTGCAAAGGCAGAAGCGCAGAGAGATATGGTGAGGTCAGAACGTGGTTCCTGATGTAGTGCGACACGAGACGCTGTGATGTTATGAAGTTCTTTGCGGAAGGAGAGTACTTATACCCACGGAGTCGGTGTGCGGAGGCAATCATATGATCACTGTAGCAGGCTTATTTAGACGTAATTCGCAAAGACATGAAGAAATTCTTGAACGTTTTTGGGCAAGCAGCACATGTGCGATGCCTGATTTGACTTCGGTCTGTGTGGAGGCAGCGGCGTGGAGAACATCAGTGGGTAATCTCGTAACTTTTAGTGTACTGCACCGGGAGGGAACGTGATGTGAGTAGGGAAAGAGCAAGGAAAAAGATACTTGTATGTACGGAACCAACGAACTGACCAGTCAACGGCGCTCAAACTTTTACCTCGGAACCACCGTCACGTAGAACAAACACATGCTGAGTGCAAGCCAATCATATTATCGCTAAAGATCAAAGGTAAATACAAAGAAGTCCATGTCAAGTCATGTACAGATAAACCATCATCACACAATATCACACCGACCTGGTCTGCGGACTATGATTACCATCCCCATTCCTATGCTCCTCATCTTCCTCAGGCATAGCCTCAAAGCTGAACCTGCGAAACTCTTCTTCTGCCTTCATAGCTTCCCTCTGATCTGAGCTCGTTGTCGTAGAGCTGTAGATCGACGAAGAGACAGTGCCGAACTTGGAAGCGACACCTGGTCCTCGAGCATTCACTGAGCCGGTGGCAGAAGGCGGCATCGATTGCAGTGGACTTACTAGCTGGTGGCTCTTCGGACGCTCCACTGAGGCCTTCAGCATCTGCTCGTGCAAATTGGGTCTCTCACCGCGTGTTGAGTTCGAACGCGATGTGCGCCCGGAGTCTCTAGTGTATTCCTGTTTGGGAACGCTGGAAAGGTCAAGGATGCGGGGGTTGCTGTCTCCAGACATGCGTTTCTCAGCAATGCGGTTGGTGAGAGAGATGATCTCGAGGCTCGATGAGCGTTGCTTGTTCAGGGTCGGTGGGTGTGAGGCTAGTGCTGATGTGGGTTCGGGCATCGATGAGGGGCCGTCCATCGCTCCTGACATCATGTGTGTGGGCACGTACACCTCCGGCGGAATTGGTGATACGGGTGATGCTGGGCAGAAATGGGCTTTCTCGCTCGAGGAATACTTTCTAGGCTTTCGAGGGAGCTTGCGATCATCTTTCGTGATGATCATGGGGTAGGTGGAGCGCTTCTCACTCTTCTCGCTCTTCTCGCTCTTCTCGCTCTTTTCATTCTTCCCGCCATCACTCTTGTTGTCGAAAGAGCCCGGCCGCAAGAAGTGCTTGTACTTCTTGTCGGTTGATGAGCGTCCAGCTGCATTGATAGCCTCGATGTCATCATACTCTGGTGGTGGCGATCTTGTCCTGAGCTTGCCCTTGCTGCCGTTCTTCCCCTCAAGCTTGTTCAGCGCAGCTTGGACGGCGTCGCCCACATCATGACCGTTGAATCCATGGCCATTGAGCTCGTATTGCCGCTGGGGTGAGTTCCTCTTCGAGGGATTGTTGTGTTCCAATTTCGCGACCGAATCATTGGGATGCAACATCGAAGTCCTGAGCGGCCAGCTCATCCGGTTAGGGATCTCAGGTACAGGTGGGATGTCGTTCTCTACCATTGTATTCCTATCTAGCCACATTGATGATCGAGAGCCAGTAGAAGAGCGGTGGCTGCCCGTCGATGAACCCGACGCGCGCTTGATCTTCCATGCTCCTGTCTTCTCGTCGATTGCCAGTGTCGAAGACGGATATCGGAGGGAGTCGGCCAATGTCCCAGAGTCTTCGAACAATGATGTCTGGTATGAGTGTAGAGTCTCGTTAGAGCCGTTGGAATGCATTGATACGACGTTGGGGTGAAGAGCCTTCTCGCTAAAGTGAACGTTAACGCTGCTGCGACTGTAGTCTCCTGCTCGTTTCGCACCGTCCGGTACGTGGAAGCGCAGATCGACACGCACAATGGCGTACATGATGACGACAATGATCTCAGTGACGAAGTTGAACGCGTAGAAGCAAGCTTTATCGTAGTACCACGGCGGGTCTTGGAACCGGCCTTGAGGGTTCCGCAATGGGAAGGGAGGTAGCCAGGCAATGACGCAGCGGAAGATCTGCCCAGTCGACAGCACCGTAGCGGCAATCAACAGGATCGTAATGTTGATTCTGAGACGGCCAGCTCCGAACTTGTCGACCTCGTGGCGGGGTAAGATCAGGGAGATCAAGACGAAAATAATTGGAGCGAACGCGAAGAAACTGAAGTATGTCTGACCGGCAAGCTGAAAGTTCCGGAAGATACGAAGGGTGTTTTCGTTCAGCGTGAAGGACTGCCAGATCGATGTGATGACGATCATCAATAGACTGGTGATCAACAGGACAAGCGCGCCTCGGTGAATAATACGGTAGGGCTTCGACCAACCGAGCCTGGTGTGCTGCGCACGAACCACACGTTGCGTGAAGAACCAGTTGACCATGTACAGGATGATTGTGCCGACATAAGTGAACACGTTTGCTGCCATCGCGAGCCCGACATTGTGTTGATCGCAAGCCCATGCTATTCTCAGGGATGCCGTTATTACCCGGATCTTGCAGAGACCTAGTCATCGTTAACTGCCTCCATGTTGTTACACCTGGTCGCCAATTTCACTTACCCAGTAGCGCGCCATTGAAGATGAACTTGTGCCCTCGGCCTTTGTTACTCTTGAGGATTTTGATGTGAATGACACCAAAGACAAGATAGAGAACGAGAAACACAGCTGTGATGGGAATGTCCGGTATCACATCTGGAAAGCCGCCAAGTCCCGCATGTGTGGGGGAGTATGGAGGCTTCCCTCGGTCCTGCTGGTTCTGAGAGAGCGTCAGTTGTGATCATCGCCTTCAATTTAGGTGACTTACTGATGAAGGCTCATTGGTATCCGACACTGTCGACATCTTGGATCTGAGGGCCACGAGCAGCTCTGCTATGAACAAGAAAACAAGAAGCAGACTACGAGCCTGGCAGACGTGCGAGCACTGGGGGTCCGACGTATATCACCTCAATAGACTTACGCATGGCTGAGAGCTAAGGCGCCCAGATCAGCACCGTGGATGACGGCTGTGCGACGACGACATCCAGGATCTGGCAAACAATTCCAATTGGCAGGATATGTCTTGCGGCAGCTGAATTACAGTAGCTCAACGGCCCAAAGTCAGCCGAGTTAGGTGGACAGCATGGGTCTAACGGCATTTGGGGTTATCAGTGAACGCCGCCTGTGAGCACACGTACCGTGGCTGTGATACATGCAGGATATACAGGGCGCTCCTTGCCTTGAAAACAATTTACAGAATGTTTGTTGACTTCATGCCATCAGTTGCTGCGATCAAGTCAATCTTTCTCTCGTCAATTGCTGAAAATAGACCTTCACAGCCATGCTTGAGATGACTTCAGATGACTTCTAAGCGTTCTAATGCCGTCAGCTGCCTTGCGCGGGAGGCCTGTGTTGACGTTGTGATGGTTGTACCGGCTCTCCTCAATGCTGCCGGACGGTTGATGTTGATCGTCGGAGGCAAGGTCGTGGGGCCCCGATCTGACGTTGTCGGCATCTTGAAGGCCCGACTCTCGCTAAGTTCGCCCTATTAGATGTTAGGAGTGAATGTTAGCATCAGACGTTGCATGTGTTCACGACGCCCAAAGTGTGCAACAGGTTTTTGAACACAGCTCAAGGTTGTGCAGTCAGCAGTGCCGCGAAAGTAAAGTTGTTGATCGGTGAGGTTGCACAGGCCATGCTGAGGCTCGTTGCCTATGGCGCAAGGCATGGCAGTTGCACCTTCTGATGAAACCACAACAGAGGTACAGGCCTTCGACGGAAGCATAGGCATAGGACGGTCGATAAAGTAGAGAGAGGAGTAGGAACTAGTGGGGATGCATATTATATGTTGTGTCTTGACTTCACCAACCTCCTTGGATGCGTACCGGTATGCATATCCCAGCCCACGACATCTGTGCTAGCCACGTCTTGGCCAGTATGCACAGGTTCAGGCAGCCAAGCCAAAGCTCTGTTGTTGGCAAAATGAGTTGAAAGAAAGTCACGTTCAAGACGAACATCTGCTCGCGTGTCAAAGTCGCGTCCGGCGCGGGCCGTCTTCCACCGAAGCGTTCTGAAACGTATCAAACATCAACACCAACGTCATACCCAAACTGACAAACACAAACCTCACAATCTACCAAAATGCCGCCAAAATCAAAGCAAAAAACGCTCAAACCCACAACCAAACCAATCCCACCTCCCTTCTCACCCGCCGATGCTTCCCTCGAGCCTCTCCTCTCAACCTTCGACCCCTCCACCGTGTACATAATCCACGCCGATACGCACCCAGCATGGTTCAAAAAGCGCATCTTCAGCGTGCCCGTGGGTCTGAACCTCCTCATCGCCGCAATCCTCGCCTGGCGCGCCTATGCCATCATCCCGTTCTACTACAGCATCCTTGCGTCGCTGCTCGGGCACTCCAACCACACAACGATATACTACGCGGAGCAGACGTGGGGCGGGCTGATATGGAAGGTTGTGCAGCGCATGGTTACGTTTTTCATTGACTATGTGCTGGTCATGGTTATCGCGCCGTGGCCGTATGGGTTCTTCCTCGAGGCGCCAGGGAATCCTGTGCGTTGGCGTTGGAGTGTGGGGTTTAGGGATGAGGAGGTGTATGTGCGGCAGAGCCGGGGGTGGGGCGCGAAGGATTTGCTGGGCGAGGCCGAGGGCAGTACAGGCAAAGCGGGTGAAGAGTCGCCGTTCTTTAAGACGAGGATCTTGCCGGCTGTTGATCAGCAGCGACTTAAAGAGAAGACGGGGTATTTGCTGATGGATGGAGACTTTGATCTGGACTTCTATGGGATGATTGCTGCGACGCAGTTGTTGGACAGGAAGGATATCGCTGCGGATCTGCTGAAGAAGTGCGTGCTTGTCTACGTTGGCGACAAAGAGAAGGGCGAGGGGCAGTGGGCGGTCTGGAACTGTGGCATGCTTGATGTCAGCGAGCCGAGTGAAGCGGAGGCCAGAGACAAGGTGATCGCAATCAAGGACAAGCTTACGGAAATGGGCAAGGAGAGCCTGTTCTTCAGATGGGTCGAGCTGATCCAGTATGAGAGCAATGCTCCTGGTGGCTTCACACAAGAGAGACAGGTAGCGGCTGCGGACAAGGTCAAGAAGATGTTTGAAGAGCAAGGTGTTGATTGGGACGAGTTCAGCAGGGAGATTGGTGGGCTTGAGGGTGTGCCAGGCTTATAGCCGGCTGTTACTTTGCATTGCATTATGTTGCGGGTTTGTTATCATGATACCCAAAAAGTCATCACTACTAAACGTTTGGCAGACCGAAACATATCTGAAGTGCAAGCTTCGTCTCCTCCAGTGCTTGACATCTCTTACTGTCCCTTCTTCTCATGGCGCATCTTCATCCGTCAAGATCTCAGTACTTTCCCACCAGACGCCGAGCTGATCCTTTCGTCTTTCGCTCGGGACTCCTCGAGCATTCTGATATGGTCATATCGTATATCTAACAGCTGCTTCGCTGACGAAGCTGCTCTAGTTCGTAATATCGTAAGGCCGTTTAGTCGCCGCCAGGGCACCTGCGTCTATGTATATTCCCGCTGCTCTTCCTACATCTTCGCTTTCACACCTTCTGCTTCAGCAACCGATGCAACGACAACGAAGCACCCTGAGCATCTTTACTCCTCCTGAACCCTGGGCTAGTATGTCGACTGGATGACTTTGATGTACTCGACTCAGGCGAGCTATCACGATGCGACCTTGAAGAACGCCTCGACTCCGACGTTCCTGATGAACTCTTCGACCTTGATGACTGACGAGAGTCAGAGGTGCTCGTCGAGTTCAATGTATCGCTTCGCTTGCGGAGTCGGCGCGTGGGTGTTTGTGAGCGTTTCCTCTTCTCCTTCTGCTCGCTGACAAGCATCCTCTCGGAAGTGGGCGTGCTATGCAGCACTGCTCTATGTGCGCGGCGATGCGGTGTTTGCGGTGGTTGTGCCTGCTCGTTCACAACAGTGTAGGTCTCCAACTCATACTCCAGCTCTTCTACTGAGAGCTTGCAACTCTTCTCCTGCCTCTTCTCCTGCTCTCGGCCTTGAGTGTAAGCGTCCAGCAAGCGCTCGGCTTCCCGCTTGTTTGCGTCTGTGCAAACTAGTCTCACCACTTCGAGGACCAGAAAGAAGGTGAGGACGTGCGAAATGAAAAAGCCGACCTTCGAGGCGAAGTCAAGGATCCACATGTTGACTCGAGTATCGTTCCTGATCCGTAATGAATGGCAAAGCGGGGAATCCAGTTGAGGGATAGTAGGTAGAGTATAAGGACCGAACAACAGTCAGAACAGCAAGGTTGTATCTTGTGCGATATATCGCAAGCGGTGTAGTGTCGTGTGCAGCGTGCAGCAGCGCTCGAAAAAAGCAATTGGACGGCCTCGATATCGGCGTGGTTGGAGTGTTGTTACACGACGCACTGCAGTACTAGTTACGACGATAAGAAGAACTACAAGTCAAGAACATATAGTCGCACAAACCCCTCTTCCTCGAGAAACACACAATCACGCCCATTTTGTATGCGATGGTTTGCGTTCGGGATCCGTTCGAGGCGCGCGACTGACAGCTAAAACACCCCTGAAGTTTGGTTTCATGTGGGTTTGATGGCACCAACTCCGCGAGGTGGGCTAGCCGGATGGAGCATTATGCTCGCGCTATAACCCCGGATGATGACGATGATGGATGCTGATTGGGTCCTTCATTGGCGATTGAGAGCGATAAGATGGAATCACAAGCCAAATGGTGTTGAAAGGATGGAGGGGCATCCCGGAGGCGGGGTCTGTGACAAGACGCGTTTGGAGATTGAATGCGAGCGCCTCCGATATGCGACCTTACAAATTCCAGTGGAACCTCTCGGCAATGCTTCTCTGCATCTGCAGCGCGTGTCGTCCTTCGCAGTATTGCGGGAGTTCGAGAAATCGCCATTGACGCTCGCGTGCGCAAGTTGCTGCGTCACTGCCGATATCCATCTCTGCCACCATCAGAACGTGGTATTTACGACAACTACGATTGAACAAATTCTGATTCTAACGCCCAGACACTAGATTCTCCAGAAAACCGTGGCCAAAAAGGTGAGCATGCAGTGCAAGATTGTTGTTGTCGCGAGCTTGCGGCAATCCTGAGGGTGCGTTGCAGGACTCTCACGTACGTATGCACAAGGCGCAGCCTTCGCCTCAGCCTTGTGCTTATGAACAGGTATGGTCAACGACGGGTCCACTTGACCGACAGAACTATCACCCTCCCACCTTTCATGTACCTCATCAACACAACTACTCTTCAACTCGAGTGCTTTGACGATGAGGCTCATCTTCCACCTTATGCAATCCTATCTCCTACGTGGGGTCATGCAGAAGTCACCTTTGGAGAGTATCGTATGCTGTATGGCCGCGTCAACACGCATACACGAAACGATCTCATTCCAGAGGGTCTTGATTACTGGAAGATACCCATGACCTGCGCGCAGGCTGCTGGAGATGATCTGGATTACGCGTGGGTTGATACATGCTGTGTTGACAAGCGATCATCTGCTGAGTTAAGTGAAACCACCAACAGTATGTTCAGGTGGTATCAGAAGGCTGATGTCTGTAATGCTTCACCGGCTCAGGGAACTCGATCCCATGCCGCACGGGTCCGTTAATCCTCGTGTAAACCTTAACACCCTTCGCTTTGCCCGCCGCAACAGCCCTCTTGAAGCTGACCGTTCCCTTCCCGCGGTCTGTCGCGTGCTCCACCTCTTCCAAGAAGATAGCTTTCAGGTTTTTGTAGCGCCCGCTCTCGATCATATTGAAAATCACGCGCTCAAGCAGCACCGTTTCGCCTGCTTTGTCACCGCATTCGCCTGAGCCTGCATTTTCCCAAAAGTCTAGGCAGTCCAGGCTCTCAGGGAATGTTTCCGCGACGTGTTCCACGTAGTAGTCATCTTATTCCTCGAACGGCAACGGAGCATCTGCCCATGACGTAGGTAAATCCTGCATGTTGAATGAGACCTGTATCAGTGCGTGGAGTTTGTTGAACTCCTTGATCTCACCGACAGAACAGTCATCGCTGCTAATCGAGTTACTGTCGAAACCGTACCATATCAGGCTCTTGAGTGATGAACCTTGGGCGCCCGCAGGGTTACGCGCGATGCGACTTGCTCTATACAAATCATCTGCGTCACGCCCTGTTACGGAACGAGGAGCAGCTTTTGCGGGGCCTCGAAGAACATTTCGCGGACATTCCCGTCCAATTCGTACTTCAGAACTTCGAAGAAAAGGTGTTTGACTGACGAAGACTGCTTTGGGAGGCCGTCGTAGTCCCAAACACTAATCATGCTGTCGTCGTGGCTGCTGGTTTCGACGTTTTCGACGAAATAGTCTTCAGCGTCGCAACGCAGGCCGTTGAAGTACAGAGTGTCGATATTAGGGAGACAGAGTAAACACGCACTGAACAAGGGTAACGATCGTCGTCCATCCACGTATCCGAGGCGACACCAATGGCTACGAACCGTAGACTGACGAAGCCATCTGGGCACTGGCCCCGGCTGACCTTGACATCCAAAGAATTATCGTCCATCGGTTCCATCTTGTCATCCTGAGTACAATCTTGCTCGATAAATTGCTCACAGGCTTCATTGTCCTTGCAGATTTCCATACGTTCCATCTCTTGAGGCACCATCATTCTCTCATAGTTCTCCCGGATTTCTGCCACATCTTCATGCTCTTCCGCCGTCTCGTCACTATCAGAAGGGTATTCACTTCCAGTGCGTTGGGATCTTTCGCGTTCGGGACGGACACCTTTGGGAATAGAAATGAGTCTTGAGCCATCATAGAGTGGGACCACTGTCCTTGTTTGCCGCTCGAGGAACAAACTTGAGGTCTCGGAGACGAGGGCACTTGGCGAAGAGCAAGGCTATCAGAAGTCCACCATGGCCAGTTTCGACTTGAGAGAGAGCTTTCTCCCGGTTTATTTCTTCGGTCGCGTGCTCGCCGAACCAGTCCAGATATTCGCTGACCCTCCCAAGTGAAGGCTGAAAGCCCAAGTTATCCAGGTCTGAGACGCCATTATCCCAATCCGATATGAGAGGTGTCACAAGGCTGTATATCATCCATTCGTCCCATGTTATTCGATCTACCATACCTCAAAGGAACGAACGTGCCATACTGGAAAAGGGTCTGCTCCGAAGGCGCTCTGTAACAACAAGGAGACTGAAGATGACGTTTACCCAAGTTGTATGCCATACATGGTCTCTGGACGCTTCCGTTGATCGAAAATCAAATATATGCGGCTGATCTTGTGCCCGTGACGCTGATGGTCTTAGCGGTGACCTATATTAGTCGATAAAATGTATGGCGAAAGTGGAGTCTGGAGCACATTAGAGATTGCTTCAAATGCCAGATACACGTACAGTGGCTTTTCCTGGTCCCCGGATCAATCGTCCCACCTTCATACTGAAAAAACGAGGGGGAAGGTTGAGATAGTGGCCAAGTGCTTGCATTGCTTCACTGTTGAGACTACTAGCCAGACTAGAGCATATGAGAATTCTGTTCGGAACGATGTATAGACGACATACTATAGTAAGCTCTCAGTCGGTTTTTGGTGCAGACGTCAGCCTCGATCTCGATTTAAGAATGCCTTGCCTGGTGCAAACTCACAGACTGTCGGCGCAACAAGGCAATTAAATCAGGATTCACGTTCACGGTGGCTTCGTGCTTCCATTGAGAGTCTTGTGTCGGTGTATTTCGATAGCTCTCAACGCTGCAAATTGTGCCTCTGCTCTTTTGCAACACGATCTCAATATTGCGGTGTTCGATAAAATCGGGCTGCCAGGACCAGGGCCGTTGCAGATGTTGCTGGTCCTCAGACAAATTATTCAAAGTTGGGTGTACTTTAGGGTCAGGCTGCGGCTGTATCCACCACGCTGTTCGAAGAGCCATAGCAGTTCTCCGAATTGTGATGAGTGCGAGGCAAGGATTGCGCGAGAACGTAAGACAGCCTTTAGGCGGGCTGGCGCTTCTTGGACCTTATATGTTGCTGGGCATACAAGGCTGAAGGGACTGATGACGAATTAGGAAGCATTGCAGGGCAACGTTCTTGCCACCCACGTTGCATTTCCATGCATCTCCGTGCATCTGAACAAGCCATGGATGCTGACCCAATATCATAAATGAGAAGTCGGTCCACCGGGCGCTCCAATTCTGCGCGAGTAAAGTGCAGTAATGTTCTGTGATGATCATGATTGATATTGCTGTGATGAGTCTGTTGGGATAGGGACAATGCCTCTGCCTGTGATTGATTAGAGAGTTCAAACCATGTCGGTGATGGGGCAGAGTCTTGTTGTGGTGTATCTTCAGCAGGAATAGCCCGAGGAAAGGTCGTTCGTGTGCTCGATGGCTGCTGCAATATACAGGACTCTGCCTCGTTGCCTTCTGCGTGGCTACGAGCATGTGGCTGCATGCATAAGGCAAACCTACAAGGCTGCATGCATAAGGCGAGGCTGCATGCATAAGGCGAACCTACAAGGCTGCCTCGACGGCCGTTATGTACCTTAGTAAGTTATGTTTTCGGCGATTGGTTAATTAATGTCGCATTTGCCTGTTGTGTAACAAGGTGAATGGGCTTGCTTCTTGGTTGAGAGGGAAGATACGGCCATGCATGCCCATAGCTCTTTGAAGCTCGTAAGACAAGATTCCTAATATCGCGGTTCTGCCTGCGAACGTGGTTAAGAGATAATTTCAACAGCAGTAGCATGCACATCTCTTTCCGTAGCCAATTTTCCATGAAGGCAAATCTCAGGGAGTGGAAGGGGGCGGCGGTGTGCGCCATAGCTTGCTGCTCACAAGACATTGTCACAGGCTTGAGCTGCAGATGATTTTCCCTTACCACCACTATCGTTTATGAGCTACATCGTTCAAGTACATGTCAACGACGAGGTTTTGTCTTTAAGTGAAGGAACAAAGGTCGCCGGAAGTGCGGTAGCGCGCCGTGGTTGACCGCATGAGCTGACGCCGACATCATACCTCCGGTAGCTTGCTCCACCCTCCCGCCGTGTACCCGACCTCAGCCTCAAACTTTCAACTTCTGTCCGAAGGGACTATCTTTACCCTCTTCCACCTCATAACAAGCACATCTGAAGCTGGTGAGAAGATGTTCAGCTTCATCGCAGACGGCTTGACGTAAGCGCCCCGCGCCCCCGCAATATCACAAACTCCAGCATGCTTCAGCGAGTGATTGCCTATCGCGAGCTCCACTACAGCTGCCAAAACTCCGATTACCGCAGAAATGCTTTCACAACATCCTGCAGCTAGCTGACATTACAACAGTGTCGCAACCACCGTTCTTTTCCCCATATTCGCATCCTACAAAGCCCTCCACACCTCTGATCCAGCGCTGCTCGCACCCTGGTTGATTTACTTCGTCGTTCTCTCGATCCTCACCACTGTTGAGAATGTCTTCGACTTCATCCTCAGCTGGATCCCCTTCTACTCGTGGATCCGCTTCTTCATCCACCTGTACCTGATCATGCCCGGCTCGCAGGGCGCTTCATTCGCATACCAAGAGTACATCGAGCCATTCTTGTATCAGCACGAGCGCGAGATTGATCACTTCATAAGCGAGAGCCATGATCGTGGGAAGGCTGCAGGACTGGCATACTTGGGTATGGCTATCGAATGGGTCAAGGTTAATGTCCTGGGCTTGGCACCTGCAAAGCCTGAGTCGCCTAGGCCTGCAGGGCAGACATATGCACAGAACTTGATGAGCAGATTCCAGATGCCAGCTGCTAGGGGAAGCAACGACTTGTACGGACTCGTCAACCAGGCGCTGAGCGGAGCAAGCGCTCTGTACGCCGGCAACCAGAGTGGCCAAGCTGCGGAGCTCAGCCGCAACGCGAACCTCGTTCCAGAAAGCATTCGCAATAATGACGACAGACTCAACTACGTGACCTCGCAGCGTCAGCGTCTCGAGACGCTCCTTCAGGCATTCGATCGCGAGCAGGAGAACATCCGTTCACAGCAGTCGAGCGGCAACAGGTACCACGAGGGTAGCAGAACACCAACCGGCATCTCAAGGAACAGGAGCGAGTCCGAGTTCGACCGCATCGAGCGCGACGAAGCCAGCCCGCGTCCTCCGTACCCAACTACACCCCCACCACTAGGCAGGCGAACAAGCAGCGGCTGGATGCCTTGGAACTGGCAGCGTCCACAGCCACCGGCAGATCGCGTGGACCTTGATGACCCTCTGGCATACGGCAAAGAGCCTGCCGATTCGAGGAGAGCACGCGCAACCGGATTTGACCTCGGGGATCGCTAGGGAACGAATCCTTGGAGGAAGTCCTTCTAATGATTGTGTATTCAACGGCGTTTTAGCATGACTGAAAACAGTAGAGACTGGATCTCTCAGAGTCACCAGGCTGCATAACACAAATGAATATTCGGCAGTCAAGTATGAATCCATCAACACAACTGTGCAACCTTCGTCATTGTGGCCCGTGCCCTCGAACTGAATCGTGACTACGCGCCGCGATGGCGTTCTGCATCTTTCACAAGCGTGTCTGTGCGTTACATCACTCCCCACGACATTCACATCTCGACATGATGGCAGCAACAGCCGCCAGAAGAGGTGCCATCCGGCTGCTCACCAGCTCATCGCGCCCATCATCCCGCAGCTTCTCCTCATCCCGCATCAGCGCCGCCTTCGCCAGCACACCAAAAGCCCAAGCAACGTCGACCACCACCACCACCACCGCCGCCGCAAAGCCCGCCACCACGTCCGCCTCAGCCTACAAGTCCGCAGCCCCAGCCGCACAAAGAACAGTAACGCCCTCCTTCCCCGCCAAAGAACCCCCCGTGCCCACAACTCGCAACACCACCGCCGCCGCCGCCACCACGGGGCAGCGCTCCCTGACCGACGGCCTATCCGACGCGCCCTCCGAAATCGAAGGCGTCGCAGCACATGACTGGACGCGCTCCTACCACGGGCTAGGCAGCGTGTCGTTCTCCAAAGAGCAGGCTGACACGCTGCTTGCGCCTGTGGACGGCAATGATGTGGAGGTTAAGCCTGATGGGATACTGTATCTGCCGGAGATCAAGTATAGGCGGATATTGAACAAAGCGTTCGGGCCGGGGGGTTGGGGATTGGCGCCAAGGGGGGAGAGTATTGTTACTGGGAAGTTAGTTACGAGGGAGTATGGGATGGTTGTTCAGGGCCGGTATGTCTATGCGCTATCGTACCACGAGTTGTTTGATGCAATGCTGACAGGCTGGATACAGGTTGGTCTCGATAGCCCGCGGCGAGCAGCAGTACTTCGAGCCAGACGGTATCCCTACGGCGACTGAGGGGTGCAAATCTAACGCCCTGATGCGCTGCTGTAAAGATTTGGGCATTGCGAGTGAGCTGTGGGATCCAAGGTTTATTCGCGAGTTCAACAACAAGTACACAAAGGAGGTTTGGGTCGAGCATCAGGCGACTAAGAAGAAGAGGAAGATTGTGATTAGGAAGGATGATACTGTCAAGTACCCATTCAGGGAGAGTAAGATGGGCGCATAGATGGGTTGGGTGTCACACTATGAAAGAGCGATAGATGATAAAGGCACGGAATGGTTATGCATAGCCAGGCATTTTGGATTGAGCGAACGACTTGTATATATACTGTAACATATGGAGCTGTAAGTGCACGCCAAGTAGTAGGATTATCAACGGTAATTAACTGAAGCAGACCTGACTTGAACCCAGCATACAGCGTGCGTTACGCCTGTCTCAGGAACGCTACCGTGCTCTACGACTTTTGCTGTGAACTATTGCTGCCTCTGCAGCGTCTCACATAAGGCGCCAGCCACAACAGTCGAGGTTGCACCTAGCCTGACCAGTAAAGGATTTTGCCTGTATCAAGGGCTGGGATGGTGGCTGAAGGCGCGTCCTTGACAACTGAGTCCACTCCGGCAGCTGCTACTTCCAGTCTTGCCTTTTGCACCACCATGATTGTCGGTCACCAAATTCCTACCTCGGAGTCCTTCAAATGGTATCCGGACATGAATGCTCAGTTTGGTTCCAATGGCGTCTTTCTTACGACGGCCTTCGGGTTGGACCGGTCTACAATGTTTCAGCATGAAATATCTACCATGAACAGCCATTCGTTTTCCCTGTGAACGGTCGACAGTGGGCTGAGCACGAAATAAACAGCCTCAAATACACATGGACCCTGCACGGTGTGTCCTACGTCCACGGACAGATCTTGAGCAGGCCCAGATACATATAAGACTCCTCTACAAATTTCGTTACTCACCATCACTCATGACTTTGCGACTGGCTCGGACGACTTCTTTGTTCGAGTCGCCTTCCGTTGGAAGGGGCAAGCAACCGCTGCCATGCGTCTGCTGAAGCGCTTACCGAGCGGTGACTTTACACTTGTATCTCACGTCAATGACGAGCCCCCTCCGTACGCCATCCTGTTGCACACCCGGACCGCGGGTCAAGAAGTCACGTACCATGAGCTGGTGGCTGGTGAAGGCGAGACAAGACCGGATACATGAAGATTTGGTTCTGTAGCGAACGAGCTGTAGCAGATAACTTCAGGTACTTCTGGGTCGATACCTGCTGCATCGACAAGTCTATAAGCGAGGAGCTCAGCACAGCCATAAATTCAAGTTCCGCTGGTATCAGCGTGCATCCAAGTGTTATGTATACCCGACAGATGTCTCTGTGCCGGATGATGTCACAACCACCGAAACTCTGCAGGTGGCGTGGGCGGATGCCTTTCAAAATAGTCGATGGTTTACGCGAGGATGGACGTTGCAGGAACTGTTGGCACCTGTCAGTGTCGAGTTCTTCTCTCAGCAGGGCCAGTATTTAGGCACTCAGGCATCGTTGATGCAAGAGATTCATGGGACCATCAAGCTCCCTGCCGGAGTTTTAAGAGGACAAAGAGATATCACCGGATTCAGTGTCGAGGGGTGCTTCAGCTGAGCGGCCCATTGTACAACAACGCTGAAGGAAGACAGAGTGTACTGCTTGCTCGGGATTTTTGGGGTATTCCTAACACTCAAATACGGAGAATGGGAAGAGTATGCGGCCAACCGGTTGAAAGAAGAGATGCAAAAGCAATCAAGACCGCAGAATCTCAATGTGAAAAGTGTTGTGGTACCGAGCAGTCCCTCTCAAGAGACGCCTGGACGAGACGTAATGAACCTTGAAAGTAAGCGTAACCTGCGAGACGCGGAGGTAACTTCTAATCATCGCCAGATTTTTTGATATCGCTGTCCTATCCTGAGATGAACTACCGATATTATGACGGCGATTATATACAAGACAATACATACAGATGGCCGCTCAACCACAGTTATTACCAGAAATGGCACGGTGGGGCTGGAGTTGATGGTTCGCGGTAAGCCCGGATCCGGGAAATCGACAGCAACGAAAAGAGCACACGAACTCGCTGGAGACAGCGTCAGTACAGATGAAGCTGTCGTCGCTTTCTTCTTTATCTCACGAGGCGCTTCGATGGAGACCAAGCTGGAAGGTATCTTCCGTCCGACGCTTCACCAGCTGTTAAGAAGCCATGGGTCTATCAATGATGATGCTTTCAAAGAGTGGCAGCAAAGACAAAAGTCCACCAGATCAGGCTGGGCATGGACAGCCAGGGAGTTGCAAATCATGTTCAAGCGACACGTTGTTCGGTCGACTATCAACATCACCATGTTTATGGATGCTCTAGATCTGGGAAGCTGCAAAGAACGGCGAGCCGCTATCAAAATTGTGCGCCATCATTCGTGGCACACCACAACGTCTGCATTGGCGTTGATAGTATAGAGCGCCAAAGACAGAGTAACGCGTTATGGTGGGGTGGCCGAAAACTATATATGGCCTAGCTTACATGTCCGACAATAAAGATCATTCGGGGCGTGCTAGGTGTACACGGATCGTCCTTTCGATCTGGGAATGTGCTAGCATCATCGTTGACAAAGAAAATCGATAGGAGGGATCAAGGAGAACATCGCTCTTTCCGCACAAGTGCGACCGCCTTCCACTTCTCCGAGCCATGCATTTCCCAAAGCTCGACTTTGAATACTAGTTCTCTGCACAGCACTCACTGTGGAAGAGACTTATGTTGGCAAGCCATATACTTCAATTGAATGAATATCGAAGCATGTAACAACGGGTACGACATTTTGGAAGACCGCACAGACAGAGACGTGTCTTTTGGATTCACTGTTCCTTTATACAGGCCTTTGGCTCTCACATTGCAACCAAGAATGCCAGAGTGAACACAAAGTAAAGTATGCTACTGTCTAACTCTGTGCACTCTGAGCAACGAGGCAACCTTGCACCCACAGACTTCGGTCTGGTAGCATTTGAATTTCCGAACGCAGCACAGGAAGAACTTCTCTGTATGATGGAAGCCATCATTCGCTTTTGAGATTTTGATAGTTTGCCTGGGGGTTTTGGAACTGGGTTGAATGATGTAGGACTTTATAGATGGCCAAGCTCTGCCAGAAGGCACATTTGTGTGCATCGCAGTGTCTTCGATACTGGCAGACATCAATAGACGTATACTGTATTTTGGAATTGATCTTTCGAAATGTTGTCAGGTGGTCAAATGACGAAGAGAAAGGATGTGTGGTGAGTCTGTCAGTTATAGGGTTCAACGGCCCATGACAAACGTTCAAGCCATGCAGACAAGGTACGTGTGAACGATGTAAAAATGCAATCGCTGTTATGCCAATAAAGGCTACCTAAAAGATACTATTATCCGCACACGTAAACGGCCCGTTCAGCGTCGAGTTAGGATCATTGAAGATATCAATGAGTGCCTTCAAAGACGTGTAAAGACCTCCAACATTCAAAAACAGCGTCATCAACAAAATGGCGTAGTTCAAGCAAGCTAGTGCAATCTTCCTCGGCCCGCTCCACTGCTGACCCCAGTTAAGATGCAGCCACATAACACTTGTCAATCCGAACGTGAACCACGAGATGAAGATCGCAGAGCTGATGTTCAGAATAGACGAGAAAATAGGGATCGCGTTCGAGATGACGAACGAGACAATCCAGAATAGTGTGCCCAGCCCGACCCAAAGTGTCCATGTGAAGCCGTTGTGCACGTTGACCTGGTCGGGCTTGACTTTGCGCATGATGGCGATGTACATGTATTTGATTGCCGTGATACCGATTACGAGGCCTGTGCCGAGGACAGAGGGGATGAGGATACCGTAGGCGATCTTGGCTGGGATGGTAGGTGCGGAGCCGAGCGCTGGGGATGTGACGGCGTCGCCGGCGAGGCCGTAGATGACGCATGCGACGACAATGTAGATGACGACCTCGAAGGATTTCTGCATGAAGAGCGCGGGCGGGAACTCTTTCTGCGGGTTGCGCATTTCGGCCATGACGGACATGAAGGACTGGTTGCCGGCGAATGCGAAGGCGATGTTAAGGAGGGCGTTGACGGTTTCAACGAAAGTTGGCTTGCCGACGAGGGTGATCTTGACGTCGAAGCCCGGGGGCGCTTTTGGTCCTGCGACACCGAGGGCGACCATGACGATGAGAACCGCGGCAACAATGGAGATCGTGCAAATCCAGCTCATGGCAGCCGCAAACGTAAGCTTCCGTGGTAAGCACAGCAACCAACAGGCGATGTGGGGAATGGCCATAAAAGCAACCGTGCAGATGGCGTGAGACGAAAGCGTGTTGAGCGCGACCGACATCGTAATGTTCGCACTGGCGCAGATAAGAACCAGATTGAAGATGAAGGCAACACCGAGGAAGTACTCGAAAGGCTTTCCACCGATGTAGAGCGCGCAATCGACCAAGTTGGTGACCATGGGGTATCTCCTGTAGAACTGGACCATGATGTAGCCGCAGTAGGTTGTGAGGGAGCCGAAACCGAGGATAGCAATGATACCGGGAATGAGACCAAGCGTCTGGAGCGCAGAAGGCAAGCTGAGAACACCAATGCCAACTTCTATGGTGATCAAAATCACACAAGCGCGCCAGCGTCCCAACGTCCTGTATTCCTCACCACCAAGGCCATCTCGTTGCTGTGGGTACTCGTTGGCGCCAGCGAAGCCATCGCCTGTCCAGCCGGTTGTGATGTTGGTGTTCTGCCCATACTCTTCGTCGTAGCCTGATTTCTCAGATCCAGGGTAGGGTAGAGTGTCGCTCTGGGCAGGCGACCCTTGCGCTTCCTTCTTGCGGAGGGGATTATTGAGGCCCATGATGAATAACTGGGAGATCCTCAATGGAAGGACAGATGATTTAATGTCAGACGGTAGTACAGCGTGGCCGAGTGCGGCGAGCTTTGGTCTTTTAACCCTTCAGTGCTCCTAAAATCGGCCCTCTGTTCTTTCCCCAACCGCGCAATCTCCACTAGTCTCGGAATGTACCCTGGCAAAGTCGCCTCTTCTCACGTCAATGCATCTCACGAGCCTCGATCTTTGTCCGTTTGTTCTCTACACGCCTAATGCGCTCCTAGTCTTGCTGGTATTGCGGAGTGCATGCGAAGGATGCGGGGGATGGACCCGATATGGCTATCCTCGGTTCTCCAAGGTGAAGACAACGACACGCCAGAGCTTGTTGTCCCCGGGACGCTGGTTGTTTGATGAAGAGAGTGGGTCGACATTGCTAATCGTTGGCCGATGCGAGGTAACTGTAACTTTGGGAGATCCACATAATCACGTAAAAACTTCGAGAAAACTTCTTGGACCGGGATTCATCCGCTTGGCAATGCGCTTGAGCTGCTCGGATCAGCCGTAAATCGGCTTACAGGCTTTTCTATGGGCGGAGTCACCCTCTCCGTGGCGAGTGTCATGTTCAGGGTCGAAAGATGGGGTGAAGGAATGCATGTGAGGTTGTCCGCCGCGGGACGTTCGTGGAAGTGCGGCTCAGCCCTATGCGGGCACTAACGCCACAACCAGTAGTAGCGTTGTTCGTTCGGCCTGGGCCTTCCGAAATGAAGAGATGAACATCATCATTCAACATCGTCATTTTGAAAAAATGCATCATTGTAAAATTGGCATTGAAGGGCTGAGAGAATGTGTCCCTCAACTGCCTCTTTGGATGCCGTTCTGGAGACCCTGACTACCACCGTATGTCAGTGTGGAGCGATGATAGGGTAAGTAACCCACAATGCGGACCTGCAGATACTCTCGTGGCGAAGATCTCCATCCGTCACGACCCTCCGTTGATAATGGAATAAATAACGTCGTCATCCGACCAAAAGTTGATAAAGGCAGTTGTCGGCCAATGTCCGGCAACGGAGGTATGATAGGAAGCGATTGTGGATTCGAATATTGCATATTACTAGCTGAATAGGAATGGTTTTATTGCACATACATAAACATGAATGACCATCACGAGATCCTCTACCTTCCATCAAGCCCGTCGCTCCGTTTCCAGTAGCGGAGAACACCCTACGCATCAGCCATGGACTCCCTCATAGCAGTGGGTGCAGCTTCAGTAGCTCCTTGCGACTGAGTCGAAGGTGAAGACTCCATCTTGGTTGAAGGCAAAGCCTCTATCTCGTGCGGTTTGCTAGTCTTGGTCTCTAGTTCCGCCTCACCCTGCTCATCAAGTACAGGGAAGGCACCAGGTGCCTCAGACGATCCAGGTGCAGTCTTGACTGACTCTTCCTGCGACTTCAGCGACGGAAGAGCGTCGGTGATCTTGGTGAGTAAGCTGGGCCCGTCCTTAGCTGGCTCATCAGATGGCGAGCTCGCTTCTGTGGGTGCAACAGACTTTGCAGCGTCAACCATAGGCGCAACAACAGACTTGAGGGTATCGACGACAGGGGTTTCGGTAACCTTGGGGGCGTCGGTAACCTCAGAAATGTCTTCAGTCTCAGGGCCTCCAGGGACCTCGGCTTCTTTCTCGACCTCAGGCTCAGTTACCGCTGGCTTATGAGAATCTAAGGTGTGCCGAATCTGAGCAGCTACCCTCGCAGCGGGCACGTCCATAGTGCCATCCTCGCCAAAGCTCCAGATAGCGGTGACTGGCGCAATTTCCAGCTTCACCCTTGGCACTGCAACCTCAGCAGTGACAGTCGCCGCAGGAGTCGGCGAAGCAGCGGGTTTACGCCTCTGAGGACCCTTAGCCCTGCCCTTGCGAGCGTCCGATAAAGGCTGAGTAGACTCGGCTTCTTTCTCCTCCTCTGGCTCCTTGACCTTTGGTGCTTGAGGTCCAAGACCCAGCTTGCTGTTCAGATCCTGCAAGAAACCGGCTTGAAGTGCGGCGATCTTAGAACCAGCCGGGCGGGCAGGAACTGGAGGCTTAGCTTTTGGCTGAGGAGCATCGTTCTCAACAGCTCGCTCTGCAGTCGGGACCTTCTCCGACGAGGACTGCGATGGCTTGCTGGGGCGCGTTGGAACCTGAGGCTTAGGACGGTCGGGGATAATAGGAGCCTTCTTGTCGATTGGCGAGCTCTCCTGCTGTGCCTTCTGCGGGCGCGCGGGTACAGTTGGGCGAGCTGGAACAATGGGCCTCTCGACAATCTGTGAATCAGGGGCATACTCGTTGGTGTCTGGGGTTTGCGGACCGCTCACAGTCGTCTCGAGATGACCATGTTCAGGCGCATCTTCCCAAACGTCTTGACTGGGGAACCTCTGTGCGGTAGGGCGCACTCCGCGCAGATGCTTGTTCTCGACAGCGAACTGCTTGGTGTGCTCGGACAGGAAGCTTTGCTGATCTTCCTTAGTGATGTTATCCTTGCGCTTCTCCTCAGTCTCCGGTAGCTCGAAAACCTTGGCGGCACTGACCTCCGCACCTGCTGGAGTTTCTGGCTCCTCATCGGCTTGCGGGGTATCGACAGTGGTCTCTAACTGCAGACTGCCGGGTGTGTCCTCCCAAACATCTTGGCTGGGGAACTGGTGGCGAGCAAGGTTAGGTCGCTTGACCTTGCTGGCGAGGGTCCTGGGCTTCTTGCTATCTTCCTCGTCCTCTGGGAACAGAGGCTCGTATTCCTTGTGCGACTCGAGAGGGGTACCGCTCCTGTCTCCAAAGTGCGCAGGGCTGGGGATAGCGCGGTGTTGCTGGAGACTGTTGTTTCGGCTTGAGCTCCTGCTGTGCGTGCGCTGCTTCGTCAGGTATGCTGGGGTACCATCCTCATTGACTGTGTATTCGCCGTCGTGACGACGTTCCATCTCGGGTGATACTGCAGGCTGCCTCCACTCAGCATCGGGATGCTTCTGCACCTCATCGGACGCAAGAATTGGAATGCCATATCCATGCTCGGTGACCCAGCCGCCCTTCTCGTCTGTGTTTCCGCCCTGAGGACCAAGATCCTCTGTTGGTGGGTCGTATCCTCCGCCGTGAACCTTGCTGCTCCGGCGAGCAGGGGGGTCGATGTGAATCACATCGCCGTTGTCGTCCAGCTGTTCCGCCGAAGCCTCATGACGCAATGACGATTCTTGATTGGCGGCCTTGCTAGTGGGACGGCTTGCGGAGGATGAGGGTCTAGGCGATGCCATTCTCGATGCATATTCTTCGGTGGCCCTGTATCCAATCTGCTCGTCCGGTGTACCGACAGCTTCGCGCGAAGTGCCTGTGATACATGTCAGTCTCATCCCAAGATTTTAAAGCTTCGCTGTCAACGTACCGAACCCAATATCCTTAGGAGCTCCGTGGACCACCTTGTTGAGATCATCGGCGCGCCAGTGATAATCTTTCCTGTTCTCCTGGATGTGCGGTCCATACTCTCCGGCCTTCTCGCGCTTCAGATCGTCTGGATGCTTCTCGTACCACTTCTTCTCGAAGTCGTCGTTGGAGATCTTTCCGTGTCCGTGCATACCATAGCTGCCAGGAGGACCGTGGAAGATCTCGCGGCCACTCTTTGTACGTCCATGGTGGCGGCCACCGGGTTTGTTGTGGAAGCCAACGCCAGTGGATCCGCCCTGCTGCTCGTACGGGTTGGGCGTAGGCGCCTGTACATCTCCAGCATTGCGGAACATAGGTACCTGGACACCGATCTCCGGGATACCTTGGTGCTCCTTGTCGTTGTAAAGCGAGGCAGGTCGCGAGCCGATGGAACTACCAGAACGATCAGTCTTCGTGCCCTGTCCAGCATTGTCTTCCGGTGCCAGCTTGCCAAAGCCCGCTGCGGCTGCCTGATTCGAATCAGTGTGTGTTACAGCTTGGATGTTACGCTTCGCCGTCGAGCCCGGTACCGAGGCCGTAGGAGCGTGCAGAGGCAGGTCGGTAGCTATGGATGACTGCTGAACAGATCCGCGGCTCTCGTTAGTGAGGGTCTTCGAGAGGTCTTCAAAGCTGGCATATTCGCTACCCTCCTGGCCAATCGAGGGAAGCGAGACGCTCGGTGGGCGAGAGGGCACCTCAGTGCTCAGGCGGCGGTTGTCCTTAGGAGGACCGCCATGTGCGTATGTTGGGTCATTGAGCGGCGAGCGGTCGAATCTGTGCGGAGACTGGGAGCGCTCGATGCGGCCCTTTGGGCGGGGAGGGACCTTGGGGAGATCGAGGGAGCTTGCTGGCGCGGGTGCAGAGCTGTTCTGAGCCCGAGCCGGGCGGGGAGGTATCGATGGGGGATTGCTCATTGTGTATATCTTGTTGCCGGGTAGTATATGGTAGTGTGGTGCGGAGTAGTGGTGAACTGAGCCGCCGTTAGTGACGCACTCTGACCGTCAAACGCTCGAAACGCTAGGCGTGACATAAGCTGCTTGCTGCCCTCGGCCAAGCACAAAGCATTGATCGTCAACACCGCAAGCTGCACTCAGAAACTGCCAGGGTCGCCCAGCAGCTGTCATGCGTCAATTGATAGCGGATGCAGGCCAATGAGCAGCGCCGTAATCGGAGTCGGCGGGAAGCCGAGTAGGCAGGACAGCAGGATCGAGGACAGGTACTCACCGAGCTCGCAATTGCAGCGTCAAATATGTATGAAAGTAAGGAAAAAGCTGCTGGAGTAGTGAAGCTGAACAAAGCGCAAATGGCTCAGACAGGCAAAGGCTGGGGCGGTGCGTTTATGTATCGTCGTCAAGAGCTGGGCCCGCATTTGCTCATGCAAGTGACGCCAGGGTACGCCATACCAGCATGCAGCCACGATCAACCCTCAAAACCTGAATGCCAGTCATCTTGCCTTTACCCGCCGTACGCAGACAGAAATCTTGCAAATCCCATCTGCGACAGTCTTGAAAGGCATACTCGAGCTACATTGCACCAATGCCGCATGGTGTATTACCATTGATCCTACCTCCAGTCCCACTGTGTGATGTGCACCCAGCCACTAGCGTCTTTGCACACGAGCGTTTGGAGGCTGTCACAAGCACGTTGTCGAGATCATCAGCACATTGCAAGCGTTGTGCACGGTGTGCCAGCACGTACAACGAAGCAGACTTCGTGACCGTCTTCACTTTTTTCTTTTTTAAATTGTCAACGCCGGTGCGCGGATTCTTCGATGCTGCAGGGTACGCCTCACTCGACTAAGCTGATAAGGACCTTAGCCTTCTTCCCCACGATTCGATCAGCTGGAGTCTCGTTCCTGGCAGATCCCGTGACACAACAACAGAAGCAGTCTTTTGAATCAAAGCAGAGTTTCAATGATTCTTATTAACATCGACACGACAGCTATCATACCATCACCTCTCCCAGAATAGCTTACGTCCGTTTGAACGTTTGGGCTCGACGTCGATTCGGCACTGTCAGTGGCAGCTAGAAACCGTTGCTATGCCGTCACCTGTGGGCCCTGAGTAGCTCCGGCCAGCCAGCCAGACAGTTACGTAGATGCCCCACAATGTGAAAGGCATGAGCTTCCCAATCGTTGAACAGAATCAATCATTCTCATGATAGTCTCATCACATCAAATGCTACATATCAAACCCAGATAACGCCCTGGTATCAAATGGTGGTACACAACCCAGCCTCTGACTTCCATCGACGCCCCAAAGTAATCTCTATGGACTCTGTGTGGCGCCTGTTCCTCTCCAACTTGCCCAACTGTATCTTCGATCGACAGCTGTACTGGTCCTCGCATCCATTGTGAGGTTCTGACTCTCCATACTACACTGTGTCGTACGTGGTGTATAGTTCTTAGATGATCATCTGAGCCACACCCTGTCCACCAAGCGTCTTGCTGCCCTGGAACGCCTGGCCCTTGAAACCAGCGAGCGCGTAGAAGATCGAGGCGATCAGCAGGAAGATGGCGGCGACGATCAAGCTTGTAGCCTGAGGCCAGATGCTGATCCACTGGATAGCGCTCAGTACGAAGTAGATTGCAGCGCGCATGTAGTTCGTCTCGAACTTGCGGATGAAGCCATCGAACTTCGCGGACGTTGGGCAGATACGGAGGAGTAACGGGATTTCGATGAACACGATGATGAATGCAGAGACTCTGCGAGCCCGGTCAGTGCTGTGTGAGGCGCATTGGCACGCTGGGAGACCTACAAGCATACAATGCTAAACGCAATGACAAAGGTCGGGTGGAAGATGTTCGCGATTCCAAGCGCAAAGCAGAGGAAGATGCACAGCACTCCGGTCCTATTCGCAAGTTAGTGTTATGTGTGAGGCAGTTCCAATGATGAAGCCTATTCATCTCTTGTCCGTTGTTGTGCAGCAGATACAATAGCAATATCTTTCGTGGGCTTTCGGTCGCATTGTAGCAGATGGATCTCATGGTATGTTCTGAGGACACTGTGGGTGGGAGGAGCCGACTAACCATTGACCGTAGATACCTGTAGGCAGACAGTCAGCAACAGCTCGATCGCCTCCATCGACAAGGTGTCTTACTGAAATTCCTCGACTTGAACTCCTCAGCAAGTGTCATGTCTGCGATTCGGTGTTCTTAGAAGCTTCGTGACTAGTCGTGATGCGCGCGCAAAAGTAGTAGTGGAGGTCTCGCAGCTCGTTGCCAGTAGCTTTGTTGACTGCACAAGCTGAGGACAGCTCTCGGGCTAGTATATCAGGCGACTTGGCTGTCGGGATTGCGGATGCTGGGGCTCGGGCACAGGCAAAAGCGTACGACTCGCGTTGCGTAAGGACCGGGCTATGCAGACGAAGACCTGCGTTATTCTGTATAATTGCGAGCGTTGTGGCGGTGCTGTTGATCGTTCGTAATGAGCAGTCGGCTTCTCCAGAAGTTCCACGTCAGTAGCGACCCTTGCCGAAACGGTCCTGGTCGGAGCTGCCATCTGCAGTTCACCGACAGCACCTCACCTTTTGGGAAAACTGTTTTGGACGGCCTTTCTTCATGTTCACCAGAGCGCGGCAGGAGCCATGGATGACTGCTGTGGTCGCCTCTGGCGCTCTGGGCCTTGCGCTCTACTACCTGAGTGCACGACGCCCATCGCCTGCAAATATTGCCAAACAGCAGTCTGAGAGTGAAAAGCCCAGCCAAAGCTCGACTACAGACTTCGTAGCAGAAGACATGAGCACCGACGACCGAGCGTATCATGAACGCTTCATGCGGGAAGCTATTGGCATGGTGAGTCACTTCGCGCTTCTGCTGCACCTCTGCTGCACCATCTCGCAACATACAACTGACCAATCACGTGCAACAGGCCGAACTTGCACTGACCAGTGATGAGACGCCTGTCGGTTGCGTCTTCGTAAAGGACGGCGAGATCATCGGCCGGGGGATGAACGAGACCAACCGCACTCTCAACGGTACTAGACACGCCGAGTTCGTTGCCATCGCAGGCATCTTGTCCAAGGCGCCCATCAGCATTCTCAACGAGACTGACCTTTATGTCACCGTCGAGCCATGCGTCATGTGCGCCTCTATGCTTCGTCAGTACGGTATTCGAGCAGTCTACTTTGGCTGCTGGAATGAGCGTTTCGGCGGCACTGGTGGTGTCCTGAACATGCATTCAGAGTAAGCCACCGGGACCTCAAAATATACACACAGTTTACTGACGCACTGTAGCCCAAGTGTCGACAAGCCGTACCCAGTCACCGGGGGCATCTTCAGGGAGGAAGCCATCATGCTGCTCAGAAAGTTTTACGTCCAGGAGAACGAGAAAGCGCCAGAGCCAAAGCAGAAGAAAACCAGGGAGCTCAAGACCGAGATTCTGCCCATGGACATCCACGCCCCGAAGTCGACGCCATCACCTGCTCTGTCTACGCCTGTCTTGTCGAAGCCAGTTAATGCCACTCCGCTCGTTGCTGTCCCTCATATCCCTGGACTCACTGCCGGAGCTGCGCACTGAACGGGCGTCCTTACACCACGTGCTACGAGCCCAGCTTGAGATGGAGGTGTACAAGGAGAAGGGGCACGAGAAACATATAGAGATACCCAGCATCAACTCAGCATCATAGATCCCCACTCGTGGTGTACATTACATTTACATGCATATTACCGCGATCATATTATTCGTGGCTTGGTTTTCATGACCTTGTCGTGGCATAATATGTGTGCAGGCGCGACAAAACCATTGTTAACGAACATCTGATTGGGTATATGAAGGCTATCAAAGCTTTTCGCTGAACTTTCTGCGCATCAAATCGCCGTACATTGGCGACGCAAACCCCTGCCATTACTTGCTTCCCCTTCCTCAACAACGTCTGTTTCAGACGAGTTCGTTTCAGGCTGCAAATTGCATGCCCTCGCCAACCTCGCTGAGCGCACCCTGAGTACCACCATACTCTATGGGAATGCTCTGACCCAGCTCAGTAGCCAATTGATTACCATAGCTAAGCACAGTGAACTTCTTGACCGTCTCTTTAGCAATGAAGAGCTTGGTTGCGTTGAACAGCCAGCCCATGACGACAGGCACGTTGACGAAGAACTTGCGCGACAGGGTCTCGGGGTAGTATCGGCCGAGCACTTCGATCGTCTTCTTGGTCGCGGCCTTGACGAGCGGGTCCTGGCGCAGGAACGAGACTTGCAGGTAGTCGTGCACTTGGAAGCCCTGGTACGGGTCGGGGCCTTCGTTGTAGTTGGGGATGGGCTTTGTGGCGGACGAGAGGTTGAGCTTTTGGATCGACTTTTCCATTAGGCCGACGCGCCAGCGGAGGAAGCTGTAGTGTCTTGTTAGTGAAGGTTTCGAGAGTTGGTGTTGGGATTGACCTACGCATCGAGGTCGCCGAAAGTAGCCTTGTTGTCCTTGACGGCACCGTAGATGTTGAATGTGACAATGTCCTTCTTGTTCGCGCTCTCTGGCACGCCGTCCACCTCGATGATGTAGCCCAGACCATCGAACTTCGTCTTGTCGAAGCTCTCGCCTGCTGCCTTGGTCGGATCAAACTCCTTCCTCCACTTCAGCGCCTCGAGGAGCTGCTGCTTGGCCTTGTCGAGGTCGTTTGCGTTGGCGCGCAGGAACTTCTGAAGGATGAGCTTGGTGTGGAACTCGTCGGACTTGGTCAGCTTGACGCCGTAGACCTCGTCGTGGCCGGACTGCTGGACGAGCTCTTCGAAGGTCTCGTAGAACTTGGTCAGGGGGTGGTCAGCGGCGGTTTCGGGCCAGGAAGAGGTACCAGTAGCAGCGCCAGTGGCAGCTCCGGTGGGAGCATCAGCGACAGCACCGGTGGCAGTAGTGGCAACACCAGGAGCAACACCGGCAGCCCCGGCAGCAGTACCACTGTCACCGGCCGTAGGCACGGTACTGGGGCCTGTTGCAGTAACGGGTACCGCGTCCGAGGCTTTCTGAGATGCTTCTGTGGGAACACTCTCGACGCCGATTGCAGGTTGGGGAGCAACGGGTGGCATGGGCTCCTCGGCCTTCTTCTCGTCAAGGGCAAGTCCAGCTGTGCCACTGACTACATCGTCAATCTCTTTCTTCTCGGTGTTGGCCTCGAGACCTTTCTCTGCAGACTCCGTGGACTGAGGTGCGATGGACTCATCCTGCTTCTCTGTGGAGTCACCAAGAGGAGCACCGGCACCTTCGGCTGGGGGAGCTGGCTTGGTGTTCTCTGCCATGTTGGAGTTGTCGAACGACTGTGGATGCGGTATAGATGTTTGTTGTAAAGTTGCGTGATAGGGCTGCGAAATGTTTCAGAACTGTCGGTGACCGCGCAGTAGCGCCGATCATCCATGCCACGCCATCACGTGGGACCCTGCTGCCAGGTCATGGCCAATTTGACTTCTGTGAGCATCATGTTCTTCATGAACTTCCAAGCTGTCCACCAGATATATAGAGTCGCCAAAGCCTAGCGTACCGGCCGGGAAGCGAGGACACACTTGGTACCCGCTGCAATTGGTGACGTCCGCAACGGAACAGGGTCCACATGTGAAGCTCACCTGCCGAGGTTCCACTGGCGATTCACAAACCGCGATCCCCCAGCTCTCCTCCACAACGGTCCCGCAAACAATGGTGCGTGCTGCTGCTGCTGTCGACAACACGCGATACCGCCAGCATGTCGTCCTCGAGCGCATCGCAGTCACCGCCGCGGGCTGAGAAGATTGACCCCGTCCTGCGCAACGCGCTGCGCTACACCATCAGCCCGCGCGAGTACCAGCTACTCCACCAGTATCTCTTATCACGTGCCCCGGTTGTGAAGAAGCGCACCATCAACCCGCGCCGCTACGATGCCATCTCCAAAGGGCCAGACGACTACAACGTGGCTGCAGTGCGCGCATCGCTGCGACTCGGCATTGCAACTTTCGCGGCGCTGAAGACACAGGAGCTCGTCAAGGCGAAGCTGCTGACGCGAGGAACAGTGCAGAGGTAAACATCACAACTTCATACCTGATGTGTGCAACACTGACCTCCGGAAAGTACACGACAGCCCAGTGTGCCAGTATGGAAATCGACCAACGTCCGCCTGAGCAGCTCGCTCGCACTCATCCTCCTTTTCCACCGTCTCTTGCGCCGCTTCTTTGTCCGCCTGCGCGAAAGCCTGCTTAGCAATGAGGCTCGCGCCTTCAGGAAACGCAACCCACGCGTCTCGCGGTCGCTGACATCGCGCATGGCACCAGCAATTGGGTCCAGCTTGGCAGGCTTCTTCCTTGCTGTATACCCCGGGGACCAATTGCGGATTACCATTGCCATCTACATCTTCACGCGAGCTCTAGAGTTTTATTACAACTACCTCGAAGACCGCGGCCACTTCAAGAACAGGCCATACTGGTTCGGCTCCTGGATGCTGATGCCCGTTGCATACGGTCAACTGTTCCACGCCTTCGTCTTTGACCGCGATTGTTTCCCAGCCGGGTTCGGCGACGTCATCATAGGCAACTTACCAGAGTACATCCAGCAGAGGCCCGCCGATACACCGGCTTCAGTACGCTGGCCAGGCCCCTACGACATCGTGGACGGACTAGCCGAAATCTCCAAGCTGCGCTGGCCGTCCTTCGTATCCCCCATTCTGTTCCCCAACCATGAAACCCTCCCGCAGAGCCTCACAGCTATCTCTCCCATCACATCACCCGCCCACCCAGCCATCAAATCGCTATCATGTGCCCTCCTCCATCCCCAAGACCCCTCCTGCCTGCGCACATATGTGCAGTACTGGATCCAAGCCTTCCCCAAAGTCGCCCGCTTCTTCACCATCTTCTTCACCGCCATGTCGCTCGCGCGCTACAAAGCCTTACTCGCCTCTCCCTCGGCAGCCATAAACAACCTCGCAAAAAGCATCCTGCGCATGTCGCTCTTCGTCTCCGGCGCCATTGGGACGAGCTGGGGCTCCATCTGCTTGTTCCAGAACATCTTCCCGCGCTCTTTCCTCTCCACGCAGCGCTGGTTTCTCAGTGGCTTTCTGGGTGGTCTCTGGGCGTTTCTAGAGCGGAAGGATGGTAGGGGCAATTTCTTGTATTGTACAAGGATGTCGATAAATTCGGCGTGGAAGGTGGGTGTTAAGAGGAGGTGGTGGAGGGGTATTGCTAATGGGGATGTGCTGCTGTTTGTGCTGAGCTTGGCTACGGTCAATGTGCTGTATGAGATCTCGCCGCGGTCGGTGAGTAGCGGTGTTGCGCGGAATGGACTGGGTGTGCTCAGGGGTGAGGGGTGGGTGGATAGGGCGGCTGTTCCTCGAGAGGGGGAGAGTGATGACGATGTGGAGGGTGTTCCGCCACGAGCGGATTAATGATAATGTGTATGTTATGTTCACGATCGGGATTACTGGGTTTTTGAGTAGGTCGATACCCGACTGCAGTCCTACACAAATATTCTACTAAAGCTTTGCTCTCGCCGCCTCATCATGCTTCCACCCAGGCATATCCGCTAGATCCTTCGCTGGCGCCGCTCTCCTCGACTTCAGTGCATCGCCGGTCCCAGGCCGCCACTTCCACGCTTGCGCCAAATCCTCCGCCAGTGTACCTTCAAGCAACTCGACTACATGCTTGCCAATATTCGGCAGAAGCTTGAACGAATGTCCACTATCCCCAGTCGCCAGGATGAAGTTTTTCCACTCCGGATGCTCACAGATCAGCAACGCAGCATCCGCAGTATCAGTACACCAGCACAAGCTCCGATTGAACAACTCCTTCTCCTTGAACTTAGGCAAGAAGGTAGCCACAGCTTTCCGAATACTGACTTCCGACGCATCAGGATACGTATCCGTTGGATGTTTCGCCTTCGATCTGGGCACCGAAACACGTTTCGGCTTATCAGCACCAAACGGCTGGCATTCCTTAAAGCGCGTGAAGCCCGGAAACTCATCGCACACCTTGATAACGCCATGCTCATTCGGCTCAAAGAAGAACCCGTAGTCGCCATGATACACAACCGGACAGTCTTTATACTCCGCCGCTTCTTGGGGTGTGAGCTGCATATGCGCATACACCCACGCCTTAGACACACACTGCTCCTGCAGATCAACCAAAACGGGACTCCATGCACCAGCTGCGAGCACGACTTTGTCGGCGTAGTACTTCGTGCCGTCGACTGTTTCGACGCCAATGCAGGTACCCTCTGCTAGAAGGGGCTGCTCGAATGAGCCGGCGCTACCGAAATTAAATTTCACGCCGGCTTTAAGTAGGAATTCGCCGATCGCGTTGATGGCTTTGGCAGCGGCGAGCCAGCCGCCGTCTGAGCTGAAGATGGCTTTCCAGCCATGGATTTGGGAGCGGTCTAGAAGGGGGATTTTGGAGAGGATGGCGTCTGGGGAGTCGAGCCAGTAATTTGTTCTTTCGAGGCCGGCGTTGGCGTCTAGGAGGGCTTGGTAGGCTTGTTGTAGGCCGGCGATACCTTTCTCGCCATGTGCACAGTCGAGCTGAGAATTCGTGAGTGTTAGTTGAGACTATACATCCCTCTTTGGAACTTACCCTGCCGGTGTTGTGGAAGAAGCTCTTGAACAGATCGTCTTCCTTCCACATCTGCCTTGCTTCAAGACTCAGCTGAAGATCCACTGGGTTCTGCAGGCGAACGCCCATGATCTTGTTCAAGTCATTGCCAGCGGATTGTGTTGATGGAATAGGGTATGTGTCGAGGACTGTGATATTTGATGGTGTATAGCCAGAGCGGACAAGATGAAGAGCAGTTGAGCTCCCAATGGTGCCTCCGCCACCGACAACGATGACGGTTGTGTTTGAACGTGAGGTCGCCATGATCCGAACAAGATCTGTATGCCTTGCTGTTGATATCTTCGGTCAATACCGGTTGTATCGGTCCTCTTACCAGCGCTTAGCCCTAACTTTTGGGCTGTTATTGTTGCTTGGAGTTGTCGGGATGCCTGAACACGCCACCGTGCCTCTCCGTGGAGGCGAGGCTTTTGCTATCATCGAGTGGCCACGACTGTCGTGATCGGTAATTTACCCCAGTCAGACGTCTGCCGTTGCTGCAGCCTCGCTTGCTGATCGGACTGTTGCGATTACTTCTTTCGGTTAGTCCTTTACGGTAATTGTTCTCCGAGGTTGAGATGTGCAGTTCTCGGTCGTTACACACACCTCATCTTCCTAGTGTTAGCACGGTCGTGATCTGTTGTCTGGATGTCGGAAGACATTGTTGTTGACGATGATGATAGAGATGGTGGAAACTTTTCGTGGGAGAAGGCAGCTGCGGTGCTGGTGCTAGGCAGTCGCCGAGGGCATCAGCCCACGGAGCTTGAGTCGTGCCTGCCACCGTAATATCCACTCCGCATATCAAGGCACATCAAGCCTCGCAAGCCGTGCGCAACACCGCTAGCGTAGTCTTGAAATTCCTAACACGTTCTAGCCAACTCCCAACTGTTCAGATTACCTGTCTAAGGATAGTTCAGGGCAACCCCTCTCGCGCAGCACCCGATCTCATCACCAACCTCATAATTCCCATGTCTCCACAAGTCCTATCAACTGGTCGCTTTACCCCAGCTTGGGGTAATCTAGTATAGATCCATATATAAGCGGCATATCTTGACAAGCAAGGGTTAGGAGATGTTGCGGTCTGTATGGGACCCGATTACCCTTGGTTAGACTGTTCTGGACTAGCACGTTCAAGGCCAGTATATAATCGTCTTCTCCTACCTAGATAGCAGCTCAGCGCAGTATTCCATCGTATTCTACCAGCGGGCCCTTGCCGCAACATTTTCGAGCCTTCGGATAGTCTCCATGCTTTGTTGGATAGTGTTCCAACACGACCGCCGAATACTGTAAGCAGTTGAATATGAAGTTGTGTTCGCTAGCGGTCCGTTGCAGTGTCTACCAGCGGCCTGCTGCACTGATAGTCCAGCTCATTCGGTTAGTTCGGTTTGCTTCACTGCTATCCCCTTCTACTGTATAGTCCCGATCGATCCTCGCCATAGCAATACACACCAATCAATACTCTCAACCCTTCCACAAGTTGTCACAAGTGTATGTTCTGTTGTGTATTGTTGTATCTCCTCGACTGAGATGTCCATGATGTAAGCTTAAATACATGAAGTAGTGGACTGATTGGTTGGTGAGTAACCATGTGACATATGTCGTGTCCTGGGCTTACAAATACTGCTTCAAGATTGACTCCTATATGATATCTAGGTCGTAGAAGGCCACGACTTCCAAGAGTGGTTTGCCGTGTCGAAGAGTGTCGATTGCCCACATTGTAGAAAGACGCTTGTTGTACATGCCTTGTATATCGAACCCGCTATCAGCATCAGAGTATTCTGGATGCTCTTCTCGCTCGTCTCGAGGAGCCAATACCCATCATTTACGCATGGGATTATATGCACATCATCAAAAACGAACGACAGCTCGAGTTGCTCCACACATTTGTTGGAGATATTGAGAAAACACTCGAAGTGCAGCACGAGGTGGTCTCATTTGAGCAACTCTGGGAGTCGGACCCGCCGTCCCAAGCCGAGGGAACAACTCTACTGGAATACATGAAATATGCTTCACGATACTCTTTCTTTTATGAGGACTACCACAACTTTGGTAGCTTTCGCAAGGACTACAGAGGCAAATTCGGAACAGCCGCATATGTTGGAGTTCAGTGAACTGTACGCAAAGAGAAGAGGTTGAAGATTGTACTGAGGTTGTATTGGGTGAAGCTACGAACAGTATATATATGTGGGTAGGTGTAAACAACGCTAGTGTGACGTGGCAGTCACTCTATTGGCAGGTAAGGTACGACAGGCAGGAGCACTCTGAACCGTGACAGCATATGTCAGCCCGCCGGTCAAATGGCAGTAGTATGCCTGGTATGAAATCTTCCAAGGTTGCTGCAGTCGATTAGTCTAATCTTGAATAGGGATCTGTGTCGGAGGGAGTGAAGGTATCCACCGATCGCCATCTGTTTGCTAGCGGTCCGTTGCAGTGTTTGCTAACGGCCCGCTGCACTTCACTGCTATCCCCTTCTACTATATAGTCTCGATCTATTCTAGCCAATAGCTCCCAAGATCAACCAACACAATCCACTCACTTCAACAATCTGTCTTCCAAAATCAGCACTGAAGCTATGAGACAGATAGAAGTCTACAAGAACTGGTTCAACGAGGTCGTGATGAAGCTAGGTAAACGAAACACATTGGTCCTTATCCGGATTGAAGAAATCGCACCTAGATACCGCGGTGAAATGCCTAGGAAACACTTTAATCCAGTGGGGGGGGGGGTGCCAAATCTGTTCCTATCTCCAATCGTCAAAGTACCGGAACTCACGGTATCTAGTGCATGTACCCCAATCTCTCCGATGCATCCAATGAATCGACTGACCACCACAAGTCGGCGAGTAAGCCTATTAATTAAGGTCAGTGGCGGTACGGAGAAGCTCCCTGTAGCGATCTCTGTCACAGGACTTCCAGTTGCGTGTGGTAGGATGGTCAGAGGAACACAATCCTAACATTACAAATAGGTCAAGACCTGCTCCTCTTCGACCTTATTATGGGGTGCCTGCAGAAGACTTGCCGTCCAGTTCGTATTTTGCCTGGCCACAAATTGTTTTCAGAAGCCAATAGTGAAGCATGCGATGCTGTGAAGACGGATGTGCAGCTGTGTATATCTTTGGGTCAGACACGTGCGTCGAGGAAGTACACGATCTTCAGTCATTGAGTTCAACTACAGACTTTCGTTACAACAAGAAGATACATGAATCGACTCCAAAAAGTCAACAAAAAAGGGTATTAACACATGGATCACAAATTAAGCATGAGTATCTAGATATCTGCAGATGTCCCTGCAAGAATCCTCCAGTGTCTTCTGCGGCGTCCATCCGAGCATCTTCGCGGCCTTCGACGGATCCGCAATGCAGACACCCACATCACCTTCCCTTCTGCCAGACGCCTTGGTCTTGATAGTCTTGCCAGAGACAGCTTGCATCGTATCCACCACTTCCTTTACTGAACTGCCATTTCCTGTGCCAAGGTTGATAGTATGGAACCCAGGTAAAGATTTCGTGCTTGTACCTGCAGCAATGGCAGCGACATGCCCCCTCGCCAGATCGCTGACGTGAATGAAATCCCTTATCGCGGTGCCGTCTGAGGTGTCCCAGTCTGAGCCGAAGACACTAAGCTCTGACATCTGGCCTTCCATGACACGAACCACGATGGGCATGAGATTGTTCGGTGTACCCCTGGGGTCCTCACCGAGCACACCACTCGAGTCGCAGCCAATGGGATTGAAGTACCGCAGCGCGTAGATCTTCCACTCTCGGTCGCTGGCTGCTAGGTCAGCAAGGATGGCTTCGCTCATCCATTTTGTGCGGCCGTAGGGGTTGGTCAAGCCAGTGCAGCCACTAAGTGTGGTGCGTGTAGAACCGGACTTGTCGGTCCAGTGTGTGGTTGTGTGGCTGGTAAGTTCTTCGCGCAGGCGCCCGCCTTTGTTGGCAAGTTCGCCGTAGACGGTGGCGGAGGAAGAGAAGACAAGAGTCTTGATGGAGAAAGTGTCAAGCAAGTCGCAGAAGTCGATGAGACCTGCGACATTGTTGGAGTAGTACTTGAGTGGTCGGTGAATGGATTCTTCGACAGCTTTGTAAGCGGCGAAGTGAATCACTGATGTGATGGTTGATTTGAGCGTGTAGAGGCTGTCATAGCGCTCGAGAATGGCCTTCATGGCGGGCCTCTTGCGGTAGTCGGCTTCGTAGAAATCGAGTTGGGGGACATTAGAGTGTCCCTTGTAGTGGTCCTTGACGAGGAGCTGGAGGCGTTGAAGAACGTCTCTATATGAATTGCTTAGATTGTCGACTATGACGACGTTTTGACCAGCCTTTAGGAGCTCCCATGTTGTATGAGAGCCGATGTAGCCAAGACCACCGACAACCAGCACATACTGGTCCTCAGAGATGGGGTCAATGGCCAGTAGTGTCTGAGGCTCTGAGAGCTCTGTATTGGGTGTAGAGATATTTGTGAAGCAAGTTTCAGTATTCTCTGAGGTGAATGAAGCAGGTGTGGAAGCACCACTAGGGATGCTGATGGGGGAAAGAGGGGTTGAATGAGATGATGGGTGGGAGTACACATAGCTCCAGTAGTCAGCCTCTTGTGTGTATGTAGCAGCCATAGCGAAAGAGCTGTAAATATTGGTACTAAAGAGGGGATGAAGATGCTGAAGCGGGAGTGAAAGTCTAGGAAGTGCTTTGAGAGAGCCGTATGCGGTGCTCTAATCCGGCAGATCGATACTGTCTTTTATAAAACTCTAGAGCCTACATGATGGTCTGTTATGGTGCTTCTTCCCTAGACTGCTCAATAAATTTCCTCGCGTGAAGGGCTATCGTTGTCTCGCCGTGTGTGCCACGCTGACACCAAATGTCTCGATTTCAATATTTGGCACGACTGAAGCAGCAGAGTATTACTGAGTCGAGCTTGAGCGCTCTGGAATAATGTCAGATTCAGCTCTCCGCCAGCCTGTGTGAACTACCATGCAGCACAAGTCGGAAATTCCATGGCAAAAACGTGGTGGAAGTGATCCGGCCAAGCCTTGATCTCCGTGATTACTGTTCACGCCTTTCAGCACGTTCTGGACAGAAGCATCCTAGGTTGTTCGACACTTCCGCCACGAGCCAGCACACAGCGTGGCTTGTTCCAATATTGGTACCGAGTGACTAGGGGCATCATTGCGCGTGCGACTGCCGGGCCTGAACTGTCGTCTCTCGAATGACTCCGCCATGATGGAGCACCATCACGCAGAAGGTAACCCGGGTATCAATCAAGGCAGTCATTGGCCACCAGTATTACTGGATTAGACGCGAATCTGTTCAAATGGACTTTATCGAGTGACTTATCGCTGCAAATCTGCGAGGTGATGTGCAGAGAGTTCACAGCAGCCCTGGTCGGAGGCGGCCGGCCACTTGGACAAGCGATGGAAGGACCTGTTTCTCGGGCACACCGAAGGCTTGTGGGGAAGGACTGTTCGAGCAACTTTGGCTTGGCAGAGCGTCCGAGTAAGGTACGCGGCAGATCTCCTTGATATCTTTAGTGTCAACAGGGGTAGGCGAGGCACGTATTGAAGCTGTCAAATGCTTTGAAAGGCATGCGTTGTCCGAGCATATTCACCCTTAACATTGCATCTTGCATAAGCCTTGTGGTTGCTGTGACACAACAGACGAGGAACGACAGATACTTGGACACGAGGCAGGGCTGACTCGTGCAAAGGAGGCTACGAAAGCCACCATATACTTGTAGAGATGTTTTGAAGTGATGTCACCTAACCACGCTCAAGCAAAGCGCGGATTCGGGGTGATGCACGTGGCGACGAGAATCGCCTTGGGCGTGGCTGAGGTCGGAGAAAGTTCCTGGGTTAGTCTCGATTGCCCCAGATTGATGAAACGTAAGTGACTGTACCCAACAGTCGCCTATATGGCAAGATGGAGTAAGTAGCTTTGACCTGTTTATGGCGGCAACGGTGAATGCTTGACTTGCGTAATCGATGCCCAGGTGCGATCTGCGAAAGAGCAGGACCAGCAACAGCATATTCCCAGGTACGCCAACGTGTTACAATATATACTGCTTGCATACGGGCTTATTGCAACACAAAACAATGTGATTTTGTGGAAGGTGGTGCTTGTGGTGAAGAAGTCGACGTTGGATTGGAGGTTACGTAGATGAGGCTGGGGTGGTGCGTCTGTGCGGAGTGCGTCATTTCTGACGCATTATTGGCTGGCCTTTTCTCGCTACTTCATCTAGCACAAACCACAGTTGCCCCGAGGGACCTCACTTTGCATGTTGGCGATACACGCGCGATCGGCCTTGACCTACATCGCCCGGATAAACGTTATTGTTGACGATTTTCGCTTAAACCTTCTGTAGGTATTCTCACCCCAAAGTCTCAGCACTAGATGACTATAGCAAACTCTATGACGGTTACCCAACGTTGGCCTTCGACTACCCGAGGTCAACTTGTACCACAGTGGAGCCTGGTATGTGGCTTGCGCCATGCATGTGGGTACCTGCACCTTTGCTGCGCAAAATAGTAACCTTGTACTCCTATGTCGCCGACTGTCCAGTCAGACTCAATCTAGACTTGCATTCTGGGCGCTCTACAATACAGGTAAGACGTGAGACTATCGGATCTGCAGCACACTGCCACAGGGCGAGATGGCTTCTGGAATTTGTAGCTGTTGAAGCAGTCCCATCTGGACACTTCCGTTTGTGGCCTCCAGGTCACTTCATAATGTAAGAAGTAGGCTGCATTTCCCGAACAGATCTTGCACACCATTCACTCATTCCATCATTCCCTCACTGCACACTCGTTTAGCAGGATAGTGCGCTAGATCATCGCGTCTATGTCGCTGCTTTTGGCATCTTCCTGCGCTTTAACTTCACCTATATCACAACCATGCCGACCTTCATCTCAAAATGGTTTAGCAGGGGTGGACAGCACCAGCGACTCGATGAGGACCTGCTCGAAGCCGCTGTTCACGAACCACTCGTGCCTGAGGCAGCACAACTGAGAAGTCAGGAGTCCATTTCCGAACCTCGACGAAGCCAGAGTCAATATTCTTTCAGCAATTACTCACAGGTTTCCATCGCTGAAGCGAATCCTTTCGCTGATCCAGTTTCGCTATACTCCGACGATGTCACACTCGCACCATCGAGCCCCCGACAGTCCCGCCACATTCGAATGACACTCTCCCCTGGGGCGTCATCGCTGAACGTGTCCAATGTCTACACAGAACCATTCGTTGATCCTTCAACACAAACACTGATCGATATCACACCTTTGAGCCTAGACCCGTTCGCAAACCCAGATGAGATCACTTCAGTCCAGGATCCTCGCCACACTCGGCCGGTACTCTCGCCTAGGGCATCACAACTCAACATTGAGAAGGGGAAGGATGCCTCCGTTCGTGTAAAGTCTGTAGATGGCTATAGCGGGACGAAGAAGCCTGCGCTGGTACTTAGGCCTTTCATTGCAGTAAAGAACTTTGTCTTCGCTCATGTTAGCCCGAAGACGATCTGGAACATGTTCGATGTTAGGGAACTCCTCTGGCCCATGACTTGGAAGAAGTATGCGGTTCTCACCGCAGTCGGAGCATTAGTCGCTGCCATTGTGGTGTGCGAATTCTACTTCCACTGGATCCAGTCAGCGATGGCGATCACTCGTCGCAATATGCTTGCTGTTCTTGTCATTGTCATCGTACTCGAGCCTACTATGATTACACTCATGCTACTCGTTGCCCGCATCCCAGATGTCCCAGCCACGGAGGAAACCATTTCTGGGCACGATGACATCGAGGCACAAAAGCAGGTCATGGACAAGATGCCAGAGAGAACTGATCGAGATCAACGGACTGCATTGGTCATTCCCTGTCATAACAGCGATCATGAGGCCTTCCAGCGAGTCATGGAGTCGGCATTTGTCCATTTCCATCCCAGCAGTATCTTCATCATCGACAATGCACGCACAATGCATCCTAAGAACAATATCTTCCGCAACTTCGTTCGCAGCCTGCACCCAGAAATCAACTACATCTGGTCACCGATTGGTAGCAAAAACGCAGCTCAGCTGGTTGGTGCCGTCGCAGCAAAGAACTATGAGTTCATTTTTACTGTCGACGATGATGTCTGCATCCCTGCCAACTTTCGCGCCCCGGTTGACAAGATCAACGACGTCACCAAGGGTGTCGCTTTCCCACTCAAGGCCACCAACGCAGCTGGTAATGTGCCTCTCTTTCTCGTCGCATGGCAGGACGTCGAGTATAGAATGGCCGGCCTTGTCAAGTTGGCCGAGTCCGACATCTGCGGTGTCCTCTACCCTCACGGCGCTGGTTGGTTTTGCGAACGCGAAACTCTCATCGATCTCATCAGCAACTACCACTCGCTCGACTTCATCGCCGAGGATGTCAACACCGGTATCTCGATGCAGAAGATGAAGAAGCGCATCGCATTTGACGCAAGCTGTGTCCTTGAGACCGAAGTACCAACAACATTCCTTGGGCCTGGCCTCAACTGGTACAACCAGCGTGTTCGGTCTTGGGAGATGGGCCGCCACGGCCGCCTTTTGGCCTTCATGGGTCGCATGCTTTTCTCCTTCAACGGCCAAACCACTCTCCATGGCATCTTCTGGCAAAAGTTCGTCCACTTCTACTCCATCGCCTGCATCATCGTCGACTGGGTGCGCGTTCCTGTTCTCGTCACCATGGGTGGCAATGGCATCTATTGGCGTCAGGCTGGCCTCCTCATGCTCGTCTCAGTCTTTCCTGTTTTGGCGTACAACTACATTTCCTGTCGTCGTCGACCTGACATGCGCACACCATTTTGGGGCGCAATGACTATTCCCATCTACAAGCAGATCTACGCTCTAGTCTCACTTATTGGCGCTGTCCGCAGCGTGCTGTACTACATTGGCGGTCACAACAAGCCCAAGACCGTCAAGCAAATGATCAAGGAGGGTGACGAGCGTGCTTTCTGGCTTGATCCTCGTTTTGAGGCGAATCCGGCGTTTCTGGCTGACGCGATAGAAGAGAAGGGGTCTTGAGCGGTGCAACCTTCGACGATTCGCTTCTAGAACACTTTGGTACTCTAATCTTAATGCACATTTACGATGATGACATGGAACCTACGCGACCCAATCGTTGACGCGAAGGTAACAATAGCAGTGTGCATCCTTTGCATGAGTCACGCAGTATCGACGTACCATAGCCGAGCTGAACTCTCAGTAAAATCGACACAGCTGAGAAGCGCTCTGCAGCACGACAGCACCGTCTTGCGCCTCACTGCATAAGGCTGAGATAGTGTTATCAAGGATGCAAGTAACCGCACACGTCAACCGATTCCCCGGAAAGGCGTTGCTGTCATCAGCCATCAAACATCGCCAAAGCAAAACATTTTCGTGGGCTGAGACTGAAATTGTGGAACTCATGTGCTGTTAAACGCCAGCGTTAAAAAGCAAGAACTGTGGCGTTAACGAACAGTGTCGACGGTCTTGGCATTTGCGGCTGCGATGCACCACTTCGCTTATTATATGGACGTAGTTTGAGAATGCCTTTGGGTCCCTAAAACCATCAGCTATATTCTAATCGAGGGGTTGCCTCGCGGCTGTCTCCATCGTGGCTGCTTCTTCCATAGCTGTTGCCTCCTCTATGTACCTTGTGCCTTTTCGTTCAAGCAATATTGTTTTCATCACTATTCCTCTTCGTTGCGCGTGGCCTCAAGTCTCTAAATTCTTCCGCTCTTCCACGTCAAATGCGTTCCAAGTATACTTGCTCATTACCATTTCTTTGAGAGAGAAGAGGGACACTAAAAGGAGAGCGGACATCGTGAAAATTTACTGTGCCGGAAAGTTTTGCCGATGTACCACGGCTCACTGATGCATTGCTGCTTACCTATCTTAACACTGTGAGTATCTCAGCTTGCTGGCGCTGCTTTGCGCTTAGGATTGTCTCATTACAACACCATGCATCAGAATTTCACCATTTCTTTCGGACTAAGCTTTGCTTACTAGATGGACACCCTGGCAGATGAACGCTCTTTGAAGCTACAACGGACGCATGCTACAATTAACTAAAAAGGGCATCGATGCAACCCACAAGAGCGGTCAGAGACCGGTGAACCTTGAGCCTAGACCATCATTCAAGGAGGTGCTCACACCACCTTCCTATTGTACGAGTTTGGCTTTCATGCACTGACACCACAGTGAACACTTCACAAGTATTAAAGTTGAAGTGAAGAACAGCTGGTTCAAATCCTACCTAGTTACTTGCTTGGCTACATATTCGAGTACAGATTGAGCCTGTAGCGTAGGAGTCTTCTATCGATTTGCACCAATCATAGTGATACGACCCTTGTTAATGAATTTACCTGGAGGAACGGGTCGCCGAAAATAGATCTCGTGTTCTAGTGCCGCACAGTCGAACACTTCGTATTGTTGGTGTTACTCCTTCAGGCCTTGAAAGAGTTTTGAGGTGCCCACAAGGCATGATCAGATGAAGAACTTTTCGAATTCTGCGACATGGGTGTGACGCAAGAACGGGCCAGATAGTCACGAATCTTGTGGTCGTTGCACAGAACATTGAAAAATTGAATGTCCATAGATGTAAGCAAACAAACGAATACACTAGACAGATTCAAAGTTAGTTTCGTATCAGGCCTCAACTTCTGTATGCCCAGGAAGTCTTCGTACCTAGATACTCATCACACAGGATTCAGGCCGCCGAGGCGAACTTTAGGGCCAGCGCAATGCGTGTGGAGGCATCAGTGGAGTTGGATCTCGAGGGTACACGGGAGAGCCATAGAAGAGTTGGAAGTATCACCTTAACTCCCTCACTCAAGCCCACCTCTTCTCTTACTCAACACAAAGGCCTAGCACCGAATACATCAATCGTTCAATATGTACAGCTCTTCTATCCATTTTTTTAATACATTCAAAATGCACTTCTCCACCATCACCGTCCTTGCCGCCAACCGAGTCTGTAACGGTTCTAGACTACTCTATAATTAGTTAGTTCATCTGAGATGAGACGCTTCATAAGCTCGTCGGTTCTCATCTCTAGAGATACAATGCAATCCCTCTCTTCCTAAATACCTTTATAGAGTCGCTCTTCGGTTCCGGCCAGCGCATGCGCGGCGACATCGACCAGAACAATGGTTTCTACCTGTCCGTCTTCAACAACGAGACAGGCGTCGCCGACATTGATTTCACTCCTCTGACTGAGCTCGAAGCAAGGGCGCCTGCCGAGGAGGTTGCTGCCGCTCCGGCCAGTCTGCTCAAACGCGCGACTACCTGTTCGGGGAACCGCTCGATCATTGTTGGCGAACTAGATAAAGCCAACAGGCTGTTGGCTAGCAATGCGAACGCGCAGGGCTGGTACAATAAAGGTTCACCTAGGCGGCGAGACTTCGTTCTTCTACAACTACCAAGGAAACTACCTGGCATACCAGCTCATCATCAATATGCATACTATTGTCAGTCAACACTGCGGTCAGGATGGTTATGGGTATGATCGCAGGACTAACGGCGGTGGCGCTAATGACCTCACTGTTGGTCATACCTGGCGAGGCGATCACTTCTGCTAAGCGGTGGATGATTAGTTCTGCTGGCCGCTCATAAGCTTCGTTGTTCAGCGGCGACTTGGTGGTCCGTAGTGGATAGTTGGTGCCTGTGATGAGGCGAATGTGCTCGACTGAGCAGCATGTTGCCCGGTGAAATCTTGGAATTCATTGCTCGATTGGACCTGTCACTCCTTAGTATACATTGAAAAGGTTTTGAAGCTCTCTATGCTTGAAAAATTCAATGTGCACTACTGCGTGTTTCAAGAAGAGCCGTGACCGACAAGGGTGAAGGAAGGAGCGATGTGGCGGCGTGGGACCGCTGATAGAATACGATGGAATACTGCGCTGCGCTGCTATCTAGCTAGGAGAAGATGAGTATATACCTGACCTGTAACACACTAAACTAGGGTAGCCTGCTATAGGTATATTCAGACCTTGTACGGACCGATTGATACTGCAACAATCCATACCAGTGGCAGTGCAACAGCCCAGGTCAAGATTCGACGCCAGAGCATCGCCCTGTCGTGCGTAATGTAGTTTCCAAAGAATAAGATATGGGCAACCCAAGCGAAGACCGTGCTCAGCAACATGATGTTGTAGGTGCTGCGAAGATCTCTGGACCCCCAGTAAATGTTTGAGAACAACCATTGCTTTTCCTTTGGAGCAAAGCTGTTGATTAGAGCATACGGTTGTGCCCGGCGCATGGTCTATCCCGTCCTGGAGACATTGGTAAATAGGGTATGAGGACGCTTTGTCATTGGACATCTGAACCATTGCGTGGACACAAGCAAGCCATTGGGAAAAAAAGTGGCGACACCCAATACGCTGAGCGCGACTTTCTGGAGCCTGGTCTTGTGGTGGTAGCACACGAATGGATGGTTGAGCAGTGCGATGGCTGCGTGCCACGGTGTGATCCATGCTAATATTGAGACAGGTGCGACACACAACTGATCTTGGACCGTTTATATGTAGGAATATATCCAGAAGCTGAACATGACCATATCAAGGATCCAAACCATCCAGTCGAGAGGACGAATTCCTTTGCAATCTTTGGCGACAGGGAGTTGTTCTGCGGTCTCGAGTATGGAAACTAGCGCCTGTAGCGTATGCTCCTCGATAGGATCGTGCTTTTGGGTGACTGTCTTGCCTTGCTAATGAACTCCTTCTGCTATGTTTTCCAGGAACCAGAGCCCTGTCAATGCAGAGATATTGGTGTATGCCCACATCTGTAGTCGACTGTACCATCGGTACTCGAACGCATTGCAGTATGGTGTAGATGGTAAAATTTTAAAATCCCTCAGACAATTCATCAGACTGCACCAATCGTACGTATTCGGCCCGCCTTCTTCCTGTCTGCCGTTGTCCCAATAGCGGCCTGAATCGGTAACAAATGGGGAACTGATATAAGTCCTTGGTTCGTACTTTGTACCGTTATCGCGAGGGGTGTAGGCGATTTTTTTTAGAACAGCACGTTGCAATTGGCGGTGGCTGCAGCTCCAGAACACTCGGAGAAACGAGTGTTCTTGTACGAGCAAAGTTGAAGTCATCGTTCCTTAGTCATGCGGGTCTGTCTTCAACAGAGCGATTGTATTGTAGGCCAGAAGCGCGAGGAACGAAGTCGTGATGATGAGAAGCGCCCACAGGATGCACGTCGAGATGTTGAATAGAATGTGCCTGTGCTTGAGACGCCATTGGTGTAACTTCCTGATATCCATGTTGTTAGCGTTTGTAGTCAGTAATTTTCGTCCGCACATCTTACACGTGAAAGTAATTTGTTCTCTATGGAGACATTGTCGAATCTCTTGCCAGTATCAAGAGGGTAGGCTGAAGAAAGTGGGTCGAACAATGCAGGATCGAGCAGAAAGGCTAAGGAATTGTGCATTCAGGTGGATACCTGAGCGCCGATAGCAACATCTCGACTGGTCTTGCAGAGCAAAGGGGTGTGCGGCGTGCCAATCAAGAGCGCCGACTGGCTCGTGCAGTTAACTGCGAAGCTGACATGCATACGACAAACCTCAAAGACAGACTCTACGGGTTCAGGCTTGTGTGAACGCTCCCAACTTTCAATGTTGGTCAGTGTCATGTATCCAATATCGCAGTACACTTACGCATTGCTGTCTAAGAACCGATGCTAAGGTTGACAACGTGGAAGCGGCACAGACCATTTTGACAGTCACTAACAAGCTAGAGCGCCCCTTTACGGGCTGTCACGAGAGAAAGAACACTGATCATCGTTACGGTGGTATGCGATTAGATGTAATATGTACTAGTCTGTATATTTGATGGTTCGACCTCCCAACGCCTATGCAATCCATACGCCTTGGATATAATGCTTGTAAACCCGAGTAACGCTCAACAAATTCTGGCAACAGCGGTCGATGCAAGTACGTTTTACATCTCCATCCGCTCAGTAACAGTCTCTTTCTCTGTGGTCTTCCCCTTCTTCGTCTTTGTCTTGTCATAGCAAATCAGACCAAACCATCCTTCGTCCGTACACGTAGTCGTCGACGCAGTGGGCGTCGGTATGGTCGACTTGTGAGAGCTGGGCGAATGGCCTGGGGGATCATCGCCGTCGAGACATCCGCCAAACCAGCCCGGATACATGCACGATGAAGTCGACGCGGAAGAGGTCGGTGAGTGTGAGGTGGTCGTGACGGAAGGTGCTGGCGCAGGACTGGCGACCGTCGTTGTGATAGTGGATGTTTCTTCTGAGGGATCTTTGTCTTTGCAGCCGAACCAGCCTGGGGTCTTGCACGTCGAGGTTGACGATGTCGAAGTGGTCTTGATAGTGGTTGTGGCGCTGCCGGTAGTGGATTCATCAAGACAACCCCACCAACCCGGTGTTTTACATGTCTCGGTCCGCGTGCGGGTACTGCGAGTGAATGTTGACGTTGATGTTGGCTTCGACTTTGACGAAGTGGTTGTTTCCGTACCGTTGCTCTCGAAATACTCCCAAGGGTAGCAATCCGTGCAGTTGACGTAGGGCTCACATTTGGCTGGCTGGTCGTACTTCAAAATGACATCGCGAATCACTTCGGCGATTTTGTGTGTACCAATACCGACACGCCAGCCAAAGTCCTTCACAGTGTCGTACGTACACTTCTTGCCAGTGTGGCAGACACTCTGCATTGCATATCCGCCAATGGTACACACACTCGTCGCTGTGTTGCACTGACCCATGAAGACAGGATCTGCTGTGTGGCCAAAGTGGTAGCCACCAGTCATCTTTCGCTGTTGCATCGAGCCAATCTGGTGACCAGGTGGTGTTGGTAGACCAAGTCTGGCTGCTGGCATGGCTTCTGGGACTGCCTCGAAGGTGACGGTAGGATGACCGTACGTCAAAGACAGGAACGAGGAGACCGCGCCTCCAAGGGAGTGACCAGCGAACCATATCTCGGCATGCGGGTACAGTGCTGTGACATTGTGATACAAATCCTGGGCCGCATAGTAGTAGCGGTTCTTCTCTCGCAGAGCAGTGACGAGACAAGTCGAGTTGCAAGTGTATGCAGCGGTCTGACAGTCGCAGACCTGCCGCCAGAGGTACTGGCCACCCTGGCCACAGCAACAGCTGAAGAACAAGTTGTCGTTGATCTTGTCGTTTGTGGTTGTCTCCGAGCCGTCAAACATGGCAGGTGACGTGCCTTTCAGCCCTATGACAACAGTCGAGTTCTCCGTGTCAGCGAAGATGTGACCCCGCAAGCCATCAGCCTCCCAGCCAAAGTCTTCGGTGTAGTTGAAGCCCCCACCCACATCTTCCCAGTCCCCTGTGCCAGGCTCTATTATGTAGGCATTCGATGCCATGCGCGCAAAACTGAGCACCGTCTCCCTATCGGTCACGTTCGGTCCTGGCAGCTCATCGATGGTCCAGTCTTCGGCAGCCAGCTGCACCGCCTTCCCTTTCATTCGGCCATAGTCTAGTATGCCGTCGATGGTATCCCTATCCCTGTGCACCATCCTCTCGATGCTCATGATCTCCGACTTGGCGCGCAAGGCAGGCACCGGTTCCCGATTGGCTGAATCCTCGTGTTCAACCATGTATACTGCTGCCTTGTCCGGGACGTTGAGTCGGCGGTGCAGCTCGGGATACTGGTAGGTACCATGGTGGTATATGTGGCGGAGGGTGAACTCCTTCTCGGTGTTGTGTACATGGGGCGATGTCGGCGGTAGCGGGAGTAGAGGCACTTCCGCAGCGCTGCTAATGGCGAGGAAGGACAGCAGCAGCGAAGCTGTGACACGTGACGCAGAGGTACATAGAGGTCGTCGTCGCATATTGCGTGTATATGTGAGGTTTATGTGGGAGGCCTGAGATGTTGTTGTTGTTCGAGTGAACGGTGATGGTCGCGCTCGATGACGCCGTTCACAAGGACCCCAGTGGCGCCGGCAATGCACGTGTCACAGGGCGGCTCATCGAGTTCGATGGATACAAGCAGCGGTCGAGGCTTGCTGAACGCGGCCTAGCAGCAGATAGCGAGCCCGTGTTCACCATCTCCGCATCTAATATCAAGAGCACAGACTCTTCCTCGTTTTTGGTGCGGGCAGGCTAGTTCACTCATCGTACCTCACGCGCTGGAAATACACCATTCAAGAAGAACCTGAATACCTCCCAGGTGACCCAAAACCCTTTCATCTTCGTCATACGCACTGCCGCGCCAGCCGCGTCTCCGCATGACGTTGCCCAGTTGTGCAGGGCTCGAGCTCGATATTTGGTTTCAGTAGTACCGCAACTCCGATGCTGGCACGCGACACTCGTTGTAACCTGTCCGTTCGCCGTATATAGCCATCATGTCTGAACGCCCCAGCAAGCTGCACTCGTCCCAATCTTTCTCCCGCCTCGACGCTGCGCCGAAGAGACCGCTGTCCCGCAGTCGAGCGAGCACGCTACAAGGACCCCATGTGACAGACATGTTAGACCCGCTCAAGAGCAGCATTGTTCCAGAGGAGGACGAGAACGTGGACGGCGACGTGTTTGTCAAGAAAGAGGAGGAGGAAGAAGAAGAAGAAGAACAAGATAGCCAGGTGCAACCAGCTCCAGACGTCTTTGAGGAATTACCCATCGAGATACGGAGCTTGACTGAAAGGTATGGAGCTCACCATTTCCGCCAGTGTGTTGCATGCTGACCAGTCCAGGTTCCTCGAGTCCCTCTCTGCGAAAGTTCATCCAAGTCCACCCTCCGCCGATAGCCTCTCAGACCTCTTCCAGGACTTCTACACACGTGCCGCGGCCAAGATCAACACACATATCGCAACCTTGTCTGCTCGATTGACGAGTGAGACGTTCATATCACAAGCGAACAAGAGCTCGGCACCGTCGAGCAGGGCAGGCTCAATAAGGAAGGGCAGCGATCCCAATGCAGAACAGCAGATGCTCAGCGCGTCAGAGATGAGCTACAGGAAGAAGGCAAGGAAGTCTCTCGAAGCCAAAAGGGCATCTCTGGAAGAGGCTGTCGAGCGAGCTGTCTGTGAGAAAGTGTACGACAGGATCTGGCGGCACAGAAGTACAGATGATGAAGAGAGGGATCATAAACTTAGATCACGAACAGCGGCGCTTTCGCTTGTTGGCATTGGCTTGAAAGAGCTCCTGATGACCGGCGAGGAGATGACAGAGGAGGAGCGCAACAAAGCCAAAGAGAAGGAGCCGGAGATCAGAGAGTTCTTGTCTGCTGCTCGACAAGACATCATGAAGATGAACCACGAGAAGTACCCACTTGGCAAAGTGCTACATCTGACAGCAGCGCACAAGTCGATCGTGGATGCCCTGTCGAAGATATTCCCAGCAACGTCATCTGCAGACGAGATCCTGCCGGCACTCATCTACGCCCTCATCACATTACCGCCAGTGTACCTCAACGTCATCAGCGATCTGAAGTTCATCCAGAGGTTTCGTGGCGCAAGCAGAATGGATGGCGAGACCGCTTACTGTCTGGTGAACTTAGAAGCAGCCGTTTCCTTCCTAGAGACAGTGGATCTTTCGTCGCTACGCGCTGAGGAGGAAAGCACATTAGAAAGAGCCAACTCGCGACCATCGACACCAAAGACAGAAGTCACTCCCATGCTTCTAGGGCTATCTGATGCGCCGGACCTAGTACAAACACCAGCGACACCAACCACCAAAACAACTTTCAAAGAGCCCTCGAGCCCGACAACGACGAAGATTCAGCGCCGACTTAGTAACTTGGTGCAGGCTCAGACGAATCGAATCGAATCAGCTTCAGATGCTGTCCGTGACTCAATTCTGGACTCCGCAGATCAAGCGTTGGGTAGGATCAACAACACGCTTGACACCAGCTTCAAATTCTTCTTTGGAGGTCTTCGAGAACGAGATCCGAACAATCAATTGCCGGAGCAACCTGCGTTACCAAAGACACTAGAGGAAGTGCGTGAGCTTGTCAGCTCCCCTACACGAGGTTTGCATGTCGACGATGATAACCTCAGTGTTAGCGCAGCTAGCGAGGACGATCGTCAGGACGTGCCGGCCAGACAAGATCTCAGTGCAAAGATGAGCGATCTTTTTGCTGGCAAACGACAAGTTCGAGACCGAAGCGTCGACTCGGCGCGGTCAGGAGGCAGCAACAGCGCACGTCGCGTAGCATTCGCCCCAAAGCCCATCGAGGAGAAGACACCGTCACCGGCAGCTGTGAAGACCGACACAGCGCCTACTACACCTTCCGCTGTGGACTCTCTACGTAACCTGGGTAACAGCTTGAATCCTTTGAACAGCTTCAGAAGTGTCAATGTTCTTCCTCGCTTTGGACGTGCCGTCAGCAGTGCCACCACGCCAACAATACCATCGCCAACGCCCGAACAAAACAAGACACCGCCAGTACCAACACCAGAACCGCTAAGCCACACAACAACCAATGACGTCGCGCCTGCAGATGAGAAAGGGGTGAAGGCAATCGCTGCTTTGGAGCAGATGAAGAAGACAACACCCCCATTAAAGAAGTTCTTAGAAGCCAAGGACGCACAAGACCTAAAGTTGAGGGAGGTTGATGAACTATTGAAGGATTACCAGCGACTTGCCGCGGCGATGCGAAGTGCGATTCACCAATTGTGAAATTTTAGCGTAGCATTGACTATACATGCACGAGATGGATGCACGAGTAGAATCAGGTGCAGGACGTTTTGTATACTTGTAAATAATCAAATCACATAGACATTTGCTCAAAGTAAAGTTGCGAGGCCCGTGGCCAGTGTTGTGATCTCAGAGTTGGCAACAATCAATTCAATCAATTCAATTTCACCCAATTTGATCTAGTGCTACTCCTATAGGTTTAACCCATACTTTGTTAGAATTGATTGTTGCCAACTCTGTGTGATCTGCACCTACCTGCATGGTGAAGGCTGAAACGCCGAACACGGCAAACCTAGCAACCGCGCTTTCCCAATACGGCTAAACCTGTTTACACATCAACATCAACACGATCCTCACACTTCCACACTGACCTCACAGCATTGACGTATTTTGGACCTCACGCAACATGGCGTCACCGATGTCGACGCTCTCACCCGAGAAATTAAACGCTAATCCACACGCTATGCAGTACGAGGACGACCTCGATATTTACGATGAAGGGCCCTCCAGCCCGTTCCTCGAGAACGTCGAACACAACCAAGAGAACGTCGCACCCAGTGTTGCGGTGACACCGGCCAAGCAGCAATTGATCGATTTTGAGAATGACAATGTACCGCAGTCGGCCTCCAGGGTCGAGGCGGGGAAGAAAGCTGGTTTGAAGGAGCGCAGCAGCCCGCTAAAGAAGTCGCCGGTTAAGAACTTGCTAGAGGATTTTGAGGATGCGGCAGTGCAGACACCCAACAGAAGTCGCGCAAGCACTCTGAAGAGCTCCCCGGTCAAGCAACACATTGTCGCGGATTTTGAGGGCGCGACAACACAAACACCAAACAGAAGCCGCGCCGGCACCGTGAGTGGCTCTCCGGCCAAGTCGCCGGCCAGATCATACGTTGCTGAGGAGCGCCCGGACTCTTCTATGAGCAATCGCACTCGCAAGAGCCGATCACCATCGAAGTCTTCTGTCCTCTCCTCCGTTCCCTCTGATTTCGACGTCGAGGCGACACCACGCGCGCCCTCGCTCGGCGCTGCCATCGACCTAGTTCCTACATCTTCGAAGCGGCCGTCGCCATCACAGACGCCTTCGCGCCATAGCGCTGAACTGCGCGACAATGAGGGGCTCACAGTCGCAGCAAACAGGTTCATGGAGGATGCGGATATTGGCCGAAGTCATAAGAGACGGAAGTCGCACGAGAACCCATATGAGGTGAACATGGAGGCCGACATTACAGAGTTCAATCCGGACGCCACAACACCAGACATCGACGACACCCACTTTAGCGACTTCTCCGAGATGCCGGGTCTCGACATGACCAAGTTTGCATCGTTCAGGAAGAGCCCCACAAAGAAGGGCGATGTAAGTGAAAGCGACTGTATTGGTCAACACAATATTGACACGTCCACAGGCGACACCACGCGCACGCGCACAAATGACTCCTTCTACAGTCCGTCGATCGGAACGCACACCTTCGCCTACACCTCGCCGCTCATACCGAGACAACGACACAACAAACCTGCTGCTTGACTTCACAGCTCAGATCGAGTCTTTTGCAGCTTCTCGAAACGGTACGCCTTCGCATGCCAACGGCAAGCCGACCACAGAACCAAACCTTCGCTCGTACTACCAAAATAAGCGCTCGCCAGCCAAAGGCGGCTACGTCCCGGCTACACCTGGCCAGAATCGCCCGTTGTTGAACCTTCTCGATTTCGAACTACCTCCACCACCCACACCACGATCGCTGCCGACCGTGACCATTCGCGAGATGGAGTCCGCTAAATCGCAGTTCCAGTCGCAGATTTCTTCACTCACGGCTAGCCTGTCCGGGAAGGAAGCTGAGGTTGAGTCTTTATCAAGAGCAGTTGCGGATGCCGAGCGTCGCGTAGGTGAAGCACAGGAAACTGTGCGCGACGAGCGGTCTGCGCGTGAGTATGCTGAGGCGCAGATGGAAGATTGGAAGAAGAAAGGCGAGGAAGTGCAAACTATCCTCCAGGACGTTCAGTCTGAGCTTGCACGCAACGACGAGGAGCGTGACCAGTTTCTTGCACGCTTAGCCGAAGCAGAGAAGCGCGCTGAAGACGCAGAAAACCGTTCTACGGAGCTGGAGACCAGGCTCATCGAGGCTGAGAGCAAGAATGTCGACATGACAACTTTCATCAACAATGATGAGGATGAGAACAAGAAGATCTACTCAGAGATGGAGTGTCAGTCCGCTATTGCTGAGAAGGTCAATGAGGTCGCACGAGACCTCCACGCTGCCTACAAGGCGAAGCATGAGAAGAAGATCAAGGCACTCAAGGACAACTACCAGAAGAAGGCTGATGAGCGCTGCAAGGAGCTCCGCGTCCAGATCACCAGATTGGAACGACAAATTGGCGACGCTGAAGACAAGCGTGACGACACTTTCAGCAAGTTCGAGGAATTTGGATCCAAGTCCAACGGTCCCTGCGAGACTTGCGCAAAGAACGCAGCCGCAGGACCTGTTTCCAGCCCAGAAGACATCCACAACCTCGAAGTCCAGCGTTCAGAAATCGAGAACCTCAAGGCCAAGCTCGCAGGTCTGCAATCCGAACTGCACTCACTCCGCAAGTCGCAGCAGATCCTCCTCGAAGAACTCGAAGCCGAGCGCGTCGAAAAGGGCGAACTTGTTGCAGCTGCAGAACAGATGCTCGTCCTTTGTGGCGAGAAGATGGAGTCAATGCAACAGGAAGACTTCCGCCGCAGCCAAGCAGCTCCTGCACAGCCGCCTCTTGAACCACGACCAACCAGCAAGCCCACGAGACAGCAGCCGGCACCTGAGCAGGCAATGCGTAACACAGGTTTCCTCGCAGGCGGCAGCTCAGTCAGCTCCTCAGCCTCCCGCCCAGGGTCATCACTATCGAGCAGCCGACCAGGCGACTCAAAGCCGAAGCCCAGCGGTATGCGCGCGCCAGGTGGTTTTGGCTTCAAAGCCGTTGGCGAGTCGGCGTTGAGCAGGAGTCAGAGTGGTGCGGGCAAGAGCAGGCTCTTGTCGAACATCGAGCGCATGGGCAACACCAAGGGCCAGGAGTAGAATGTCTGGCCTGGTAGTCTGAAGAATCGGTTTGGCAGTGTTTGGGGGATCAGGACGGTTTCTACGACGTCTACGGCGAGTGTGGATAGTACTGGGATGGACGAATGATGAGGTGGGCTATGGGCATATCGGCGTTCGGTTGATCGGGTATGACGGTGGGTGGGCTTGCTGGATTCTGGTGGCGGAATGACCTATGGTCGTACGCTCACTTGGGATGCCTTTGTGTGTTCTGCATATCTCTCTTTTCGTGGACCAGTGTACAGTCAACGTATTCTTTCTTCCTTGACAGAGCTTTTGTACTCGGTGCATATTTATATTGCGTGTTCACAATGATTTGTATTCTTCGTCTTTCTTCTTGTGACGGAATCGCCATCTAATACTGCTTGGCAATACCATTCCATACAACATATCAGACCTTAACCCTCAGCCCAACCCCTCCAAAAGTTATCCTCGCCGCCAACAACAACGCTGCGCTACCGAACAGCATGCAGCCACCAAATATCCAAAGCGCATCGAAACCGCTGTGATCCAAGATAGCACCTCCAATGGGTGTTCCAATAAGAACACCAAGAGCAACAATCGCAAAGCTCTGACCAAGCCGTGTGCCAATCTTGTCTCTCTTGTCCTGACTAAGTCGCACGATGATAGTCGGCGGCAGGCTGACGAACGAGCCCGAGAAAAACCCGTAGAAAGCCATCAGCACGCAGATACCTGCGCTGTTGGACACGCCGATGTAGATGATACACAGCACGCCCGAGATTAAACAGCATGGGATGACGACGTTGAAGGGGCCGAGGCGGTCGGCGAAGACGTTGGGGATGATTCTTCCAAACACAGATGTTGAGTTCATGATGGCGAGGAGGTAGAAAGCGAGGTTCTCGTTGGTGAGGTGGCGCTCAAGAGCGTAGACTTGTGCGTAGAAGAACGGCATGTAGAGGCCCATGAATCCGAAGAAGAATCCGAGGACTTGCAGAGAGTACGCGGGGATGCAGAATGCCTGCAGATCGAGCAGCGAGCGGCTCTTTGCGGGGAGGACGCGGACGCGCATGCACACGCAGGGCACCACCATGGTGGCCAGGATGATGAAGCCGAGGACGCGTGTTGTCCATGCGAAGCCGATTTGGGGGAGCAGATTGTGGAAGACGATGGGATAGATGACGCCGCCGAAGGAGGAGCCTGCGGCGGCGATACCGATCGCCATGCCAATTTTCGTGGAGAAGTAGGTGGATAGGATGGCAACGCTGGGTACGAAGAGCGCCCCGGTGCCGATGCCGATGCAGAAGGCTTGCGCAAGGAGGACTTGCCAGTACGAGGTGCAGAGGGACAGCATCATCTGGCCGAAGACGAGCATGAAGGAGCCAAAAAGCAGGAGTTCGCGGAAGTAGCCTGCATCGTAGATAGGGCCTGTGAGCGCGCCGACTTCAAGGAGGAGAAAGGCTTGGATACTGCCGATCCAGGAGATACTCGAGGGCGAGGAAGAAGGTAGCAGTGTGGTTTCGTAGTACGCTTGGTAGGAGCCGAAAGTGTTGATGATGCCCCAGGAGTTGAAGAGCAGGAAAAAGCCGCCGAGGACTTGTAGCCACGCCCATAGTCCGCCGTCAGGAATGCTTCCTGCGTCTCGGACGCTGTGCTTGCTTTTTACTTTCTTCAGGCCTTCGCTATCAGTTTCCTTCTCCTCGGTGATGCGGTCATCCTGCGTCACGTGCGCCTTCTCTTGCGGTTCTTCGATTGGTGCATCTCTTATTGCCAGACTCTCATGTGACTTTTGACTTGACAGTGGTGATGTTTGCGCTGACACCTCAATTTTCTCGTCGTATGTTGTTTGTACGGGGTTGTGCGACCCTGCGTCAGCGTTCCCCGCTCGTTGGTGTTCCATCTCTTGGCTGTTGTGCTGCAGATGCGACAGTGGTGATTAACGCTGTGTCGTCTTGGCGCTGCGCGCAACGCTCAATTTGTACTCTCTGAAACCGTATGATTATATGTCGCTTGGGTAATCGCACAGCTATACGGTGACGTCTTCACTAAGCGCGCCTCAAGAAGACAAGAAAACGACGCGGGCGTGTAGCTTGGAGAGGAATCCTTGGGAACCAGGAAGAGAGATCCTGGGGAAGGCAGATCATAAGGGAAGGAAGACCTGGCTACTATTATTAATGGAGCTTGTTTAGCGTAGGGTAGCAGTGGTGCGGCACGTCCATTCAACCGTTTGAGGCTTGTTCGGCCATTGTCAAGAGCGAGGTGCACGGCAAAAAGACGTGGTTCGTCGCGTCACCAATAATTCCCGGCCTGTTCCCGCGAATTTCGTACAACGGAGGCGTTTTGAATTACCTTTAGCACAGAAACATCGTCGAAGGCGTGAGAAATTGTGAGAAGGGCGTCAAGGCAGATGCGGCCATGATATACACCATTCCTCTCGGAGACATACGACGATTTTGTATGTTTCCGAGAGGAAAGGTCCTGTCAAGGACAACCAATATGGACAGTGACTGTCGACATGCGCTTTTCGAGTGACTCAAAGATGCATATAATGCTAGCCGTGGTGTTTCATAGAACGCTATTTTTCCGCCTCTGGGGGCAAACTACCTACGCCTTTTGGTCGCGGCGATGGAAAAAAAAATGCCGGTGGTATACAACGCAAGCCGGGCCTGCCTCATGCCGTCGTAATCTTGGGGAATATGCGTCGTCGCTCGTTCTTACTTTTCGCTCACCAAAACGGTGACCGTGCCATTAATCATGATCAAAACACCAATACGCAACGCCCAACGCTCGCTATGCTGTACGCCCTAAAGAGCAAGCCCAACCAAGTTTTTATGTAAGTCGAAATGTAGGAAACGGTTGTCGAGGTGATTCGAACATGTCAGTATATCCAGGTCGAAGAACCAACGTCATATGTATCGAAAGGGTCGAATCAGGCCTGGCCATTCGCACGATGCGCCGATATCATATAGCCGGAAGGGTGGAGAGGTGAAGCGCCAACATGGTCAACGCGCTCCTCAATGTACAGATTGTCCAAGAGAGCACTTGACGCTGCACTGTCTAGCTGCAGCTGACCTCGAACAGCCTTCTGGCGACGACTTTCGCGCTCATCCACAACGTCGTGCAATACTTTGGCAGCTCCAGTCCATCCAATCTGGTTGGCGGTTGCACGGTGGTTGAATAAGCGGTCGAGAAGAGGAAGTGGCAATGAAAGAAGGATGCTAGACAGTGTTCTTGACACTGGACTTGCTTGAGTGTCATCGTCCGTAGGCGCATCTCCGAAACGAATCTTGCTCAGCCGTGGGTTGTGTGCCGGCGCGCGCGCCTCAGTGACGCTGAGCAGGCGGGGGTCGTCTTGGAGTTCCGAAGCGATTCTGTACAGATTGAAGTCACTGGGGAAGTTGTACGCAACGAAGTCGATGGCTGCGTTCAGGAGCTCTGTAGCGAAGGGGTCATGGACTTCGGCTCCTTCAGTGTTTGATGGCGAGGTCGATCTTGCCGCATGAAGACCATAATGAAGAACCTGCTCGACGGTATCCCATCGCAGCAGCGCTTTGGCGATCTCGACACCCCGTGCTTGCATGCTGGGAATTTGCAAGACACTGCCGGCCGCAATGTAGCTCAGAAGCTGGTCCATACGCCTCCGAGCATCCTTGGTAACCTGCGCATGCGGCACCTCCGGCGTGTAATGGCCGAGACCGTACAGGAAGGCCTGCACGGACAGAAGCGGCGCGCCGTAGAGCACCTTAATGGCCTCTTGGATTGACTCTGTAGCGACGAATGGGTTTGTGGTAAGCACATCAACAAGACGGCGCGAGTCCCTGGATCGATGAGCGGGAGGAATGCTGCGACGAACGGCCTTGGCAATGACAGGACTGCGGACCACCACAATTCCATGCACAGGTATGGACATATACTGGAACTCCGGTGAACGGACTTGCAAGACGAAGTCTGCAAACTCTGGGTTGCCGAACTGCGTGGACAGGTAGGAAGCCAGCTCGAACGGCGATTCACTCATCTCATCAGATCGAGGTCCAGCACCGTTTTGCTGAGGCTGTGCGTGCTGCACCTCGGCCCGGTCAGCAATAGGCAAAGGCTCACCGAACTGTGACTTGCTGGGTGATTGCGAGTGCGAAGTAGCGATGCCGTTCGTAGCAAAACGTGGGTCTTCAGGCGAGAAGTGGCCTTGGTACGGGTCAGGGAATGCAGAAGGACGAGCACTGAAAGGCGGCGACTGGAATTCGCTCCCATTGCCATACATGGGCTCTGGAGGAGGAGGCATGGAGTACGGTGGGTAGAGCCAAGGCGCTCCGGCGTCCGAAGGGTGATGGGAGTGCCCAGGGAAGAAGGAGGGCGTGAAGTCTGGCGGAGCAAAGCCCGGTGGAATACGCGGCACAGATTGTCCATGTCCATGTCCAGCAGCCTTATAGCCGTGAGGGGTTGCGGGTTGAGCTAGCGAATCCTGCACAATACCGCCCATGGCGCCATCGACACTTGGCCGAGCTGGATAGAAGACGTTGTCATGGTTTTCCACAACAGGCGTGTGCATGCCACTCATGTTCGATGGGTAGAAGGGAGGTGGGAGCTCCTTCCGATGCACTCCGTTTGTGAGCGGCTTGCTGTCGACTTCGGTAGCTGGAGGGGCATCGTGGACGTGGTTCGATTCGTCATTTGTAAGCGGGACTGTGGTGCGATCGTTAGTGGTTGTTCACTCAGTTTTGAAATTTCGAAAAGTTTCAAGACTTACCTGAAGGTTCGGCTACTTGCTTCACCTCTTCGTCTTGCAACTTCACCGGCGAGCTTGCTAATGCTGGAGCTTCGGCTTCTACCTCAGCTTCAGGTTTCTCGACAAAAGTCTTGGACTCAGGTGTCAAGGGTGTCTGCACAGCTTCTGCCGGTTGCAGCTCCACTTTCTTCTCTTCCACTACCAGCTGTTGAGTTTGCGGCGTTGGCTCTTGCTTCTGCTGAGTCACAGCACCCCTGTGCGACTCTTCAGGGGTGATTGGCCTTGCAGCTGGTACGGGGCGCGACAGGCGGTGGGGGATGGCAGGCACAATGCGCGAGAGTGGGCGGCGCGCCTGCTGTTTCTGCACAGGCCTGGCAGCTTCGGCAGTGATTGGGGCCATGGCGTCTGGTGTTTATATAGTCGAACGATCGTCTGGAAATAGCGACTCCAAGATAATTGCGGATCAATGGGCTTGCCAATTATCCTGGAGCGCCGTGCGAGGTGTGAGGGGCGGCGAGTGTTCGAGCGGTGGGGTGCGTCGCGGAGATCGCGAAGGCAGTTTGGGTTGCATGTCATAGCGCAGTTTTGGAAGACATGTGGGGAATTTTTTTCATTAGTAAGCTTTTTCCCTTACCTTGAAGCACTGCCCACCGTCAAACAACGATGGGACACCTTTTAATCGTTGATGAAGTGTTTCGATGTTGTATTGAACCGCTTAAGACTATCCAATGACCCCGGCCATTGCACCTGCCTTGCTTCACACTGACCGGCTAGTGGTGAAGGATACAGATGGTACGAGCGAATCGATATTAAGGTCTAGTAAGCTGGTTAACCAAAAGGGTGTTTGTTCAATACCCAGCAAGGTGTTCGTGTCTTCTGCTCAATGAGAACCGACGGCTACGGCAAGAGACACAGGACGGGCACGTGTCGATGCAGCTAGGCAGGCGCCATGCTGTCAGAGCTCAACTTCATCAAATAGACAGTTGTGCATTCTTGTTGAGTAGCAGGCGAAGTACGACAGTCAGTCTCATACTCCTCTTCGCCAGGAGGCCCTCAGCTGCCCGTTCTCCGCAGACGCATCCATCCTCGTTCCTGCCCCAACCATCCCACGCACTCATCTCCTCTTTCCACACACCCAAATAGCAAGGCGTCAGCACGTGGTCGAGATAACGCCATGTTTACCCCCTCAAAACATGTCTATCCTCCCGCTCCCTGTTACTCACGTCCCACTATCTACCCTAGAGCTACAACGACATCTCTCTCTTTCCTAGTGCTCCTAATACACATTCCCTATCCCTGCACACCTGATTATGGTCTTGAGACAGCCACGAACTTCATGCAATAGCAGACTGCCCATTCGAAGACCCTCTCCAGCGCGAACGTTGAAAGACAATCGCTGCTTTGAGTGCCAGCTGGGCACTCCACCGGACACCCACCACACTACTTGTCTTCATCAGAACGAGTTTGCGCCTACGCGTGAGCTTAAGCCCCAACAATTCCTCGCACTATCATGCTAAATGCTCGCAGCGAACCGCTTCAGCATCCTAGCCGGGCTCAACCCATCTCCAGAGACCAAGTGGGGGTTTGACTTTGTCCCAACTTCGAGATCTGGCACGAAACGACGTGGCAAGCGGGTTGGCAAGCAGCAGAGACTCAAGCACGCTCCGAAGAAGACATGCGAGAAGCCTAAGGGAGATGGTCTGGATGAGCTCTGCAAACAATATGCTGCACTGCGTCTGGGCGATAATGCGCCAACAGCAGCATCGCAAGTTTCGCATCACGAGCTGCGGTCCAGCACACCGACTAGAGGCTCAACACCTGATGTGACTGCTGTCAGACATCACTGGGCTCCACAGTTTCGTCCCAACTCGCTACCAACACCACGGGGCACCTTAACCGAGCCAACAATCGTTCATTCAACGACCCTTCTGCAAGAGCCACAGCGCACCCTGCTCTCGCCGAAATCGGTCCAGGACCCCTCGACTGACGTTTCGCTAAGTAGTCGGAAACCCTACTCTCGATTTCCCCTGTCAGCTTTTTTGAAAGACCTTACCTCTCCAGCCGACTGCGTAGGATACTGGCCACCGAAAACCCCAGCACCTGAGCCATCACCTCCTCCTCAGGCCAACAAAGTGACCAAATCACCTACTGCTGCTCCACCTGCAACACCAGCTCAATCTGCGACGGCAGCAGCAGCCTGCAGCGCTCTTGTACTGAGTCGGGACACCGCATCCCCGTCAAGCAATGCAATAAGGACGCGTCAGGCGGCGCCAGCGACGTCGTCGTTGTCTACCAACACAGTACCTACGTACAAACGTTTCCCTGCGTTTGGAGTCCCTCCATTCACGCCATCCCCAGGGTCAGTCCCTGCATCATCACCCATTCTTGCTCTGCCGCCGGCACCAGCAACGCGACCTACTACGCCAACTTCTCCACAGCCGAAATCGTCTTCGGCAGTCAGTCCAACCGCGTTGCCCACTAATTGCAGGCCAGCTGCCGCATCAAACGCTGCGCCACCACTGCCAGTGCTGCAGAAATCCTCCATAACTCGTCCGTCACGTCCACCTGCTCCGCAAAAGTCGCCTTGGGGCTGGCAAGAAGTATCTGAAGGGATCACCATTTTCAACACTTCGCCGTCGGCCTTGATCACCGCACCTGTTACATCTCCGTACCCATTTGTGTACCCACCACGGCCGTGGACGCCAACAGCTGTACCTAAAGACCTCTTCAAAGACACAGCCGCCGTACCAAGCATGTTGAGAAGGAAGTTTGCTTTTAGCCCTCCTTCTCCTGAGGTCCAGAAGGAGCTGGAAGACTTCCTGGACATGGGTCATGCCGATGACTGCTGGTGCTCCAGCTCCAAGCACCGACAGTCAAACAGTAAAGCACCAAGTATGGGCACCGCTGTCGGCGAGCCGCATCTCCATGCGCCACAAACAGACTCGAAGGATCTCAAAGGCAGTTTGCACGTAACAGGCTCAGAGGTGGCAGCAGAGTCGTCTCAAACTCTTCAGGGCCTGTCAGACTTGTATGTCGATGTCGAGGATGACTCCTCCGACAGTGACGCCGTACTCGCGACCCCCTCATCGGAAGGTAGTAGTTCTGGGTTCGAAGACTTCTTTGGTGTCCATGAGGTCTTGCATCCCTTCGCCTCAGATGATGATGAGTGGGTTGCGGTTTCCCCTCGCTTGCAAGCGCGACGACCAAGTTCCCTGCCCTCCTCACGAACAGCGTCCGCTGTCTCAGTGCAGACTTCGAATTCCACCTCTGTGGTGGCCCCACCGACTACTTCTCTACCATCGCCTCCGGAAACTCCTCCACTGTCAATATGCCATGCATGGGCCTCAGATGCTGAGAGCGAGACAGACTAGGGGGACTTCCGCTCTTGGGCTGATTCTCCGGTACAGTGTGTACAAGAGGAGAGATGGGACACGACTGTGGAGCCCGAGGTTGTGTATACGAGTGCTGTGGAGTGGCCGACGTTGCGAGAAGCCATGAGGGTCAAGCCAACCCGGAAGGAGCCAAGCAGGACGTATGACGATGAGTGGGGCGGTCAGGTATGGGATGGGGTTACGGATTGGTTTATGTGAGTGTTGCTGGACTTGTACGGGTATTGGATAACGGTGATATGGAGAAGGCAATGGTGGGAGGACGTGCAAGCGATTAGTATGATGGATAGAAGGCATTGGTAGAACAGGGTGTTCACAGCTCCTACTCTATAACCTAAAAGACATTTTACATTTCAACATCATCCATAAGCGCAACTACAGGTTGTCATTATCCCACACACCAGCACCACCCTCCTTCTTCTTCTCTCCATCATCCACAACAGGCGCCATCGGTATCTCGACCCCCTCAATACTCCACTTCATCCCAATATACGAATCACTATATACACTAACATCGACCTTCTTACCCTGCGCCTCCGGTGGCAACGATACCTTGGCCGAGGCGTGCAGTTTCGCTCCGCCAGCACCAACTCCACTGCCATAAGCGATCTGCTTTTGCCCCCTTCCCCTCCCGCGTCCAGCAGGCCCAGATCGACTTGGATCCGCCCAGTTCACGCGCTTCAACGCGATGATCTCATCTGTACTGCTGTATGACAGCACGAGGAAGAAGCCTTCCGTCTGCGGCTTAGGGTACCGCGGTGCGTAGATCCTGACACCGCCGTTCTGCATACGCGCGTGGTTTTGACGCGTGATGTTCAGGCTGAAAGACACGGCGTTGTACGCACCCAGCGCGAGGGACAGAATCGGCAGGCGACCGATAGGCTCGGCATTGCGCTTGAGCTGTGGGGGTGCGACGCCTGCGAAGCGCAGCGCTTTCTCGAGGTTTGATGGGGAGATTGTGGTGGCGTCGATCAGTGTCTTTGGCAACGCGCGGGCGTGCTCGAGACGCTTCTTCTCGTCTTTAGGCTCGACGTTGGGGAGGATGGCGAGCGGGCCGTCGTCCGGCCAGCGCGCGGATTTGATGCATTGGAGTAGTGTGATCATTTGCGTGCAGGAACTCACGTACCCGAGTTCGGTGAGCACGTCGATGGAAGCTTGCACAATACGGATCGACTGGTCCAATACACTGTTCAGGTCGCCCACGTAATCACTGATCGGCAGGTCGATGCGCGAGAAGTGCGCTTGTAGCAGCAAGAAAGACTTGACGTGTGGATCCCACATCGGCAGGCCGAAGTGATCGGCACTCAGCGGGAGCGCTTTGGACAGCTCGGCGTTGATGAGGTCCTCGTTGTGTCGCACGGGGAGCTCGTCGTATTCGGTAGCATGCGAGATCCAGGTGAGCGCGTCGAGGAAGGTTGCGTTGCGCTTTGCGTGGGCGACGAGGTAGCGGATCGTCTTATGCGAGAGGTAGTAGTACGACATTATCTTGCCGAGCGGGGTGGAGTCGACTTCTCCCGTGGGCTCAACGGCGGCGCAGGACGATTCATGGAGTTCTTTAAGAGAGGTCTCGACCAGGTCGATCATGTAGTCATTTGCCATGGTTTGGGCGGCGATGGTGTTGTGCTCTTCGGCGGAGATTTCGAGGCCGTAGAAGGAGGGATTCTTGTGCAGGCGGCGGAAGAAGAACGTCCAAGTCAGGTAATCGAGTGCATCCTGCTTGGTGCCAATGGTGCCAGCTGAGATTTCGGCGCCCAAATGGTTGTCTAGGACCTTGTGCAAGGAAGACTCGACCGGGAAACCAGTGTGCAGGAAATGCTTGTAGAACTCCTTCTTCGCGTCCTGCGTGAAGATGCGTGCGATACCTGAAGAATCGAACTGAGGACGCCCGGCACGACCCAACATTTGCAACACATCGGTCAGATCCATGTCTTTGTAGCCTTCCGACTTGGCGTCGAAGAATTGGGTACCTTTGACAACAACGAGATGAGCTGGCAGGTTTACACCCCAAGCCAGGGTACTGGTGGCGACGAGGATCTGTATCTTGTTGTTTGCAAACAGCTCCTCAGACAGCGAGCGATCAGTCTCGACAAGACCGGCATGATGAAGGCCGATGCCAAAGCTCAGTGCTTCCCTCAATGCATCATCCTTCACTCGTTCAAGGTTCAAAGCCAAATCATCTTCGGACATGCGAAGGAAACGTCGAGGATTGTCTTCCATACCACAAAAGTTGATTAGGTCGCGAGCAGTCAGGCGTGTCTGACGACGCGACGCCACGAACACGATGACTGGCTTCTCTGGCGAGTGCTGCTTGATAGCGAGGAACGTAGGTCTGTTCATCGATTGCATGAGCGGACAGAAACCGCGCTGTTCGGGGAAGCCATCGATGAAGATCTCCAGCGGAACAGGGCGGACTGAGTGGCGGAAGTTGAAAAGGCCCTCTTTGACACCAAGCCAGTTGCCAAGATCTGACGCGTTCGCGCAAGCGGTCGACATACCGAGAAGTCGAATAGAGCCATCCTTCTTCTGTGAGGCGATGTAGTTCATACGAGACACAATGATCTCGAGAATGGGACCACGGTCACCACCGAGCAGGTGGATCTCGTCGATGATGACCAGACTGACTTGGCGGACGTACCCACGAGTCTGCCAGCTACGACTGATACCGTCCCACTTCTCAGGAGTGGTGATGATGATGTCTGCATCGCGAATCGTGCGAGTGTCTGGCGTGTTGTCACCAGTCAACTCGACAAGCTTGAGTCCCATTGGCCCCGCGAGACGCTTGCCCCAGTCCTGCACTCGCTCTCGAACGAGTGCTTTCATGGGTGCGATGTAGACGACCTTGGAGCCTGGCTTTTCCCTGAAAGCCCACCACATGGCAAGCTCAGCTGCAACAGTCTTACCACTACCTGTAGGTGATCCGAGAAGCACATTCGCCGGAGTGTAGTATAAGCAGTGAAAGATCTGTGTTTGCATAGGGTTGAAGTACTGGAAGCGCTGGGCGTACAACTCTTCAAGAAGCGGATTCTTCAGAGCTGCGATGGGCAGAGGCTGCAGATCGAGCAAATCAGTGTAGACGCTCTCGGTGTCTGGCCGGATGAGATGCTGGAAAGAGATAGGGTGTACGGTCTCCGCACCCAGCCATCGATCAGAAACAGCGCGTACGTAGATCTGCGTCGGCAGTGGGTCTGTGAGTGGAATTGTGAAGTTCAGCTCATGGTCGTCGTACAGCTTCTTGCGAGACAAGATAAAGAACTCGTAGTGGTAGATCTCCGAGGTTTCCGAGTTCTCGACCCAGATCCAGAATGACTCCGATGTGCCGTGGTGTCGGTCATTCCACCTGAACTCAGGCGTAAGCCACAAGCGGATGCGAAGAACGTCGCGGTTCAGGGGCGCGATCTCGGACTCGATACCAAGCGTTGGGAAATTGTCCAGCAGCTTGGAGATGACGCCGCCCATCTTCGTGTTGTGCACGAGGTCGCCAATCTCTCGTGGCTCCATATCGCGCAAAGCCTCGATCGAGGTGTATCTCTGATCGAGCGCTCGCAAAACCGGCTGAGGTAGATCAAATTGATGGAGCGGATGCTCGATGGACCACACCTGGTGTTCGATCGACTGGCAAAGGCTGAGCAGAACCAAGCATTGGTAGCCCCAACGCCTATTAAGCGCTATCATGAACAATGCTCTGGCGATGCGCGAAGCGTTCTGCTTGATGTAGTTGGTGTCCGAGACAAGCGTGAAGTCCTCCAGTCGTGCTCGTGAGATGTGAGCCTGCAGAAGGTAATTTGTCTTGCCGTGCGCTGTCGCGTAGCCACCCTTGACTTCGGTGATGACGTAGCCTTCCTCTTTGAGCGCCGAGAGTTCCTTCTCTTCAGTTTCGCGAGATTGGACTTGATCGAACTCACCGCTCATACTGACCATAGCCAGAGCGTCAGCGTCTGTGCTGCGGGGGCGCATCATAGTGTTGAAGATCTCAATACTTGACTGCTGAACGTAGAACTGACTGGCGATGCGACCCACGTCCTTAGCACGGAGGTCCTCTGTGGTCTCGTTGAAGACGATCATTTGGCTCTTTTGCAGGACACGAGCAGCATCAATGATGAGTTTGCGTCTCCGGCCCACCAGCTGCGGATCATCCCTGATCTCAGCCCACTCGATACCATATAGCAAAGGACTCTTCTGCATCCGCACAAATAGGTAGGAGTATCCAAGCCATTGCACGGCCTCTGATACCGTGGTGACTGTGCCAAGAGAAATCTCGGCATTGAGGTTGTCGACAAGCTTGGATGAGAATCTTGACTCAATCGGCTGCTGCTCTGTTATAGCTCGCATGTAGTGGTCAAGACGATCATGGGTGGTACAGATGAAACCGATACCAGTGTCTTGGAACTGAGGACGACCAGCACGACCGAAGATCTGCAGGACGTCCAAAATACCAAGATCCGTGAATTTACCCTCCTGTGCGTTGTAAACTTGAGTACCCTTGATCAGGACAGCAGCGGCTGGCAAGTTGACACCCCAGGCTAGGGTTGCTGTACAGCAAAGGACCTTGATAACACCCTCGGCAAAGAGTCGCTCGATAAGGTTTCGGTCCGAACGGGGCATGCCGGCATGGTGAGTGCCCATACCTTTGCCAAGCAGCTCCCGAAGTTCTCGTCCCTTCGACTGCTTCATGTCGCGAACAGCAGCGTCGTACTTGGGATGATCTGTCGGGTCGAAGAGGTCGGTACATTGATCGTCCGTAGCTTGATCGAATAGTCTTCTTGCTGTCTTGACAGTGTCCTTCCGGGAGTGCACGAAGACCATAATCTGGTGGCCTCTCTCCAGCATCTGCTTGACCTTGTCGAAAGCTACTTGTTCTAGGTTCTCCCGTGACTTCATTGTACCAGGCTTACCCTTTGCGCCAATGAAGTGCTGCTCGAGAGGGACTGGACGGAAGGATGCATCGAAGTAGAACAGACCGGCCATCTTGTTCACGCGAAGGAAGTCGGCTACATCAACGTAGTTGGGCAATGTAGCGGAAAGACCAACAATACGGATGAGAGACTGTGTGCTCTCAACCTGTCTTTGTGTTCTTGCCACCAAGCTCTCTAGCACAGCACCACGCTCATCGTGCAGCATGTGGACCTCATCAATAATGAGTAGCCTTACCTTCTGGACGAGCTCGGTGTCTCCCGTGCTCTTTCTTGTTACAACATCCCACTTCTCTGGTGTTGTGACGATGATCTGTGTGTCCAGGATCTCAGCTTTGGTAAGGTGCATATCTCCAGTCAACTCGCGTGCCTTAATGCCCAGCCAGGCGAGACGCTTTCCAAGCTTCTCTGTGACTTCAGCAGCGAGCGCCTTCATAGGTGCTACGTAGATGATCTTGAAGTCCTCCATCATAACTGTGAAGTCGGTGGCTTCAGGCTCCTCGATCGGATTGGGAACGATGTTCTTCCCGATGGTATTGAGGATAGTGAGCATCGCTGCGTCCGTTTTACCAGCACCGGTAGGCGCGCAGATGAGCATGTTCTCGCTCGTCTTGTATGCTACGGGATACACCAAGCTTTGCATGCGATTAAGGGATTTGTAGCCTTTGAAGGTCCGCCGGCACAGGCCATCCAATTCGCTGATCTCGACGAGCCTTCGGCCTGCTCCAATGGTTCCCACTGGCATCGCGGGAATTTCGTACTCTTCGTAGAGGTTGTCATCGTGGTGCTTGTGGTTCGTAGGAAGTGCGTACTTCTTGCCGTAAGCAGAGAGTTTGTTGCCCGCTGAGTAGGTTTGGTAGACATGTGGGTATTGCGGCCCAGTGCGGTCAACTGCGGCTGACAGTGCAACATTCTTGTGCTCCCAGTCCTGCCTGCGCAACGCTTCTTCGCGCTCTGCTCGAGTCATGAGGCGACCTGAGATGCCATTGCGTTCGCCTGGAGTTGGCTCAAGCAACGACCGGGTAATATCCTTGCGATGTGAGATGAGATCAGCGACCAGATCTAGCTCTTCGTAGCCCACAATGTCTGCTAACATCATCTGCAGCTCATCGTTGCTGCTGTCGCTGCTCAAGATGGCCAAGACCTGGTCTTTCAATGCTCCTGCATCGAGACCGGAACTTCTTTGAGCGACACCCTCGCACTTCTTGCTCAGCCATTGCTGTTCGTAGGCGCTGCTTCCACTGGAGTTTTCTGGGGCGTGATCGAGATGGTCGCTGCTATATTCATCTTCGTATTCGTCGCTGACAATGTCCCAGATGTCTTCTCCGCTGGCGGTACCCGAGAAGTCGTCGTCGTCGAACTCCATGTCATCGCCATATGCTGGTGCTTTGTCGGCATCAGCGGGTAGGTTCAGTTCGGCAATGGCCTTGCGCATATTGGCGAGCTGCTCCAGCCATTGCGCCTGTGCTGCGTCCATTGAAGACGACATGGCGCTCAAGGCCGTTCTCTGTGCGACCGCCTCTCAACCGGCGAATTTTGATGTTGTTCACGCGGCTCTGTGAGAGTCGATGTGAGTCAAGGTTGCTCGCCGCTCGCTCAAAGTTTCCCATCGATGACGGCGACTGCCTGATCGCGTCCACCTGCCCCACTTCCCCACTAGCGCGGGTTGGCAATCCCGCGGTGGGACAGCGCAGGAGCATGAGCATCACGGCTTACGTCTAGGCACCTAGATCTGTAGCAACCATTTGCATAGCTACGAACAAAAACACCTTGCCCCTCTTGCATTCGACCCTTTCACTCCCTAGACGACGTCATCATCCGCCAGCATGAAGGTCGTGTACATTGGTGTAGGCGCGCCTCTCACCGCCGCTTGCGACTTGTGTGTCTGACCAGAGTTCCCAGATCTTCAACAACGAGGCCAAGCCTGCCGTCGAGCTGACACACGAGAGCGACCTATCGTCCTACGGTCGCTTCACAAGGGGCAGCATCGCCGAATTCGTACGTCACTCAGCACCCTTGATACGACTCTGCGCATACTATACCGCCTCCCTCACGGACCCAAAGAAGAAAGGTGCAACCCACTAGCTAACAATGGGTAGTTGACCTTCTTCGCGGGTGAAGTTGCCCAGCGCACAAGGCCAGGGCAGAGACAGGATGTCGAAGAGAAGGGTAAGTCTCTACTCAGCTGCGGTGAACGTCAGCTGGGGCTATGGGGCTAACACCGCACAGAGTACACATTCCACGCCTACGGCCGCACAGAAGGCGTCTGCGGCATCGTAATCACCGACGACGAATACCCCACCATGGTTGCCCACCGCGTCCTCTCCAAAATCGTCGACGAATTTGTCTCCAAATACCCGCGCACCGCCTACACAAACTTCACAAAGGGCTCGCCCCAGCTCTCCTTCCCCGAGCTCAAACAATACATCTCGCAGTACCAGGACCCCGCGCAGGCCGACAGTATTGTGAAGATCCAGAAGGAGCTTGACGAGACCAAGATTGTGCTGCATAAGACGATTGAGAGTGTGCTGGAGAGGGGCGAGAAGATTGATAATCTCGTGGCGAAGAGTGATGGGTTGAGCGCGCAGAGCAAGATGTTTTATACCCAGGCGAAGAAGCAAAATTCTTGCTGTGTGGTCATGTAGAGATCGTGTCTGGAACTTGAGGAGCGAAGAGCGAGGAGCGAAGAGCGAGGATTGCGAGTCTGTGGATCGATGGATCGGGGCTGGCAAGGCGTTGGGTTTGTAGTTTATTGGGGTTGTGCAATGAACATACCCTTTGATTGTCACACGTATTGGGGCTTGGATCTGTCGTTACGCTGGCATTTGGTATGAAGGGTGTACTTATCGATGCTTGAGCAGGGCATGCCGTGCAGCATCACACGGAGTGACATGTTTCGGACGTGGAAATTGATTGCATGTGAATGATTTCGTTGATGAATTACAGGCTTAATACTGCCAACAGGTCTTGCTCTTCTTTGAGCATTGCGCACTGAGGTCTTTGATACTTTCTTCTCCTTCTGTCTTCTTGTTGCAGTGCATCGTAGGACTGCCTTCCCAAGGATGGCCTTCCCGGACTACTCATGGCTGTCTTTGACCTTGCTGAGCATCACGTGCTACGTGGCCGTGATGCTTGGATGCTGTTGTTGGTCGTTGTATGACGCATGGCTGTTATGGTCTCTTTACCCCACTCAGTCCTCGCCGAAGACCACGAAACTGCAATCTTCCTCGGCCTCGAAGTAGACGTAGTCGCTTCCGTCGGTCTCATTGTCATCGTCCATATCCTCCCAGTCACTTTCATCATCACTATCCTCGTCGTCTACCATTTCAAGCCTGGGGCTTTCATGAACTCCAGCTGGCGCACCCTCTGCTTTGCGGATCCCAGCTTCGTTACTTCGGATGAAATCACTCAACACGCCAATTGTTTGTGTGAAGTCGTAGAAATTCACAACGTTCGTTCTCGAGTCGCTTGGTCCTTGTTGAAGCAGGATCGGGGCCCGAGAGTAGTCTTCGGAATCCTCTGAAACTAATTCGTCTTCTTCGTCTTCTTGCTCTTGCGGGGCATACCTGCCCGGGGTGTAGCGCGGAGATCTTCGTTTATAGTAGTCTTCTGGCCGACTCACACAAAACTCGGTATCTGGGGTGAATTTGACGGCTTTCGTTTTATTCGGCTGTTGTGACCGCGGGTTTGTGAGCGCGCCGTTCTCGGACCAGTACAGGTCCAGGGCTCGGCTCGCTGTTCGCACATCCTCGTTCTTCCACTCTTTATGCTGCGCATGCCACTTCTCTTCCTCTTCCGCCAAATCCTCAAGCTCTGTCAGACAATGTAAGGCTTCGAGTTTGCCCGTGACGAAGGCAGCATACAAAGCTTCTTGATGGGGTGTTGTCGCGGCCATGGCGGCTCTTGGTGCACGCCCTCCAGCATCTCTCAGCGCTTTCTCCAGCGCTCGTGTGTAGCTGATATACATGTCGATCGTACAAACAGGACATCGCTTTCTCAGTTGGCCGGCTGTGATTGGATGCATGGTGTGTCGACACAAAATTGCTGTGGGTGGCTCGTCTGCGCTGGAAGGTTTGATATGTTCAGCCACGTCCTCGAATATGTCCGAGAAGTATCCGGAGTCTTGTTTCCGGAGCCATTGCTGGAAATCTTCGTACTCATCTGCCGTCGGAAGGAAGCCTTGCTCGTTCGGTCTCAGCGTCGTGTGTAAATTCTGCCATCGTCGATACTGCTTCAGTTCACGTGGAGTGAAGATAGCATTTGCTGAAACGTCGCTTCGGACGCGTGAGGTGGTCAAAGACATGTTGTTGTAGAAGGTACCTGGAATCGTGATCTGGAACGCTTGAGACCGGACTAGGTTGATTCGAAATTTCGCGCTTCGGACAATCGTGACAGAGCGCGTCGAGTCCAAAAGCACGTTGATCTAAAGCGAGACAACGCGAAATTCGCTTTGCGAGGGCCGATCTTTCACCCACAATGCAAAATTGCCGTTGTCGACGCGTGCTTTGTTGATGGGAGTGAAAGTGACTCGCTTTGTGTCCTATGTCGCTGAGGCAAACAGAGTCCTTTTGCACTTGCAACTTCAGTGTTACAAGTTTAGGGTATCGCAGTGCACTCTCGTGCTGTGGCGAATGGATGTGTAGGAATAAGTCGTATCTCACGCGGCGCGTTCAGACTCCGTGGCGACCGTTACCGCTGACAAGAATGATATCGTCAAACTTCTCGGTCTTAGGGAGGTTGGAGTACCACGAATAAGCCATGACTCTGGTGCAAAGGTGATCCATTCCAAGCTCTTTTTTGACGTGTTTGCTGGCTTTCACACACTGTTGTTCGCTTGACCGCGTTGTCACCGTTACTGATGCGGGGTGAACGCTGTCGCGGTGGGGCAGGGGATCCTGCTATGAATGCGATATGCAAGCGTGTTCGCTGCACGCTTTGTGAGGTTTTTGGAAAGCCCCGTTGTGGGCTTCAGTGATTGTTGATGTGGTGAAAGTTTGAAGGCTGAGCGACGGCGACAAGTCGGGAATCAAACGGGTGTCGCATGTGCGTCATGGTCACGCACGTGACCATGACTCACCTCGGAAGGAGCTGATCGTGGCGCCCGTTCCGTTCCGTTTGCGCGATGAGATATGGCATTCCTCCACACCCTATCACTCCGCATCACAACGCCTGCTTTTGAAACATTTGAGCAATAGACCTCCTACGAAGATTTCACACACCTAAATCCGGCGTCGCGGGACCACAGAACTTCATGTCCAATAAGTGAACCGTAAATGGCATATTTTCTGGTTATAGGTGATCCAAGCCCAGTTCCAGTTGTGATAATTAAACCTTTAAATATTGCGTTTTCATGCAAGTCTTGCACCACGGCCAGTTCTGCTCCTGTCGCCTCGATGATATGGTAGAGACGTGCGAGAAGTTATGTGCGGCAGTCTGGCTATATCTCACCTAGTTTGATTGACAGGGACTATGCTAAAGACAGTTTTGAGGGCACTGACTACATTAATACAGACTGCATTAACACAAACATGGGGCTGTCTGAGGCGTTGGCTCGATTTGCGGTCTTCAGCTAAGTCTTTTACAGAGGAGAGGGTCTGTGGCTGCAGCCAATATGCGGCTGAGCTTCGCGAGCAAACGATATTTCTTCAGCTGACGGCGCTGAACAGCGAATGATAAGTACTGTAGTCGCAACAAACAATCGCTGTCCCACGTCCAAGGCTTTTCGAAGATACTCTCTGCCTCAATGGCATTTCCCATGCCCCAGAGTCTTACATCTTGTCCGGCTGGCTGCGATTAGGGTAGAGTTTATCTCTGTCGCTGTCGCAGACTTTCCTACAAATGTCAATCTTCCTATGCAGGTCAAGGAGGCACCCAAGGAGATATCAGAGTTATCCAGTTGGCTTACGGCAAGAGCAGCACACGTATATGCGCGTGTTATCGCTGTCGGTAGTACAAGCGGTGTCGATAGGGGACTGATCAATGCTCGGTTCCGGAAGACGTCGGACGATGGTACTGCTGCGTCTGTTTCAATCCTCTTGACTTTTCCACGCAAGTCAGGACGAGCAGGCACCCATTCCATCGAAGGCCATGTATCAAGATTGCCGGATCCTGACGTGCTTAGGTGTGTCGCCGATCACACTTGGGTAGATCCTGAGCTTCTGTTACGGTTCTTGAACCAGAACAAGCACCTGACTTACCAGAGCTATACCGACCAGAGTGTGAATTTGGGCGATCTCTCAACGTGGGTACAACACTGGTGGACCATTCAGATTTCCTTCGGTCAAGAAAATCATGTCACTATAGCGTTGAATCAGGAAACGCCAGATTCGCCTTGGACCAGTATCACAGCTCCAAAGCTTCACATTCGAGCACGTCCGCATGCTAACAAGTAACAGTGATCATTTTAGTAGCCGAGGACAATTGTCTTGGCTTCGACCTGAACGAACAATCATCGTTGTATTTGTAGCCTCTACTCGCTTCAGCCGAGACACCGAGTAGACTCTTTATCGATGCACTACACAGGCTGGCTATAAGAACCGAACAACGCCGCATTGTTACCCAAAGCCCTATTGCACTAGTTCCAGTATACAGCAGAGCAGTGGTTGCGGCCTTCAGCTCGCACATTGAACTCTATCAGCGTCAATGGAACCAAATTTACGAGCCCTATTCCAACACATTTGTAGTATACGGGTACGCGTACCATCGAGACGCTCTGTATCAACTGGCGAGAAGATACACTACACATCTACGCTACATCAACAATACTCTTGGTAGTCTGAAACGGTTCCTGACTTATGCATTCAGCCCTGCAGACCACAGCACGATGTTGGGATCTCTGGTACATGACTTCGAATATTTTGCACGGGAAATTGGTTCTATGGAGCTACTTTGCGGCCAATTTCTCGAACAGTAAGTTAGCAAGCTTGCTTTATTGGATGCTAGGACGCAAATGCAGGAAGCACAAGATCTCAAGCGCATCTCCTACCTCGCCTTCTTATTTGTTACACTCACTCTTACTTCTTCGTTCTTTGGCATGAACGTCAAGGAGCTCAATAGCGATCCGACTGCATTATGGGTGTTTGTTGTCAGCGCGTTGGCAATATTGTTTGGGTCGATGTTCGTTGTGTGGCTCTCCGGCTCGCCAATGTTATCAGTCACATGGAAAGGCATCGCGTCCTTCTTTGGAGGGATCAAGGACGAATTGATTCCAGCAAAGCAGCAGACATGGTATCCTTTTCACGCTAATTGGTTTGAACATTTCGAAAGTTGCACTCAGAATTCATGATGAAGAAGGGAGAAAGTTCGCAAGTTGTTTCAACTTCGACAGCACACCTCAATCATAGGCAGCTTTGGCTTCCATTTTGAGCTACAAGAAACTTTAGATTCTTGTTGAAGAAGGGAGAAAGCTCATGGTGTTTTCAAGAAGAAAGAAGCAGCGCACATGAAGCCCTGACTTCATGTTCTCGGTATCGAGTACATGAGAGTGCGCTGTAAATGCGTCGCAAGCATGCTGCATTTTGTGACATTCGAATGCAGGCGTTAGATATAGGAGCAAGAGGCAGAAGGCAGCAGGAAGATTCTTATATATCCCTCTGGTGGAAACCATGACGAGAAGAGAGAAAGATCACTGATCCTTTGGTGTTTGACGGTAGACCCCAATCATGTTCTGTTCGAATACTCGTTTTGGTCAGCAATTTTGGAGAGCAAGAGCCAGCCGAACCATGATGAAGGAAAGAGAAAGCTCAAAGATATTCTCGAAAATAGAGAAGCAGCGGACATAAAAACATTGTCCGGATAACTTTGATTTCGAGGACAGAAGAGAGCACTGGACATGTCTCGACGAGGCCATAGATTTTTGGATCTCGGGAGGTAGGTGAGAGATGTGGAAGAAAGAGCGGAAGCCATGTAAGGTTGGTTGTGTACCCAAACGCTAGGGTCTCACATGCATACGGCTACTGATGCCGCGTTTCGTTGGACGAGAAGGCGTAGTGTTGTGCGAACGCGACAACAGCAAACGATAGGAATGTTCGACTTGATATAATGCATGACTTGAGCCACTGTTGGTGCAGGAGGCCGACCCGTGTGTGCACTAAGTCAGCAATCGATAAGCTTTTCGACTCGAAACCCCCACCAACCATCGACACTTTTTTGTGAAGGCAAAACATACCTCGCGTTTGTGCGTTAAGTTCACACAATACAAGCTCCAACCTTTCTTTCTTCGAGTATTTTTTTTTCTTTCTCTCCGTCCTCATCGAGCAAGACTACTACCATCCAAAATGCCGCCACCAAAAGACATCCAAAAACTCATCTCTCTCACACAAACCACGCAAACCCTCCTCGCCCACTTCCAAACTTCGCTCACGCCCTCCCCCACCACAAACACCTCCACCGACGCGCCTGACCTCCCCAACGGCCCCCTAATAGCCATCCACGCTGCCACCACCCTCCTAAAATCGCACACGACCACGCTCTCGCTACTCCTCCTCACCCCTCCGCTCACACCCAGTGCCCTAATCGCAAAAATCGGCGATGTCTCCTCCGGTGCACTCTCAGGCATGGTGGCAGCCGCATCCTACACACCTCCGGCTGGGGCGCGCGACGACCTAGGACAGATCATGCGAGTCGAGTTAAGGGTGCAAGTCAAGCGGCTAGTCGGCGCATGGGGCGACATTCTAGCTCTCGTGCTGGCGATGGCGGAGGCACGGAAGACATTGAGCGGGAAGGATAGGGGCCCGTCGGAGCAGGAGAGGAAAGATGTGCTGGAACGAACGGGTGTGGTGTGGGATGTGTGTGATGAGTTGCTGAAGCTGTGTAATGGGGGGGTTGTCGAGTTGGTGCTGAAGAAGGCGCAGCAGTTGAGGGCTGTGTTGTTGGATGCGGTGGAGGAGTTGAAGGAGTGGGGTGAGGATGTCGCAGACTCAGACGACGAGGACGAGGATAAGGCGGAAGGCAGTGGTGAGGATGAGTTCGGGGATGAGGACGATTTCTTTGGGGCAAAGAATAAAATTGGCAAAGACGATAAGGAGCTAAAGGTATTGTTGGACCGGAGTGTGAAGAAGCTCAAGATGGTAGGCATCATGTATCAGGCAGTGGGCAAGAGGAGGTTGAAGACTTTCCCTGCGGCAGCTCCCAGCTCGAACCCAGCAACAACGGGAGCGACGAACAGGGATGCTGCGAGCGAGACGCCGGCGCAGCGGCTGGACGAACTCATGCAAACCCTGAAGACCATACCGGATACGGTCGATGACCTTGCGTCGACGTTCTATGAGCTGGAGCAAGAAGAGGCAGAAGCGGAGCTCAAGAAGGTCTGTGATGAGGCGAAGAGTGCGGTGGAGTTAGTCAAGAAGAGTTGGACAGGCACCGATGATGAGTTCACGATGTGGTCAGCAAAGTGGATCGAAGCGTTGGATGCAGCATGATCGCAGAGCCTCAGCAGATGACAATTACGATACTATCATGACGACCACATCTTGAAATCGAAACGGGTGTTACGTGTATATCACCGCATGCTGTCCTGTCATTTGGGCATGTCAGCTTTTCAATGAGGGTGATTCAACACCGCTTCAATGACCGATTACCCTCCATGAATAGCAGACAGGTCCCTAAAATAGGACAGCAGGAAGCAGGCAATACATATTATAATGGTATGTTCAGTCTGTCATGTAATGTACGGTACTTCAACACCAGCACGGGCCAGGCACACAGGCATGAAATTCCTCGGTGCATTTCTTTCCCATTCGTCACCACTTCACTCCCCCCTACCCTCACTCATCACCGCTTACAAGATAGCAGCGAACATGCCGAGGGCAACGGCACCAAGACCGGCAACGTTGGCAGCAGCGCCACCAGTGCTCTGGGCAGGGGCAGAGGAGGCAGCCGAAGCAGCGCGGGAAGAAGCAGAGGCGGCGACGGAGCTGGCTGCGCCGGTAACAGAACCGGCAGCAGAGGAGACGACCGACGCAGCGGAGCTAGCAGCGGATGCAGCAGTGGAGGTCGCTGCGAGGGATGACGGGACGGCAACGGAGAAACCGGCAGCACTGCAGACGCTAGCGAGGGCAGGGGCAACCTCTGTAGGATAGTTAGTACACCGGTAATAATGGGTGGAGGGCGAGGGGAACGTACTGGCAACGTCGTCAGCCGAGCAGCGGGTGGGTATGCAGGACTCCAGCGAGCTGGTGATGGCCTGTTGGCCGGTGGTGCACTGGCATGTTACGTCGGTGACACCGCAGCCGGAGCTGGGGATGGCGGCGACAAGGCAGGCAACCTTTCAACAATCAGTATGGGAATCCAATTCAATGTTGGAAGAATCGTACAGCGCAGTCAGGGACAGACGACAAGTCAGGAGTCTGAGCGGAGACGACGGCGAGCGAAGTCACAAACGCAGCGATGGTGGAGAAACGCATTTTGATCGATTAAAGTCGGTATAGGTTGGTGTGAAACGAGTGTGTAGGTTTGACGACTATAATAAAGATGCGAGATATCAGTTGAAGTTCAGCACACAGTGCAACAGAACGCGGGCACAGGCACGTTTTGTACCTGCTTTTTCGCCGAAGCGACTTACCCACTAAAATCAAGCTTGGTTGCACCGCAGCGCCTCATCTAGACACGGTTCCACGCTGTGGGGAGCTTTGAACTATCGAATTAGGCAGTGCAGGGCTGTGCGGCTATCAACTTGCGTTTCACGGAACCATGCGCTGTGGTTGCCAAACACTGGTCTAAGGTTTCGACCGTCGACACATTAGTGGCGTTACCCAGTAGTCTGGCCGTACGGTAGCGTGGCTAAAATGTGGGGAGAGGTGCGAGACTCTGGGGAAACCGAGGCTGCGATTGCGGAGAGAGCATCATGACTGATTGTCATGGTGTTCTGGATGGTGATCGGATCGTCGCGCTTCTTTGTCCATGTGAATCGGGCAAGGAAGGTTTGAAAAAAGTTGGTAAGGCTGCTTTGGGATGTGTAAGATTTGAAGTTGGTCGATGTGGAAAGCTGTGTAACTTAACGTGCGCTACCTGATTCGTGCGTGAACTTTGCGCCTCGAGACGTACTCTGCAGTAGATAACAAACCTTAAATAAAGTCGCCCCACGCAAGGCGGGATGAGTGACATCTCGGTCCCAACACCCCGAGTTCTGTTGCTTTGTGTGGCCGCATTTGTTCAAGTTCGCTGGACGATTGTTTGTACCTGGTACTGGACGATGCACCACAAAAGGTCGCATGGTACCGGAGAAGTATTTATCGCAGCTACCGTGTGGTCCCAGAGCCCTTGATGTGTCGGGGAGACAAAGCGAGAGAACTCGCTGGGATGCAGTTGATCGAACCTGGGATGGTACAGGGTGTACCTCGAGTCCTGCACAACGTGACATCCCGACTTCAGCAGATATCTGCGCTGGAATGTTTCAGTCACTCGTAAACAGCAATGCTGATGCATTGGCACTCGCAACTTTTCTGTTATTCAACCTGTCAGCGTCTCGTCTGTGTTCATGCTCACATCCTCGCAGTCATGTTGTTCGTGTTGGCTGCCCTACATGCCACCGCCCGACTGCCGGGTTCCTGAAACGTGCATCCATGCGCCAATCCGCAGATCAGGGGCTTGTTTTTGTCTCACATTTTCGTGATGCTGACCCTGCAGCTGCATGCTGCAGCCCGCACGCACCTGCTACCACAACACTTTCATTGCTTTTCTTATCCATTGCTCTGCGCGACACCTCAGCTCAGGTCGCAAAGCTGCAGTGGTGGAGTATTGCGCTCGGCTGGTAGGCCCGTTCGGTTGCTCTTTACCGGCGGTTATCGTTGCTCAGCACCAGTTCGCTGCAATGCCGTATTCGCAACTATCCTTGGCCTAACTTGATGTCACTCGTGCAGCGCTCGTCGCTGCAACGTGCAGAGGCTCTATCGTGGACATGTTCTGGCTCGCAGGCACGAGTGTGGTTTCGTAGTGGGTTGCCTTGCTGTTTGTAAACTTCGCGCTTGTGATTTACGCTTTTGGTGGGTTCCCGCACCATCGTGACGATGGCTGAACGGCAAACGGGTGGAGCACGCAGGGTTCAGGGGCTCTTCATGTTCATGCATAAGAGCATGAGTAAGTCTGTGGCGACGAGTAAGTTGGTGTTGCTGTAGCTCGTGTAAGTTGGATGTAAGTCGAAAGCGTGAAGAAGTCGAAGCATCGAGTTGTTGATCTTTGATAGATTGTGGTGCAACGTGTGATTCGGTGCTGATGTGGCAGAGTAGTCACAAGAGATGCTCGACTAGTAGTACAGCAGTTGACCTCCCGAATGTATAATGAAAGAAATGTAGCCAGCGGTTTCCGTAAACACCGTGTCCAGCCCGGTGTCAGGTCGCAATCTAGCATGTATAGAGACTCCGTACTATTCCGAATGACCCTATCTTTGACCGTTGAAGAGATCCAAGAACACTAAACAGGACAGACCGTGAGGTATATTGCAGTATGAAAGAAAGAGACAAAAGCCAGGCCGTGATCGCAGACGACAAATATAAGTTAGACAAAACGCAGAAATGTAAGAGTTCAGATAGAAGACAATCTGAATCCCTGTCGAGAAGAAGCGTTGCTTTTGAGCCATACCAGTACAGGTAGGCAGAAGTGACTTGTCCTGTGGCAAGGAGCAGTTCGAAATAGGATGATTAAAACATGGCACCATCCATATTCTGCTGAGCGATGGGCTGTTCGTTAATAGGGCGAGGAGCAGAGTTGTTACGTCCAAGGAAGCTTGTAGGAGGCATGGCTGGGACAGCTCCAGTTTGGCCTTGCGCCATGCTGTGGAGGCTCTTGCTCTCGCTCGAACTCTTTCTGAGATAGTTCCTGGGTTGCGGAATTTGACTCCCTGCGTCAGATGAGTTTGTGCGCGCTGGCTCAGCGTAGGGCGCTCGTGGAGCGTCAAGATCTGAGTGGCTTGTTGGTCCATCAGAAGACTTCTCGCTATCAGAACGACCAAAGCCGAAACGACGCCTCTTGGGGTTGATCGGTGGGACCGGAGGCGGTACATAGGGCTCGGAACCGTTCTTCAAAGATGCACCGGCCGGAAGATTGACTGTGTCAATGACAGATGTGGTGGATACAAAGACGGGCTCTGAGATCTCCGATTTGGCAATGGACTTCTTGCGCAACATACCCTGTCTGATGAGTGGCTGAACAGCGCCTGGGTTGAAGGCAGTCGCGTTCGGTGTCGTAGGGTTCGAGGTAGGAGGAGTGTGGTTGGCAGAGAAAGGAGGCACCGGCGAAGCTTGAGGCTGATAAGCGTTCATGCTTGGGCTGTTGTAGCCGCCAGGAGAAGGTCTTGGAGAAATCGGCATACCTGGCGAGTACTTGGGCTGAGGAATGCCGGAAGGGACTGGAAGCGGAGGGTGAGAGGTATTCGTCTGGATTGGGTGCAAGTGCTTCGACTCGAAGTAGCTGTTGCTGCGCGATCGCGTGCGACCCTGGCTGTCAACAGACGGCCTGTCAGTGGGCAAAGGGTAAGCGTTCTCAACATCCTCGCGGTACTGGCCAGCACGGCTTCGTGAGCGGCCAGACGAAGTGCCAGACCCAGAACGCTCACGAGTGGAACTCCTGCTTGTCATAGGAGGCGAGCGACCCACCGGTCGTCCCATCCGGCTGCTGTCTGTTCCAGACCGCTGTCGGCTTTCCAAGCCACGCTGCGAGTCATCCTCATTCTGCTGCCCCAAGCGGGAAGACTTTGATTTCAGCGAAGGCATCTCAGCCTTCCAGTGTTCGCCGATGTAGGACCCGACCAACGAGGTAGTACTGGCGTTGCCTGATCCGGTTCCCAGAGTCATCTTTCGCAGTCCCTTGTGTAACACATCTGGTTGCTGCCTTTCGACAACTGCAAACGATTCGCGACTCGACTTGGCGCGAAGCATATTCAGAGCGTTCTTGAGTCCACCTGATGGGCCAGGTGCAGGGCTTGTAGAGCGGCCCTCGGCCCTAGCGCGAAGGTTTTCTTGAATGAGGCGCTGGCGCTGAGCGAGATCACGCTGGAATGCCTCATGTTCTGCTTCTGTCTCGTTACTAGCGATGCGTTCGTGGTTCCTCCTCGACTCCCACTGCTGGCTCAAACCGGCATTATTATTGGGTTGCATTCGCTGTCCATCAACAGGGCTGCCTGAGCTGAAGGAACCACGGTCGTTGCGGTAGGGATTATCAAGGTCGTCCAGATCCCAAGGATTGGAATGACTGTAGTTAGAGGGCGCTGGTGTAGCAGAATCAGATCCCGGCTGTCGTGACTGCAGACCAATGTCTTGAGTTTGAATAGCAAGGCCGACCGGTGCAGCCGATGTGGGCGCAGCCGTGTGCTGATCAGTCTCACCGTAATTGGAGGACACATTGCTGTCACTGCGGAGATGTTGACGGATCAGACCGCTAAGCCCTCCATTGTTGGGCCCTAGTGTAGGGGAATCAATTCCTCCGTCTGCCACCTGATCAGGTTTGGGTGACAGGCCTTGAGGTAGCATTGGGCTAGGACCTTGAGAGGCTGCTTGTGGGACATGTTCTTCTGAAACGTTGCGAGACCGCATGGCAGGATGCTCGAAGATAGGAGGCGCTGGGCCAGTCGCTATAGGCAAGTTCTCGAAACGGCGAGCAGCCTCTACAGTGCGAGCAGTGGTGGGCCTTGTCAGAGCTGGCTCTTCATCGTCGCTCGAATCCTGAGCGGTGAAGAAAGTAGCACCCATTGGCTGATCAGGTGACTTTTGCTGCTGAGGAAGCTGTGCAGCTTCAGTCGATGGCTGGGCCTGCGCAGCGTTGGCAGCAGCCTTCATCCGGCTCGCAGCAGCCTGGAATACGGAAACACCTGATGTGGCCTGACTTGGCTCGGTGGATGATGCAGAGGATTCTGACCTTGGTCGTCCTACGCTTTCAGCTCGCTTTCGTCTCTCCTGCTCTGCACGCTCCCTGAGGGTTGGCTTCCTAGGAGGTGATTTCTCGGAGTTAGGTACAGGCTCCATGACGGGAGCCGGGAATCCAGGCACTTCCCGAGGAGCTTCTCGCTCAGATTGCATGCGACGCAGACGCTCCGCATACTGTTGCTCGCTGAAAGCCTCCTTAGGCTTGTTAAATGCACCCATTGCGGTCGCCTTCCCACGATCGCCTTGCTGAAGAGCAGCGGTCAAAGGCTGCTTCTCCTCGTGATCACTGATCACCGGACTGGCTGGTGGAGGGGACTGGATTTGAGGCACAACCGGGCTGGAACCGCCACTAGACAGCTGAGAATTATTTCTCACGACACCAGGGTGTCCCAGTGCATTTGGGCTGTCGGACCGAAACATGGGACCCCGGTGGAATCGATCGTTCAAACTTGTCGCAGACCGTGTTTGGGAAAGTGGAATTGGCGGGGTCGATCGTCCCGTTGGCGCTCGAGCTCTCTGTATCGAATTCAGCCTGTTCATGGCTGATGATTGCTGCTCTTGGATGTGCTGGTCGAGTCCTTGGTCATAAAGCCTTCGTCCCTTGGTTGTTGAACGGTTCAAATCAGCCGTTGGGAAAGGCCCTGCTGACGGAGGGAGGGCTGGAGAGGTTACAGGAGCATCGCTGACGCCTTGGGATGCTATTGATGTTGCGGCAGTCGACGTGCGAGTGTTCTCAGGGCCAGAGTTGGTGGAAGATGAGGTCTCCCTCTTCTGGCTGAGTGTTGTTGGGCTCGATGGCTCTGAGTGTTGGTCGTTCAGTGCCTCCGCCTCTTGCCTTAACCTCTCCTTCTCCTCTGCGCGCAAGCGCTGGTAGGCCGACATGTTCACGTCGTCGTCGTAGAGTGTTCGTCCTGGACCCTTCGAGCTGCTATTATTGGAGATCATGTAGATCTTCTGACGGCCACCGAACAAGACGTTACCCTCACCAGGCCTAGCCCGGCTCATCATGTTGCCTGATTCATCTCCAGTCTTGTCGCTGTCGAAAGAGTTCGTGCGTTCGATGGCAAAGGGCGGCCGAATTGATCCACTGAGCGACGATACTTCTGCAATATCAGAGAGCCCACCAGGGGCGAAGCCGAATTCGTGAAGTCGAGATGATCGTTTTGGTGTAAGAACGCTGTCGTCGCTTGCTTTACCTATCTTCGAACTCGGATCATCCTGCTCTCTTAGCATGCTGAAGCGCGTGGACAGGCCAGGCATGATCAGACTTGTTCGGAAGTCATCTGTGCTAGGCAATGCTGACCCCAAATCAAAGTCTGGTGTGACCTCTTCCTGCTGGCCTTTCTTTCCCTTTTTTGTCTTTTTCGTGATAGAAACATCGTCCCCAGGAGCCTTGTCCTTCTTCCGGCTAAGGAACCCCATGAAGGTGGTCTGGGTTATCTGAGACGTATTAGCAACGTCTATTGAAGGACAGAAGTTGGCTCAAGGTAGAGCCAAACCTTTGGTGAACGCATGGGCGATTCATGGCGGAGGAGTCTTACGGAGAAGTGCGACTACGCGCAGTATTAAATCGTCGCACGCTAGCTATTGCTGCGTCTGTCAGGAAAATTGCTGGTCGAGTCGACGCAGGGGATTGGTAGATAGGCTCGGAAGTGGAAAGTCTGTTGGTCGCGCGGACTACGTTAGCGATGTGCCCTGCATACATCTTGCATGTACAATTACTTTGTCGACATAGAAAAAGTAGAGAATTAATTCGACATACCCGGATCTCCAGATGATCTCCTGCGCCTTCTAGCACGTTGTGTCCCGTGAGCGACAAGTGCCGGTTTAGAGGGAAGGAGCAGGCGCAAGCTCCATGTAGTGGCGGACGCACGAGGCAGGAACAACAAATATGGATTGTGGTGGCGCTATAGATTTCGATGTTTCTTTTCCCGGGATGCGCGAGAGGTGTGGTTGTCTTGGTCGAGCAGTGTCTCTAACACTTGCAGGCTGGCGGGTCACAAAGGGTTACTCGAGGGGTCTCTCGGTTGGCGGCAAGGCGTCTAAACAGTAAATTATTGCAGCGAGTTGCAATTAAGGAGTGTATACAGCTGGAGTCAACAGGTGAAGGAGTGTCGGCATGCGCGTTGCGGGTGTTTGGCAGTGAAGGAAAGGAATGTGCAGCAGATCTCCCGACCAGAGAGACGGCAGAAGCCTTGAAGGAGCGTGGGCTGCAGACACTGGGCCTGGGGGAGTGACAAGCAAATCGACTAGGAACAAGGTTCATTTCCACTAAGCTTCATTTCCGCATGTATGGGGCACTTTTGCGACACGTCCAGCGCAGGCGTGCCGCGCGGGCCATATGCCGGCGTCGGTTCTTTGCCCACCGCGGCGCCAGGCATCCTGATCGAGCACGGCTGGCTGCCTCATCAGCCCAAACCCACGCCGTCCCAGGGGAGAAAGGAAAAAACAACGGGTACTAGCGTCAGTAGCGTCAGCCCGCTGTCGCGCCTTGTGCATTCCCTTTTCCCTAAGGACAACAAACAACCCATAAATGCTTCACCTTCACGACTCACCCGCGCACGACTCAGAACCTGCATTGCTTGATCTCAAAGGTTTGTGGACGACAGCGGCGGCGACTGTGACAACGGCGAAGCCATTTGCGCGCCGTGACGCGTGGTACAGCGAAACATTTATAGCCAATCAGCACGCGAGCTCCCCTGAAACGCAAAGTCCGGGACTGTACCTGCAGCCCCTCCCGCAGGCTTTGCCCGACCTGCATGCAGTCATCAAAAAGCTCTTTTCACTTCGCCGTCATACTCATGCTGTACCAAACAAACAAACAACAGTCATATCACAGAGCCTACATTTGAATCCATCAGCTCAAGACTGCACAATCGCGAGGAATGCGGGGAGGCTACTTCTCCTGACAGTCAGGGTCAAGCGCCCACTGCGTTCCTGAAGCCGCTAGACTCACCAAGCGAACGAATCACCCGCGAACCATTGCCCTGGAGCAGATGGCCGCCACGACCTCCTGGCCTAACCGCCCTTTGTCTTACCATCTCTCCTTTCTTTGTACCACTGCAAGTCTATAAGCAACATGACCGAGCACATCTGGAGCACCAACGAACGCTGACCACAAATGCTGCGGGGAGCCGCCAGAAGTCACTGCAACTGTACCTTCTTCTCCAAGACACCCACGGCGCTTCTCATCTCCGGAGGTACGTAGTTAGCACCCCGGCATCGACACAGCTCTCGTTCCTCCCGCATGTGCTGCTTCCCGTTCCCTGCTGCAGATGCAGCTCAACACGAGGCGTACCGAATCGTGTTTGACTTTTCTTGCCTTCGGCGACGACATCACCTTCTCCATTAAAGTAGTGGGGCAGAGCTCAAAACTCACTCAACGGGATTGACTCCCGTTCCCGCTCGAACACCGTTGCAACAGATACAGAGGCAGTATCGGTCCTGACGCCCAGCGACAACTAGTCTTGCTTCCCCTCACATGGATTGGCGAATACGGGAAGAGATCTCAATAGCGTGAAGTCGTGATAACTACCGGCAGCCCGGAAATTCGCAGCTGAACAGCAAGCTGAACCACTCACAATGTCGAGCTGAGTTCATACCATTGAGAGAAAGTTGCACTCGCTACCGCATCCGCGATGCGAATGACGATCCATCTGCCTGCCGTCTGCGAAATTAGACCAGGATCTACGCTATCTCAGCCCTGCCAGACGTGAGGTTCCCATTGGCTGGTTCAGCAAATCGGCACGCGACGAGCACGCTGTAAGTTCGCGCAACGGCCTGCGAAATTGCTGATGAGGTAAGGTCAAATCTATTCACCGGTCTGGACGTCTGGATGTGCGGAGAATCTGAAGATGTTTACGGCACGAACCTTGTCCTTCGGCGAGACGCGCACAATCTTTGAATGATGAGAAAAGGACTCACTCCACCCTGGACGCCAGCGAACTCCATCTTCGAGCATCATCGCTGCAGTTGATGTCGCCGACCAGATTTGTTGTGCTTATCGACGATACTCACATTTCAAAAGGTTTGACTGCGGCTTCAACGATCAACTGTAGCCTCAACTATCTTGACTGTTGACACAACAAGACGTTGAACACCATATTGCCGGGTGCTGATGCGTCTGCCGGCTCCACTTCCCTCTCACTCAGTCTAAACTACGAAAGGTGAGCCGAACAGCTGTGACGTCAACAGCAGCTCAACTCGACTGAGCACCCCTGCCAAGAGGAGACCGAGATTAAAATTGGGCTTTCAAATGTTTGCTGACGGCCTTGCGGGTTGAGTTGCAAATCGAGATTCGAGACTCCAAGATCGACTTGCAGATGTCTCTTTCAGTGAGGGGGGAAGTGCCACGTGACGGTCAGGCACCTTCCGTCTGCAGATCCATCTCTCCAAGCATCCAAATGCAAATGCGACAGCATAACGCTGACTGCATCAATGGTACTGTGTTGAGGCTGTACACTACGTTATCGACCTGCTCAACTTGGTATAAGTTTCCACAGAGCCATGCACAGCTGACCGCGAAATCGACCATATTGACGTTACCAAACCTGGCACAGCAACCGCACATCTAACGCGACATCTGCATTGTGCCTCACTAAATCACTCACTCACTCACTCACTTGGATTATATTCAGCGAGCCTTGGCTGCCTTTCTCTCACCTAGGAGGAAGTTACGACACCCAGGAAGGAATGCAGCATCTGACTCGATGCTATGATGCAACTCAATCTGACGGTTCCTGACAGTGAGAAGGTAGGTGGCATGCGTCAGAGAAGCCGCGATGCGTGGGTATCTCGGGTATACCTACTTTTTGGCGTAATCGATAGATAGCAGGCGCGACAATGGCAAAGCGGGAGGTACAAACAACAGCAGCATCTCGTCCAAGCCCGTCACTTCTCTTCTTCCTTCCATTACAAGCATTACTTCGTACGCATCATCACGTCGCTCAACTTCCGTTACGTCTGTCGTTACATCTTAGTGACAGCCTCCTTGCCAGTCTTGACCGTTTCTCTCATCGCTCACACAATTATCGACAACCTCCAGACCCACATAAGGTACCAAAACCGTGGCGACCTCGCAGCGCACACCGTGGAGGCCATCGAGGTACGCAAGAACACCTGGCAGCTGGACGATACCGCAATCTTGAACGTTACGATGAGCTCAACTTCTCAAACGAATGCCTCCAGCCCGGTAGACCCTGCACTTGCTTCGTGCTACAACGTACCGTACGGCGGCATGGGCATGCTGTGGCATCTCATCTTCGCGTGGACTATCTGCTGGCTCTGCTTCGATCGCATACTTTGCTTTCCAAGGAACTGCCTGTCTAGCCCGAGCCTTGGTATGATAATCTGCGGCTTCAGCTTACTCGGATTCGTCTTACTCGGATTCGTCATCGCTGCGTTCTTCAACTTCCTATTCACAACATGTGAGAACGAACTCATTTAGGTATCGTACATAGCCACTGGTATGCTCACTCGCTATCCGACACAGAGCTCGTCTCATCATCAGAAGAGGTTTCGACCACATCTTCCACCAGACTAGCACCGTTCATCTCGTGTTCTATCTCGTACGCTTCCGCGTGGTCCATCTCCTCGTCACTGAGATCTTCATGATTCGCATTTCTGCCGTAGGAGATAATATAGCCCGCGCCTTCGTCGTCGTCTGACTGCTCGGAGTCAGCAGTAGTTGGCTGTTTTCGAGACGTCCGAGCGTCGAATTTGCGAAGTGCCTTCTCACTCTTCGTCTCCTCGGCCTTGTTGCGCTTTTCCATCTTCCTCGCCGCCTCGTCTTCCTTCTCATCGAAATAGCTATCCGTCTCCTCAATCGCGAAGCTCAGAGCATTCTCTTGTGTCTTGCCCGCATCAATCGCCTCCCAGTACTTCTTGCTCGCAATCTGATTATGACTCGGGCTTACACTCTTCCCTTCGCCCCTCCCCTTGTCTCCCTCCCTCATTTTATACGGCTTCCGCGCCTTCCACTTCGCCATCCTAACCTCTTGCCTCACCATCACGCCCAGCGGCATGTAGAAATCCATCTCCGTATGCTTCCCCAACTCACTCTTATTGCTCCCGCAACCCGGACACGTCCGCTTGTCGCCAGCGAGGTAGTACCGACCCAAAGCGTGGTTGATGTCGCACCGCCAGGCGAACTCTTCGTGGTACGAGCGCGCAGAGAAGTATGCGCATAAGGGCAGGTCTTGGCCGTGCTCCATTGTTGACGAGTTGGAGAGGTGGGGGCCGAGATCGGGCGGTGGTGAGGGTGTGGGTTCAGGGGTGGGCTCTTTGCGTGGTTTGGGCTTGAGTTGCTCGATTACAGCATCAACAGCGGTCTGACGCGCATCATCATCGTTTGCACCGGCGATAATGGCAGGCCAGTATGCTTCCTTTGCGATGCTGTTGTGGCTGAGGTGCGCGGAGCGGCGGGCGCGACCGAAGCGGCCGAAGGGTTTGCTGGGCCGCCAGCGGGTGGGATTTGGTTGGTGGAAGTGTGTGCGCGAGGGGAGGTAGAAGTCCATGACTTTAGCGTTGATGTTGTCGGAGAATGCGGTGAAGCACCCAGGGCAGTTCTTGCGGTCGCCGGCATTGTAGTAGTGGCCCATAGCATGGTTGATATCGCAGGGCCAGACGAGCTTCTCAGATGGGGAGTTGGGCTCGAAGTATGCGCCAGGAGGAAGCTGCTGGTGCGGTTCTAGGGTTTTGGAACCGCTCGGGTGAGGTGGGAGAGGCTCTGGGTCGATGGGAAATGCTGCCGCGTGTTGAGAGATCTTCTGCTTTAGCGGTTTGGACTTGTTTTGCTTGAGCTGTAATCTCGAAAAGCTAGAGATGCTGAGATTCAGCTTGTGAGTGCGGGTCGGCTTCTCCGTTGAGCGCGATGGACCTGTGATACTGAGTGTGGTCGCATCGACCTTGCGCTTCTTCCTCGACGGTTCGATCGGCTTGTTGAACATTCGAATAGGAGCATGTTGCTCTCTATTCCGTATCTTGCCATGGTTGGACTCCTGCGTTTTTGAGACTACCTTTTGGCTGTCTTCAGCAACGGAGACTTCCTCAGACATCTGCACAGGCGCTGCTTCAGATTGCTCTCGAGACTCGATGTCAACGATAAGCCCTTGAAGATCTGGATCCGTAGGACGAAAGCCTTGGGAGATCGCTTCAGCGATGACTGCTCGAATACCAGGCAGTGCACGCCGGGAGACCTGTGGCGATTTCTGTATCAGTCGCCGCTTATGGTCATTGAGTAGCCGTGTGGGCCATGTAGGTACCGGATCGATCTGCTCTTGACTGGGCACGATGTCTTTGGTATGGTGGTGGCCGCTCAAGGCATCTTCTCCAAACTCTTCGAAGAGCCTTTCGAGTTGCGGGAAGCCAGGGGGAGGCATCTCAATACTCGGCTGAGGTGTCTCTGCCGAAACTGGTTGTGAGGACTTGTCATGGCGACCACTGTCCTGAAACTTGCGGAGATCACTCAGGATCCTAGGCTCGGCCGCAGCGCTGACAATTTCGGCCGACTCGTTCGTCTTGTGTGCTACAAGAGCGGTGTTGTTCGGATCGAACTCCGCAAAGATGTTTCGATCAAAAGAACCAATGTCCCAGAACGGTGCTCCATCTTTGCTAGCGTTGGCAAGTAGATTGACGGCGCGACAATGAGCATTCCAGGTCATTTTGTTCATAACACCGTTGATGTTGGCGGATACGGATGCGATGTACTTCTGCATGTTCGAATAGGCGTTGGCGCCATCCTGGAAGCATCTCTCGATTTGGGAAGGATGCAAAGCATGATTGACGAATTGCTTGAGAAAGGTAGCTTCGTAAGCCTTTTGATTGGCCTGGTAGAGATCAAAATGAGCATAGCCTTGCTCTGAGGGCTGGTGACGGTTGAGGCGAACGCCAATGTGGGCGCGTTGGGCGCGTGTCAGAGTCGGATGCCCAGGTGCTGGTCACAGTCAGCGGAAGAACTACCACCGGAAAGCACAGCATACCTGGAGGCAGAGCTGTCCGACGTGGTACATCATACTCGCCTTCCTCCTGGGGCTCGAAGAGATAGTCAAGACCGTCGTCCTCTTGCACCGCAGAACTGACATAGCCAGAATCCCCTGATGCGCCAGTGGACGTGGACGGTGGGTCGTCCAGAGTGCCGTCACTCCAGTCCACTTCGTCTTCGGCTTTGTGTGTCATGTTATAGCAGAACGGTAATGCAGAATATTGTATGATAGGGTCGAAAGATTCCGGTGTAGAGATCAATGTGATGATGTTGATGGGAAGGGCGAGTACTCCATATACCTCAAAGGCCTGCATGTCATGGTGCATGATCAGAATGCCGCACATTGCAAACGAAATGCACCGCGAACCTACAAGGCAGTCATACACATGCATGTCCCGCATGCAGCGTATGCTCGAACCGAGCAATAGGAGGTGTCATGCTGGGCGTTTGCACTGGCGGCAAGCCTCGACCGCTTCACAAGAGCTGCAGCACCTCTCTATGCATCGTTCGCTCTTGCATCATCAGCCAAAAAGACGTGCTTTTGGAAGCTATGATTGGTGGTAGGGCCAGACTGGAGGTGACCTCCATGCGATCTTGCGTTTGCCATGCATCCAATGCGAGTCTTTTGAGGCGTGAACCTCACAAAAACTTCAAGAAGAGGGGGGGGGGGGGGAAGACATACGACCGATAGAAGTGCTGGGAAATATGGAGAGGCTAAGAGCAGACGCGAGATACTTAAGACATGGCCTGCTTGACATCGAATACGCACACTAATTCTGCAGTAGTCGTGACATGGACATTTGGGGACATCCTTGGTGCCGCGACACGCTGAGAACTAATGCCGAACGTTTGAGTGCTCTTGTTGACGGATATGTGCCCTGTTCTCCACTTCTTGGCAGTGGCCTGACTTCTGAAGATGATCATTGAGTGACGGTGGAGGTCGTCAAGTCGATGCGGAGACGAAACGGTCGTGTGTCGCACGGGCCACTGGACCCTCTTCCTGCCACATGTTCAGAGCTCCTCCATCTTTGGAAGCTTCAATTCCTCCACACACGAGCAAAGATGGGGGGACAAACACTTTCGTCGACTGTGTTGCTATTCACTCTTCTCGCCAGCACTACAAATGCGGCGTCAGACCCTCCACGGCCGCGTGGTGTAGGTCCTGAGTGTATGCTCCACACAGTTGAAGCTACCTACGTGATGTTGAAAGCTGACATTGAGCAACGTAGTCGCCAAATTCTACAAAGACCCCGACACATTCACTTGTATCTCGAATCCCAGCATCAAGCTCGACATCGCCCGACTGAACGATGACTACTGCGATTGCCCCGACGGCTCAGACGAGCCTGGCACCTCCGCATGCTCCTACATCTCCCCGCTCTCTCCACCGCAACCGTCGAGAAGGGAGCCTGGGTCATTCGACGAAACACTAGCCCTGCCTGGCTTCTACTGCAAGAACAAGGGCCACATGCCAAGCTACATTCCCTTTACGAGCGTCAACGACGGCAAGTGTGATTACGAGCTATGCTGTGATGGTAGCGACGAATACGAGGGCGTCGGCGGCGTGAAGTGCCCAGACCAGTGCGCGACAATTGGCAAGGAGTGGAGGAAGCAGGACGACGCGCGGCAGAAGAGCTTGAACAATGCAAGACAGAAGCGGAAGGAGCTGGTTGCCGAGTCTGGACGCTTGCGGAAGGAGGTCGAGGACCGGATATCCACTCTAAAGGCACAGATCGAAGGCCAGACAAAGAAGGTGGATGCGTTGACGAAGAGCTTGGCAGAGATCGAGCGTGCGGAGAAGGGCAAGGTGGTCAAGGGCGCAGGCAAGGGTGGGAAGGTCACAGTGCTGGCTAGTCTGGCTAAAGAGAGGATTCAAGAGCTCACTGACAATGTCGAGCGTGTCCGTAGAGAACGTGATGCTGCCAAGGGGAGAATTGACGAGCTCGAGGGCATGTTGAAGCGCTTCAAGGAGGAGTACAACCCCAACTTCAACGATGAGGGTGTCAAGCGCGCTGTCAAAGCATGGGAGGACTACGCCGCACAGGACTGGCCTGGACCGGACGCTGCACGCGATCGCGACCTCGACGAGATCCTGAAGCCTGACTCTGAGAACGCCATCAAGTGGGAGGAGTTTGAGACTGTCGAGGAGTCGGATGTTGACGTTCGTAAGTATCAACACAACTTTGCATATGAGAGCTCCTGCTAACAGTATACAGTCTATCAATTCGAGAACTATCTGCCCGAGTCTGTCCGTAGCTGGGTTGACGCGAAGCTTCGCGACCTCCGAGTAACACTGATTGAGAACGGCATCCTCGCGAACCCCAACACCGACAGCCCCGAGTCCAAAGCTGTCACAGACGCCAAGGCGCAGCTCGACTCCGCAACGCGCGAGCTCAACAACGACAAGACCGAGCTCACAAAGCACGAAGAAGACCTCACCAAAGACTACGGCCCCGACTCTATCTTCCGCGCCCTCAATGGCCGTTGCGTCAATCAAGACAGCGGTGAGTACACATACGAGCACTGCTTCCTCAGCAAGACGACTCAGAAGCCGAAGAAGGGCGGTGCGCACACTGGCATGGGCAACTTTGCCAGAATCGAGATCGTCACCGTTGATGAGACATTGCCAGCTGATGGAAGGGGCCTCGGTAGCGGTGAGAGGATCGCGCTGAAGTATGAGAACGGTCAGCATTGCTGGAACGGTCCTAATCGCAGTACTACTGTCATCCTGGCGTGCGCTGAGAATGATGAGATCTGGAAGATCGTCGAGGAAGAGAAGTGTGTGTACAGGATGGAGGTTGGTACACCAGCAGTCTGCCAGGTTGAGGTCAAGAAGCCGGATGTGCCTGAGCACAACGAGTTGTAGGTTGTGTAAGATGATCAAAAGACATCAACGCCGCAGGTTGAGTGGACTAGGAAGCGATCTTGTCCTTAGGTTAGATGGTCCATGCTCACGTTCAGATCCAGACACCTCAACACATACGAACAAATCCACACAAATTACGACCACAACCCTAAGCTTGAGTCTCTCGCAATTGCATAAGCGTCGAGAATGTGACATGACCAGCGAAAAGTTACTAACGAAGAAGCAGTTTCCAGCAGCGGCAAGACGATCGTCTACCGCACTGCTAGTTGCGTCATCCATCTGGGTTGACATCACGACTCAATTCAACACTACAAAGGAACAGAACACGCTCTCAGACGATCGCAGAAAGAAACAAACTGCAACATTCACGATTAAGGAGTCCCTCATTAACATGTCCAAGAACCTCACTATCGTCGTCACAGGCTCAAACCGCGGCATCGGCCAAGGCATAATCCAACTCCTCGCCAAAACGCAACACACCTCACCCCTGACTATTATCGCAACCTCCCGCTCCGGCAGTGATCTGGGCGTACAAGCGTCTCCACCCAACGAAGTGCGTTATGGCAAACTCGACATTGGAGACCAATTGTCAATCAAGTCCTTCTTCAGCAGCATCAAAGATGTCGACGTCTTGATCAACAACGCGGGCATAAACAACAACAACCAAGAAACACCAGATCTTGCGGAACAAGTCATCGACGTAAACTACCGCGGCACGCGAGACATGTGCCAGGCCCTCCTCTCCTCATCCCCCAGCCGCAATGCGAGGATCGTCAACGTATCTTCGACCGCTTGTCAACTGAACGACTACTCCGCCCCCACCGCCTCCAAATTCCGGTCGGTCAAAAGCATCCAGGATGTCGACAGCCTTGCCGACCAATACATTCACGCCGTCAAACAGGGCGCCGACGCACAAAAAGACGCAGGCTTCGGCAGTCCGCCCAAAAGCTACCAGGTCAGCAAAGCGCTCATCAACGCTCTCACAGTCGTGCTGGCACGAGAGAACTCAGATGTGGTAGTAAATTACTGTTGTCCGGGCTAAGTAGACACGGATATGGGGCATCAGGTGGGTAGGCCGCCGAAAACGCTGGAGGAGGGTGCGCGGATCCCGGTGAGGTTGGCTATTGGTGAGCTAGGAGCTGGAGGAGATAAGGATATTGGACTGGGTACCGAGAGTGCGGAGAGGATTAGTGGGAGGTATTTTGGTAACGAGGGGGTTACTGATCGGGGGTGGGGACGGGTGAGGAAATGGTAGAGAGGGTTTTGGGGAAGTGGGATGGTGACATGGTTCAAGTTTATAATATTTGGAGGAAGAAGATGTAAGATAATGAGACTGAGATTGCTCCAGGCGCCCCTAAGCAGGCGTGAGCCCCACCCTCGTCCCATTCAACGAGCAACAAGTCAATGTCAACCCCTCCTCCCACGGCCCCGCATCCCTACTTTCCATCTTTGCAAACTCCTGCACCAGTCGCACAGTCACGTACGAAGCTTCCGTAAGAGCGTACTGCTGCCCCAAGCAAATTCTCGGCCCGCCGTTGAAAGGAAGGTACTCCCACCCAGGACGCAGGCTCTCCCAGCGCTCGGGTTTGTACTCGTCGGCGTCAGGACCGTACAGATCCTTGCGGCGGTGCATGGTGTAAGGCGAGTAGCCGATCGTGGTGCCCTTAGGGACGAAGAGCGGGTGTTGGCCGTCTGAGCCGCCGCCGAGGGGGAGGACGGTGTCGCGGATGGCGAGGCGGGAGTTTCCAGGGACGACGGGATTGACGCGTAGAGCTGGTGGTTCTTAGTCGCCTGGTTGAGGTCTGTGAGCTGTGCGACTTACATTCGTTTAGGCACCACTTCAAATACTTCAGGTTCCTCAGCTCTTCGTACTTCGGTGTACGTCCCTCCAGGAAGGCAACCTCGTCCCTTAGTTTGGCGTAGATGTCTGGTCGCTTCGCGATCTCGAAGAACATATTGCTTAGCAGACTAGCGGTTGTGTCACGTCCAGCCAACAGGATGTTGACAAGCTCATCTCTCAGTCTCTTCCTGTCGGTCGTTTGCTTCGCCAACTCGTGAATGAAGATGTAACGGTCTTCCTTTTGCGAGCCTGCCTTCTTCTCCACATCCTGCTTTTGCTTGAATCTAATAGCATCATCGACAAACTTGTCAATGTACGCGTGGCAAACTCGGATCGCTTCTTCGCCCTTTACATTCTTTCTGAAGCGGTCAAGAGGTCCGAGGCGGAGGCGGGTCACAATATCGTCTTGGGCATAGTTGAACATCTTACCGAAGATAACATCTTCGTTATTGTCATCTTGCTGGCCAACCATGCGTAATGTGTTTGTCGAGTGGTTGAATAGGAACTCGGTGGCAGTGTCAATCGTGAGCCTGAAGAAGAGTTCTTGCAGATCCACTGTTGAGCCGTCCTTAGGGATGTGCTTGAGCATGAGCTTGAAATGACGCTCGAAAGCTTCAAGATCAGCGACCTGATCCCTCGTGAAGTTCGGTCGCAGAAGGTGGCGACTGTTAGCCCAACGCTCACCATCAGCGTTGAAGATGCCGTGACCCAACAGCGGTGTAAAGCCCTTCGTCCTGTTACCGAAGCTGTAGTCCTTGAACTTCAAGCTCAAAATGGTCTTCACGTTCTCGGGCTCGCAAGTAGAGATGACAGGCTGAGTAGCCATTCTGGTGTGGAAGGTGTTGCCCAAGCGCTCAAACCTCTTCTTATTCTCTTTCAAAAGGATGTGCTTTTTGCTATTGGCGCCCATGACGCGCATCACATCAATGCCCAAGATGGGGTCCTTATTGAAGACCTTCGTGCATGGCTGGCAGCCTATCAGTCGTTAGCGTTGCGCGGGACTATGTGCTTCGTAAGGACCTACCATTGTCTTTCTTAAACTGCCGTCGTGCAAAGTATAGTGTGATCTGTGTATAGAAAACGTACGCGGTGAATGCGCCAGCAAGCACAAAGAGAAGCGGCGAGTGCGCCATGCTGTGTGGTCGTGGAGATGGTGGAAGTTGAGAAAAAGTGATGTTCGAAGTTGTTAGATGATGTAACAGTGCACGAGGCTCATTTGTCGAATGCGAAGGCGCGATCCTTGTATGCGTGATGTTACACACGATGCGATGAACCCGTCTCGGAGGATTTGTAGTTGTTGATCAACGCGCGCAGAGGTCTCGACTTGCAGCCACAATGCAGATTATCGATATCGAGGCGTTACAGTTGGCTTCTACCTTTCCACGTTATTTATTCACAATAGCCAAGCTCTTGTTGACGGCTGCCTTTCTTGATGTTCTTTGCGTTGTCGAAATTGCCGAAAAGCCCGTTGCCCGCGAGGCGCTCTGTATCGCAATATTGAAGACTTAGTCAAGTCACCGTCCGCTTGAGTTCGCGTCGTCCAAGCAGGTCAAGATATGCCCAACTCTTATGCGTCTTGATTGGGGTAATGCGGTGATTGGTGTGCAGAGCAGGCGCTTCTTCCCTCCGTCGGCTCGAAAATAGTAATCAATTTCAGGAAGGATGTGGCACATGAAAACTTCTTAACTTCTTCTAAGACCCACCCTGGAACGCGCCTAACGAAAGATGTCTATAAAAGAGGAGCCATGCTCCGCTGCGGCTGAACTCAAAGCCCGACTCCGCATGACGTTGCGCCCATCGCGAGCTAGCGGAGCAATGGTGTCTTCGCGTTCGGAGATGCCGTTGAAGCGATACCCCTGACTCCGAGGCTTGAACATCGCCGTTGTGATTGGTTGACTGATCGCGACTTGCACCACTTGGGGAAAGGTGCTTTTACACTTGCTTACTTGCTGGCAAGCGTCGGTCGTGGTAAGTAGATCCTACACCGAATTCTTGATCGGTGAATTGAGAGACATGTGATTTGAAGCTGATAGTACGCGGGTGGCGGTATGGGATTGGGAAACTCGAGCGCTCGAAATCCGGATACGAAAGTATGCTCATGTACGCGTAAGAAAGTCGCATTGATATGACTGCTATTGGTAGCCCTCAAGACTTCAATCTCCGTGCTGATTTCAGGATATCCACTTGACATGATTGATCGTCTTGTCCTCAAGATACTTCGTAATCTGACTGTAGTCTTTGCAGACATGCTTTGCGTCCCAACCATCGCTGCCTCCTTGATCCTCTCCATTCGAACTCAACGGAAAGGTGGTTGCAGCGCCTTCCAGCGCAACATCGCCTGCACACATGATAGCCTGTCTGATATACTCGAAGCAATGGTTCACATGCCACGGCTGCTGTATAGGGTTAACCTTCAGAAACGGACTGTCAAGTACAACCGACATCGTGTTATAAGCGTTGAGGATCGTGTACAGGCAGTGCAGCTGGTGTGTCATCGACGTGGTAAACACAGTGTTGTTGACATAGTCGTGGATTGGCTGTGGAAGATTGTCGTGCCGCGTAGGATCCTTGATCTCGACGTAACCTAACCCCTCTGTTGATTGTTAGACCATCATATGAGACTGTGAGATAAGACGGCATGTATACCCGGTACAATGTTCAGCCATGCTTGCTGAACATCTTTGTTCCAGAATTCGGAGGCGTTCTCCGGGGCGAAAATCGGGTTTGGTCTGAAGGTAATGACCTGTTGCGAGACTAGATCATATCAGTCGCACACTCTTGTTGCTTCTTGTGTAATCGTACATTCTGGCGCAAAGCCTGTGATGTCTCCGGCAAATTCATACTGATGACCCTGATTGTGTTTCCATCTCTTTTCCACCAGCAATCCGACGATGACAAGAAGTAGTGCGGTGTCCAGCAACCAGCGACTCCGCTTCAACCTGCTCCATAAGGCCCTCATCTTCGTTTGTCGAGGCTCCGTGTTACCTTCTGCTTCCCAATCTCCCACCTCAGTGCTAGAGTCAGACTGGTCATCGAGATTACGCAGCGCGTTGTACCGTTGATCGTTCTTCATCTTGCTCTCACCGATCTTGACCTGGGAAACGTCGTGCAACGACTTGTACGGTATGAATGCAGGCATTAGGAGTCTCTTCCAGGTGCGTAGCATGTATGTAGTCAGCGCCCGAGAGCGGGGGTTGCTTCACCTTATGCATTGTTTTGTTTCTGTTGCCACTATCCGTGGGCTGTAACGCCAAGTGTCGGACAATTTGAAGAACCTTGATGCCTCAGGTTGCACCAAAGTTGCCAGCTACAGACAAATCCAACGAGAATTGTGTGAGGTCTACTGCTGGCTGCTTATCAATACTACCTTGATGCCGTTACAGTCAAAATCCATGAGTGTAAAGGTCTGAGCGACGACGCGTATGACCGGTCAATGAAGAAGCAAACATGGCATGTGTAGTATCAGTTGTACGAACAGCTTTTATGTGGGCATGCATAGGTCTCCATAGGTAGGCATTGGCACGTTCTCTTGATGTTGGAATCAAAGGTAGATGGGGGTGAGGGTCAGACGCGTCCACGCGTCATCAGCGCGAAACGCCAAGGATTATGATGGCTTCAACTTTCCCCCCATCCACAACTGACATCGACATATTCACTTCACAGCATGTCCACACGCGCAGGAAGACTACATTAAGGGAGGCATGAGCGATGTCGTATTTGCTAGAGATTTGTTGTTCAGACACCGTCAGCATATTTGCTTGGCTACGTTGCCCAACGCGCAGGTGGCATTTAGCTACCAACAGCAACGCTCCATCAATCTTCGATCCAAATGTATCATGGACCGGCAGAATCTGACAGGCGCAGTATGGGTACCGGACTGCCTTTCTTGAGAGCTTCAGCCGCGTGAGCCTTCACGATTGACTGCGGAGGAATTGCAGTAGCAGCATCGTCAAGCTGGGGACCCGGCTCCGACTTCGATTCCGGTCGATGCACGTGTTTTGGAGCAGAGCCAGCATGGTTCTTGGCATGCATCCGCTTCTTTGCCATTGACACCGAGTCTCTATATGCGAAGAGCTCTGGTCGCACCCCTCCAGAGTGGATCAGACGCGAATGAGCTATGGTGACGGAGTCTCGGTGGTTGCGAAACTTCAAATCCGCTTCTTCGACATTGGATAGCTTCCGTTCTGGGCTGGGCGCCCCCAGTTTTCGACGGGCCGCAACCAGATGGGCTGACCAGGCATCTGAATCTGGTACAACAAGCGTTTGCTCCGTCAGAGGAGCTGCGTCATCGAGCGATGTGACTTGTGGGAGTGCGATAGCGCTCGAATCGTCATGAGAAGCAGCTCTTGACATTCGAGCACTTGCAGGTCGCGAGGGGTGGCGTGAATGCACGGCACTCACTCTCTCGCTGTTGGGAGGCGCAAAGATCTCAATATCTTCGTCATCCACAACAGCGCATTCGAAATGAGGCCTGCGACCATTGTCGTCAGGGAACACAACGATTGTGGGCTTGAAAGAGTCGGAGGGTGTGTTCCAAGTGCCAGACCACTCCGTGAGCTTTGTGTTGACATGCTCGAGGCCCCTGGTGCCTGTTGAGACAGCTTCCAGCGCCTGACTGGCTGAAGAGCTGCGTCTTTGTGTTCTCGCACTATGCTCTGGCGGTACGTCGTCCCAGATAACCTCGTAGTTGCCGTTGTTAGATTCTACGATCTGCATGGTGGGAGTAGCGGGATCGGCCTCGTCGGCCTTCCTTGGTTGCGTTGGATCCAAGCCTGCAGGCTTCAATGACGAAGGAGTAACGGCAATGACATGAACATCAGTTCGAGTCATGGCTGGAGACGCTGGTGAACGCTTGGACAACACAGCCGTGCCAGGGCACGAAGGCCTGCACTTTGAAGCCTTTCTTAATCCAAGTGTACGGTGGTGCACGGCGCTGCTCGAGATCATTACTTGAGATGGCACAAGCCTCGACATCGCCTCCTCGAAGTCAACAGTCTTCATACGCCGAAGTTCTTGGTTCTTTGCAGAGCCCTCGGAATTCGTTACGGACTCATTCGAAGGTGTTGTGTTCGCACTTTTGGCCTTCCGCTTCAGACACGTCTTCAGTGGCTTACTTGGATCCGGTCTGCTCGATGCTCTGGAGGCCTTCCGTAGGTCAGGATTCGAGATTGGACGTATTGACGAACACCACGTGAAGCCTGTCATGGGTTCTTCGTCTTTTGGCACTGGACTGTCTGCGCCGCTCCCGCATCGGTTTCTGCTGCGCTTCGATGTATCTGTATCCCTGGTGTTGCCGAGGCTGGCTATGATCCCCCGTTGCATTGTTGTGTCTGAACAGGCCAACTCTTCCGAACGAGATTGCGTCTCCATCTGCGAGCTACTGGATGATCGATGTCCTTTTGCACGGGGTGGCCGCAGACTTGCACCTGGGTCTGCCGGTCGGTTCAAACGAAGTGAGGTCTGCACGGGATCTGTTGCCGAATCTCGGGTCCTTGTTCGCTCGCATAATCCCAGATCGCTGTTCGACTTCCGTATCGAACGTTGTGAGTCCGCTGTCTGTTCGGGGTTCTTGCTGCTCCCTTCATCCTCGCCGAGGTAACCCGCAGAGTCGCTACCTGCTAACAGTGGCTCATGGTCTTCTGTCTTGTCGGCAGCTTTGTCATCGCTCACATATGGCATCGCTTTTGTGATGGTGTTGAGCAAGCCGGACATTGAGGCCATCGTTCCGATAATACTGGTGATAAGGTCAACGGTCTGGTCGTAGATCGGACCCGTGATTGTGGAGATGCACCGAACTGTGGGCTACGCCCTCTCACTAGGTCTAAGGATGACGTGTGTAGGTTGAAGAAATTTGAACAGGATGGGGCCCAGAAAGGGCGAGGTGTACATGTTATTGTGCCGGAATGCGTAAGGCAGAAGATGGTTTCCTGTTCCACTATGGGTTCTGCGGAAGGAACTCACGTCTCAACATGCTGCTCTCCGGAATCGACGCGACTACCCCCAGAATGAAGAAGTCGCCTTCGCCAGCCACCATCTCTCGTCACAACACGAATAGAACTCAGCAGGCACCGACAACACTCCAGCTCACGGGATGCAAACAAATTGTAGCCCGTGGGGCTATTGGTGGATACGAGAGAAGAACTCATTGGTACAATGATGCGTTGTGGTATCTCAACAGGACGGGCCAGTCTGAGCTTTTCTTCGTCGATTCGCAGATTCGTAGTACGTTCTCTCTCCAGAATTACCAAACATGGTATGCATTGCGCTCTAGCGAGCGCTCATTGTTCGTGAGAAAGCGTTTCGCTTGGCTCAATCTTGGCAGCTTAATTTTCCTTCCACCATAGTTGTCAACAATCAATTAAGTGGGGCTCAGAGAGCTCAGCTTGACTTGATTGATTGCCTGTTCGAGCCTAGCAGTTACTTGTATAGGCTCAACTCCTTCTGTCTTGGGTAAGCGCGTGAAGAGAGGGTTCGACTTGATTTGATTGTTGACAACTATGCCTTCCACTGGCAGGGCTTTGCGGGAACCTGATTAGTACGCACCTTCCATTTTCAGCAAACTTGTCCTCCACAAGTCACTTGTATCAACCTGGTACTCGGTCGAGCGTACCTTCAAATTTAGCAACACTCGAGGTCAAGATAATTGTGGCTAACAATGTCAACAGATGAATGAGCCTACATAAACCGCCCGCATCTGCAGTGAGATCTCACGACAACCAAGAGCCTTCGATTCAACATACGCAATGCACTTCATCTCCCTGTTCTACTGCTCGGTGTCGGTCCCTGTGACCACTGCAAACATTTGTCCGGTTCTAGGCCCTGTATTTCCCTGCCCCCAGCGAGCTTCATGCGCCCACCTCTTTCCAAGACACGTTGAGAACCCTCCAAACGAAGCTCGATGAGGCATTTACAAGCGGCAACACTACGCATGGATTAGTCAATCCAAACGATACATATTCCATCCAGATCTTCTCTACAACGTCCGAAAAGCCACTCCTTGATTAACATCGACGTGAACCGGCCGTTCCGGGTAACAGAGCGATCGATGATGACTCCGTGTACCGTGTTGCCAGCATTTCCAAGTTGATCACCGTTTATCTGCTTCTGATCGAGGCAGGAGAGACGATCTTCAGTGACTGACAAAGTATCTGCCCGAACTGAAGGACGCAGCATATTGGGACGATAGCACTATCGGGTCCCTCGCTGGATATCTTAGAGGCATAACCGCAGAGCGTAAGTACTCAATTTCAGTCACACGCTGTAGTGCTGACCGGACTAGTATACGATAGTACCACGTCACCTGGCGGCGATATTGGCGCATTCCTTCCAGGCGCGTTTCGACCACTAGACGCAAACAAATCATCAGGATGCACCTATGCCTCATGCGGATGTGCCCGAAAGGTCTTTATCAAGAACCTGCTCGACAGGCGCCCAGCATACTTACCGGATACTACCCCAGCATATAGTAACGCTGTTTTTGCCACTCTCGTCTACTATAGCACGAGTGTGACTCCCGACAGTCGTCCAGAGAGAAGTGGGTCGTTGCGACTTCATGATGAACTTGAGCTGACCGTGCAGACACCTGGCTATTGTGAGCAGACTTTTCCAACCTACAGTCGGGAACTGCCCCTCGAGACAACAACTTGACAAAGGTGCGTGCACCTTCAACCTTCACCAGCGCTAGCTGAAACAGTGCAGAACTTGGAAGTACCCACCGTTCGTGGTGGCGTGCTGTGGCCTGACCAAGTCAACAAATTATGCTACCTGTTTGGTGGCGTTTACAGCGACGTCAAAGTACAGGACTTCACTAACCTGTGGTCCTACGATACAATCTACAACAACTAGACCAAGACCACTCCCGATGGCACTCAATTAGCCATATCATGGCCATCTTTCGGGGTATCAGATGTCCCCGATGAGGGCGATGCCTACTAATATGGTGGCTACTTGGGCAACTACTCCGTTGCGAGTTGGACTGGCGATACCATCATGTTGAACAGCCTAGTGAAGTACAACACGAAAACGAACAAGTGGGACAATCACACATACGAAAGGACCCCACGAGCGGAGGGTAACTTACATTACATCCCAGCCTCACAGAGAGGGATGTTGGTCTACTTTGGCAGCTTGGAGCAAACAACAGCTGGCAATACAAGCTATGTATGTCATGAGTATATTGTACTTAGGGTTCATTTGTTAACCCGAGCAGGCGTCAATGAGTCTGAGTGATGCAGCGAAGAGTACTGTCCCATTCGTACTGACCGTCCATCTCCTTACAGAACATACACCTCTTCGATGTTGCTAATCTTAGACGGTCACTCAGACCGCAACCAGCGAAATACCTCAAGCCACTCCTCCCATTTACGAGTCGAACTAATAGTTTGGACCTTTAAAAACCCCCATCTCACTTGCTGGGTTCCGGCTAGGATTTCCAAAGTCGATCCTGTGCTGGAAACCAAGAGCAACTTTGACATTGCAAAAGGGTGGCTGCAAGACTGCAAAACCACACATACTGCTTGCCTCAACAACGATACTCCAAAACTTCCAGCTCGCGTGATCGATGCTGGTTCGGAGGCCTCAAATTTGCGAGTCTATCAACCCGGCGGAACAAGAAGCTGGGTACACAGCTCTCAGCCACTGTTGGTGTGGTCTCATAACAACATTTGTTCTGAATGACACATTGAATCACTTTTAGCGCTTTCTGCCATTCGCCGAACGATTGCTATCACCAGAAAATTTGGAATCCGGTTCTTGTGGATTGATTCACTTTGCATAATCCAAGACAGTAAGGAAGACTGGGACATCGAGTCACCGCGTAAAGCTTTCAATGCCCAGATGCTTTACGGAGTCAGATGTACGCTACTGATGCGGCCTGCCCCTCTCGGCTAGCGCATCTGCAGGAGCCGCTACCCTCAGCGACTTACGGCTTCCGTTGCGACAACGTGCGCTCTCCCGTCGATAGCTCGTCCTGCCATCAAGCCTCATCATTGGACAATTGGTAATGTACTTTATGTTTAGATGCCGTCTCAATGAACTACGAAGAAAAAGCACGCGTTCCTGGATGCACATCTCTATGCTACTTCCCGCTCCGATAGGCGCAATCCGGGGAGCCTAATTCGACTTCTCGCTCTGCAGCCAAACAATGAGCAACGTGCCTGTTCAAAGTGGCAGATGCCCTTGACTAACTCCATGCACCCGCCCCATGGGTTGGCGTCATCCAAATCCGCAATTCAATATAAGGCCCTCGTACCTTCAACCGATGTTGCAGCAAGGCACACGACCAGCTACCAACATGCTCTTCACCATCTCCCTCAGTCTACTGGCTCTGCCGGTTGTGCATGTCGTTGCCAACCCAACTCCAAGCAGTACTCCAGCACCCGTCAATGTGACAACGTGCAATGGCAAGACTTACACCTACTCCGCGCTTGCTGGCTACGGTAAGCTAGCCAGCGACGCTCGCGACAAGTTCGGTGATACCATTGGCGGTATCGGTAGCGCAATTGCACTTGACAAGAAGAGCTGGAAGAATAAGAAGGGCAAGAAGGAAGCGTACTCAGGCATCGTGTACGGCCTGCCTGACCGCGGCTGGAACACCCAGGGCACGCAGAATACGCAGAGCCGCATTCACAAGTTCAGCTTCGACCTTGAGATCGTGGATGCCTCCGTGGAGAAGCCAGCATCGCCAAACTTCAAGCTCACATACCTTGACACCCTCCTGTTGACTGGACCGGATGGCGCACCTCTGACTGGTCTTGATCCGACTGGCAACATTACATACAAGGGCTTCCCGACCCTTCCATTGGCTACATGTAAGACAGATATGAATATCGATTGATCACAGCTAACTCCATCAAGACACTGGCGATGGCTTTGGGAACAACGGAACAGGGGGTTCCCGCGTCCCTCTCGACACCGAAGGTCTGGTCCTTGGCGACGATGGCACCTACTGGATCAGCGACGAGTACGCAGCCTATGTCTACCAGTTCGACAAGAACGGCAAGATGATCCAGACTATTCGCACTCCTGATGCTTTCGTTCCACTGCGCAACGACACGGAATCGTTCAGCGCGGCCTCTCCACCAATCTACGATCAGGACTTCGAGATCAGCCCCGAGGACCCCTCCACCGGACGGGCCAACAACCAAGGTCTTGAGGCCCTGACCGCCAGCCCAGACGGCAAGTATCTGTACACCATGCTGCAAAGTGCCACAATCCAAGACGGGGGCTCCAAGTCGTCTACACGACGCAATACACGCCTTCTCAAATACCGTGTCAAGAGCAAGTCAGTCGAGCTCGAGGCAGAGTACGCCGTTCAGCTTCCTGTCCTCTCAACCAAGAAGGTTGCTGGCCAGTCTGAAATTCATTACATCTCCGACACCCAGTTCCTCGTCCTAGCCCGCGATTCCGGGGCCGGTCATGGCCAGGACTCATCTGAGTCCATCTACCGCAACGCCGATGTCATCGACATCTCCAATGCCACCAACATCAAGAACAAATACGACGCTTTCAACGCTCAGATCGCAAGCGACAAGGGCGAGCTCAAGAGCGATATCGTGCCCGCGACCTACTGCCCCTGGCTGTCGTACAACGTGAACTCACAGCTCAACCGCTTTGGCGTCCGAAATGGAGGCGCGCAGGATGCTAATTTGCTGAACGAGAAGTGGGAGAGCTTTGCGATTGCGCCGGTCGATAGTGATTACCAGACCAAGGGTGAGGGCAAGGAGTACTACTTGATTTCATTCTCAGACAACGACTTCATCACCCAGAATGGGTACATCAATTTTGGCAAGCAACCTTACAAGGACTCTTCTGGGTACAACCTGGACTCGCAGGTGTTGGTGTTCAAGGTCAGGTTGCCGAAGGGGGCAAACCCGTTGTAGACGAGACGTGAACGCTCTATGAGTATACCGATAGAAGTGGCTAGCTGTCAAACACCAATACTCACATAGCTCTCCAGTGAATTGAAAACGCTTCAAAAGGCGCACTTGCCCAGTAAATCGACGTGTGTTTGGTGTTACTGTTTTCGCGCCCAGTGAATACGTCACTTTGGTTTGCGCCGTATCGATAAGCGCCCTGCGCCACAGCAGCCACGTTCATTTGTTTGTTGCCCACTCTACATAGCAACCGCAGTTCCCCTCTACCCCACAACCAGCTGCAACTGCCCTTCGCCTCTAAACAAACCTTTTGCATACAGACAAAATGTCGCGAGGCGGCCATCGAGAGTCGCTAACGCCTATGGACTTTGAGTATGACAATAAACAAGGCCCAGTTGACCACCGTTCACCTTTCATGAACATCACCAACTCGCCTGCGAGAAAACGTGAGCTTGATCCTACCGCGCCCAGCCCTTTCATAGGACAGGGGACGCCTCAGCTAAGCAAAGGGCCGTTCTTCGGTCAGGCAGGTCCCCAATCACAATTTGATTCACCCACCAAGAACGCTTTCGCGACACCGAACCGCCTGCGCGAGACCGCACTCAACTTCTCGCAAAGCGGCGCGAAGCCTCTTCCCTCACTACCACCACATGCGAACGCCTGGAACACGCCACGTACACCCGCGGCCGACTATGACTTCAGCTCCGGCGGTGAGACACCGAACACACCGGCGCAAGACAGCGAACAGGCAACACCAGACACGCAAATGGCGGGCAAGATGCGGCTGCTGATGGACAGCCCCAGCCCAAAGAAGACTGGGCGGAGACAGAGCCTGTTCAAGCGGCTCTCCAATTGGGGCAGCCCAAGCCCAGCTAAAGAGTCGATGAAGGAGATCGAGAAGGAGGTATCGCGCAAGCACTACAGCGAAAAGTTGGAGAACCGAGTAGCGAAGCGGCGGTCAACACGCGAACGCTCAGATCGGTCCAAAAAGAAGCGAATGGCGTTGCGCGACAATGAGGACGAGGAGTCTGATAACGAACCGGCGCAAGTGCAGAAGAGCGCACCAATAGAGCCAGGCAAGATGCAGCAGACCTACGGCGCCAGCATTGCTGGCTTCTTCCACTGGATCGAAGCGCACCCAGGGCTACCCTCAGTGCTCTCCTGGTACATGCAGTTCACCGTCAACGCCTTTCTGGCTCTCTCTTTCATGTACATCATGTACTTGGTATACAGCGGCGTCAGGGCAGACATAAACATCGAGTCGGACAAGCACGCCTCCGAGATGATGGTCGAAATCGCTCACTGTGTGAAAAACTATCGCGAAAACCGGTGTGAGCCAGAGACGCGCGTTCCCGCAATGGAGATGGTGTGCGGCAACTGGGAGACGTGCATGAGCCGCGACCCGCAGAAGCTTGCTCAGGCCAGTGTCACAGTCAAGACGTTTGCCCGTATCATTAACAGCTTCTTCGAGGAGTTCAGCTACAAGTCTATGGTAGGTTCATCCATTTTCATCTTCGGCTTCGTTTGGCTATGCATACAAGCGCGGAACCAGCGTAAGACGAGCGCAGAGGTGGGAGAAGAGTTGCGAGCGGCGAACAACTCCAGCTCCTACCCTGCGACTCTCTACGATCAAGCTGCAACTCCGCAACAACACTCTAGAGCAACAGAGCCCTCCCCAGACTTCAATCAGCCGTCTCCCAACACCTCTCAGTCCACATCACCCTCCCAACTTCCACGCAGCTTTGCTGACCCCGGCTCACAACAATAGATCTTCCTCACCATCATCATCTTCGGCGGCTTCAACGTCTCGAACTGGGCGTTCGGTCTGCTACGCCAGCAGCACGCCCAGCCCCAACAACAGCAGTACAATGACTTCGCTCCACCGCCACAAACACCGCACCGCATCAACTCGAACAGCTATATCGAAAATGGTCAGCAGGCGTGGCCGACACCCTACCAGACGCCGTATGAGGGGAGAGGGTTCATACAACCAGCTCAGCCGCCCATGCTGCAGCATACGCAGAGTACGCCGGCGCTGCCGAGTTATGCGCAAGAGGGTGCGCGCGAGGAGTTGAAAACACCTAGCCGGAGACGTGGCTTTCGGTAGCCCTTTTTTTTTCTTTGAATTGGTTCTCTTTTCTTTCTGGGTATTGCGCTGCGTATAGCACCGATGGCGTTTTTGTTTACACATCTACGATCAACTTCTCTTGTTTTCTTGTAGGGTCTTCAGTTGGATTAGGGTCTTGGAAACACGGTCACGGACGTAAAATATTTATTTGTATATTCTTTCGTAGCTTCTGTCATCGTCAGCCTAGCGTTCTCACCGTGCGCTGCCAGATACTCATAGCATTCGAGCATGGCAATCGGAAACTGCGGTCATTGGTCACATACCCTTTATCCTACGTATAAAGCCTTCCCTCGGACGTGTTTCTCTCCTACACGCATCCTCGGCCCTCATCTGCTCTTCAAAAGAGATACTCAGGTATGACCTGCTGCTTCTCTGGCTTTGCCGTCCTCCAACCATGCGATCATGACTTCATGCTGGCTCGTCCTCGCTGCAGCAACGCTAAATCACCATACTCAAGTACGTCGATGAAGAGCGCATGATTTGTTCTGGTGTTTAGACCCAAAAAGATATAGCAAGTATGCCCATGCTGTAGGGCGCCGAGCTGCTAGTCATTTCACTGTGGACTTGGTTTCGGCTATGTGAGTTTGCTGTCCCTGCCGCTCGAGATCTTACCTCTTTCAAAAGATATAAAGGCAGCTGTCTATGTCTGTGCTCTTCTTCTGTGACGGAATTGACCTCACGCAACCATCATGTTCCGGACTTGCGATTCTTGCCCCACTCTTACTATCCAGAGGCTTCCAGGGCGTTGCATAAAACCCACGATATTTCAAACTTTTCCTTTGCATCATCATCTTCCCCACATCCCAGAGTACAGCGATGACCCCAACCTGCCGTTTTCCTGGGGTCGTCAAAGCAAAAATCCTCAATTGTCTTGACATGTGAGCTTCGTTTCCATTCCCCCTTGCGTATGTCAAGAGGTGTAAAATAAGGAGTCGGCTTGTGCATGACTCTCTTTGGTATCTGCATTCAAAGATTGTGTCTTTCTGGAGTATGTGTTCTGTGCGCCATATCTTCTTGCAGCAGGAATGCCATCTCAAAGTCCTGATAGTACTTTGCCGATTCTTCAGAGTTCGTATATCCAAAGCTGGGATTATCCCGGACATGTGTTGTCTTTTCTGTCTTTCTAAAGAACCCTGGAATGGTCCTATAACCTCTGTAAACCGGTGTACGCGGTACAACTGGTCAAGCTCTTCATATTTTCGCCATATCGTACCTTTCCATATTTCCACAAACTGGGAAATCGTGGACAGCGTTTACACGGAGGATCGAAAAGACGCTTTGCGAACCTGATGTCCAGCTTCAAAGGGTTCACAGATTTCATCTCGCGCCCAAAGCCGTTTTAGACGACAGCTTAGAAGCCAGCGCAGCACACGGCAGCTGTAACTTTTTACAAAAGCCTCGATTTCCTCTCTATGACTCCTTGTCCAACGATTCTATCCTGGAGTACTACAAAGTCGGATTCCGTATATCGCATGCTCCTCTTTCGTGCCGTTGCCCCGTTCGAATTCTCTTCAAGTCTGCTGAATGAGATTGGAATAGCGTTGCAGAAGGCTTATGGCTGGAGTTGTATGTTTTGTTTTCTAGATAACTTTTTTCAGGATTGAGTTTTGGTCAGTCTGACTTACTCTCCAAAAACTCAATTGACAATTCCATATCTGAGTCTGCCAACCTCCACAATCTCTGTATTTACATTCAGGCACGCAGCACACCAGAATCCACTAGAGATCCAGTGCTGGTTGCACATTTGGAAGTCTGCCTTAAATTACATCTATCAACTTCTGCTCGTTCTCGACCTTAAAGCCCCGCCAGTGGCCTAGCAACCACTTTCAAAATGAGGAACCGCGAGCCCCATGTTCTGCGTGCCTGGGGCAGAAGTCCAAAGCCGTATAGATCTTGTTGAACGACCTTAAAAATTCCGATCAAGCACGCTTGTGAGTCGGGCTGTACCCTGACTTCTACCTTGAAGCTGTATCGAAGGCGTTGAGTTCAAAATGGGTATCAGACAGTTTCATGGACCAATCGAGATTCCAAAGTTTCAGGATGCTAGCTCAACATTCGAGAAAAGATACTGTAACTAAGACCCCCACCATGGGAGTCTGCTTCCAAGACACTCCTATTCGACTATTGCCGTCATGTGCTCATGAAGCTGTATATGATCGGCTGCATCCGCAGCTATCCTTTCTACACCCACTCTCTCCATATCTTCGCTTTCCCAAAAGATTCGCTACATCGTACTATGGTTGTTCCTGGGGACCTTCGGACTGAAAGTGCATTTGCGGCAACAAATGCGAGCGTTCGTTCTCTGCGACATCATACCTATGACACCCCGAAAACAAATGAAAATCCTGACACGAAATTTCCTTCCCTGTGTCTGCTCAAGCACTGGTCGATCTTGTGCCAACCTGCATACAGCAAAAGTCAAATCTGCGCCTTCCCGGTCGAGCGATCGAGTTCACTGCTTGGGTAAGATCATTCTCCGTGGTTTCAAGATCTCGACGGTAGGACCGATCTCTTCGCCTCGCCCTGCATCTCGTGTGGATCTGTCAGAGCTTCGTCTGCGGGGATATCCAGCCTCAGACTGTGGATGCTGCTCGTCGCACGGTTGAACGCTCTGCGGACTTTGTTTCGGCAACAGGACTGACAGTAGGGCCAATGTTTTGGCTCAACAATGCCTCGTGCATACAACCTGCTACAGCACACTGTCCCAATGATCAGCTGAAAGGAAGTCCTCGGCCGTAGGCGTTGATAGCGCACAAAGTGTAAGCCGAGGATGCGGTCAATTTGGTAAGTATCCAATCTAGCACCTACTGTAGCCAATGCCGTCTTTGAGAAAAGGAAATAATGAAATATAATGAAGAATATGCCCATAACGCCTCACTGATCGTGTATCGTCCCAGAACAACGTTAAGATCGCGAAAACCACCTCGTGAGATGCCTGTAATGCCGCCCCAACGCCGAAGAATGCTTGTGAATATTATAAGTTCACGTGAAGAGTAGCCAGGTGCATGGAACATGGAAGCTTGCTGTGGTGGAAATTATAGCATGTCCCAATCATCATCACTGGCAGCCTTCTCGTCGACCATGGTCTGAGCGATCGATGCCGTAGGTACAAGCTCAGGGCTCGACATTGGACTGTGTGGAGTCGCACCTGCAGCCGCCTGGGACCGGTGCACCATAGCAAACCCCTCGTCCTCACTTGCGGTGTCGGCGGCGATGCTTGAATCTGGTATAGTCTCAGGAACGCGAAGGCGGTGAGGTAGCGTAGCAGATACATTAGTCTGGACCGTAGGAGTGCTCAACATCGCCTTCTGTACAGGCCGAACATTAAGGCGTCCATACCGTCGTGCTGTTGTTTCGTCAATCCTTGCACGATTGTACTTGCGCAATGTCTCCTCTACTACAGTGTCCAACTCAATGTCCGACTGAGCGTCTGAAGACATAGTTTCATTGTACTTTTCGAGCGCCGTTGTGAGCACGTAAGGGCAGACACGGTGCTTTGACTGATCTGAAGTCTTTGCGCCAGGTGCTTTGCGACGGACCGACATTGTGGCTGGGTTCCTGCTTTCCTCGGTGGGTGCCGACTCGGTAGGTGCTGGATCAGCGGGCGATAGGTTAAGAGCCGCAGAGTCGCGAGGCGTGTCATATAGCATCTCGCTCGGCAGCTCGCGAGACGCCAATGTCGTGGGAGCATTGCTTAACTCGATCATAGGGCCGGAGGGCAAGCGAATAATTTCTGCAGCACCTACACAGTCGTTAAAGTTAGTTGTTGGGAGAGGTAGCGTATTTACTCACAGTCATCTTCAAAATTTCGTGCAATGTTCGTTCGGCAAAGGTCTTGACGGAAAGATGGGATCTCATGAACAGCCGTCAGGAAGTCCAGACTCTCCCCGAGTTTGTGGTAAAGATAGACCGCTACACAGTAATTGAGCAACGTGTCGACGAGGTTGTGCTTTCGGCGTGCTTCATCACTGGCGAAGTGTCTATAGATGAACCGAACTGTGTCGAGAAGATCTTTTGGAGGCTTCGGCAAGCAACACGCGTACTCGATCTGGCAAGAGAAGTTGCCATGCGCCATAATCTGTAGTTCTGGTACATCAAAGTCCTCGGCGATCTTATACGTCTCAGCATGTTCCAGGAGCAAGATGCTTTCACCATCTAGCTCGCCTGCAAGATAGCTGCCGGTGTAGCAGTATCTGGCAAGCGATATGACGGCGGTTTCGGAGGAAGCTTCGATGCTTGCTTGTAGCCGACTTTGAGAGTTGTACTCGAAGGCGTGGTACATGAGCGGACAGGTATCCAGGAACTTGAATGGACTGATGTTGTCTGAGATGTGGACAACTCTGCCGCCAGGGAGGACTGCCTTCAGAGTCGCATCGCTGGCACCGTACCCGTTGGCAAGCTCCTCGTCGAGAAAAGTGAGGTTGTTCATTGTGTCGGTTTCAGGGTCCTTAGCCTGCGCGGCTGGCGGGAGTGAGGATGCAGCGATCAGAGTAAGAGAGCGAAATCCAGACAGTGAACTTCAAAGGCCAGGTGTGGAGAGGTAGAAGGATATGCCTCGAAAATAAGAAGTTGGTGTGCGGCCTCAGTCTGACGAGGACTGACTGACCGGCTGCGGGATTAGGCTACAGCGTGACTGAGGGTGGCCATCCAGCAATTCGATTGATCTGGTCCGCTCCAATAGCAACGTCCTTCGGTTCGCACTCGAAGATCCTCAGATCCTTTCCAACGCACTAGATTGACTCAATATTCAATTACACAGTTGAAGTTGACTGTTCATTAGTGTCATGGCGGGCGGGGGAGGCTCAAGACACCCTGAGCAACGCGGTGCAAACCGGCAGCAGCCTGTCCATTAGATTGGCGAAGCTCAGCCGTGATGGCCATCCAATGGCTGCCTTCAGTCACTGTGTAGCCTTGCATGGATGCCTGGAGGGTCAGCTGCGGAGATCTTGGTGTTGAGGCGAAGGAGGGGTGTTTGCAGCCCTGCTTGTCTGTGCGCGAGCTTCAGCCACAAACGATGACGGATCAGGGAGATTCGGTGGATGGTTCCGCGCTGAACCGCGCAACAGCGTCTCCCAACAATCACGCTACCACAATTGCAATCGACTTTCTGAGGCTTCCCCTTGACTCCGTTTGATTGTCTGCCAGCTTGGTAGCGCCATCTTTCTTGCAAGACAGCCATAGCACGGCCGGGTCAGATTTTGTTCTTGCGCACTATGGGGTTGCTATCAATTCTCCCTGCGAGCTTCTCGACTGTCGAGACATGGCTCACGCGAATCTTCGTAAGTCCATGTGTAGTTCATCATTCATTGTTCATACTCATGATTCCGTGTAGTTGGTCTTCGGCCTCGTGATGATTGGTCCATGGGCTGTACTCGTTATCTATGACCTGATACTCTACGTCTTTCGCGCTGTCACCTACGCAATTCCAGTAGTAGGCGGCCGCGCTCAAGGAAAAGCACGACCACGCGCACCGAGCCTTACGGAGCGACCGAGCGGGCATCGCAGAAGATTCAGTTTGGCACGACCGAAGGAAGAAACAGGGAGCAGTACCGGTGCTGTGGCAGCGGACGCGCCGGATGCTCGGTCTCGACACACATGAGAAGAATTGTAGATTGGCTCAAGTATATGAGCTCACAAGCTGTTTACCATGGGGTACGCTTGGAGAACACTTCTGAAATGGTAGAGACAGAATACACACGACAAGCCTCACGGCCTCAACCCAGCAAGATCACACATTGCAGCTCTTCAATAGCATCGGTGCTTGGAGCAAAGCACGCGCATTAACATACTTGTAGGTAATAGGGCTGTGACTGACATTAAAGAGGCTATTAGGTCAGTGTAGCCGTTCCTACGTCACCTCATGCATCAGCTCGACAAGGCTGAACCGAGGACTGGGGCAGCCGAACCTAGTTCACTGCCATGGCGGTCCGAAGCGCACGTTCTTCACCGCGCAACTACAAGAGATCATTGCTGATCAAACAACCATTTTTCTTGTGTGGGCTACTATGCACCGGCGAAAGGCCCAACATACGTTCTGAGCTAAGCAAAGATCGATCTCTACACAGCGATCGACAGGCTGAGATCAGTGCTTGTTCCTATTGGGCGCTTGTGGCTGCACCGAGTAGTCTAGGTTTTATGCAAGTGTGCCACCGACATCGCGCACACGGTACGTTGTTGTGGGAGCCAGGCTTACATTTCTTACATGTGTTTCAGCCTTGCACAGCAAGGCGAGTATGGCATCATGTATGACCATTCTTTCCTACCCCCTCGCTGCTGCATTTCACTCTCATTCTCCGCTGCGGAAGCGCTCGAACAGTACCTGCGAGCTCAACACGGACGTTGGTCGCCAACAGTACGAGCCGGTAGATTCTGGCACTGAGCTTGGCCACATCGGCTCTGAGATCGACTACCGTGGCCGAAGATCTGATGACGATTTCGATACGACTGCTCTTAGAAACGCAGGGGTGGAAAACGTGAAACGTCCGCACAATATCTTCAGATCTCCGAAGATTCGGTTACCTGTCCGTCTTGAAGAACAACTTGGGCCAAAAACCCGGCGATTCAAACTGTTCGCTGGTCTCTTCGCCTCCTTGGCTGTTTTCATCTGCAATGTTGCTTTTTTGGTCTACGGCGTACTCAAAACCGGCACAGTGCACGGCGGTATTGCTATGCTGATGCGGGGCGATTTGGACACCGTGTCACGCATAAGTACAACGTTGCATATCCTTACCAACGCTCTAAGCACGATCCTTCTCACCTCGAGTAACTACGCGATGCAACTCCTCTGTGCTCCCACACTGGATGAGATCAATTACGCGCACAAGAACGGACTAGGCTTGAGATTGGCCTCATGGTTTATCGCGATCTAAGGCACATCAACAGGAAAAGAACGATCATCTGGTGGTTGCTTGCAATCAGCTCCCCACCATTGCACCTTTGGTGAGTTTTTCTTAACTGCCTGCAAGGTGAGAACTTTTGCACAAGCTGACTATAAGCTAGTTACAACCCAGCCATTTTCCAGGTTACAAGTGGTCAGGACTATGACATCACAGCCATAACAGACCAAGAAGAGTCCTCTGTAAACGAACCCTGACTGGACCAGGATCTACGACGAGAGTTACGTTTCTAGTTTCAGTGATCTGCTTCTGGTGATTAACAATGCGTCTTCCAATATAACGGTCCATTCCAACTGGTCTGTCACTTTCGCATTTCCGACCTTCAGTTTCTGCAATTAGCAGAGTGCCTACAACGCGGAGATCAGCATACCAACGGTCCTCAACAACACAACGAAGGCTCTAATTCCAGCTGTGCTTGATGACTACAGAGCCGTCTACGCACTTTCTGACAGTAGTGTCTACAGTTTCAAGTTCTCGCGCCACTGGCCCAATATCAGCGAGGTGAAAGTGCCCAATCGATAGAAAAAATCTGAGCAAAGGCTGTGTGACGGGACAGGTTGGCTTAATGCCGTCCCCACGAACTCTTCGTTGCATGTTAAATATGCATATGCCAAGGTACGATCGCCCATGAATGGTGTGCAGATTGTGATCCCATTTCTAATAATCGTCATCGCTGCCAACATCTTCAAGATTGCCGGTATGTATTTCATCCTGCGCGTATGTTCTTCTTGGCATTCATGCTGGTCCGTCGTATCGACATTCAGCTACTGCCGGCTCATCATTGCAGCTTGGTCATCAATGCGGCTTGCCATCACTACCAGTCGATGTTGATTGCTATCTCAAACGGGTTCAATGCGATGTTGCCAAAGACGGAACCAAGGACGAAGCCGGTCACTGCACTTTTACCAGCCATGAAGCTAGCAAGCCAGAAGTGGCCTGTTTGTACACTTAGGTGTATCATCAAGAGTACTATATCTTCTCAGATACTTCAATGAGATGTAGCAAAGCACATTATGCGTACTTTTGTTTGAGCTGATCCATGAAGTTGCTTGTGGATATGGAGTAGAGACGACTGTTCGCCCGACCTGTACGCTCGGAACAACCATCAACGCCCAATTAAATAGATCTCAAATGACGGGACCGTATTCAAGACAGCCTTTGCAGCGTACAGCCACGATACCACGCACATCAGTGGGCGTTTCGTGGTTGTGATTGTTGGCCATTATGCCTCAGCTCTTGCGGGGTTTATGTATTAATTGTATTGAGACAAGGTCCCTCTGGTAGTATGACTACCGTGGATAACCGAGTAGGAGGAGGTGGGGTGGCTGCAACGTATTGTATTGATTATTCCGCGGTATGTTCACTCTCTATTCTGTGCCATCTAGTAGAGTATAGCAGCATCCACCATGGTACCTGCCTGCCACCAGGTTGCTAGCTGCATTTACTGTATGAGGCCACGAGGCTTCCTTCCACCAACCTAGACTAAAACCACATCTCATCAACAAACTGTATTAAGATGATGTAGATCTCCAAACCGTCAGCCCTGCCTTTCACCAAGAGCTACCCCGCAGTCTCCCGACGCCCCACCAGATCCAAGTGCACATCATATCGCGTTCTGGGCGTCGATCCATCTGTGAGGGTAGGCGGCGCATCCGAATTGCTTCGATATGCTACACGTTGTACCATGTTCTTGGTTGAGCAAGCCGAAGCGTGTGCGGGAACGAACCCTTTCGCCCGATCTGGACGCTCGCGACCACATCACTTGCAGCTAATAGCCGACTCAATTCATTTGTATCCATTCTGTGAATGTGCCAGCAGCAACTCTAAGAGCAAGAGCAATCTTCAACAGACTCGGAGGAATGCTGTGCTCGACTCAACAATGCCGACTGGACGGGCTGATAGACCTGGGCTACGCGCATGCACGGTCGGAAACGCCCAGTTTGCACAGGATGAAGCCAAAGACCTCTGATACTGTGAAGAAGACTGTTCGGATGAACCAGTGTCGATTGAACGCGCCGCAGATGTCCGTCGACTTATCATATATTTGTCTTCCTGACAAGCGCCAAAGGCTGAGCTGATGTAAGGACCTCAGTAAGTAAACGCCCATAGTTCCAACCAAGAGCTTCCGCCGCTATCGCTGTCAAACTGGCCTGATCTTCCCTGCCAGGTCTCCCCGGACCTGTCATGTTCTGGTCCCGCTGTCAGCAATTTAGACAGTCGCGGTACAGTCAACGACTTACGGGTTTCATATTGACGTCAAAAAGCGCAAACTCAGAGCCTTCCTTAAAGCGTCTGATATCAATGCGGATCGGTGCAGTAGCCTTGAGAAGAGCCGCAACCTCCTCGCATTCCCTGGCAGCTCGATCGTAAGTTGGGTCTTGCGAGTATTTCGCCGTCTCGACAACTCTTGAATTCGCCGTAACAGCGATGGATCCGTTGTATGGTGCGATACCATCGCTGTGATTGAAGCGGGTAACGATTGGCAAGGCCCAATAGCCTTCTGGCTTGGAAACAGATGGTGGCATGACGGTCACAGTTGCCTCCTCCCCATTAAGGTATTCTTCGACGATAATCTTTGGTGATTCGTCGAAGAGGAAACGTGCGTGTGCCTGGAGCGCTTCCTCGTCTTTACAAAGCTTTACGCCGTGACTACCGCGACCGCGTACAGGCTTGACCACAAGCGGGTACTGGAGATCCCGGCTCTTGATGACATTTGGAACGTCGTCAGAAGCCGTGAATGTTGTGGATTTTGCTACCGTAAATTCACCATGAGATTTCATGATCTCATACACAAGGGCTTTGTCATCGTAGGCTTCTACTAGCTGTGGAGGCTGCCCAACAACCGACACTAACTCAGCGTGTTCGGTAAGACCTTTTGAAGTTTGAAGTGGATGTGCTGCGAAAAGAATGGTGTTAGCCCATAGATGCGTCGCTCCTGCCTTGACGGCGTTCAGGATGCCATCTTCGGTATCTGGAAAGCACCAGTCGCTATCCTTAGCTGGGTTTGGAGAGGACACCGGTGAGATCACAGGTATCTGACAGTCGTTTTTCAAGACATAGGCAATGTCGGCGCCCGAATCTTGATAACCTTGACTCAATCAGCCCATGCGAATCAATTTGTCCATCTTTCGACAGAGCTCACTCACCACCTGGCTTCTTTGGCTTTCTTACTCCATTTATCACCGGTGGTTCCAACGCTTGGTAGAGCACGGCCACTCGACGGTGCGCCATGCTCGAATTCGAACGGGTAACTGCACAACTGGCTGCCCTAGCGGAGACTGATCGCGCTCCGAGAGCAGTCAAGAAAGCTGTGCGGGTGCGAAACACAGGCATTGAGTATCGTCAAGATAAGCGTAGACCCAGACGCAGAGGTGAGATGTGAAAGATGGCCATCCTGGGATGGCTCCTGGATTACTTCGCAGACCGGATACACCCGCCATTAAAGTTTTGCCGAAGTCGGAGCACTCCGGCAGTAGAGAATATTTTACACTTTAACAAAGCATGTCTTTTGAGCTGAAGACAAGCAGCGGATATGAAAGGCGGTAGGCCTAGTCTTAGATACCCGCACAATCATCACCTTTGGCGTTGTGAGTGTAAACGTCGATGACGAAAGGCTTCGTCGTTCTGCGAGGTGTCGGGAGCAAGATACGAGCTAGCGTCTCGGCTACGCCTGCCGCGCGGGATCAGTGATGCGCCTAAGCCGGGTACCCCGTACAACTCCACAAGACTTCGCTGTAACAGGATTGACACGGGCGAGACATGTGAAGGAGGTACTTTGCGCAAGTTGTGGTCTTCAATGATGGACGTTGAAGTTGGACTGCGTTCGTTGGTAGCTGGGAACGGACCACACCGCTCCATCTGCCAAGATCCAATCGGGTAAGGCGGTCCCTCGCACCGACGACCCTTATCGTGCAGAAGTGGTGGCGGCTGGCTTGAGGAAATCTCGCTCTCCACCTCAACGTTCCTTCCTCAGCATCACCTTGTTCCACTTCCTTACTAACACTCCTTCTACATTCATCATTTCTTTGTGTCTGATCTGGGTCTAAGGCCATACGCAGAAGAAAGCTCTACTGACACAGGTTGCCTTCTCTGAGCTTGTGGACGCTGCGTGGTGGCGAAGCCGTAAGATCCAATTCAGGTTGAAGGATATGTCTTTTCTCACCAAACGAAGAAACAGCACTCGAAACCGCGATGACAATGCCTTTCCCGCAGCCCAGCTCTTCCTGCTCGGTAAGAATGACCTACGTCATATCAACGCGACCGCAAACACTTACTGTACACGGCAGCACTTGTGCGAGTCGCAGAGCCAATTGCCCTGACAAGCATACTGCCCTATGCGTGGAAACTTGTCTTGAGTTTCGAAGTCTCCTCGGAATCTAATGCGCCATTTTTTGCGGGCCTGCTCATCTCTGCCTTTTCGCTGGTAAGATTTTATCCTGCTTTGGTACTGTTGCTTTCTCTCACATATGGTGTAGGCCGAAGCATGTAGTGGAATGGCATGGGGTGCCTTATCCGACAGGACAGGTCGCAAGCCTGTCGTCTTCATAGGATGCGCAGGTACCATCACCTCTTTGCTGCTCGTCGGTTTCGCGCCCAACTTCTGGGTCGCCCTAGCGGGGAGGATCGTTGGCGGTGCACTCAACGGTAACATAGGTATGGCTGCAAAGGTGTCACAAAAATGCTTGAATACCATTGCTGACAAGTTCAGGCGTTATCCAGACGATGGTCGGCGAGCTGGTAAGGAACCCAGAGCATGAACCAAGGGCATATGCAGTTATGCCGTTTGTTTGGAGCATTGGAACTATCATCGGTCGTAAGAATACCCTTCCTTCAAGTCCTTCGACCTCTCGTACTGACAGTGCAGCTTCCATTGGCGGCATATTCTCGCAACCTGCTGAGAACTTTCCATCTATGTTCAGCTCGACAGGTCTATTCGCGATGTTCCCATATCTCCTGCCCAACCTCATGTGCTCTTCCTTGCTGATTCTCTCCATGGTCATGGCGTACTTCTTGCTGGAGGAGACACATCCCGACAAGCGACCAGGGCACCACAAGGAAGGCGACGATACTGCTACCGCGAATACACCATTACTTCCAGCTCAAGGAGCTACCGCCGATGCCCCCGCGGACCTGACATCTGAGTCGTATGGCACATTCAATGCTGTTGAGGTGCAGCACGACGAGATGTGGCGGGTTCGATCTAATGGCGATTGGGTCGAACAGCCAGCAAGTGAGAAAGTGTTGACCAAGACCGTCGTTACGTTTGTCGTCGCATTATCGATATTCACGTACCACAGCATGACCTACGATCACCTTATACCTATCTTCCTCCAGGACAAGCGGGCCGACGATGTTCACGCCCAAGAGCTATCATATACAGCCTTGGGCGGTGGTCTTGGGCTCTCGACGCAGCAAGTTGATCTGATTCTTTCAATCAACGGAGTCATACAACTTGCGATTCAGGCCGTTGTTTTTCCGATGCTTGCGGACCGCTTTGGAGTTTGGCGGCTTCTGCTTATGGTCACTCTTGCGCACCCGATCGCCTACATCATCGTACCATTCCTTCAGCTCTTACCTCCGAATCTTGTTTATCCTGGGCTTTTCGCTGCGTTGAGCGTACGAAATCTCACTTCCATTCTGGCCTTCCCTCTGCTACTCATCATGATAAAAGAGTCGGCACCCGACAAGTCGCACCTCGGTAAGATCAATGGCCTTGCTGCTTCTACCGGAGCTGCCTGTCGAAGTGTTGCAAGCCCTATCGCCGGGTTGCTATATGGCCTGTCCATCGAGGTTCGATTCACACCACTGGCCTGGTGGGCATCAGCTTTGGTTGCTTTGGTTGGCGCATTGCAGGTGCCATTCATGAATCGCGCAGCCAACAACTGCCACGCTCGTGTTCGCATGGCTTTCAAAGAACAGTCACGGGACGAAACTGTTCATATCACAGTGGAAGATTGATTTGCAAAACGTTTTGGTCCATCGCACTTACTCAGTAGGAGAGAAGATGTGGTACACACAAGACACCTCGAATCTGATTGCATATTTTCGACAGTTCACGCAGTCATAGGTTGAGCAATTTTGGCGTTCTGGCGTTCTTCGAAGCCGGCAAATTTCTTAACAGGCGTTATCTTTTGTACAGTCCGTACCAACAAGCTAGGCTGCAAAGATTAGAAAACTCTTGCCATACACATAGAATTTGTAAATCGAGCATCCATACGTAGCCGAACCGAACATCCAAGCCTCAAGACGTTTGTCATCTCCGTGCCATTGATCCCGTGCACAACAACTGGGTCCAATATTCTCTGCGCACGATGGAACAGGGCACTCCTCGAATCCGAATATAGAAACATAACGATGTCAGTGCTTCCGTCTCCTGAGAAGCTTCAAGCAGTGACCTTCTGGGTACTCAACCAATGCAAGTACCGCGATGATAACTACAAGCTAGGCAAAACACAGAATCGATTCACGGCACGCACGGAGGTGGCGGTGTCAGTTGCTCCATGTTGAAGTCCCATCCTAAATCCGGAACGTGCGTTCCGCATTCTCTCTGAGTCGGTAGTCTCACACCATCCATCATCACACATGAAGCCACGGCACATTGTATCCATCAAGAGCACTTGTATCCACGATGGCACGACTCTTATGGTGTGGATAAAATAACGGTACCTGGCAAGAAAGATAATTATGTGAAGGAATTATCTGTTTGCCCATGTGTACAACTCAAGAGACTTCCCGGCCTCTAACTCGACCATTTCTCATAGAAAAGCAACACTTGCATTGCATGCAACCCATCGTAGCGATCCATCGCATATTACATACGGGAACATGAGACCGCGACTGATGTCGTCCGCGGCTTGTTGTTCGCTTATAGGCTTTGCTGGTGTGACACTCAGAGTCGACGTGAAACAGGGGGCTCGTGTAGGCACTTCAGGAAAGACAGCGTGACATCTACGGCTAGCGCAACGACAAAGCCAACGGCGATGACCACAACAGGCAATTGTATACACCGCGGGATTACCTGATGGGGTACGTGGCGCGGAAGGATGCAGGAGGTCGACATGCCTGCGAGCGAGACCCTCGGGGCGTCGGGACATCATGTTGCCTCTTTCAACGTCGTACTCGGGCACCGTGAGAACCGCCCGCTATTCCACTGCAGACAACAATACCTGAGTACCAAAGTTAGCACAGCATTGCAAAACAACTGAACCAATTGACCTTGTATTGGGCAATCTATTTGACGCCTGCCTGCTCAGTGAACCCTCCTATTGCGACCCCATTGGCTTGTTGCCTGCATGAAGGTTTACTTAAGCATATCATCTAGTGCGTTTCACGCGCCCTCGCTTATTCGTACCGCCCGACACCCGTTCGACCTCACACCAGACCGCTCTGCAGGCCAGGCGACGGCTGTACGGTCTATGGGCCTGCAGAGCGCGCGACAAGCAACATGGTCGCCCTGTCGACCCCCGTGGCTGTGTACCTGACTCCTTCCCAAGTATTGACCAATCCTGCGCAAATGTTTCGACCAGATGTTTCACTCTAGTGCTGAGGATGAAAGTATATCTTCCCTTTCTATGCCCGATGTACATATCCTCAAGTTCCATTCTTCCAAACTCTCCATTCTTTTTTCTTTCACCGAACCCGGGCGGGCAAAGTCATTCGTTATCTTTGTCCCCTTATTAGTACAGGATCATCTTTTGTTCGATTCTTACTACATTCTACGATTCTGTATTCTCCAAACGGGACATTCACTCTCATTTGAGCTCTGAATTTATCATTGTATTCATTTATATCTTCGCATTTCCATCACCATGAAGGTCACTCTGGCTGTCCTTGCCACTGGCCTCATTGGCCACGCTGCTGCGACATGGGACATGTTCGGCAACCCATTCAACTCTCCCAACTACAACAACAACGAGTGTAGCGATAAGCAGAAGAGCGGATTTGACTGGTCGGATCTCAAGGACGGCGACTCCAACTTCAGCTATGGTGACTTCGACTTCACCGGTGGCTGGAAGTGCTCGAACTCCTTCGGCAAGCGTGATGCACTTAGCAAGCGTACTTTCGGATCCAAGTGTATCAAGAACAAGATTAGCAAGGAGAAGCCGGCTTCTTTCGGCTGTGACAAGCGAAAGTCTGGCTTCTCCATCACGCACATCGATGTGTCCGTTGAGTACGATGTAGACCTTGAACTTCACTACCACATGGAGGATGGATCAAAGTGTAAGCAGGTCGCTCCTTGCAGCGCCTCCGGATCCACTATCCAGAACACTCAGTGTGGTGGCGCGAAGTCGGTCGATGTCTATCTACCTAAGCACGACAAGTCTGATAAGGAATGCGAAATCGGTTTCCACAACATTGGTTTCGATTGCAACCCCGGCAAGGGCTATAATCCCCCATCGCCTCCCGAGGTTCCTTCGTCTTCAGCACCAGTCGTATCCCAGCCTGCCTCCACCCCGGTCGTTTCTCAGCCTGCCTCCTCCGCACCACCCAGCACTACTACACCGTCTTGCAACGGCGATGAGTGCAACTCGCAGCCTCCGGCCACGTCCAGTGGCGCTCCTGCTTGCGATGGTGAATACTGCGCATCCCAGCCACCAGCTTCTTCCGCTTCTACTTCCTCTGCTCCTGCGTCGTCCAGTGCCCCTGCGACCGAGGTCACTGTCTCGTCCGGCTACGATGTGCCCACGTCTTCGACTCCCGAAGCCTCTGTCCCTACTCTTCCTACTACCGAAACTCCCGCTACATCTGTGCCTGACGTTCCTTCTACTTCGACTCCCGAAGTTTCGAGCCCTCCTGCTACCGAGACTCCCACAGTTCCTTGCGGTGGCTACGGACAGGATTCTTGCGAGGACACCACCGCTGTCTCTTCGGCTCCTATCGAGACGCCTTCTTCGGACATTCCAGTTACATTGTCTTCTGCTGCTCCTTTCACCAACAGCTCTGCTCCTGCGACCACCGCTCCTCCCACATACGAGACCAGCCCTGTTCCCCCGCCTCCGGCCTCGCAACCTCCGGTTTCTGAGAGCGCCAGTGTCCCTGCGTGCGACGGAAGCTACGGAGAGTCGTGCGAAGGCACCATTGCAGTCTCCACTCCCCTTGCTTCCAGCACCGTTATTCTGAGCACTGGTGTTCCTCAGCCTTCCAGCCCCAGCTACCCACCTGTCAGCCCCCCTGATGTTCTGCCCAAGTGCATGAACACCTGGCTCGAGATCTCCGGTGACTGCAAGAACAACGCAGACGCTTCCTGCTACTGCAAGAATAAGGACTTCACTAAGCAGGTCATCGACTGCGTTTCGGCTTGGTGCGGCACCGACGACGAGACCCGTGAGGCTCTTCAGTACCTCATCGGTATCTGCGCTGAGCACGTCCCTGAGAACCCTGGTCTTGTCACTGACTGCCCCTCGTACATCCCTCTGAACCCCACGCCTGCTTCGCCCACTGCTCCCGCCGGCGGCGTCAGCACCCCTGCGGGTGAGGTTGGCACAACACCTGCCCCTGAGGTCCCATCTGGCGGCGTGAGCACCACTGTTACGGTTCCTGGAACGACGCCTGCTCCTCAGGTTCCATCTGGCGGTGTCGCCAGCAACGTTCCCGCGGAAACTCCTGCCGCGTCAACACCTTGCACAACGATTATATACGGAACAACTACCCTCACGATCCCGCAAGTTCACTTCACAACCCAGACAAACGAGGCAGGCGCTACTCCAACTGAGCCTGTCGGCCTTGTTCCCGGCACGGCGCCCGCCCAGACTCCTGCAAGCACGACTGCTGCTCCTTACCCCATCTCTGGCACTACTTTGGCCACCTTCAAGCCCACTGGTACTGGCGCTTACAGCCCAACATCGCCAGCCGAATTCACTGGTGCGGCAGCACCCTTCAAGCTGGAAGCTCAGCACGCCATTCTCGGTGCCATGCTGGCCTTCTTTGCTTTGTAATCTCATTTGTCCTCTAGCGCTTCGTGTGAGCAGATTTGTACATAGCTAGATATATAGAGTAAGAACTAGGTCGATTGTAATTCACAAGAATCACTCGCATAACATGTTGCTCTGCTTGTGAACTTGGTGTTGGTGATGAATGAGATCGCTGCATGTGATTGGCGCGAGCTCCGATTTACGTCATTCCTTCCCAGTTTCGTGGTGCGGATAGGCGCGCGTTATCCTTGCTCAGATCACTCGTCGTGCAGCATCCGGACCAAATAACTCCGCTGCTCGCCTGGACTGCAGCGTCAACACGGCGCCACCATGTCTTTCGTGGTCGACCAGATTCGGCGTATCGACGGTGCCCTTGATCGGCTGCAGCTCTCGTCCACACGTGCCGGCGAGAGCTTCTCGACCCTGAGTGCCGCAGAGGCCCACGACCCTGAGAAGACAGCACGCATCGCGCACCTGCAGAACCTCATCAAGAGCCTGTCGACCACGGCAAGCTCCAAATCGTCGCTTGTACCTGGCGACAGGATTCTGGAGACGCTTAATCGCGCAGACTTTTCCAGTAGCTGCACAACGTGCGCTCAGTGGTTCGCACAGGACGACAGCAGCAGCAACGATCCCTCAGGGAACGATGCCAGCTACGAACACGAACTCGAGTGGCTGCTGCTCAGCAAGGCCACAACTCAAGCGTACGGCCAGGTCCTCAACACAATTCTCGAACAAACAATTCCCCTCGAAGACGACATCTGGTACTGGGACGATGTCCTCTCGACGTACCGCTTTGCCGGCCTTTACTCGATACAGACGTCCCCGCTCAGGGTATGGAATTGGTCTAAGGAGATCTACCATGATGTGAGGTCGAAGGGTGGAGAGATGGCTGATGGGTGGAGGCAGTTCTACGGGCTGGTCAAGCAGTCTGTGCAAGAGCGCAGTGTCGCCAACATACAACGGCGTGTGATCAGCCCACTGGCACTAGTGAGGAACGAGGGCAGGAGAAAGCGCGCGGCTCTCAAGAAGATACGACTGGTCAACGCGAACGCGCTCGGTGTACTACTGGGCGAGGGTCTGAGCAACGAGAACATCCACGATGAAGGCTTGCAGTCGCCGCACCCCTTTGGCACACACGACAACAAGCACAAATGGAAGGCCGTGGTCACCAAGAGTATCGCACTGATGGACGCCGTTATCCAGACGGTCAATATGGCTGAACTTTCTGTCGATAAGTTCGACGAGTCTGTTGCTGGGATCACTCAGGACGACCAGTACTACGAACTTCACGAAGCCTCGGCCAACCAAGCTGCAACAGCACTGAAGCCAGCAGACGTCGCAGATCGTCTGCACTATCTTCTGCGACACGCCCTGCCCACCTACAAATCAAGCTTCAATGCTGTCGTTAAGGACAATGGCCGACCATCTCCTCTCGTCCGGTATTGGCTCCCCGCTACCATCTTCCTTCTTTCTGGTACGACCATTCTGCGCATCGCTGTGAATCGTCAAGAAGAGATCAAAACTTGGATCCGTGAATTCGGGCAGACTGTCATTGACTTCTGGACCAACTGGGTGGTCGAACCTACCAAGAAGGTCATCGGCACCATCCGCCACGACGAAGACAGCGAGGTCTCTATTATGAGCAAGCGCAGCCTCGAATCTGACCGTGCAAGCCTGGAGCGTATGGTGGTTGACTTTGCTGTCAAGAACCCTGACGGCCCAGCTCTGAACGAGTCGCAGATTGCGGACATCAGGGCTAAGGTCAGAGAGGGCGATCTCACCACCGTGCTCAAGTCGTATGAGAAGGACATTCAGAGCCCAGTCAAGGGGGCCATTGTTGGTAATCTTGCAAGCGCGCTGCTGATCCAGGTTCAGAAGACCAAGGTCGATGTTGAGCTTGCCATGAGTGGCATCGACAGCATTCTCAAGAGCCAGGAGCTTCTCTTTGGCTTCATCGGTCTGACACCTGGTGTGCTTGTCTCTATTGGCGTATACCGCTGGCTGAAGGGCGCCTTCAGCAGTCGCAAGGGTGTACAGCAATGGGCGAAGCAGGGCCAGCTGCTGCTCATTCTCAGGAACATCGATCGCATCCTGACTGCCGCTAGGCCAACTGAGTTTGGAGAGATGTCATACCAAGACCACGGCCTGTTGCTCTGCGAGGTGCACCTTCTGCGACAGGCTGCGAGTGGGGTCCTGCCTAGGCGTATTTTCCACGAGTTCTTGGTGGAGATCGACGAGCTGGTGGATGTGCGAAGTGGGCTGGAGAAGCAGCAAAAGGTAGTAGAGAGAATACGCTGGGCGTATTCCAAGTGGTTCACATAGGCCATCTCAAGTAGAGAACCAATGTCATCAGTAGGCGTGTATGTACACAATACTGTATACAGCCTCAGTAATCACCTACCGGCCCATGGTTCACGTATTCTGTTCTAGCACAAATGATGCACGATGTGTACGCGAGTCAGGCCTGGGGCATGCCAGACACAGATGACAGGCTGCGGTGACGACTTCAGCGCCGCGCCAAGGGGAAACCGCGGTCCGCCGCTCCACTTGTGCTTCAACGTCAGTTGCCTGCACACCTGCAACACCGTTACTGCGCAACAACACCCACCGCCTAACACTGTACCTCGCCCGCTAGACTCACCGCCACCGATACCCTGCTTGATCGAACCACCGTCGCTTGCGCACTCTCCACAGCGCCACCAATACAGGACACTTTCGCTCGCCAGCGGGTGCACCGCCGCAGCCCACTCTCCCTCGATAGCGAACACATACGCACATACACAACCCCGCACACGATACCGCGACCATGGCTGGGACAAGAAACTACGACTTCCTTGTGAGTCTCTACTTGGCGCCTGCACCGGCCGTGTTCCTGCTGCTCCATACACTGTCCCGCAGTTGGAGCCGATCTCAAGACAAGATGCTAACAGGGCTCCAATAGATCAAGCTTCTGCTTATTGGCGACTCCGGAGTAGGAAAGTCATGCTGCCTGTTGCGCTTCAGTGAAGACTCCTTCACTCCCTCTTTCATCACCACCATCGGCATCGACTTCAAGATAAGGACCATCGAGCTCGACGGCAAGCGCGTCAAGCTGCAGATCTGGGATACAGCCGGCCAGGAGCGCTTCAGGACTATCACTACCGCATACTACCGCGGTGCCATGGGCATTCTGCTGGTCTACGACGTTACGGATGAGAGGAGTTTCAACAGTACGTCACCCAAACAATGTGCCGTCGGCTGCAGAACGCATAGGAACAAGCATAGAACGGCGACTAATACGCATGACAGACATCCGCACCTGGTTCTCCAACGTCGAGCAGCACGCGACCGAAGGCGTCAACAAGATCCTCATTGGCAACAAGTGCGATTGGGAAGAGAAGCGCGCCGTCAGCACAGAGCGTGGCCAGGCCCTCGCGGACGAACTCGGCATTCCCTTCCTCGAGGTCTCGGCAAAGAGCAACATCAATGTCGACCAGGCATTCTACTCGCTTGCTTCCGATATCAAGAAGAGGCTTATCGACAGCGCACGATCAGACCAGGCGGCAGGCCCATCGGTGAACGTTGGCGATGCAGGGGCTGCTAATGCTGGTATGGGCGGAAAGTGCTGTTAAGAGACGGGAGCAGACGAAAGAAGAGGATTGTGGGTTGACAAGGGCGTTCGCTACGTGCATTGGTTCAGGCACCCATTGCTGAGCTTGGCAAAGCTGTTCAAGAGGTGGATACTGCAGTCATGCTACGGAATGTTCAAAGTCTCTTGGACGCTTCACGTGTGGCTCGGCGTGTCAGGTCTTCTATTTGATGGTGTTTATTGGGCGTTCTGCGAGCACAGGGTCTTTTACATTACATCTTGTAATGCTATTTTGTACATGCACTGTTTACGCATCATACGCCACTCTGTCTGATCTTCTGCAGGGATCGAGCGGCACCTACAGCGCTTCACTTACGCACACTGGAACAAGGATCTCGTTTGAAGCACATTCATGGTGAGTATCTTGAACGACACCTCTCAACAATCAATAGCCTTAATGGCATCCGATCCTATAGAGAAAAAGCGAAGACCTCCATCACCACACAATCTCCGGCGGGATTACCGCATCACATGCTAGCCTTTCCACGACTCTCAAAGGGCAAAAGCAACACCAGCACACCGGCAGCAATAAACAGCGCCCCAGAAACATAAACCGGCGCACTCGTCTCCAGATTCGCAAACATGGCCACAATCGGCGCCATAATACCAAACACCCTATTCGCACTCGCTGTGATCGCATTCCCCGTCCCTCGATCCTTGGTCGCAAAGATCTCAGGCGTATACGCATACAGAACCGCATACATGATATTGCTCATGAAATTGTATGCACAGTTCCAGCCCAGCAGTGCATTGGAATCCAAGGCTGTTGTGGAGCAGAAGAGAAATACGCCGGTTAGGACTGTGGATGCAGCGAGTGTGCCTTTGCGCCCAATGCGGGGCGTTTCGACGAGTAGGCCGCCGAGGAGACAGCCGGGTACGCCTAGCACGGCGATGATGAGACTGTTGCGGTAGGTGATATAGGTGCTCCCGTCGCCAAAGTCGACGCCGCGGGTTGCTTGGATGAAGGGGAGGAAGGCGTTGTAGAGCGGGAAACCTAGGCCGATGAATGCCCATATTAAAGTGATGAGGGAGGTTGAGTAGGCTAGTTTCTTCGTTGCGAAGAGCGCTTTGACGTGCGAGGCATCGAGTTTCTGTAGGTTGCGTTTGACGGCTGCAGATGCTGTGGTGCGCTGGACTGCTGGTGGAGAGGTGGGGGAAGTGAGGACGTTGCAGGCTTGCAGATCTTCGAGGGTTAGGGAGGAGGTTTTGCCGTTGCGGCGGGCGACTTCGTGGACAATGGTTACGGCGCCGGCGTCATCGCCTTTGCCCATGAGAAATTTGGGGGATTCGTAGATGGTGAAGCATACGAAGCGTAGGAAGAACATGATCAGTGCCGTGCCACCCTGTGTGAAGGTCAGAAAAAAGATCCGACATGTGTCTGGCTAGGAATGCGCACCATGACGATGAGAAAGTACCTCCAACCCATATTTTTGCCTTTTGTACAGTTCTCGTCCGTCTCCTGACAAGTCAAGTTTCCCAGCAATGGCCATGCTACAAGCGTTGCGAACACCTGCGCGAGCGCCCAATCGATCGATAGGATGGTGAGCAGATACTGATGGCTACCAGGCAAGAATTCGAGGAAAATTGCACTGTCCACTGGCAGGTTGCCTCCCACTCCAACACTCCACAGAGCGGCAAAGGTTCCGATGGCGGCAAAATTTGGACTTCCTGCTGCGATCATACCAAAAACCGCTGTGATGCCTATCGTGAGATTGAAAGCCCAACGGCGTCCGAAAATGTCGCAACCGAATCCCCAAAAGACTGCACCGAAGAGGAGTCCGATGTTCTGCGACAAGGTGAGGAACGGCGGCCGATCGGGATTAAACTCGTTCCTAACAGGCGTGAAGATGAGAGATGTGACGATGGGCCACAGGTTGTCCATTGCCCATCCGAACCCAATGACAACGAAGAGCTTCCACTGGTACAGCCCCATACCAATATCTTGAATGGCTTTGTTGAGGACACGAGCTTTGGCTGCGTAGACTGGATCTAGCGATCCATCTTCGAGGACGCCTTCAGGAGCATATTCCGGTGAAGGTACTTCTTGCGTAGCGTGCTTCGAATGCTGCTCACTGTTCTTGTCGGTCGATGAATCGGCCATGATGAGGATCCTGTGTTTGGGGTGATAATGGCAATGGGGTTTGATGGATACGAGGCAATGTGGTTGAAGAAGGGTCGCAGTGCCAGGGTAGGAGACGAGTGTTGCGATGGGCCGTGCAAAGCTGCCTTGTGCTCTATCGACTGAGAAAACTTCGGATCTTTCTGAAATCACTGTCGTTGCAAGATGGTCAGTGGTATCATGACAGTGTGTTCGAGCCCAGACACGTTTACATAAAAAGGTGGCAGCGGACGCAGAAGACTGGTACTACAGGATTAAACGAGGACGACATGACGTGCTACTTGCAGGTGTAACCTCACGGCACGGCGTCTTTGGTGTGACTTCTTTGAAGGTTGGAACGGCTTGATCTACCTGCAGATAAGCAAGTAGGGCAAGACAGCGTCGAATCGCCGCTTCTAGCGTGCAAGATGTCTGGGAGTGTGGTGTGTGGGAATGCACGGGGTTGGTGAGTTTGTCGAGATTCGTTACGCTAGTAATGACGCGATACCACGTGAAGTGTAGATCATCAGAAATAGGGACATGTCTTTGTGGAGTGCATTATCGTTTCGTTCATTTCAAGAGTACTCATCATGCTATGCTTATAGTACAAAACTCTGGTGTAAGAACACCTTGAGAAAGCAAGCAAAGACAGCTTCGTATTCTCTCCCCCGCTGCTGAACCTACTTCCACAACTTGCCCAAGCTGACGGCCTTGTCGTCGTGCTTGTTGAGCACCTTGGCTGTCGCCAGATCAAAGTCCTCCTGCGTGACGTGTACTCTCCTCTCCCTGAGCGCGTACATACCAGCCTCGGTGCAAACACCCTTCAGCTCGGCACCTGAGCATCCATTCATCTTCTCCGCGATCTTGGTAAGGTTGATGCCACGGGTCAAGTTCATGCTCCTGGAGTGAATGCGCAGAATGTCAGCACGCGCCTCGACCGTTGGCGGTGGGAACTCGATCTTGCGGTCGATACGTCCGGGTCGCAGCAGGGCAGGATCCAGAATATCGAGACGGTTGGTCGCCATGATGATCTTGATGTTCTTTGTCGGCTCGAAACCGTCCAACTGGTTGAGCAGCTCCAACATGGTACGCTGCACCTCGGAGTCACCGCCTGAGCTTCCTTCCACACGACTTGAACCGATGCTGTCGATCTCATCCATGAAGATGATACTCGGCGCGTGCTCGCGGGCCATGACGAAGAGTTCTCGAACCATTCGACTACCCTCACCAATGTACTTCTGCACCAACTCGCTTCCTGACACTCGGATGAACTTGCAGTCGGCGTGGTGCGCTACCGCACGCGCAAGCAGCGTCTTTCCGGTTCCTGGTGGGCCGTACAACAGGACACCCTTTGGTTGCGCGATACCGAGCGACTCGAATAGCTCAGGATGTTGCAGGCCCAATTCGATGACCTCCTTGATCTCCTTGATCTGCTGGTCCAGACCACCGATCATGTCGTAAGTGCTGTCTGGCACCTTCTCGACCATCATGAGCGAGACAAGCGGGTCGACCGAAGACGGCAGGAGCTTCTCGAGCTTGTACGAGTCGCTGAGGAGGGTGACGCGCTTGCCGGCTGTGAGTTTGCTGATATCTACGTTGTCGGCGATGTCGACGACTATGAGCGGGAAGTCAGCCATGTCCTCCACCAACTTTGTTTGCACCACATACCGTATTTGCCTTCAGGATGTACCTTGACGAGCACCTTCTTTGTGCCCATGACCTTGACGACCTCACCAACATAGGACCCAGGCTGCTGGAGCAGCCCAAGCTCTTCTCGCAGTAACCGCACTCTTGAGTTGTAGTCGTTTCGCTGAGCTTCCAGGCGACGCAGCTTGGCCTGTCCCTGGATGATCTCCAGCTTCATCGCCTCGATCTTGTTGTGGAAGAAGGTATCGAGCGCCATGGTGGTGGCGGGCGCCGGCGGCGGTGTTTGCGGGCGAAGGTGCAGAGACGGAAGGCTGCTGGGATAGATGGGCAGGGCGAAGCTAGAGGTGCGGCGGCCGTGGCTGTCGGTGGGCTCCGGAGGAGGTGTCGATGGCGGCAAGGGGCTGTGAAAGTGTTTACCGTTGCTTGGTGATGGCGATGATCTCAAGCTCTCCAGCGACGCAGCGCGGCACCCGCGATACGTTTCGCCGAAAGCACGCTATCTACAAGGGGCTAGCGCAGACCGGGTGAGGCGTCCCTGCCCTCCTCGTCATCTCCGCCGGTCGGCCATGGTCGTGGTACACTGCATCCTCAGTGATGCCATGGCACGCGGCGATCCACATGTTGTAGAATGCGGAGAGAGTGCACGTGTGCTGCGTATCAACATGAATTCGGTAGTCTACGATACAGAAAGTGTTGGGGGGGTGGTAGGGGGGGGGGGGTTTGTTGTTGTCCAAGTCTTATCGCATGTGAGACAGGGTCGCGCGGAACTTGCGGGCTGCAGCTGCACTGGACGGTGAATGGCTGATCGGCGTCCTGGCTGGTCATCTGCATTGCTGCTTGCACGCACTCATCGAGGGGCACGACTTTGTCTGCTTGCTTTCCTCATGTCTGCTTCTGTCCTCTTTTCCATGCAAATGCCCTGCGGCTGAAACCAGTCCGGTCGAATAAACAAAGATCCTGACAAGGGCGTCGCCGCATCAGCATCAAGCGGTCTGTTAGCTCACCTGCTCCAGAGCTACCATCTTTCTCTGCACCACTCCGTCCTGCGACCACAACCATGGCGGACGGCGACCGGACACCCACAGGCGGAAAAGGCAGCCAGCAGCCTCCGGGCTCGCGACAAGGCAGCTCTTATGGCGGCGACACGCCTACAACAGGTGCCGAGTCTGCGCGCAGGCGGATCCCCGGCGCAGCGCCAACAACAAGCTATGGTACACTCACTCCAGAGCCTCTGCGCATCCTCCCGGCGCATGCTACAGCAAAACTAACAAGCCAGCAGGCTCCATCACGTCCTCGATCGACCGGCGCCTACAGAGCATGACGCCGTCTGAGCCCAGCTCAAAGCCCAAGAAGCCCCCAATGAGCCGCCGTGCGACATCGTCCAAGTTCCCGCACAAAGGCCAGGAGTTCAGTGTCGACGACGACGCAGACGAGGTGCAGGCCGAGACGGAGCAGCAGCAGAAGCGCCAAGGCCAGACGTTGCGCCGCAAGCCCTCCAACGTCCGTCGGCCAACTGGTGCAGCGCGAGGTCCGACTCTCACGACCATTGAGTCCACAGAGGACGACGCGGTTGAAGAACAGAACGCCAGGGCACCAACGGACCCAGAAGGACAGCCCGGAAGCTCGGAAGAAGAGACAATACGCGCTGATGAGGACGACAGCGGCACAGGCGACAACGAGGATGATGACGGCGACTTGAGCGACGCCGAAAGCTTCACCCTCAAGGACCGTCAGGATGCCATCAACGTCACGCATCCCTTCGGTATCAGGATCTGGAAGCCCGCCTTGTACAAAAAGGGGCGTTCAGTCCAGCGAAATGCTGAAGCAGACATTCACTCAAACCCTGGTCTGTTCGTCAGCAAGTGGTTACTGCTCTTCAACATTGCTTGGACGCTCGTGTTTGGTTGGTGGCTGTCACTCATGGCAGCTGCTGGCGCCCTGCTCTGTGCCATCCTCGCTTTTGATGAAAGCTGCAAAGAGTACTCGCGGCTGCTCTTCCATCTTGCGGTATACGTCTTCTACCCATTTGGACGATATGTCAAGCTTCTCCAGGACGATCAATACGCCGAAGAGGACGAGGGCGAGGGCCGCAGCATCAGCGAGTACGAGCAATGGCAGAGCGGCGACATTGAGGAAGGGCGGCTCTTTTTCGGTCCTACCGCTGGCCTTTCCTCTCTTGTAGGCCGTCGACGCAACAGCATCGACTCGACTGGCGGTGAGACGACAAGCCTGCTTGGTCGCGAAGGTCGGGCCAACATGGTGCATTCGGACACTGCAAGGACGAAAAACCGCTTCTTTGGGCGTGGAAAGTGGAATCTTGGCCGTGTTGTCTTCTACGTCTACTTCTATGGTATCATCACTCCAGCCTTCTTCCTGGTCTCTGGTGTCTGTTGGTTCCTGGTCTTCTCCATCCCAATGGGCAAAGTCATGCTACTTCTGTTCGACCATCTGCGTCGCCACCCGCTGGCTCTGTCTTTCCATTCTGACAGCGGCAATGTCCGTCGCCCTGGCGAGTCGTCATCTATTCTCTTGTGCACCTATCGGGCCGTTGGTATCAAGTACTGGAAGTACACCATTGACGGAACAAACATCTTCCTGATCAATTTACTCGGACTGGTAGCCTTCACGATCTTCGACTACTTCGTCTTGTTCGACATGCTGGGTTACAGGATCTGGATCACGGATACCCTGCTGGTCTTCACGCTTGCACTGCTGTCGATCATCCCTTTGGCGTACTTCATCGGTCAAGCTGTCGCTTCCATCTCTGCTCAGTCGTCAATGGGTGTTGGCGCGACCATCAATGCTTTTTTCTCTACCGTTGTGGAGGTTTTCCTATACTGTGTGGCTCTCAAGCAAGGCAAGGCGCAGCTTGTGGAAGGAAGTATCATCGGCAGCATCTTTGCCGGTATCCTGTTCTTGCCCGGCTTGTCCATGTGCTTTGGTGCTCTTAAGCGAAAGACACAACGCTTCAACGTACAGTCAGCAGGTGTCACATCCACCATGCTGCTCTTTGCAGTCATCGGCGCGTTCGGTCCTACATTGTTCTACCAGATCTATGGCAGCGTAAGTCTTGCCCAAATCCTAGCTGTTCTCACACTGACTACCTACAGCACGAACTCAACTGTCGCCAATGCACCCATGGTCAATCTCACATGGGTCACATCGAAACGAGCTCTGAACGCGACTGTCGAAGGTGCTACTACTCCCAGACGCCCGCTTTGCACGACCGCTTCTACAATGAAGCAGTCAAGCCATACACGTGGTTCTCAGCAGCGCTGTTGTTTCTGTCATACGTTGTTGGCCTACTCTTCACCCTGCGAACACATGCAGCAACCATCTGGAGTAACGAGCCTGACGAAAAAGAGAAGAAGCCTTTCGACACAGTTGCAAACAGTCTCAGCAACAGCGGACACCTGGACTTCCCCCACTCTACCATGTCACGAACAGCGACTGGACAGTCCGTATCTCGTGCTCACATTCGCGAGACCCAGTTGTATAAGCGCATTGTTGGTCAAACGCAACACGAATTCGGCCTTGGGCCGGAAGGTCAGCCCATGGCTGGCAGCCCACCAAACAGCAAAGTGGATGGCAACACTCCACACTTGGTTCCACCCAAGGACAGCAACGAGCACGAACATTTTCACGTCGAAGGTCTCACGGACGAAGCAAGCGACGCACTCGTACGACACATCACTGAAATCGCAGCCACCACCACCGCCCTTGCTACGCGTGATGTTACCAGGGCGCCCCACAAAGCTGCAAGGATGGCCAGTACACCAAGCAAGGACCGACCGCATCATCACCGTACTGTGACTGCCGCGACCGAAGGTGCACCAGAGGAGCAAGACGCCGGTCACGCCGCAGGTGGACACGATGCACCCAACTGGAGTCGACAGAAGAGTGCGGCGATTCTGCTTACTGCCACGGTCGCATATGCCATCATCGCTGAAATCCTTGTCGACACAGTCGACTCGGTGTTGGAGGGCTCGGACATTGACGAAAAGTTTCTGGGTATCACGCTCTTCGCTCTTGTTCCTAACACGACCGAGTTCCTCAACGCCATATCCTTTGCTATGAACGGCAATATTGCGTTATCTATGGAGATTGGTTCGGCCTATGCTCTGCAGGTGTGTCTGCTACAAATCCCTGCACTCGTTTTCTATAGCGCCGTACACGCTACGAACATTCCTGCTGGCGAGATTGCTAAGCAGACTTTCAGTAAGCCTTTCCCACTCTCATCACACCGAAGCTGGCGCTGACGTACTCTAGCACTCATTTTCCCGCAGTGGGACATGGTAACGGTCATTCTTTGCGTCTTCCTTCTCTCGTACATGTACGGTGAAGGTAAGAGCAACTACTTCAAGGGCTCCATTTTAATCCTGTCATACTTCGTCGTCGTTGTCGGCTTCTACTTTGCTGGCTTTACCGACCTTGACAGGATGGGCATTGATCCTGATGATCGTCTGGCTCTTGGTGGGCTGGTCAAGCAAGAGGTCCAGTCGATGACCTTCAAAACTATGGGCAGGAGCAAGACTGGAATTGCCTACTAAGCGTTGGAGGATAATCCGTTGTTGAAAAAAGACCATGGTAGTATGTGCAGATGTTTCGGGGACTGTAATAAAGCATGGAGAGTCAAGGGGTATCTGATTGAAACGCATAGCGCGGGAGCTTTCGGTGTTTGAGGTGCTTTCGATCAAAGTAGATATCCTGACTGTAGGTTGAATTACAAATTAACAATGAAAAGGTGGCAAGCCTAACAACATCACCCTCATCCTGTAAAGTTTGCGACGAAAGGAGATTGTATTATGAAAGCGTCGGGGAAGGAGCCTCACACGAATTGAGTAATAGCAACACCACTCGCACCTGCAAGAAAACAGCGAACAGCCCGTGCTTAAGCCTCCGTTTCAGTTGCGGCGCCTTATTTCTCTCATACTTCTCGTTGACACGCCACCAAATCCACGAGCGCCTTCCTGCACCTATTTACTACAGACTTGCAACAACAGTGACCATCAGCTTTATCAACAAGATGCACCAGACCATATCGAATCTCCTCGAATCAGAACTCGATCAAGTGTTTACTCCAATCGGCGTCTGGATCCTAGCTGACGGCACGGTCGTGGTGCTGAGCTGCGCCAGCAGGTCATCGAAGCTTTCGGCGGTAGCGGCTACAGTCACCTCAGCTGTGGATCGATCTTCAACCCGACGTCGATGTTTCTGGTTTGGTACTTGAGTTGTCAACAGTCGTTGCGAAGTACGTGCTGATGTTTAAGTGCTAGTTGTGGTGATCGATGAGCTTGACGATAGTGTCGACCGCACAGTACTTGTGTTGGATGAGGAGGTTGTGAGGGCGGCAACATGGCCACAAACGTCCCAAGTCACGCTCTCAGGAGGATTCTGATACTATAAAAGGTGAACATTTGCCCCATCGTCAGCTGCATAAAACATGCTTACTTGGAATGACCACTCAGAATTGGCCTGTGTGCTGCCCGGTGCGTACGTCGAAAGACTGAACGACTTATTATCTAGAGATAGGAAGCCATCGCTGCTCTCGTTGACGTTTTGGATGATGTGCGTGTTAGGGCTGCCGTCAACTTGGCGTATACTCCAAAATTGGTCGCTGCTGGTACAGGTATGCACTCCGACCGAGCTTCCACTTGCCCACAAACATTTCTGTGCAAACGTGTCGACAACATAGCCCACACTACCTGATCCACAGGTGGTAGCTTGCCACAAATAATTCGGTGATGAGCTGGCTAAGAGGCTGTCGCCACCTTTTTACACGTGAGCATCTTCCTGCTGGCTGCTGCACTGACTGGAGATACTCACTGGTGGCCAGATGGTAGTCCCATCCATGGTTCTGGATATTGTATAGGAAGCTTGGTATCAAAGCCATGTTGTGGTTGTTTGAAGTCGGAGCGGGGTCAAGGCTCAAGTACGGAGTTGCAGAGGCACAATAAACAAGGTACGTCGCGCAGTCTCGTCATATGCAAGGGTGTTGGTGTAACTCAAACACCCTTGGTACCACAACCATCCAAGTCCTTCGAGACTTACGCCACCAGAGACTACAAACGCCCTGAAGTCCTCCAAATGCAAGCCTCAAGATCGATCGTGTTACATGCAGTGAAGGTGTATGACCGGCTGAGCCCTAGCGCAAACCTTAGATCAGCTCACCAAGCGTTGAGACAGCCACCTTGTTGTCTCGAATGAGGCCAAACTGCACCTCGCACAAAGATCACATTTCCCCCATTGGATCCTAGACGAAGATCTTTGGGGTTGAATGTTTAAAGAGTGCAACCGAGTTGAAGTGTGCAGCGCGGCACTAGCCTCAAACATCCAGTCGAAGCCCAAGACTGAGGAGCAGGATGAATGATCCCCCTGTTTGAGGCGTCGACCACGATAACAAACGAGCATTGATCTTCGCCGAGATTGATTGATTGGTTGATTGGTTTAACGTCCTATCTGAGTCTAAGACTATGGAAGACGAGAGGAGCAGTAGCTCCTCTAGTAATGCGAAGATTTAGTTACAAGAGGCTGGGTTCACTGAGAGTACAAGGGATGATCTTCGCCGAGAGTTTGTGGTGCATCTGCGCCACTGTTGTTGTGGCATTCTCGACGGCCTGGCCAGCATAGCAAAAAGCGCACAACATGTCTATCTCCTCATGTCATCGACATCTATCTCAGTAGTAAGTTCGATACCAAACACTTTGCGAGTCGGAACACTGACACGACCCCAAGTCGTGTACAGGTGCCGTAACCTCGAGCCACTATTTACTCTACTCCCTAGATCGACTTACCTCACCTGTCTGGACACGCGTTCCATTTCTCTGATCTTGTTGATTGTTTGGGCAACCTTTGCCTCGAGAAGTTCGACAGAGCGCACATTGGCAGCCGCATCTCGTGATGATGCTCTCAGAGCAAGGAGCCAAGCCTTCGAACCGAGCAACGAGGCTGAGTCGCTCTACATAGACGGCAAGTCTTACATCAGAACCGTTGAACGGCTATGACTGAGTGGACAAAAGAAGCAGTGCTGCTGGCCAGAGGATCTTCGGGGCTACAGTCCGAATTGCATCTGAAAAGCCGATCTACGTCCTCGAACGAATGGAGCACCTGCCCAGCGATATAGTGTGCACCTCTGACACGATCGCGGTCACTTCTGCCTCGTTCGTAGATGTCCTTGCAGTGGCGAGATTCCACGAGCTGCTGGGTGGGTACATGGTAACCTCTCACACTGGCTGCAATGAGAACGACGAGCATTTAGCCTACAAGTGAGTGCAAATCTTAAAACCCTGTAGCACGAGCATCAATGTTTCAATAGGGTGCTTATAGTGCAGTCCGATGGCCACGGCAGATTTTCCTTCCAGGTTTCGAAGGCAAGCTGGAAGGCCTCGTTCGATTCTGTTACCGTCGAGATGTGGTTCCATTCAGGTGGTTTCGAAGTTCGCCGTTCCGGTGTGCACGCGTGGTCCGCGTGGGTCTCTCCGCTATCAATCGGCCGCTCCACTTCAGATCAAAGCTTCGACATATCAATGAATGTCAAATACCAACATGTTGCTTGAGCATCCGGCGTATGGCGTCGCATATGCGAAACAGGCAATGCATGTGGAGGTAGCCCGGAAACAGCTGCAGAGGTGGATTTGACAGACTTTGTGTGCCTAAGACGGTGCTTTTTGTTAGCTCAAACTTGGAAGCATGACATCAGCACTCCAGCAGCCAGAAGCAGGCGAATAAGCGACCACACGGAGGGCAACGGATGGGGCCAATGCGTGGGCAATGCGAGATGACCAGCAGGTGATCAGGTCAAGCAGGTAAGATCTGGGGCAGTGCAGTGACAGTTTGCCCGCGCCGAGTTTCAGGTGGCCTTTGGCGCTTCGAAGAGGTGAAGTTGTCTAGCGCACCCTTGCACCTTGCACGGATCATTGGCGAGTGGGATCGCCGGCAGACGACAGCGCCATCCGGGTTCTTCAGCAGCCGCGACAGCTGTCATGCTTCATGTACCGGCCGTTCCGCTGTTTGCTGCAGCAGAAAAGATGATGCGCAGTGCTCCAGACGCCCTCCCCTCCATTATAACCGCGCCTGCGCCTGCGCCTGCCTGATCTGCATTGCCCGCTGCTGCTCTGGACGTGGCTGAACGAAGCCACACCCCGCGTCGAAATCGATAAGAAGGAAGCGCCCGCCACACCCATCGCGACTCGACGTGCGCCGCTGCGATGCTGCTCTCCCGCCTGCCGAGCCCGCAGAGCCTGCCCAGCGCCCTTGCCCTCGCTCTGATTGCTGCCGTCGCGTCCGCCAGCTTGACACCGTCCAACACATCGACCGTCAACTCGCGCTACTTCCAGGGCACGCTCCCGCTGCAAGGCCCGGGGAATGGACAGCAGATTGCCGAGCTGATACCGCTGACGCGCGAGGGCGCACAACGGTCCATCGAGGGCAATCTCTACCGCACAAATAGTTCCACCGTCTCCAACATCTCGGACGGTGAGATTGCCTACATCAGCTGCAACCCAACCGACTACCCCGGATTCGTGGACGCTCAGGCAGTCTTCGACCAGGCTTACGGCAACGGGAATGCCAACATCTCGGGCGTCATCCTGTACAGCACCGTGACCGACTACTGCGCCTACGATGACAACGGGTCCATGTCCGGCTTCCCTATCCTGTCCATGACGAACAAGACCGACTCGGCCGCCGTCCTTGACCAGATCGACGACCTCGCCGTCCATATGAAATACTTCGTCCAGGTACAGGGCCGCGGCAATGATGGCAACTCCAACAGCATACAGCAGCAGAATCCTCTGGGTCCGTCGCCCTCGACAGCTGTTGCCATGATTATCCTTTACAGCATTACCGGTATCATCACGGCGCTATTCTTGGTAATCATCTTGACCGGTGCTATCCGCGCTCACCGTCATCCCGAGCGCTACGGACCCAGAAACGTGCTGGGAAGGCCAAGGCAGAGCAGGGCGAAGGGTCTGGGAAGGGCCATCTTGGACACCATACCTATCATCAAGTTTGGCGAGAAGGAGCCGGCTAAGCCAATAGACGTGGAGCTGGGGTCTACAAGTGAGGCCAGAGATGTTGATGGAGCAAACAGCACTGCTGCAGCTGCGGTTGTACCGCCTGCAACCGCTACAGTGGCCGCAACAGAAGTAACAAGGAATGATACCTCGGCGGCCACCGCTGAGACAACACGGGATACACCCGCGATGATAGAGCACCCTGAAGGTATCGCCGCCGCCATTGCCCCCGCTGCAGTGGCCGGCGCCAGCACGAACAAAGCCTCCCATGAGGACACTCTTGGCTGCACCATCTGCACAGAGGACTTTGAGAAGGGCCAGGATATTCGAGTGCTGCCATGTGATCACAAGTTCCATCCTGAGTGCGTGGACCCATGGCTGCTGAACGTCTCCGGCACATGTCCTCTCTGCCGTGTCGATTTGCGCCCAACGAATACCCATGAATCTAACGGCTCGCAAGGCGACGAACTCGCTCCACCTCTGAATCCGGAAGCCGAGGCTTCACATCATCGCCGCACAGGACTCCGAGACATACTGTTCTTCCGCTCGCATCCCGATGCACCGGCTGAAGATCGCATAAGTGCTCTACGCCGCCTGCGTGAGCAACGACGCAACCAGAGTGGGGATGTCGCCGAGGGCACTGCCAACGCTAGTGCCGAGGATGTTACAAGAGGAGATCGCCGAAGCAGAAGATTCAGCACGAGGCTCAGCGACGTCTTCAGTGGACGGACGCGTAGAGGTACAAGCCCTTCGCAGCCAGGAGGTGCCAGTGGCAGCACCGCTTAGACAATGTTCAAATTGACGAAATATGTATCGACACGATGTACGAATGGTTTTTAATGGTGTTTTGGCGAAAGGCTCAATAAGAGGTAGTTTCCTTCGGCTGCACAGGGTTTGAGTGCTATTTTCTTTCGGCGTGCCATCTCAAAGGTCGATGGGTATGGTGTGCGGGCGTCGAGGCTTTTTGGGGTGTTGCAAAGGGAGCTTGGTGCGTCTTAGTATCGTTCTGATACAACCCATTGACGTATTTTATCGGATCGGACTCGACACTGTTCGTATTATTGCAGAATGTAAATAACGTTTCACTACATACCATCTGCCGGCAAGGTGTTCTTGGAACATGACATCATTTTGCTGCACAACCCACGGGACATAGCTACGACTGATTGATTGATTGGTTTAACGTCCTATCTGAGTCTAAGACTATGGAAGATGAGAGGAGCAGTAGCTCCTCTGGTAATGCAAAGATTTGGTTACATGAGAGTGAGGTCAATGGAGGTACAAGGGATGGTGAGGGCTCAGGCCCAGAGCAAAGATGCTGGAAACAAAAGAAGTACA